AGTCCTTAGTTATCTATTAAGGGAGGAAAATCGATTATGCATTTTAGCACAGGATCGAGGAGGCCGACAACTTTCTACAACCCACCTTATTGCTTTAATCAAGACCCAATGCCCATCAATACGTATTATAATTAACGTCGGGGCGCAGATTTTGGAGTCCAGCAACCAATAGGTTGCTACTCACTGGCTTTCCACTGCTAATGATGTAGACGGGGCTATATTCTTCGATGAAAATGACGAACCTGCTGTGGTTAATCGTGAGGGTCACGTGGAGAGATTGCTATACTCCCCATTTCGGCAAAGGATATATAGATGTCTGGTTTTTTTGGATCAGCAGCACGCGCGCGGTGTTGATTTAAAACTTCCCTCCACTTATTGGGCCGCTATAACCATCGTGCCTCGTTTGACGAAAGACAGACTTATTCAAGGTAAGTGCGTCTCTAAAATGGGGACTCAATATTCTGACTTTTGTAAAGCATATAGCAGAATGCGTGGCCTTGGGGTTGGCTAGTCTGTCGTATTTCTAGTTCCCCCTAAGGTTAGCTATAGCATGCGAGGGAATGGTCTAATGACCTCGCTCGACGTGATTCGATAGGCACTCATGCAAACTTGCGATACTCTAAGAAGCTTGAAACCGCTTTAGGCTTCACAAGGCTTACAGTATTACAAGAAAAACAAATTATGGAGTATCCTCGTTAAGGGCGGTAAAGCTACCCAAGATATTATTTCATACATTCAGGAGCCCGAAGCGCAAACTTTATCTTAGCTTTATGATCCATCGGACATTCCTAGGACCTCAAGTCTAAACGAGTATATAGATCCACGTGATCTCATCGTACGTAAGCTTCTCATAGCTCAATCATCAGCTACTAGTAGGAATGTGGGTGGCCCCACTCTACACGAAGAGCAGGAGCGTCAAATTACTCACGAAGTGCAGAGAGAATAGTAGGTCTATCGCCCGCCAAAGCAAAGCCCCCTTCTTCATCGTGTACATAAAGATATTCGTCATTTCGTGAAGTATGGGAAAGTTCCGGATAAGGGCACAACTACAGCCTATTTAGCATTTGACGGCCTTCGTAAGACCTCTACTAGGCAATTCAATCTACCACGATCCTTGGGCTCTCGCCTTTATACGTCGGAAGACTTTATTAAAATAGTCAAACGAGCCAAAAACACAGTGGACGACCAGTTCTTGAAGCCTATTCACTAGATATTATCTAATATCCACAACCATAACTTGCTGCTTTTGAGCCAACACGAGGCTAATAAGCTTCTGCCTAATATAAGGATATCACAAAATGCAAGTTTGTATGTCTACTCTCCGAAGACAACTAAAATAATGTGGTCCTTTAATAACCTCGCTTTCCTCACTGTCGGCAAAGGACGCAATAAATAGCATTAGCCACGTAAGATAATCTAAGACTTAGCACTATTCTCAGGGAGCCTTTACTTCGAGACATTCTCGGTATATAAAAGCTTCCGGCACTTTTTAGGTCTAGTGGCAGGTTCTTGCAGCGAAATTCTAGAAGGTCGCGTCACGAATAAAGGGTTTGTGGATAAGGAGACGCGACGACTAGTTAGCTGGCCCACACAATCTCCATTCTAATGCAGCCCTTTGCTATTCCTAAAAGCACTTTTCAACCTCAGAAGCAAAGGGCATAGATTCTCCCAAACCCATATTAGGATGGTTCTAGACGTTAGAGTACTAACGGCTAACCATTTCTAATTCTGGATATAGTATTTGGCTTTTTGTTTCAATTTAAGACCGAAACTAAGTCCTCTAGTTTTAGTCAGTTCCTGTCTTTTGAATTTCGTCGCGGGTTTGAAAAATATCGAATACTCTAGACCAGAATATGATTTTGCTTTATGTGCACATTATCGTTCTTTTCCGAGTAGCCGTTCTGGTTGCCCCTCGTCTTTATATATAAAGCAAATTAGCGACCCTGCCTTCGGCCAAAAAATCACTATAGAGCCATCTTGATTTTATCGCCCGAATTCAGAGGAAAAGTCTAGCTTCGTAGCCCTCATCTCATAGAGGTCCAGATGTCTTCTATTTAGTCTAAATAAGCTGCTACGCTTGAAGACCTAGTTCTTCGTTCCCTTAGTCTTGGCTAATTTTCCGACTATCTTGAAGTGCTAGTCTATAGTTAACAAAGGGGCCGGACAGGAGGGACCCTAAGATAACCAGCCGTCTTGCCTAGTAATTGTCACTCGATAGCATATTAAGTTAGTCATAATCTAAGAAATTCCCAAACCCGTGAAGCATCCGCCGACAGGATAAACACTGCACCGTCCCGAAGTCTTATCCCTAAGCAGACGTCTCCCTCAAACATCTTACTATATCGCCTCGTCATTTTATATATATTTAGGATTTTCTGCTATATTAAGAATCCCAGCAAAGCTAACAGGCGTCTCGGGATTGCTACAACCTAAGAATGCGGTCATGATAATTAACGTTATCCTTGATGCCTATTATCCCTTCTTGAGAATAATAACTCTTGACTCTCCATAATTCTTAGATAGTAATAAGCATCTCCATTTCCATTCAAAAGTATTTAACCAATCTGTTAGCACCTATATAGCAACCTTGTGGTGTTGGACATTTAGAGAAGCTTCATAAACGATTTAAAATATATAAACCGATTACGCAGCAAAATGCGAGCGACGAGCTCAAACAACCGCATCAATATTCTGCGCATACCGGATTCCTTAATCTTCCATTCGAAGTAGGTCGAATGGTATACTCCTTACTCATTCTTTGAAAGCGCGTTATGAGAGTTATTTAGTCAATGTTCGCTTATGGTGTCTCATCTAACTACGACTTTTGCAAACCCCACCGTAGCAGGCTCAATATCCTATATAATCACACAATCCTCGCCTAGCGCATAATTCCGCATATATTCAAGATCACCTACTCTCTTCCACTTCTGGAATTAATATCGAACCACGGCGTTGAGGTCACATACAGAAAAGAGGAAGGGGCAGTTAACTCAAAATCCTAAAGATAATCAACACTGAATTCAAAATGTAGGAAGCACATATAATGCTGCGTCGCATTAATCAATAGCACACTATATTCTCTTATCAGACTCCGTGAAGTATACATCCATTCCGTAGATAATAAGAAATTCTCCGAGCGATACCTATTATATTGCAGCTCCCTTAGTGGATCTACTAGTCTAGCTACTAGAGCCTCGCACGTCATTTGGGCGAAACACTTATCCGAAACAATCGGCCGGCTATACTCTAAGTATTAGAAGTGCCTTTTGGCTTCTAGAATCGCTACGTGGTTCTTAGAAACCCTGAAGGCGCTATGCGATTCTTCCCGTAAGCAAAGTCCTCCATCATCGATTACGATTAGTTTCCGTCCTAGCCGAGGTGTCAATGTAGAAAGTCTTGCTTTTGCATCTCGAAATTCGACAATAATCGGCGAAACCACTAAGTCTTGAGGCGATGCAAAGTACAGAATATAGCGTATTATAGATAACGCTAGCCGTAAAGTCTCATCTTCTAGCGAATTCAGGAAGAAATGCGTTTCACTATCGATATATCCCACCGATGACGTCCCCTGAGAACCTTCAGCTAATAGACTGCTAGATCCAACCTAGATCATGCTCGAGTCGATGAAGCCGTCGTCTTAAAGAGTGCGACGTCTAAGTCGCTTAGTCCCTCTATCATCATCACTTTTATCTCTATCCTCTACATCAATCAGTATTTCTCTCCTCGGATTATCTCATTTAGCCCTAAGCTTAGCCATTGCTACCCAAGTCTAACTAAGGGAGATGCCATATTCAGTATCTCGCACAAGATGGTGTTCGCTTCGCGTCACATAGGCAGACTTCGGTCCTTCAATAAATTTCACTATTTCGGCCGAGCATATAAGGTCGGAGTGGTGATAAAATTCTGCGAGAATTGGGAGAATATTAGGCTAGGCGTATCGGCGAATCACACGATAAGCAAAAAGGTGTTCGCGACCCTAATCACTTATAGCTACATCGTAAAGTTGAGGGAATGTTTTCGCCCCCTCGATCTCAAAACGAGTCCTAAAGATAGATAGAGAAGTAATGTTGCTAAAATACGGACTGTTGGCTATACTATAGAGCGGAACTAGTTGACGTTCTTACCTAGCCCGGGAAAGGGAGGTCAGCCTAGGGAAACTATTCTTCCGTGATTATATAAAATTAGCCTTACGCGTCTGCGCGGTCTAGCCACGAACGAAGCCAACGTCTTTAAGTATATAGCCTAGCTCTCGCCAGTCATGGCTTTATACTCTTTTATGCCAGGAAGGCCTTCTTGTTGACCCTTTGCTATAGACCTTTCGCCATTTAGAAGTGGTAGGATGCTAATTTCAAGAAACTTATACCTTGCCGACAATCTCCAGATCTAACGATTGCGTTGCAAACCGACGTTGCGCCGGTAGAGCTAACGTCGAAGACTGGGCACGTCTTCAAGCGGAACGACTTACAAGGAGCCGTGCGCCTCGCGTTAAGCATTACGCTTTGATCTATATCATGGAGTGCGAGGGTAGCCCATTCGAGAAACTAGGGTAAGCAATGCGTCTACTAATAGAATTATGCACCTATGACTTACGAATTCTATACGTAGCGACGAAACCGTTTTCTATTTCGCTAGACAAGCTATTTATTAGCCTCGTTGCGTTACTTTTTGTGGTCGTCAGTAGCCTGCCTAGCCTAATTATTCTACTTCAGAACCCTTAATAGGATACTTAGAATACTCCGATATCGACTAATGTCGCCAAAAAATGCTTTAACCTTAAGAATATCTAGGCGGAGGAGATAATGCTATAGGGCTTGGTCTATTCCGCAAGAAGCTATATCGTATAACCCCAAAAGATTAGACGCTCGACCTATATTTTGTTTGTGTTATGTTGTCCTTTAGATAGCTTCAAGAACGATTGTTTAATTCGCCATAAGACAATTATATTATACGTCTGTCTTCTGCCTCCTTCGTATTCCTTTGAATCACCGTCTAATTCGTGTATGGTCAAGTCGCGTCTACTCGTGATAAACGCTTTAGACAGCGAGTTTATTCATCTTTATGAAACACAGATCTCCTCTAAAGTTCTTAGAATACTTGACAACCTAAGTACTGCGAGTTCCGCGGGTTAGCCGACCATCTAGCGAAGAAGAATTCTATTCAAACCCTTTAAAACTTTTATGCACTAGCTTATACGCACATTGCTAGAACCAAACATTCTACATAATTATAACGCCTCGGAGGCAGCTGTTGATGTAGACACAGTCGTTATAAAGAACCTAAAACGAAAATATGCTGTAGAAAGAGGCGATAGATATATGCTCAAACGAAAGCTATAAATCGACGGCGGGTGTTGAAAGTTTGACGTAAAGAGTCTGCTGAGGCATACGAAACACTAAAGCCCGCTAACAGCGTATACTTGTGCTTTTGTGCTCCGCAACCACGCTTTTGGTTCTCATAGCGCGCTGTAGGTATTGCAAGAGACTAATTAGTCTTCACTCGACTCTCTGCGCGTCCGAGGCGATATCCTAGTCTAGAGTCTTGAGCACTCAGGAGTGTTTTTACTATATATATCGCGGGCCGGAGAGCGACTTCTTCTCTAGTAAGGTTCTAGCCATGAGAGAACACCATTCTTCACACTACCATTATAAGTAATACTAATTGTTGTCCCGCTAAGCTAATTTTCTTCTAAGCATATTGCCGATACACCATCGCCACCTTTATAGCTCGCACACACCAAGGCAAAGGAGTCGAGGAACTTCCTTTTAAGAAGCTAGGTCCTATAAACACCTACACATTCTTCCCAGTCTAGTCTATACGTTGTTGGAACTCCCCTCACTTCATTTAAGGCTTTTAGAAGTAAATCTCTCTCCGAAAACCGCTTTTCGACGTTTCTAGTTATACAAAAGAGAGACATTTCGAGATAACCTACCCTTTATGGAGTGCCGTTGAATCTTGGTTCATTTACTATAAGGTATAAGGGATATAGCGTTGACGACTATTTTTAATGGTAAGTCTATAACGTCATTAGATACTAGGTTAGCCATTCTATATAGCTTAAAATTAACTAGACTAACTACAGTGCTACAAATTTCTCTAAAGCCTATCTTGACTACTCCTCTACGGACACTTTGGCTTTTTATTTCATGTGTATAGGATCGAGAACTAATATTATAATTAGCTTTATCAAGATTTACTTTCACATTTTAGTGAGGGGACTATATAAATACAGAGTCTATAGTACGCAGGAGTACCCGATATAGGCCTTGCTTTTATATTGCTCAAAGTATTTCTTATAGTTATATTCAATAAAGTAAATAGTTTTGTGATTCGGTGGCTAAACACTAGTACTTCTTAGACTAGGCAACCGTTGGTTCTTTATATATAAATTAATGCTATCTACGATGCTCTACCATTCACTGACATAGGGAGGTCAAGAAAAGGGACTTTCAACCTAATCGTGACTTATTCCATCTTATATATTATTTAGCGAGCGTCTCTAATAGGGAGAGCTAGATATTCGAGACAGAAACTCTTTACAGTAAGTCTCGAGGACTAATATCACACTGTATCCTAGGCGGCCAAGTCCATCCGGTTCTTTCAAGTGTCTCCCTAGTATCTTTATCAAATAATTAATGTTAGCAGAGAGCAATACGGTTAGACAGGATTTAAAGGACTTCACAGAACTTTTCGTCAACATCGTCGTAGTATCTATTTCTTTTAACACTGGATCAGCATCATCATCATCACGAGGTCAACGGTTTAGGGGGCTCACAGCAAATTCACTTAGAATGCTAAGACGGACGCAATAGAAGGAAGCAAAGGTGTTTTATTGTGGTAGTCGTTGTTATAGTCACCGTAGTATCGAATGGCCTTGTTCCTGTCTTTGAGAAACGTAGGCAGGTCCGCTTTAGCCTTGCCACTACCAATGAGCTCCTCTAGTCGTTTTAATCTATTGACCATAGGCAGAGCATCGAACAGCCATAGCGTTTGTGAAAGTTATAGTTTCGAAAGACAATGATTTAGCCAAGGCACTTAAGTGATTCCTAGAGGTTTAATGATTATGATTTTCAAAACGGATCAGACGCAGACAGGCCTTTTATGCATTTTCCATAGCTCTATATCAGGAGCTAGTCGAACGTTCGTTTGCGCATAGTGGTCTGTGTCACTTTGCTTTACGGTTGTCAATCAATCTCTCACGGGAAAAAGAACTATCTGATTCGCCTAAAATAGCCGAACTACGGCAGGACATTACGCCGTATATTGCACTCGCGCATTATTACGAGCAGGCAGCCTATAAATAGAATCGAGCAACCACTTATGACTATTACATAAGGGGAAATGCTAGGATATCCGCACGGTCCCTGTCACGCGCCCGCATATAAAGCGCCCGTATATACGGCCTAGCTAACTATACCTTTGATACTTTGGTTTACTTACGTCCTTGCTACGCGCCGCGAACAAGGGGCGCAGGCTTGCTGGGTAGCACAGACTTTAGGCAATTACTGATGATAGATATAGCAGGTAGATTACCAAGGTTTCCCGTTGCGGCTCTTGCCTATGCGTCAGGAAAATCGCTTAACACACCGCATACAAACTTGAAATAGGAAATTATCCCTCCCATATTTTATAAGTTTCTGGCTCTCCTTATCATCTCCCCCACACCCCCAACACAATGGCGAACCCTTATAAAGCGAACCCAGAAAAAATCCCTGCCACTGATATATACGCCGATATGCCCTTTTATGGTCGATACTACCCGAGATCTGATGACTTTCGCGTTGACCTCCAGCATGTCAATTCCTAGACCACAGACTCGCTAGAATACTAGGCGTTAGTTATTAAGCTCTATACTAAGGATAACCAAATTTACCCTACTAATGAAGGCGGTCGTGATGTTTTTGCTTTTGGAAGCGTGATCGTGAAGTCCAGCCATCTCCACGCGAGTAAGGGCGCTTAGTGTACGGAGATTGACTTCTCATTCGCCAATGCAAATGAGGTCTAGGCAATTGCCATTGCAAAGTCCGTTTTAAAAGAGGTCAAAGTTCCAGAAATTTACTTTGCTAGCAAGGTACCTACGAATGCCACTTATTTGTCAGTTCAATAACTTATATCCACGTAGATTAATGGTCGCTAAGTGCTCGTCCAAGAAAGGCTTCTAGGTATTGGTCTCTCTGTCGTATGGCCGTATCTCTTAATAGACCAAAAGAAGTCCTTCAAAGAACAGGCTAGGAAGATACTTCATCAGCTTCACAAAATCAAACCGACGAAGAAACTTCAAGCCCACTCTTATATGGTACCGGACCCTAACATACTTATTAATGGCCGAATCAATCCGTTAGAAGAGGACATCCTTTTTTCGAGCACCAATCATAATCCAGATATAAGCTTCATGCATAATGACTTTACTAAGTCTAACTGTATCGTTAATAATAGCATAGTTATAGGGCTTATTAACTGGGAAATAGCTAGATTTTTTGGCTGGAAGACCGCCGAAGAAGTCCACCGTCGCATAAGAACTCCACAACGAGCGCATTTCATAAATGCCAATTTAACGGAACAACAGCTTCAGGATATAATGTTCTAGAATGACCTTTATGATAAAGATATACTAGAGGATTAAGCAAGGAGATCGCGAATTCTCAAGGGACGTTTGATGTTATCCTATTCTTTTCCTTCAGTTTCAGCTCCGAGTCGGAAGTCTTTCGCGATTAAGTAGCTGTTCCAGCACCTTGGCTACTATCACCTAGATTAGAAAGAGAATTCACTACTAAATTAATGGCTTATACCCAAAAGTTACAAACCTACTAAAAGTGTTAAACAATCTCGCTACTAGCTAGGGCTTGCTAGTGCGACTAGCGCCTTGGTCTTTCCCTTCCCTAGTCTAGGAAGCTATACGAGAAGTGTTATAGTTCACAGCAAGGAAGTCAAAGACATTTACGCCGCCAAAAATCACATTATAATACTTCTATGATAGAGACGGAGTAAAGAAGTTTTGGTGACAATAATTGCCCAGGGCATTCAAAGAAAATTTGCACCTAATGCTCTATAGAGATACAGCAATATTCGAATTTGGCTTCCATATTTTACACAGAGAAACCACTCAAGCCCCACCACCAAGACGATGGTCCAACCGCCTAGGCTAGACTCGGCTAGGCTACAGATCATTCTTATTCTGAACAATTTTGGCGTATAGTATAATTTTGGGGCATAATACGACCCTACAACTTATCCATCCCGCTAATACTCTTGCTATTCTCAATCCCCTAATTGAAGCCTATGCAATTTCTTACAGCCCACCACATTATATTCAACGCCACCACGAACAAATCACCAACAGATTAGCTCTATAACTACCTACTTCTACCAGATATTCCTTATCCCATCACAAAAACACTTACGCTCGCGGATAATAACGAGGTGGGTGTCTCTAGGTGATATAGATAAATGCCAATAGATAGAGTAAGGGATTGGGCGAATATCCCGAGTCGTGCGAGGGTCGCACTAACCCCCTAAACTAAATTTAGCCTCATGATTATTGGATGGAAGCGTTTTACCTAAGCCGACCCCTTAATCTGTATATAGCCACCCTCCTCGTGTATGGCATTAGAGATGATATGCCAAAAATTCACCTCACCGCTAGGAACGGTTCATTCAGCACTAATCAATTTCTGCCTTATAGCTATGCCCTTAAGAAGTCTACTTATGCCCATCACACGTAGATAGATGAGAACGTCAATCTGACTCCTCTTGATAGGTCCTGGCCACACTAGGTCGTACGGTATATTCACACCGCTAGCGTTACATTAATTTACCTTTCCGGATTCTCGATAAGAACCGCCTTACCCCTTTTGACATCACTTTAACGCAAGTCTCGCTACACGAACAATTGGTATATCTAGCAGTAGCCAATGGACCTCTACGAAGCCGCATAGAGGGGACACCCCGAAACCGTGAAACTACTTCTTGAGAAAGGCGCGGATGTTAACGCTCAAGGGGGCGAGTATGGAAATGCTATCCAGGCCGCCGCATTAAACGGGCATACCGAAATTTTGAAACTACTTCTTGAGAAAGGTGCGGACATCAACGCTCAAGGGGGCGAGTATAGAAATGCTCTCCAGGCCGCCGCATGGGAGGGGCACTCCGAAACCGTGAAACTACTTCTTGAAAAAGGCGCGAATGTCAACGCTCAAGGAGGCGAGTATGGAAATGCTCTCCAGGCCGCCGCATGGAGCGGGCACTCCGAAACCATAAAACTACTTCTTGAGAAAGGCGCGGACGTCAACGCACAAGGGAACACATCTAGAACTGCTCTCCAGGCCGCCGCATAGAGCGGGCACACCGAAATCGTAAAACTACTTCTTAAAAAAGGCGTGGACATCAACGCACAAGGGAGCATATTTGGAACTGCTCTCCAGGCCGCCGCATAGGGGCGGCACCCCGAAACCGTGAAACTACTTCTTGAGAAAGGCGCAGACGTCAACGCATAAGGGAGCACATTCGGAACTACTCTCCAGGCCGCCGTACTGGGGGTTCTCCCAAAAATCGTGAAATTACTTCTTGAAAAAGGCGCGGACGTCAACGCTCAAGGTGGTAGGTATGGAAACGCTCTCCAGGCCGCCGCATTAAAGGGGCACACCGAAATCGTGAAACTACTTCTTGAGAAAGGTGCGGACACCAACGCTCAAGGGGGCGAGTATAGAAATGCTATCCAGGCCGCCGCACAGGAGGGGCACCCCGAAACCATGAAAATACTTCTTGAAAAAGGCGCGAATGTCAACGCTCAAGGAGGCGAGTATGGAAATGCTCTCCAGGCCGCCGCATGGAGCGGGCACCCCGAAACCATGAAACTACTTCTTGAGAAAGGCGCGGACGTCAACACTCAAGGTGGTAGGTATGGAAACGCTCTCCAGGCCGCCGCATTAGAGGGGCGCACCGAAATCATGAAACTACTTCTTGAGAAAGGCGCGGATGTCAACGCTCAAGGAGGCGAGTATAGAAATGCTCTCCAGGCCACCGCATGGAGCGGGCACTCCGAAACCATGAAACTACTTCTTGAGAAAGGCGCGGACGTCAACACTCAAGGTGGTAGGTATAGAAACGCTCTCCAGGCCGCCGCATTAGAGGGGCGCACCGAAATCGTGAAACTACTTCTTGAGAAAGGCGTGGATGTCAACGCTCAAGGAGGCGAGTATAGAAATGCTCTCCAGGCCGCCGCATAGAGGGGGTACCCCGAAACAGTGAAACTACTTCTTGAAACAAGCGTGGACGTCCAAGCTCAAGGAGGCGAGTATAGAAATGCTATCCAGGCCGCCGCACAGGAGGGGCACCCCGAAACCGTGAAAATACTTCTTGAAAAAGGCGCGAATGTCAACGCTCAAGGAGGCGAGTATAGAAATGCTCTCCAGGCCGCCGCATGGAGCGGGCACCCCGAAACTGTGAAAATACTTCTTAAGAAAGGCGCGGACGTCAACGTATAAGGGAGCACATTTAGAACAGCTCTCCAAGCCGCCGCATCGAAGGGGTAGACAGTGATTCTGCTACTACTTCTTGAGAGAGGTGCGGACATCAACGCGCAGGGTGGTAGCGAAGGGCGGACACCTCTTCACCTTGCGGTTGAGGCAGGCTCTATATCCGCTGTTGCTCAACTTCTCGAACAAGGTGCTCTTACTAATAGACGGGATTTCGATGATTTAAATCCACTTCAACTTATGGCTCAGAAGATGGACTATCGAATTGCGCTACTCCTTCTTTCAAGAAGCACTGACAGTCTTAGCTTCGTGAATACTTCTACGTGGAGGACCCTCTTGCCCACTTCTCCGGGCCACCTTGAAATGACTATTAATAACTCCACAACTATCAGAAAGGTGCTAGAAAGCGACATCAAGAATAGGGGCTATCCCCTTTCTCATAACGTTATTGAATTTGCTATAAGGGCTGATGATTTTATGGGAGCGGACATTAGCTCTAGATATATTTTGTACGTACTCTTAACCTGCTACTGACAACCTAGCGCTCACACTCGACTAGGGTAGTATCCTTGCTGATGGGGTTCTCTTTTCCCCTAACTCGACTAGTGTCTATTGTCGTTGGTGGCGTAGAGTGCAACAGCAGTCCCTAGCTAGCCTTTTTGCTGGCCATCGAATGCAGGGGGCTAGCTTCGTATGGAGAGTCTAGCCTAGTATAGTACTAAGTCGAGTGGCTCTAACTCAAATTGCAAAAAAAGATTGTAAGTCTCTTCTTTTTATGCGGTCTATGTTGAGTAACTTCCTTATTAATATATATAGGTTTCGTTAAATACTGCTTCACTACTCGTGCAATTATATTACCTATCTCCCCTAACTATAGCTGGCCTAGATTGTCCGATACCTCCGAGTTAGATATACGGGGCTTCGAAAAGACTTATGGAATTCTATGGATTATAACTAAGCGTAATGATATGATGGCCTCGGAGAGTGCTTTGGAATCTAGAATATTTTTTAGCACATTAGAATACGTATAAGTGCCCCCTTCCGCTATTGATCTTTTCGCTCCCCTAGTTTAGCAACTCCTGCGAGAGTGGGATCGTACCTTCCAGGCGGCGGAAAGTCGTTTAGCAATAAAGGTGAGTGAAATTTGGTTCGCAATAAGGCTCCCGTTAACTATATAACAGCGCACGGAGTTGCTAAGGGCGAATAGAAGAAACCCACGCTTAATTCGAGACCTACTGGGCGATACGTAACTCTGGGATCTGCTAAGAAGGAGCTGCAACAAGCAAATAGTCGAGCTTATAGTATTTCGGAATAGCTACGTAAGTCAATTATAGGCTATCCTCCGTGAGAACTACTCTACTAGAAGCAAAGAGGTAGATAAAGAGACGAGATCATTTCAAGATCAAATAAATAAACTGGAATAGGTTTATTCAGAAGGGTTAAAAGCTCTAACGGAGACTTCTAACAATCTTATTTAATTAGTATCGATAATTCATTTTAGCTATAAAGGGAATAGGGAATACTAACTAACTTATGACAGGAATTTAATCTTACGTTAATCTCGGAAGCACAAAAGTCAGCATCGATAAATAAGAGCATAAAGCGCCTTAGTTGGATTACGGTGGGTTGACATTACCTATCTATATCTACCGCATCAATTGCTGACTAGTTCTGTTGCTAGTTTGTTTTTCTCCCACTGATGTTTATCGCGGTATAGCTCTTAGTTTTGCCTTTTAAGAAAGATGCCTAACATAGATTCAGAGTCTGTTTAGTATGAACGTTAATATCTTGGCGTCTAACCCATCTTGGTGGTTTTATATTATTTTTGCCGTGGTCACCACGTTTTTGACGCTGGCTGTGTGGTTGATTTTCAAGTATAACAGTGATGTGAGTCTGACTTATTCCCTTACGGCTCTTTTCGTTTTTAACAATATATATAGCTAGAAAACAATATAGAGCGTAGATTCAATCGTCTAACAAGGCGCCAGCCACAACAAGACCTTGAGAAAGGGCGACGAAGCCTTTCTCTACGGCGACGAACAGCGATGTTTTCGACTCTAGGGAAAAAAAGATCTTAATAAGGAAACTTTTGTGGTAATTGCTCTGCCACGATATAGTGGGAATCAATAGTTTAACGAAGACGTCTTCCTTACTTTAGGTTTATACACGGTGAAAGAGACCGCGAAATACTAGCTACCATACTGTTGACATCGTCACTGGGAATTTAGTTTACATAGGTAATAAAAAGGGTGAAGGCTAAGATTCTTTTTCCAGTCAATCATATCTTGGTACCTTCTACCACAATACCTAAGAAATCGATCGATAAAGTAGTCGAGCACTAAGGTATCCGTTGAGCCACGAAAAACGCGAGAGCACAATACCACGTCGGTATACCCCTTATAAAGAAAGCTAATAGGCGTAGAACTAGTCATTAGGCAAAATTCGAGGCATATACTAAGTTAGTTGAATAAGTGACCTTATATATCCATTCTCCTGGCCATAATCTATTCGTAGAGGGTAGTGGTGGAGAGTCGTTCCTATTCCCATACCTCTTTATTATCTATTATTTAGGAATCTAGGCAGAACGCAATTATCCCTAGGAGGATCCTCAATTGAACGAAGGGCCCTAGCTAAACATTATCGGAGTTTACTACATCCTTTATACTCAGCTCGGGCAGCTAAGACGGCCGCTACTTAGTAGCTAATTCCATAGAATACATAAGTCCAGTCAACAACCTATGAGAATTTAAGTCACGGATACTTCTTTGCAATGATTACATAATAGTACCCACCTTCCATATATTCTAAACAGGCCCTGCCACAGCCACGGAGCGAGATAGATAGTACCCTAATGCGTCAATCGCCTATATAGAGAGTGATATAATAATCATAGTCTCGAAAAAGTGTGCGATTAAATAGGACAACAGAGCGGGTTATAGGATACCTAGATCAATAATAATGCGACTCTAGTGCTTAACTCAAAGTGCACTATACTGAGAATCTCTTTGTGAGAGCTCTCGGATATCTTGTGTTTTTGAGGTTTTAAAAAACTCTAATTATGACCAACGAAGACAAGTGTAGATTCTTCAAGAGCTTATATAGGGACTATTCCAAGACCCTAGCAAATAGTGTTAAAAACACATCAAGCAGTTACATAAGTTTCACTAAGTTATATAATCTTATGGAAAATACAGAGGTAGATAGGGTTTTTATAAACGGATTTCCTAGATATATAGACGCTTGGTCGAAGCAGCGTCTTAAGTGCCGCGATGCTATCTTGAAAATGGTTTCGATTAGCCGCCTCCCTTATGTAGAATTTAGCAATATAGGCGAATATGTTAACTCCCACGAGAGCGGAGAAGCTATCATAGATAAACCTAATAATTGCCTAATAATTGCCTAGCTTACAATAGTTGGCCTTAAGTGCCCGGTATAGAACCTTAAGATTATAAATAGGTCTAATACTGTATTAATCAAAAATCTGCTCGAGCTTATGATTAAGGGTACATTAGGATTATCATCGTGTTGATGATAATGGCGCACCTTCCACCGCCGATGTAAAAGATTAGATGGAAGACAATCGCATATATATAATAGAGGCCTCTCGTATCTTTGGTGGAACGAATGCTAATGCAAGGCTCTACGGATAAGAGAGGAATATACCATTAGGATAACGCCCTGTGCGACCGTAGCTACAATCATAGTGCAAACAAGGTTCAAACGTAAGCGCATAGTCTAAGCTACATTATCCCCGATCAACAACCACGTAGAGCGAGGGAATTCCTCATTCAAAACCTCGCCGATCGCTCCAATGTAGGTATATATATCGGTCGTCACCACCTAAAAGTGTCTTCTAGGTTCTTATATTTTGGCCATCCCTTCCATCTACTATAAAACAGCGCATTACTACCTTCCGTGCATTTTCAAATACCGCATCGAATGCTGATTGAAGACTAATAACGTCCCCAAGAAAGATTGGTTGGAAATGCCGGAGTCCTACGTATAGGTGCCCAAGGTCTGACCTAAGGACCCTATCATCATCCTAGCGATATTCTAAGGATTTCGCGAAGCTACTTATCAAATAATGGAGTGTGCTACAGGGAAGAGATTATCGCTCTCAGAGGAGAGGGGGTGGTGAGAGGGGAAAGCATCCATAGCGGCAACATCCACAAGATTCCGTATATATTTAACTGTTGATACCCCCCCCCCCAAGATATATTTTGAGTAGCGGCTAAATTCGTTTGAAACCGAAATCATTTGATATAATGGCGGATATAAGTAGATACAGGTCCCGAGTAGGACGGCAGAAGACGAGTGTCGCGGAGAATCTGGTTGGCTGTTAGGAGGCTAGAAGCGAGATCTTGTATACCTATACTTAAGTCAGCGAAAATAAGGGTATATAATAGATTCGTGTTTCTTACCTCCCATTTAAGCTAGTTGGCGGCCTCTTCTGCTGAGCGCAAATCCGCGCCTTCACATATCCAGGTGCACGTGGCGTAAAAGCCGTTTAGGTCATTGCCCATAGTAAAAGGGGCGAAAGTGAAAACGCGATGCCACGTGATTTGAACGACTAAAAGCAGCATTCGCAAATTTAGGTTAATCAATATTTACTCTCGGCTTTATGGAGTTAAATAAGAATCTATACTTAGGAAGAAACACTTCGGAAAAAGCCGTTAGATTCTTAGAGACTAGATGTAGAATGACTAAGGCCGTTTGCGGAATCCACTACTCTCGTTAGGCAGCCTACTAAGATTTGGTTAGGTCATAAATGCTCTAGACGAGTAAGCAAAACTCTGTTTCATGTGTATAACCTCAAAGCCGTCGTCTAGAGAAGTGGCTCAGTTTGTCCGTCAGCCTGATGTTTGAAGCAAATCAGCGTCCCAACTGTTAGCTGAGTAGTCATGTTAAGATAAAGCCATTTTGAATGTCCTAATTTTAGCGAGAATACTTGATTTCCTAGCTTCTTAATGCCAATTTGTAAATCCGAAATAAATAGACTACACTTAGGAACTTGGTTCTTTTTTTGCTTGTTTCACAACGAGGTTTTCAGCCGTCTTTAAATCCCGGTCTATAATCAAATAAGGCGCGGGATAGTAGGAGCCCTAAGATAGTCAGCCGTATTATTTTATAATTATCACTCGGCAGCATACTAGTTGTGATCTAAGAAATCCCCAAAACCCAGAAGCATCCGCTGACAGGATAAACACTTGACCCGTCTCCCGAAGTCGTATCCCCAAACAGACGTCTGCTTTAAACATCGTACTATATTCGCATACTTTCTTCATCAGATTTAATTTTCGACGGCTTTGTTTTTGGCGCATTAATTTTCTTTTCAAAGAGGATCGATGCGGTTAGGAGGGGTTTGCAGCCGCCATATTCAAATTGCCGCCTCGAATTAGATCTTGGAATGTTATGATTGGAATATTATCGGATAATGTAGCTAATAATGCTAATGAAGCGGACGATTTTATAGATATAGGCTAGCTATCATAGATGCATATTTGAAGAGCTTCAAATCTCGTCGTTTTGTGAATGGAGACGGGTAAGTTTTTAAGCGAGCATAGAGCATCATTTTTTTGCGTCTCACTTATGGTCAAAAGTCTCAGGAAGCTATTGAGTGTTTGATTAGTGGCTCAAGTTCTTTAAGGGTGCCCTCAGCAGAAATTCATAGACGTCCATCAAGATCGTGAGCTTACCACAGCCGCTGCAATCTAATAACACGACGATTTCAACGTGACATTTCGCCGAACCGTAGCTTGACGGCCTCCTTGGTTCTAACGTTATCATAGAACGACCTTGAGCAAAGCTCAAGGGATCAGACAAAGCTGCGCGGGTATTCAGCATAGCACAAATAAACGTACCGATTAATCCGATTGACGTATGAAAGATTCTTTATAAGAGCCGAACAAATAGAAATTAGATAAATCTTTAAGGAACTAGCAGCTAGCTACTCTATTCGTAGTAAGCAGTTCGTGGTGAGCAATTCGTGGTGAGCAATTCGTGGTGAGCAATTCGTGGTGAGCAATTCGTGGTGAGCAATTCGTGGTGAGCAATTCGTGGTGAGCAATTCAGAGTGAGCAATTCAGAGTGAGCAATTCAGAGTGAGCAATTCAGAGTAAGCAATCCACCGTTTCATACTAATTACGGTAGTTGTGAGGTGTGATCAATTAGTTTTTCGGATCGGGAATGAGCACAGCCAGGCTTAACATTATACTAAATTTTCACAATGGAGTAACACATGTATATTAGGTCATTGTTGGTGCTGAACTTTCGGTACTAGGCTAGCCTTGCTGTAATTAATTATAAGATCTCATGAAATTTCCAATTAAGCAATACAACGTAGTCATTAATAGATATGGCTTACAAGCTGAGACATAGTGCTTTCGTTACAATACTTAACGCAAAATATATAGAGCTGGCTGTGGCGGTGCACATCTAAACACAGTACATTCAGTACGTGTAAATCGTCGTCGCATATAACGCGACAGCTTCTACAAGCACGTTCGTTTTTAGAATATATGGACGAGGGTTTCTGGAATAAAACAATGTTTGTTAGCAAAGTTTATTAAGTTTGCACTGCGTCTTTCTGGTTGTCGAGTCTGATAGCCGTTTGCATTTTCCATCTAAGTCCACCGAGATTTTGCTCCCTCCACATACCAATTCATTTCACGCTAGGCGTCCGTCAACTAAATTTGCGATGCGAGGCTCTAGAGCTATATTGTCAAGAACTCATTTTTGACCTAAAGTATTACGCTGTAATACTCAGAGAAGCTCCGAGCAGATCAATCACTATCTACCAAAAGGCGACCGTTATAGTTATATAGGAACTCCATGTTCTCGAACGTTTGTACATATGTTTCCGGTACTATTTGTCCCCTTATTCTTGTTCTTGTCAAATTTCTTGTTCTTATTTAAAGCTCTCGTCTTTATTCCATAATAAGCTCCATAGGTAGTGGGTCTAAATACCTTACTATAGCTATATAGGTCGTGTTCGACTTTTCTGCGGCGTTGAATTTTAGCGATCTTATAGTGAGTCGATGGTAGTTTTCCAAGTATATCTAAGTAAATACCTAAGAACGTGCCAGAAAGGAAATGCTAGAATAATTAAGACGCTATTATACTGGGATAATGCCTATATATGTTGTATGAAAGACTGTGAAAATATTGCATCTAGGTAAGCGAGAAAGCTTATTTTAAATATCTAAGAGATAGCGCGTCATCGTTTTTGCTGCAGCATAAAGAGGAAATTTGTGCCCTTCATTTTTGCGTTACCTCAGATGAATGCAAACTTAAGAGGTGGGAGGTGGAATCAGAATTAATGGAAAAGGAACAGGAGAAGTGAGGGAATAATCAGGATATTAGAAAGCTATTTAGGGGAATCAAATTTCTTTGTGGGGCTCCTAGGCGCTGTTGAGTGCTAGGTAGGTGATGGATGACCGAGCATCCTCTAATTAGCCTCTAAGCAACCTCTAAGCGTCCTCTAAGCGTCCTCTAAGCGTCCTCTAAGTGCTCACTGAGTCTAAGCCTAAGCCTGATGCTAGAGATTCTAGATCTAAACTTCCCCGTAAAAGTAACATTAGCTATATTTAGGATTACGACGTAGCCTACGCTCTTCGGCGGCTTTGCACACCAAAGGGATTTTTACCCTTAGGCTACATAAAGATAAGCAGGTGAGTCAATTCTTTTCAATAAGACCTAATCTTTATAATCCCAGGATATATAATATCGTTAGAGTCAAGATATAAATTCTAGCTCAATCTAAATCGTTCATCCTACTCTCTAAAGTCATCGCAGTAAAGCAACAGCGCAATATTCTATGCCAAATTTTAGCTATAAAATGGGGTTCATAAGAAAAATCTAGACTATTATGCAAAGTTTGATATAGAATGCTTATCTAAGTCTAGAAAGAGAGACTTACGAATAATAACCTTTCAACATAAGCGTTCTCACATTGCTTTAGATATTATAAAGCACAAAGCTTAAAGAAATCGCTTTAACTTTGAATTAATATTGATAAGCAACTACTATAAAGGGCTAGGGAGGGGAGGGGGAGAAGAGAAGGGTAATTATAGCACTTAGAATGCACTTATCAGGATCATAAAGTAGCTTCAACTATACAAACATATTCTTAAATCAATGCAAGAACCTTAAGCAGCCTTTAGGATTTTTTGGCACTCTAATCAAATAAGAGCACTCGATCTTTCCTATTAGCGTGTCGGCATTAAACTCAATTATAAAGTCGGCAGTAGATTCTTCCCTTTTATGCTCCAGTACACTTACATAGATCCCTAGGTCCGACTAGGGAATTCCTTTATGAATCGTCGATACACTTCTAACTAAGGAAGCTATTCATCAACCTTCAGTTTTTTTAGAAGATATATTTCCTCTATCTTATACGTCTAACCCTTCCTTATTCTCCCACCGACTAATCTTATATTTTTGCTAGAGTAGGCTATTCTAGCTATAGGGTCAGAACTGCAATTAGAAGCAAATAACGACCTAAATGCGCCCTCTACAGCGACGGCTAACCGTAGCTCGTAATTCTCTAATACAGTCGTATCTTGCAAGGCACCATTCGGTTCCTAAGTGGCCTCTAATTCTTCATAACCTTTCCATTTAACGAGGTATAAAATGGAACCGTGCGCATCTTCCCTATATCTAAGGATCTTATCGACCTCGTACTCGAGCTAATCATCGTCCACTGGTCGGCATACCTCTTCTTCGCTCGACCATTCCCCGTAGGCTAATTCTAACGTGGATGCATAATAAGGAAAACCCTACATTTCTATAGGCTAGCCGTTTGAGTTTTGATAAGCGTATTTATGCACTATATCTTTGTGGGAGTATATAGTGTAGTTTAATGTAGCTACATTATATACGCTCGTTGAGGGAGAGACATAGTGCTACAACGAACCCTCAAAGAGCTAGGACAGGAATTGTAAACGCTCTTCGGCTAGCATAGCCAAGAAATAGGAACGAAGTGAGGAAAAAGAAAAGGTTTTCCGACTACTAACCCTAGTTTTAGGTAGCTGATTAGGACCCTTTCCCGTCGCTCGCTTTCGAGTATACAGGCGCTTTATTACTCAAGGGGTTTATCGATTCGATGTCACCGTGTCCTCTACGTTATATTAGGTCGATTACGGAGTTAGATCTATATTAATGATAGGTGGCTCCGGCGAAGGACAAATATCTAAAACAGTAGCGTTTAGGTAGGTCGCAACTTCGGGTTCGTGCTCAGCATATAGACTTAAACCATCGTACAAAATAGCAGGGTCGATGTATATAGTAGCTAGGATATCTTAAGTCTACACTATATCTCCGAGATAGGACATTGAAGGAAGCTACTAAAGAGGAATAGTTCGCTATGATTTTTCTGGTTTAGACTAAGTCGATTAAAGGTCTAACTAGAGTTTTTCTGCTTTAGGTAGGGTCGATCGAGTTTCTAGCTAGGATTCACCATTTAAGCACACCTCCACTAGAGGGCGCGTAGGAAGGGGGTGTCGCTAAACTTGGTCGAGGTGACATTAAAGGTTTTTTGGGACATCATCACGGGGAATAGAAGGAGGTGGAGTTACCGTGATCGACACAGGGCTTGGATAACGACAAAATCCTACTAGATCTCGTGGGGATTGCGGTTTATCTTAGAAGGGATTCTATAGCCGAAAGGATTACAGGCGAAAACTAGCACTTAACATATTAAGGAGAAGGAGCCAGCTAGAGGACCTTCGAAACTCAGGAAATTAGGGTCACTCGTAGAACGGGGAATAGGCTAGGACTAGGAGGGAGGGGTTAAGAACAGGGGCAAGGAAAGAGGGAAATAAATGGGGATTTAGTCCGTTTATGCCATCCGAGCGGGATCACAGTCTCCTTTATAGAGATAAACAGATAGGGCGGTAGTTTCTACGTTTGGATTGGTACCTCGACTAGCTCCCCCAATCTTGGCCACTTCATCCAAGGGACGACCGGAGCGGTTTCAGAAAGAAGGGGAAATTAATCTTCGAAAAGTTTCTCGTAATACTATCTAACGTCTCTCGTGACCTAGATCCACCAAAACTGTAAGTCAGGGCCTCATTGGCTAGGTAGAAGGAGATTGGGTGTGTATGTCGCAATCCACTATAGGCCGTATAACGCATCAGGTAGCATAAGATAAGGGTAGGCCCGAATACGGTATTTTCGCCATTGGCCCGAATCACGGCAGCAAGAAGCCAAACGCGCATTGATTGGGTGAGAAAGGTCCGGAGAGACTGACGATGACGACAGGAAATTGCCAAGGAGCCCAAGAACAAGCGGGCCTTGGGGCTAGCTATGACCCCCGGAGGCTGTGCAATGCAACTTAAGACAGACTAGCGTAACGCAAGGCGGATGAATCGAAGATGCCCGAGGCCCCGTTTGACGACCATGCAAAGATAGCCGGCGGAACGAGCGAGAGGCTCCGCGAGCAAGGTTCCCGAATATAAGGGCGTTGAAAAGCTCTATATAGTATGCATCGAAGATAAAGTCGGCAGCGTCTCATCACGCAGTATAACGGCGGACTGCATCATCCTGATACTTTAATCATGGAGTGACTGGGCCGGTCGCCGCCAACGTAGACCCGAACGGCCTGAGCGCTAGTTCGAGCGGCATCTCCGGCGGAATAAAAGGGCCAGGGCGTCAAGTGGAGACGGAATACGAGTGAGTCGGTGGGGGCCAAAATAGAAAGGGGTCAGGGGGGCGAGAGAGGAAAGAGAAGAGAAAGTGCGTGGGCAAGTCGCGAGGAGGGAGAGCGCCGTTTTATAGATGGACGGCAGACGACTGGGGCGGTAAAAGCGGCCAGAGCTGGCACTAATCCCAAATGGGGGACATATGGAGACGCCAAACTCGAAAAGGCAGGGTGTTGGTGTAGTTAGGCAGGCGGTCGATAGCGGCAGAACGATGGTTCAATGGGAGCGGAATCTGGCGCCCCGCTAACCGTCACAACTTATACTGTAGGCGGAAGCACCCACCTAGAAGCGCTAATTGACTCGATTGTAGTCACCTACTCGCAATTTCCTAGCTGTAAAACTGATCGCCGACCGTAGTATTCTACTTAGGTAATAACCTTTGCGGTCGCTGTAAGGCCCATCGCGAAGCTAGTCTCGTTAAAATTGTAGATATCCTCCGGTAGGATACTATATTGCTGAATTGTAGTTTGTACGCGATTAAACCACTCTTGAATAACCTTTGGATCCTCTTGTTTTGCTCGTTGATAGCTATATCGACGTGAAAAGCGTAACTGAAGCTCTGAAGTGCGTTAGGTATAGTTATAGACCCATTTCTCGCTAACGGTCTGGATTAGGGTTGAGCCGCGCTTTACAAGCAAAAGATTCGCCATTTCTCGCACTATAGAGGGCCTAGGGGCTGCTCCGCGTAAAGCTATAGATAATATCCATTTCTTAAGCGGTTCCTCTTCAATTTGGGTCAATTTATAGCCATTTGCGCGAGATTCAGCGCGGTTTGTAGTGCCGCGTAGTCGACGGCGAAGCGTAGTTCTAGGTATATTAAACCGATGCGCTGCGTCACGTAGAGAGCTGATTTCTTTGTTTTTATAGCTTGTATAGCTAATAAGACCCTACCCTCCTGATAGGCTGAATTTTGAGAGGATTTAGTGCGTTTTGGTGGCATAGTTGGTGGTTAAAGATAGACGGTCGCGTCTGGACGCGAAAAAGTGGGTGGGTGCGCCGCTCGCTTACATGCGCCACTCGCTTTCCGATTACGTTAACGTAATTCACAAGCCACCCGGCCATATAAGCCACCCGGCCACCCAACCACCTACTTCCTGTTTATATCTATTTTTTTCAACCAAAACGCCTTTATATTAATTATTCTACCTAACTGGGCATGTAGGGGACTTATGCCCTTTTTCACCGCATATAGAATAGGTGTATTGACGTCGTCGCGCTGGTGCTACCGCCTGCTGAATAGGCTGGTTGGGTGCTGCTGGAGACGGTGCCGTAGGCTGTATAATAGGCTCATGGGCTTGTAAATACTCCTGAGCTTCCTGCACTGACATACCAGCTTCGTAGGCTATGCGTCTATTAACCCGTGCGCGCTTTTGCTTCTGCGCTACGTTGGAAGCGCGTAATTCCTTAACTTCTTGCTTAAGTAATATGCCATTTTGCATAGCGATCTGACAGCCCTTAATAAGCTAGTTTAACGCGGTTTTTGAGGGTGTTGGTGGGCTATTTGAGCGTCGTTTTAGGAAAGCTTGGATTAATACTCCTTGTTTAAGTAATTCAGCGATGGTCGCTGGTGTTTTTGAGGTAAAAACGCTTGATCGGCTGCTTAGGCGGCTTCCTGAGGGTGTAGGCGTCCGAAGCTAGATATTAAGCTTTGAAAGCACTCGTTCTGGATCGAATGGCACTAAACCCGCTGCTACGAAGCTATTTTTTATAGTAGGCGCTTGAAAAGCACTATCGCGAGTATTTAGGTAGGCAGCGAGGAAATCAAACTTGTCAATATAGTTAATACCAAGCCGTATTTTTTGATCAACCAAGGTTCCGTATAAGCGCTTTAAAACCGCAAAACAACTAATATTAAGTGGCTGTAAAAGATGCGAGCTATACGCTGGCATATAAATAGGGATAATCTCGTTTTCTGAGCAAATTTGGTCGAAATAGGGCGTAAGATGGCTACCGTGCCCATCAAGGACTAATAATCGATATCGGCCTTGCGTACGGCTATTCGTTGATGGTATAAATAGCTTTTGAAGCCATCGAAGGCCAATCTCGTCTGTCGTCCATCCATTTTGACTAACTTCAAAGCGCCAATCTCTTAGAAGGTTATCGGTCCAAGCTAGATTATGCAGTTTGGCTTTGAAGATAATCGTAGGCGGAAGCGCCCACCCAGAAGCGCTAATTGACTCGATTGTAGTCACCCACTCACGATTTCCTGGCTGTAAAACTGATCGCCGACCATAGTATTCTGCTCGGGTAATAACCTTTGCGGTCGCTATAAGGCCCATCGCGAAGCTAGTCTCGTTAAAATTGTAGATATCCTTCGGTAGGATACCGTATTGCTGAATTATAGTTTGTACGCGATTAAACCACTCTTGAATAACCTTTGGATCCTCTTGTTTTGCTCGCTGATAGTCGTATCGACGTGAGAAACGAGTCTTTAGCTCTGGCTGTCTTTTGACATAGTTTGTGACCCAGTTTTCGCCGACCGTCTGGATTGGGGTTAAACCGCGCTTTGTAAGCAAAAGATTCGCCATTTCTCGCACCATAGCCGGCCTAGGGGCTGCTCCACGCGTATCCATTGATAATATCCACTTCTTAAGCGATTCCTCTTCAGTTTGGGTCAGTTTATGGTTGTTGGCGCGTCTTTCAGAGCGATTTTGGTGGCCATTAATGCGGTCGGCGAGCGTAGAACGTGGAACGTTAAATTGGCGCGCTGCGTCTCGAATAGAGCTAATTTCTTCCTTTTTTATAGCCTGTATAGCTAACAAAAGACGGCCCTCTTGTTCGATGGAATTACGGCTTGATTGAGCGCGTTTTGGAGGCATGGTGGTTGGTAGAAAATAGGAGAGACGCGTTGGGACGCGTAAATTTAGTTGGGTGGCCGGGTGGCTTGTGTGGCCGGGTGGCTTGTGAATTACGTTATGTATTCTCAATTTAGTCATCCAAACCAGGGCAGTCCTCGCTAGTCACACTGACAATAGAAGTATAAGGGTAGGGATCGGTCCAAATAAGGTTGAAACTAAAGCCATGATTAGAAGAAGTTTTGTAATTCAAAGGCCCTTTCCCACGTACCTGTCGTCGGGGTAAGAAGGCGCGTCATCATCACCAAGGGCAGTGACGATATCCGTCAATTCACTGTGCTCCCAGCAGATAAGGATGTTGCCAGCCCCGGTGTAGCTGTCAACAACACCCTGGACACAGTCAGAGTCGTCACGCTCACAAGATGTGTCAACAGTAAGTCCAAGGCTCTCTGCCAGAGGAAGAACCGTGTCGTATGGGCGCTGTTGCGAGCCGTCTGGGCCGAGTTAGTAATTTGCTCCATGATCCATGGATTTTGTTCTTCGTCATCCTTGACCCACATAAAGTCAAGAGAGTCAAATATTTAACAAGTTCACGTACCGGACTGGGGAGTCTCAGCCATAATATGTCCAATGTTGTAAGAGGAGCTGGCGGAGAACACGTTAACAAGGCATTGAGCACGCTCTTCGCCTTCGCTATCCAAGCCGTTTCCACTGGATGGCTTCTCTCCGTGGCGGATAAGATAAACAGTAGATTGAGCAGTGGCAGTGGCCAGCAGCATAAGCGACACAATGGACTTTGATGCGATCATGTTCGAGGATATTGTGGAGTCTTCAGAGCAGAAAATGGTGGTGTATACAAAGTACAAAGACCTGTGCTTCAACGGGCTTTTATATTTGAGGAGCTTCAAAACTCGGGGTATGTACAATTAATGTTGTCATCAAGCTTTTCGGCATTAAGCAAGGTGAATATTCAAAACAAAACGAGCTATGCCTATTTAGATTCACTAGGTCGTAAATTTCTAGACTAATGCTGTAGTCTAAGTGCAAAGGAGTAAAGACGTTTCGCAATACGAGACACGTGGGAAAGGAACTTCGCTTTTACGGGATGAGATGCCAGGAAAATCAGATGCAACTAAAACTAGCTAAGAAATCCTGCAATATTGGATGTAACATCGTGGGTTAAAATTCAACCGCAATTCGGTGCAAACCACGAAGAAAAGGATATTATTTCCGAATGCCCCGTTTTACTCAGTCTAGAATTGCTGTTTGAGCATTGACGCCAATTTTTAGGTTTAAATATGACATGTCCGTCAATGGGAATAGCAGAAGTTGTCCAAGATGATTGACCGCAGTATTCCAAGATTCAAGGAAAGGGACATTATTGTTCAATGGTTCGATGAATAGAAGATCTGAAGAGTTTGTACTGAAGACGGACTAAGTAGGCTCTATTACTAGGAGGGTCTGAGGCCGGCAGTTCTGGTAACACATGGTTAGAAACAAGCATTCGATAGGCTTGGCGCTCCCAAGGCCCCACTGAAGCTGGGTGCTACCTCCCAACTGAGGAAGAAAAGGTGTGGATCCTGCAGACTGTGCCGATGCCTATGCAGGCTAGAACATTGTACGCACGCGATTGTTCCCATGCACAAGTGGGCTTGAACCTTATTGATAGTTTTGGCATTTTGCACTTTCCCCGATTTCCCATCCAAACATCCGAATTTGCTTGTACATAACCCCCAAAGACTCACCGGGGTTTTACACCAAAAGAGTCTGTTCCATGGGAAAATGATACGCTACCTGCCATTGGCCTATCATGGCTGTGGGATTGTAGGACTTTATCTGCGTCAATCGGCGTATTCTCCTTTTACGATTGCTTCGTGTCCAGCTTTTTGTTTTGCCACAGATGCCTCCAGTGACTTGTGTCCTCCCTCCATTATGTACCTCAACACTCCAATGGAGTAGTATGACTTCACAATGTTAACTCTCAGGTCTTATATTGGTTACCGTCGCCAAATACATCCGATGTCGGTAGTTTCGCTGCCGTTTTTCGGCGGTTTTTGCCCGCGGGCGAGCTCCCCGCGGCTTTGCGGGCTCCCAGTGAGGCTATTGTTTAAGACTCCTACCTGAATATGTTGCAAGTACCGTCCGTGCATCTGCTATTCTTGCATCTACTCTTTACGTGGGGTTCTCGCCCGAGAGGCGGGTTGCGGGAAACGGCGGGTCTATCGGCGGATTGAAGCCGAGGTTGAGTCGGCTCTGCGGGCCGCGGGCGAGTTGTATGACTCTACTTTAGAGGGTTCTAGAGTGGTGAACCCAGTCTATCGTCATTGGTAAGCTCAATTTGCATCTCTGGAATAATGTCCGAATTCACGGTGCAGTAGTGCCCAACTCATACGGCGACGTCGAAGGATCTACTGGCTCCTTTGATATCTTATCTCAAACGCAAACTAGGACAAATGGAGCCGAAAATCCTCCGATAAGCCTCTTCTGCCATGAATGTTTCTCCACATTTCCTCTCCATATCACCTTCCTCCAATCACCCAAACCCCAGTTAGAAGTCATCATCAACTATATGATCCTCCATCATGGTCATCACTTCCCAATTTGACTTCGGACTGCGAGGTCTACGTTAAATCTCCACATTCCCATCACCAGAAGAGCTTCATGACTTTTCAACCACATTAAATAACCGGCATTTCAACTCTTGCCAGTGCTGGCCTAGGGTATTTTAGTCTGCTCAGTACTTCAATTGAATTCAATCCCTCCTGCTTCTTCCTCTTCTCTTCCTCTGTAGCTTCGTAGACAATCCTTCCTAGCTCCGAGTTCAACCAGAACCTAGAAAAAGGGCAAGATGACGTGCTCCAGGGGGATTTAGGGCATCTGGACTGTGTATCCCATGTCGTACGCGCGGATCTAAGGAGCTGATCGCTTCCCATGGTAGCTACAGTCACTTAATTTAGAATAAATTGACAGTGGACGTGTTCAATGATTGTTGTACAACTATGCTAATCTCACTAGAGAAATTTGGAACACAAGGAAAGAGAGACAAAGAAACATGGAAAATCGGGTATTCATGATCATCAAACCAATATCATCAGCTTTTTAAAGCTTAGCAGCACTGCCAGGCGAGGAGATCTCATTGTACAGCAAGCTGGTCAAGAAATCGGCGTAATCCTCACCAGTAACCTGGCCCGCGAAGTAGCGCGCGGCGAGCTGGTACTTGTTGCCCTTGGGGCCCTTGGCAGCGAGGCTGTCAGCTTGCTCCTGCAGCAGGCGCAGAGCGTAGTTCTTGTCGACCTTCTTGCCTTCGGCGGTGGAGACGTTGTGCTTGGACCACTGCCACAGCTGCGAGCGGGAGACCTCGGCGGTGGCGGCGTCTTCCATGAGGTAGTTGATGGGAACGCAGCCCACGCCGCGAAGCCAGCCTTCCATGTAGCTCAGGCCGATGTTCAGGTTCTTGCGGATGCCGTCCTCGGTGATGCTACCGGGAACGTTGGTGTTCAGAAGATCGTTGGCCGTGACGTTCACGTCCTCGCGGCGGACGAAGAGCTGGTTCGGGGTTGGCATGTGCTTGTTGAACACGTCCGAGGCGATGGCGGCAAGGGCAGGGTGGGCGACCCAGGTGCCGTCGTGACCGGCGCGGACTTCGCGGAGCTTATCGGCACGAACGCTCTCCATGGCCTTGTCGTTGGCGGCGGGGTCGTTCTTGATGGGGATCTGAGCAGCCATGCCGCCCATGGCGTGAACGCCGCGGCGGTGGCAGGTCTTGACCAGGAGCTTGACGTAGGCGTCCATGAAGGGCACGGTCATGGTGACGGCGGAGCGGTCGGGGAGGACGAAGTTGGGGTGCTGGCGGAACTTCTTGATGAAGGAGAAGATGTAGTCCCAGCGGCCGCAGTTCAGGCCGGAGCTGTGTTCGCGCAGCTCGTAGATGATCTCATCCATCTCGAAGGCGGCGGTGATGGTCTCGATGAGCACGGTACCGCGGATAGTGCCGCGGGGGATACGGATGTAGTCCTGGGACAGGTTGAAGACGTCGTTCCACAGACGGGCCTCGAGGTGAGACTCCATCTTGGGCAGGTAGAAGTAGGGGCCGTGGCCGCGGGCAACAAGCTCCTTGGCGTTGTGGAAGAAGTACAGACCGAAATCGAACAGACTACCGGAGATGGGCTCGCCATCGATGGTGAAGTGCTTCTCATCCAGGTGCCAACCACGGGCACGGGCAATGAGAGTGGGAAGGTCGCGGTCGGTGCGGAGCTTGTACTCCTTGCCACCCTGTTTGAAGTCGACCTGGCGGCGGATGGCGTCGTACAGGTTAACCTGGCCGTTGATCATGTTCTCCCAGGTCGGGGCGGAGGAGTCCTCGAAGTCGGCCATGTAGGTCCAGACGTCGGAGTTGAGGGCGTTGACGACCATCTTGCGGTCGGTAGGGCCGGTGATCTCGACACGGCGGTCGACCAGGCCAGGAGCGGGGGAGCGCCCTTCCATGCGTCATTCTCACGGATGTGCTTGGTCTCGGGGAGGAAGTCGGGCAGGACACCCTTGTCGATGTTGGCCTGGCGGTCGACACGGCGCTGCAGCAGGGCCTTGCGAGTAGGGTTGAAGGTACGGTGGAGGACGGCCAGGAAAGCGCAGGCGTCCTTGGTCAAGATCTTGCGAGCGTCATTGGGGATGTTGCCCAAGATGGCAACGTCCTTGAGGTTGGCTTCGATGGAGCTCATTTTGGATATATTTGATGATGGTATTACCGAAAGTCCATCCAAAATCGGGGAGTGGAAGGTTATAAGGGAACGAGAGAAACTCTCATCGGGACCAGAGCAGCCACTATATACAAGCCCATTCGACCGAAGGCGGAGATCGCAAGCTCGCAAATACGTCACGTCCAAACCGTGGAACATCAATGAACCGCGGCTGTTTTGCACCTCCCCGGGCCCGGACCAATTGGCGGTCGCCGGCTATGCTCTTTACTGCTGTTGCTCATGCATTGAACCTCTTCATTGGTGAATGCGCCAGTCCACTGACTTTCCCGCCGGGAAACTCTGTCGAAGCTCTTCCTCTCGGCCGACATCCCCCGTTCCCCGGATTCTACGGTGCACCGGCATCTGCAAAGGCGGTCGCGTCCCCCGGCAACTCGGGATGCGCCGCAGCCCGAGTCTTATCGCGGCAGCGACCTTCGGACGGCCGTGTGCACCCTCGTGTTCCACGTCCGGAAACCGCTGCGGTCTTATACCTTGACGATTTTCGATCGGTGATGACGAGAACGTTGAACTCTCTGGTCTGACCCCCTGCTCGAAGCTGTCCCTAACTCACCCGATCGGTGGCTGTCCCTGCCTTCCCCCGCATATCCGAGAGTCCAATCAGCCGCGGTTCAGCGTTACAGATAAGCTTGCTCTGAAGATTGTTCTCGGTAGCTTTCGGCTGCCAATTTGGGACTGGAAAGTACCGACTTGTCCCGGCTTGTGATGGTTCGTCATGTTGCCACATGTGATGGGCATGTGATTGCTGGGCAGCTTCAATTATAGCTTAGCTTATACAGCACGCTTTAACGTGCAATGAACGATGAGTCTAGACCGAGCTAATGATCTATTTGATTGGCCGGTCAGCTGCGGTTCTGCATGAATCGCCAACGGCCCGAGTCGACTACAGTGGCACCGCAGATGTCTCCGACCCCCCTACAGACCACCCTTAATTCTGCCGCATTTTCTGCCAGCCATGCACCCGGTGTAGACGATAATAATGTCGGTAGCTTTCGTCGATAAAGGTCTTCAATAACAAAACGATCAACACCACCTCTAGCAGACTGCAATAGACCCTCTGGAATGAGCGGGATTAGGCCTGCTCGCGCGCCCGAGAACGAAGCCCCAAACATCTTCTTAAGTGTGCTTGCCTTTCGCGGGCGTTGGGTGCACATCGCCAAGCTCTGCTTGATAGCAAGGTCGTTTAAAGGTATATTCAGGTCGAAGCCCTTGCCCACGCTCAATAAAGCACTCGTCAGACTAGAAAACGCGATTCCAATCCTCTTTTATATAGCCTCGGTATATGAAAGCCTATAAAAGCCGTTTCGTAGCGTGATCCTCTTTCAAATAGGGTTGCTTCATCACTCGCCGCTTCTTTAGACCTTCAGCAGCCAATAGGCGAGCGATGGAGTCTTTTTTGCATTTATTGCTGACCGCTGCAAGAAGGTCGTCGTATTTAACGTGCGGTTCCTCGCGGATTTTCTGCAAGATAACCTCTTTATCGGCCTCGTCTAGCACCTTTGGGCGACCAGATCGAGGTAAAGTAGCGTTTTTCTCTCGCTCGCGAGCTTTAGAGACTGTGTATTTGATGGTTGAGAGAGGAATAGAAGGATATTCCGCGTGGATTTGTCGGTAGGACCACAGGGCGACAGTCTTCAGTTCGACGATTTTGGTGCGCATCCCGGCGTCTAGCTCGCAGTTCGGGCGACGTGGAGAGCCTACTGGGGCCTTCCTGCTAGGTGTAGGAGCAGTCTTAGTGGGAGGCATAGCTATAGGAAGAGAAATAATATAACTACGCAACGCGCTTTTGTAGCGCGTTGTTTGAGTAGGTTTAGCGTGAGAGATATAGCAGGCGGGGACGAAAAGGCGGTCTGTAGGGGGGTCGGAGACTTTTGCGGGTGCCACTTAAGCTGTGGAAACCCTGCAAGCGCAAGTAGACTCTACACCTTCAAGATCAATGTCCATGCTCGTATTTCTATCTCGAATCGACACGCCATGCCCGCTATATACTACTGCGTGTTACTGGAAATGGTATCATAGCTCACGCGACATCCTAAACCGTCTCGATATACCGGCGCACCTCCCTGATAGCCGTCAGCTTCCCATCGCGACATTGTAAAAAGAAGAACTTACCAGTCAGTCACTGCCTCCTCCCACAAGCGCACCTCGTGCTCCCGGGTTCCGCCAAAGTGCTCCACGAAGGCATCCCCAAATACTTCCCGCGCAATACTGTCCGGTCGCATAAACGTAACTACCGCCTCCTTCAGCGACTTGGCCAGTCGCACACCCTTGTCACTGGCACCGCCCATATCCTCGCCTTTGGACAGGGGCGGCGTGGGGATCTCGAGCTTCTTTTCGATTCCGCGCCAACCCAGTGCCATGATGGCTGCCAGGACGAAGTGCGGGTTTGCGTCAGCTCCGGGGACACGGATTTCAAAGCGGGTGGCCTTGGGGCTGGCAGTTGGTGGCGTGATAAGCCGGATGGATGCTGCGCGGTGCTCCAGTCCCCAGGAGACGGTCACGGGAGCCCAAAAGTTCTCGACGAGGCGCTTATAGGAGTTGATGGTCGGCGCGAAGAGCGGCATGATGTCCGGCAAGCCGACTAGCAGCCCCGCCAAGAAATGTCGGCCCAGATCGGACAGGTGCGCGACATCGGGGTAGGGAGGGTTGGGGTCTGGGGTATCACGGATAAAGGCATTCTTGCCGTCGGCTGTCACGAGCGACATGTGCATGTGTCCGCTGTTGCCGGGAAGTCCCTGGCGCGGCTTGGCCATGAAGCAAGGCGTGATGCCGTGTTTGATTCCATACGCCTTGACGACGTATCTTTTCGAGAAACGAACCCGTTAGCATTGTCCTGCCTGGAATCCCAAAAGCGCCGAGTCATACTTGAATAATCCTGCCTTGTCAGCCATTTCCTTCGCCTCCCCGAATTGTAATGCCTGTCGTGACGCTCGATATTAGCCAGTGGCGCAACCCCAAGCTTCGACACCACTTACTGCCTCAAACACGCCCGGTCCACTCTCGGTATGCCATCCCTCAATATCGCAGCGGAATTGCTCGCAGGCATCAAAGATGCCGTAGTAATAATCCTGATTATGAAGCGGTCGGGTAATCGAATACCCGAACATTCCCTCCGTCAAGTGCGGCAAGGAATCGACAGCATTGTTCTGGAGAAAGGCCGCTGTATGCGACGCCGTTCGTTCGGGAGTGGGGTGGTCACCCGGTGCGCGGAACTGGTAAAACTCGTATTCGGCTTCTCATGTCAGCAGGAGTTCAAAAAGAAGTGAGCGCGGTTAAATCATACCTCCTGCCATAGCGCGGTACCCAGCCGCCTCGACCTTGGCAGCAGCGGTCTTCAACAGACCCCGCGGGCACGCACAGACCGGCTCGCGCGTATCGGGGTCCAGGAAGCTGATTAAGAAGAAGGGCACATTATTCTCCCAAGGAATACGACGGAAGCTGCTCAGATCAGGTATCGCGAGGAGATCGCGGTATCCATTCTCCTTGTTGCTGATCGTCAGCTCCTTGTAATAGGTCCGGTCGTGCTGGTCCCAGCCAAAGATAACAGAACAAAAGCCAAAGCCCTCGGAGACGATGGAGAGGAACTTGGTCTTCTTCATGAGCTTGCCGCGCAGCATTCCATCGACGTCGATCCCGGCCACCTTGACCATGCTATCATCCTTGAGCACTTCAGCGACATTGTCGACGGTAAGGTCCGACATGGCAAAGGGCGAATTTTGGTGGATAAGCGGAAGCGGCGCAGTGGGAAGATAAATATGGCCGTGGGAGAGGGAGATATGCACCGTTCCCTGCTTATCAGCTGCATGCAAGGAGTGAACCGACCCCGAGCCGATTGCAGAGTGGACTCTCCGACTCCAATCGCGGGCCCGCGCGGTATCGTCACCGCTTAGGTAACGCGCCCCACGTGCCCCGCGCATAGAGAGCGCGCTCTGTCGGTGTGTGTAAAGTACATCCAACTCTCATCTGTACGTCTTGGTGAGTATATGTTTCGTTCTGAGGATCTACGAATAGAGCCGTGTGTAGTGTACAGCAGACGTTTCTCGTGGACTGGTGCCTCGGTTCATTGCTAATATCTACACGTTACACAGTGCTGAACCACCATCATAATGGGTCGTCTCCAAGGAAAGAACGCCGTCATCACCGGTGCCGCTGGGTATGGAAGAGCTCTCGACCATTCTCCCAGGGCATAGCTAACATGTCCGCCGACACAGTGGCATCGGTCTCGAAACCACCATCCTCTTCGCCCGCGAAGGCGCCAACGTCCTCATGGCCGACATCTCGGAGCCCGCCCTCGCAAAGGCCATCGCTAAAGTGAAGGAGGTCGTCCCCAACGCTCCCCGTCTCGAAACTATCCGCTGCGATGTGTCCAAGGAGGCCGACGTGCAGGCCATGGTCGAGTCGCAGGATAGCTGGGGCGGCACCGACGTGATCTTCAACAACGCGGGCATCATGCATGCCGATGACGCCGACGCAGTCGACACACCCGAGAAGATCTGGGACCTCACGCAGAACATCAACGTCAAGGGGGTCTGGTTCGGTTGCAAGCATGCCGTGCTGAGCTTGCGCCGCAACAACAAGAAGAACGGCAGCATCATCAACACTGCTAGCTTTGTCGCTCTGATGGGAGCTGCTACTCCGCAGCTTGCATACACCGCTAGCAAGGGAGCCGTTCTCGCTCTGACCCGTGAGTTGGCTGTTGTGCACGCCCGCGAGGGCTTCCGCTTCAACGCCCTCTGCCCCGGTCCTCTCAAGTAAGTCGGCCCTGATATACATCTGGTTCACATTAGCTGATCTTAAATAGCACTCCCTTGCTGCAGGACTGGCTGGGCGACAACCACGCCAAACGTTTCCGCCGCGAGGTGCATTTCCCCAGCGGCCGGTTCGGCGAGGCCATTGAACAGGCTCAGGCCGTTCTTTTCCTGGCCAGCGATGAGAGCAGCTTCGTCAACGGCACCGACTTTGTTGTTGACGGAGGATTGAGCAAGGTAAGTCGAATCTTTTGCTAGGGGATAGCGCGGAGCTAATGTGACTAGGCCTACGTGACCGCGGAGGGCCCCGCCCCGGCCGCGCCTCAGAACCTCGGCCACTAAAAAGTGAACGAAATTCCGTGTGATACCTGCGTGCCAGTCATGTAATTCCGTTCATAGGACATTGTAGGGCATCATATAGACAATAGCACCACAGTGGCAAATCATTCGGTCTGCAGGGCAGTACACGGTAGGAGTGTAGGGAACCTCGATCCCCGGCTAACCGTGAATCCGGTTATTCACCAGGTCCTCCAGAGTCCACTGGATGATATCAACTGCAAATCATGCTCCATTAATACTTTAATAGCAATAACATCAGGTTTCAAGCATGAAACAGACTGATGTAGCATGATGGGCAACCGTGGTCCGCTACCGTGGGCGTGGCATGATACGCTGATCACTTCTCCACGTCATGCAATCCCCGCATTCCCACGGCTACCTTGAAACTCCGCTAACCCGATGCCAACCGGCACGCGCCACACTACTCTCTCTGTCCTCGCCCCTTGAACCCTTCAAGCTACACTCTTGAACCTACAAACCACAAACCACTTCTCCCAAATCTACCTCCATCAATCCACAATGTCCAACTACGCACTACCTGGCACAAACAACTCTCCCCGGAGCCACCCGGCCGGCCCGGGCCTGAAACCTCGATCTGGGCGCTGGTACGAAATCCCACCTCCTATTCCCTACACACACCCCAACTAACACCCCTGCAGGTACATTCCCGTAGTGGCAGCAGTCGGTCTCGGTACACATTCCATCCGGCCCTTTACTTAAAGATTACTCTAATACAAGCTAGGCTTCTACGCGTACAATTACTACGTCGACACAAAGTCCAAAATCGAGTTCGCCGAGATCGAGGAACAGAAACGCCTTGCCGCCAACAGAAAACTTATGGATGCATACGGCAGCAAGGACTCGTTAGAGGATGTGCAGCAGGCCTTTGAGATGTACCGTCGATGATGGGTTACCGGGTGTCGGTTCACGATGCTGGTTGTTGTGATTCCGATCGATCGATTCATTCAAGGCGTTTAAGCGGCGTTTGGACATTTCGCATGCTTTCGCATCGAGATTGCATGTGCTTAGCGGTCGTTTCCCTCTATCAGGAGTTATATAAGGGCTTGCCAAGATAAGTGGCCCGGAGTCACCTTGGAAGGCTCTTACGATATTCGAACAATCAAAATTTACTTTGTCTTTCGCTTATTGCTTATCTGCTCTAGTGAGCTATTGTTGAACGTATGTGGGACTGAACGGCCTGTGGATATTGTTCCGTGCCGTGGTATCGCTGGATGCACTTTCTTGATGAGTGTTAGTGGTGATATCAATTGTAGAGTGGGCTTCATTACGTACAATCCCCGCTACCTATCTGGTAGCTATCTGGTGTATATATCGAGCTAGCCCTGGAGTCTAAGCCCTTCAGCTGCTCGAGTAGAAGCTGCTAACCGACCATCCATCAAAGACACTGTAATCCGCCAGAGGGGACGAACCATGGAGGGTCTCATAGTAAACGCGGTTACCACATTCCTCCGAGGTACTATGAACATTGGAACACTCATCTTTAAGAAGCGAAGCAATCTGGTCACCCGCATCCCGACCCTCAAACCAAGCACCGTGTAGGAAACCAAAGTACTCAGCACTAGTCGCCTCCCCAGCAAACCAGAGTCTGTCGACATTGGCACGCAGGTTCTCATGCATTTCGAGAGTCGTAGAGGGAGGCCAGTTCGAGTAACTTCCGTACGCCCAGGGGGTCGTACTCCAGCGGGGATACATAAACGCTTCGGGCTCTGGGATGTCGATGTCGGGATACATCTGGCGCAGGACGGCCATGACTTCGTCCTTGGTTTGCTCGTCGGATTGCCGCTCGACGCGGTATGCTTCTTGGGAAACGACTGTCACGAAAATGATGTTCGATTCCTCGAGGAAGCCTGGTGCCGAGAGGGATTGCCACACGGGGTAGTAGCCGCGGGTTGTCGGCGACGCATAGAGGAAGTACTGCGTGTCGCGGGGCCAGAAGGTCTCGTTGAATTGGAGGAAGATTTTGGTGTAGGTGCCCATGCTGAACTTCTCGATCGCGGTCTGTTTCCAGTGTGGGAGTTCCGGGCTAAATGAGACTGCGTCGTTCTGCAGGACACCTAGGGAGAAGGTGCACACTGCGTAGGCGGCTTGCACGCAGCTTCCGTCCTCCTTGTAGACGGTTACGCCGTCGTCGGAGTAGGTCACGTTCGTGATGACTGAATTCAGGTGGAGACGGGGGTCATCATTTTTCAGGAAAGTTGAGGCCTCCTTCTTGATGATCCGGTTGTAGCCACGCTGGTCCCAGACGTAGTTGTTGGCGTCACTGAATTGGTTGAAGGTCAGGTTCTGGCCGGCTGAGCCGAAGATGAATGAGCACTCCTCGGGAGAGTAGGCATCCTCCCAGTCTGGACTTTGATTAGATTTAGACATCAAATACTATAGGAAGCGTTCTTACCCCATTCCCACCATTCAACGGCTTGGCGCTTCATGTCGTCCTTCTTGGGCTTCCAGCCAGCCAGCGAAAGACCAGTACGAGCAGTCTGGTCCTGCAGGTTCTGCTTCAGGAGGACACCAGCTTGCTCAGCAGCGTCATCATACAGATCCTCATACTCGTCGAGGAGAGCAGAGTAATCGGTATACCCGGTCTCGTTATATGTGAGAATCGAGCTGTAGTTGGAGTATGTGTTGTTCAGATCCCACTTCTTGGCAAAAGTCCAGATTGGATTCTCTGTATAGTCCAGTTAATGCTCATCCAGTATAATAGCTAAGGTGTCATAACATACCGGGGCCACCAGGAGAGCCAAGTCCTTGCACCTATTGCTCTCAGTTAGCCAACGCATGATCGATTGGTTGTCAGTGTCTTACCCAGTTAGCACCCAGCTCAACGGTGTACGGGTCACCATTGGGCTTTTTGCCAAAGTCAGTGTGGGCTACGCGGCCTCCAAGAGTGTCACGGTATTCGATAATCACGAAGTCGTGAATAGACGAGTTGGACAAAGCTTGCTATGCACATGTGAGTATCGTGTCCGTATACACCGAGGGAAAGGGGTTCCCTACAGCTGCAGCAACACCGGCCATTCCACCTCCACTAAGAACAGGTTAGTATATATTCATTTGAATGAGATACGATACAGCTCGACTCACAGAATTGCGACCGTAGTCTTGGTGCACTTCGCGTCATCCCTCGGCTTGGCCGTCGCAGCCGCGCAAGTCTGCGTGACGAGCGCCGCTGCCCACAGCGATTTCTTGACAAACATCGCAGCGAGTTTGGAAAGGATCAAGGTGCAATACCCCTTCCGCCGGGCAACACCGTCGGTTTATAAGAAATTACATACGATCTTTTCCCTAGAATGAAACTGGTTATCAACGAGGTCCACCCCGATACCGCCGTGGATCCGTATCTTCAACACCTGGGCAGGTAAACATAGCGATTGACATTGCCTCAACATGCCAAGAAGCTTGGCACGCAGGTTCTATGCAGAGTTGGGTAGGTACATGCGGCGATCGACAAAACAGGGAGGACAAGCCGGGCCAGGAACGGGGCGATAAGCTTTGCGGAGGGACGGCTTTGCGTGAAGCTGGGCATCGGGGCGGGGATCCGACAAGACCCCCCGGCCTTTCCTCCCCCAGCACTCAAGGCGGACCCATTATTATTTAGTTGGAACGGCGATTGGTGTTCGCATTGTGGATATGTGATTAATTCGCTGATACCGATCTCTGTGACTAAATCGACTTGACCGCTTTCCCCGCATGTTAGCGAACGCAACCCTGTCGGAGCGATCCGTGTTAGGACATGACCATGTGCTTTTCTGGGCATTCGGATGTGCGGGATACTTAGAGGCTCGTTATCCGTTGCCTGCTTTTGATTTTTGTTCATCCCTTCTTCTTTTTATCATTTTGTTTTATTGACCTTTTGCAAATATGGATCCGGATAAACAACCCCCGTTGGAGGGTGATGATGCTCAGCTGGCCGCTATGGGCCACAAGCCTGAGCTGAAACGGCAATTTTCTACTTGGTGAGGTCATAATAGCGGAATTAACAGCGTATACTGACTATGCACCAGGGCGATGTTGGGACTGGCATTTGCCGTGTTGAATGTGAGTGCTCAATTCCTCAAGAATGCTTCGAAAATCTAATTTTGAACCAGTCGTGGACTGCTCTTTCAGCCAGTTTGTCGATTAGTCTTACCTCGGGCGGGAGTACTAGTGTGATCTGGGGTAGGTTAGGATGGTTGAATGGAATGCTTTTCTGCAGGAAGTGACTCATTCTCCACAGGTCTGATCACCGCCGGCTTCTGCAATTTTTGTATTGCGGCTTCGCTGGCCGAATTTCTCTCTGCGTATCCGACGTATGGCATCTCTTTGTTAAATCGGAGTATTTGGAACTCTTATTGACTATTATCAGGGCCGGTGGACAGTATCATTGGGTTGCAGGTAAGCTTCCACACTTCAATTGACGCCGAAAGTTACTAACTTAATTTGCAGTTAGTATGTTTGAATCGCTCCTCCCCATCCGAATACCCATTAACCAATTAATAGTCGCTTGGCCGAAATGGGTCCCCATTCTCTCCTGGATCACGGGATGGATCAACGTTGCTGGATGGGTAGGCCATGTCCTTCTAACTAGTGAGTATCTGTTAACATCCAACAGGTTGCTCTCGTGGCCACAAACTCGCTCCTCTCGAGTCAATTGATCGTGGGAATCATCTCAGCTATGCATCCGGTAAGAAAATTTCCTGTGAATGTGGAATGGCTTCTAACAAATGAATCAGAGCTACGATCCTCAGCGCTGGCACCAGTTCCTTATCTATGTTGGCCTGACGTTAGGCGCCTTCTGTATTAATGCTTTTGGCAACGCCATTCTCCCCATCATCTACCGCGGTGCTTGTAAGGAAATATTTAGGTTGTTCTTAGATCATGGCTAATATTGGTAGTTACGTGGTCAATTGGTGGCTTTGTGATTGTGTCAATCACCGTGCTTGCGTGTGCTACGCCTGATTATAACACGGCTCGGTAAGATTGACTGCTGATTTATGGATAAGATTAGAAGTTGACCATTGCAGGTTTGTCTTTACCAATTTCATCAATACTACAGGATGTGAGTTTCCTCACTTGACTTTTGTCAATTGCTTTTCTAATATCGTCTAGGGCCTGATGGTGTTGCATGGCTCCTCGGAGTATGTCTCCTAAATTGATTAAGAGGGCTTGATCCAAGTAACTGACTTCATCACAGTTACTGCAAGGAGGACTTGGTGTCACTGCCTTTGTAAGTTCATTCCGTCCGTACATTTTGGAGAGTCTAAAACTCACTGATCCCGTTTAGGATGCCGTTGCTCATATGATCGAGGGTAAGAACCGACTCTCCGCCACGTTATGTGAACCAATCTAACCCAAGCAGAGGTCCCCAATGCCTCAGTGGAGGGCCCCAAGATTATGGTGGCATGTGTTGGTATCGGTACCGTGACTGGTGCCATCTTCCTGATTGTGCTGCTTTTCGTTGCCGGCGATATGAAGCAGGTCACCACTTCCGCTGCGGGTCCCCTTCTGCAAATTCTCATCGATGCCACTAAGAACAAAGCAGGTGCTATTTGCCTCCTGATGTAAGTAAAATGATCCTTCTGATTTGACAGAACATTAACTAATCCTGATTAAGGCTGCCTATTGTCTGCTTGATTCTTGCTATTCTCAGCGTGATGACTACAAGCAGCCGAATGATCTTCGCTTTCGCACGGTAAGTTCTTTCATTATTTCAAGCTTGGATCTTATCTCACGTTCACAGTGATGGCGGTCTTCCCGCGTCCCGGTTCTTTGCTACAGTGCACCCTACGCTGAAGCTGCCGCTAAACGCACTCCTCCTGACCGTCGTAGTCGTCATCTGCTTCGGATGTATTTTCTTAGGCTCATCCAGGTATGATCGCTTCCGTCAACGACCAGGTATTGTAACTAACCCCTCAGTGCCTTCAACGCCATTATCTCGGCTTCCGTCGTGGCCCTTGATCTATCGTATATGATGCCTATTCTCGTCAATTGTCTCCAAGGGCGCAGAGCCCTTCCCGAGAGAAGATGGAAGTTGCCTAACGCTGTTGGGTGGTTTGCCGACATGGTGCGTCTTTACTTACTTGGCTGTCGCATACTAGTGCTTATTCCATACAGGTCTCTCTGGCGTATATCATTCTGACAACCGTACTTTTTGTCTTCCCTCCTTCCAGAACGGTGACTGGAAGCAGCATGAGTGAGTTGGAACCCTCAGTCCGGTGCTAAATACCTAGCTAATGTGAACTCAGACTACTGTGTTGCTGCTTTTGCTGTGATCATCATTATCTCCGTCTTCCAGTGGTTCATCGACGGCCGAAAGAATTACACCGGCCCCCGTGTTGATTTGGCAATGGAGGGGCTGGATACCATGCCGACGCACGACTTCGAGCCTGGGCTCCACGAGAAATAAGCACTGCAGCCACGACGTATACACCGGATTGAACATCGACTACCCATGACGCAAAACAGGACAAAACCTGACCATGTATCAAACACAAATATATTCATCTCAGTCCCATCTACCCTGAGCTATAGAAATCCCAACCCTAAATCTCTTAAAAAAGCCCCGGAACAAATCTCGCCGTCTTCCGATGCCAGACCTCCCACTTCTCCCCAAACTGCGCCTTCATCATGCCCTCCTCGTCCCTCACTCTTACTCCAATCATAGTAAACGACACAACCAGAATAGCCGCTATAATGGGATACCCATAACCAACCCATCTCGCCAGCATAGCCTCCGGAATCCAACACGCCTGCACACCATCCCACCTCAAAAATACACCATTACAACCCAGATATATCAGGAACACTCCCGTGTAACTCGGATGCTGCATCCAGCGATACACACCACTGGTCACGAGCTGGTCTGGCGCCGCGAGGTGGAATGTGAAATTCCGGCCTAGGCCTCCGTAAGCCGATAGGCGGATGTAGGCGCCGAGCAGAATTATGAAGAGGGAGATGGCGCTGATTGGACTCCAGGTGAATAACTCCATATTGCGGTTCGAGGGCCGGGGGCAGACTTGGTGGAGGCGATCGGGGGCGTAGGTTGGGACCACGGTCAAGAGCGCATGATATAGGGTGATGGCGAGTGTCGTGCGGCGTGCGATTGTGGCGCCAGTGCCGGCGAACCAGGTTACGCGATCGGTACTGTGCCGGTCTTTTTGCGAGGGTGAAGGATTTGGTGGCGTTGTGCAGAGGGCTGTCAGGTACCCGGCGCCTGCCATGGCGATCGCCAAGAGGGTTGAGCTTGCTTTAGTCATGGTGGGTGTATCTGCGTGGCTTGCTGTGAGATGCGTGTGAGATGTGTGTAAGTGAGAACATTGATCCTGTCCAGGTCCATGGGTGTCAGCGTAGCCGAACCTGCCGAGGTCGGAATGTTTCACGCGAAATGTTGATCGCGGTCCACGTGGGGCCCCGGATTTCCTGCATTGATCGACACACCTCCACGTAGGAACGTCATTGACTTTTTTTCCTTGGAATTTGGTAGCACATAAGAAATGAACTGGAACCAGGAAAATAAGGTTTGATGGTGGAAATTGCTTTTTTTGCCAGTTTAGATTTCTTGGAAAATTGATATGACCAGTTCCCGCGCAGTTGTTGTTGAACCGCTTTTTCATACCACATCTTCAGGGGTTTGAGATAGGCGCAGACAGACGAACTTTAAAATAAACGACTGTCGCGGCCAGCGCGATGCTGGGAGTCACCAAAGACAGCAACAGAGACTTTTTGAACCCCATGACGGAAACAAAAATACCGAAGCGGCCAAAGGGCGTACATGCTAGGTAACGGGACTCAAATCGCATGGCTAGTGCTTATTCCCGACCCCGGTTCAACGGACCCTGTGGCGCCCAGCCCCTCGGCAATCTCTGGTTATTCGGGGCCGATCCGAGACGCTGCTTCGATGAATTCCGCCAAAGGCAGACTTATTTGAGGGGTTGGCAAGAGTGAAGATACAGTACGTGCCTGCGGGGTTGCTTGTGCGTCCAATAGGGGACACTGCGTTTGTGACTAGACAATACCCAAGGCGTTTCTTTTGAATGACTCGCAAGGTGGCTCGAAGGCTTGTAACCTGGGTGGTGGTAACTGGGTTGAACATCTCTAGCTGAATGCTATATGGAGAAATAGCAGCGAGGTGATATCGAAGTGAGGAGAAATACCTGACGGAGAGCATTCGGGGCTCGAGTCAAGTCTGCGCAGCAATTGTTGGAATATAGGGTACAGTAATTCTAACTAATCAATAATCAGTGACTAAATGTGTTTCGCAAATCTCCGTGAGCCTTGAATTATCAAAAGACTTCAACAAGGCTTTATGCTTCTTCCCGGACGATCGCTTTACAGAAAGATTATTGTTTGTTGGCTTACGTTCTACTTGACGCCGAAGTAGTTGATTCGCCTCGTATCAAAACCGCAGACATGCTTGGTTGTCCTGATATTCATCTGAGGGAAAATCGCAAGTCTACCGACCGAAGATCCGGGGAGATCGCCGATAGAAAACTGAACACCGAGGGCAGCGATCGGATATGCCGGGCCGAGCGGAAAACCCCACCTGTCATCTGATGGGAAAAAAATGACTCCCCCTCATTTGAATGCGATCTCAGTATGTCTGATGATCCGGACCTTAGAGGAACATAGGGGAAATAAAACCTAAAGAAAACTTCTAGTGCCTTCTCTTTTCCGTATCCTAGCAGCTTAGTGGCCAAATGGCCGCATAAGGCCTGCAGAATAGCCTGAACTCGCTACCTTAGCCTGTAGTAAGTATTGTAATGAATTACTATCTTTATTCACCGACCGTCATCTAAGTTGTTATTACCTTTGACCTAGTAAGGAACGCAGCGACTTCTACGGACGTCACCAATACCTGAAACTGCCATTCAAACCCCAGACTGCGGGGGATCGGGGACTAGCGCTTGACCCCACCTGAGCCATCGTCTCTCCGGATTAAACAGCCAATCATGAGGCATGATCAAGAAGCATGAGCAAAAGTGCGGGAAGACCCACTTCGACACATCATGTCTATATGAGAAATTGGAATTCGCGCAGGAACCCACGGGAGTTTATAGTTTAGGTCATTTTGATTTTCCGCAACTGTCGCCAAAGGCCAAATCCATCCATATTACGGATAGACCGGTAAATACGGGAAACGACTTTCCATCATCCGATTCGTCAAAGGAAGCTGTCTCCTTTATGGGAACTGTAGAGACAGAAGGGGTCGCATTCTTCAACTTGGTTTTTGAAGACTGCTCTATTAGTTTCTTTAAAGATAGAGAGACATATCAATAGGTAGTAGCCAGCTGAGTGTTAGTAGCTTTTTTATTCTGGTACTGGTCGGTATTGTGAAAGAACGATGTTCGCGTTGAGAGTAAATGATGTCATCTGGTGAGCCTCCCCCTCCCACCCGTGCCGTTCGTTCCGCAACATCAGCACATTAAATGGATGATCATACAATTTACTTGGGCTCTCATGTAAGACTGACAGGGTTTAAAGAGACCCGTGGCCCCTAGTTTTAGTCTGAGCTAGAAAGATTCTCTTCTCAATATCGACTGTGCTGCAGCTTGATGCCCACCATGGCAGAACAACCATCCCCTAATGCTGATTCGATTGAAAACGGTCCTCCGCAGGAGAATGGGCAGCAGGAGAATGGGCAGCAGGAGAATGGGCCCAATTCGAAGGATAAGTCAGAAATCGATGAATATATAGGTTTGGATCGCTACATCTCAACACTGCGCGATGGTCGCCGATTCTCCGTTACCAGCGAGGGTGGTGGTTCAGCCCTTGAGGAGAAGAAGATCCCATGGTGGGCCCCTTGGCGGCGCCTGCATACGAAACACGATGGGGACGAAGACGGTGAAGGGGACGGGTCCTTTCCCATTCCTGACGCCTGGTTGAACACGGATATGCACACTGGCCTCAGTGAGGATGAGATAGAGTCTCGCCGTAAGAAGATCGGGTGGAATGAATTAACTGCAGAAAAAGAGAACTTGTTTCTCAAATTCCTGAGTTATTTCCAAGGGCCAATTTTATACGGTCTGGTCTAACCCAAATCACAGCCAACAATAAGACGTTTACTAACGCTTGTTCATTTGACAGTCATGGAAATGGCCGCCGTGCTAGCTGCCGGTCTTCGCGATTGGATAGACTTTGGCGTTATCATCGGTATCCTCATGCTTAATGCAACAGTTGGGTGGTATCAAGAGAAGCAGGCCGCGGATGTTGTGGCAAGCCTCAAGGGTGATATTGCAATGAAAGCCATGGTGATACGTGACGGAGAAGAGCAAGAGATACGAGCACGAGAGATTGTGCCAGGTGATATCGTACGTATAGCCGAACATGAAACTGCCTAATGACTCACTGGGTGGTAGATTATTCTGGAAGAGGGCTGTACCGTTCCGGGAGAAGCTCGCTTGATTTGCGCCTACGATGATCCTCAAGGATTCGAACATTATAAAGAGCAGCAAAGCTCTATCAACGAAAATGCGTCAACAGAGAAAAGCGACGCTGACTCGACTGAGGAAAAGGAAGAAGCATGGGGAGCCTCTCTTGTGGCCATCGACCAGTCTGCGATGACGGGTGAATCTTTAGCGGTGAGTTGTTCTGAAGCATTCGCAGGCCGAGAACCCAGGGATATATTGACATCGTCCATGACAGGTTGACAAATATATGGGCGAAATATGCTATTACACAACAGGCTGCAAACGTGGCAAAGCATTTGCTATTGTGACGACGAGCGCAAAGTATTCCTTTGTCGGAAAAACCGCCACACTTGTTCAAGGTGCTCAGGACCAAGGCCATTTCAAAGCCATCATGAATCAAATAGGAACAACGCTTCTTGTCCTAGTGATCTTTTGGATACTGTGTGTATGGATTGGAGGGTTCTATCACCACTTGAAAATTGCGACTCCTGAAAACAGCTCGCAGAACTTGCTGCATTTTGCCTTGATTCTGTTCATCATTGGAGTCCCTGTCGGCTTGCCTGTTGTGACAACAACAACACTGGCTGTCGGAGCGGCTTATCTGGCAAAGGAAAAGGCCATCGTGCAAAAGCTGACCGCAATTGAAAGTCTAGCGGTATGTATAATCATAAGCCCAGAAGAGTACGATGGAGCTGACTTCAGGCATACAGGGCGTCGATGTGCTGTGCTCCGACAAAACAGGTACACTGACAGCCAACCAGCTCAGTATTCGCGAGCCATTCGTTACCGAAGGTGTTGACGTGAATTGGATGATGGCCGTAGCAGCACTGGCTTCATCGCATAACGTCAAAAGTCTTGACCCCATTGATAAAGTCACCGTATCCACACTGCAGCGCTATCCAAAAGCCAGGGAGATTCTTCGGCAGGGCTGGAAGACTGAGAAGTATTCACCTTTCGATCCGGTCTCCAAGCGTATCACCACGGTCGCGACTTTGGATGGCGTGCGGTATACTGCTGCCAAGGGAGCACCGAAAGCGATCATCAAGCTCACGAATACCTCGGAAGAAGTCAGCCGTATGTACCAAGAAAAGGCAACTGAGTTCGCGCGGAGGGGTTTCCGCTCTCTCGGTGTCGCAGTCCAGAAGGAAGGAGAAGACTGGCAGCTTCTGGGCATGTATCCTATGTTTGATCCTCCGCGGGATGATACTGCTCGCACAATTACGGATGCGCAGAACTTGGGGCTGAGCGTGAAAATGCTGACTGGCGATGCTATCGCTATCGCCAAAGAGACGTGCAAAATGCTTGCTATGGGTGAGAACTTTTAACTTCCAGCATCACTGGACTACCTACTAACATTTACGCAGGAACCAGAGTTTACAACGCAGAGAGATTGTTCCACGGAGGCCTAACTGGCTCAGCGCAACACGACATGGTGGAAAAGGCAGACGGGTTTGCAGAAGTCTTTCCTGAGCATAAATACCAAGTGGTTCAAATGCTCCAGCAACGCGGACATCTCACAGCGATGACCGGCGATGGTGTCAACGATGCTCCATCTCTCAAAAAGGCTGACTGCGGCATTGCCGTGGAAGGTGCAACCGAGGCCGCTCAATCAGCGGCGGATATCGTATTCCTGGCGCCAGGTCTGAGTACAATCATCAAGTCTATCAAGGTTGCTCGGCAGATCTTCCAGCGCATGAAGGCCTATATACAATATCGAATCGCGCTTTGCCTGCACCTCGAGATTTACCTCAGTACCTCCATGATTATCATCAATGAGACTGTCCGGTCCGAGCTTATCGTCTTCTTGGCGCTCTTTGCCGATCTGGCCACCATTGCGGTCGCGTACGATCGCGCCCACGTGGAGCTTCGCCCAGTTGAATGGCAGTTAGCAAAAATTTGGTTTGTCAGTGTTCTGCTGGGTATTTTGTTAGCCCTAGGGACCTGGGTAATCCGCGGCACACTTTACCTACCTAATGGTGGCATCATTCAGAATTTTGGCTCTGTTCAAGAGATCCTATTTTTAGAGATATCTTTGACGGAGAACTGGCTCATCTTTGTCACAAGAGGTGGTAAGACGTGGCCGTCATGGCAACTGGTCGGCGCGATTCTTGGTGTTGACATTATAGCAACGCTGTTCTGCCTGTTCGGATGGCTTTCCGGGCCTGGAGAGATTAGCGACCCAGCAGATCATGCCAAATTCACGGCCAATGGGTGGGTGGATGTTGTGACCGTGGTTGTGATCTGGGCTTACTCAATGGGTGTTACCATTGTCATCGCGTTGATCTACTATGTCTTGATGAATGTCTCCTGGTTGAACAACCTAGGTCGCAAGTCCAGGAGCAAGTCCGACACCAAGATCGAGAACATTCTTGGACATCTGTCAAAACTGGCCGTGGAGCATGAAACAGAGCCTAGTGGCAATGACGTTTATCGACTAACTACTAAAACAGCGGTTGCGGAAGATGAAGTATGAGAGTAGCATTTTTTTCTGTCTTCGTATTTGCCTTATTTTATCTATATACTCTATATACTTTATATTTTATCTACTTACGTCTTTAGCCTATATCTACGACCCCCCTTTAGTTATCTTAGGCGCTTTTCTTCTCTATTTTACACCCCAACGCTAAGTGACGGTAAATTGGGCGCCGAAAGAGGCTACCTTTGACGCCGTTTTAAGCGTCCTATTTACCAGAATATTAGTCATTGAAGTATCACGTGATTTATTCCGGCCCACTTTTACGGTATACTCACTGAGTGCTCACTGAGTGCTCAGGGAGCGCTCCCCTGAGCACTCATGGTTCCTCAGGGATCAGCTCACCCTTAACTCAGGATACTTAGGGCCAACGATCAGGCATGCCGTCATTGCCTATTCTCTCTGTCATCCGTGTGTAGCCGGTCATTACAAAAATAGAAAGGCTCTGTTTGTTAGATGCTGAACTACCTTAAGCCTTCTTTTCTAATATTCAAAGAACCTTCCCATTAGATTCATAGCTCTTTCACTATGCACTTTGTCCTAGAGATTCCAAGTGTTTGCATCTATCTTTAATAACCAGCTTCCCCCTGGGTTTCAGTTATTACCGCTTTCTTTCCTATTCTCTCCCTTGCAGTTTTAACTCCTATAGTTTCTTAATTCAAATGAGAGCCTCCATCGCGCAGTTAGTACATGTAATATACGTAGCTAAATAAGAGAACCGGAGCTCTTTTGGAATACGCCAATATCTAAAATATGGCTGTCGTGTCACTGGAGCATGGTATGCAGCACTAGTTGAGTTGCATTGGGGGACTGAGGTGGCGAGTAAGGGTGCTATGCTTGTCGCAAGCGGTGATTGCACTCCTAGTTATTTCACTCATAAATGTGCCGAGCTGCCATATGGTATGGCAATTGCTAATACTCCATCTGGGACCGGGGGTGTCTGTAACTATTTGGAAATCAATGAGAAAAGCATAGAAGTATGACATATAGAACCAAGCTCCAGTTTGAAGATCAGACGGATAGAAAAAGCGGTCAAGACGAAGAACAAGCGGCCCGTAGTATATGTCCCGAGGCCGAACGCCCAGTTGGCCAGCCAAGGATCCATCGCGACTCGGCTCGCCAAAAAATCCCGAGAAATTTTACCCCGGGTACCCCCGGAATTCTGATTTTCGGCTCTAACTCGAAGTTCTCACCGGGATGTTGATCCGAGGAGAATCCCGATATCTTTTGTATATTTTCAGTTTTGCCACCGAGGACCGATCTCGTTTCGGATGGAAAGTTCTCTTTGGCAACAAAGCGGAAAAGGCGAGAAGATCAATGGATATGGATTCCAAACTTGGAATTTTCTAGAGCCATCAGCTTGAATGCATAGAAAATGTTGTACTGTCCTGGTTAGGCAAATGGCACAGGATGTATTATACATATATATTATCCGGATGCAGAACACAACTTTCGTACTCGGATGTACCCACACCCGTTGAAATCGCCAGAATTAGGCATTCAAGGGTAGTTATTATGTGTCTGTATTCAGCCACCGGCTTCAAACTATTGAAACAATCGACGTGTTGTTGCTGTGGGGCGAGGTTGGATCGCAGCATTAGACCCAGACCCGTCAACCGCAAACTGAGATCGACGATTTCGAGAATGTCATCATCAGCGATGCCCTCCGACAGCCGGATGGCTATGGCATGATCTAATCATTGTGTAATGAGAATGTCAGACAATAACCGGAGCCAATGGACATTCGAAACGGTTTCCAGGCGGGGACATTATCCAAGTGGAGAGGGAACAACTACGGTTTCAAGCTGATTTTGGATGGGAGCCCAGTCTAATGCTGTGTATTTTAGGAGTAATAGCAAAGAAGAGGTACGGTTCAGAGAAGTGCGGTGGCTGTTTCTCTTCCTTGGATGACGCGTTTTGCGCGGAGACTCGATTTGCGTAGCTGGGTATGGGGGTTTTGTGGAGGCTCGGAGGGGTCCTGGGTCTTGCTTCAGGATCTCCCCACCCACCAACATTTGGAAACAGAGTCTACTACACTCGGTTAGTGACATCTGTGCGTGGCATGATCGCAACCAGCCTTGGGATTTTCAGTTATTATCCCCCAAGGTCGATTGGTAAGACACCTGTCAAAATTGCCTCATTGACCACAGGCTGCATCCGTACTAGTGCCAAACAGTGTTCCTAGTTGCTCAACCAAGGATCCATCACGACAAGGCTACCAGAAATCCCCGAGACATTTTACCCCGGCCGCGCCCCGGACTTGTAAAATTCGGGCCTTACTCAATGTTCTCACCGGGAAGACTCGACCCGGGGAATGGTGAAACCCCGGGCTGGACATGGGATGCCGAGATCTGGAGTAGAGTGAAAATTTTCCCAGAGTTTAGTGCAAAGTTTAGATGGGCGGGTGGACGAGCTAGTTGCTAGTGGAAGTTTATTTTTAAGTGGTTTGACAGGACTGGGAAGGGGTCTTGGTTATTCGCCCTGTTTTACCGGGCTTTGCTCGAACTTTGCAAGGTTTTGTAGTCTTGTACTTTCATTCTTCAGTGTCATCTAGTTCGTACTTTGTATTCGACGGTACTCTACCGTATATCAGATGCAGGGTTTTTTGAGTTTAATGTAGATCCCTGTCAGCATGATCAGCTTCCATATCCACTTACCCTAATGTAATCCGGCAGTTGGAAGGCAGAAAATCTCAACCCGCACGTGAAGAGCTGGTTGTCCGTGCATCACTCAACGCTCGCCCCCGTGAATGCTGCCCTGCGCCCACAACGGAAGGAGACCCTGCAGCAAGCGCCGGCCGGGCCTCACCACAGCAAACCTTTTCTCGTTACCCCCAGGGTGGTATGCGGCCCGATACGAGCTCGCGGCCCCGACCACGAATCGCCTCACGGCCTTACATGCGATATTAACCCGACAGCCACGGTTGGAGCCACAGTCTGGAGTTGCGGGGCGAGCTGCTATAGGACGCCATGTGCTGCGCCAAGGGTTCCAAGGTTAACACCCGCTTAATCTTGCCCCTTCTTTTTTTCCATGCGAGGCTCTTCCGCGGTGCTTGACTGGCTACGCGCTCCGTTGAGAAAACCCGAAACCGTTTCGGTGGGTGGGACCGCGGGACGCACTCGCCAGATTCGATGCCGGGGTGGCGTCCACGTTGTGGTGTAGTATTTGGGGGATGACCAGTTACTGGATGCGTGCGCCAAGGCGCCGTCAGTCTTTCGGCCGTGCCGTTTGCCCTACCTGCCAAGGACGTGGCTATTTCGCCCGGGGATAATTTAGGCTGATTGGTACTCAGAATAGTACCCAGAATAGTAGTCACGTAGTCGGTATGGCCAACATCATGACTCGGTCGGATATGGCCGTGCTCATGGTCACCCGATCAATTCACGTGGCTCGGCTTCGGAAAGGCGAGAATGCCGTAGAATATCCAAGGAGGACCCCGGATGCCGAATATAGATCGGCTTAGACAGAAAGAAAGTGATCACGGCGTGAAAAAAAAAGGCGTGGCGCGGTCGAGACGGGTTCCTGGCCAATCACGGGGCCGAAGTCGGCGGGGACAAGCCGAAAAAGGACTCGACGCCGGCAGCCGAGGAAAGAGACTCGAGACTCGGCCGTCACCGGCTGGACCGAGTCTCTAGTTGGCCAGCTTATTCTAGATCCGTCCAACCTGGAGAAATCGATCCAATTAGCGCACTTTTCCCCTGCTAGCGCAAGGTCCTGGCGCTTTCTCAGCCAACCAGCCCTCGGCGTTCGCCTTCCCACGGTGGAGCCGTGCAGACAGCCCCCGGGTTTCCAGTCCCGCGTGGCATGTCCCCAGGCAGTTTCGGGCGTAGCGTGGTTTCCATTAGCCCAGGTTCCACCTGGTGAAGCCGGGATTTCAGCGTTTTTCTTGGATTCGAGACATGTCCCAAAATCACCTGCAGCTAACCTGGTTCGTGGGGCGTAGTGGCCAAACTCTGTATGCAATCTCCGCATTATACGGAGCTAGATCGTTTTGGAATCCGTTTCTTGCCCCAGCGATTTTGGATCCGGGGGTTTGCGACCTGCTGAAAATTTGCATATAAACCGCCTTCTACTCCCCTCTTTGACTTTTCCCCCTCATCCTGGTCTATCTTCATTCATCATCTTCATCTATCTTCATTTGACTCTGCTCTTACTCTGACCACCGCCACCACTCCCGTAACTACTCCTACCACCACCACTACTACTACTACCACCGTTCAAATGGCCGGTGGTGCCAGCCCTGTCCACGAGGGCAGCGTCGACGCTACTCGCGTCGAGGCCCCCGTCACCATCAAGACTTACTTGATGTGTGCCTTCGCTGCCTTCGGTGGTATCTTCTTCGGTTATGACTCTGGATACATCTCCGGTGTCCTCAATATGAATTACTTCATCTCGACCTTCGAGCACTTGGTATGTACTTTTCTTGGTCGGCTTCAGGGTCATCTGCTAATACATCGAACAGGACCAAGCTACTACCCCCGCCGCTGATTTCGTCATTCCCTCCTCGAAGATGTCCCTGATTGTCTCCATTCTCTCCGCCGGAACCTTCTTTGGTGCTTTGCTTGCTGGTGATCTCGCTGATTGGTTCGGTCGTCGCACTACTGTGATCGCTGGCTGCGTTGTCTTCATCATTGGTGTCGCTCTCCAGACTGCCTCGAGCAGCTTGGGTCTCCTCGTCGCTGGTCGTCTGATTGCTGGATTCGGTGTCGGCTTTGTCTCTTCCGTCATCATCCTGTACATGTCCGAGATCGCGCCCCGCAAGGTCCGCGGTGCCATCGTCTCCGGCTACCAGTTCTGCATCACCATCGGTATGATGCTGGCCTCTTGCGTCGACTACGCTACCGAGAACCGCAATGACTCCGGTTCCTACCGCATCCCTATCGGTCTCCAGATGCTGTGGGCTCTGATTCTCGCTGTTGGTCTTTGGGTCCTCCCCGAGTCTCCTCGTTACTTCATTCGCAAGGGCCAGATGGACCAGGCTCGCAGCGCTCTTGCGCGCATCCGTGACCAGCCCGAGGACTCCCACTACATCGAGGCTGAGCTGCAAGAGATCGACGCCAACTTCCAGTACGAGCAGGCTCTCATCCCCCACAGCGGATACTTCGAGTCCTGGTTCAATTGCTTCCGCGGCAGCATCTTCCACCCGAACTCCAACCTGCGCCGTACCGTCCTCGGTACCTCCCTCCAGATGATGCAGCAGTGGACCGGTGTCAACTTCGTCTTCTACTTCGGCACCCCCTTCTTCAAGCAGCTCGGCACTATTCAGAACCCTTTCCTCATCACCATGATCACAACCATTGTCAACGTCTGCTCGACCCCCATCTCCTTCTACATGATTGAGAAAGTCGGTCGTCGTCCCCTGCTCCTGTGGGGTGCTCTGGGCATGGTCATCTGCCAGTACATCGTCGCCATCCTTCACGTTACCGACGGGGACAACCCCCAGGCCGTGTCCGCCATGATTGCCTTCATCTGCATCTACATCTTCTTCTTCGCTTCCACCTGGGGCCCCGGTGCCTGGGTCGTCATCGGCGAGATCTTCCCCCTGCCCATCCGTTCCCGCGGTGTCGCTCTGTCCACCGCCTCCAACTGGCTCTGGAACTGCATCATCGCCGTCATCACCCCCTACCTGGTCCAGACTGACGAGGCCAACCTCGGCGCCAAGGTCTTCTTCCTCTGGGGCTCGCTCTGCGCTTGCGCCTTTGTCTACACCTACTTCCTCATCCCCGAGACCAAGGGTCTTACTCTGGAGCAGGTCGACAAGATGATGGAGGAGACCACCCCTCGCACTTCTGCCAAGTGGGTCCCTCACTCTACTTTCGCCGGCGAGCTGGGTCTCACCGAGAAGGCCGCTATTGGTCCCTCTGTCACCCACGCCGAGGTCTAATTTGACCTCGGATGCCTTGGATTTGCCTCTTGCGATCCATATTTCCTATTTTTCTGGTGGCTGGTCCTGTCGTTCAGCGCAATACCAAAATTTCATGTCTTATGCTTTTACGTCGCCATTGGCTTCATCATTAGATGATGATGTACTTTTACGCCGATCGAAATTACTTAATTCTTTTTGACAAATTCTTCCTCTTGTAACTGTAAATGACTTCTTAATTCCCCTCCAGTCGTTCACGATTTCGATCGTTATCTGTTCATAGGTAAGAATCCTTCCTCGGTCGCTTATTCAACAATCTAGTCCATTGCGCAACGGACAAAACCACTATTACAGTCCTCTCACACTTGCGCCAGGCCAAAGCCGCCAAGTTCACCTGACCTTAGCTGATCTCCGGGATTACAGTAAACTTCCGGTTATAACATGGCCCTCCGTCCGATAGAAAGCACATGTAATGAGTGAAATATATAAAATGTGATTGATAACTATTCCCTCGATCCCACTACCGTGGGTATAGAAAACCAAGAATCTCTCTCTTATGATCGTTATAGTCTACAAATGAAATAAATCTGCGCGTAAAGAATGAGAAAAAAACGCTAGAAACGTACACGATCGGATCAGCAGATAACCTATGGCCTGCAGCTAGATCAGCAGCTAAATCGGCTAGTTTAAGGCGGCAGGGTAGTACCGAATACCGAAGGTGAATGCCTATTCAGCTACTAGGGCATTGCCAAGGGATATTGGATGCAGGCAGATTGGCGACAGGATCAATTTACGTAAACATCGCTATGTCTAGCCGAATTGAACGGCCGGGTGGCCAGGAATCACATTACGTTAGGCGGCGGGTGGATAACTAAAGACTTTGGTCCCACCGTCACCAATATTACGTCGAATCCATCCAGTATTATTTGATCTCAATACTTGATACTTTTAAACAGTCAATTTAGTAGATAGAAATAAAACTCTATACATCCTTATCACGAACCCTTTTAAAACTGTGTTTACTTGTGCATTATCATTAAGAAACTAGGTAGTATTGCCAAGTATATTTTATAAACTAGTGTCATACAAAAGATACTGAGCAGAAAATTGCGTGGTGCCCTCACGTCGGTTCGCGGTGTGGGGGCAAAGTAGGCCGTTTATGCCCTAGAAGGGCACGGATACTGACCTCGGCATATTGGACCCCGGTGTTTAGCCTCGGGCAACTCTCGTAAAAGGGAAGGGAAGCGCACCGAGACTACATGTTAGCTCACATCCCTAGGGATTGCTCGGGCCCGTCTTCAGAAGATCATATGATTCAGACCTCCGCTTAGTTATCTCCACCGCCCCACTGCCAAACTTCCACCTTTCTACATATCAATATAGCTAATTTCGTATATATTACATGTATTCAAAACTCTTGGCGGGCTTTGGGTCGCGAGTTTGGCGAGGTCTAATAGACCCGAGATAGCTCCGGGGTATGAGCCGACCTGTAACATCAAGCACACCACGGAAAAGTGAGCAAATCAAACCACGAAGAAGTGCTCCGCCAAGACGGTCGTCAACCGCCAAGGTGGTTGGCGTCTCTTTTCCGGAGGGAGATGGGACTCTCTCCCTTAACAAGTGCATAAAGCAGGATTACCATTAGAGAACTCTGGTTCAGTTGCACAAGCGTCAACGAATAGATCTCATGGGAGAACAGTACTAAAATCAGTGGCTGTACTCCGTCCTTATTAACAAGAAACAAAATGCAAGTCATTCTGTTTTGTTTCCCTTTCAATTGTACATATTTCACCTCCCATTTGCAGTTGTAGGCTATACTATGACCAAGTAATACATCTGCAGAGTTGTTAGATCTTCCCAATGACCAGTAAGAGGCGATATCTCGCTTGCTCCGGTATTTCCAGAGTCACCTGCGGCGGAAACCCACAAGGCGCTCGTTTGAAGTGGTTGCCTATACGCTATACTAGCGCTAAGAACAAAAAACTCAAACAGACCGGGGGCCGTTACCATTTGGACTAGGCCGGTACTTTGGGTATTGTAGAGCTGCGGGCAGCAAGTTAATACGAAGTTTGCAGAATATTTAAAGGACAGGCGTTCCTCCCTTCAAGATTCTATCTTCACCAAGCCCCGATTCTACCAAGAATACCTTATACAACCCCTCTATCCTAGTCGCAAATCAGCACTCTACCACTCAAGAACAACGACCCGTCTCCCGCCATCCAGAATGAAGTTTTCTCTCATTTCTCTCGTTGCCTTGGCAAGCGTGTTGTCTCCTGACACTGCATCTGCGCAACCTCTCGACAAAAGAGGAGGTAGCGTTGTCCTCACAGCCTACTACGATAATCAGATCGTTATAGGTGGTGGAGGCCCGGGACAGGTAAGCCGAGTCTCGTGTCATGACTAGCGACAAATCTAATTCACTCTTACAGAGCACTGTCAACACAATGCGGACCTGGTTCGAAATCAGCGTTGATGGTGAAAGGCCAAGGGAGATTGCCGGCAATAGTATCTCTGGGAAATGGCAGGTAATCCAATCTTCCAAGACCAAAACCCCTATGAATATAAGCTATAAGGCGAATTTCATGATTGGCAGCTTTCGTGGTTGCACCGCCAGCTACAACGGCAGGGAGACTGCCGGCACCCCAATGTCTGCAGGTGGTCACGCTGGCGGACAGGTCTCTGCTAAATGCGTTATGAAATTTGGCCTTTGAGGCAGATTATGCTCTACTTCTATTTTTGTTTTTCTTGATGCCTTCTTTCTGCAGGCTTTCTATAAACAGCATGTTGGCCTACCCAGATTCAATCAAGTCTTGCTTAGCCCCTCGCAACTGGTCTCTTTCTTCCTGTCTTATAGTTGTCTCATACGATACCTGGTGATGATGCGGTGGATGATATCTTTGCTTGTATAAACGTTGACATTGATTCGAAAGTTACGCCTGCACCTGTTTATACCGAGGAGGGCGATATTGAGAATGAGAGTTCTGGTATGGGTGGTAGCTGTGGTCCTGGTTCGAGCAGTCCTACTAGTGCTCGTGGGAGCGGAGTAGCTACTTAAGCGGATTATGTAGTTGGAGTGCTTTGAGACGCGAAGTAGGCTTTGGATTTTGGTTTCAAGTCAATGCATATTTATCCCAAGGTGCTGTGTTCCACGTTTTTGTATACTTCTGATTTGGTGCGGATACAGATCGCTCGGGTACCAGATAAAATCGAATCCAGTTTATTCAAGCAGAATCAATTCCACTATAATCACGGTCTCAACTACCCAGAGAGTTCATTATATCTCTCTCGGCCATTATCTCAAGCTCCTCCAGAAGTTGAATCTGATCCGCAGTCCCAATCTTGTGATGGTCCATGTATCGCATTATCCTTTCAATGCCCGTGATGACGGTTTGTGGCGAAGGCAAAAATTCACTGGCCGGAATAATGGTGAAAGCCTCATCCAGTTCCGCGGTCTGTGAGTCTGGGGAGGGCCATGATGCCTCATTCAACTGCTCGTCTCCGTCTTCTCCCAAAGGATCCAGAAATTGCTCCAGAGAAGTTGGTGGTTGACCACTTTGATTGTATTGAATCACGGCATTGTAGAGGTCGCGCATTCCGGGTACCTTGGGTGAAGCAAGAATACTCAGTTGCGGTTCGATGAGATTACTCCGTCTGAATCCTTTGAAGATCGTTGCGTTTGTGACGTCCCAGCGCCAAATTTGAGTGATCCAACTGAGCGTATAGTACAGACTCATAGTGTGGACGGGACTTTGACCAGCCTGGAAACCTGCAACCATGTATGAGAGGTAGCGTTTGCGGTAGTGTTGTTTCAGATTCCGGGTTATACCCTGGTTCAGAGGTGGCTTGACTCCACCGGCCTGCGCGGAGAAGATTTGGATGTGGACGTTTGCCGGCGGAGGAGTAGACTCGACAGCCGCCTGGTGGGCTTGAGAGTCGTCTAGTAAGAGTAGAACTCTTCTTTCACCGACGTGCTCGTAGAATGACAGCAGCCACTCCGACATGATGGTCGTAGAGATCCACGCCTTTTGGTTATAGCGCCACTGACAATCTATGGCTCGGAGATTGAGAAAGCGCAGCGGTTCGGGCGTTTCCTTGTGGCCGACCACCCAGAGCGGAAGTCGATCCCCTCCAGTGCAGTTCGTACACACGATCAAACAGACACGAGACCGTTCTTTATCGAGTGATGACTGGTCCTCGTTCTGGATAGCATCGAATGGGGCTTTTCGCCACAATAGGCCGGTTTCATCCATGCTGTAAATGTCTTCCTGCATGAATTCTCCACAAAATGCGCGCAGTCCGTTTAACTCCTTCCTGCTTTTTGACGGAGCTGCCAGATGTTCAACTTCCGTTCCATCGGGCACGCGACTGGCAAATCGGTTCTTAAACCTCGTCAGCCAGCCTTGGCTGAACATAGGCACGGGCTGATCATCTTGGTTGATCCGAGGCCATATTTCGCGTGCTTTAGCGATGATCCAATCGCCACTGACCGTTCGTCCGGCATCTTGCATTCGTTGAAGCCATTCAGATAGCTCTTTCTCAAGGACAGGCCATTGGGGGGTTTGCTTTCGCATGGCGGAGCTCACGGGCCCCGCATCGAGATGATCGTATCTCTTTGACAGGATGAGGGACACGCTGGATTGGTTGATGTGCCTTTGGTAGGTGCGTTCAAACCAGTCGATGCAGGCTGTATGCTTTGGTCGGGTTTCGTGGCTCCGAACCCAGTCGCGAAGGGCCTTTTTCTGGACGTCGGATATTCCGCCGCGTGATCTTGGGTGATTTGGAGTCCGAGAGACATTTGCCGGAGCTGGGGGTGATTCATCCATGGGATCCATAATAGACGATCGCGGGGTTTCGCCAGGAGCATAATTCGATTGAAGAAAAAAGACACGGCGCGGGCGCGTTGATCGGCGCGGTGATTGGCCTTATGTAGGTGGGACATTCACTCCGCGATCGCGCGTCTCTCACGCTTCGATACTCTCACTCATGGGGTTTCTCTCGTTTGCATCATAGTGGGCTGAAAATAAAATGGACGGGACTTGTCTTAATAAGTCCTCAAACAACACCCGTTACTTAGAACTGGGCTCGTAGCCCCCTGAAAGAGGTCCGCGATCTTGGATGTATTCCAGTGCAGGTTGTCTCGAACTCAGTGTCACCATTCTCAGCTGACCGAGAAAGATCTACAGCTTCTTGTACCTGTAGCCGATTGATCAACCAAGTAAGACCGGTGCTGGAGACTGCCAATCCATCTCCCGCGATCCTTGACCCCAATATGCCTTCACGGCATTCCTCGCCCCATCAACCACCTTCATATGATGCTTCTCCAAAAATTGATCGAAAATATGCATGATAACCGTGCGATCACTCGTCGACTTCGCAAGCTTCCCAACCACATACAGCGGCCAAGTCAAAGTAGCCATCGGTGTAGACAAAACGCAAACTCGAAGCACGCTGTCAAAAGCAGCCCGGTATATCTCTCGATCCCGATCTGTTACTCCGCTCGATCCAACATCCGACAGTATCGCGGTGCGAAGAACAAGTAGTCCGCAAAATCTATACGCCTGCGCGATTTGAACCATTGCCTCTAAGTATGCATCGGCAGATGGCGACGAGTCTATTGACCACGCTTCTAAGCCGGTAGCTAGTACCTCCGCCTCAAAAGTCATATCTTCGCCTTCTCTGGTCCGGCCGACGATGTCAGCCAGGCGGTGCATTAGTGGCCAAAGTCTGCCCGTGCAGCCGAAGACGGTGTCCGTTCTATCTGTAAAGTTTGGGCCGCGGTCACCGCTTATGAGAAGAGGTCTTTGGCCCATTGAGAGGGCAAGCATGACGTTGAAGTATTGGAATACTTTATGGAAGAATGCGAAGCATGGTGTATCCGGGGTGTCGCGCTGGTATTCTAGTAGGGACTTGGCGCCTTGTAAATGGCACCAAGCGTTGCTGGCGGAGTTTCCTAGTACGATCTAGTCATTTATTAGCATCGACATGCAGGACAGATATAGTAAGGTAAGGGTTTACCTCGTAGTATATGAGAAGTAAGCTCCCAGCAAGGCCATTCATACGTGATATCTCACCCAGCTCCGGACGGGATATCTCGACAGCTAGCAAGTGTAAGGCTTGGGAATGTAACTGCGTCGCCCTTTCATGAGACTCCGCACCAAGATGATGAAGATGCGCTGCGGCGACAGCTTCTACCGCGCGCTGAACCTGCTTCGAATTCAACACACGTGGCAGAACGTGAAGAAGAAATGGATTCGAAATCTCAAGCTGAGGAGAAGAAAATGTAATCAAGCTGATAATGATATTGTTAAAATGATACACAAGTCGAGTCTCCGTGCTGCTCGGTTGAGGGAGTAGCGAGGGCAGGGTAGGTGAGTTGGGATCTTGATGTTGTTGTATTCGTTGTCTGGTTTGAGAGTATTTAACCATTTTCCAGTCTGGGTAGCTGCATTCTACGCCTCGCGATATGCATATTTGACAGGCTGGGCGGGCCTCGTCGCACTTCTTGCGTCGTCTGCGACTGCATAACAAGTTAGCGTTGCCAAGACCCGTGGATGAGGGGAGGGACTCGTGCCAGTTCAAACAGCCCCATCTTGACCTTGTTCCTTGTCGTTGGGATTGCAGGGACCTTTGGTCGGTGAGATTTGTGTCTATCATGATTATCGGAGTGCAGGGACCATGCCGATTCTCCAGGGTCGATGCGGAGAACTACGCGACATCCGACGGGCACGTCATGTGATTGGCCTCGTATTCATATCTGTGGATAATGTGAGAGTGTATCATTTGGGTGGTAAGTCGTGCTCTCGCAGCAACTAAACTTTCATTGTACAGTGAAGCTAACAGCAGTTCAATGGTAAGATCCAGCGACAGTCATAATAATATCAACGGATGTTCCTTTAGTGAAGGTACAAGGTTCTTCATCACGAGATGTGATGTTGACGAACGTCAACTGGTTTGCTTCATCACAGTGGGAGGTGATGAAATCAATTTTGTCTGGTAGAACCTATATACGCTAGACTGTACGGATCAATGCTTCCAAGTATCTTTCCACCCGTTTCACGTCGTCCAATACAGCAATGACACCAATGTACCCATCGGGCCGAACAATAGCCAAAGCACCGTCAGTCGGGTTGACACCGTAAATACCGTAGACATCGTCCATCTCATATCCACTGTAGAACGACATTTCAGAGTATTGCTTGACATCTTGTGGGAGATCGTTCCACGTGAAGTCTCTATCAAGACGAGGGTGAACGACTACCTGCTCGAGCACCGACTGCGGGAAACGGGGAATGACTGCACCGAGCTGAGCCAGCGTCCGAGCAGAAGTACCATCAGGGTTCAGCAAATCCGACGATGTCAGACACAGAATGCGGAATCGGCCGGTAGATGCGAAATCTAGGTCAAGTCAGGTATATGTTGTTTCGAACGGAACAGATTTGCGACTTACCATCTTGCAGGTCACGAAGATAACCATCCGCATGACGGATCAGACGCACGTTCAATAGTCGTCGTCCGGGACGCAGAATGCCTGACAAATAATTGGTACCCTTGATTGGGTTATTGCCATCTTCTAGGTCTCGCACCACGGCCATATTGTCGGGATACTCAATCCCGCAACCACTGGTAAACCCATTGCCCCGGCTGAATACCTCGAGGAACTGATCATGAGTTAACCCTCCAACACCATCTTCCGACGCGCCAATCTTCCCGGAAAACATGGATGAAAAGTCTCGGTCAAATTCGATGAGTTGTTGTGCAATAGTGTGACGTTCGGTGTGGTATGTATCAAGGAGGGGATCCGGTGCTCCGTTGCTACCGCCGGGTGTGAGGCCATGGATGGCATAGGCCAGTTTCCAGGCCAGGTTGTAAGAGTCCATCATAGAGACATTCATGCCTTGTCCTGCCTAAAAGACCGTATTGTATTAGTATGATGTCAAAGTTATCACATTCGGAGGATTATCACCTTCGGACTATGTGTATGGCAAGCTGCAAAAGGACTTGTCAGCAATCAAGTATCCCATGAAATGAGGTAATTTCACATACCATCTCCCGCAATAAAAACACGATTCACACCCTTTGAATCCTTGACCGAGAAGTTATCGGTGACCCGCTGGCCGATCTGATAAGCCGCCCACCAGTCTACAGCTCCGTCTTTCTTCGGTCGAATATAGTACGGCTTTAATACCGCCGCTGCGTTGTCGAAGATGGTCTGTTGGGTTACCTGGCTCCGGCGAGCTCTGGCATCTGCTGTTGAAGGCGTCTTCTTGCTATCCGCAGTCTGTTGATCGCTGTCGGGATTCACATCCCCGGGCACTTGCACGTACAGTCGTGTCAAGTAATCGCCAGTCGCGATGCGCTCGCGAGGAATCACCATCACGGAGCCCGCCGGTGAGTGAATTGCGCAACGTCTCCTGATATCAGGGAAATCGGTGTCGACGACAAGATCGACGACGCCCCAAATGTGATCTAGGGATTCACCCTCAAGCTTAAGACCCATGCTGCGTCGAACGGCGGAATGTGCGCCGTCGGCTCCCACGAGATACTTTGTTCTCACATGGCGCTTTTGTCCTTCGGTCTCAATCTCTGCCAGCACTGGGAACTCCGAATCGCCTTCCTCATCAATCTTAACCTCGATAAGTTTGGTATTCCGCTGCACACCGCGCTTCGAATAGCGCAGCAAATCCGTTTCCAAAATCCGTTCAATTCGGCCTTGGTGAATTGTAACTTCGTGCGGGAAGCGAGCAGGGACAGCGACGTCCTGGACAATCGAGGTACGTTCAATGATTTTATCTTTATCGTTCGAAGGATTCCAAAATGCGACCTATGCTGTTAGTGAAGGCTCTCGTACCAGGTCAGGTAGACTCACCTGCCACATTTGACACCCTTCGGTAAGAATCTCATCCGCCAAACCTAGCGACTTCAGCGTCTCAAGTGTGCGTGGCTGAAGTCCATCGGCTTGGCCAGACTTCAGTGTTGTAGGCTTGGAGTCTACGCACAGCAGTGACTTGTCACTCAGTCCGTATCGGGAGAGAAGAAGCTCCAGCATAAGCCCTGCAGGCCCGGCGCCCACGATGACGACTTCATATTTTTCCGTTGTGCTGGCCGAGGGTTGTGGAGCTAGACGTGGCAGCGGGGGAGCGAAGGAGGGGAGAACGCGAAGCTCGCGCGACGCGGCGGAATACTCCGTGAAGACCGGCATGTGGGATAATAGCGAGCGCGGCTCTCAGGGTTCGATTGAGATTTCGCAGTCAACGGTCCTGATCTTGAGGGTGACAATTTAGATTTATAGCTAGAAGTTCCAAGGTCGGCGACGTGTTGAATGGGTCAGAATTGACTCCATCGCGGGCAACATTGGATTGCGGGAAATGGGGAGTGCTGTCTATGCGCTTAGATTGTATTCTGGACTGGATCTTGTGGATCATCTCACGCGAAGAGCCAGTGGGAAGAGGACGCCGATTGCTAGACGTTCGACTTTTGTGGATTTGTGAGATTCTGGTAATCAGTGGTCATGCTGTTCAACCGGGAATTTTCCGAGACCGCGGAACTCGTATTTAGAATGCGCCACCATTTCCCGCGTTAAGTAAACTCAGAATAAGACTCGGTATCATTCTCAACGGATCCGATCTCATCAGTAAGCGATATGTCATGATCAGTATATTTCTCCATCGGCTAGTGCTAGTAACCCGATCCTGTGCTCTCGAAATATAACCGTTTGTATTACTAGCGAAATTCCGCTAATCTTGGAAGCTGATAAAAAGGCGCCGAAACCTTCCTACATGTACCCTCGAATGGACTACATATATGATCGATTGGAGAGGATTGAATGAGGGTCTTGGACCAAAAACACCTTTGTTTGATGGTACCGGTTTCATGTTGGTAACTGCCTGGTTTTCACGTCGCGCAACCGTTCATCGAAGGCGTCCGTCCCCAAGGCATGTATACCACAAATCCACAGTGTTCCTAGACCTTTCTCTATTTACTAGTCCAAAAATAGACAAAGAGGCTCATAACAGCAAAATCTATTTTGGGAGCCTTCTCCTCTGCAGGCAGCGCAGTATTGTATTTGGGGGCCGGTGCTGGGGCCCTGTGCATCAGCATCGCCACGCCAATCGAATCCACATTTGGTGCACCCCTTCAACAAAACCGCAGAAGCTCACCACAATCTCGTACATGGGAGGATCAATTGCCCGAAGAGGCACAGGGGGCTCCAAAGGACGGACTCTCTCCAGGCATCTGGCTTGAGATCATATTTCTATGTGCGACCACAATATTTCTGCCTTGCGTGTGGCCTGCCCCCCCCAAAGGTTGGTATTTAACAGCAATAGCCTTCCCAATTACGATCATTTCAAATAACTTCACCATTCTTCAGGAATAACCATAAGCAGAATCAATATGTCTTTCCACAGGCAACAAACTCCTGATTTTGAGTCGAACCAAGGTCAATATGGTAAGAACCGACCCATCACGAAACAATCTACAATCTTCTCACCCAGTTTCCAGAGCTTCAAACAAGAAGCGGGATGGCGATAACACTCGCCAAGCGCCGCGAGATCGAAAATCAACTCAGCGATGTCACGACCAAGCAGGCTGAACTCCGGCCGGCCCAGCAAGCGCTTCTTAACTCAACCACTTTAACCGAGGACTATCAACATCGTCTCAAGATGGAATCCATTGGAAGCGAGATTATGGACGACTTTAGTCGTGCTTGTAATATGCTCGCCGAGCTTAAACGCAAGGCCAATCCCGACGACCAGCGCGTCCAAACGCAGATCCAATACATCAGCGACAAGATCAGACAGGACATTGAAGGGTACAGAATATTGCAGAGTGATTTCGATCGTCAAATGCGGTCGCAGGTCCGCCGGCGATATGAGATTGCACATGAGGATGCTACGTCCCAGGAAGTTGATCAGGGTGTGGAGAATGTGATTTTTGGACAGGAAGAGGTATTCAGCGTACGTTTGTCTTTTCAAAGTCTGAAGACTATTTTCTGACACACTACCAGGTTCAAGGCATGCGAAGCGAGCAGGCCAGTGACGCTCGTGCTGCTGTTATGCAGAGATCAGCAGCCATTCGCAAGGTCGAGCAGGACCTGATTACTCTCGCGGAGCTGTCACAAGAAGTCGCTGCTCTTGTTCAGCAGCAAGAGTATGCTGTTGTTGATATCGAAAGAGGGGCAGATGAGACGCATAAAAACTTTCAACAAGCGAATGACCACTTGGATAAGGGAATTAAAAGTGTGCGCAACGCTAGGAAATGGAAGTGGTGGGCTCTCTTTATTTGCCGTGAGTATACATCGCGCCGTTTCGAGTCATTTACTAATTGATTACTAGTTCTCATCGTGATAATAGCTGTAGTTGCGGCAGTTACAGTGTGCGAAGTCAACCATTGTGGGGCCCACTGATGATAATCGAGAAATGTGTCCGGCGGTTAATGTAGGAATGAAAGTAATGTCTAATTTGATTTAAAAAAACTGTCAAGAGTATCACTCATTGGAGGTTCTATTCTGTTAACCTGATAAAGTGGGTTGAGAAATATCTCCCCGGTGTAGCTCTACCAGTACTGCGGAATAGCGGCACGGTTTCCACGTCGGCCGTGTTGAACCGAGCTCGCGAATTCCGCACTCTCATCGCCTCCACACAATCGATTACAAAGACAATAACTTGGCAAAATCTTCAAGACGGCTTAGCAGTGGATCATATTTCCGAACTCCGCAGTAGAATGTGCGTTAGCGCGAGGACTAGGCCACTGACGGATATAAACAGCATCCGAGTCATACGAAATGTACGACGCATCGAATGGGGGGCCGAACCGATGCAACGCCATTCCCCATAAATCCGGTTTGCTACGACACGGGAGGCTCCCCCGCGTTGGACCCTGTGTGGAGCACCGTAATGGGGGATTCCCGGTCAACCAGTCGCATAAAGCGGCCTATTCATTTTCCGCCCCTCTTCTGCCCGCTCGTGACGATCGTGGAAACTATCGATCCGGAATGACAGAACATTGCGTCTGTTTGACTTTAGTGGATCGGGCGACGGGGGATTTTCCGCTCTTTATGTAGGCTTGAGGTCTTTAGATCGGGGAGGAATGGTATGACATTTGTTGATTTTCTGGTCATTAACCTAATTTAGACCCAAACTAAAACCAATTCAGCGCATGCAATTTACCGAAGCCTGAGCCGGGAAACTTTCTAAAGTGTAGGTTTTGGAAGCGGTTAGGTGTTTTATAAACTCGTGAGGCATCCCCGCCTAGTAGTTAATATAAAGACCTGCCGGGGCCGAACAGGACGTTACATATAATTGCTAGAGAGCCCCCTGTTCCCGGTACCTTTATCCTACTCTCTAGTATCCCGTCTGATTGGTCCAAAATGAAACGTCTGTCCCGTGTCTTCAGCGGCAGCCCCAGGCCTATGCCGCTGGCAGAGCCCAAGGAGAAAGTGCAGGCACCCACCGCAAAAAAAGCCATCTTACCAGAGCTTAAGTTTGCCATTGAAGAGCGATCTATCGATGAAGCGCGGCCGTTGAGAGTCGTTATCATCGGTGCCGGAATTTCCGGTATCATCGCTTGTATTCGATTTGTCCAGAGGATTCCCAACCTCGACCTGTGCATATACGACAAGAACGCAGATATTGGAGGGACCTGGTTTGAGAACAGATACCCAGGATGCGCGTGTGGTAAGCTTACTTGCTGCTCAAACTCGTCGGAAGGCTCGTTATTAAAATAGTCTTCATCACTAGATATTCCCGCGCATACATACCAAGCTACTTTCGAGCCGAACAAAGACTGGTCTCAATTCTACGCGGGTGCACCCGAGATTCACCGGTATTGGAAGCGTGTTGCCGACAAATACGGTTGTATGAAGTACATAAAGTTGAAGCAGCAAGTCTCAGAAGCAGCGTGGAACGAAAACAGTTCCAAATGGGAAATACAGGTAAGCCAGCCATTTATCTGCGAGTTGGAACAGAGTTAACGCAGGCGACACTAGGTGCGAGATGTGGATACTGGTTCTGTTCAAAGTGACCAGTGTGACATCCTTATCCAGGGTACCGGCGCGTTGAATAATTGGAAGTGGCCGAGCATCCCAGGTCTGCACGACTTCAAGGGCAAGCGTTTGCACAGTGCCGTTTGGGATGAGGAGTATGATTACGCAGTAAGTTCGAGACTATATTCCCATGTCAAGTCTGAACTAACGCTCTCGGAAGAACAAAAACGTCGCAGTCATCGGCAATGGATCAAGCGGTATTCAGATTGTACCTGGTATATTGCCCAAGGTCACACACATTGATCACTATGTTCGTAGCCGGACTTGGATCTCTCCCACTTTTGCGAGAGAGCAAGTCGACAAGCGTGGGCAGGGGTTAGAAAACTGTAAGTTTACTACCCAGGTCCCTGAGGGCATACGATTCTCTAAAACTGGATGTTTAGTTCAGTTCACCCCGGAGGAAATCGAGGAATTCAAGAAGGATCATTCCAAATATCAGGCATTCCGCAAAGGTAAGAAATTCACTCCGCGATCTCCAATGACCACGAAAACTTATGCATTGGAAAGAGGTGGAGCTAGCATTGCAATCAATCCATGGCAGCACGCTGATGGGAGACCCCATGCAAATTGATGCTCATGGTATCTTTGTTGAGAACATGAGGCGCCGACTGGTGAACAAGCCGGAGCTCCTCGACGGGCTTGTTCCATCTTTCCCACCTGCATGCCGGCGTTTGACGCCGGGCCCCGGCTATCTCGAGGCTTTGACGGATGAAAAGGTGGACGTCATCAGGTCCGATATCGTCAAGGTCGACGAGACTGGAATCGTGACCGCGGATGGACAACACAGGGAAGTCGATGCAATTGTTTGCGCCACCGGATTTGATACGACGTGCACTCCACGATTCCCCATCAAAGGGCGGAATGGACTCACTCTGGAAAAGCACTGGGAAAAGACCCCTGAGACGTACATCTCAATTGCCACCAACGAGTTCCCCAACTATTTCATTTCTCTCGGACCCAATGCCGGTCTCGGCGAGGGAAATCTGTTGTTGCTGATCGAGAAAGGGGTTGATTATATGACGGAGTGCGTACGCAAGATCCAGCGCGATAATATTCGCACCATGGCTGTAAAGGAGGATGCTGTCAAACGATTTACCCAATATTGCGATCAGTATTTCGCAAAGACCGTGTTCGGTGCCAAGTGTCGCAGCTGGTACAAGGGCGGCACGGAAGATGGTCGCATTGTTGCCCTTTGGCCTGGTATGTGATCCATGTAGTTTCCCCCTAGTTGACAAAGCTAACTCGAGTAGGATCCTCCCTGCATGCCATGAAGGTGTTTGCGAATCCACGTTGGGAAGATTTTGACTATGAATATGTCAACGATAATCCAACGGGCTGGTTTGGCGATGGATGGACGGAGAAGGAGAAGAACAAAATGATCGACGTGGACTACTTAGATGACGATCAGATTGATTTCCCTCCTCCTGTGAAGGTATGAAGGTTTGGTACATAGATAGGAGTCAAGTGAGCAACAATACAAATATGCGATGCACTTGGCAACGACCCCTCAGCGTAATTAAAACGAACCCAAAGGCGTCCCGGTGCAGTGGAACCAGTCGGATCAAGGCCGCAGATGGTGATATCATCGTGTTACCATACAATACACGTATGTAATTATGAGTTGTACAACCCTACGATGATAATAGGGAGGGGTACGTCAGCTCCCTCCATCGGCGGGATTACCAATACCACAGGCGCTCTTCCTTCCCAAACTCGATCCTCGCTCTTGTTACCCCGGATCTCCCCTCCTCCCCGGTGGACCACCATGAAGCCCGCCGACAAGCACTTTCGCTGCACTATATGCGAGCGGGCCTTTACACGCATTGATCATTTGAAGAGACATCATCTGCGACGTACGTGCCCCGCCTAGGAGGTCCCACGAGCTAGCTTCTAATGCCAAGTCTGCGACAGATTCCGGTCAAAAGCCCTACTCATGCGTGTTCTGCAACGAGGCCTTTGCGCGCTGGTACGTGCACGTCCCTCACCTCCTTTTCAGACCTCGACTTACCCCCTGGCTATTACTAGTGATAACCTTCGCGACCACTATGCCGATTGTGCCCAACGCGGGGACCGCAAAATACCCGAGACGGGCCAGAGAGGCCGCCGGAGACATGCATGCCAATCGGTTAGTCGCGCACCCCACTCCTGTTGCGATGCATGTCTTGCTTACATTGATATTTCCTTAGTGCACCTCCATGAAGCTTCGTTGCGACGGTAGCAGTCCTTGTGGGTCTTGCGTGAAGAGAGGACTCGATTGCAACAATGAACGATCTACGCAACTAAGATTATCTGGGTTGGATGATGGTATGGAGACCAGGAAATTAAAATGAAGGACCGGGACTGATCATGATCAGAATCGTCGCCGACCAAATCCGAGATATTCGACCAGCCGTCAGATCGCGGATCGATCAAGTTCCTTCTTAATGGCGGTACCGATAGCTTTACCGAACAGTTCCGACTACCTCCACGTGACGATCGCGCACGAGGTTTGGTATACCATAACCAGACTGGCTTAGAGGAGGCTGCAGCAGGGGATGTCTTTCCCTACACCGTACAGAACAATCGACCAGACTACACGCCAACTCTCGTCGATTTCGACCCCTCGTCGCTTCAATTTTTCCAAAACACATTCCTCGACTTTTTCAATGGGCCTTTTGGAGATGGCCAAAAATCAGCGGAGGACCCTTTTACCGGGCAAATTACATACGAAACCGCCATTCCTGACCAAAGTCCTAAACTGACTCTTTCGCCAGAGCAGACAACTTTAGAACCCGAGCAGCCATTTGCAATGGCTTTAGTTCAGTCAATTCTGGCTCGAGCCTGGACTGTCCCATTGGATGCTAAGTCCCAAGAGGAAATATCTTCCAATCTTAATTTCCTGTTGACGACTGCACGCATACGGAAATTCGTCGCGTTGTATTTCAAGTACTGGCAACCAAGCTGCCCCCAGATTCATCAGCCCTCGTTTGATCCTGAAACGGTCGCAATACCACTACTTGCATCCGTGGTGTTTATGGGAGCTATGTACAGCAGCGACCAAAGGGAAGCCTACGTCGCGAAGCGGATACTCGACTTTGCTGAGCTGTACATCTTTTCAAGTCATCTTTATTCACCAGAAAGCGAGGTCGCTACGGAATTCACTGGAAGTCGAAGCTCCGATGATGAGTCTAGTGACTGGGCCAAATTCCAAAACTTCCAAGCAGGCTTCATCATAACAGTGGTCCAATACTGGGCTGGAAGTCGTCCATCTCGAAATCGGGCGATGGAGAACCGCTTCAGTGAAGTTGTCAAAGTTGCTCGTCGGTTGAGTCTCACGAAGTGCCGACATACCCCGCAGGAGCAACTAGAGCACCAATGGATTCAAACAGAGTGTCGCATACGGTATGTATCGAAGACTACCCAAACAGCTCCACTGCTAAAACCCGACAGAACTATTAGTATTGTTTCATTGCTCGACTGTGCATTCTTCTTCTATCAGAATTACCCGTGTCGTTTGACCCACTCTGAGATGGAATCCGAACTTCCCTGCGAAGGGGCTATTTTCGAGGCTGAGCATCCGTTCTCCGAGCCCAACTTCCAGTTCACCCGCGATATCACACTATACGGGGCTTTCCAGAATCTCTTCGACCCTTCGTACGAGGCAGGGCAGTCTTCTAATCCCAGTCAAATCAGTTTGACGGTCTTGGATATGTTCATGTTAATCCACGGTATGTTCTTACAAATATGTTTGTCTTGTTCACTTCACTCACAAAGTATCAAGTTCTCTTCGCTTTCATAAATACTCACATGGCACTCGTCGGACTCCTGAAACGCCAGGCCAGCACAATCCAAGCCTTGCAGAGCTCAATCGAAAGCGTTAGAGTCAAGAGTACTATCCCCGAAGATTCCTTGCTTGGCTCCATCAGGATAGCCCTGAATCGGTGGCGAGATCATTGGGTCGCCTTGAGGAATAAAGTCTCAAGTGACGAATGGGCCTCGATGGGCTTCTACAAGAACGGGTATAATTTCTGGTTGGTTTCGCAGCTGCTTATCACCAAGAAAGATGCTGTCGATGTCATTATGCAGTTGGAGGTTCATTGCGAGGATAAGCTGGAGAGGCTTAAGGTGCTTCTTCTGGATGAGCAGGATTAGCCCCGAAGGGAGTTGCGGTAGAAAGTGGTGGAACATTTCTTGTTAGGCGTTTCGGTGGTTCTTTGTGGTGTTCTGGTTCTTCCCCCATGGCTGGCTAGAGGGTCGGCGTCGGCAATTTCTGATATCCTGGTCTGCTTTGCTGTTATCATTACGCTACGGGACTTTTCGCATCCCCCTTATGTATATTCTGTCAGGTGCTCCTAGTGTTCACAGAATGAACCTTTGAGTCTCTGTTGACACTCAACACTGCATTCGAATATTATATCTATGCATATCCAAGGCTCCAGAATGTCTCTATGTTCTTACCAGTATCCTCATCAACGTACGCCGGCGGCTCAGCAAGTGTAACATGCTCTCCATGCAGCTCCGCAACCCTCCCTGTCAGTGTCTCATCTCCGACAAGCTGTGCAACAGCTTTTGCCGCCGTTGACATGGGTGTGAGAATCATCGACTTGAACAATTCTTTGCTTGGTGCTATGTTTGTGGCTATCAAGTCCTTGTTAACATTCACCCATAAGCTATTGATGTAAATGTGCAACATACCAATTACCGCCGGAGCCAATGCGTTGATCCTGATGCTCTGTGCTTCTAACGGGCGAGCTAGGGACCGCACGAGTCCAATGACACCATGCTTTGTCGCTGAATAAATCGGTGCCATAGGGAAAGGATATAATCCCGCATTTGAGGCAGTACAAACGATCAACCCCTTCGAAGAACCTGAAAGATAGTTCTTGGCCATATAATGGATAGCGAGTTGTACAGCTGGCATCATGCCCCAATCAGTATTAATGATTCACCGCATTGAAAAGCCCAGACTTACAGTATATAACCCCAACAAAATTCACATTCACAGTCGCCAGATTCGGCTTTGTCGGTCCTTTGCTGCTATCCACATTCTCGGGCAGGAGAGTACCCTTCTCCGTGATACCCGCGTTGGCGAAAACAACGTCAATCCGGCCTTGCTGTTCATATATTCTTTCAAAAACCGCGGCTTGGCTTTCCCACGATGAGACATCACAGGACTCGAACGAGACTCCAGCCGATGGGAATTCACTGCGGAGCTGGTCCAGTGTTTGGGCGCCCGTCGTAGGATTCACATCCAGAATGGTGATGTGAGTATTTGGCTCGCTGATGAAGTGTCGGGTTATGCCCAGCCCAATGCCGGAGGCTCCTCCTATTCAACAGTTAACGATGATGCTCTGAGTATTCCCTAGTTCATATTATTTCTTACCCGTGACGATAATGCTTCTCTTGGGTGACATGTTTCAATGACTCAAACAGTATAGGGTGGTCAAAACACGAGCTCAGCTATAATCCGCTGGCTATGAACTCATCGCATGGACGTTCCCAATGGTTTTGGCACCTACCCCTCCTTTTCCCGTGTGATTCCCCACAACTGAGTGGAGGATACTTCGCTGGGGTATTTCCGGTCACTGCGGAGCTCAGATGATTGCTACGCTTGGCAATGGACATTCGAGCGTTTTTTAACAACCAATCGGAAATTTCGAATATTCTTATGTCGGATTGAACCCGTCTCGTCTTGAAGTTTAAACCAATACCGGGTGGTTATACGAGGAAATCGACGCCGTGGTGTTCCAGGCTTTGATCCCCGCATGTTAAAGCAGCCGATCGGGCGGAATTATCCCTCGCTGTCATGATCGAAGGGCGGAATATAGGCCACCGGCCAATATCATTTCTAAGGGGCAAGTGTCATGTAATATCCAAGTACATCTAGGTAAAACAATTGCTAAGTCCAAATCAAAAACTAACATTCGTTGGTCCTGAAATAATAGAGATTGCAAAATTCGGCAGCCTCAAGGACTATATCCCCAGCTCCAATACGTTGCTTGAACGGTTGAGACTTGACGTGGGCGAGAAAAGATCATTTGATTCGCGACAGTTACTCTGGATAGTGGCCAAAGGCAAACTACGGACATAGCCTAAATTACTTCTCCGCATTTATAAATCCGGCTTTCTCTGCGACTGTCATTGGCTACTCCGAACATCCCCAGTTGGATTTCTTGGCTCTAGTTGATAAAAGAGTCACTAGACTCAAGCCATGGAGGTTGGGAAGTCAAAATGTTCAAGATGGAAAAAAAAATGAAACTTTCAGTGGCAGTCCAGATTCATGGGACCACTTTAGATTCGGCGAAACCCCCGTGGGGAACCCCATATTCTGACTTCAGTTCTCCATAATGGGGCCCATTAGCCCCATCTCGCTATACAACGCCACTGCTTGTCATGAATGATTTGGTTTGGGTGAACAAGCCACGATAGATGCGTTTCTTTGGCAGTAAGAATGCTTAATATCAACACGAGTGCCAAATCAAATGTTCAAGAGGCTCTTGTCTATATCAATACCCGGTCGCCGTACAGGAATTGAGCCAATCCGCCATTTGATCGAGTCGTGAAGCTAGTCTCCTGGGATCAGCATTTTACTAGCTCAATTCTATTTCTTGCACCATCTCCAAGTCCCCCTCTTCACACACCTTCGAGCGCAACACACTCGTCATCCCTGAAGATGCCTTTTGGGATCCTAGACGACGACAAGCTAGAACATATTCCGGGAACGGCTCCCCTGAACAGCCTCTCAGATACCAGTTCATACTCGGGCGTAGACCCAGGTCTTCTCAAACATGACCCCACTGGCCAGATCGTGCTCGTCCCTCAACCCTCCGACTCTCCCAATGACCCACTGAACTGGTCCCGCAGCAAGAAGGAAATGTTCACTGTCGCATATGGCTGGGGCTGCGGTTGTGTAGGAGGTAATACCCATTCCTGAAGCATTTGCATCTCTACTCAACCCGGCGATCGGATGGCTAATTGATTCTAGCCGTTGGTCCACTTCTCGGTGGTGCATTCGTCCCTCTCGCCGCAGAATTCGGCGTCTCGCTGACGACATTCGTCTCTGCTGTACAGGGTGGCACAATCGCAGCCATCGCCGTTGGAAGTCTGATATTCAACTCTTTGGCTGTCAAATACGGAAAGCGACCTGTTTATCTTGGAACCACTGTTGGCTTGATGGTGTCCTGCTTTTGGGCGGCAGGAGCAAAAAGTTTCGAATCGTTCGTTGCTGCGCGGGTGCTATGTGGCCTCTGTATGGCACCAATGGAAGCCTTGGTTCCTGCGTCAATCTCGGATATCTGGTAAGAGTGGATTTGTGCTTTCATTTCGTTTGGGTGCTGACCTATTGCGTCAGGTTTGTCCACGAGCGTGGTTACCGGACGGCAATCTTCAACCTAGGTGTCTTGGGCGGGATTAATCTTGCATTACCGATCGGTAAGTTGATCTCCTAATTCTCAATAGATTGTGCTGAGAATTTTCAATAGCCGCTGCAGTCATTGAGTATGGATCCTATCATGATGCGCTGTATGCTATGGGCGGTGCCTTTGCTCTGACTCTCATCCTCGTTTTCTTCTGGATGCCCGAGTCCGCTTACACAAGAGAGGCTTTCAATATCGATACTGCGGATACAAACGTAAGTGCTACGGTCTCGTATATTCTCCAATGTGCTAACTCTTCTAGATCATACTGGATGGGAAGAGAAGCCTGGAGCAAGTTGAATACTCCCCCGATGCTGAATCTCGAACCACCGAAAGGGCAAAATCCTGGACGAAGGAACTCATGCCTTACAGTGGTTATGTCAACCATGTTTCATTCTGGAATACACTTATTCGCCCATTTTATCTCTTGGCATCACCAGCTGTGCTTTGGGCTGTTCTATTGTTTACCACCTGCATCTCATGGCTGGTCGGCATTTCTCTCACGCTCTCTCAAATTTTCTCCGCTCCGCCATACAACTTTTCTGTCGTCGGTGTCGGTGCAACAAATCTTTCATCATTCGTTGCATCTGTCCTTGGTACTGTGATCGCGGGACCTTTGATTGACGGTTTGGTTACAAGAATGTCTAAGAAGAACGGTGGTATATTTGGTATGATCTGCGCAACTCTTTTTCAAGGAGCGTGCTAACTTCCATATAGAACCGGAATTCCGTCTCCCTATCATGGCCACATACCTCCTATTTACCTCAACAGGATTCTTCGCCTGGGGGCAATCGTCATACGCACAGGATCCGTGGCCGGTGCCCGTTATCGTGTGCCTGGGACTCATCAACTTCGGCGTCCAACTAGGAACCACCGGCGTCGTCACATATGTTGCTGATTGTCACCGAGAGAAGGCTGGTGAAGCTTTTGCGACTATGAATTTTGTCAAGAATATGTTCGCATTTGGGCTGTCGTTCTACATCAATGGCTGGATCGATACCCAGGGTATTCGCAACTGCTTCTTTACTATCGGCGGTATCACGGTAGGTGTTACACTGTTTACAATTCCAATGTGAGTCCTCCTCAGTTTAGGATTTGTTTCATTCAGAGTCTAACGCCTTCAAGGTACATTTTCGGCAAACGCGCCCGCAGTTGGGTTCATCGTCATGGAATCGCTGATCGACTATAAACGCCAATTCCAATCGTCGCTCGAAGATAGTCAAGGTATTTGTCCATTTATATAGTCATCCCGAACTTGAACAAATCTCGTTCAATAATATCCGCTCTCTTGCTCTCCATTTCTTCCATGTTCCAGTTACTCGAAACGTAGCGAGCGTTCAACCAGTCGTGTCACTCCTTCATCAACCACACGATGGCATCAGCTGGAAGAGTCAGTTCATCAACCAATGCGCCATGTCAATATTGCAAGAAATTGTATCGCATATCAGACTTTACCCCAGCCAGATGCACTAAAATAGCGATAAGGTTCTGCTCTTCATAATCTTTGGCCAAGAACTTCGACACTAGGTACGACGACCTGCTCAACAAAAAATAACATCATCCTAGGCGGCAGCTACGGTGGTATATCAATAGCCCATGACCTCCTCAAACATGCAATACCTCAATTCCCAAATCTAGGATTCTACCAGATAATCCTAGTCATGCGTCTGCAGAAGTTCTATGCCGCCCCGACTGCCCGCAAGCTATGACCTCAGACGATCTATTTCCCAAGACAAGCTCTTCATTTCTATTCCTGAGATATTCAAACAAGACTCGCCAGAAAAACTTTCCATTCGAACATGGCATGGCTATCAAGCTAGATCACGCAAACGAAGCCGTGATAACCAGGTCTGTGGTAGACCAAAGCGAGAAGACCATAAAATACCACGCTCTTATTATTGCCACGGGCTCGTCAACACCATCTCCACTTCTGGGTCTTAACTCCAACGCAGATACTCTTCGTGCAGACTAAGCCTCTTTTCGCCAAAAACTACCCGAAGCAAAGAGCATAATCGTTGCCGGCGGTGGCCCTGCAGGAATTGAAACCCCCGGTGAACTAGGCGAGCACCTGAACGGAACACTTGGGTGGCTGAGTCGCAGACTCGATAATGGCAAGGTGCAAATTACCGTCGTTACATCGGCCTCCAAGATTCTGCCTGTACTGAGACCCAGCATCACTAAGAAGCCGGAGGATTTTCTCGCGCGGGTGTGTATTACTGAGTTAAAGGATGCCAGAGTCACGAGTGTGCAGCCTCTTCAGTCGGGGAGCGAAGATGCATTGGGGACTAAGACGACAGTAACCCTTAGCGATGGGCGTGTTCTCGAAGCCGATATCTACATCCCTGCTACCGGAACAACTCCTAGTATTGGGTTCCTGGACAGGTCACTACTGGTCTCTGACGGACGCATGGATGCTAACAAGGGTACATTGAGGGTAGAGAAAGCCGGGGAACGAGTCTACGCTATCGGCGACGTGGCATCATACGCACGGGCAGCAGTGCATGCCATCTTGAGCGCCATCCCGGCTCTATGTGCTAATGTTAGGCGCGATTTACTGCTTGCCGAATGGATTGTTCCTGATTGGGATGATCATGTGTTTGTCGAAGATACTCGGGAGACACGGCTTGTTCCGATTGGGCAGGGTTGGGGTGTGGGTGCTGCCATGGGGTGGCAGTTGCCTGGTTTCTTTGTTTGATTGCTCAAGGGTCGGGATTACTGGTTTTGGACGACGGGTGCGTTGTGGATTGGGAGTCAGTGGGCCAAGGGGGTCGTGATGGGTGTTGGGTGAAGTGCTTGTGGGATTGAAATTTGGCTTTGGTTCCGCATTTGAGGGTAATGGGCTTCCTTGGTGTGGGCTCTTGGGGTTTAGTTTTTTCTCCTGATAGCGATAATGGCACCATGGATGCCGGGTGGTTAGTTCCTAGATCGGAAATGAAGGCAGTTAGATATAACCACAAGTTTGAAGGAAAACGGATTCGATCAAAACACTATTGTCATCAAAGTCACATCAGAAAGTAAACATGCTCCCGAACGCCGCGCTGAATAGTGCTTAAAAGTTGCAGTATACAATTTGAACACGATGCAAAAGGGGATGTAACTCAGTCTCAGTCGTCGGAAGATTAGTATGGTAAGTCGAGTTCGTCAGAAACTGGGTTCTTACTCAGCCTGGCTGGGCATTCATCCTGATGCAGGAATGGTCACCGTGCTGTTCACTATCAGTGTGAACAGCATCAGCCCAGGAAGACTGTATCGGAGTTAGTATCTAGTGATCAACATAAGAATGTAGGCTCTCACCTTCCCATCCCCATTCTCCCATAACATTAACCCAATGTAATCTGCTTCGAACAGTTCTCTCGAACTCGATGTTTTCCAACGGCGAGCGAGCCGAGCTTCGTATTTGAGATCCACTCGTCGAACTCGTAGAGCCAGATCGGCCATGCATAGATCTGTCACGATCGGTAGAATTTACCCGGCCATGAAGTGTGCGCGGCATGGCATCCGGTGACCGCATAGCTGAGTTGGCTTTGCCTTCACTCGACAAAGACCCAGGCCTTCGCGGGGGCGCAAAGTCCTGTTGTTCCTTCTCCGCCCTTAGTGCATCTCGCCGAGCCCAGACTTCTCGCAAGACATCAAGACAACGATCCACGCCTCCCAGCATCAGGCGGGACTGAACGGTATTCCACCGATCCAGAACCCATTCTCGGTCATCCTCTCCGTCAACTTCGGCTCCAGCAGCTAGAAGAGGGAACATCTGGATGATTGTTGTACGAGATGTTGGAGGTACGGTTGCCAATAGAATTAATACGCGCTTGGCAAGTTCTTCGGCTGGCTCAGATGGCATTTCGGGGACGGCTTGGTGGAGATATAGTAATGTCGCCCAGCGATAAGCGTGCGCCATCTGAATACTGTGTTGAACCTCCGAAGTGGGGTCTTCAGGTGGCTCGAACCAGCGTGGCAGCTCCCATTGTTCGATCAGAGACTTCAGTTCCATTCCTTGTGACACAATCAATAACGAGTTTGTCGTTGTCTTTCGTACTCGCTGGACTAGCCTCGCTACCCGACCGATAAGTGGAAACAGTGTAGCTGCACAACCCATCAAGGGATCGATCTCATGGATTGCATCGCCGGGAAGCTGGAAGATAGACGGATTCAAATCTTGGGGACCAGATTCATCCAAGGAAGTGAGTCGTGCAATGACGTCCATGTATGTCCACGTATTGTACAAGAACCGAATGCGATCCAGCTCATCTGCACTCAAGCCATCCTGAAGCCCAGCATTGAGCACCTGCAGCATCAAAGCCTTGGCACCACGCAAATGCTGGATACATGTGCGGGTGTTCTGGTCCCAGGTATCGGCAAAGGCCAACGCTAAACTGGTCGCGAGCGCGGTATCCGCTCGCATACTCTGGATTTGTTGCCTCAAGCATGTAATACTCTGTCGCATGTGTTTCACGCCTTGGACGCGCAGAGACGGATTTTCTTTGGCTGCGTGAAAGGCGGACAAAGCAAAGATTGCATGGTACAAAGCGGGTGTACTTTTGGCAAGGGGCCAGATGAGTGTACGCCATGGGTTCTCTGTCACGCCATCTTTGATTGATAAAATTCCACAGGTGAGGTTATCGAAATGCAACGCCAACATTTCTTCACTCTCCGGTGCCAGTGAGGGCTGGTCCGGAAGGCGAGAAAGATCGAAAGAGCCGCCATCCTGGCCGGGGAATGTCAAATTCCATGGCCCGGCACCGGGATCAGACTGCCTGATGATCTCTTCAATGTCTTCATTATCTTCGTCTAGTAACTGGGAAAAGCTGAGAGACCCAGGAGTATTTGGCAAATCCGGTCCGAGCTGCATTGGCCCTGAACCGTTCTCCAGGCCTTGGTCTGGAAACAGTTCATCGGAGAATGGAATAGAATGTTGATAAAGTTCAAGGAAAGAAAGAAAGTTTAAGGAATCATCGGCGGGCATAGATACCCCCATGGGGGTAGCCGCCTCTTCGCCGGTGGTGGGTTCATCCCGAAGAACACCGAAGTCATCGAGAGAATGGGTGTCAGCAGACAGATAGCTCTTGATGCTGGAAGGGGAGCTATGAAAAGAAGACTCCGGGGGAGAAGTGTTGACAGATTTCGCGGCTCGTATCGCCGGGAGGGAGTACTCGGTGGTCGGCGGTGTCGGGAAACTTTCGGGCTTTGTAACTTGCGATGGAGGATTCGCTGTATAGATAAGTAAGGAATCCACTTATCTTGAGAGGATTTACTTACCTTTCTTAGCCTTGGCTGTGGGGCGGCCCACTGCCAAGTTGGTCTCTTCGAAGGGCCTCCATTTGAAATCCTTCTTGTAACCACCACACTGTACTTTTCGCCTTTCGCACTGGTGACAGGATGGCTTGGTTTCATCGCACTTCAGCCGTTTCGCCTTGCAGGTGATGCAGCCTGGGCGATGTGGATAGATCGGGTCAGCAGTCTGCGCAGGTAGATAGGCCCAGAGGCGCCATCCACGTAGGAAATACCGTCCAGCAGGATCGTACCATTGCGGCTCTTTGTCTGTTTGGGCTTTTGTACAGCAGTTCCGATCTGCTTCGCCCTTTTGGGAGGCGAAGCAGGCTTGCCCCGCGCTGACGGGATGGTGTCGGGCGAGTCTAGAATCGTGGACGGCGATGGGATTTTAATATCTTCCATACCAAGGGGACATTCACGGTGTTGGAGAGATGAGAAGTAACAGTTTAAAGATGTAGAGAGCTATAACAACAACACAGAAGGGGAGGGGGTCAAGATAAGACGGGAGGTCCGCGAATGACGAGAGGCAGATAGGAATCCGCGCGACTCGGGAGGAGTCTCTAGTGATAAGGCCCATGCGGGGGTCATCGCCGATCTTGGAGAAGCCTCTTGAGGGGTCGTTCAGGGGCCCGACATTATGATTCTGACTGACTTCTGTGTTGGCATTCAGCCACGATAGTGTTCAATTTGATGCTGGATCAGGTAGGCCGTCTCGTGCTCACGGTCGTCTGTGGACGTACATGATCGCTCTGACGATATCGGAGGTGTGAAGCGCGGCCGGCGGGTCATGCGGGGAAGTAAACACAATCAAATTTGATGTTTCGGGAAAGTTCCGTATTGGTCGGCTGCAGGGTGCGATCTTCCGGCAGGCGAAAGGCAAACGGAGCAGATTAACGTTTGAATGCCGCCTATACCGTCATAGCCGTCACCTTCATTGGAGACGCCTTCATTGGGTATTTCTATTGTCTGCTTCCCTCAATGACCCGACCTTTCCTCTTAGTAGCTGCCTGTAGAGTGTCAATACCCATTGACGTATGTATATGTAAGTAGGTGTAGCCCACTTGGGCAAGTAACGGCACAGGCATTTTATCTCTAGTGCCATGAAATGGCCTATACCTTCACTCTTCTAGCTGTTATATCCTTGCTCTTTCCCATCTTCCATATTATTGGCCTCCACCCTCACTGCACGTCTCGAAGAAAACGCCGGCTCTCAAGCCCAAGCTGGACAGGACCGCAACTTCTGGCAATTCCGGTCGGTAGCAAATTCCATCTCCTGGTGAGTGGATACGGCCCTGGCGTCCTCATCCAATAAGGCAGCAATGATAGGATCCGGGGCGTCCTGGAGCCGGCACCCGGTCACGACACCAAGGTGGATTGTGCCGGGACAAGAGTGAACTCATGGGGCACCTCGTATGTGTCATCGACCCGGACTCCCCGCATGCATGGACCCGATGCATGTTCTCACCCCGAAATTTGCCTGACTGGCATCTACTGGGCTGGTTCCGACTGCCACGGTGAGTGAGTTCTGGGGTTTGCCCTGGCAGAGGGGGCAAGTGACAAAACTGTACATCCTGCAAATCCATGCAATATCTCTGGCAATCTAGTATCATTACCAGCTCAGAACCCTCCAGCACCGCCAGTTAGCGGCAGCCACGATGCTGCAGCATCCGCCACACTTTGACCAACAGTGAACGGAGCTGTTGCGCGCCTTTGACAAGCACCTAGAACAGTAGACAGAGCCATGGGGCCCGTAGATAAGGAACCCGACTCTGAATATCTCTCCCTCGAGGCCGATCATCATGGTCGGCACGGTTCCCTTGGATATATGGGTGCCAGACCGGGTACCAGACCCATGCTTGGAGAGTTCAAGAAATCTTACCTTGTGATAATATCCGGGTGGTTCTATCTGAAGGCCAACTCGTTCGTAGTTCAACATAAATCTGTAAAGTCAAAGGAATCCATCAAGACAACAATGTTTTTCTTTCTTTCTGGATTGTATATTCATATAGAATTAATCTATATTTTTTGGTCTTAGTTAATAGTAAAGAGTATCCTTAGAAGAATGATTAGCTGGGAATCACCACCAGCTACTTCCTTTTTGCCCCGGTATGGTGTCCAAATTATTCGAGAGTATCACTGCATCGTCTAAACCATATCATCTCCCTAATAACAGGCTCTAGGTCCAATCCCATCATCAGATCTTTGCCGATTCCAGACACAAATTTCGCTTTGACCACGCTGTCTGTAAGCTCGATATTGTCCTTCAAATACGCAATACACTCGTCCTGATCCTGGAAATGCTCGAATGTGATGGTGAAACCCATCGCGCGATCTGTAGCATCGATAAAAAGCTGCCCGTCTTTTATTAGAACGGTCAGGGTGTGATAGCCTGCGTTCCAGTAGCTGCCCACATAGGCTTCAAGAGATATTCCTGGAGCAGGATTTTTGCTATCATTCTTCGGTTCTTCTGCCTGCTTTTCCCCGAACCTCCGTGGCGTTCCTTTGTCCTTTTCTTTCTTGATATCGTTCCTGCTCTGCCTCATTTTGGTCGTGTGATTCTGTTGTATAGATTGCGATTCAGATTGCTCCTTAGATTGCCCCAACCGCTCATCTTTCAGCAGGCGATCTTTCTGGTGTTCGGGCTTGGTTTGGTTCATGAGCCTTCTCCTCGGCTCCTTATGTTTTGGACCAATGGTCATTTGTAACAGACGGTCTTTGAATGAAATTCCAAGCACCACGTCCATCAACATTCTCATAATCGTCGTGGCTGCCGAGCCAGCCCCGGTGGAATTTCCCATAACCACGGCACCGAATTTCTGGTCAGGCATAAATATGAAACGACTCGAAAACCCTGGGATATTACCATCATGTCCAACGACCATGTTCCCACGATAGTAATATATCTCCATACCAGCCGTGTAGTTAGCGGGGGTAGTATGGGCCTTCAATCTCCTTGCATTCGGGTTCACAATCGAGCGCATCTTTGTAAGTCCCCGGTAAACCCTGTCGTTTATCGGATCTTCATGATGAAGCAAAGCTTTCACCCATTTGATGAAATCGTTTGCACTCGAAATTATGGAGCCTGCGCCCTGACCTTCAGGACAGTTCGGTGGATCGAAACCACGCCACTCATTGTTTTCCCAGATGTAGCCCTTTGCCATTCGATTCCGCCAACCCTTAGCATGGGCACTTGATGGCTGCAAGGTTGTCGATGTCATATTGAGTGGCGTGAAGATTCGTTCATCTAGAAAGTCGGAGAAGCTTTGTTTTGATATTTCCTCAACGAGATGTGAAGCCACAGTGTACATCTGGTTGCAGTACAGATATCGAGAGCGCACGGGGGCGGCAGCTTTGAGGTTTCGAAGGTTTCTTGTGATGGATTTGGCGTTATCGGGATGGATAGCGCTCGGCCCCATGCAGGAACTGTCATGACTGTTCGGGCAATTAGAAATTGCTCGAGCTTTTAAAGATACAATATATTACCTAGCCATGCCAGTCCTGTGACTAAGAACATCTTCGACAGTGATACTATCAGTATACATCTTTTCTTGCATGACAAAGTCGTCTGGCAGGAGATCCGACATAAGCGCTTCGTATTGCACTTCAGGGTATTTCTTGTCATCCACGAGCAAGGCCACGGAGGCAGCAGTCAGGGACTTTGAGCATGAGGAGATATCAAATAGTGTATCCCCAGTGCAAGGAATGTTGTCTTCGCAATTCGCCACACCGTAACCTCCCGAGGCAATACCATTATTGTGAACGACAGCAATTGACAGACCGGGGATTTTGTACTGCCGTAGCAAGTCGGCTACAAATGACGTAAACTTGTTTGAATCTAGAAGTTCCATCTTATCAGAATCTTCAAGATATATCTTCTGGATCGTGGCGAGCGAGCCAGCCTTGCGGGAAGCAAGTGCGAGTGCGGGGGTCCCTGCAAGTTTGCCTTCATTGTACGGTCAAGATCACTTTCGTGAACTTTTAGGAAAAATATTTCTCCGATAAGTGGTTGCCTGAAACGTAGGCAACGAGAGGAAATAAGTTAACTAGTCATCAATATGCCTTTGCGCACGTTCCCAGAAAATAAAGTCAAACGAAAATGACACATTGCGAGCTTCCTACTTCACCGCTCACGGGATAAAGTAGACTGGGAGGAAGAGCCCTGACGGTGGCGGAATTAGAAGCCGTGGTGGTATGGTGCAGATAGCACTTGGTCTTATAAGGCTGGGCATAGATGATGCGGCTGGAATTGATACCCATCTGAAGCGTTAGCTGGACCGAAGGATTTCAAAAAGCCAGACCCTAACTGTGTTTGATCTTAACTGTACACCACAAGAACCCTCATCTAAGCGAAGCATCATCTAATTCCGATACCGCTGTATTCAACAACGCACCTTCGTTACTTGTAATGCAACATTAGCCCTTGCTGTCAGGATCGGAAATGGTCAAGAGTTACCTCCAATGGCTTATAAACGGTCATTTGCAGTTCAGCGGCTAGACGGCGGAGGTGGGCCACCCGCTCGCTTTCGGGCTAATTTAATGTCGCATCCAAGTGTCTATAATAATACTCTTTCTTCGCAACGATTTCGATATTACTAAGAAGCCACAGTGCCCGTTTCTCAGAGACAGCAATAGTGTCATCGAGTAAAGTAAATGATTCTCATAAAATTTAGTTCAAGTGCTTAGCCTGTTTTGTAAAATTGCTAGCATCCCATCTTACAATAGTGTCAGTGTCACGCTGGTCGGCTTATCCACATACAGGTTATAGCACAGGCTAAAACTGTGGCAATAGTCACAACATCCCTTACGGTCGTGAAAGTAAATGTGCTTTATATAGAGTCAATTGCTTTAGCGGCTTTCCTTTCTATAATAACTAGTAGAATCTAGATTCCAAAAAACCCTAGAATATGAACACCTAGCATAACTTATATTAAACCAGTAATACCAAAACCGAATATGACTCAACTGATGCCTGATGCCTATAACTAGTAACCATAAAAGCTCTTAGAGCATCCGACTTCGACACCTTCCCTTTAACCAAATTTGTAAATGAAATGGCCCTGAATGATTAGTCGCAAACTACGTCTCAACCCCATCCTCCGACAATGTACGCTCTACTGTCATTATACTAGCGTTATTTCCCAGTACATCGATAGCTGGGATATCATTCCAGCTATTCACCCACTTCACAGTATCGCGTGCGCTCTTCGGCGAGCTGAAATCAACCTAAGAGATGCAGATCTTGACCTGAGTGTTTGAGGCGGTGACCACTTGCACGTATTAGTCGAGCTTCGTGCTGTTGCACTGAGTTAGGATTAGGTTAGCAGGTTTCGCGATGCGATTGATTGGTCGCAGAAGCCACCCGGATGAGACGGATGAGAGAGTACCGATCGGAGCAAACAAAAGTGAAGACCGATACACTCAGATCGGAGATGCTTAGTCAAGTGGCGGTTATCGGAGGCGCGGGGAACCGAACCCCAGAAAGCGTGACAACTGCACGGCCCGAGGTCAAACGGCCCTGTAAACATTTCGCCGAGCCTCCTTTTCCTTTCTTCCTCTTCCTCTTCACACTTCTCCCTCCCTCCGCTCCATTTCAACCTGCAACATGTTTCGAACGATACCGCGACGACTCCCCCGGCCCTCCCTTGCAATTGCCCCCCGTCTGGCCGTGCGCTCGTTCGCATGCGGCTATCCTCGGATGTCGTCACCACCCGTACAGCCCCCGGGTTTCTACGACACTACCATCGGACGCATTTCAGCTACTGTCGACCGCAGAAAAGGCTGGTGCAGCCGAGGATGCCCTTTTCGAACAGCAAGTCCGTGATGTGGAGGCATGGTGGAGCTCGCCGCGCTACGAGGGCATCAAGCGGTCCTATTCGGCGGCCGACGTTGTGAGCAAGCGTGGATCGTTGCAGCAGACATATCCCAGCTCCTTGATGGCGCGGAAATTGTTCAATTTGTTGAATGAACGTGCGGCGGCGGGTGAACCCGTGCATACTAGTAGGTTCTTGAGCTGTTTCCTTCAATTGAGACGGACTAACGCATTGGATACGCAGTGGGTGCTATTGATCCTGTACAGATGACCCAGCAGGCTCCCAACCAGGAGATTCTCTACATTTCTGGTTGGGCGTGTTCGTCACTTTTGACTTCCACCAATGAAGTCTCTCCCGATTTTGGCGACTACCCATACAACACGGTGCCAAACCAGGTCCAACGACTGTTCAAGGCCCAGTCGATGCACGATCGCAAGCAGTGGGATGCGCGACGAAAGATGTCTGCTGAGGAGCGGAAGTCTACACCATACGTTGATTATATGCGACCAATTGTGGCGGACGGTGACACTGGGTATGTCCCACCTTGATGATCACATGGGATTTGGGACTGACTTGATTTTTAACAGACACGGTGGTCTGTCGGCAGTTCTCAAGTTGGCTAAGCTTTTTGCTGAGAACGGTGCCGCGGCTGTGCATTTCGAGGATCAGCTCCACGGCGGAAAGAAGTGTGGTCATTTGGCGGGCAAGGTGCTTGTCCCTATGGGCGAGCACATCAACCGATTGACCGCTGCACGATTCCAGTGGGACATGATGGGCTGCGAAAACTTGGTGATTGCACGCACTGACTCGGAGAGTGGCAAGCTGATCAGTAGCGCTATTGACGTGCGCGACCACGAGTTCATCCTCGGTGTTACTGAGGAGGTGGAGCCCCTGGCCGAGACTCTGCAAGCCATGGAGCGTGAGGGCGCTTCGCCTGCTGAGATTGACGCTTATGAGCTTGACTGGGTCAAGGAGCACAAGCTGGTCTCCTTTGATGAGGGTACGCTACCATCCCCCAAGTTGTCTGGTTTCTTGTACTAATGTTCTGCAGCCGTCGATGCACACCTCGAAGCTGAGGGTGCTTCTCAATCTGCACGGGATGCCTACAAGGCTCATGTGAAGAAGAACCCCGATCTTTCATTCTCGCGCCGTCGTGCCCTGGCCAGCGATTACACCAAGACCCCGGTGGTTTGGTCTTGCGACGTCCCGCGGACCCGCGAAGGTTTCTACCACTATCGCGCTGGCTTCCCGGCTGCGACCAAGCGCGCCAAGGAGTTCGCGCCTTACGCAGACCTGCTTTGGGTCGAGACTGGCGACCCCAACGTCGAGCAGGCAGGCACTCTGGCTGGCGAAGTTCGTGCCAAGTACCCCGGCAAGAAGCTCGTGTACAACCTCAGCCCGTCCTTCAACTGGATGGCCCAGGGCTTCGACGAGGCATCGCTGAAGTCCTTCATTTGGGACATCGCCAAGCATGGGTAATTTTCCTCCCCTATGTTCCTTGAGCCACGAAACTAATTTTCTTAGATTCGTCCTGCAATTGATCTCCCTGGCTGGTCTCCACAGCAACGCCACCATCACGACTGAACTCTCCCGTGCATTCAAGGACGAGGGAATGCTCGCCTACGTGAAGCTGGTTCAGTCCCGTGAGAAGGAGTTGGGCGTAGACGTCCTGACTCACCAAAAGTGGAGCGGTGCTCCGTATATGGATGGTATTCTGGGTGCTATCCAGAGCGGAAGCAGCAGCAGCAAGAGCATGGGCGAGGGCAACACTGAGAAGGGTCAGCTTTCCTCCACTTTCAAAGCCATACACCACGCTAATTGATATTTCAGGTTTCTAATTCCCCTCTCCGAAAACTTCATGATTCACTGTCGACGTCCCGCGAAATGATTTAGTTTGGTCCTTTTCCCAATTCGTTTACACTACAGTTAGACTGTTCGAAATTTAGCAATGTCATAATATCAGTTCGAAGGATGAAGTCGCATGTAATTCCATTTGTTGAATTAAGTTGACCGTTCCAATGTCCCATGGCCTTTACAGCTCGTTAAATATTCGTAATTCGAAAATAACTGAAACATTAAAATCATTGAAAACAAACCTAAACACAAACAGCCATATCCTCCCTCTCAACCAAACGAACAGGAATATTCTTCTGCCGAATAAACCAAGAATTAGTAAGCTTCCACTCATGCTCCTGACTCGGAAGTTCCATCTATAAAACATTAGCGACCCACCGAACAAACCTTGTGAACTAACACCAAGACAACTCACATCAAAAGAACTAAACAGAGTCGCAACAAGCTTATAGCTCTCCAACTGACTCAAATTTCTGCCAAGACAAGCCCTCGACCCGGCCCCAAACGTAAAGTCCGTACCCTTCATCTTCGCAAATCTTGCCTGGAACGCCTCCTCCGACTCCCCGGGCTCCTTCAGCCACCTTTCCGGTATAAACGAATCTGTATTCGCACCAAATACCTCTTCATTTCTGTTAATAACCCACGGGTTCATACCAACGATCGTGCCCTCCGGCACGAATCGCCCGTCGGGGAGTGTGACCCCTCCGTTCGGAACAACTCGCTCAATCATAAGTCCAACACCGGGGTTAATACGCATCGACTCCCGCATCACAGCTTCGAGGTACTTAAGTCCGTGAATATCTTTCCACTTCGCCGGGAGGGATAGGCTAGCCTCGCGGAGCTCATCGCGGAGTTTAGCGTGCACGGATGGATTTTTAAGTACGTAGTAGATTGTCGCGCACATCGTGCTGGCGGTCGAGTCGCTGCCTGCTAGAACGTTGGAAATGAGGTAGAGGATGATTGTGTTGTCGTTCACGAGCTCGGGTTGCTTTTTCTTGACTTCGAGGAATTTGGAGAGGAAGTCGACGTGGCTGGCTTGTGTGCTCTCGTACCGCTTTTGGAGCTGTTCTTGACTGAAGATGTTGGCCCAGATGAACGTTGGAGGGCCAATTCGCACTATGGGGTTTTTATCGAAGACGTAGTCTAGCATTGGGATCTGGCAGATCTATTTGGATCGAAATGATTAGTATAGTTATGAAATTTGAAGCGGTGTTGGGGCATATACGGAGGCGAAGTAGTCGAGTGTCTTGTTGGATCTTTTTAGGAAACCTCTGTAATCACTGCCTGCTTCAAGAATACCCAGGTCTTTGGAGAATGTCACCTGGCTCATGGTGTCCCATGCAACTAAACCGATACCGTCAGTAGGGCCCATGGGCAGGTGCAAAAGCACTCACAGAAACCGATGTATTCGGACATCTCACAGGGCTTGCCCGGGCGGACGAATCGCTCACGGAGCTTCTCAAGCAATAACTCGATAGTAATGTCCACATTATGCTCCACGTCCTGAACCTTGCTCATGGAGTACAGACTCTTGACCGGACGAATGAAAGTCGAGTGCCACTTCTCGTCCTGGTTCGAGAATAGGTTCTTGAATCGTGTTCCCGAGACGATAACATCATTGACGTTGTACATATTACTCTATAGGAAATGATTAGCACAAACTTCGATTACTTGATCCATGGGTATGTCTCAGATTAATCGGCACTGTACCTTGAGCCATGGATTCTTCGTATTGTACACCTGTCTGATCAAGGTCGGATCGGAGAGGCTGAGGATATTCGGACCCATCCGAACAGCGGGTCCGTACTTGCGGTGTAGTTCATTATGCGTAATATCACAGCGTCCTTTGAACACGTCTTGCAGGCGCCATATGTTGGTGAAGCTTGTCGGGACCGGTCCTGGAAATGATCTCAGTGGAGAGCGGAGGTAATTCCATAGAAAGCGCGAGACGACAAGGATGCCCACGGACAGGGCGAGGTTGGTTACTAGCTCAGAGATGGAGAACATGATCGATTTGAAATTTTTGTCGAGTGTACGATGGGGGGAGTCGGTTTACGACAGGTGAAACGTTCACGCTGTACTCCCCTAGGGTAGATAAATGACCAAGTCCGAGTCGCCCTCCACTGACCAGGTAGTTTCTCCCCCCAAATCCCCACACCTTTTCTATGCCATGGACCTATGAGTGATAAAGATGCACGGACAGTAAGCGGGTGAGTGGTGCGGCATTTTCATTAGGACGCATGCTTGCATGGTCCGACTATCATTTGCCTAAGGGGTAGTCGATGTACCCTGGTGGCCAGGGAAGTTTGGGCCCAGGGGAATAAAGGCCGATGGCCACTGAGCAGCTCGTGGTTTACAGGTCACATTTCTGGAAATATGACAGCCAGCGGGGAATTATTAATATCTTGGATCCTAACGGCGTTGAGAAGTGCAACGGGTTCAATCCAGATTCCGTCTTTAGTAGGTAAACCAGATAGCCCAATAAAAATGCAGGAATTTGTGGCTTCCTTCCATCTTATCTCTTTCTCGTAGTTATTGCCTTTTCTTTTCTGAACCCACCAAACCCCTGATGAAAAAAGCCTCAACGTGCGCGAATATCCACGTGCATGGACCGGAACGTCCCGCGAGGCTTAAGCGGGAGGCCCCGAGCACTTAGGCTTGGGCTATTTAAAAATGTGAACTATCCAAAACCGATACGCAAGTCTGCCTGCATCTTGTAAATTAGGGTTCCAGTATGACAGCTGCAGCCAAGACATGGCTGAGCGGCCGCGCACGACTAGTGAGGGGCATGGACGCCCAAAGTCCCGGAAGGCGGATCCGCGGTGCAAAGCACAGCTGGCCGTTTCATATGCAGCCCGCAATACTCGATTTGGAAGTATCTCCACCTCGACAATTGTACTTTGGCCACCCGGCCGATCACGTTCGCCTTCCCCCAAGCCCAGACTGTGCGTTGCGATCTATCAAACGTACTTTGGGCGTCGTAGTTGGCGGATTGCAACACTGGCTCCTGTCTCGGTTAGAAAAAGTCAGGGATGTACCCTAGAGAAGGAGACCGTCACTTGGGATTTTCAATGGCTCACCTTCAATGTGATCGTCCGTTCTAGACTAGCATAGCACTTGTCATATTCGGGATGCAGGGTTTCATATCCGCGCTGCGGCTAGGGCCGAGTCATGCCTCGCTTTCTTCCGTGACTGGGATTCTAACCGCAAATTTGAGACGTCAATTGAATATCTATCTTTGTATTCTTTGCCTTCCAGAGATGAACCTTTGGAGCATCTGCACACGAGGGGAACTTGATATTTATTATCCACTCTTTTCACCCTCGAGGAACTGGTCCACAAGCGAGCTTTACTGTTTTGCTCTTTCACCTCTATATACGTTGACAGGGGCTTTCCTTGAAACAATATGACTACAGCATCTTCTACTCTAGATGTCCAGAATCAGGGCCCGACCATTTTGGCAGTATGCTGGATTCTGGTCCTTATTCCTTCCCTCGTGGTCGGGTTGCGAATCTGGTGCAAAGTGATGCTAAGCAGAGGATTTGGTTGGGATGATCTGGTTGTCTGTCTTGCATTGGTATTATCTTCACTGCCCTGCCCCCTGGGTCGTTCACTAATTCCAACAGTCAATGCTCGTTGTCTACACGGCGCTTATTACAAAGGCTGTGCAGATGGGCGTGGTAGGCAGGCACGTCTTCGCTATAGAGAACGAAGAAGTCATCCCGCCGGCTCTGAAACTTGTCTATATCAGTTTTGTGATTATAATCATCGGCTGCGTTCTCAGCAAGACCTCCTTCGCCATTACCCTTCTTCGCATCGTGACCAAAACATGGATGAAAGTTCTCCTGTGGTTCATTATCGTCACCATGAATGCGATCATGTGGCTCTGTGCTGTTTGCTATCTGGCTCAATGCAAGCCCACATCCGCACTTTGGGATACCAAGCTCTTGGCTACAGCCCAGTGCTGGCCCCCAATGGTGTTTGAGGTTATCGCTCTCGCTGCAGGTGCATACTCCGGATCCATGGATTTCATTCTTGCTCTTCTTCCATGGGCTATATTATGGAAGCTCCAAATGAAGAAACGCGAGAAGTTTGGAATTGCCGTCGCGATGAGCATGGGCGTCTTGTAAGCCAATCCAATCCTGGAAAATATTCAGCAGGTTAGCTAACCAAAACTTCAGCGCGGCTGTAACAGCCTTCATTAAAACTTCGAAGCTCGTTAACGTATCCCAAGTACAAGACTTCACTTGTAAGTCCAAATACAAACCCATTTTAAATGATGCACATTCACAAAAACTAGGGTTCTGCTCCTCCATTATAATCTGGGCCTCCGCCGAAACTGGCCTCACCATCTTCGCCGCCTCGATTCCCTCCCTCCGAATCCTCTTCGTCCGTATGCGGTCCAGCTACGATCGCACCGACGCTCCCTCCTCAGAGAGCTACCAGCTCTCTGGCAAAGGTCACTACCGCCGTAACAGATCCACTCAGCCCGATCCGTACTATTACTACGGCGGCGATGCGATCACTTTGTCTGATCCCAAGGATGACGGCAGTGCGAAGAGTATTCTGGACAAATCAGGGATTAAGACTACGCAGGAGATCTCGGTGACGTATGAGCGGAATGTGACTTCCGAGATGGGGCTGGAGAGGGCTTTTGTTGTTTCGAGTCCGACTGCTCCCACGAGGCGGTTTTGAGCGCCTCGGGCAAATATTGAAATGAGGGCTATGTGTTTGTTTATTCCGGTAGGCTGACCTTGGCTGCTTGTCGAGAAAAACGCTTATAATCTATTCGTTTCCTTGTTTTCGTGTTGCTATACCATTGTATTCTGTGATTGGACCTTGTACAGGAAAGGAAAAGTGGTGGACAAGAGGTTATCCTATTTGCTCTTTATTGAATGCAACCAGTGCAAAGGAACTGAATATGTGCCGACAGTGAATAAGGTCTCCTGGTTCACTTTTACTTAGTAGTCGCGCTGGTCGTGCATGTACTCGGCCCAGCTGCAGATCAGTTTATTAATATTATTCAGCAGTCTCAATCTATGGAGAGCTTCATCTTTTCAAGAAGGTAAAGTAGAGAATGACAGGAAGCAAATAGAATACTTGATTCAAGCGCTTTTATGCTAGGCAGGGATTTAATTCAAGCTTCTTCTATTCGGCCAACTCATCTCAATCTCCCGCTAAATATCAGCCAGACTTCAAGAAAGAAAGATGATTAGTACGAACAAGCTCCTCGCTCAAGTAGGTATATCATAATTCCCCTATTTTAATTTGGCATAACAACCTGGCCGTCGATGTCATTCTCACGCACAGCCTGCCTGCATAAACCCTCGACCTCGTCCGCCATCCAGGCCTGCACCTGCCACTAAGCTGTAAATTACCCTCCAAGGTTGGATGGCACTTCCCTTACATTGAAAGCCATCCTTTTGGTTCCCTGGAGAGCAGGAATTACGTCGATACTGTGTAATTCCGTGGATCGCTATCCGCACCTTCTTCATCTAGGACGTTGATTGTTTATTTACTCACACTTGGTTTCCTTTCTCCTTTCTCTTCTCTTCTCCTCACCCTTTTTTCACTTTGCGCTTAGGTATCGCAAATTTCGGCTCTCTATACTCTTTTTTGAACCCCTGCCACCCAAGTGTTAGCTGATCAGAAGAGATGGACTTGTAAGTCTCTGAAACCCACCCAGCACTTCATTTCTGACTTCAATTATAGCGAGTCCACCGATGCCCTCGGAGGCAGCACAGGAGAAGAAGACCTGTTTTCCCCTGTGCTTGAGGACATGACTGACGCTGTTCCAAAGAACACAGAGGCGTCATCTTCCGGCGACGCGCCACCGACAACAAGCTCGGACTGGGATGAAGATTCGGATCAGCCGGACTTCAACCAAGCCCTCGGTCCGCATATCGGGCAAATCGCCAAATCTCTCGACGCCTACACATCACTACTCGGGGTGAAGTCGGAGTCTCTGGACTTCGGTAAGGATCCTGAGGGGTCTGTAGGTCCACTCGAGAAGTTACAGGAAGACCTGGAGAAGGTGGAGAAAACGGCTCGACAACTGCGATTTCATCTTCAATTTGGAGACTACGCCGGCCGCATTTGGAACTGCCTCCGTTCCGCATCTCGCCTTGCCAGCAAGCCCTTACCGGATTCCTTGCGCACTGTCACGGAACGCCTTGAGAGCCCGGCTCTCGACGGGGGTCAAACCCTGAAGACCCTTCGAGAATGTATCGAAATTCTCAAAGGAGGAGGTGTTCAAGTGGACGTGAACGTGGAGATGGCCAAGGTGGCAATTGGTATGTACGCGACCCGCAACCTGCTCTGCCATGTAGACAACAAGACGCGCAAAAAGGCCTCGAAAGAGGACCTTGATGCTCTTGTGGGCCTTCTACCAGATGAACAGAAACCGAATCGCGAACACTGGCAAGGTATTGTGGGACAGTGGGAGGCAGCAGGTGAGTGGTTGGCTGACGCGCGGTGTCGGACCGCTAGCCAATCTCGTTTCCTTTCCAATGCGCCAAGCGGCGAGCCCGAGGAGAAGGAGGAGTTTAAACAGGCCGTCATGGACGGCTTGTTCCATGAGTCGATCGATCGCCTTTACGATGGAGGGGCACGGAGACCGCATATTCCCCGCCGGACTCGTCAGTCGGCAGGGTCAGACCCAGTTCCCTACGTTCCTTGCAAACGAGAGACGACCTTGTCCCCGCCGTTATCTCCGTCTGCAAAACGCAAACGCCCATCCAAAAGATAAGAAGTCTCTTGGTCAGGAACAGCAGCTCAGCTGAATGGTAAGTTGAAGGTAAGACAGGTCAGGTATGTATCCCCCTCCCCCTCCCCCCTCCCCCCCCCCCCCTCCTCTTTTTCCTTTTTCTCGCATTTATTTCCGATCTATATTGCCATTTACCCCAGCGAAGAGCTCGCACCTCAACGTGGTGCTGGGGTCTAGTAGTCCTCCTTGGACGAAGCTAAGACGAGCTCATTTTGTATTCAGATAGCAAACAATATAAGAGTTTTCCTTTTCATTAAGTCCAAAGCTGTTTCCGACTGATTTCCAAAGGTTTCTTCAATAATGCATGTTGAGGATCGACCAGTACCCGGAGGGAATAAGTGAGAAACACGGACCGCAACCCTGGTTTTGCGGCTCAGGGCGGCTGCAAACTCTTTGACATCAGTGAAGCACATGAAGCGGTCATTGGCTGATCCAGATACAAATGAATGCGATTGTGATGGTGGCTGTGAAGTAAAAGCGACAGCCTCTCGGTGATGCAGGTGTGGTGGTATCGTGGAAAATTGCAACCGCGGAAACCGGTCCGGGGTGGGCAAATTTGTCCTTCTTTTCTTTTGTCACTATTCATTGATTCTGCATTTGTGTTCATTGGGTGGTTAGAATGCGGGAAGCTAAAATCTCTATACGACTACAGAGATGAGCTTCTGTCAGCACTGCTGATCGCCCAGGGTTTGGAAAGTCATTTGTTTTGCTTCACACAAGATCTGCAAACAACCCGAATAACAGCATGTATTTATCGCGAGCTTCATCGGGTCAATAAATTTTACAATGTACTACTACTACTGTTCCAGTACCCGACGTGCCGCAAGCGGATTAGTACGTTTCTATCAGTATTGGTTTCCATGTGAATACCAGAGTTTCAACCATCCCGGGACCCCTTTCAGGGTCGGACTGAGCTTCACTTACATTCCCTACCAGGGACATATCATGACTCGTCATGTTTCTGTGCATCTCAAATATCTTTTCTTGAAGCAACACAGCCATGGCAATCTTTACAAAAGACAAGTTTGACGATGCCAAGCTGAGTGACATGCTTGGCCATTTCGCCAAACTCCCAATTGAACTACGTCTGTTGATATGGGACCTCGTCTTTCTCGAAATTCACCCGTACCCACGCCGACGTATCTCACCCCAAACCAACATTCTCTCTATCCTCCGTTGCAGTCGCTATCTCTACTGTGAAATTTCTCATCGTCTTTACAATAACATCTCACCCGCTCTCCTCGTACGCCGGGTGGACGACAAAAAATGTTGGATAACTGCGGGCATGTTTTCTAACAAAATTCATGCCCAGTGGGACTTGGAGAGCAAGGGTGATACTCAAAGGCATATAGCCAGTCTTCCATTCGACAAACTTCGTGATTCATACCTGTTCATCGAAATTCGCCCCTCTTCTCGACATGACCCAGGTCAAATCATCCAGATGTGGCAAAAACTAAATTACATAGTCGACATCATACAAGAGTTGCCACAACCACCGTGTGTGCGAATATCGCTTCTGGGAAGATGGACAGTCCAAAAACGGACACGGGAGAGCATCAAATACACCAAGGGATATCGACCTGACCATGACATCGTGATGTTACCTTTCACTCGCCTGTCACGGTGGGAGTACAGTCTACCGTCAAATCTGTCAAAAGTGATCTCACGCGAGTCAAGTAACCGAGAGCATTCTCTTCTATATCGATTCATGGCATTTGAAAGCTTGAATAGCGATGGTTTTGCCCGAGTTGATATGACACTGATTACGGATATCGATCACCTGCGCATTGATACGCGCATATTCCTCGACTCGTGGCTCGGTTGTGTTGAAGGCAAGACAGCAGATCTCCTCCGTTTGGAACGATTCAAACATTGGTATGAACCAGGCGACAGTTGGAAGTCTGCCTACGAAGAGCAGTACCTCGCAGATCTTGTCGCCAATTTTTCAATCGTTCGGAAGCATGACGGCCAACTTTTGTGGGCTAAAAAAAGATTTGAGATGCTGATTCTCATGCACCATATAGCATGGGCGGCACAAGATTCCATCACCAATGTTTTCGATTCCTTAGATGCCAAGCAGCTAACACCGTACACCAAGTGGGACCCTGAGGTTCTTTCGAAAAAGTGGCCCAATGGCGTCGGCATGCCTGTTGAGACATTATCTGCACCTATATGGAGGGAAAGGAAAACTATTGTCGATGCCTACACCCAAAAGAATACTAAGCGAAGGGACTTCTGGGACGAGCTGGAATGGTGGGGATGGGATGCTTCTTTCTTTTTAGAGGAACCGATTTCTGAAGGTAAATGGTGTTGTCAATGTCTCCTTTTGGAATATGCCTGCATTTGGTGCAAAAAGTACGATTTAAAAAAGGCATGCAGGCTATGCAGAGAGGAATTTCCACTGCGGTTATTAGTTCTTCTTCCACGGGGTGGATGTTTTTATCCAAATGGTATGATATGACGCTTAATATTATTTCTCTTGCGTTACAAAAAGATATATCTCTTATCCAGTTAAGTGATTCAAAGTGGTTTCGCAAGCCCATCACCGGCCAAGACAAAGAAATATTTGATGATACAAAGATCATGCCCTACACCTAGATAGGTAACTATGTAGAAGATGAGAACATACTATGTAAGTCCCCCCAAGCATGTGTTCCTAGGTGGTTTGGAATTGAACTAGTTGCGGCATGAGATGCGACTCCCGCTGGACAAGAAGTGGATGCAGATGTCCACGTTGAATGATCTGTTGAGCAGTGAAGCAGTACGACCTGCGATTGAGCAGTCATGACGAACACGGGGCTCCTGGGACAGCCTCTGGCACTGGATCCTGTCGCCACGGGCATGAAATGGTTAGAAGAAGAAAATTGAACATATCAACGGCATTGGTTACAGAGAGCAATAACGTGTGCGTCTAGAGTTGCGTTTCAGGTTGGATGATTTGCCAAGTGATCTTCCAAACAGAGAAGTAGAGTTAACCGCCCCCGATCGACGTGTTCAAACAGCCCTAGACCTGGCTACCTACCAATATGCAGATAACGGTTTCAGATCTCATATCTATCTAGGCACAGATTTCAAACCTTAGAAAAATAGAATGAAATATTCCAAGTTTACAAACGACCATTAATTTCCCTCTAATAATCATATAATAATAATACCTTAGAAAATCTCATCACGATCGAGGTTTCCAAACCGTAGTGTAAAAATCCAATGATACATTCAGAATATATTTCCGTACCACCTATGTCCTAAAATATCCAAGTCCTAAGTAAAAAATCCTAATATAAGTGGTCAAACTACATATCTAGATCACTAATACATCCACCGAAATGGCCAAGGTACACCGCACCGCATAAGACAGGAAACATACCAGGTACGGTTGGCAAATGTGGAGTCAATTAAGTACGGAGTACAGAACATACTGTACTCCCGGATATTTTAAGCGGGAGAGTTGTGATTAGATAAACCGGGTAGCGATCCATGGAAATCCGAACCTTGGGAAGTATAAACTATTAAAGAAAAGCGGGGTATTTATCACAGCGTAAGTGTTTTATAACAGGAAGTAAATAACATAAAACAATTCAAACGTGAATCACGCTTAGGGGTTTTCGTATTTAGGAGCTAGGAAGGGTTGGTATAAACGGTATTGACGGGATCGGCATTGCACATCTGCAGCGGGGTGGATACGTTTACGAGTCTAGGGTACGGCGTTGTTGGGTACGGAACGAGGGAACATACCAAGACGTACTGAACTATAACGAGTTCTCTATACCAGACGTTCGCACGTGTTTATTTGTTATAGATGAAAATCAGAAAGGTTTGCAGAACTTGATTCAGTCACAAAGTACACCGCTGAACTAGTAACTAAGAAACAAACGACCCAAACCCTTGGTAACTCAAACATCACAAAACAAACCGGGGAAAATATGAGATAAGGCATACCCGGGAACCCTGACCCATATCAAGATGTTCGCGGAAAAGAGGTACATCAGAAGGTGAAAAACGGGGAGTGGGAAACAGGGCGCAGAACGGGGCCAAAGTCAGCCTTTCGGCGAGACTCGGCTCTCTCGTACGCAACCCAGTTCACATCCAATAGAATTGAAAAGCAGAGGTCATACAAAGTTGCACCACGAAAGATTGATCAAAATGAAAAAAAACACCATTTTCCCATCGTAGTACTGCAGAAAGACATCGCTCAAGAACGGCAAAACAGTCGAATGTACCATCCTAGTTTAATTGACGCGGAATGAATCGAAGATCACTTATATATCGATTAGTCAAGATGCGGATTATAATACTGAATGGTTGATGGAACTCACCTTCTTGGCCTCGACGGCAACCGCTGCCAACCCACATAAGGGTGTTCAGGAATGTATATCGCTCATCGCCGGTTTCCATGGACAAGTTGACACGATACTTGTAGCTGCTAGGGTTGATGCCATCAGCCACGCTGGGATCGTTGACTTTCTCCAATACATCCTTGGCGCCGGTGAGCCATCCCTCTGTCTTGACAATGATGAAAGCCGGGGGTTCATCAGCAGTCTGAAGCATATAGTTGGCGCGCAAGTTGGTAGTCGAGTCTTTGGTCACGATCTGAGTATCTTGACCGCCGGGCTGTTTGCGCATTAGCAATTGAGCAAAGCATCATGTCACGAGGAATAGCTCAATCTTACCAGAACAATACCCTTGCCCCACCGACCGGCCCATTGCCCACCAACGTATGAAACCCATTCTCGGCCGCCCCAGATGCTCTGGCCGACATTTACCTTGGGGTTCAATTTGATGCTCATGCGGAAATCAAGCTCCAGCGTGGGAACAGGAATCTGTAGTGATCGCGCAACATCGCCCTCGGGGAATGTATGTAGCAAGTTGTTGGCGGGGATCGAGTCCTTCATCACACTCAAATAGGTAGGGCACTCGAGCAAGTGCTGGCGCTGGCGACTTGTGTTCTTCGCGCGAACCTGTTGGCAGTAGATGCACTGCACCGACAAACACTTGTCCTCCTCCTTGGCGCGGAACTCCACAAAAGCCGCGTGCACGTCGTCCAGCGGCGGCGCGGGCAGATTGGAAGTGCTACTCTTTGCCTTGGGCTTAGGGGTGGGACGCGACGGCGCGGCAGACGACGGCGCCGAGCCCGGAGGCCCGGTAGGTGGACCCGGGGTCGGCATGGGCGGGCGATTCTGCAGGGTCTGCAGTGGGGTTTGCAACGGGGTCTGCATCGGGGTCGCGTGAGGGTTGACACCGTTGGTCATCAACGCGCCAGTGGGAGTCGGAATGGTAGGGCCTCCTGTAGGGACAGAAGGTGTAGCTGTCGGGCCGCTGGGGGTGCCGGGGTATCCATTGGGAGCGCCGATGCCGTTGGGAGTGGGAGTCGGCTGGGAGGGCTGAGGCGCGTTAGGGTGGCCGCGCAGACCAGGGCATTCAAGAAGATGCTGCTTCTGTCTCGAAGTATTCTTTGCGCGAATTTGTTGACAATAGATACACTGCACGGAGAGGCACTATGCAAGAAACGACCAAAACGGGTCTCGTATGTTAGTGACGCCGGTCTGTTGTGGTGGGTTTGAAATATTACGAAATACACAGTCACGCACCTTATCATCTTCCTTGGCGCGGAACTCGACGAACGCCGCATGCACCTCCTGGTCGACGGTGCGACCCATTGTGACGAATATAAGAGAGGAGATATAGGCTCGCACCGGGATAACCAAGTCGAAACGCGATGGGAGGGAAGACGCGATGAGAGTGGGGGAGGGAATCTGGTTAGGGGAGAGGGAGGAGGAAGAAGAAATGGAAAGACCGAGACAGAATACGAGTGGCGCGGCTGGGTAACGCGCCCTGCGTAAGTTTGAGTCCGGGTATTTCACTCCCACTTTACCCATACTTCCCTGTATCGCCGTATCCTCCTTGGATTTCGTGCTTTTTGATCTGGACATTTATCATCGCTGGTCATCTATCGACGGTACGACTACGTTATCTATCGCCTCACGCGTGGTTATGGGGATCATGGTCCGGTCCATCTGCCTGCGGTCTCGGACTGGTGCGGAAACGCTGACCAATGGAGGATTACGCGTGACAGGATGCCAACGCATCCCAGTAAATACCACCATAGGTACCTGAGTATCCAAGATGCCATCGTGGAGAAGATCAGGCTCAATAGAAACGCAAGAAACTTGAAGAAATATCCAATCCAGCCGGGCTCCGCGCTGGCATCCTGGCGCCAAGGCCATCTCCATTCGGGCGCGCTCGGTTAAAAGACGCCTAAACGCACACGAGCGAGGCCGATAGGATTGCGATAGGGAAGAAATTAAATCCAAGAAAGGCACGGGACGCGTCGAGTCCAAAATCGAAGGGCCGTTTGCCATAAAAACAGATCTATATACTTTGCAGGTATTATTACCTTGACCTCCAGTATTGTTCCAAACTGTCGTCTCCGTTCCTGTATCCCGTACGCGATACTGTCAACGTCCCGACTTACGACTTACATGTTCCTGGTAACGTTCGCAGTAACACGAGCTGCGTAAATATTGCTAGCCCTGCATACATCGGTGCTAATAGATCTCAATTTCATCGACTGCAGAATTTTAAACTATCCTTATCTCTCCTCTTGACCCTGTCCCATCGCTCAACTTTGCTGTCTCAGCCCGTGTCCCTCCATCTCGAACTAAAAATAAATCGCCGCGGGCGCAATATCAGTGTCTGCTTCCATGGTGGACTGCGTGAAAACATCGCGATTCATACCAACCTAGACAGGTAGGTAGAAATGGCCATCTCATGGAAAGCAGAAGCGATAAGAATAATTGAAAAATAATGAGGGCCTGTCCAAAGCATCCCCCTGGAAATCACATGTCTCTGGTAATGCGTCGGCGTAGTTTGAGAACTGGTGGTATTCATCAACCGTGGCTGCCGGGCGCTCCCAGCCAGATCGTACCATATCGATAACGAGTACCCCAGCTTGTGGAGCCCTGATCTTCATATATCTCCTGACCGACGCTGATCGCGCCCTTCGTTGCAAGCGTGAGCGCATTCATGAAAGCTTGCGTAGCCACCGCGCGCGAGGTCTCCTTGGGCGGAAGCAAAGTTTCGAATTCAATACGGCCGGCCTTGGATGGGAGCATCTTTTCTTTGAGGAAATCCCAGAAGTTCAGAGTGCCTTGGTCCAGCATATTCGCAATGCGCTGATCAGCATTGTTCTTCCGGCGGTCGATATCACTGATATCTCCTTTGTCCGGGGACAATTCGGCTTCGAGGTATCTGGTGATGTCGAGATCATCCAGGTCGTCGCCTACATTTCCTGGAATGTCGAGGCTGCTGTCTCTATCACGATTGAGTAACAAGCCTCGCCCGGCCAGTGGACTTGCACTTGTGATACGGCCGTGGCGTCTCGAACCGTAGGAGAGCTCGCTTCCGCTTCTGAAGCGCTGACCTCGACGAGAGCTCTCAATTGATGCAATGGTGTTCCATGGCATCAGGGAGGAATGGTCATCTAGCACACTGGATGGGGCGTGGCGCGCAACTTCGACTTCCATGGGATCATTATGTTCCTCCCGAGGCCGTACTCGACGATCATGCTCGTCTGAATCACTATCATCCCCGGTATTGTGTGTCCGTCTCCGTTTGCGCCCAGTTTCGGAACAAAGAGTGTCGTATAGCTCCTCGCCTGAGTAAGACTTGAGCGGGTGAATTATATGCGGGATGTCGAGTTCCTTTCCCACTGCGCCGATTCCCTTGCCGAAGACCCAGTAGGCTGCGTTTTTCTTCGCAATCGTAGGCAATTTGTTCAACTGCTTCTGCTTTGCGGCTTGCACCATGTTTGCTTTGTATTCGTTGTTCCATCGAGCCAGGTCTGTGTTTCGCAGGGTCGTGACGACGTCCGTAGCGAGGATTTTGGCCTCTCTGGTTCTCTGGTTGACTCTTCTTTCTCTCTCCATGGGCTCACTGAGACCCATCTCTTCAGCTAGAACCTTTTCTCCTGGCAAGGCGATTTCATTCATGGGCGCGACATCGATGTCCATCATGTCATTCTCACGGACGAATACTGCGCCGTCGTCGGCAACTACCATACCCTTGAGGATATTAGTCAACGCAGTATCTCTTCACTGGGGGAGGGGTTCGCTCACTGTATCATCTTGGGCTTTTTGGATGCCAGGACCCTGGCTTCGGCGTGGATCGAGACTAGTTGGTCTTCTCCTGTGAGGGGACACCCTGCTCACATCAAATTCAATGATATCTCCATTATCATCGAATTCAAAATCAGGATGCAGTAGAACACCTTCTTCATCTCCCAGTCCCGCCTGTTTCTTCCTGCCGAACAGACCTTGCTTCTGTGCAAAATCGTTGATATCGTTGTCCAGCCCGGACAACACATTACCCTCGATAAGGTCATCCTGGGGAAGGTCCAGCTGGAGAGGTCCAATGTGAGACCCGCTGGAATAACTGTTCGCAGGTGATTTAGACCAGATACTGGAATATTGATAGGAGCTTTCGTCTGTAATCGCGTCGAGCAAGATGATATCGATGTCCATGCCGGGTAAACCGGTCTCGGGGAGGAAGGTAGGGTCGTATGGCAGATTGAGACTCCCCGGCCTGGAATGCGTCAGAGATCCTTCTTCGTAGCTTGAACATAGTAAATGAACTGACTTTGACTTCCCGGCGCTGGGATCCAAACCAGCACCCCGCACAATCTTCAGCATAGACATCATCTTGTCATGCATCGTCTGGGCATCAAGCAAAGTGTATCCGCACTGCTGGTTGAAGACGCGCGAAACGCCGTATCTTTGGAAATTTCGTCAGTCAGGACACCTCACGAGGGATTACAAAAAGTTACAGCAAGCTGCCCTGAAGTCGCAGTGCCATCGGCGCCTCCGGGTCGATGATAACCCTGCATGCACCCGGCACGTCCACATCCTGTATAGCCTTTCGGTTAATTCTTCTTGCGATGGACCGCGATCCGAGAGTTGCAACTAGCCTGGGGATGTTAGTTCAGACCTGCGTTTAGCCTGTGACCACGGTTGCCAAGCTACTTACCAGATCGTTGCGACGCCATGCTCTGGCGATGTGAGGACTAAAGCAGGTAATTTCAGTCATCACGCATCTTCAACTATGATGGGATGGTTGAAGGGACTCACTTTCGTGGCTGTAGAACATGGTAAGTGTGCCCGGCCTGGCACCGCCAGGTGGGCTGTTTGGTCAATGACCGTTGGGATGCTGGTGTGTTGAATGAAGCCTTGTCTTCTGGAGTGAGAGCGGATGGAGATGGTGGATAGAACGAACCAAGCGAATAGTGATTACGTGAAGAGTCACCAGCTTGGTACCCTGAAGCCGAGTAGTGGAGGACTTGAGAACGTTGAGTCGGAATGAGTAATATGCAAAGAAGCACCGAGAAGAGGGAGTTCATCTGAACTGAATCACTCCAGACGGGATTTGATGCAGAGTACAAGGACAGAATCACTGGAGGCAGATCTTGGGAAGGTCGTTGAGGGTGATGTCTCATAAAGCCATCGCTCTGCAAATCTCATATCTTCTTCTACACAAGCACGACAAGGTCATGTCTTCGCCCAGAGTGCAATAAATTTACTTTTATGATATTGGATATCTCCCTGTACCAAGTCTAGAGAAACCCATCATAAATATAAAACGAAGCATACTCGAACCAAAAAAAAGTGAAATGGAATCTAGAAGCGGAAACAAAGACGAGACACCAATATCCAAGAGTTACTCTCCCAGGCGAATACAATGGTCAAGAAAGACAGACAAAAACGAAACCCAGACAGGGGTAGATCAGGAGGTAGGTAGGAATGGGTTCCATACTGGACATCTCCAACCCATAGCGATGTATATGATGCATGCGGGGTATGAGACAAAATACAGGCGGAAAGGGATACACAGAACACCCTATAATTTTTTTTTCAATGGCAAATCGACGCGACATTTACTCGAGGGGGATGCCCTCGTACTCGGAGTAGCCAAGAGCAAGGTTCATGTTCTCTGTAGATGATTGTTAGCTTTGTAATTGTGGGGTTTTGGGGATATGAGAGCTTACGGAGGCACTGGGTAGCGGCACCCTTGAGCAGGTTGTCGATGGTAGCACAGACGACGACGCGCTTGCCGCTGGAGTGGACGGCGAAACCGCCGATCTCAACACCGTGGCGACCGGCAATGTCCTTCACGAGGGGAGCCTCGCCAGTGACCTTGACGAGCTTCTCGCCGGCATAACGATCCTGGTACAGGTTGCGGATGTCCCGGGAGGTCATCTCCTTGGCGAGGGGAATGCTGATGGTGTGGTGGATGCCCTGGAACCAGACAGCCACGTGGGGGATGAAGGCAATGCTGGTGCCGAGCTGGGCGCTGATCTCACGCTCGTGGATGTGATCCGTCAGACTGTAGGGGATGATGTTGTTGGTGAGGAAGTTGACGTCGTTCTTTGGGCTGGGCTTGGTACCAGCGCCAGAGTATCCAGAGACACCGAAAACGGTAGGCTGGCCGCCGAGGAAGGGGACGAGAGGGGCAATGCCGAGCTGGGCAGCGGTAGCGTAGCAGCCGGGGTTGGCAATGCGGGTGGCACGGGCGATCTTGGAACGGTCAACCAGCTCGGGGAGACCGTACGTCCACTTGTCGTCGAAGCGGTAGTCGGCGCTCAGGTCAACGATAACGTTACCGTTGGCGGAACCCTCGTCAACGGCATCAACGAAGGGCTTGCAGACACCGTTGGGCAGAGCCATCACCCAGCAGTCGATGTCACCGTTGGCGGACATCTTGCGGACGTCCTCGGGGCTGAGGTTTTCGTAGATGATCTCACGCTTCTCGTAGCCCTGGAGCTTCTTGCCAGCGAGCTCACGCGAGGAGACGTGGCGGAGATCCATGTTGGGGTGAGCGTTGAGCAGGCTGATCAGAGCCTGGCCGGTGTAGCCACGGGCACCGATGAGGGCGACCTTGGCGGGCTGCGGGTTGGAGGCGTTCTTCTCACCGAGGGGAGGGTTGGGGTTGGTGGTGGTGTAGGTGCGGAAAGCGTTGACAGCAACGGCAGGGCGCTTGGCCCGGGTAGCGCGAAGAACATTGCTGGTAGAAGAGAAGGCACGCTTCTGCTCAACAGAGGCACCGCTGGCTCCGAAGCCCTTGTTGATATTGATGGCGGCTTGGTGAGCGCGAAGGAGGCGGTTCTCGAGGTTGATGTCGCCGAACATCTGGCGGCCGTTCTTGGTGAACTCCTGGACAAGCTGCTTCACCTCATCGCCGCTCTCAACACCGTACCAGAACAGAACCTGGCCGTCGCGGCTCAGGCTACCGTCGGCCTTGTCGAAGAACCAGGTCAGGTTCTCGTCATCTTCCTTGACGGTCCAAGCCAGCTTGGGGAAGTCCTTCTTGAGGCTGGAGAAGACGTTGTCGGCAACGTTGGTCAACCAGCCAGACTTGGTAATGGTGAAGGTGGCGAGCTGAGCAATCTCAGAGTCCTTCTGGGGGCAGAACAACAGCGAGAGCATCCATAGGGTCGTCGTAGTAGACCTTCAAGTCGCGCTCCTGCAGGCCCTCGACGTAGCGGTCAACAACAGCACGGGCATCCAGACCCTCACGGTCGCGAACCAGCACATCCTTTAGGGCCTGCAGATCCTGGAACTCAGACAGAGAGGTCTTGACGTTGATCTTGTTGCCGCGGCGAATCAGGGTACCGGCACCGGAGTCGGTGAACAGCTCCTTCTGGAGATCGGCAGGGTGAATGATGGCAACGCTGGACGAGCGAGGCAGGTCGCTCAGGAGTTCCTTCATCTCCTTGATCTTCAGGCGAGTACCGTGACGCACCCACCACTGAGTCATCAGGTGGTCGTACTCCTCGTCGAGGTTGATGGCGGAGATCTTCTCACCGGTGTCACCGTTGAACAGACCGCCTTTCTCGGCGAGGTAGACAATCTTCAGCGGCTGCAGAGCGCGGGCCAACTCACCGGCAGCGACATCGGCGTTGACGTTCAGAACCTGGCCATCGGGAGTCTCGGCCATGGAGGTCAAAATGGGCAGGCAGCCAGCGGCAATGGCCGACTCAATGGGCTTCTTGTCGACACCGTTGATCTTGCCAACGAGGTTGTACTTGGCCTTGTCGAGGTAGTCGGCAGAGAAGACGCCCGCGGTGAGGGGACGGGCACGGATACCCATGCGCTCCAGCTCCTCAACCAGCTTCATGTTCTCCTCGAGGAACAGCTTGCGTGCCAGCGCCAGAGTTTTACCATCAGTGACCCGGATTCCATCCTCGAACTGGGGTTCGACACCGGCGGCCTCCAACATGCGGTTGAGTTGGGGGCCTGCGCCGTGGACGACGATCGGGTAAAGACCGACATGGTTGAGGAAGGCGAGCGCGGACGACAGGGTCTGGAGGTGCTCGGTGATAATAGCACCACCAACTTTGATGACGGCGAACTGCTGGGAGGAGACGGAGGTGAAGTGGGACAGGTACTGCTGAACCTCACGCTTGGAGCCGATGTTGCTCAACAACTGAACGACGGTGCTGCGGGTAGAGCTGAGGTGAGGTTCGGCGGCGCGAGAGTAGCCACGGCCCTGGCTCAGAGGAGCCGCAACCGCACGAGCGGTCACGCCTCGCAGCGGCGAGACGTGTGGTGCGGAGAGAGATCGGAGGGGCTTGGTAGAAGCTCTCCGCACGGCGGAGCGAAGGGACAACATCTTCACCAGCATGCGGCAGCTTCAATTGGGATTGGCGAAACGAACCCGGGGAGATTCCCCTTTTGAAGACGTGTGTATAGGGCGGTGGGAGGTGAAAAGTGGAAGTGTGACTAACTGGGGGACTCAAGAGATTTTGCAGATTATCGGCCGGCCATCGGAGCGATAAGTCGCCCAATGACGGGGTCGGGCGGTGGGGACCCTTGCGTGCCTAGCGAGCGCGATTTACGCAGCCCATTCTTCGTTCACGAGCGAAAATTATTGTCGAGTCAGATAACGCATATAAGGGGGAAAGGGCAAATTTATCTACGGTGATCTAAGTAAATCTGCGACTCCCTGCGATATACTCAGCCTGGGACGCCTTAACGTAGTCTGGGGGCCTTAACGTAGACTGCAGTACACCATATACGTCTTACCCTATATCGGCCCTAAAAGTACCAATTCCTTCACGCACCTGCGAGATCGTCGTTGTCAAATCTCACGGGCCCGCACGCGAGTCCAGGATCTCCGAAAAGCCCACCTGGAAGTCGGAGTTCCCTAGAAACGTCACCCGGCTTGGGTCTAGTGCCAGTTATCTGATCCTGTCCGCTGCTCTGACTCGTCTCCCATTATCCACTTCCTCCACCCAACTGTCTTAGTCTCGGCATTCTTCGCTCCATCCTGCCGGTTCCAACACTAGGCTTGCTCCCGGAAGGCCTTGCTACTGGTCTTCGACCTACGATGAGTTACTGTGGGCCGATATTTACTTTTGCCAAGGAACATGGTCTACGAAGCGGGCCACACCACGAGGCATGAAACAGGGCAGACCCAAAGAAGGCGAGTACGGAAGGGTTCACTGGACCCGAATACAAGAAAAATTCGTAGTGGTAACATAGTCGAACACGGCATCGCAGCAGTATCATTTACATCTTTCGCCCGACGAAGTGGCTATGAGGCCCGGCCCCGTTTGGCAGTACAGAGGCTTTCGTCAGCGCAGAAGTCAACAGAGGATTTCGGTCATTCAAAACACGCCCAAAAAACAAGACAGTAGGAGGTATTAGCAGGCTGGAAAACGACGCAGCTCCATGGCCTCAACGTTAATAAACCCGGTTAAAAAGATCATTTCCCCATGTTTCCCAAACCAAAACAAGTCGCGCAATGCATTTGCTAACGCATGGCACACTAGTGATATTTGACGGAGACTGGAAAGCAGATACGTTAGCGTCCATAGTCCCACTCTCCGAGATCCAAGCCCCGACACCGGGGTCGGCTTGCAGCAAACTTACCAGGGACGATAATGACTACCAGGAGGACGATCACACAGATCACCAGGCATACGCGCATCTTCATGTCCTTCCACCACATCTGCTTGCGCACGCGGTTGGCGCCCCGGCGGAAGCCCTGGGCTGATACTGCCAGGTTGTCCGTCTTGTCCTGGAGGGAGTCGAGGCGCTCACCACGCTGGGAGACCTTGTTGATGTTCTCGCGCATCACACCGACGGTATCGTCGATTTGCTAGTAGGGGCGTATCATGTTAGTCTCAGTTGACATGTGAACATCACGAGTCCCGGTCAACACGGCAGCGCATGTCACTCGCGACACAATATGTCAAGCGAAAACAAGTCTGATGTCGTCTCGAGACTCGTGCAATGCCAAGGGGGAGAGGACGAACCGCTTGCAACGCGGCAGTGCGCTGGTTGCCATTCTGCGAAGAGGAGGCCGCGGGGGCTCCGTTGCCGCCAGCGGGGATGTAGGGGTCGTAGGGGGCTTCGTTGGACATCGTGAGGGAGAGAGCTGGTATCAAGAGTCTTAGATATGAATTCGTGAAATCAAAAGAAACCAGGCTACCCCGTTCGGGCAGTCAGGGTCGCTTTGTTTTGGACGGGGAGAACCAACCGAGCGCGGTGGCTGCGAGGCGAAAGGGGGATCAGATGAGAGGAGTCGAGAGGAGGACAACAGCGGTTTGATGAAGATCAAGGAAACAGGGAAGGCGTGGGCAGGGATTAGGGACGAACGTTGTCTGGTGAAGCTGACAAGTTGGAGTTGCCGCTGATGGCGGTTTCGCCCAGAGTCACGTGAGCGTGGCGCTGTCTCAAAGGGAAGGGAATTCTTTTTTCTTCTTCTTTCGGCAGCTCACTTTGACCCCCGAATTGGTTTCTGACTGATCACGGAGTCTTCCTCTCAATTGGGGATCGTTCACGGTTGACATGGAACTGGGGAAATGAAGCGTAATCTACTACAAACAGCCACTGTACAAGACCTCATTGGCCGGGGGCGTTTCAGAGCCTGGATACAGTCCGTCGTCTACACAACACTATAAATTCCTTTTACAGTCATTTCGGCCCTCATTTGTTACCTAGTTTCCTTCCTCGCCACTGCCGGGCGCATCCTGTGCTTTATGTGGCTGCCTATACAGTTCTACCGGCGACTTCCACGTAGCCGCAGTTGCTTGAGAAACGGATACTAAACATAGTAACATGCTCCGCGCGAAGTCGGGGTGCCGCCTTGGACTTCGGAACTCGGCGGACTTTTGTGAACATGCAACTCATTGCCGAGATCGATCGATGCGCGTAACGTCCAATATATTGTCACACGGCCTTTTGGGTTCCCAATGACCCCTGGAGATCCCCGGCGCAGCATGACGTACTCGGTAACTGATCTGCCGATCGTGGGGCCCTGATTCTGGAGAGGAAGAGATGGATCCCTGCGACATCCCTCGAACGAGTCGGTTTGCCAAGACAGGGCCAACACACCGCTTCAATCCTGCGGCATTTTGCACTGCCAAGTATCCAGGGATGCTCGAAAATTGTCTACAATTGCCTGTCTCGAGAGCATGTTCCGTCCATGTGGTGAAATCCTCCGTAATATGCGATGCCGTCGAGGCCCGCCTTGCAGCTTGCATTTCTCCGATGTCAATGATATCGCACGGCCCTTTCCAATACAGGCACTGGTCTTCATCTTCTGCATCGGCTAGCTTGCGAGGGTTTGCATATCTAGCATCGTCTGGGGTCCATGGGTGCCCAATGAGACCAAACTTTTAACTGTTGACTTTGTAAGTAGAGAAGAGACACGTGCCTCCAATCCTGATTGTGGCCGATTAGTAGGAGCTTTGCCCACGAGATGGATCGGTAGCTAGTGGATGAATCTTTAAATACATGGGATAAACCATCGATAATTCCGTAATAGAACTACTGTCCTATGTGTGTTTATAACGCAGGAAAATAACGCTAGATTTAATTTCAAATGATTGTTTACAATATCACTAATGCTCACAGAGTGAAAACTCCCCACTTATGAATCCCTCATTCTGTTCCCGAGTCTGGATACTCCTCTCCTCCATCAACTCCAGCCTATATTCCTTCGCCTCGTCCAGGGTCATAACCGACTTTGGCAAATCTTTACGTACCATTTCCCGCAATTCCACGGGCAGTCGCGTACCGAGCAATTCATCAATAAGATTCTTCCGTCCCTTACTCCAATCCGCTTGCTGCGGCGGCACATTGGCAGACGAGATGATTCTCACATGCGGATCAATAAGGAACAACGCAAGAATCTTGCGATGACCAGGCTTCGATCGATCCGCCAGTGAGAACGGAGACACGCGGTGCTGAAGAATATTAGGAAATGTGAGCAGGCGGTCCTCGCGACACACGACGCCTCCAAGATCCTGCGTCATGCCGTCAACGTGGTCTTCGAAGTAAATTCCTGAGCCGGGGAACCCGTAGACCTGCTGAAGGAATTCGTGCCGGTTTTGTTCGTAGCCAAACTCTTGGGCGAGGTCTTTTCCTGCGCGGTGGCGGAAGCAAAGTGTGCTCTGTGTGATGTTTTCGCTGTCATAGTAGTAGATGGCCGTAGCGCAGATGCGTTCATTCTGGAAAGAATTAGTCTATGACCAAGACAATATACTAGTAGAGGTCTTACAAGTTGTCCCTCGATGTGCCAGCTACCTCCGTCGTATTCGGGGTTTTCGGGACTGAGCTCAATGTTGGCCAACTTCACAATGACCTGGAGGCCACTGTCCTTGTACTCCTCGCGAAGATTAACACACATATCGGGTCGAACCTGGTTCGGAGGCTTGAACCAGTCCACATTTGGCTCTGGAAGTTCGATCGGCCGAGCTGCTGCCCATGCCTCGCAACGATCCCAGTAATCTTGCTCGTCCTCATCTTCTCCTTGAGTCGGCTCCGTCGCCTCAGTGCCATCGACATATTTGACGTCGTCTCCATATTGGATTCTTTCTCCCCATGGGGAAACTGGTGTCAGGGTTTTGTTCCAAAGTGGAATGGCTCGCGCAATGATTTTCTCGATTATTCCATACAGAGCCCTGTGGTCAACCGGGTGGACATTGTTCATGTATGAAGTTATACGACATCCGGGCTCACTTTCCGAAAATCTCACGTCGCATGGAAGCCATTGGAATCTCCGGCTGATCGCCTCATGGGAAGGATATCCTCGCCAACTTCGAGGCGACGCCTCGCGTTTTGGACGCACTTGAAGTACTTCTCCCTGGCCAACACTATTCAGACAATCATCCAGACCGATGAGTTTGTCTCTGAGGATATGGGTGCGTCCGTATACGACGGGGAAAAGCGATTGGTGCACAAGATCAAGAACCTTGTTATCCGAGCCAGGATGATAGTCCTTTTGGTCATCCGGGACCTCTTCAAAAGGCGCCACCGCCTCCTTGAGCTGCTGTTTGAGGTCCTTCGGGATTGCATTGTCTGATTTGACAACACCGTTGTCAAAGACCCCGACGATACCATCTTTCTTGAGACTCTCGGCTTTCCATTGTAGCTCTTTGATGATCCAATCCATCATAGCTTTGGTCACATCCTGTCCGCTTTCGGAGATCTCTTGTCGCCATTTATCAGTGACTTTTTCATCAAACACCTAGATGCATTAGCAAGGATTGACAGCCTCAGGAGGCCTGCACACCTTTTGATCCCAGTGCGGTTTATCGGTGATGGTGTTCATCACCCGCATCATCAGAATCTCTCGAAGGGTATAGAGGAAGCTAAGAACAGTGAGTTCGATGCCAAAAGAAAATTATATCAGGGCGTACCCTTCATCATTGACTTCGTTATAATCGAGTGCATTGGGGAAAAGAGAGTATTTGCCATGCTCCAATTCGGTTAGCAGGTTATGTTGCGCTAGAGATCCAGACATACTTCGGCATAGGTCAACGGGAGAGTGAATTCAGGTAGGTCAACTCGCAATTCCTGTGGGAAATCCATTGTGACTGAGAGGTTGAGAAGCTGTATAGGAGTGAAACCAGGTTCTTTGTAGATGGTCTATATAGGCCGGCGGCCCCCACGTGACAATAGGCAGAATACGACAATTCAAGGCAGAAAGGGCCCGCACTCGCGCTACTGGCCTTTTAGCTCACTTGGCGAGTTTTATTTCCTGACTCACTGTTATTGGGTTAAGTGCCTGGTTAGGGACTTCAGGAGATGTGTTGTTCTTTCAAAGAGCCGCTTTTGATGGGATTATTGAGAAGTAGAGATGATGCAAATCAAGATAGGTATACACAAAGCCTCAAATAACAGGAGAGGCGTTTCCATGCAACAATGCAATCGGCAAATATCGTACACACCGTAAGGATCGTCCACCGGGTTCGGGAGCGACTGCTCCATCGAATCGTCGAAGTTACTTTTCACCGACCGGGGTATTATGAGAGCGACAAACGTGCAGAAAGCAGCGGAGGGGAGGGATGAGTTTCAAGGTTTGGCGAATGGCGAAGGAAGGGATCATGGCGAATAACGGCTCCGACAAGACCTGGACTGGAGGGGCGCGAGGTCACGACAGAGGTTGTAAGCACCGGATCGAGCCACACAACCTCCAAGCCCTTATCGCAATCATTTCTCGCCCAGCATCTCCTTGCGCATCTCTTCCCTTTGTACTCGAGTCTCCTCTTTTGTGCGACGGCGCTGCGCATCGATCTGTGCTTGCTTCGCGTCCTGCTCCTCTTTCGCAGCGAACCAAACTAGAGGTGACCATGCGTTAGCCAGGATATCCCATATCAATGCCGTGTAAAGCACGAGGGGTCGTCTTTCGGACATACTGGACTTGTCTGATTTGGACCACTCTTTCAACTTCTTGACGTAGTCGTCGAATTCCTGTTCCTTGCTATTTCCCTGCTCCGCGCTGCGCTTCTTCAGTTCCGGGCTGTACTGCTTCACGAGTTCTTCATCGCTTGGTCGAAGCCATTGGACCATTGCCGGTCCACCGACGCATAGAGCGAGGCCGCTATGAGATCATGAACGTTAGCCTCTGCCTGTAGCGATCCCGCGTTCCGTTACTCACCCGACGGCCGTCTTGAACCAAATCCCAGCGCGAGACATCGTGGACACTTTGTCGGGTGATCGGAAGAGTCGGATATATTGGAGCCCACTGACGTAGGAACTTGGTGGAGTTGGTGGACTTGATCTGTGAGACACGAGGAACATCGTCGCATCATCGGAGCGTTCATTTGTTGCCGGTGTGGCGCAGCTGCGGCTTGTGCGTGGCGCAGCATCATCGGTTGTCTCAGATTGGGGCCTTCCATCTTGCTTCCATTCTTCCATCGCCGTCTTGCCGTCTTTGTTTCCCCCACATTTGCGGCGGCTGAAACGGTCTTCGGGAGTTCGTTAGGCGTATAGCTCGAGTTCGGTTCTTACGATATATTTTACGCGGTGTGCATCCATAGGTCGCTACCTGCATTCCGCAATTCGTTGAGATGCATAGGCTATTCACTGGTTGAGGTCTCAGGCCTCCTTCACTTCCACCGCATCTTTTGTGAAATCGACAACGTTCCGAGCAATACCTGATCGACCTCTCAGTGCTGTCATATAGATTCTAATTTACACAAAGGATCAAAGCTATCATCTAGCTCGTCTTAGGGTATGTCTATGTATGCTCCAGAGCTGTGCACGAATGTGTATCTTGCTGGAAATATGCTTCCCGGTATTAGAATAACCCCTCAGAGGATGTCTGCATATGTTCCCCAAATTCCCCATATGAGGGTAGTTAATGCACCATAATGACGTCGCTATTCTCCGATCTTTCGAGAGAGCAAACGCAGACGCAGTGTTTGGCTTAACGCTTGATCTGTAATTTCAGTACTGGGCTACTTCTTACTGGACGGGCCCAACTGGAGTGGAACAAAAGCACTTCTTATTCCATGGATTGGACCGACTTGCAATTTCTTGGTTTCAAGACAGTCTCCAGGGAGCCTGGGAAAAAGTGGAGACTCCGGCACTAAATCAGTAGGAAAGTGTAAAAATCATCAAGAAGGGTGGATTGGTCAGGTATAATATTAGGATATACCTGAAGGCAGGATTTCTAGGTCAGACCCCTAGCGCACCATACTCTTACTGCATGGCAAGGATTGCCAAACCTCAAAACGCCGAGGTTGTGCCCAGAATTGGCATTGAGCCCGGGTGCCGTGACTGGCGTGCATTGGTCCCCGTTTTCCGCAGAGCCTTACCCTGTTAAGCTAGTCAGGCACCAAAGACGCTCCCGACAACCGTGACCGAATCAACCAGAGATTAGCGACTCAGATCGTGGCCAGTGTCTGTCTCAGGAAAACGAGGCGCAGGCCAACGGAACCGACAGAGGGCGCCAAGAGAAAAAAACGGGGTTGAAAGCGTGAAGGTAATGACGGCGGGAGTTCATGACGGTGGGTCTCGCTTTTATTAAAGTCACCTGCCTTCCCTCTCCGACCCCCTCAAACTCATTCACCCCGCGCTTCTACTGCCGTCTGTTCGGGGCGTTCTGGATGTCCTCGGTGAGTCTCATGTGTGTGCGCTTCTTCTTACTCTCTGTGCACGGGTTCGCGCTGTGGAGAGGATTGTCGGCTCGTGAACTAACGTCTGCAGTGACCGAGTACCCTCCTTGCATGCGACCGCACCTGCGCGATTGCGACCTCACGGAAGTCTCGAGATAACCACCCTATCTACGCCCTGAGCCATGGCTTATCCAGCACCGTCACGGTCGGCTCAAAGGCCGCCGCCGTTGAGGCAGTATAACCAGGCCCCGGGCTCACCAGCAGCGCCTCCCGGTGCTTACGCGCAGGATCCAGGCTACGGACCCGAATACGGGGATGCGGGATACGGCCCTGAACCAGGATTTGAAGACCCAGCATACGGTTACGCAGCTGGCCCTCCTATGTCGCAGCCGAACGGGTCGGCGCAACCTCGATCGATGCGTCCGCCGCCTCCAGGCGGACGACCTCCACATGGATATGATGACCGGCGCGGCTACCCTGGCGGTAGAGCGCCACCGGAGAAACGATCAAGAACCCGTAAGTGAACCCGCCAGCAGATTGCCTTGTGCTGCCATTGACAGTATGCATAGCTGTCGGCCGTCGCCCGCCAGGTACAGGTCCTACCTTCGATAACCCGTTCCCTGCCGTTCCTCCTGGCAGAGATCCTAGAGATCGCCGTGGTCCCCCTCCTCGAGGCCTAGAGAAAGGCATGGCTGCGATGGATATCAACGGTAGACCTCCACCGCGCCCGCATACTTCGAACAGTCGACGACCAGATATGCGTGGACCAGATATGCGAGGACCACCCCCGCGCGGACCGCCACCAAGCAGAGGTAGAGGAGGTTATTATCCGGGACCCCCGCGGTCCGCTAGCTCATCACGAATGGGGGAGCCTCCCATGGGTCCGCCCGGTCGAAGCGCAACGATGCCAACCGCGGCGCCTCCTGTCATGTATCCGCCCCAGCCGGGTTATTCAGACTACGATTATCCAGGCAGTCCCATGGACGCTCCTGCACGCCCCAGCACGGCTGGAGGGATGCGGCCTCCGCCGCGTCCCGTCAATGATATGGACCCTGGACTAATGATGCCGCCGCCGCCTGATCCGCCTAATCGAGTATCTTACGCGCCTAAGGATTTCTTGGATAGCTACTACGAGAGTGGCGATGAACCCGATATGCCGAACTTTGATGCGATGCCGCAGACGCATATTGGACCGATTGATGAAATGGGATTGGATACACCAAAGTCAAATGTACAAACACCCACTTCCCCGTCCGCCCCTTCTCCAGGCGGCGCATACTCTCCTTATACTCCGGACTCTGGACATGGAAACCCGCACTCCCGATCGCAACCCAATTTTCCCAATGGGGATTCTCCAAATCAGTTCGTGAATGCTGGTTTCCAATTCGATATTCCCGGAGAACCGCCGCGTCATCAGGATGGATACTTTCCCAACAGCTACGAGGCGAACGGTGCGTCTCCGTACCATAATCAACCCAAGGGACCTGATCCTCAGCAGGATCCCGATGCCCTGCCGCATCACCCCGCGCCATTCCGGCCGGGCCTTGACCAAAAACCCCCTCCGGTCCGCCAATACAACACCGCTCCAAACTCTGCTCCCGGTCCCGGTCCCGGTCCCAGTCCTGCTGCACCGCAGTCCACACATCCGGCAAGCATGGGGCCTACACCTGTTACGCAGGAGGAACTGCAGCAACTTCAACAAAAAGTGCGCGGCAACCCCTCCGACCAGGCGACCCAGCTCCTTCTCGCTAAGAAGCTGGTGGAAGCTGCTACTGTCCTTGTGGCAGATAACAATAGACTTGACCCTAAGACAAAAGCCAAGGCAAAGGAGAAGTATATCTTTGATGCACACAAGATGGTGAAGAAGCTGGTTTCGGCTGGTTACCCGGATGCACAATTCTACCTGGCCGATTGCTACGGTGAAGGCCAGTTGGGACTGGCGGCTGACCCCAAAGAAGCCTTTGCGCTGTACCACTCTGCCGCCAAGAACGGCCATGCCCAATCTGCCTACCGTGTCGCTGTCTGCTCTGAGATCGGTCAAGAAGAAGGCGGTGGTACCAAGCGGGATCCATTCAAGGCTGTGCAGTGGTACAAGCGTGCGGCAGCGCTAGGCGATACCCCAGCGATGTATAAGATGGGCATGATCAACCTGAAGGGCTTGCTGGGTCAAGCCCGAAACCCTCGTGAGGGTGTCTCGTGGCTGAAGCGTGCTGCTGAACGTGCTGATGAGGAGAACCCACATGCCCTCCATGAACTGGCTCTCATGTACCAGAATGCCGGCGGCAACGACGTTATTATTCGCGATGAGAAGTATGCCAGCCAACTGTTCCATCAAGCTGCGGACTTGGGCTACAAGTTTTCGCAGTTCCGACTGGGCACGGCTTATGAGTATGGCTTGATGGGATGCCCTGTCGACAACCGGATGAGTATCATTTGGTATACCCGTGCCGCCGCTCAGGGTGAGCATCAGAGTGAACTTGCCCTTAGTGGTTGGTACCTTACTGGTTCCGAGGGCATCCTGCAGCAAAACGACACCGAAGCCTATCTCTGGGCCCGCAAAGCAGCCACCGCTGGTCTTGCCAAGGCCGAGTATGCCATGGGATATTTCACCGAGGTTGGAATTGGGGTTTCGGCCAATCTGGAGGATGCAAAGCGATGGTACTGGCGTGCGGCTGGTAAGTAACTCGCTCATCATTGAAATAACTTTCCACTAATACATTCTTCAGCACAAGGATTCCCCAAGGCCCGAGAACGTCTCGAAGATCTCAAAAAAGGAGGAGGTCGGATGCAAAAGACCCGACTCTCCCGCTCGGCTGTTAACAAGCAGAGCGATGGCGACTGCATCCTCATGTAAACCCATTCAATTCGACATATTCTACTTTATTCACCTTTTACAGTCCACACTGGGCTCCCACTGCATGTATCTTCCTAATGACCACCGGCGCATGATGTTGAACCAACCCTGGTTTGGAACAAGGTCCATCTTGGATTCGGGCTGTACAATTTTGCTCTTGTCTTTTTCACACCAACGATCTTTCGTGACGTTTGCGTTTGGTTCTGGGCGCGGTGTGCATTTAATCTGAAACCTTCCATACGTGGAAAGACATGACTGGTACGGGATACGATTGGGATTTAATACGCTGAAGCCGGGTCTGGCTTTGTATACGATAGAATTGATTGTTGGGATATTCGACATTTTCTGCACATAATTCAATATTCACCTCAAGTGCTCTATGCCCACCGTCTCCTGATCGTCAAGTGTATATCCGAATCTCCGAGCGGGTCCATTCCGCGCTGACACACTTTTCGGCTCGGCTTATGCCATCGGGTAGAGAGACTCTGTACTTCCGAATGGGCTTCGATTTCAAATGCAACTCATGACTGATGATTAATATTGCATTCTTTATATTTCTCTAGCGCCATCTCAATCGCACACCTGCGTATTCTCCTTTGAGTCCATCGCGCAGTGATATATGTCTTCCGAAGCGCGCCAGGACCAGCATAACTCACCAGGTTCGAGAAGCGATATTACCAGCAATCGCAAACTACTTCTCTTTTCTCTGGTCACTCTCCTCGTCGCCACAATAATCGCCCTCTTCGCGCGCGATATCGCCGCGGTGTCCAGCTTCCGCCGCCTCTTCGGGTCTTCCACCCGCGCCACTCGCTCGGCTGCTCCTCTCTCGTCCGTTGCAGCAGCAGCTTCTGCAAAGACGACGGTCTCTTCCGGGCTCGAGGGCTCTACTGCCAATATGAAGACTCCAGTGTACTTCCTCAGCCATGGCGGGGTATGTTAGCCTGATGATTCCTTAAGGTAATTAGATCTATGGACTGATTCGAACTAGCCAAATGTCATGTACGATGTCGAGCACCCGGCATACCGTAAACTCGGGGACATCGGACGCGAAATCACTACGATGGTCAAGCCCCGCGCGGTGGTTGTCTTTTCGGCGCATTGGCAGGGTGGACGGGACACTATCTACGTCAACACGGCTGAGATGACGGATCTGATTTACGAGTATGTCCCTATACCCGAAGACTGTCGTGTGAGCACTGGCTAATGCGGATGATATCCAGCTTCTATGGGTTTCCCGACCACTACTACAAAGAGAAGTACCCCAATGTCGGCAGCAAAGAGGTCTCGCACAAAGTCCTCGATCTGCTCAAGGGAGCCGGAATTGAAGCAAAGGGCGTGAAACGCGGTCTTGACCACGGTGTTTGGGCAAGCTTCAAATGCGGTATGTAGCTAACCTCACAGAGCACAGTTGATGCCAGCAACTAATACCCCATGCAGCATTCGAACCAGACGAAAACCCACTCAATGTCCCCATCGTCCAAGTCTCCCTCTTCGACACTGAAAACCCAATCCAACACTACCGTCTCGGGCAGGCAGTGTCCCGTCTCCGCGAGGACAACATCCTCATCATTGTCTCAGGAATGGCAGTTCATAACCTACGCGATATGCGGTTTGCATTTGGTAATCCGCGCCCGTTGCCGTACGCTGTTAGTTTCGATGAGGCACTCAAGGAGGCTGTGACTACTGCGCCTGCTGAGCGGGAGCAGGCTATGGCTAGTCTGCTTAAGCGACCTGATGCCCGCCAGGCGCATCCGACTTTTGATCATTTGCTTCCTATCCATATAGGGGCGGGCGCTGCTGGGGAGGATCTTGGAAAGAGGACTTGGACTTATCCGGAGGGGAGTATGAGCTGGTCGCAGTATCGGTTTGGGGAGTTGGAGAATGCTAGTTCGTTGTAGTTGCTATCCTTAGAGTGTCATTAATAGAGCTGTTTCGGGTTATTGGAAAGGGTTTCAGCAGGGAATTGAGCATCTTAGATTGAGCACTCTTTGCCCTCGATATGGACTCTCCTACCAAGATAATCAATATATATTGTCTACTCCAGGGAAGGCACGCCGTATACATAGGGGGCCAAAATTATTTGAGAATCCCCAGTGCTGGGCCAACCGGGGTCCACCGGCTACACTCCGCCCAGTACCGCATGTCGTAGTTACGCCGGCGTGGCACAGAAAACTGACCCTTGAAATGCGATAGGCCGCATTTTTGGGCCAATAATCACCCGGTGCGGAGGACCAGAAAAAGGAAGGTATGAGTACGAAGCAGAAGACTTCGAGTGTGTATTGTAATTGGGACGAATTCGTCTGAGATTTCATCTATAGGTACACTTTGTAGAACGGAGGGAAACGCGGGCAGGGACATAAGACAGCGATGCTAATGGGATATGTCGTTATGAGGTCTGCTTCACCAGGCTGGTGATGCGCTCTTCGATCTGCGAGTCCGACAGGCCTGCTTCCAGTTAGCGATGCGGCGCTTCGGATGCTCCGGGGATACGAACCGGACAGCGCTTCTTGCTTCTCCTTTCCCAGGGCTGCGTTTCCATCGTATTAGCTCGGTTCTGTTTCCTTCAATTGCGCGCGTGTCGTACCGTATCTGGCGAACACCCGCGGCTCGGTGCCCGTGGCCTCGCGCATCATAATGGGAGTGTGGGGGTTGTGCTTCTTCATGGTCGGATAGGCACGGTTGAGGAACGACCTGGGACAGTTAGCCAGAGTCAATGGCTTGGGTTGGCTTTCGTTTTGATGAGCACGGGGGACATGCCTTGTGGGCGCGCTGGCCTCGGAGGTCTGGCAGAAAAGGAAGCGGAGCTCCTTCAGGCCCTTGGAGAAGACGTACTTGCCAGACATGGCGAAAGAATGGCAGGTCGGGGTTGGAGAACGAGAGGTATCACAACTTGGAGGGACGAAAGGACGTCTTATTCACCGCGGCGGTGATTCGCCCGGCAGACCGTGACTGCCGCCAGACCCGATCAGGCTTAGCGCGGGTGGCTTACCTCAGCCGGAAAAGAACCGCTTGAATGCGACCAGAACGAGAGCTGCGACCTTGAATTGATACTTGAATAGCTTCAGTGCTTTAATCTCTACTCTTTCCTGTACCTTGGTCTGCGCGTGGTAGTCGCAAACACCTCGTCGTTCTTCCCCCGACGGAAAACTCGAGATCCCCGATCACCGGCCGATCCCGCCCTTCTTCCCAACCCCAACACCTCGTCACCTCCCACAGCATAATCACCATGTCGTCTCGTGTGGGATTCCGCTTCCTCAACAGCACTCGCTTTGCTTTCCGCAATGCCTCTGCGCCATTCCGCCGGCCGGGTGCCCAAGGTTTCCGTTTCCAGAGCTCTGAGGCCGGTGCCGATGCCGCCCAGCAGCAGTCCACTTTCCAGCGCATGTGGAACAGCCCTATTGGTGTGAAGACTGTTCACTTCTGGTAAGAGCTTACTATTCTTGCTCTCTTTGTCATTGATTTTGGGATGATTACTGATACTCTTTGACTAATAGGGCCCCCGTTATGAAGGTACGATGACTGCATCCGTTTCCCGTTTGATAACCGTTCACTTTCTACCCATCTTCGACGAAAATGCGGAAGATCTAATGGATGCTTGGGAATAAATTGGATTCATCTGGAAGAACACGAGGCTGACTCGTTATCACAGTGGTGCCTGGTCATCGCCGGTATGGCCGATTTCGCCCGTCCTGCGGATAAGCTCTCCCTCACTCAGAACGCCGCCCTGATGGGCACTGGAGCCATCTGGACCCGCTGGTGCCTCATCATCAAGCCCCGTAACGTCTTGTACGTCCTCACGCTGCTCCACCCAATTTCCACACTGCTAACAATATCCTAGGCTCGCCACCGTCAACTTCTTCCTTGGTTGCGTTGGTGCCGTCCAGGTCACCCGTATCTTCATGTGGCAGCGTAGCCAGACGGGTAGCACCATCGAGGCTGCTAAGGAGTTGGAGCACGAGGCTGCTGACACCGTTAAGGCTGTTGCTCACGCCGCCGAGGGTGCCGTTGAGAAGGCTGAGAAGAAGGTCGTTGAGAAGTCGACTTAAACGGCTCGGCTGAATAGAAGTTGAGGATTTGGTGCGGGTATAGGCAAATGTGGACGATGCTGCAATTAAATTGGGGTCTATAGAGAAGTCGCGTTCACGGGCGAGGCGAAGCTCCACTGGTCACTCGTTTGGGAGCAGGATTCACTCCCTTTGTGCGTTTGCTTCGTTGAGGGGAGATCCGCTGTACATATAAACCATGGAAGATCATTGTTTTTGTTTTATCACTCCGCTCCCCGCTCCAGGTGTAGACATGTCGAGTATGCGTTCGAAAAGCTAGATTGGCCCAGTCTACGACATTCTGCTCGGATCTAGTCAATTCCTGTCCAGAAGGTAGGAACTGACCACCTGGGCAGCGCAGGTTCCAGCGACTAAGGCATTTACCCGAGTTTTTCCTCCCAATCGGTGAAATGCATCCCGCTTCTTCCTCCTATCGGACACCCGCTCATATCATCCTCACGTAAAATAGGGTATCCCAATCTCCGAGGTACTTCCCATGAAGACGCCAATTCAATGCACCAGCCTCTCCTCCGAACTTTCCCCACAGCGAGCGATGCCGTTTCCCCGGAAAAAGCCATTGCAGAATGGCCTACCCCGCTGAAACCACGTCTGCAAGCGCTGTTTAGCGTCGTCGCAACGTAATATATAGCCCGACACAAGGAACATTCCCCTTTTTTTTATAGTTATATAAAGACAGACTCCAGGGAGGATTGTGGCTCCTGCTTGAATCGCAGACGTGTCCCAAATAGAGCCCAGGCATACTTCCAATCTCAAGATTATCGCGGGTGACCATGAAGCTCTCCACGTTGACACAGGCCATTGGTCTGTTCTTGTCTCTCGTCGCTGTCGAAGGCAGTGAATATTCGAGAACGGACGCTTGCAAACCTCACCATCCGTTCAAGCCTCTCCCGGCTAGTCAAGCCAGAACCAAGACTTGCCATGTCGCAAACCATGGCAACGGGAAAGACGACTCAGCAAATATTCTGTCCGCGTTGGAAAAGTGTAACAACGGTGGCAAGGTCGTCTTCGATGCCGATAAGACGTATACTGTCGGCAAGGCGATGGATATGACTTTCCTAAAACATGTGGACCTGGGTATGTTCATCACATACAATACCGGAGGTATATCCCGTGCAATTTCTAACCGACACATGTACAGAAATTCTGGGCACTATTCTATTCACCAACAACACAGACTACTGGCAAGCTCACGCTTTCAAGCAAGGTTACCAAAACGCAACCACCTTCTTCCAGCTCGGTGGTGAAGACGTCAACGTCTATGGCGATGGCACTCTGGACGGCAATGGACAGGTCTGGTATGACCTGTACGCTGAGGACCCTCTCATTCTCCGTCCCGTGCTAGTTGGTGTGATAGGGTTGCATGGGGGTACTATCGGTCCTCTGAAACTTCGATACTCGCCGCAGTGGTATCATTTTGTGGCTAACTCGACCGATGTGCTCTTTGAGGGGATTAATATTTCTGGGTATAGTACGAGTGACAATGTGGCGAAGAATACGGATGGATGGTGGGTTTTCTTTTACCATAATGCTTTGATTTGAGCTAATGCGGCTTGTGGGTAGGGATATCTATCGCTCGTCGAATATTGTTATTCAGGACTCAGTTATTAACAACGGTGATGGTATGTGACATCGTTTACATCTGATAGTGGTTTACGCTGACATCTTGCCAGACTGTGTTTCCTTCAAGCCCAATAGCACCGAGATTCTGGTCCAGAATCTTCATTGCAATGGCTCGCACGGTATTTCCGTTGGCTCCCTGGGTCAGTACAAGGGCGAAATCGACATTGTTGAGAACGTGCTTGTCTTTAACATCTCTATGTTCAACGCATCGGTAAGATACGCAGTCCTTGGAATTACAAGTAGTCATGTCAGCTAACAGGTGACCAGGATGGTGCTCGCATCAAAGTCTGGCCCGGCATCTCCTCTGCCCTTTCCACAGACCTACAGGGTGGAGGCGGCTCTGGAAGTGTGAAGAACATCGTCTACGATACAATGACCATTGACAACGTCGACTACGCCATCGAAGTCACCCAGTGCTACGGACAGAGCAATCTGACTCTATGCGATGAGTACCCCGTATGTTCTCTCCGGGCGTATTGCAACTACTGGACTAACCACAATTTGGCAATACAGAGTAACCTCACTATCTCGGATGTGCACTTTACGAATTTCAGAGGAACAACTTCTGGAGTATATGATCCTGACGTTGGAACGATCGTTTGTTCGAGTCCCGATGTAAGTTGGAGTGTGCACGCATGAGTGATCAAGTGATCTGATTATTTCTAGGTCTGCTCGGATATTTATGCCACAAACATCGATGTGACGAGTCCGCAGGGGGATGATGACTTTGTTTGCACGAATGTAAGTCTATTGGAGTCGTGAATGGGAATTGTGCTAACATGCTTACTTTCCTGCAGGTGGATGATAGCTTATTGGACGTCCATTGTGTATCCTCGACCTAGGTGCTCTTGACTTTGGATGATACTAAGGTGGTTGTTCAGCTCTTTGTCTCTCGTTTCACGGTAATATATAACTCGTAGTAATCGAGAACTTCTGAATCATTCTTTCCATTCCAAGTTTATCTCTAGAAAATTATCTCTACAGTAAACCTTGTTAATGAAAGTACTCTCCTGAGGGAGAATACTAGCCCTGCAGACATCTCAATCAGGATGGTGGGATTCTTCAAACCCACAAAGGTCATATTCCGGCTCGGAATCTAACTTCCCGGATGACAAAACTCCAACTCTCCTCACGCGTAATACACCACACACCCGCCAATCCCATTGGCCCACACCGATAATTCTAATTGGAGATACTTGTGTCCTTGAACCTGGAGAGTCCAATAGGGAAATCCCAACCCGGCCTTGCTTTGGATAATGTCGACTGGCTGGTTGGGCCCTTCCGCACTCGGGTACAAAAAGAAACCCGTAAGACATAATTTCCCCGTAAAATTCAGACTCTGGTAGAACATCCAATCTCCCAGCCATGTCATGCCAAAAGAAATGCGAGGGCTGTTCTTGCAGCGACGCTCCTCCCAAACCGACCGAAATCGAAGATTGCATCGCCGAGCTTAATGCCCTCCGTCGACGCAATCAAGAGCTTGAAACTCGTCTCGGCGTTGCATCTAATGCCGGTAAGACAAATGTAGTCCGCAAGCCGGGCAGGACACTCAGATCCTCTGCGTGGTTTGACTGTCGCAGTGACCCCGGTATGACCGCCATCTACATGGAGCGATACTTCAACTACGGTATTACCCGTGAAGAACTCATGTCTGGCAAACCTATGATTGGAATAGCTCAGACGGGATCTGATATTGCGCCCTGTAACCGCCACCATCAAGAGCTGGCGAAGCGTGTCCGTGAGGGTATTCGCACGGCTGGTGGTATTGCTTTTGAATTCCCGACTCATCCTATTCAAGAGACTTCTCGACGGCCTACTGCGACTCTTGATAGGAATCTGGCTTATTTGAGTCTGGTGGAGGTTCTGACGGGTTACTTCCTTGATGGTGTGGTTCTTTTGACGGGTTGTGATAAGACGACTCCTGCTTGCTTGATGGCTGCGGCTACAGTGGTAAGTAATTGATATTATGCAGAATTACATATGACAGCTAACGAAATCCAGAACATTCCAGCCATTTGTCTGAATGTTGGGCCTATGCTGAATGGGTACTCCAAAGGAGCTTTGACTGGAGCTGGCACTGTTCTGTGGAAAGGACGAGAGATGTACGCCACGGGCGAAATCGACGAGTACGAGTTTATGGACTACATTTCTCGAGGGTAAGTTCCTAGTGCGGCTTTCAATCAGATTTGCTTCTGACGAAAATAACAGAACCCCTTCAGTCGGCCACTGCAACACGATGGGAACCGCATCCACCATGAATGCCCTTGCCGAGTCTCTCGGCATGGCTCTTCCAGGCTCAGCTGCTATCCCCGCAGCGTACCGCCACCGAGCTCAATGCGCCTACGAAACGGGAAAGCAGATCGTGGAGATGGTCGAATCAGACCGCAAGCCTAGCGATCTGATGACGCGCGAAGCATTCGAGAATGCAATCGTGGCCAACGCAGCCTTTGGAGGTAGCACTAACGCTCCTATTCACATCAATGCGATCGCTCAGCATATGGGCGTCGAGGTCTCGATGGATGACTGGGATAACATTGGATCGAAGATCCCTCTTCTGTTGAATATGCAGCCTTCGGGTGAATATCTTGGAGAGGAGTACTACCGCGCTGGGGGACTTCCGGCTATTATGGCGGAGCTTCTGGATGAGGGCAAGATTAATGGGGACGTTTTGACTTGCAATGGGAAGACGATGTCTGAGAACGTACGGGGCAAAAACTCGTGGGATCGTCGAGTTATTCGTCCGTACAGTGATCCCTTGATGAAGGATGCTGGATTTATTCATCTGAAGGGTACTCTGTTCGACTCTGCGATTATGAAGACTTGTGTTATCTCACCTGCCTTCAGGGAACGCTACCTTTCCAACCCTGAGGATCCGGAGGCGTTCGAGGGTTCGGTTGTGGTGTTCGATGGTCCCGAGGATTACAATAGCCGACTCGAAAACATGCCCAGCATCGACGACAAGACGATTCTTATCATGCGCGGCGTCGGTCCTTTGGGTTACCCCGGTGCAGCGGAGGTTGTCAACATGCACCCTCCAGGCAGACTGCTCAAGCAAGGAATCGACGCGCTGTTTTGTATCGGCGACGGACGGCAGTCTGGAACGTCGGGTTGCCCGTCAATTCTGAATGCCAGCCCTGAGGCAGCCGCCGGGGGTAATCTGGCCATTATCAAAGATGGAGATAAACTTCGAATCGATTTGCGGAAGCGGCGTGTGGATATTCTTATCAACGACTATGAGCTCCAGCAAAGAATCCAGGAGAATAGCCAGAAGGAATACCCATTGGTTCCCAGTGGTACTCCTTGGCAAGAAATCTTCCGCCAGGAAACTGGTCAGCTGTCTGATGGAATGGTATTGAAGAAGGCTGTCAAGTATCAACGTCTGGCACAGCGGGATGGCCCGCCCAGACACAACCACTGATCTTGTTCGGAGGGCTGTCTGTTTAATTCAGTGTAATGAAGTTATTATCCATGTACATATGTTGAATGGATGAATCACACAATCTGTGCACCCAAATCTTGTGTATACAGTACATCCAGCAAGATGACTTTATAGGTAGATGAGATGGTGCTCTGCGAATGCTGACACCTGCTAATCAATTTGTTTGTCAATCAAATTTCTTATCTTCTCGCGCCCCGGAATGTATTGATTAATGGCTCATTTTAAAAGGCAGCTTAGTGTTCCGGATCCCTTGCGTTGAAAACAACGGCTAAGCTTTTCTCCACCGGAAGGCTTCCTTCCAGATATGTCAGACTCGGAAAGTTACATTCCGGCCTCTCCCCGCAATTCTAACGTTTAACCAGCCACACACTACGCGTTATTAAGTCCACAAACTGGTTGGCAATCACAAAGTGAAAAAAAAATTGATCCTATATCTACAGTTCGTAATAACATACATGTTCAAGTCATCAAATCCCAACAGGATGCATAAGATAATGCAACTCCCCATCAAACCGAAATCCTTGAGCAATAGCTTCAAGATCAAGATCCGATAGTTCCCAATTTAACTGCGGAGACCCCATCTCCACACCCTCGTGTAAACCTGGCTGCTCAACAGAAGCCATTGTGTCCTGTACAGCCAGTTGATCGCTAAGCCCAGTCCCACCATTCCAACCCTGCTGGTCTGCAACCTCAATCCCCAAATGAGCAATCAACTTATCAAGATTCGCCTTAGCCTTCCCAGCAGCCATATACAAATGCTGATGCTCATGCAAAACATTGCGGCAAAGCATAAGCAATTGAAACGAATTTGAGTTCCGTCCTTTCTGCGCGACGATTCGGGCGTGGATTGTTGCGCTGATGTACGTTGCGTATGAAAGCATGTACGGGGCGGTGGTTATTGAGAAGTTTTGAGAGTAGTCGCGCAGGATTTGCACGATTTGGTTTGCGGCTGTTGTACATATGTTGACGGATTCGTAGGCTGTGGTGGGGTTGGTTGGGTGGTTGTGGCCTGTGAAGAGCGGTCGCTGGGAGAGGATTGTTAGGACGTTGGAAAGGGCGCTGGTTCTAATTAGTTATATATTGCTTTTTATGGGGATATGGGTCGTACAGGAGACATAATGATTGTGGTAGGAGGACGGATTCGTTGGGGTGGAGGAGGGGGTCTAGTTGAGGTGGTAGACTTTGTCGCCATTTGCTCAGGTCGAGGTTGATGTCTTCCGATACTTTTTGGCTATGCCTTTGGCTCATGGACTGAGATTCCGAGTAAAGCTCGCAGAGTATGCGCTCTGTGATTGTAGAGAGTTCACATAGTTTCGTTAACAACGATACATTCAGTGATGGAATTGCCGATCCCTGGGATGCTGATTTGAAGGTGATATCTTGGAAAGAATCAAGCTCGTCGTACTCATCCAAGAAATTGAGGGAAGCTTTGAAGTTCATGTGGCGAAGTAGTGGAGGTCTTCCTTGGAAGAGGCATTGGATCTTATCGATCGCTAGACACCAAAATTTAGTCCAGTACCGAATGTTTGTGATTCTCATAACTTACAATATGCACCCCATAAAACCCGCTTCCGAATTTCAAGCTCCTCTGCCGACATTTTGTTGGGCGAGGGAAGAACATGGAGTCCGAGATCAATGATCATATTGAAAGCGTTCCCCGCGTACAGCCATGAGAGACTTCGCTCATCGCATCTCGAGAACAGCGAATTCGACATAATGAGTAATGCCTGCAGAGTGGTGATCTTGCTCTTGTCAAAACTATCTCGTAGCAGCTCCGTAAACCGCTGACGAAATCTCCACCCCGCCGTGGTGACATCTTCTGGATCCGAGCGAATTTCAGGCCGTGGACAGTGCTTCGAGACGGTGAAGAAGATGGCATTCAGGAGCAGTTTGGAGAAATATGGTCCGCCGCAAGCCATGTCGCGCATGAACACTGGTCGATAGATGATCTGAGCCGTGTAGAGCTGGCGGCTCCAGTAGATAGAGAGTAGATGCATTCCAATTTCGGGGTCGACTTCATCGAAGTCGAGTTTTCCAGCAGCAAAGTTGAGAGGTTCCAATTGTCCTGTGAATTGTTAATCAATGACCGTTGCCATACTTCATGTCAAGAAACCCTTACTTTGTCTTGCAGTTTCGGCAAAAAGGAGATGTCGAGTCCACTCTTCCCTGATAGGAGAGTGTAATGACTCTGCATTCTCTTCGCCAGTGCCAGAATTTGCGGTGTCATCGTAGACTGCACTGGTTGGGCCATGGTATAATGATATACTATTGCGATGATGATCGCTATCAGGAAATTCTGGATGGCTGCCCCGGCTTGAGGGATGATCAATTGGCGACGGGCCAATATTCGGAGGCAGAGAAACCGTAACCTGGCTTCCGACTGGACTGATAGCCGCCAAAGCGGGTTCGGCTTGCATCGATGGGCGATCGGGAACACCCCCATTTTGCATCCGGAGAAATTGTCGACGGAGTGACGCATTTTCTTGCTCCAACTGTGTAATTCGCTGATTCGTTGGCCTGTCATCCATCATTAGCATAAATGGCCGTAGGGTCGGGGGAACTCCGGCCGACCTTGGCTTATGTGGAGTGGCGCCATGTTGGCAATCAATGCCTTTTGCTAGGCAATTGCTACATGTAGGGCTTTGTGAATCGCATTTCAGCTCGAAATGTCATCAGCCGGATATCTTTGAATCGGGACATTTAAGCGTTACCTTCTTCTCGCGGCAGAAGAGACATGCCGCTGGCGCTCGGCTTCTTCGGATTGGCATAGTCGTGGTTGTAGAAAGCCGTCGCTTAACTTGGAAGATAAAGGGTAAGTGGCGTCATTTTGGCCACATTCAAATGATTAGTGTAGATGAAAACTTGCCCCAGAAACCTTGAGGCTGCTATCGGCTAAGATCAAGCTACTGGGTCCGCCAACGCGGGGTGGAAAATTTATTTTTGCGGCCCGAAGTTGCGTGGCCGGGGATTTCCTTTACGTGCATTGATTGGCACGACAAGAAGATGTCTCTTAGTTGCTGAACAACTCGGGTGTAAATCGTTTCTCTTTTCTTCTGTTCAAGTATGGACATCATACGAAGGTTGTGCCCAACATTTGAATATTTCATAAGCTGTAAAGTATCATGTCTACTACGATATAATTCAAAGGGCGCAAAGTTTGCATGTTGAGCATCCTCATGCGATATTTTCATAGCTTCTATCTTGCGGATCGATCTATACTGTGAACCGTTGGCGTTGGAGACTGGACAAACGAGGCCGTCAACATCCGGGTTTGAAACGGGTCGTTTCGCTTTCATGCTTCAGTGCAAATGTAATTTTTATTGAGCATACAAAGTCTCCTTATCGGAAAAGATAAAAAGATGGGAGATCGAGGGCTAGCTTTGTCAGAAAGTGGATGAATGGGATGAATGGGATGGACTAGCCCGTTCGGGCAAAAAGATCCCCATCCGCGCGAGGAGCTCAAGATCCGAGGGTCAACGAACCTGGGAATGCCTATGCGTTTTTGAAGTACTGAGCGACCAGTGTAAGATCTTGTGCGCATTCTGCAAGATTTCATAGCTCTCGAGAAGAAGCCGTGGAAAAACATCGCGTCAAGGTGCACCACCTCGTCCCCGACATTGCAATGATAGCTCCACAGCGTTATCTCGAGCTCCGGAGCTTCCCCTCACTAGGATCAAAGCCCCTCATGTCGACCCCTGGCTTCTCACTCTGCTATCAGCACATTCGCCGCTGGCCTGCCTAGTGTGGACATGATATCCGACCAGCATTTTTGACCAGGATTGAGTTGCCCTCTGCTCGACCAAACTGACTTTCATCGCGATTGTCCCCTCATGCGAAGAGGGGAACGAGTTGCTGCGATGCGGCAGTTATAAAATGAAGCAGAGCCAGTAGTCTGGGTTTCTAATCAATTTGGCATTCTACTGCCTCGCTGCAACTTGGTACTAAACACCCAGGACAATGGCGACTCCATTCACCTACCACGCCAAGGCGCAGTCCACCTTCAAGCCTCCGCTGATTGCCAATGAGAATGCTTTCTTGGGCGATGTTATCTCCAGGTATGACTGCTCTTCGCAATCAATTGAAAATCATCAAGCTGATTCTCTTCTAGTGAAAAGGATAACGCCGAGAAGCCCGTGTCTTGTGGATTCTACCGCTTGGAGAAAGGCACTCCCCTCGTCTACACATACACCTACGACGAAATGAAGATCATCCTGGAGGGCCAGTTCGAGATCTCAGACGAAACAGGCCAGAAGGTCACCGCCAGCCCCGGCGACGTGTTCTATTTCCCCAAGGGCGCTAAGATTACCTTTACAACCGAGGACTACGGTCTTGCATTCTACGTGGGTGATTCTCCCCGGTATCAAGAGATAGTACTGACCAATATCGCAGACTGGCCAACGGGCCAAGGACGCCGCTTGAATATGACATGTATTAGCGTGTACGCTAGAAGCAAATTAAATTAAATCAATGAACCAAATTTCAACAGAATATCGGTGGCCCCAACTGATCCATGGATGAGCTGCCTCCACTTGGATTGGCCCATTCCCAATCCGGTAGTTTGATTACACCGGTGGATCTGTGTTCCTTGCGATACCTCACATTTCCCTGCTTCATCTTGCTTGAGTGTCGCATACTGCCTGAGTAGTACCTTGCTTCGTGGACTACAATTGAGATAAAGCCATCCCACTATAGTCGAATAGTTTCGTAGCTCAACCCCGAAGAGACCATCGACTCGGCCAATGACGCCATAGACAGCCATCTAGTGCTTATGTGAATGCCAGTGGCTGACTGTCAGGATGGGTCCGAATGGCCTTAAACCAGTGAAAACGGAGGTGTTCAGCTGATGAAACGCACCGGTGGGTCATTCAGGAGCCGATCCTGGTCCAAGGAGATAGGATGACTTGCAGGGTGAGGAATCCCGGGCCGTGGATCAGGTTCAGCTGTGTTTATCGACCCGGTTATTCGTATCGAGAGGGCCACTTTAGAGTGCTAGCCTTGCACAGCCTGCATGACATGGGGGAGTTGCTGGGGCAACACCGCGAAGGGGTAAGGCCGGGCTGAAGTGGGATCGAACGGTGGACGGGGAAATGAAATCAAGATCGAACCGATCGGTGGAGCTGATCGACTTGCCAATTTCGCATAATAAACAGATTGTTCCTGGGACCAAGACAGGACAAAGGCTTTTTGCTTCACCCGGTCTCAGGGGTTTATTGTGGTTTGGGTCTCGGTCCTGTCTTATCAAGGGGGGAAACACGTCAACATCCCCTCTCGTCCTTTACTCCTACAACCATCCACCATGGCTGTCGATATCGCCGAAGACCGTTTGCGGTTGCCGAACCCCCCGCCTCTGCTTCATACTCGCTCGGCCAATGATGCCCTCGGTCGCCCTGCCACTCCCAATGATGGCTTCACCAGTCCCCCTCAGACCCCGCAGGGCAGTCCCAGCAAGACGCGCGCACCGCCTGGCGCGCTCGACCTGCCCAATGCCTTTGACAAGGTCATGAAGTTAACCCCCACTTCGCCTACTAAGAACACCCACAACCACTACAACCATCCCATGTTTACGGACAAACCTGGCGGGGAGGACTTCAACGAGAGTGTCATCCATCAGCGCCCCTCAAGCCCCACGCGCAAGGCCAACAAGGAGAACACGCCCCCATCAACCCGTGCGCCTAAAGACCTCCTCGGATCAAACCCGACTGCGGCCGCACTCTCGCGCCATGAGCCTTACCAGCAGCGGGATACGGATACGTCCAAGCGCCAGGTTCAGCTGCGCGGGCTGACACCGGAGGAAATAGAGAAATTGCAGCAGCCTCGCGTCAAGCGTTTGGTGAATGTGACTCAACTCTGTATGTTCCAAAAAGACAATTGCAAAAAGCCGATTAATTATGCTAACGGGACACGACAGACTTCCTCGATCACTACTTCGACCTCCTCAGCTACGTCCACAACCGTCACACCCGCCATACCCAATTCAAAGCCGCCTGTCCTGAACCCCCCGTGACCCCGGCCGAGGAGTACGAGCCTCAGTTGTTGAAATACCTCGGTCGCGAACGCGCCCATTTGCGCAAGCGTCGGACGCGTCTGCGCCAGCATGATTTCCAGATCCTAACCCAGGTCGGCCAGGGCGGTTATGGACAGGTTTACCTGGCACAGAAGAAGGACACGCGCGAAGTTTGCGCTCTAAAGGTCATGAGCAAGAAGTTACTTTTTAAGCTGGACGAGATTCGACACATTCTAACCGAACGCGACATCCTGACTGCTGCCAAGAGCGAGTGGCTCGTCAAGTTGCTGTATGCTTTCCAGGACGATAACCAAATCTACCTGGCCATGGAGTATGTCCCTGGTGGAGATTTCCGAACTCTGTTGAACAACACCGGTGTCTTGCACAACCGACACGCCCGATTCTACATCGCCGAGATGTTCAGCTGCATTGACGCACTCCATATTCTTGGGTACATTCACCGTGATCTTAAACCAGAGAACTTCCTGATCGACTCAACCGGCCACGTTAAGCTGACCGATTTCGGTTTGGCCGCCGGCATGCTGAGCCCCGGCAAGATCGAGTCGATGCGCGTCAAGCTGGAAGAAGTCGGCAATACGTCCGTCCCCTTTGGCCGTCCGATGGAACAGCGCACAATGGCCGAGCGACGACAAGGTTACCGCACCATGCGCGAACGCGAAGTCAACTACGCCAAGTCGATCGTCGGCTCACCCGACTACATGGCGCCCGAGGTGCTCAAGGGCGAACAGTATGATTTCACCGTGGACTATTGGAGTCTGGGATGCATGCTTTTCGAGGCACTCGCCGGCTACCCGCCTTTTGCAGGTGCAACAGTTGATGAGACGTGGCAGAACCTCAAGCGCTGGCAGAAGGTACTGCGCAAGCCCGTCTACGAGGATCCCAACTATTTCCTGTCTCGCCGAACATGGGATCTCATTACCAAGCTCGTTGCAGCCAAGGAGACCCGGTTCAAAAATATCCAAGAGATCCACGCTCATGACTACTTTGCCGAGGTGGATTTCAACAAGCTACGTGAACAGCGCGCACCCTTCGTGCCCGAACTCGACTCGGAGACTGATGCCGGCTACTTTGACGATTTCAGCAACGAGGCCGACATGGCCAAGTACAAGGAGGTGCATGATAAGCAGCGCGCACTGGAGGATATGGCCGACCGTGATGAAAAGATGAACAAGGGCCTGTTTGTCGGATTTACCTTCCGGTATGCACTTTCCTTCCATCTCCCTTTGGTTCGAACCTTACTAACACTTTATCTGATAGCCACCGCAAACCCGCCGTCGATACCTCAGGTCGTAACTCCCCCCGCAAGCCCATCTCCACAGACGGTTCCAACTTTGGAACCATGTTCTAGCGCGTGGAATCTGGCTTGGTCTAGATTTTCCCGCTTCTCTTCTTCACGCTGGAGCCCGCATTGCCAAGCTGGATCTTGGGTTCTGCTGCCCAGACGTCCCGCGTATTATGAGTTTAATGGCGTCCGCTTGTATTTTTTTATCTATTACCTCATGGTACTTTCAACGCGATACGTTCAATGCCACGGTTATGGTCTCTATGAGGAGGTTGAAAATTCTCTTTGTATCCGTATGATACAGAAAATAAACCCGGCCATCTGTTATGCCGGTATCAATTCACATTTATTTGGCTACCTCTTCCCCGTAAAGTCAACGTAGAGGGACGCCGGGTATGTAAAGCAGTCCCTTAGTGGGAAGGCAACTGGCGCACCATGCGCAGAATCTCCGACTCGCCATCGCCGATAACAGCACGTCCATTGATCCAGTCAACCGTCTAAATCCCTTTAATTAGCTTCATCCTCACCGAACCACACAACGGAAAGAAAGCAAAAAACATACCACGGGCCGAGTAAACCGCTCGGGATCCTCCTTGAACAACTTCAACGCATGCTCCGCGTCCTTCGCCCCCTTAATCAACTCTGCAACACCATACGTAGCCTTCTCGCCCTGGCCACCAACGCCGCTGACCGGGTTAATGTAGTCCAGGAGATTACGCAGTTGGTCCGTCGTCGGGAAGTCCGTCGACACCTCCAGGTTGAACTCGCCGCGCTGCTGCTTCGCGTGTGACGAGTGGTCCGATGCTTGGTCTTCCGTTGCGGTTTCGCCGGCGGCCGCGGAAGCTTGTTTCAGGATGTTGAGTGCCCGGGCGGAGCTGGGGATGCTCGGGCTGTGGAAGAGGGTGATCGGGTCGAGGGTTTTGCTCTGTGAGACTGGTTAGGTTTTCCATTATGAGGCAGTGGTTTGGATCAAGTGGACGTACGAAGCGGAACATCTTGATGGTGGTGGATTGAGATAGTGTGAGAAGAGGTGGTGGGATGGAAATGGGAAGTCAGAAAGTAACGGGCGAGGCTTGCAAGCTTGAAGTTCCTGGATGATGTCATCGGCTCCCGGGTCCCGATCGGGATGGCTCGGGTCAACGGTGCCAACTTTACAGGGCAGGTGTGAAACAAGGGCTATCTAATTCGCTTGGCTGTACCGAATGCAGGGTCTACTTTAGACTTTTTGTAAATCTTGGAATGCGATTCGTCAATTCATCTTATATGTACAATGCACCCAGTGATACCGGTTATAAACTATCTTCGTGATCACCACCCGAAATTTTCAACATGCAAATAGATACCCTGTGCTCCAGTTCCCTTGTGTACTGCCCGTTCATCGCTGAGATACACCACGCTGCGGCGGACGTCATCTGCTAATCCCATGGGACCGCATACCACTACCGCGCTCTCGCCCTCGGCTTTTTCGAGGACTTTGCGGATGATTGTGCGTGGATAGGGCCGGCCAGATACAAAGTTTGCCTTGGAATCCAGTGATCCCGCGGTCTTGGTGTCTGTCGTCTTCTCGGCTATTGTCTCTGGCACGACTAGCCCGGGGGACGCAGGTGACGGACCCGAGCAGGTACACGCGTCGGGGGAAATCGCATCTTCATCTTCGATTGGCTCGGTGCAGCAACATCCTCGACTGGGAAGGCATCCTTTGCCCACTCCTGCAGCTGCGGAGGACGAAGATGATTCTGTTGAAATAGAGCGGACTGAAACATGATCTGTCGCAATTGCAGTCTTTTCCTCATGCCATACGGACGATTGATCGTCAACAAGTCCCTGCGAGATCAATTGTAGTGTTTGCGGGACGGTGGGAGGTTCGAGTTTTTCGTCACATGTGATGTAAATGCTGATATCGATCTCCTTGTTGAAGTCTGGCTTGACGCGACGGCATTCGTTTATATTAGCCAGTACAGACTGCAGCTGGCTTTCGAATAAGTTGAATTGGGAGCGAGACTTAATCACCCAGACGAATCGAATCCGCTTAGTAGCTGTCAACCGTCGCATATGGGTGGATTTTCTCTGATCTTCACTCAGAATTTCTTTCTTCCACGCTGAAGCGATATCTCGCAGTAGTGGCATGGCAAATGTTGCGCCCATGCCACCGGCCATAAGCACGACGCTATCGAATTGGCATAGGCTCCTAATAGTTCCGTACGGTCCCTCGACAAAGACAGTTCGGCCGCGAGCCGTCGGTGCTGCTTCGGCGCCCAGGACTCTGCCCTTCGATGCATAGCGGAAGAATCTCCTTGTACCACCATTTTCGGCACGGATGAAGAACTCCATCTTGTTATCTTCGGGAATAGATGCAATGGTGAATGGGTGACTTTGCAGCGGGACGAGGGAGTGGCATGTCAGGAAGACATGCTGACCCGGTTGCCAGTGGATGCCGGGATTCTGGATGGTCACCTTTGTGATGTTTCCCGGCAGCGCCGTGAAAGAGGCCGAATGTGTCCAGATGGCGCTCTCGGTGCACTTGCGATGGAAGATTGATAGGTTGGCATATGCTCCCCAAGCATACCTTGCCACACGATCAAACACCAAAATACCAATGGGAATCCATACCCAGACCTTGACTTCGTTGGGAGCATGCAGCCACACAGCAACAATGAACCCGACGAACGTGACCAGGTGCTGCAGAACAAAAATCTCGTAGCTCAATCTCCGAATAGGGGCCAGGGAGGTCAGCATGATCAAGGTAAGAATACACCACGCCGCAAACCCGCGTGTTGTGAGCGGGTCATTCTTCAATTTGTAGGTGATATAGTCATAGCGGGCCCAATTGCGGAACCAAAATCCCATGTGAATAGTAGCTGTCAACCACAGAGTGCGTGAAATCCAGCGGTGGAACCAATTCAGGCGGGCATAGCTCATACCTACTAACAAGCCGATGATATTTTGTCTCCCCGCGAGCAGGAAGATTAGTGGTAGTTGACAGATGGCGATGAAGCCGGTACGGTAGCCGACATTTTCCCATTTCCACACGTTGGTGGTGTCGAGTTTGTAGAAGCAGAGAACGAGCACCACGATTAGATTGGCGAGGATGATGAGAACGGGGCCGAGTGGTGGGAAGTGGATTGTGTATTTGCCCACAGAGAGAGGGTGGATTGTTGCATAGCTCACTTCTCGGGCTGTTGCTGTGAGTGTGGCATAGATACTGAAGAAGTGTGACTTGGGCTTTGCGGGGGTGACCGAGGAATCTCGAAGTCTGCATTGATTAGGGTTGCACTGGCCGGGATATAGAGATAGAACTCACCGGTGCTGGGCCAGCACTCGATTCAGGGTATTGACCACCGCGGCGGCAGCGATAGCGCTCCCCACGATGACCCAGTACATATTCTGCAAGTAGAACAGACCCGGGACGCCGTCACCCATGGACATCGAGCCCATGGGCATATCGCCCATTGACATGGACATGATGTTCAGTCAAGGCTATTTCGCATTTCGCATTTCGCCTTTCGAGTTTCAAAGAGAACCTCGAGACCCCGAGAAATAGAAAATCAATTCAAAACCAAAACCAAAACCAGCCAAGAATTGGCATCGGAGAAAACGCCCGATCCAGAATGTGCTCACTGGCGGAAACGTCAAGTGGCAGATTCCGCCGACCCGCTTTGCTCGCAAATGCGCTCGTCTTGGCGTCTTCGATCGAGCAGGTCCTTGTATTTCCTGTTACCTTTTCTTCTTGTCTACTCTCCATCTTCATGTTTTGAACGAACTTCACCCCTAACATGGACCACTCCATGAGCCACACGAGCGGCATGAGCGGCATGAGCGGCATGAGCTCCTCCAGCTCCGGATCCGGCATGACGATGGTCTTCACCGATGCCCACACCACGCCTTTGTTTTCCTCTGCATGGGCACCCTCCTCATCAGGGGCCTATGCTGGCACTTGTATATTCCTCATTGTGCTGGCAATTATCGACCGTTGCCTCATCGCCTTCAAGGCTACTATGGAACGCCAGTGGCTGGCCACCCACCTCAAGCGCCGCTACATCGCCATCTCGGGCACGACTACAGAGGCCGGGCGCATCAACTCAGATCCAGATGCTAAAATCGCGTCCCTCGTCACAGCTCAAGGCGTGGAGGAGTCGGTTAAGATCGTGCACAGCGTCTCTGAAGGACCGATTCCTTGGCGTTTTAGCGTCGACTTGCCGCGGGCTTTGCTGTTTCTCTGCATTGCTGGTGTATCATATCTACTGTATGTGCTATACTTCATATTCTGTTATATTCGGGACTGTCACACTAACGCTTTATCTAGCATGTTAGCCGTCATGACGATGAATATCGGCTACTTCTGCTCTGTTCTTACAGGTGCTTTCATTGGTGAACTGGCCGTCGGCCGATACATCCAAAACTCCAAGCATGGGCATTAATATTATTTACGATATACGTGATTGCGTCTGTTTTCCATTGCATGAACTGGCGTTTCTCAAATTTCACTTCATTTTCAAGTCTCACGGCCGCATGCGGATGAGTCAGCCATGAGCGCAAATGAGCACATTTCCTACCCGCATCGGGTCTAGTGTAATTTAAAGCCGCGGGTAGACTGTGGGGGCCGGATTGAGGCTAATCTCGATCGGGGTAATCGATGTTGCCTTTCGGTCTTGGGCCTTGCGCGTCGTGCAATGTAGGCAACCCTTATCAAGGCCCTCCAGGGGTTTGTTGAAATCACATTTTCTAGGCCCAGCAGGTAAAAAGAATTTACCTGATTTTCCTAATGCCCGAATATAACCCTCCGTCGCGTGTTCCGTGCCCTTTACTGTCGAGGTAGTATATTGTCGAACTTGGTGCAGCTGTATATCCCGTCAAAAACTGGGAAGACCGTGCCACCAGGATATCCAACTATAAATAGATCGACTAGGACTATGATATCGATCCCTTGCTTCCCATAGTAGTAGAATGGACTTACAAGTATCACATGTGCTTGACTTCTTGGCGAAAATCGTGTTTCAGAAATATCACCATCCGGCAAGCCCACAAGCCTAGCCCCTGCTGAGCTTTTAAGCGCGTATTAGCTGCTTACGGATCTTCGAAATTTGCGAATTTCTCCCAAGGGATGCTCCGAAGTCTCCAGGAATGCAATTTCACAACAAGGACTCGACCGATCGTTTCCCCACCGGAACACGTCTACAATCAGTTAATGTATCAGAGCATCCAGGTTCTTGGGGTGTATACAGAGGGATATTTGCTTCAGGCCCCAATCTGTGATACCCAGAATTGTCATTAATTGACCTATCGAAACCTGTGCCACAATCCAACGAGTGGCTAATATTGCCTTTACGGGGTTTGAGAAGGGGTGTTGAAAATAATGGCACAGCATTGAGGTATTGCGAAGGGTGATATCCCTGAGGGCCGTAAACAAGAATGACTTCTGCAGTGACCGAGCAAGTGAGCGTGCGAATTGACTTGAAAATCAGGCTTATTTAATTGTTTACGCCTTCTGTCTGAGTAACATGTGGTTTTGATTAAGCATTCGTCTATCCTCGTCTACTGTCGTCTATAATCGCCCGTATCTCCCAGATTGTAACCTCAACCTCTTTTCCTCCATTCTTGTTCATTGCTCTACGGAGTCCGTAATCTGTTTTAGCCTGAAAGTGGCCACCCCCATTTCCAGCCTCTAATCCACGCAATAATGAACCGCAATCCACTTTTCCTCATTCTACCAAATGCTTCACTCAATTGACTTGATAACCCGTTCATTTCCATGCTCGGGTATCGTCGCCGGGATCATCTGATGAATACCATGGTAGTAGGGCTTGATGGTTGGAAAATGTCCTCTTCCAAGCCAGCGGAGACAAAAATCGAGTTTCTTGACGACCCCGAAACAGTTCGCGACAAGATATTCCGGGCAGCGTGTCCCGCACGACAAGTCACTGGAAATGGAGTCCTAGGGCTGCTTCAAGACGTTCTAATTCCCATCAGTGAGCAACGCGTGGAGAGATTGCTAGTGAAGACCGGCCTGAACGTACACGAGAAAACCGGTTCCGAACTGGACCAGCGCCCCTTCTGCAGTCCAGGGTCGCCGACTGGCACGGGTTTCACCACTTACGCTGAGGACGGGGAGGAGCAGAACTTTGCCTCGTATGAGGATATCGAAGTAGCATTCGTAGCAGGCCAGCTACGGCCAGAAGATTTGAAAAGTGCCGTGGCGGATTCTTTGAACATCCTGTTAGCTCCTATCCGAGCCACGCATACGGAGAGCGAAGAATGGCAGGAGTTGAATAGATTGGCTTATCCTGATGGGAACTGAATAATTGCAATCTTTAGAGAAGACTCTCTACTAGCTTTCTCACTATTTACCCTTCTCAACGGATTGCCGAGCGTATGACTCGTTCTCCGCATTGCGATTCTGTCGCCACTGAAGCACGTACTTTGGGGCCTGGGCCACTTTGTTCGTAATGCTTGGAATGGGTGTCCCAATAGACTCCCAGACAGGAAGTGTACCCGTCCACACTCTGCTAGTAACCTCGTCGTCCTGAAGGTCTTTCCTGTCATCAGAAGGTCCACCCTGGTTGATCTTGGCGCTGGTGCTGGCGACGTGAACCCTAAGAACAGACGTGCTCAGATTCTCGGCACGCGTGGGAGGCACGCGGGAATTGTCCCAACACCCCGGAACCAAGCCGTCCGTAATAAGACGAAGAGCCCATTCTTTCTCTTCTTCAGCCGTAACAACAGTGGCATAGCCGTGCAACACAACACTGCGGTAGTTGCAGCTATTGTTGAAGGGCGTTAACGAGAGCTTGATACCGTCAAGCAGGGTCGCGGCGATGCAGACAGGGATTCCTTCCGATTTATGATTGCCAGCTAGGCGCATGACACGCGAGGCACTGTGGCCATGAAGATATACATCGAGGGCCCCCGTAGATGGGCCATCAAATGAGCCCATGTAACCAATCATAGGAAGGGTAGTTGGAAATGGGTCATCATCTGGGTGCGTAGGCAGAAAGGAAACGTGGAGAATGGGTGACGCGTTCACGATGGAATGGACCGTCTTGAAGTCGTACTTGGCTCGTTCGCGATGGCGGTGTACTGTATTGCGTGCTTGTGGCGAATAGCATCCTTCCATCCTGGCGTCAATAGCCCCGTAAGCCTGTAGTCAGGGCGTTTATGGTGGCAAAGGGAGAGAGGCAGGAAAGAAAAAGGGACAGTAAATCCACTGTTCGGAATATTTCGAGCAAGTTAGCCGTAGCGGGGTACGCCAGGATGAAAAGCTAAGCTGTACATTAGAAGAATGAAACATTTATACGTGAGTAATAAACAGAGGACGTGACTACGTTGTCGGGAATAGGTCACAGCATTCGGCCGGTAGCCCGAATGATTATCGTGCTTTCGTGAGTATACTTGATAACGTGGGTAAGCTTCTTCTACGCTAGAATAAGAGTCCGAGCGGGCTTGAGTCGGCCGAATAAGGGTCGATAGGTGGTAGGTAAGCCGCATAAGGGTCAGATACCAATAGAATAACGATGGGCTGGGCGGGGCCGGCCGCCGGGGGAGGTGGCTCTAGCCGGCTCTCTACCACCGGGTCTAGGATTAGCACGAGTTTGTTATAGTTACCACAGTAATGGGAACTACTAATGTAGCCAGGGTCTCATTACCATCCTTGCCCGCTGAATAGGGTTTTTTGAATTTGCACTTCCTGCAATTTAATGAGAAAGAAAGACACAGGAATAAGAAGACCACCACATGAATGAATCTTGTACACTGCACCCAATGAGCCTCCGCCTCCCGAATCTACTCTAGTATATTCTCCTTGCGCATTCAGTTCTTTCTCATACAGGGTATCCCGTTTTTGCCCTCCGCGCTTGACAACTCAAGTTTCGACCGCACGACCATTGAGGTTGCCTACCACGATGAAGACCCCTAGGAATGCTGGTGCGCAGCCTGAAACTGCCAGTAATGGTAGCATAGATGGTTTCATCACCGTCATGCAGCCGTCGGTCGACAAAAAACTAGCTGCTATTGGCGCCGTTCCTTCCAAAGAGAAGCTCGAGCCAGAGATCGAATCAGCTCAAGAGCTGGAAGCAGGGCAGAAGCTCTATCTTCCGCTTGTTCTTACCTTGGCTGGAGCAGCCTTTCTCAATGCAAGTCTATGGAGATGTTAATTTGGGGAAAACTCCACATGAATTCTTGCTGACGATATAGCAGACACTCGCCGTTCAGTCAACAGTTATCATCCTGCCTAGTATCGGCCGGGACCTAAACATACCTGCTGAGCGGCAACAGTGGATCATCTCCGCCTATTACCTTACCTTTGGCTGTTTTCTGCTCCTTTGGGGTAGATTCGCAGACATCTTTGGACGTCGCTCGGTCTTCCTCATCGGGTCCGCTTGGCTCACCGTTGTTACCATTCTGGTCCCGTTCGCGCCCAATGAGATCGTCTTGGACCTGTTCCGAGGCCTACAAGGTCTGGGCGCAGCTGCCAACGTTCCTACTGCGATCGGGATCCTCGGTGCTACTTTCCAGCCCGGTAAGTATAAGAACTACGCATTTGCCATCTACTCGGCCGGGTCTTCCTGCGGATCGGTGCTAGGCAATATCTTTAGCGGTGTGATCGCGCAGTACGTTAGCTGGAAATGGATATTCTGGGCCTCCGCCGTTCTCTGTGGAATGGTCACCGTGGCCGGCCATATCTTGATCCCTCACTCAAAGGTTGAGGCTTCCCCCTGCTCCAGCCTTGTGGTCGATGTTGATTGGGTAGGCGGCACATTGGTGACTGGGGCCATACTACTCCTTAACTTTGCTCTGACAGAAGGCAACGTTGTCGGATGGACGGTGATCTGGGTTCTGGTATTGCTTCTGATTTCCCTGATTTTGTTGGCCGTGTTTATCTTGTGGATATGGTACCTTGAGAGGAAGACCGAGAGGCCTCCTCTCTTGAGGATTTCTATCTTCCACAACAGCCGTTTCAATGCCGCACAGGTCATCATGGCCACGTTTTTCGCGGCTTTCAATAACTACCTCGTCTACGCGACATACTTGTAAGATTTATATCCCCCTATCTTGGGTTTCTCGAGAGGACTGGAGATGGATAAGAGCTAACAGCTATGTTTTGCTTAGCTACCAAGACTACCTAGGACTCGGGCCACTAGACACAGCTATTCGGTTTATACCGACAGGAATTATGGGTATCGTGGGGAACATCATTGCCGCCAAACTCCTTTCTCGTGTCCCGGGGTCCTACCTCCTGGTTTTCAGCTGTAGCTGCGTGGGCATTTCCTGCCTCCTTATGGCCGTTCCCATACCGCCGTCGACTACCTACTGGGCCTACAGCTTCCCAGCCATGGTGTTGTCTACATTAGGAGCTGATATTCTTCATCCGACACTCAACCTTTTTACAGTGCAGTGCTTACCTGTAGAAGATCAGGCTCTCGGCGCGGCGCTGATCACTGCTGTCTTGCAAGTGGGCAGGGCCATTGGAATCACGATTGCAACCGTGGTGCAAATATCGGTGGAAAGGAGGGCCACAAGCCACAGGGAAGCTGAAGGTGATTCGTCCGCCTTACTGCTTGGACTTCGCGCCAGCCAATGGTTCAATTTTTCGCTTGCCGTTGCCGCATGCACTGTAGCTCTACTGTTTTTCAGGGGCAAGGAAAAGGTAGGCGCGATTCGACGGTAGTAGTCGTGGACTTCCATAACTAGGCATCTGGAAGCGAAATTAAGAAAATGAGAATAGAGCTTTGGCCAAGCTTTGAGGGTCTCGATGGTTACGTACAAACGTTTTGCTCCCTTATAATGTACTGATCAGGGTCCCTGATGTTCTCCACCTCAGCCCCAGTCCCAGCCAATTCTGTAAGTACTTACAAAAGCCCTTATTGGAAGGGAATACTTGACCCAGAAGCAAAACTTACAAATGTGGTAGAGTACACTGGGATTGGGCTTCTCATTCTTTATTGAACGCGTAAATCGAAAGGTGGATAATATTTTCGTCGCATCATAGATATACGATCCAGTCTTTACATTCCGGTAATATACTTGAAGACCTTTGCACATGTCAGCAAAGGCATTCACGCATAATAGGAGAGCAAATGGAAGGAATCAAGGACCGGCGGCAACCTGCTTCAGGTCCATGACACCCTGACGGTTAAATACATAAGACGACTTTACGGGTCCTTTCCCAGAAACCGAGCGTACCTACTGACACAGTTGCGAACTGGACACTGCTGGTTCTCGACATACGGGAAAGCCTGTCGATTCCATGACGAAGTCTTGTGCGTTTGAGGCGAACCAACAAGGGTGATCCACATACTGCTAGGTTGTCCAGTGCTAAGTGATTTATGACGCGGGCTGCATGGGAAGGTTTGCGACGCTTTCAATAGCATGTCGACCTTATTGGGGGTGGGTGAACTGGAGTAGGGAGAAGAGGTAGGGTAGACAATGTTTCACGGACCAAGACAGTGAAAGTCGTCTTGGGTTTTGCCGGAGCATCACAATGGTTTCAAAGTCGCGCATCATGAAGGCAGCATAGAAACAACCGCTGCTGGGCTACGGTAGGCCTCAACGAGGCTCTAAGTCTGCTTAGGAAGTGGCATACAGCACATGTACGTTTAAAGATATATACAGATGTGACATACATACATATTTCTTCATTGATCTCCATGTCTACCATAAACATAAAAATAGATCTGATTTCTCCAAAAGAACGTCACTATGGCCAGGTCAATCCCGTCGCGCTTCAGACCCCATAATCTCCGCAAGAGGGGACCCGTGAATCAAGGTATCCGAGTTCGTATCCGTCGACGGAGACAATTCTGTCGGGCCATACTTTCGTCGCGGAGGCATATAAACCTCTCTAGACTCTTGCGCAGCCTCGGTCATGGGCGGTTGCGCAGTCTCAGTCATGGTCAGTTGGCGTCGCCTATTTCGTCGTCGCTTAGTGAGGCCCCAAGCCACAGCACACAGCAACAAAACGCCCAGTGGAACACCAACGCCGACCCCAACTGCTGTGCTATAATTGTGCAAGGGGCTTCCTCCGGTTTCTCCGGTTCCTTTGGTTGTGCCCGTGAAAATGGGGGTTTCTTCGGTTCCGCCCGCAGTATTGGTAGTTCCTGTTGTGGACGGGTCGGACCGACAGGCGGTACCGGTACCATTAGCTAACGCGGCCCGACCGAAGATCATCTCTCCATCATCCAGGACAAAGGGCGCATCTCCGTTGGAGCATCTAGTAGCATTACTATTCTCGCTTTGATAGCCGCAGCAGTAAATTGCGCGGCTGTTGTCATTCAGTCCCACGCTGACCATCGGGGCGTTCGAGCCGGTCTGGTAATTTACTGTGCAGTGTCAGCCAATCCAGTTTGCGAATCAGTCGAGAGGCAGACAAAAACCGACCGCAGTAATAAGCGCAGAAACTTCCCCAGCCAGAATCCGTGCAGGAGCCGCGATACAGCGTAAACGGTTGTGTGGTCGCACTGAGGCAGTATCCCGTGCTGAGACAAATTGCGCCCGTCCCGCAACAGAAAGTAGTACTATTGCTGCTACAGGGCACCGCATTGGACGCGACCGTCCGGTCGGGATTGTAGCATGTGGCTTCAATTAGGGCAGCAAATATGAAGATCGCGCCTGCGGGGTAAAGAAACGGGAGAAGCATCTTTCGCGACGGAAATACGTAGCGACGACACAGGCAACTTAAAAAAGAAAAGAAAAACAAAGAGAGAAAGCGGGGAAGGGTTCTAAAGGTTCTAAAGGGACTGATGTGACGCTGGGGCTGAAAAACTTGTAAAATCCTTAGTGCAGTTATTCGGGTGATAACACGCGCTCCTGTTGGTCCTGTTTCTCTTCTGTTGATGATCCCTGTTGCTTGGCAGTCTTGAGTCATTTCGGTATATTAGATTGAGCTAGACTAATATCCAAAATCTGCGGCCACTCGACCAGGAGAGACCCTTTATCTTTAGCCCAAAGTAGTGTCTGATAAAATTCTTCCCATCTACCCTCTAGAAATGATCAACCTATTTGCCGGAAGCCGATCTTGACACTCATGCTACGACCAACACCACTTGTACGAAAGAGAACCTTGGATTATAGAACTACTTTTCTCACGGGCGCCATTGCCTTCTATACAAAATGAACAGAACAGGACAACTTCAAGTCATAATAACCTTAAAATTGCAACATATTTTTGTGACAGTTGCTTTAAATGCAAAGACCACATTCGTTAGAATAAAGTATCAACCATACAAGCGTTGAATGCCGCCTTCGTGGTAATTAACGTCCTATTCTTCCGGATATTCTATCATCAGCTTTTAAAGCTTTTGTTTCTGTTCTTCGGCTCCGTCAGCTCCGAATAAACATAGTCGAATATTCCAGGGAGCGCAGGCTTTTTCTCTCTTCAGCAGCCATGAGTTCTTGAAGAACATTAGCTCTAATTTTTTCCCGACATTGTATTTCTTTCTGATCATCCCAAACTTCCTTTTCCTCCAGCCACTTTCTCCGCCGGGAAATCGGATTTCTGCTCATCTTCCAAACTTCAGAATCAGCTCGATTTCGATACGCAAAGCTGCCATTGCTGGTCCTGTGGTGCGAGATCCGGTAACTCATGGGTTCAATGAGGATAGGTTGTCCTCCGTTCTCCAGGGCTTTACGGCGAGCCTCTTTGCTAGCTTCAAAGACGGCGAATATGTCTGTCCCGTCAACTCGAATAGATTCTATTCCGTAGCTGATACCACGCACTGCAATTCCATCACCGACATACTGTTCGGTCGTGGGTGTTGAAATTGCGAAACCATTGTTCCAGCAAATGAAAACAAATGGGCATTTCTTCACCGCAGCTAGGTTGAGTGCTGCAAGAAAATCACCTTCACTTGCTGCTCAATCACCAAAACAGTAGGCCGCAATGCGAGCTTGCTTATCGGGGTTTTCCAGGGCGTCCATCTTCAGAGCATAACAAGGTAAAAAAATGTCTGTCAAACGAACCTGCAGCACTTGCAAAATTCATTCGGTAACTCGACCATTATAGATGGGACCTTCAACTAAAAATGCATAGATAGGAAACCCGTTCCGAGAGTCCTCGCCAATATTGCGCATCAAGTCGACGAGTTGACCTAAATGGATCTGGTCATCTTCGACTGCGATGAATGGAATCAAATGTGTCCAGGATGCCATGTGGATCGCAAGAGAAAATCATCTTGGGCCAAAAGCGGTTAAAGTCTACTACGGAGCCAGAATACCACGGCGTGAACTCAGATCAATCTGAAAAATGCTAAGGGATAACAAGATAGAAGGCCATATTCAAATATATGAATGGCTTGAGGTGCAAAGAATTAATTCCAAGACATGACGATCCGCGGCAGAAAATTATTTAGAAAATCGTCATGTCGCCTGTTGGTGGAAAGCCTTCCAAAAAGTCGACCGAAAGGTCATTCAGTTGATCAAAGCCGGCAATCGGGTCGAAGATCGAAGGCTAAGCGGAAAATGTGGTAAGCCTTGGACAAAACAAAATGAAGGGAAATCAGAAACCAAATTCTTACCTCTGGGGAGATATCGACTGGAAAACTTTGCGCCGTATATCCAGCTGATTGAAAAGAGTTCATTCTTATCGCTTCGCTTGCGAGACCGACAATTTCCCGAGGAAATGTAAATGACACTTGCGATGAAGTCAAAAAGTGAATTTTAGCAAAGTGACCCGCTGCAAGATCAAGATGTGCCAGATCTGATTGCACTGTAGTACAGGTTGGGTTTTTGAGAATGTAAACAAATAGGTTTATCACTGCAAGCATAGGAAAATAGAAGGCGATTCTGTAAACCTGGGTTAAAATCTCAAAGGCCTTCGAGAGACTCAAAAGCAACATGGACTTACGGTGATGGAAAGCTTGTATCGAAGGACGCATCTTTAAGAGCCGATAGGATCTGCCTTGATGCTTCCGCTGCACAGGCTGAGCTCTTTGATATTAGATCATCAAATACGAGGTTTTGACGAGTAAGGGCCGAGCATATCCAAGGGTAGTGGAAATTTGCATGTATGGCAATTCTACTGCCCCAATATAGACAGTGAAGTCGTAATATATTTGCCTTATGCCGCTAATGATATCTTGAAGGAGCGGAATCGTTATGATGCTCAAACGTAAGATGATCCGGGAGTAGTTTTCGCCACTCTTCCAGTCTCTCCTCCAGATTTCTCATAATCTGGAATAATGCTTCTGGACGCTGGCTTAATGCTTTGACGGAACAGAGATTTTTGATTATCTCTGAGCAAATCCGAGCATGCGCTATAACAGCCGAGAAAACGTCAATATCCAGCGTGCTGCCTTCGGGAACAGAGCTGGGTATTTCGCAGCTAATATCGGCATCATCGAATATCTAGGATTTTGCGTTAACAAGAGTGTAGAACAGTAAAAGTCCGTCCCGAAATCAAAAGGAGAAAACCAAACCTAGCAAAGAAATGTAATCCGTCACTTACTGATGGACGACCAGATCGCAAGGCGATGTAGTTTTCGTAGCAATACACAGCCCAGAATACCCAGCTTCTTTGTAGTATCTCCAGGTTCGGAAGCTTCCATAGCCTCGATGGATGTCGGTGAAGTCCTTTGGATTGCGCAAGTCGAGCAGCAGAAGCACAGAGCATATATTCGACGGCCGGGCTTCCTAGAAGCTCCGCAAACGAAGTCTGGATATTCCATTAGAAGTGAAAAGTAATACGCATCTAACCACATTTACTTACCATTGCAAGCAACGCTTGGACTGCCATAAGACCACTTGGCATGAATAATAGATCCGATAAGACAAAGAAGGCATTGTGAAAGAATCGTAAAGACTCTTGCTGGACTTCTGAAAAATTTCTAGACCCATCCATCGACCCCGCAGTGCGGCATCCAACTGCATACACGGCATTGCGTAGAGCGTACCAGGCGACGTCTTCATCATGTTGGTTGGGATCCTGTAGATGGGCACGAAGGCGTGTTTCAAAATCAGGACGAAAGACAGCGCCGAAAATGCTGTCGTGTGATTGCTCAAAAAAGGCTCCCAGCTCAGGTTAGCTTTCTGATACCTTAAATGAAAGCCATACGCACCTGAAACGTAGATCCAAGCTTTTTTAACGTCTGGTTCTGGACTCCTTTCACGAAAAGTGCCTGATGCGAGCGTTAAGCGGCTTGTCCAGTCCATAACCAATCCCTGAGCAACCTGATGGAATCTAGTTGTCCCGATTCTTACACAGACCCATTGTAAGCCAGGACTAGAGCAGATAGACAGCCATGATCCAGGTCCTGTTATAGTCGGTCATTGCTATTGCCTCTTGGGGGGACTTTACTGTCACGAACCATGGTGTTCCCAATTGACCTGCATTCGCATTAGCGAGAACGACCAAGGTATAGGATTTCTTGACGTACAGCTTGGAGGTCCATCGTGGCCTCCTCTCGATCAATTTCAGAGTCTCGAGGAGTTGGTGGTTTTCCACTGAAATTTTCTGTCTCGTTTCCATAGTTCAAAGTTCTAGTGAGACTTGACAAGGAAGCTATTTCCCCCACTACCAAGTGGTCCTCGGGTCCCGCCGCCTCGGCGACGTTGGGACTAAGCTGGCTGGGCCCACTTAGACTTGTTTCTGGGGGTATCAGTGTTTGCCTTGCTTCGATGATTGCAAAAGAAGATTGATCGAGGGTTGTTGTGTCGGAAACCATATTACATTCACCCCGGCCATTCGAATGCCCAATCATGGCAATCGGATCCACACGGCTGTGTACCACGCGCTGTCTGTGATTCTTGCGACCTCTCCGTTGCAAAATAGGATAAGTACATTGTTGCTCACGGTCCTATGGCTAGCGTTGTGAGAATTTTACTTTGATAAGTCTTTGCGGTTTAATCATACGAAGCAATTTCCACAGGGCATAGCACCGTCGCCTGCATAAAATATGAGCATGGTTCAATCGAAGATTCATTTGATTACTAACATTTCACCTTTTTTTTCCTGCAGTGACTGCAAGCCTGAGATAGCTTGACGCGGTCCTTGTTTGGAGGCATCGAGATTCGGATTGAGCAAGGATGCTGTCACAGGATCGGGCTTTGTGGAGAGGCATAAGTGATCGTGCGGGGAAATAATGTTGCAGGTTCGGCACAGGAGCTTAAACGCCACACCCTCCCCCTCCCCCACGTGACGCCCGGGGACTCTCTAGATAGCGACTCTATATCATGAAACCGATATTTTCCCTTATGCGTACATCCAGGGCTGATTCCGATGTGATTGATCAGAACCGGCGCAGTCCGATTAATGAATACCTCAGACGCGAAATGATATAGCTGTTGAAGAGGAACAGGATACGTTCCATGGGAAATGCAAAATTATTTCAACCCTACGGGTGACAGTACTTCTTGATGATGTTTAGCGTATTACTCAATCCTCAATTAGTTGATGGTGTGAGTAAAGCAAAAAAGGCACTGCAACTGAATTATTCTAATAGTAAGACCGAGTCTCTCCTAAACAAGTTTATGTTTTATCATATGAGCAGCCATTCCTATCCAAATGCACAGTGGGATAAGAATTCCACATCCTGGAGGTTACCTAGAAACACCGCAATCACTTCTGATGTACTAATTTTGTAAAAAATAACATGGGGAAAATAACACATAAGAAATCCATAAAAATGCTATTTACCTCAAAGTGGGGACCCAAGGTCGACTTCCGATAGTTGCTCACGAGGCAGGACTTGTTTGAAGACTCATGATCTTTGGAACGACACCTTGACCATCAAGGAGTGACGATTAGTTTACCATCTTGCAGCATGGACAGCCAATGCAATTACTAAGCGTAAATTTTAGCCACCTGCCCATTTGGTTCGGCCCGAACTTTTTCGGCAGTCCTGGAATTCCACCGAGTAACATGCTGGCATCAGTATTTCAGTAAATCCACACTCCACATCCGGAGGCTTCTGTCTTACTCTCATTTGCTTTCTCTGTCTCTGGGTAACATCTCTTTCCCAGGAACGCCGTTGTCTTCGTCATTTCTCATCGTGAAGCATTTTCATTGCCTCCCATCATGTCGAGAAACACACAGCCGACCGTAGTCACCGCCATTACTAACGTCAGAGTGTTTGATGGGCAAAACATCTGCGACCCTACCACTGTTATTATCGATGGCGAATTAATTGGCGGCTCTGATTCGATCCCCACAAAGACGATCGATGCTCAGGGAACTATTCTCCTGCCCGGACTGATAGATTGCCATGTTCATTTGACGGGACCCGACGATCTCGCTCGCATGGCTGAATATGGCATCACCACAGCACTAGACATGGGCACTTGGCCGATTGAGCTCCTCAAATCACTTCGCGGACGGAAGGCTGTGACTGATATCCGAGGCTGTGGTATTCCTGCGACAGCTCCCGGAAGTGTACACAGCCACATTCCAAGTTTACCTAGAGAAGCTTTGGTGTCCAACACCATCGAAGCCAAAGCATTTGTGGCTAATCGGGTGACGGAAGGGGCTGATTATATCAAGATCGTCGCCGATGTACCTGGACCGGACCAAGAGACTGTAAATGCCCTTGTTGCAAATGCCCGCGAGAGTGATAAACTTGTTATCGCTCACGCTGTAACTCTGGTTGCTACGCATATGTCTCAGCTGGCTGGTGTAGATGTCATTACGCACGCTCCTCTCGACGGGGTTATGAGCGATCAAGACATCCAACAAATGGTCGAGAATAAGCGCATCAGCGTACCGACGTTAACCATGATGAAAGGAACGGCCCTGGCAAAAAACAGGAGTTTTGAAAACGCCCGCCGAACAGTGGCTGCGCTTCACCTCGCAGGTGTGCCTGTTCTGGCTGGCACGGATTCCAACATGGCTCCCGGCGTACCTGCGAACGTTTCTCACGGCGTCAGTCTACATGAAGAGATGGAATTGCTAGTTGGTTGCGGACTTTCCACAACGGAGGTCATTCGGGCTGCTACGTCTCTGCCGGCGAAACATTTTGGCTTACACGACCGCGGCGTAATTCAACCCGGCTATCGAGCCGATCTGATCTTGCTTCGAGATAATCCGATTAAAGATATCAATGCAACCAGATCCATCGAGCGGGTATGGATCGCTGGAGAAGAATTCAAATCCCCGCATGCAAATTAAATGTGTACCTAGCAGATGTCAAATTCAGTCTCTAATTCAGTTTATTCTGCTCTAAAACCCCCGCCATGTTTAACAATCTATTTCAAAAGATTATGCGGCGAAACGTGGTTGTTACTTGCGCTTATGCATTTTTTTGGCGGTGCCCGTCGTACTTCCGAAGATTCTGGGTCTCATGGCCAACTCTTAGCGAGTCGGTGGCCTCTCTGAACAAATATGCTCATATTCCTCTACTGCAAGGTAGGTTGTGGGTTACTTCATCCTCATGTACCTGCACGGACTCTATGTTCAAATCACATCATGCCTTAGTCAATATCACTCACCAGACTCGACCTAGACATGCTTGCGTCATTCAATTCAATTTCTGGCGACAATTGATTTCAGGGCTCCGGGCAACCACGATAATGAAGACCACTATTGACTGCCGAGGTGAACAAAGTTCAAAGTCTCATTTCAAATATATTTGACCGTGAGAGAAAAGCTAAATAGAACCGTATTGACAGGCTTCCACTTCCAATCCAACAAGGAGACAGTGTGGGTCTTTTTCGACTCAAAATAACCAATCGCGATTTTCTTCCATTAGCCGTGTACAGGTGGAAGGATCATCAACTCCTGGAAGGTCTTCCTTGATTTTGAAACCCTTCTGAGAAAGAACCCAGGCGATACATTTATAGCTGTCCCGTCCATTCTTCGGTAGAGGTAGTTCCACAGACTCAGACGACGGAACTGTCGGGGTGATGTAGTCTCTTTCATAAATTGCTTCCAGTGTCAACAACTTCCACTTGCCATCGACACACTCCAAACGGGAAATAAACCGAGTTAAAGAGACACAGTCATATTCCAATCCATTGTGGCGAAAGCGAATGGATATGGAGCCAGTCGACTCGGAAAGGGCCTTGTTGCCGTTGATTTCCACTTCCACTGGACAGATCGTATGAATCGCACCAGTTCCACCCGTTGCCATAGCCCTTGAGCCAGCTACAAAGCCATCGATATCACCTTGGAACCTGTTATATGTCTTAGCAAAATCCAAACTAAATATGGCGTAGGATAGGTCATTTCTCACCATGATATCTCGACATGCGTTTTAGAAGGATCCGGGTGATAACTGTCACGAAGCTTGTCCCACTGATATGAATCCCGGTAATATCGTTCGCGGACTAGGAGCGATTTGATTTGATACTCCTGGGTCACTTCGTCAATAGCAGGAGCCATTTTTCCTTGTTGGAAGAGAAAGAGTATTTTGATCTGCGGAACTTCAAAAACGATATTGTGCGAGTTGAAGCGATTGATATGGCAAGTTTGCTGTCAAACGAAGGGCAGGAACAATTAGTGCCCCGAATATGCCCTGTAAATAGGGGATTTAGTGGCGATCACTGCCTAAAATATTCGGTGTTATTCAAATCCGCGCCAACCATATCCGGCATATCCGTGGATATGACGGCAACGGAAATATAATTTATTCGGGGTATTTGTACAAAGTCAAATGAAGACAAAAGTTATGTATCGAATGAAGCTGAGCGTGTATATTTCAAAAGTGCGCATCATAACTACTGTGACTGTAAAATCGAAGATGGAAGATTGATAGAACCAAAGCTGCCCAAGCTGCCCCGGCTGAAAATAAGTAGCAAAATGATGTCCCTCGAAATATCCAGCAGACTTTCCATCCCGAAATCCTGCCCTATACTCGGAATTTGAACAATTGCTCCGCATTTGTCTGACAAATTTTGCGCATGTCCGAAGGCCCAACCATATCTCCCAATGCTCGAACAAACTCTGGGACTCTCTGCGCATCAATATAAGGATAATCATTGGCGAAGAGAATACGATCAACTCCCCAGGTTTGAATTGCAATCTGGGTTGGTGGCAAAGAAAACAGCCCAGAGATTGCCAGCCACACTTGACTGCGCAAGATCTCCCCAACACTGCGCTTCAACCCAAAAATATTTTTATCGAACATCGCATCAAAGCGCTGCAGCATCATCGGTAACATTTCACCTTGGTGTCCAACGACGACCTTAAGCTTCGGATTTCTGTCTAAAGTGCCAGATACAGCGAGCCGAAGGACGTGAATGGCAACCTCATTATGCCAGCCCCATCCCATGCCAGCCAAAGTTGCGGATAACTTGGGCTTTTCAGGAAATTAATAGTAGGTGTCAATCACAGCAGGAGGTGCAATACCAGGATGGAGATACAGAGGGACATCGAGCGCCTCAAATTCCGACAAGAGATCGTCGAACTCAGGGTCGTCGAGGAACTTGCCAGTACATCCGACCGAGCCGGCCATCATCGCTCCAACAAAGCCCAGTTGCTGCACGCTGCGGCGAAGCTCTTCAATAGCTAGTTTCGGCGCATGGAAAGGCAAATCCGCAAGGGCTTTGAATCGGTCGGGATGCGCGTCGACGGCCCTTTTCAGTTCGTTGTTTATGTCTCGCGCCAAAGCAAGGCCAGGTTCCGGCTCCATCTGCATACAATTGACTGGCCCCGCCAGACTGAGTATTTGCATTGCGATGCCGCCTTCATTCATGTCTTGAAGCCGTTGCGCTCCGGTTTCGGTGGAGCTGCCACCGGCGTACGCCATGGCCTCGTGGTCAACAAGTTGTCCAAACACACGTTTGGCATGCACAGCCAGAACCTTTTCAGGAATTCGTGCCGTCAATTTGGGGAAAACAACATGTTCCTCGACTCCGATGATTTTCAAGTCGTGAAGTTCCGGGCGGAGATAGTGAGTGCCGGGGCCTGGAGTGTTGATCGATCCAACGCCCGAGCTAGATTTTGATGCCATGGCATTCGTTTTGGACAATGTCAAGTTGAGAAAGATTCACGCAATGACCAGTTCCTGCCTCCGGTTGACTATATTTACGTAAATTGCGATTTACCGATTCCGGTTCGTCATCGCCACATGCGCATCGCCATAGTCCCGGACAACTCGGATATTTTTTTGGAGCCCCACATCTATAAACGCCGACTGTTTTAGGCTGTGGAGACTTCATAAATTAGTTATGCGTCTAGCAGTTTCGGGAGTGTGGTGGACAATCTTGATGACTCCATACCTCATCTCACATCCAAATCCTTCGATCGATCGATCTGTTACCTTTACCAGTTTGCCATGTCGGGCTTGCCTTTGCTTCATACTCGGCAGACCCGTGAGGGGCCTTTTTCGCGCGGGCGTGTTTTTTGTGGTTGACCCCTCGCGGGTTTCACCACCAGTTTGATCTAACTAAGAAGGTATAAAAGCCCAACTAAACTTCAGTTCTCTGACTGGAAAGCGCTACCCCTCTGGGAAAATTTATTTGAAACTTAGACTCGGAGGTTGCGGTCGCGCCAGGATTGGCGCCATGTTCACTAAGAATGTAGATATTACACGCCTTAGCTAATCATCGTATAAGCATACAGTATTAGGACTATGCTATTTGAACACACCTGCCCTTGTCTACATTCCTGAATTGTATCTTTGAAGCGAAAATGCAATCCACTTGCGCAAGGGCCAAGAGAAATACGATATGCTGCGTCAACAGCAAATCTTCCAATTCCCTACCATTGAAAACATTCAGCCCACTCTCGTCTCTATTTCTATCTATATAGTCCTGTTACTCTTTACGATTCATACCACCGTTGCCTCATCCCCTTCGCTTGCGTCTTGTGTCCATTTACTGCAAGCTTATCCAGAGTATGATTAGTCAAGCGCATGTTCAAAAGGGATATTCACCGCGGGATACTCAAACTTTATGCGAATCAGGATAAACTTGTTCGACTTAGCGGAAACGGGGTTTCGGTTACAGATCTTCATTCTATTCAGGGAATTTATAGTCGGTTCATGGTCCAGCGTATGGGCATTGGTGATATTGGTTGACGATGGAGGTTAGATTAGGTCTTATGATCGATAGGATCTGGAATCGGTGCTTAGCCTTCACCGTAGATCTGAAATGGGGGCTTCCGAGTTATTCGAATTGCATTTGTGTTTCTGGGAGGTTTCATATGGTGGCAGTGAGCGACGGGGATGGTCTCGTCAGGATAGGAAAACGACTGAGAATGTTGTGGATCAAGATAAGGCCGATGCAGGCATACGGCATCGTCAAATGCAAGCCACCGAGACAAACTGATCTCAATGTGTCCAGTATCTGTCTTATGACCCAAATCTTACCCTAACTAGTTTCAGGTGGATTCATTCATTCAAGACTGGCCGCGTGTAGCCGACGAGATTCATTTGCTCTTGTTTTATCATTATTGCGAATACCGCTTGGCAAACGTGGAGACAAATGTACGCAGGTCCACAACGCACACTAAAACTAATGTAGGCAACCGTCCACAGCTTAGTGGGGCATTCTTCACCCACTACTAAGTGAAGCCAGCCTAAGACCAACCTCAAAATCAAGATCCAACAAGCAGCCTGCAACCTTCTAACAGTTTCGCAATTTATCCTGCGAGACATAGCAGCTACATGCATCACATGTCTGAGGTTGAGGCCCCATAGGGTTTAGGGCACACAGTGTACCTCAGTATTTATCCCCTGAGATTCATCTCACTCTCACCTTTCTATAGGCATCTCTCTCATCAAACTAAAAATATATACATAATCTTTCACGTTTTATTACTTACGCAATAAAATCTCCATGGATGAATTTCTCTTGCAACACGTTGGGCGCCATCAGCAACTGGTTAGGCAATTCAAACCCAAGCCTAGGCCGAACGAAGGAGACCCAGTCACTAGTTCCAATATTGCTGTCTCGACGCGCATACGGCCCATGCTCGATGATGAAACCTCCTCCGGTCAAGTCCCTGCAGCCTTTGCTCGGGCTGGTGAGAGTGGAGTTGTGGATCTTCATGAGCTGAGAAGGGTCGTTAGGGGTCCACCGCCATTGAATGTTAGTCACGGTCGTTTTCTTTGAGTAGGCATAGCGACTATCAAATAGATATGCAGACTAATCATATTGAGATTTAGTCTTCGTCTTTCCAAGTAGGGAAAGTGTTTGGCGCTGATCGCAGTACGGACTTGATCTATGAAGATCTTGTACAACCACTTCTTCCCTGGGTTTGGGAAGGAGGTATTGGTACTCTGTTTACCTATGGACAGACCGGCTCCGGGAAGACCTATTCTGTCAGTGGCATAGAGCGTCTGGTAGCTTGTGCCTTGTTCGATGGGACTCTACAAGGACAGCGCAGGTTGCACGTTTCCATATTTGAATTGGCTCGGAACTCGGCATTCGGTGAGAATACACTTTCTACAGTCTTTAAATCCCATCGCATATCACTGAACATCTCTGACTAGATCTGTTAAACTTCCGCGCACCATTCCAAATCCTGGAGGACTCCTTCGGCGATACCCAGCTAGCTGGAGCAAAAGAGTACAAGGTCGCCAGCACTGCCGAGCTTCTGGCCCTGATTGAGCAGGCTACCTCATTCCGGCAAACAGCTTCTACGGAGAAGAATGACGGATCCTCTCGCACACACGCCATCTGCCGCATTAGGATCCAGGATCCAGTCCAGGCTACCCTGGATGATGGTATCCTATATCTCGTCGACCTCGCAGGCTCAGAGGCTGCTCGTGACATTTCAAATCACACTTCCGAACGAATGAAAGAGACACGTGAGATCAACATCAGCCTTTCTGTATTAAAAGACTGTATCCGAGGACTGGCAAATATGGACAATTCTTCTTCGAAATACAAGAAGCAGTATATTCCATTCCGGCAGAGTATGTTAACAAAGGTCCTCAAACATGTCTTTGATCCCTCTGGGAATCGCGAGTGCAAGACTGCAGTGCTAGCTTGTATCAATCCTAGCCTGCTGGATACCGGGGTGAGCAAAAGTACTCTTCGGTACGCGGAGATGCTCCGGTCCGCGGAAACGAAAGTGATGTCTTCGGCATATAACCCCGATGTACCATCGACGTGGAATAACAAGGAACTTCGAAACTATATCAAAATCAAAGTGAGTGTCTCGGTGTCGCTTGTCTTCTATATGCTAATCCGTTGACTAGTCTGGTAGTCCCTCGATCTCCCCGTCTGTTCTTGCGCCGCATGAAACCGGCCAGCAGCTTCTCCAGCTATCGACTTCCCAATTCCTTCAACGCTGTCTCAAGTCGGACGGTGTAACTGGCGATCAAGCTAAATCGTTCCATGCCAAATTTTGGAGGTTACACATTGACTCACAAAGGAGCTCGAGAAAGGTTACCGCGTCCAGCAAGAAAGAGCGAAGTCTTTGCAAAAATGTTCGATCCGATAAATGTTCATCAAGCCGTGATCCCGCGTTCGAGGGTAAATACAACGTACCAAACTTCAAGGAGCGCATCCGGCCAGGCATGGTAATCCGCTGGACTCCATCAGCAGAGACCATCTCGGTCTCTCCGAAGCAGAGCTTAGCTGTTGTGCTATGTCCCCTAGCCGAGGATGAAGCACATGTACAATGTTTCCTGGGGAACAAAGCCAATGAAGCATCTCATACTGCACAACGCTACCTTTGTGGGACGGTCTCGTCAGGGACACTAGCGGAGGCGTACGAGATCAATTTGTGGGCCCAGGTGGTTATCGATGTGAAAGATATGGAGGCGGAGGTTCTACTGGAGTACGATGCAGCCACACGATACTACCATACAACCGTGTAGACCAGACCTCGGCTATTATGTTCCATTTTATCAGGATATCACAGATGGACCAGTTCAATCTGAGCCCGCTCATCTCCGCCTGTCTTGGCAGTCTTGGCATCTCGTTCTTGGTTGCGTGCAATTGAGCATATTATCTGGTTCGGGCCTAGTGTTTTCCTAGTTGGGATTGTGTCTCGGGTAAACCCCCAGTTTGCAGTGCCGCTAGGCCCGATCCAGGTGATCCAATCTATACGATGTTCCTAACGGCAGGGTCTGGTTTTTGTGGTCGAGGAGCTCTCGCTTGCAGGGTTCAATGACAGCTTTGGTGGCGATCCTGAAAATATTGATATAGCGACTCTCTTCCCGATTCCTTCTCGAACCTCATTTCTCATCCTCAACATCCTCCATCATGAAGTTCTCCCTCCTTCCTCTCTTGCTGGCCCCATTGGCTTCAGCACACTTCCACCTCGAGTATCCCATCTCTCGCGGCTTCGATGAGGATACAATGCCTAATTTCCCTTGCGGTGGAATGTCCCAATCCTCCAACCGTACTCAACTACCCATCTCCGGCTCTTTCCCCGTCGCCCTGTCTATGGGCCACATCCAATCTGCCGTCGAGGTTCTGATTGCTCTCGGAAGTGAGCCGGGTGACAGCTACAATATCACCCTCGTGCCAACCTTCCAGGTCAATGGACTGGGTGCCTTCTGTTTGCCGCATGTTGATTTCAGCGAGGCCCTGCTCGGCGTCAACATTACCGATGGAATGAATGCCACCGTCCAGGTTCAGACCAATGGCGACCCCAGCGGTGGACTCTACGCTGTAAGCCTTTATTTTGACTTTCTCTTCACTTGAAAATGCTAATTGTCCTCAGTGCGCCGATGTCCAGTTCTCCTCCAGCGTCACATACAGTGAGCCTTCGTCCTGCAAGAACAACACCAATGTCGCTGCTTCCGCCTTCCCAAGTTCATCCGCTCAGCGCAATGCCAACGAATCCACCGCCGAAGGCGCGGCTCAGGGCTCTTCTGGCAGCAGCACCACTTCCGCTTCCACTTCTAAGGGAGCCGCCGTTGCGTTGCAGACCGCTGCTTGGGGCGTGCTCGGCGCTGCATTTGCCGGTGGCCTGGCCGTGCTCTAAAGCTGAGAGTGGCGCTAAAAATAGTTCATCTCATCAATTAGAAGCTCTCCAGAGCTAGTTGTTTCATGACACTTCAATGAATACCTGCCTTCCCTGATCTATATTCTGTATAGTTCCAATATAATCATGCATTTGGTGGGTACTCACTCGAAAGGTCCCTTCTCCACTTCCCCAAGAATCATCCAATCACCCGGTACAATTCAGCTTGAATCCCAGCCCATAAATGAAGAACCTGTACATCCGCAAGTGGTAGAATATGAGTACACACAATCACCGCCAACTTCTTCTCGCTATCGCATCACCAGAACAAATTCGCCAATCCAGCCCAGTGTGCCCTTTCGGCGGATCTTCCTCTTCCTTGGCTACTGCTCAGCATGAATGATAAGGCCCAGCTTCGTGGGTTATTTGCAGCAACTGGGTACACCGCCAAGATTGGATTTAAGGCGGGAGTGCCGTCATATTCAAAGCCGGAAACGACATTGGCGGAACTTGATGCTGGAAAATACCCCGGCATGACAGCCAGTGGCTATCCATACATGTTTCACATCTACGGCACCCACGGTCCCACACTCCTCAGCAACGGGCCAACTACAATGGAACTTCAAGGCCGTTGGGTTGGCGACTTCATCCAAAGATCGAAAGGAAGGGCATCAAATGCATCAATCCCAAGCCCGCTGCAGCCGAGACTTGGAAATACCGTGTCGTAAAAATGGCAATATACTTTCTCAGAGTCTCAGGCAAGAACTATGAGCCTTGCTGCTATGCAGGTGCTATTCCAGCCCATGGTAGGGAGATTCAAGCTGCAATAGATACTATGCATCAGTATTCTTCGTAATCTAGAGATCACTTCCTGCACGCTTGACACATTAGCATGGACCGATGTCTAACGAATGCCTCAATCTAAGTGGATTCCTCAACGGGCAGGTCGCTTCGCTGACATCTGGGGACGGGACATCGTATATGCAGTCACGTGAGGTAAGAACTAGGCAGCCGAGCAGTTCAATTAAACAAGCTTCCTCTTGCATCTCTCAATTGACCCGTAAATAGCATTGTGTAACTGGTTCGTCGTCGCTGCGATGGATCGATTCGAAAAGCTGCGCCCAGTTGGTGCGTAACCTCCCCGCTCCGAAACCTCCGGACCCCAATTGACTTCGTCTCAGGTGGGTTGGAGCAGTACTCAACTGCGCGCCATCAGATCGGATTTTATCTAAATGTCGCTGTGGCTGCAACATATGAACTGCCAGACCCGTTTACGCTTCCTATCAAAGACTACGTCTACAGGGCTTGTGCGGTGCTTATTGCGGAGCATCCGGTGTTGTCGGCCATTCCTGCGGGTGAAGATACCCAGAAACCGTATTTTGTGCGATTGCCACAGATTGACTTGGATCGGGTTGTGTCTTTTCATCAGCGTCGGACTTCCTTTAAAGCCGGCGATGATGAACCTGGCCCGGATCACGATCTGCAAGTCTTGATCGAGGACGAGCATAACAAGGCATTCTCCGTGCCGAATGCCTATTGGAGGTTGTGCATTCTGTCGGACAGCGAGTGTGAACGACAGTTTACTGCTATCTATGTCTTTCACCACGCTTTAGGCGATGGAGGCTCAGGAAAGGCTTTCCACAAAAGCTTCCTTCGAGCGTTGAACACTGCCGAAGAACATGAAACGAAAGCCCTTATCGAATCACCGAAGATTCCGCTTCTGCCGAATATTGAATCCCTCCACCCAATGCCTCTGTCTTTCCTCTTCCTCGCAAAGAAACTCATTCAAGCAAAAGTCTATTCGCACCGAGACCCGGGGCTGTGGACCGCTGGTCAAATACAAAACCCCACCAAAACCTGTACTCGACTACTCTCATTCTCCAAGTCCGTCGTTACTTCACTGCGAGATCGCTGTCGACAGGAGTACACAACTATTACCGCTGTCCTGCAAACGGTCATTGCGAGATCGATCTTCGCCCACATTCCCGGCACTTACTCAAGCCTCGCTTGTACAGGCGCGCTATCCTGTCGCCGCTGGCTTCCCGATGTAATCACGGACGACGTGATGGGTGTATTCGTCCAAGATTTTGAAGAAACATACTCTCGCAGCGCTACATCTGCGGAATCCTCGTTCCCATGGGAGGAAGCACGGAGATCTCGACAAACAATCGAAGCTACCCTCAATCGCAAAGGCAAAGATGCAGGACCCAATCTACTCAGATACGTTAATGATTACCAGCAAGAACTCTGTCTTTCCAAGCTTGGCCAGGACCGCGACAAGACTTTCGAGGTGTCTAATGTCGGTGTCGTGCACTCTGAATCGGGTCCAGAGGAACCAGCTATTAAAGGCATGGTCTTTTCGCAGTGTGCCAGTGTCATTGGAAACGCTCTTGAGTTCTCTGTTATAACCGGTGGTGATGGGTGTTGTGTGATTTCTGTCTCGTGGCAGGAGGGCGTTGTTGAGGAATCTCTGGTCGAGGGGGTTATTGCGAGTGTCAGAGATGAATTGCGTCTTCTTGCTGGTTGCAAATAATGATCATGTGCTCCATTATCGCCTTTATTCATGATTGACTAATGTACAATTTTAATGAGCTTGTCATAGATCCTCGAGAAACATAATACGATACTTTCACTGCATTCCTTTACGAAATTGACCTCTTCATCGAATTCCTTGAGACTCTCAAGAGGAGAGTCTATTCAAAGAACAAGACTCCAGGACTCAATAATGACTGCTTCGTTGACTTCTATTAATCTCTTCCAAGGCGGTGAAATCGCCGATAACCTCGGCGGCAGAATAGCGGAGTCAACAAGCACGGCTTATCTTTTCCCGCCCCGTCTCTTCTTCAGCTCTTCATCAGAATTGCATTGATTCGATCTATATCCAAGATGTCTGTCCGCGCCCCCTATGTTGTCCCCGCACTCAAAAAGCACACCGCGACCGTGATCATGGCCCACGGTCTCGGAGACAGGTTCGTCATCCCCGCCAGCAAGGATGTATCTCACTGACAATTCCTCAATCTAGTGGCGCCGGATGGTACGAATCGACTTCCCCCAATGCCATGTCCATCGAATCTAACCTCCTATCAGGATGGCCCTCGCCCAGAACTGGCGCCGCCGCGGCAAGTTCGAGGAAGTGACCTTCATCTTCCCCAACGCCCCCATGATCCCGATCACAGTGGTAGGTACAACCGACTCCGAACCCGAAACGACACAAACTAAAGCAAACAGAACTTCGGCATGAGTATGCCCGGCTGGTATGATATCACCAAACTCGGCGGCGACGTGAGATCCCCCTTATAAACCCCCACCCGGACCAAAAACCGACTCTAACGGGGCCGCAGCTGGACTTCGAAGAAGCAATCCGCACACAAGACGAGGCCGGAATCCTAAAGTCGCGCGACTACTTCAACACCCTCATCAAGGAGCAGATGGACAAGGGTATCAAGTCCTCCCGCATCGTGCTCGGCGGGTTCTCGCAGGGTGGTGCGATGTCCGTGTTCACGGGCGTCACGAACAAGGAGAAGCTGGGTGGTGTGTTTGGTCTGTCGTGCTACATGCTTCTTAGCGACCGTATCAAGAACTACACGCCCGAGAACTGGCCTAACAAGGATACTCCGTTCTTCTTGGGTCACGGTGATGAGGATCAGGTTGTGCCTCATGCGTTTGGCCAGGGGTCGGCTAAGATGCTGAAGGATCTTGGCGTTGAGAATGTTGAATTCAACACTTATCCGTATGTTCGATCATATCGATTATGTTGCGATATACTAACTTGATGCAGTGACCTTGGCCACTCGGCTGATCCCGTCGAGATTGATGATCTGGAGAAGTTCTTGACGAAGACGCTCCCCATGGAGGCCGACGGGGCTGCTTTATGAATGGATGAAAGAGATACCATGGGTAGCGTTGCATTTTCTCGGTGGGGATACACATTGATCCTCGGGGTTGTGGTGCTGCTGGCTGCAATTACATGGACCAAGTACCAGGATCGAACGGAGTTATCACAAGATAAGCAGCGCTAGCCTGAAAGCGTTGGTTTCAAACCTCATGTAATTATGCATGATAGGAAAACGCTATACTAATGCTTGGCGACCAGCACAACTGACATGATTATCAACCAACACCCGTTATGCTTCCCGTGTCACTGAATTCGCATCCCATGGTCTCTACCCCCGAATAGCCTTAGCAACAGTCTGTTCAATAACCCGAGTCATCTGCTCCGTATTCTCCTTATCAAACGGCACCATATGCTTAGAGCCATGGTCATAGAAAGCCGCCTTACTCGGCTCACAAAGTCCATACAACTTCATACTCTCCGGATACAGTGGATCCGTTTTGCCGACGATATGCGCCGTGGGAATGGCAATCGAATACGTATCAGGCTGCGGCGAAATATATGCTAGTCCCGCACTCTCCCACGGTGCCCCGCTGCAGATAAATACGGCCGCACGGAAGAGGGGTGGCTCGCTCGGGTGCGTCTTGCTATGGTGTGCGATTAGAGCTGCGGCTAGAGCGCCGCCTTGCGAGAAGCCCATCACGGCGTCGAAGGGTCCTTTGGTGATGATTAAGTTTCGGATGTGCTCGAATGCTTCGACCAGGTGAGCGCTTGGTAAAGTGGGGTCGCGTGGGTAGTGGTTGTAAAAGGGGCCGTCGACGACGCCTTCGAGTTCTGTTTTGTCTCTTTAGTGTTTGTGGTGATTGAGGTGCCGGGGGTGTGTACCTGACTCCACGGCGGCGTCCATCTTGCCGTTTACGAATTTGAAGGTGTGGCCCTTTTTCTCGAGCTGTTGGCGTATACCGCCGGTCTGGATCTCGAAGATCTGGGTTGGAGATTAGCATTGGATTTCGTCGCTGTACTGAGAGGGTACGTACCTCGCCGTTGGTGCCGGCACCGTGCAGACACAGGAAGCGCATGATGGAAATCGATCTGGAATTTTTGGTCCGGGTGCAGATGAAGGTAGATGCAAGGTACAGAAAACAGAATCAAAACGAAAATCGAAGTTCAGTTCACGGTGGAAGGTCTGAAGGTTCCCCGGGTGATGATATGTTTACAATAGTCGCGATGCCCATGCAGGGGGGGGGGGGGGGCAATGTACTTCGCAATTGCCGCAAAGGGAACATAGGGGGTGAGGGGCGCAGACTGGCAATTACATTTATCGTGATCTGAAATCCAAGTCTCATCTGATCTTTCTGATACTTCGAGGTGGTCCTATTTGCCATTGTTTACGGCTTTGAGTACCTTCTGAGCTATTGTTTCATGTTGCTCTAGCTTGCTTCAAGATGGTCACGATGGAGAACAAGCATCGACTTCAATCCCCAAAATGGAGAGCCTTTGATTCCACCAAAGCATGATTGAGCATATATATCGCATGTTGAGAAATAAAGGGGTAGATCAGATGAAAGAGGACGGACATATAAATTGAAGGTATATTCTAATACTGTTTTCTGGTCGTTCTCAGGGGAATATTCATACCCTTTCTCTGAGAACTGTTTTCTAAGGGAATTGCATCTACTCGAATTGCATTGAGCAAGCTGCATATAGGCGCTGAGTGCGGCACATTTCCGAATAGCTTCATAGGCTCGGCTGACCAATCAGCAGCCATCGGGGCAGAGAGATGTTGTTACAGGCCAGTAGGGCCCTACTGTACTGAGCACTGACCTACGCACCCCACTGAGGTCTCAGTAGGGCCCCTACTGACCTGCCGGCCAATGTTTGGTGCCTTATGATGAGGGCTCTGACCTTCAACGTCGCATTCAAAGGAGAAATCCACATGTTCGGCCGCTAGTGGAACTCAACCTCCTCGGCTCCCCGCGATGGGCCTCCATTCAGCGATGGGCTTCCATTCCACCCAACCGTGGGCTGATCCGACGTGAAGCTATACTGCAAAAATGGATTCTCATGACGTGGTTGCTGCCAGTGGATTCGTTGGATACAGCTTGCGACACCCTCTAGAAGGGCTGTCAAGCTTCGGTCCCACGCTGAACGAGGCCACGTTCGGTCTCCTGGGCTCCTCCTTTAAACCCGAGCGCGACATCGCCAGCCTCGAGGGCAAGGTTATCCTGGTCACCGGAGGTAAGTTGATCGTACCTGCATGATGAATGGCTCGCTCACGCCCATTCTCACAGGTAATACCGGCCTCGGCAAAGAGACCGTCTTCCAGCTGGCCAAGCACCACCCGGCACGTATTTACTTGGCTGCACGCACCGAAAGCAAGGCGCGCGATGCCATCGCCTCCGTTCAGTCCCAGCTTTCTTTTCCGGTTGACATTCGCTACATCGCGCTGGACCTAGCCTCCTTCAAGTCCATCCGTGCCGCAGCGGATACCTTCCAGTCAGACAGTGACCGCCTCGACCTTTTGATCCTCAATGCAGGAACCATGGGCAATCCGCCCGACAAGACCGAAGAAGGCTTCGAGGTCCAGCTGGGCACTAATCATGTGGGCCACTTTCTGCTCACCAAGCTCCTCCTGCCCACATTGCAGAAAACCGTCGCGCAGATCCGCTCCAGCGGGGCGATTCCCGACGTCCGCGTCGTGACCGTGGCATCGGCAGCCCACGCAATGTGCCCGGCTAGCTTCGAGGGAATGACATCTACTCCTTCTCTGCTGGCCGACAGCACCTGGAAGCGCTACGGTGCGTCCAAGGCAGCCAACATTTTCTTCGCGGCGGAGCTGGCACGCCGGAATCCGGAGATCCTTTCGGTCTCCGTGCACCCGGGCGCAGTTAACAGTGATCTCTACCATCACGCCAAGGCAGCTGGCTCCTTCATGAACTACAGTTTAACTGTCGCAGCGTCCTTTTTCTTCCGCAACGTGCGCAGCGGCTCTCTCAATACCCTGTGGGCAGCTGGCACCCAGCGAGACCATTTGGTCAACGGTGCTTACTATACCCCCGTTGGATTCCACGGTAGTGGCACAAACTTCGTGCAAGATGGAAATGTCGCCCGCAAGCTTTGGGAGTGGACTGAGGCTCGGATTGCTGAGCTGAGCTGAGCCCGACAATTGATTTTTGAGTCATTTCTGTTGATTTAATCTTGTTGGTAGCATCAGCCTGAATAGCCGTACAATTTATCGAATTCTCTAGGACATTTCTATCATAATTTGCTCTTTCATTGGTGCTTGGATTCTCTTTTCGGGGGCGGACAAGTATTTAACGCCCTATCAAGCCAATGCAGACGTCTGGGTCAGGGTTCCAAGTACTCAATGCAACCAATGATACGATCACGAATGGTAGTAAGACGGAAGAGTTTCTGCGTCAACAGTGTCCCAAAATGCCGATTACGCGGGAGAGGCGCGAAATCGAGGCGCTGTTGTCGAATGCCAAGATTCAGCGGTTACTTGGGTTCCGGGAGAAACATGGTTTGAAGAAGTATTTCCGATTGTGGGAGAAAGAGAATAACCAGGTTGTTGTTTAGTTAGAATCAAATCTCCAAGAATGATGGAATTGAATGGAAGTATGGAAGCAGGGTGAAGCTATTCCCCGTGCGGGTTCACCACTCAACCAGATTAGGGTTTAGCCGAGCTGTCTCCCTCGTCGCCCACAATCGAAACCACGTCCAGCATCAACCACGACCATGCGATCTTCAGGGCTCATCTCTGGATGCCATGTAAATGTAAACATCTAGGAGAATCACAATAGGAACGTAGTGAGAAAATAGACCGCGGCCATCGCCGCGGCGCATTAGCGAAAATCCGCATTTGTAACTCCCCACACAAAACTCACGGGATGCGCATCACCACCTTCCCTCCTCCCTCCGACCTTCCCATATCCCCCACCACCCATCACTTTCTCGGTACGAATCCCATTTTGAACCCGATCTCGACGAACGCATTCGCTTTTTTCGACCTGCGACTTGCGATTTCGTTTTTCGGCTTTCCCTCGGGACTTATCGGCTAACGTTGGGAGATCAGGACGACCGAATCACCGTCATAATGGATCACGCTAAGTTGGCTAAGATGCAGCAGAGCGTGCGCATTGGTATGTGTCTCTTTTTTCTGGTCTTTGGTGTCAATTGCTAGGGTCTGGAGAGGTGTTGCGGGCTGGTCTTGAGCCGGTGGCGTCGTGAGTGAAGACATCAGCTCATGTCAGACCTGCGTCCTGGGCTCCTGCATCGCTGAAGAGCTGTATCTTTGGGCTTCTATGAAATCTATTGCTAACTCTTGTTTTCCTCACAGGGTACGTATCCTTCTATTCTTGAGCTTGAACCCGCCAACCCGAACCCCCGCCTACCAACCGACGGGAAGATTCGTGCGATGGGCATCCCCACATTCGCATTCCGGTCTCGACATTGTGCGATGGACATGCAGTGCCCCATGATACTAGGACGCATGTCCGATAATTCGAGACCGGCAATAACGCAATTCCACTCGACCACGAATCCGACCTACACCCATTTTCTACCCCTCCGAACAAATTCAACTAACCCTATTCTCCACAGAGGCAAGGGCACTCCCCGCCGCAAGGTCAAGAAGGTCCAGCGCAACTCCGGCGCCGACGACAAGAAGCTCCAGGCCACCCTCAAGAAGATGAACGTCCAGCCCATCCAAGGCATCGAGGAGGTCAACATGTTCAAGGAGGACGGCAACGTCATCCACTTCGCCGCTCCCCGCGGTAAGCTCCCCGATTGAGCCCTCTAAGAACCCACAATGCTAACGTATTCAGTTCACGCCTCCGTCCCCTCCAACACCTTCGCCCTGTACGGCAACGGCGAGGAGAAGGAGCTCACCGAGCTCGTCCCCGGTATCCTGAACCAGCTCGGCCCCGACTCCCTGGCCTCGCTCCGCAAGCTCGCCGAGAGCTACCAGAACATGCAGAAGGCGCAGGGCGGTGAGAAGAAGGATGATGAGGAGGATGATATCCCCGACCTGGTTGAGGGCGAGAACTTTGAGAGCAAGGTTGAGTAAATAGACGTCACCGACACAAAGCAAAATTCAGTCTATGGTCAATGAAATGTGTTCATCCAGTTAATTCTCTTGTTTCTTTGTTATGGGCCCCCAACCTGGTGTTTGCCCGGTATGAGGATTTGAAGGCAGAGCTTGTAAAGGGTTCTGCGGGCGTGGATTTTTGGACCGCAGTTCATCTGCACCTTGTAATGCCTTTTCTTATAAATGTTGCGATTCGCAATTCTTACGGAAGACTGCCGTGTGTAAAGAGTCCGGATTGGACGGTTCATAATGTCTACATCAAATGCCCCGAAAGGATTATCATACAACGCAAAATTTCCCCAATACGCCGAGTAATGCTTGGGTCCCATCGCCTGGGCCACCCGTATTGCGCCTGCTCTCGCAGTGCACCTCTGCTCCACGGTACCTGCCGGTTGTCGCAGCTAACTGGGTATGCAGAGAGGCTCGGTGCAGTAGTCCTGCATCTCAAACCACTTGCCAATGCAAACTGTTTTTCAGATTCTCCAAGGGCATTTCAAGCATCTTCTTTCAGTCCGCAGATATCCGTTCCGAGAACCTTGTCCACCGCGTACCAGAACTTCCAGTAAGCATTGGACTTGTCGTAATCAAAGGACCCATCCTCGCGCAATTGAGGTCCATCACCAACAATATCGCCCGTAAACCAGCTCAGAATCGGGATCGAGCGGAGTACGCGCTCGGTGACGGTCGGCTGTGGAGGGAGGGCCTCGGTCAGGGGACGGAGTTTCGCGCGGCGGACGGTGGGAATATGCGTCATGAACTCGGATTCTGGCTTGGGTTCGGTTGCGAGGCTGCGCTGGTGCAGCGATGACGAGCGGTCGAAGCCTGTCGAAGCTCCTGTCGCGACGGCAGTTGCTGTACCGGAGGTGGCGGTTGTAGTCGATGCGTCGATCGATTGCTCTTCTTCTGTCTCGTTGACGTCCGCGGCGCCGGATAAGTTGTTCATGGCGAAGGACCGCGGCAGCGTGAATCGGTCCTGGTCGCTGCTGGGCATGCTGGACAGGAACGCGGTCGAGTGTGTAGAGGTGAGTGTGCGCGGTGCACGGCTGCGTATCCGGTTGGCTGCCGCCGAGTCTGCGGGAATAGAGGCATCTTCTGCGGGTCCATGGCCGTGGTATAATTCACAGAAGACAAGACATCCGTCGATCTCCTGCGGCGAGTAGAAGCACGCGCGGTCGGCAGCCTGGGTCGAGTCGAAAGTAACCTTGATCCAGTGGAAGCCGCCATCGTAGCGCTTAGACTTGCGGTTTGCGTCGGCAGAGAGGTTGGCGCGGATGACGACGTCGCCGCCGCTGAGCATCTGTGCGGACTGGATGAGGGAGTTGGGATCGCTGCGAGCGTAGTCTTCGCAGATCATGCCCTGCGAGATGCGCTCGTACTTGTCGATCACCTTCCACTCGATGTCCTTGCTCTTGTATCCGTACAGGATGCACTCGGTCGCGACCTTTTCGGTCTGTTTGCGCGAGTTTTCGAGGCTGGAGGATGAGGAGGACTTGGGCAGACCGGAGACTTTTTCTTCTTCCTGCTGCATGGAGAATAATCGACCAAACTCGGCGACATTGGGATTCTCTCGCTTTGCGGGCGTGCCGGTGCGTGTTCGGGATCGGGCTTCGTATCGGGCGTTCCTCCTCTTGCCAAAGGGTCCTGACTCTTCTGGTGGTCGGCGGGGATTGCGAGATTCACTAGTCGGGTGTCAGTGCCATTGTGCAGTGTAATTTCAGATGAGGTGGCTGCTTACTCTTTGTAAATGTAGCCCCAAGGCAGAAGGTTGCCGTTCTCGTCTCTTGCGCGCTCCTCTGGAGGTACGGCGTGGTACTCCATGGTGGATAGTGGATAGATGCCGCTATGAATGTGAGTTGGATAATGGAGGGAGTTCAGAAAGCAAGTGAATTTTAAAGGGATCCACCCGTGGACCTCGAATGGGGCAGAGCGCGAATCTGTCAACCAGCGGAGGTGAAAGTGAAACTTTTGGTAAACAGTGGTTCGCCGGGATACGGGTCACGTGGCATGTGCAGAGCTCTACACGAACAACACATGGCTTATTGCTAATTTTCTTCTAAATTTCGAATTTTTTGGATTCATTAGAGGACCGAATAGTCCCAAAATTTGTTCTGTTTGATTTGCTAAAATGATTTTGTATCTCATTCAGTCTAACTTTGGTTATCATGAAAAAACAATGTAAAACACGGGATTCATGATATGTATATCGAAACTCCCTTCGCTCAACGAAGGGTATAAAGCGAAATGAAAATCACAAACACAGCCCGTTCAAGTGCTGTAGACAAACCTCGGATTCCGGTCACCCATTTCTTGGATCTCTTCCTCCGAAAGGGACGCGATTTTCTCATCTTCAAGACCCCTCGCTCGTCGCTTGTTGATCATACGAAGAGCAAGCCACATCACACCGTACAGAGCACCAGCAAAGCCGACCAAACCCAGAGTAACTGCGTTACCTCTAACATACCGCGGTGCCTCGGAGTTTGTATATAAAAACGGAGACATGACACCGCTGACATTGCCAATGGTAAGCTGCAACCCCGTGGCAAATGTTCGCTTGCCATATCGGGGTAGATTGGTCGGGAGCCAGGCTAGCGGTAGCCCGACGGTAACATACAAACCCAGTGCAACGAGGAGAGCACCGAAATAATGAACCCCCGATGGGACATCTGCAATCAAGATGCCATACCCGATGACCGAAATGGCGCTGAAAACGCAGACAAAGAATGCGCGGTGCTGGGTCCGATCACTCAGCCAGGCTACGGTCAGGTATACGATTGCACCCAGTGCATAGCATGGAATCGTGAGAGCCTGAACCTGCGGCGTTGACCAATTCCCCATTCCCTCGATGATCGTCGGAAGAAAGGTGCTGTACCCGTACAGCATAGTATCGACACCGAACTGCCCGATGCAAAAGGCATAGATCTTCCAATCCAACGCCCCTTCTTTCACATCCGCCCAGTGGAACTTCTGAGCCGACTCCGTCTGGCCCACGTAGCGAGCGCGACGACGCGTGACGAGCGCCCGTTCTTCCTTGTTTAGGTAGTAGGCTGTGTTTGGGTCATCGGCGAGAAAGAACCAGGTGGCTATGCCGACGACGACGGTCGGGATTCCTTCGAGAATCATGATCCAGCGCCAGCCCCGCAGCCCGCTGATTCCGTCCATGAAGCCGATTGCGTAGGCGAGGAGTCCACCGAAGGCCCCTGCAATCGCGGCGCTGCTGAATAGGTATCCTGTTCGCAGGGCAATCTCGCGTTTGCTGTAGAAGAGAGTGAGGTAGGTCATGAACCCCGGAAAGAGTCCTGCTTCTACAACCCCGAGCAAGATTCGGCATGCAATGAGGCCGCCGTAGCTCTGGGTGATACCCGTGAGGGTTGCAATGATGCCCCATATTACTGAGATAGCTGCAATGTATCGCGACGGTCTGAGTTTCTTGATGACCAAGTTCGAGGGCACCTCGAAGAACTGGATGACGCCATCAGTCGAATTTCGGATCCTGCGTTAGAGCTGGACATACACAATATGTAACGAAGAGAATCGATACCGCGATTTGGTACTGGTCACCGACCAGGCCCAGGTCCTCTTCGAGGCCGTATAGGCGAGCATTGCCAATGTTTACTGCGGACATTAGCCCTGTGTACCAATTGAGTGAGTTAGGTCACGTACCTCGATCCAGAAAACTGAACAAATACAACAAGACCACGAAAGGCAGAATGTGTACGTCGATTTTCCAAATCAGCATGCGCTCCTGCTTCTCCTCTTCGGCCGTCGGCGCCGAGCTGGTCTCAAACACGGGCTCAATGGCCCGAGTCGGACCCACGTCTTCCTTAGCTTCGTGCTCCCCCATCCCAATGGAATCGCTGCGACCAAATATTGGGGTATGTTTTAGGAGGAGTGCCCCTGGACAGAGAGTATAGAGTTTACTTGATCTGATAATTGAAGAGGAGAAAAATCTGCAGCGAGGGATAAGGTTGCCAAGGAGGAGATCGGAGGGGATCATCCTTATCGTTGCAGAATTGGTCCTTTCTGCAGGGCAACACCTCTAGTGTCTAATATTGATCTATAATTGCTTCTTCCAAAGTTCGTCTAATACAATAGTGGTCCATGGATTGCCTGGATAGTTTCTCGTATAGTTTGTGTAGTGCGTGCCGGCTCGGTGCTGTTTCCTCTTTGGCCGCTGCAATGGATCATTTCCTGAGATCAGCCGAGCTAGCATTGGAAAGATAATCACTAGGCATGGTATCTGTTGACCGCTGTTTCTCGGTACCATCTGCAGTCTTGGATATTCCACGCAGGAGCCTCAAGTGTGACGAAGATGTTCAATGATTCTCCCGAGCCGAACCCTGGCCTACCGCGCCTCCACTTCGGTGGATATGGTAAGCGGGGTGGCGGTGGGGAGGCAGTGGGTACACTTTGATGTAAAAATGTTGTCATGGAACATCCAAGAAGGATTATCCACTTCGGTATAAACCTGGCAGGAAAGGGTGGTTCATTGGCCATGGAGCGAAAGAGAGGCGAAGCTTTGGAGCTCGGCCCACCGCGCGACCGAGGTCCAACAGCGACTCCACCACATCCGGGCTCTTCCTCTTCTCACTACTCAATCAACCATGTCGGAAAACTATGGCAGCTACCAGACCGAAATCTATGGCAAGGGTGCCCTTATGGGCATCACGCCCACCGTCACTACCGACCCCCGGCTGCTGGAGGAGCAGGCTAAGCGGGCGTTGGGGACCCGGGCCTTTAACTATGTAGCCGGCGGCGCGGGCGAGAAAGCGACGATGGATGCCAATCGGCTTGCTTTTCGTCAATGGAAGATGTAAGTCTTTTGAATCGTGGTCTTGGGTTTGCGGCAATTTTTAACTGTGTTTCATAGAATCCCGCGCATGATGCGAAGCGTTCGTTTGTCCTAAACGACGTGGCTTTCGTGAACACCAGCTTACATGCTCTAGATGAACGGTCAAGATGTTTCGGTCGAGCTGTTCGGTCAGAAATATGACAACCCGGTGATCATGGCACCGATTGGTGTGCAGGGCATTTTTCACGAGGATAGGGAAACCGGCCTGGCAGCAGTCTGCGCCGAAGAGGGAGTACCCTACACCATGAGCACGGCCAGCACCTGTTCCATTGAAGATGTGGCTACCGCTAGTGGAGATGGCAAGAGATGGTATCAGCTTTACTGGCCGCATGACAACAATATCACGCTGTCGCTGTTGAACCGGGCCAAGGCCAATGGATTCTCAGTTCTTGTTATTACGCTAGACACCTGGGCTCTAGCGTGGCGACCGGCCGATCTGGATAATGCCTACGTCCCTTTCATTAAGGGAATTGGGTGTGAGGTCGGTTTTAGTGACCCGGTCTTCCGTGCCAAGTTCGAGAAAGAGTCTGGATCTAAGATTGAGGATGATATCATGGGTGCGTCGCGGGCCTGGCTGGGAGAGATTTTCGCGAGTGACCCACACACCTGGGAGGACGTTGCTTTTGTTCGGAAACACTGGGATGGCCCGATTGTCTTGAAGGGTATCCAGCATGTGGAAGACGCCAAGATGGCGCTGGCGTGCGGTTGCGATGGTATTGCGGTTTCTAACCACGGAGGTATGTTCATTGGCCTGTGCTCTTGCGGCATTCCATGGATATTTACTAATTGACCGACAGGCCGCCAGGTCGATGGAGCCATCGGCTCCCTGGACGTTCTCCCGGAAATAGTCGACGCAGTCGGCGATAAGATGACGGTCTTGTTTGACTCGGGCATTCGGACGGGCGTGGATATCATCAAGGCACTGTGTCTAGGGGCCAAGGCCGTTCTGGTTGGTCGGCCGATCATCTACGGTCTCGGTATCAATGGACGCGACGGCGCACGACAGATTCTGAAGGGCCTGCTGGCGGATTTCTGGCAGAGCATGGGTCTATCGGGGATCCGGACTGTGAGCGACTGCAACCGCGAGATGATCCGCAAGGTGCAGCATGCAGGAGACATGAAGGCAATGATGTGAAAGAGCCTCGGAAGTAGAAAGCACAGGGACGGTGTATGTATAAACTGGAAGTAAACAAAGTACCATCGACGTCATCCCAACGAGGCCTGGAACGCGATGTTGGGAATCACATGCAAAGTCACGATAAGCGTGACTCGGGTCACTCGATCTATGGAAATTTATCCAGTTGACCATGACTTTGTGTTTTCCCTTGTTCATAGATCTATTCTCCATGGCTCACTATGTTTGTCAATCCTATATCTAAAATGACAGCCGAAGAAAAGCAGATCGGCGATGGCAGCCATGTTCCCGCGACTTCAGGCACAACCCTCCTCCCGCGTCCGGTAGCGTCCCTGGTATCCCTGCTGACTCAATCGACCTCGCTGTCTCTGCGCGTGGGCACTTTCGTTGGCGGGGTAGCCCTAGATGGAGCACGCGCGACCACGCTGACGGGGTTCGAGTTGGGCCGAGCGGTCATCGAGGGGATCTTGACTCGAGCGGGGAGGGATGTCGCGATCCGCAGTGGGGATGAGCATGGCAGGATGGAGGCTGAATCACTTCTTGAGCGCAGTGTAGGTCTTTCCCGTGCGCTTCACTGAAAGTAAATTCGATACTGACCATCTATGCAGTTGGCGACTCTACATACAACAGTGACCTCGGCATCTTTCTTCGCAGCGGCCACTTTCCACTTCTCATCTACGACGCTGGCATCGGTTGCCAATTTCTCACAGGCTCTTCTATCAACTCTTGATGCCATCCTGGGATCTACGGAATCATCGAGGGCTATTGCTGCCATTATTACTCTTATCCGTCGAGAGTTCAGGTCCGGGGATACTGGCGCCAGCAACGAGAAAATCGGTGTGGGAGATCTGCTACTTGGTTCTGTGGGGTTTGCACTTCTGCAGCGCTGGGGCAAAAAGAATACCGAACGAAGTCTTCGAGAGAACGGTGGAGATGAAATAGTTTGGGATACCGTTATCTTGGACAGCGGTGTCAGGGCAGATGTTGTCGGAACGCATCAAATCCAGTTTCCAGGTGGAGGAGTCGATGCAGCGGCAGATCCCGAAAGCGCTTCATTCGTCATGCCTGGAAAGGAAGAAGCCTTTGATGCCGTGCAGCGGCGATCTAGCATTGCTCAGACCTTTAGTGGATCTCGCCTGTCATTTCCTTTGGATGAACAACAACAAGTGTCGGACGAAGATGTTCGCGCCTACATCATGAGCCAACTGCCACAAGGTTGTCACGCTTCCATCAAATCGGAATTATTGACAGCTCGCACCATCACGGTGGACATCTTTGATGATGATATGGCTGAAATTGCTGCTCCTCCTGGAACTACGATGATCGAAGAGCGACACCATCATGATCATGAATATGCAAATGCCAGTGCTGGCGCCCCAGAGTATCGACGGTTACCAAGACATACAGTGGTATTCCGCACAGCCTTCAATAAATCACAAAGCACCCAGCTACGGCCTCATGACGTCCCGGTTGGTTCAAGTCCAGTTGAGGCGGATCACTTCCAACGACATTTGCCTCGAGCTCCACAGTCTCCGCAAAAAGCGAGAGACCACGGCAATGGGGAACGCTCACTGTCTGGTCCTGCAAGCGGTGTCACGATCAAGGGTACTGGCGTTGCCAGTCCGGAGCCTGAAGATGACAGTGCCCAAAAGCCACCGTCTGGAAGGAACTCGTTCACAAAGTTCACCCAGCGAGTGAAACCAGGTGGCTCCGAGAAGACTGACGACACCAAGCGCCCTCTATTGAAGAAACCTACTATCAGAGCCCCGGCATTATCAGCAACTAATAGCGCACGTCAGCCTGTCAAGCCCACGAAAGGAACGGCCTCGGTGAAAGACGCCACTGCGCGAGAAGTTTCCAACAAGCCAGACCCCAAGAGAAGGCCGAGCCAAACACCCGACTATCGGCCAACTACCCCGGCTCCCAATCGGGGACTACGGAGATCGCCCTACCCAACATCTCCCCAGTCCCCACGCTCGCATGTCAAACTCATTCCTCGCAATGTCCCCGACCGAAAGAGCTCCAGGCCAGGGCATTTCGCAGTACGCGAAAGGAGTCACGAGTCTCTCCTCACCCACACTGATACCTTCTCTCGCCGCAATGGTGACATGCGTCCCGGGTCGCCAGCAGCCGCTCGAACTCATGTTCGCAGCAGCAGCTCTTTGTCTGTGTCAAGGTCCGAGGCAGACGGTACTATCTCCGCGAATGATCATCGGCCCAGTTCATCGGCATTGCATGGAAGATCTCAATCATATACTCCAAGCATGTATTCCGTCGCCACCGCTGGCTCTGAGACGTCGCTTCTACTGGCACATCGACCGCGCAAGAGCACGTATGAAGACGCGGCGACTATCCAAGCTCTCAATCGGGATGGCCTTGTGCCTGGAATCTTCCCCGAGAGACATTTTGTTCAAAACGTTCGCCGATTCTGTCGTTTCTCTTCTGCGTCTTATGGCGCCAGTGCCCTCAAAGTCATGGGTATACCCAGAGGAACGAAGACTATTCCTCCCATCACCTCGGACAGTCATGAGCACCACGCATTCTCCGATCACGCGGGCCTTCCATCCTCGACAATCCTTTTGTCCTCTTTTGTCGACCCAGCTGGAGGCTCCAATGCCGCAGGTGAAACCGAAAGCGGGTTCCCACTCGTGCATTACCTATCAATCGACCACGAATCCAAGGCCGTGGTCCTAACTCTTCGAGGAACATGGGGCTTCGAAGACATTCTCACAGACATGACCTGCGACTACGACGATCTAGAATGGCAAGGCAAGAACTGGAAGGTTCACAAAGGTATGCACGCCTCCGCCAAGCGCCTCCTAGGAGGAGGCGGCGGCCGAGTCATGATCACTCTCCGCGCAGCCCTGGAAGAATTCCAGGACTACGGCGTCGTGCTATGCGGCCACTCCCTAGGCGGTGGCGTAGCAGCTCTCCTCGCAACCATGATCGCCGAACCGAACAATGACCTCCATGGCACATCTTTCGTGACGGCATCTTACAACCCAACAGCCCGTCCACGCCTATTGGCCGTGGACAGAGACACAAGTCTCAACGCAACACCACCCCAATCCCAATGCTACGACCTACCCACCGGCCGCCCAATCCACGTCTACGCCTACGGCCCACCAGCCGTCATGTCCCCATTCCTCCGCCTCGCAACCCGCGGCCTAATCACAACGGTCGTAAACGGCCAAGACGTCGTCCCCAGCCTGTCTCTCGGCATCCTACACGACATGCACACAGCCTCGCTATCATTCAAAGCCGATATCTCCGGCGCCAAATCACACATCCGCTCCCGACTCCACGACCGCCTCCGCCAGTCCATCATCCACAAATTCTACGTCAACCAGCCGCCGCTGGTAATTAACGCCGGAGATGGCGTGGGCGAAGACGCATGGGCGTGGAAAACACTCCGGCTACTCCGTGATGAGATGCGTGCGCCGAAACTGATGCCGCCGGGTGAGGTGTTCGTGGTCGAGACTATGCGTGTGCTGCAGCGGGAGGCGTTTACGGCGCCCGAGTTTGTGACGGATAGTTATCCACGACTTGGATGGCCTGCTACGAGGGTGCAGATGCGGTTTATTCGAGATGTGGATGCTTGGTTTGGGGAGTTGAGGTTTGCCAGTGGCATGCTAAGTGATCATAATCCGGCGAGATATGAGACTAGTCTGGCGGCGTTGGCGAGGGGGGTCTTGGATGAGTAGGTGAGGTTTGGGTAGGGTTGTGGGTTGGTGGTCTATAATATGGTACTTCATTTGGACGAATTTGGATGGACATTTATGAGGATATGGGATATGAGACATGGAATATTTCGGGGTTTGGGTCTGGCATTTGGGCGATTTACGAGATACACGCGTTTTCCTAGAGTTAGATAGATTTTCTTTTGTCGGTCATGAGTACACGCAGGTTATTTGCGATTGGAATATTAATACTAGAGTGGAAATTAGGTCTTGCATTTGCCAGGTTCATCCCGCGTAGTCACTACAACGGAGCAAAGGCTGTAGATCGTTGCCCATCTTTGCTCGACCCCGTGTATGCACACGTATCTCCAAGGATACAGATATTCCCAACACTTTTCGAGCAGTAGGAAGGAGAGACGCGCCTTTTGACATGTGAATCTCAACAAGTGAAGTCCTCAGCTGTCGACATGTGAATGCTGCAGCGGGCTAGAACCGCCAAGGAGCTATCAGCCTTCAAGGCCGTATGACCTCCTCTACATTCCAACGACTACATCAGCCCACTCCGTATCTCACCCGGTACTCTTTTCTTACATGATTTACAGTAGAAATAATTCATCATGGAAAATAATACATTGCCTCGTTAATTTATGAGTTGTTTGTAGGGAAAGCCCACCCATCTAGTATATCAATCCCAAAACAAAACCGATCCAATCCAGGGTATCACGGCGAGCAAGCCAAAAAAGAAAAAAAAAAAAGAAACACCATTCCCAACCGGGTAATAATAACAAGATAAAAAGAGCAGCACCCCCCGCTTTTTGTTTTTAAACCACCAAGGCGGTGGCGGGCACAGGACGACCGGAGTGACAGCCTCGCTCGTGGCGCTTCATGTTGCTGCGCACCGAGAAGGCCTTTCCGCAGCCGGCGTGCGTGCAGCGGAAGGGCTTCTCGCCCGTGTGGGAGTGGGAGTGGATGCGCAGCGAGGAAGGGCGGGAGAAAGCCTTGTGGCAGGTGCGGCAGATGTAGCGGTCGTGGTTTTGTTGGTAGGGGGTTGTGCTGGAAGGGGGGAAGTAGTGGTGGTGTTGCCAGGCGGGTGTGACGGGGGAGATGAGGGATGGTGATGGGGCTTGCTGGGGCATAGGTGCCGGTACGGCGGACGGGGCGAAGATGGTGGCCGTTTGTGGGCGGTAGTACATGATGGTTTGGGGTGCGGGTGCCTCCACGGGTGATGTGTGGGAGGTGTAGGAGGATACGCTCGGTGCGGGCGATGCGTAGGGGCCCATGTGGGAGTTGGTGGAGGAGATGGAGGACCGGTGGTCTTTTAGAGACTCGCTCGGTGATGTGTGGTGACCGGAGCCGGAGCCGGGGCGCAGCGGTGGTGTTGGGGGCATGCGCACGTCGTATTGGACTTTGTGTTCACGCTGAGGGCTCATGCGTTGACGCTCTATGGAGTTCGTTAGTACATGTTTTGTGTATACCGAGGACGTAGTTGCGTAGAGAAGTACTCACTAGCTGCGTGGCCGTCGGCACCCTCGAGCAGAGTCGAGATGGAAGGCAGCGAGCACTTGAGCTCTTCGACGGGCGGGGAGAGAGGCGCAGAGCGCTTGGTATAGGTGTCGGTATATGGCTTGGGGGCCGGGGCAGAGCCCTGCAAGAGATTGGACAGATCCATGATTGGTATAGGAGGGAAGGGTAGGAATGGGAAGAGCCCCGGGTTACGGGGACACACGAGGGTTTATAGTCTCGCGTGGCCGATCATCGCGGGCAATGCCGGTGGAGTCAGGGCTGGTAAAGTAAATTACCTCGTTCGCCTATACGCGCAGGCAAAGTTGAGACAGTCCGTTCCAAAGCTTAAATTAATTAATTTTTTTTTCCTCTACCCTTTTTTATTTTCGGAGATTAACCCTGTGGAGAGATGACGATGTCCACGCGAGCGGCGGATCCATCGAGCCGCATGGACCCAATGGGATCGTGCAGATCGGGCACTATCCCCGAACAAGGAGGCCGGAAAGTCCCCGTCGTGGTCAAAACCCAGGGATAGCAGCTCGGCTACGCTGAGGGCTGCTAGTGCAGATCCTGCTTACCTGTCACATACTAGCCCCGTAAACGGCTGATCGCACCAACATGATCGGGCGTCGATCCCTTTTCGTCACGGGTGTGGAATACGAGTCCTTCGCGACGGGATCCGGTCGCTGCATCAGACCATCCTCGCCGACGGTCTCAGGGTCTCCAGGCGGGGGAGCCAGACACACCCGGCCACGCCCGGGGGCGGATGAACAAAAGACCCCCGGATCTGCCGAGTCGCGTGGCATCAGCCGATCAAAAGGGAAGGTCATAACTGCCACCCGCCGCTTGGCCCGATTAGTACTCAAGTCCGTTGGGCCCGGGAATCGTGCATAACGTGTAAAAGTATATCCGTCATGACGGGGGTGGCGGCTCCAAGCGCTCGGGCTTCCCTCGCTTACACAAACCTTGTATGGAAGATTCTAACTTTCCGCTCAACGATGTATCTACGGTAGGGTAGATTATGTGTAATCTAAAAATCAATCCACGGAGTAATATTTAAAGTATGAGGCCCGCGTGATGATCCATACGAATCGAGAAGGTGCTTCCTGTACATCTCGCAGATCGTAGGGTCTCCTGAAGATCAAACCGCCGTCCACCTTGGGAAGCTGACCGACGATGATCGGCGTTCTGGAACGCGAAAGGCAACGGGCCGTGCACGATTTCTGCACAGGGCACGATCGACCATTGGGCCGTTGCCTCGGTGGAGCCCCGTCCCGGCCTCGTGGAAGCGAGGCTCCACGGACTCCGTAGCTGTTTGGCTGATTCGCCGTTTGACTTGGCTGTGTTGCTGTTTGACTTGGCTGTTTGGCCCTGGTTTGAGATCGCCTGCTCCGTGCGTGGCCGTTGGAAGAGGGTCGGGCGTTGGGGGTTTGAGGTGTGTGGGTTGGGGGTTGGGGAGACTCTCCTCTTCCCACCGGGGGAAGATGTCCTGAATCGTTATTTCGGGGCAATATGCACCCGAATCTCAAAGGACCGTTCTGTTCGCTCGATGATCATTCCATGATCTAGTCCGGATCCGATCCACGGCGATCCTGATCAGCTTCTGGAAGGCATATATGTACGTATACCCACCATTACAGTATTAATCCACTCGGCATTTGAGTGATCGACGCTGGTATTTCCGCGGACCGGGATTGGCAGGCCTTGCGGCTCGGTGGAATGGATCGCAATTTATTATGGGGATTTTCATTTCCACCCCAACCTTGTCTTGGAACTCTGTCGACGAGACATTCCTCATTCGGGAGACGGGGACGGGGACGGGGTAAAGTCTGGGCCGTACCAACCGAATCCTCCGTCCCCAGTACCACAGAAACTCTCCCGACTCCCACGACCTCGGATCCCCCAAAGTGACACGAGCCTAGACTTTTTTCTCGTACGCCGTTGCCGCTTTTAGCCATTCGCCCGGAAACGGTGATCGATCGGGGATCATCCGGGGCGCCCCAGGAGCCACGCGATACCCCCTTTTTTCGCTTCTCTTCACGCTGTGGGGCCTACCGCATCTGATTCACACATTTCTTTTTCCACGCGGTCAGAATCGACGAACACATGGCACTTGCATGATGCAGCAGCCTCACACCGCACCCGCGTGCTGCTGACGAAAAGGGATGTTTTCCCACCCTTCTCCCTCCCCCCCCCCCCCTCCCCACCCCCCTTGGATCTACGACTCGGTTCCGCCCGTTGGGAAGGCGAGCAGGGGAAACGGGAATAAGGGGGCTAAATGAGGATCGGGAATGCGGGACTAAGAAAGATCGCTAGCCCCGGATCCTGATCCTGTTCGGGCACCCGTAGAACAACTGTCTCATTCCATAGCTTCGGAGTACCGTGCATGGGTATGGAGCTGCACTCTACTCCGTACCTAGTCTCACGTGGAAAATCCTCAATCTAAAAACATATCCTGACGTGTCTACTGACGCGGACGCGAACCTGTCAATCTGCGGCTATCCTCCTTCCTGTTCGGGCGGGATCGCCCTGGTGGATCGCTGGATCGTCCCAAGACAACCGCTGGCCATAGCTCCATTCGGGCAGTACCCCCGGTATGATTTCAATCTGAGCCACTGCCGCATAGCATAGCGGAATAGTATGGACGCATAAATCGGGCACCGTGGCTAGGGCGGTATGGGATAAAGTGGTAATAGAGTGGTCGAGTGCCGAGTCCGCTCCGTACAGCGCCCAAGCACATCGACGTCAAGTTTCCCAAGTTCGAGTAAAGTCAAAAGTTTCACTTGAGAAAAGTCAAATCCCGATCCCGAGTACGAGATGAAATGAAAAAAAAAAAAGAAAGAAAGCATAAACTCGAAAGTTAGGAGTTGAACAGAAAGCAGCCAAATCCTCAAAATCCTCAAAATCCGGCGCTCATCTCTCACCTAGAGCATCGGCACACGGAGGACCAGCTTCACCCCTGACAGCGTAGCACGGCGATCGACGGATGATCACATATCTCACGGGAACTGCCTCAGACCTCGAATGGTCTGTGTCAGTGGTGAAACACGACCTGTTCGTCACAGCCGGGAGGGTCGATCGCATGCGCCCAGGATCTTAGCGACGCGTACCATGCCGTTCTGGGTATAAACCCCGTGTGGGATCGGCCGTGGGACCCGACGCGGACTTAACTCTGTTTGAGGGTGCAGCTGCATTGGGGAGGCGATTGCGGGACCGGGTCCGCGATCTTGTGGTTAGTCGGTGGATCTGCATCCCTTGTTTCGCTTGTCGTATATCCTTTTGGTACAGTATGCTCCGTACTATATTCGGCTGATGCTACCTAGCTTGCTACCCGGGGTTCTGGGCGCCCTTTTAGGTAGTAATCGGAGCTGCCGAGGTATATTTTTCGAGCTGACAGGGGGTGCCGGATTTTTGGCGCCTTTTTAAATTAATGTCTTGCCTAATGAGGCACCTTGTTCGTCCCTTGTTGCTGAGGTGGTCGGCATTACTAAATGCTGACATATGAATGCTTCTACGGAGTACACCCTGATTTCATCGCCGGAGGTCCACTAACTCCGGTCAGCGTTGTAAATCGAGGTCTCGATATTAAATCCCTGCGTAGTCGATGTACCTTCGGGCGAGGCACCCGTATACAGTAGAAGTGACAATCGGATCATCCCATACCGAGGTTTGTCCCCCCCCCCACCCACCATCCACGCGCCCACGGCTCGCCCACTTGCCGATAGGCTAGCAAACATGCGCGATCGTGTTTCAGACACTAGGTCTTTGCGGTTGGTACTCTCGTGTTCGCACACTACGCTAATGGTAGATCCTGGGTGATCGACTTGGGCTTGGACGAATCATCCCCCGGTCATGAAGCTTACCGGCATTGACATTTTCCTAGCGACTAGAATTATTGCCTCATGAGGGGTTGGTAAAGTGTATGTTCTCTGCAATTCGTAGATCATCCCACCGTAACATTTCTGGGCTGGGGAGTGTGTGCCGCTCCATTGGCCATGATGTGTCCTGTATGTACTCCGTCCTGCACCGCTGGACATCGAGTCAATGCTCTGCAGTGCCAGACCGGCCAGCAATGCACCAGACACGACTCCTGACTCCCGACTTCTGACTTCTGACTTTTGCTTTTTGCTTTTTGCTTTTTGCTTTTTGGGTCATCAGGTCGTCCGGATCTGAATTTGGATCTGCCTCGTACTCGGTACGATGTACACCACCCGTGCGTGGTGCGACACGTCGTGCGACGCTGAGATCGGAATACCCTCCGTGTCACCCTATCCCCGGGGTTATATCTCCGGGAGCCTCCGCCACGTTGATGGGACCGTTGGGAGGGGCGTCAAGCCCAGGGTGAGAGAGGCTTTGCCAACCAACCACGCCGAGGTCCGTGCCGACCATCTAGAGTCGGTTTCGAAGCGCCCGCATCCTCTACGCATCACCTGGGTCATGCCCAGATGGACGTGACGCATCGTATACTTTTTGACTGCCTCGCTTCCAGCCTCCCTGGAAGACGATCAAGCCACTGCGTGAATCTCATGGCTCGCATCTCCCAGGATGCGGACAGGGGGGGGGGGGGCTGGTCAGGATCCCAAACGTTGAAACAGGAAAAACGGCGCCACCGATCTCCGTCCGCGCGTCGGATCTACGGGGGCCTCCGCGGCCGGGTTTCCCAGGCAGCCATTCTGGTGGTGGGAGCGAGCCTGAGGGCAACACACTGCGTCATATTGTCGAGGAAGTGGGATGATGGCAACCCAGAGGGCAAGGAGGGGCGGTGAACACGGGTCAATACATACAGTAGTGTAGCACCGCAGAGTGGACTTCAGCCTTTTCAAACAGTCAAAGCGTAGAGCCCCGCCAAAACATGCGGAGACTTGGCCCATGCGCGTAGAGAATGCAACGTGTAAGAACCACCCCGTTCCCGGTGAGCTCGCGGTGGTGGATTGCTGAGATGACCCTGAATCTGACTGGCCGGGGTCGACATCAGTATTCCTTGGGCCCGTATAATATCAAGCCAATCACTCCCTCGCGTGGTCGTGATGCACAGTGTCGATCAGCCCTGTATGCTGTACATACGGAGGACATCCGACCAGCGGCAAAGAGGCAAATAAAAATAGAGGGAACAATGCATGGTTCACGATTGAGTCCCGGGAGACAAAATGGGACCGGACTGGACGGACGGTGTCCGAAAGTCAAGCCAAGACCAGGATTAGCAGGGGTTGGGACAGGCAAAACCCAGCCAATTTAGAGTTGGCGGTAGCGAAGGCATGCCCAACGTCGACCAACGATTGGCATGGAAAAGCTCCGAAGTGGAGCCTGTGATCTGCGGCGGAAACGCCCGGTGGCCGATCTGCATGACGCTGCGCCTTCTCTGCGCACGAGGATCCGCTTTCGCCTATGGATGTATCCCGGGAACCCAGGGATCCCAGGATACCCCATGGACCGGCACTTGCGATGATCTACGGAGTAAGGAAGCCTGATCTTGTCCGTTTTCGTCGTCTGATCCGACCATGGCCGTGAATCTCTTTGGGATCATCCTAAACCTTCGCGTCGGAGGTCGCCATCGCCTGCGGCATTTTTCCTGTTCTGCGACATTGCCTGACCGACGACTGCCATCTCGCTACTCCGTCTCGCTACTCCCGTATGTCACGACCACGTTAGTCTGATGCAGCCTCGTCACATTCCCTCGTATCATGCTGTGACCTCCTTGACCCTGGTCAAGACCTCCCTAATCTCCGATCCTCAACTACCGAGCGGATGTGGGGGGGGGGCCGGGGTCGAGGGGGCCGGTGAGAGCACGGACACGGGGAGGCCGACCGTGCATGGAGCCAGAATGGAAGAAGAAATAGCCCCGGAGGCTCAGAGTGGGTTCGTCAATTGAATCATACCCGGTTGGGCAGGTCCCTAGTGAATCCGATTCTTGGGTCCGCATTAACATTTTCCGTATGTACATTTGCACAAAGTGATATCAGAAAAGAAGGCTATCGAGACTCGATTCAAACTCCGCTCCTCCGCCCGGAAATTCAAAAAAGATGATCACTAATTATGGATGCTGTACTGTGGGGCGTATCGTATCAGGCGTAGACGTCGACCGACGGTTCCTTGTCGATCGCTCGGCCTTTGCCCTTCGCGTTCTCCTTTCCTGTGTTTCCTGTGTTTACTGTGCTTCCTGCGATCTCCTTCATCGTACGGATCGCCAGGCGGAAATCCAGCTTCGCGTAGTCCTCGGGCATGTGTTCGCCGCTGTAGATACAGAGCACTCTCATGCCCGGCTTGTAGACCAGTCCGCTCAGCAGCTTCGGCGTGATGAGGAAGTACTGGCCACCACCGCCGCCGCCGATGGGATTTTCATCGTCGTCCGTGTCGTCCGAATCGCTCGATGCGCAGGCAATGTCTACTAGGCGACCGTGGACCATCCGTTCGTTACGGGGATCCATACCCTGGTTGATCTCGTCGACAACGCGGAAAGGCGATGCTGAGAGTGACTGCAGTGCCATCAGGTAGAAAATGGTGCTGACCGCGCGTTCACCTCCAGACTGGCGATGCGAGTCGAGTAGCGACAAATTCTCGTGTTCTCTGAACTTGACGTGGATCTGAATAGACCATCTCTCAAAGTCGCTGCCGCCAGGCTCACCATTCTGCCCAGGCTCATCCTCCACCTTGTCCAGGCTAACCTGTCCGGCACAACCGATTCGTTGGAAGGAATCCGAGAAGGCATCACTGATCTTGCCAACGAGGGCATCCAGCCGGGGTTCCCAGTGCGAGCGAACCTCATCGATGCCTCCCTGGTAGGTCGCCAGCTTCGCTTGGAAATCGGCCAGCTTGTCCTGGAGCCTCCTGATCTGTTTCTCTCGCTCCTCAAACTCTTTGATCAGGTGAGGGCTGCCCCCGTGAGTCAATTCCAGGCGTGCTTTCTCGGAGTCGATATCGGCGTTGAGCTTGTCCATGTTGTACTCTGCCTCGCTGAGCATATTATGCACTTCGGTGGCATCGGGGTCGTCTTTGTGTGCCTCGATGATTCGTTTGGCACTTCTCCCAAGTGCTTGTCCTTTCTGTCTGCCTTCCCTCAAGGCCTGCACGGCTCGCGACACCTCCTCGGATTTTTTCTCAAGCATCACGGCAAAGTCATGGTGCTTGATTCTTAGGGTCTGCAGGTCGGAAGATGCTTCCAAATGTTGAATTTCAACTTTCATAAGCTCTTCATAAGCCTGGCGAAGCTGCTCAACGGCATCCTAAATGCTGTGAGTGAAGTTTCAAGATAGTTACGGTCAACGGGGAACGTACGGCATATTCAATGGTGGCTTCTGCTTTCTTGACGGCCAGCTCAATCTGCTCATCGCGAATCTCGGATACACGTTCCTTGACTTGCACAAAGAGTTCTTGAAGGCCCTTGAGCTTAGCCTCTTGTTGAGCTGCGCGGAGTTAGTGACTGGCGTCAATAGATCGGTAATAGACAGAAACACATACAGAGCCTCTCGGGAATAGCCCTCCATTGCGTATGCGCAGATTGCTTCGCCCCTTTCTCCTTCTCAAGCTCTTCCTGCGAGTAACATTAATAATAGGCCAATATAAAGAGGGAAAGAGACTCACCATTTCGTCTTTCAAACGCTGAATTGTTTTGCCCAGCTCATTCGCCTTCTCCTTCTCCGATTTCAACTCCTCTTGTATCTCATTGAACTCCCGATTGTAGGATTCAATGGCTTCCCGGTGATGTTGCTTGAGAGAGGCATCCACGGGTTGCGATGTCCAAACTTGGGCTGGCCTGACTTGACGGACTCGGGTCGACTTAGCTTTGTACTCGCGACGCCGAGTGACCTGATAGCTGTGCTTCCCTGACACCCAAGAACCGATTGGTGATGCCTCTGCATTCTCCAGTTCATTGTACGCTTCATCGGAGATATCATGCAGGCTGACAGGTGTCTGATGCAGTCGGTTCTCGGAACAGAGAGAAGCAATAACCGGCTCCGGGCCCTCGATGAAATCTTTAGCCCATCCGTCAAAGCCAAGTCGTCTGAGTGCTTCATCCGGTAACGGAGATCTCATAGCACTCAATGGCGCCGATGAAGTTTTGAGGGTGATATCGTGGAGTCCCATTTCCTTGATAGCCACTCTCTGCATGGTACGGAAATCATTCCTGGACTGGACCGTAAAGGCTGTCAAGTCCGTCTTCTGCAATAATGACTCGACAGCATTGGCATACTTAGGATCAGTGACGGAGCAGGTGACGATCGGTGGGCCAAAGACTTCCTTCTCGAACTTGTCTTGGTTATTCAGCAGCCACTCATAGGCTTTGTGGGAGTCTGGAGACAATCTTTGCAGCTTGGCCTCCTGTTGGCCATGTTGAGAGTTCAAATTTTCCAGTCGCCTTTCTTCTTCCTTGACCAGGTTTCTAAGGTCGTTGCATCTGGCGATGAGTGGCTTGCGTTTATCTATGACTTCTTTGCCCTTCGTTTCGAGGTCGCGCTTCTCGAGCCGTTTTGCCCTCTGGAGAAAGCATCAGTACACTATCTTCACGCACCATAGTTTGATTTCCGCCGACTTACCAATTGTTCGTTGTAGAATTCTGGATCAAATTCCACCGCCTCCTCCTCCTGCTGGCGCTGCAGTCTGTTGATAGTCTGTGTAGCAGTGGTCGCTTCACTCCTGTGTTTCGCGCCGCTTTTCTTCTCAGCCTCGATCTTTCCTTCAAGGTCCTTGATTTCAGACTGCAAGTCCTCGATTCTTTCTCCACGAGCGGAGGCTATGTTGTGCAAATCGTCGACCTGTTGTTTCCGATAGTCTCTTACGTCCTTCACTCGGTCACAGTAGCTTTGTTTTGCCGTTAACGATTCCATGGCCGGTTCAAGGTCGGCTTTGAGCTGTGTTTGCTCTTCTTCCAGCTGAGCTTTTCGGGCCCTAAGAACCTCGAACGTTTTGACGTGATCCCTATATTCCACGAACGGACGATACATTTCCAAAAGTTCGAGTTTGCGCTTGACCTCTGCTCTCTGACGCATTCGCTCGACGTCTGCTCTTTGCATCTCTTGGCGGTTTTCAAGGTTTCTTAACACATCCTGATCCGCTCGATTGTCAATCTCGAGTTTTTTCTGCTCAGCTCGCAGCCGCTTTAGATCATCGTGCCACTCGATCATCTGAGGCCCCGCTGCAGCGCGTTGGGTAGAATACAGCAGCTCGACAGGCGTCAGTGCGGCGAATTCGGCGACTTTGTCCTGAGGCAGAAACTGGCATAGATTGTCGACTTGGATCGCAAAGGATTCGGCAAGTTTCTTGACCTTTTGCTGAGAAGCTTGTTGGCCATTCAGTGAGAAGAAACTCTTGTTGCCATCGCGTTTGATGATGCGGCGAATCACTGGGTTTCGGTTGTATTTGGGGGGTCCTGCAAGTTCGATCTCGATCGTCGCTTCGCGGGCACCATGCTTGACGAATTCACCTAGATCTTTCGCGCGCCCGAGGTGCTATTAACAGGTTGACTGTTAGTAAAAAGTAACAAAAGTCGTATAATGTTAACTCGAAGATAGAAACCATACCTGAGGACCCCATCCAAGGCCCAAGCAGATCGCACAGACAAGAGTACTTTTGCCTGTTCCGTTTGGCCCGATGACCATGTTCAATCTAGGCCCAGGAAAGAACTCAGCCGACGTGTATGTCACAAAGTTCTTCACTTTGATCCGCACGATCGCGCCGGCCTTGTAGCCACCGGGACCGATTCCAGGATGAACCTCCTTTCGTTGTGTAGCAAGTTGAGTACGCTGCTCCTCGCTGTCGCTCGCATCGCTCTCGTCTTCATCGCTTGTATCTTCATTTTGAACCCCGCTCAGACGTGGTCGCTTGTTGCTCGGGTGCGGAGAGGAGCCGGTGCTCGACTCAGATTGGTCGCTCTCATCGTCGTCATCGCGAGGTCGACGGCTGGGTACCGCATGAGACGACATGTTATTTCCATAGGCTAGTGGCCATCCAAAGGTTGGTCGGGGCAAGAGTGCAAACGGAAAACGCGAGAGGGACGCGTCTTGGTGATGGTCAATATGCGCCCCGTGGAGTAGGCGGTGAACGCCCCGAGGATTTCTTGTTGCCCGCGTCTTTGACTGCGGCGACGCAACAGAGAAAAGATGCCCTCGCCGCAGAACTTTCGCCGGCTGGTCTTAACAGCTGCCGTGACCTCAATCACAATTGCAGGCTCTTTGTATGGGGCTGGGTTGAAGACAAATGAAGAAATCGCCGAGGTGAGCAGCACCGAGCTTCCGTGGAGCTCCGACCCAGTCTATACAACTTTCACTTGGTGAGTTGGGCGCATGCTAAGCTTATGTCTCTTGTAGAACACTCGGAAGCGCCAAGAGGCAACGTTCGACGAGCAAATGGCTGCTTTACAAGGAATGCGGTCGAACCTAACGGCCCGGAGAGGAATGATTGAGACGCAGATTCGGGACCTGGAGGCAAAGATGGAGGAGAAGAAACAACGAAGTACGGAAGGAGGGCGATGACTTCTACATTGACTCGTCTATGGGACAGAGCAATCTACCGATCGTCAATCATCAAGGTCTCGACACTTGCAACCTTAGTCGATCCAACCTACACACCCCCGACCTCATCCTCCCCCCCATATATACGATAACGGATACCAGCTGCTATCAATAGACTAGGGCATGGTATCCGGTCACTTCGTCCCACTCGTTGGGTGTTGCCGTCATCCGTGAGTGAGCGATGGTGGCCTACTGGGCGAGGCAAGTGCGTCCATCCATTGGTTCAAGGACCATTATTCCGGGCCAACACCCCTCCAGTCGGTTTCTGGAGTACCTCATTGCAACAGAGCAGTCATTTTGCTCCCTAATACAAATGTGGATATGGTGTCTGCATACTTAGGAGTTGTGGTGGCCTGTATATATGGTGTTCATGGTTCCGCAGACCCCATGCCCCGGTGTCTTTGTAAATATTTTGTCAGTTACATTGTCAGAACATGACATGAGTACAAATAATCTATAAATTTCTCAGAAATAGGAATTCACGTTTGTATTTCCAACGTTTCTGCCCAAGTATTCCGAGATTGATAATTGACACGGTGATGAAATCGATTCACATATATTTCTTTATTTCAAATCTTCAAATGCATAAATGATGTATAATAGCCAATGCCTAATATGTCCAATGCCAAATGTTTATAACCACCGTCGTTATGTCGTATAGAGACAGACAGCGCTGCCTTTGCAAGCCTTCAGCAAGAAATTTAATTAGGCGTCCAAGTTCAGTTTCTCCAGTAGGGCTTCCAGCTTCCCCATCAGAATCTCATAGTTCATGGCATCTTCGGAGAATTCATCCTCAACAACAGCGCCATCCAAGGTCCGAATCTCGCGACCGGGGCCTTGACCAACGCTTGACTTGGAGACATCCAAGGCCTCGACCCCATCTGTAATCTTCGCCACATCCTCAGACTGGGCTTCCTCGCCATTTGGTAGCGCCTTTTCATCCATCAATTCATTCAGACCGGCATCATCGAATCTCAGCCTGAACCGTTCATTGAGATAGAATCGAATATCGTCCAGCAGTTCGATAGAGTCGGTCTCCTGTCGAGCTTAGATACGAGCCGCTGACTCTTGGATCAGCTCCGCGAACTCGGGCGAATCGATGTGAGCTTCGAGTCGATATGCGAGGAAACGGGCTGCAAACTCTTCCAGTCGCTGGACACGAGTCAACCAGGCAGCACGTATGATTGAGTAAATGTCAATGTCATCCTCGTCTTTGGCATGCGTCTTTGCCGCGTTCGCCTGCGACATGCCTTCACTACCCAGTGTACTAATCACGACTGCTGCTTTTGTCTTCAACTTCTCGATAAAAAGCATGTCAGCTGCGAAGAGAACATCGACCGCGACTTCCAAAGGGAAATCCGCCCGCTCGGTGTACAGAAACGTGAGGATGATCTCTAATACATCGGGCGAGCAGTCCACGTCAATAATATGTAGATTATCCGTGATATGGGCTTCTCGGAAAGAAGACATGAACATGGCCTGGAAGAATTCCGATCGCAGGAGGATTGCCCGATGGACAGGGAATAGAGTGGATTTCTGGGCTTCGCCCGTCTCCTCAGCCTCCTCCGGAAGTTCATCAGATCGAAGCAATACATCTGCGAATATGGCATTGTTTCGATCCCACCTCACTTTGTCGACTTGTGAGGTGTCAATAATCACCTTGTGTTTGAGGACATTCTCACGGAACCAATGTTCCAGCTGATCGCGGCCTCTGGCAAGCTCCGTAGTTCTTCTTTGTCTTGCACGTCTTCTATCTCCGCTATCCAGGATGCTGTCCATGAGACTTTCAATTTCCAAGTATTTGGCAATCTTATCGATTCCCGCGAACACTTCGGACTCCGTGAAGCCCGTCCCAGGCCCTGCCCGCAACTCCCGAGGAGGTTCACCCAGGTAGAGGTATTTTATAGCAGCGCTGAATGCTTCCGGTGCGATACTATTGGGAAGCTTCCATGTTGTGGATTCCGGCGCGGCCGATAGCTTGCCACGGAAATACGGAGAGCGGGCGGCCAAAACGAATTTGTGTAGGAAGAGGGACTCCTCGGCGGCGGTTACCTCGATATCGGTCGTCACTGGGGACTCACGGGTGAGGAGGGACGACAAATGTGCAGCAAGAGGTTGGAGCGGATCCGTAGACTTGGAATAGTCATATTCAAGCAGGAGATTTCGTATGCGATCATTCAAGGCATTGTATAGACATCTAGATGGATGGCCCGGTTATTAGCTGCCGTTACTTCGGAGGATACCCAGCACCAAATACCTTTCGCCTTGGAATGTATCCCGCTCGCAAAGAGCACCGGACTCAAGTAGCAACCGTGCAACTTCATAGTGTCCGCAGAGACTCGCCTGTGCAAAGGATTATCCGGTTACTGCGTGTTCTGATTGCTATAAACATTCTCAAGTCATACCAGAATCAGAGGCGTGTAATCGTACAGGTCACGAGCATTGACATTGACACCCTCGGTGATCTTTTCCTGACAGACTTTCAGATCGCCCCTACGGCAAGCACTGCAGAGGTCACGGAATGGCTCACTGAGATCCAGCGGGTTGTCATCCTTGATAGTACCTTCTTTGATCAGCTTCTTTTCATTGTGTAGGCTGATTTCCAGCTGATCCTTGCGTAAAACAGTCCGCTCGGCCATTTTCTAGCCCGGTGTATATAGCTCGCCGCGAAGTGGGAGAGTTCAAAGGCGGGACCGCGATGGCGCCCGCCTTATCGATAACGGGTCACGTGTGCTTAGGGCTACACGGGCGTTCGAGAGCAAACGACATGACCACCGTGGTCTGTGGTGCGAATATGTCAATCGAAGAAGAAAATGCAAGAGCCATCGAGTCCCTCTTTCTCAATTTGATGCATTCGCTCATTTCAGGCAGCTTATCCCAGCGGATGGGACACGGCGACCGCCTGCCCCACCGGGTCAAGCGTCATTGTCTGCGCGTTGCTCAGCAACGGCGATCACCCAAACACTGGAGGGTCTCCAGAACCTCTAAACCCCATACTGCGTGTAACTTTTCCTCTACCACTTCAATTCTTTACCTTTACTAACAAGACAGGGGACTCGTCGGTCACTTCTTTCATGCTTATTTCCCCATCCTCTCCCATCCTCCGACACCTGTGACCCCCGTTGTCCTGTCCGCAGTGTACATCTATAGCCATGGCGATTGCTCTGGCTGAGGCGGATAAGTATGAGATCTTGGAGAAGATTGGTACGTCTTGGTCTGGTCAAAGATCTGTCATTCGTACCTCAATGCTCATGTACTTGTACAGGTTGTGGCTCCTTCGGCATCATTCGCAAGGTCAAGCGGAAATCGGACGGATTCGTGAGTGCTCCCAGTTCATCACAGGTCAAGACGTACGACGTGTCTAACGTCAATCCAGATACTATGTCGCAAGGAAATCAATTACATCAAGATGTCCCAAAAAGAACGCGAACAACTCACTGCCGAGTTCAACATCCTGAGTTCTCTCCGTCACCCGAACATCGTCGCGTACTACCACCGTGAACACCTCAAGGCTAGCCAAGACCTTTACCTTTACATGGAATACTGTGGTGGCGGAGACCTTGGTATGGTCATCAAGAACCTAAAGAAGGCCAACAAGTACGCCGAGGAGGAATTCGTATGGCGCATCCTTTCCCAGCTGGTCACCGCGCTTTACCGCTGTCACTACGGTTCCGATGCTGTCGAGGTTGGATCAAACATCTTGGGCCCTGCACCAAAGTCCTCTGGTTTGAAGGGAAAGCAGGGGCAAGTCACCATTCTTCACCGCGATTTGAAGCCTGAGAACATCTTCCTGGGTAGCGACAACTCTGTCAAACTTGGTGACTTTGGCCTGTCCAAGCAGATGCAATCCCACGATTTCGCATCGACATACGTTGGTACTCCCTTCTACATGTCTCCCGAGATTTGCGCCGCCGAGAAGTACACCCTGCGCTCGGATATTTGGGCCGTCGGCTGCATCATGTATGAGCTGTGCCAGAAAGAGCCCCCTTTCAATGCGCGAACACACATCCAACTCGTTCAGAAGATCCGGGAAGGCAAATTCGCTCCCCTGCCTGACTACTACTCTCCTGAGCTGAAAAATGTCATCGGAAGCTGTCTGCGTGTCAACCCTGATCACCGACCGGACACCGCCTCCTTGATCAACCTTCCCATTATTCGCCTGATGCGCAAAGAGAAGGAAGTAGTGGATCTTGGCAAGACCTTGCGTCGACGCGAAGAGGTTGCTGTCCAAAAGGTTCGTGAGATGGAACAGAGTCTGGCTAAGCTCGACAAGGAGAAACAGCAGATCAAGGCTGAGATCGAAAGCACCGTTCGTCGGGAATGGGAAGTCAAGGCACGGTTGGAGATCGACCGCCAGGTTCAAAGCGAGCTCGACCGTCTTCGCAAGCGCTTCGAGGCGGAGGTCCAGGAAAGAGTCTCAATTGAGTTGCAAAAGCACAAGAGAAACAGCAACCCGAACCCCCGCGAGGATATCTTCCGGACTAGTCTGCAGCACTCGAGCTCGGGATCCTCGGGCCGGGCCAGCCAAAGCTCGCGGTCCTCTGGAGCCTTGACTGAAGACAGTGATGCACCTTCCAGCGCAGACCTGGCCCAGCTCTCGCTTGGATCGCCGACTTCCAATGAGAAGAAGCAACGACAGAAGAGAGAGACCCGTACCCCATTCTGCCGTTCGAAGACCACTGTTATGGACTCACCTCAGGATGTGCAAATGGCCGAGCCATCTCCCATGTCAATCGCTTCGCTCTCCCTCTCCCCTCGTCGCACCTCTGCTGCAGGTGGTGCTCGAAACATCTTTGCCGAGGCCGAGCGTCAGAAGGCCAAATGGGAGCCTACCCTGGCCTACTCCGATGACGAGGATGATACCCCTGATCTCCCTTCTCCCACTCGTCCCAAGGTGAAGCCGGATCCATTCAAGGCTCCCCGACGCCCTCTTCTCCGACAGAACACGGCAGCCATGATGCAGAAATTGAGCACCCAGCCTCCTCTCTTCCCATCTGGCGGATCCCGCCTACCCCAGGTGTCTGGCGGTCCCTCTGCTTCCCAATCCGAGGCACAAAATACGGGCAGCGAGGGCCGCGCCAGATCTCCTCACCGTCGACTCTCCAAGATCCCCTCATCTTCCAACCTTGCAGCGGACGCCGGATCATCTACCCGCAGCAGGAGCGGCTCCAAGCAATCTCCCACCAAGGCCGGCGGTGGTGAGGAGATGTTCAAGGCCGTCATGCAGCGCAACATGGGTGGCCGCACCCTCGTCGAACTCGCCCAGGCACGCGCCGGTGGTCGTCCGGCCGACGAAGTCAAGCGTTGCGCCAGCGACTCTCGTGCAACTGCGCCGTCTTTGAAGTGCTCTGACCGCGAACCCCCAGCGATCTGGGACCCCGAGCGCGACGAGATGCCCAGTCCCTTCCTGGCTCGCGGCAAGAAGGTCATCCGCAACCTCCGGTGAAGCATTTCTTCATTTTGAAGCCCTTTCTACATATTCCTTCCTCCCATTCGCATCCATATGGAGCGGTTTTCAGGTGTAACGGCGTTATTAATTCGGTGTTTTGGAAAGACCGTGATTTCTTTTCCCTCTTCTTGTCCGTCGTTTGGATCTTCTCTTCTTGCGCATACCTCTCTATGTCACGGAGTTAGGCTTTGATCTTGTGTTTTGGGATTGCTTGCGGCCATGCAAGACATGGCGTTTTGCGTTTGCTTTCCGTTGGCTACTTTTGCCCTGACTCGACCGACTCTCTTTTTTTCCCTTTGTGATGTGACGCCGTCATGCCCCCTTTTCTTTAATTCTCGGGAAGGAGTTTTCTTGTACATTTATTTTGGTTACGCCGGTCATATACTGGTCGCTGTGGTTGAATCATTTCGAATTTGATACCGCCGCCCTTTGGGTTGATATTTCCTTTTCCTCAAGTTTAACTTGGTGATAATCTGAGCCTCTTGTTGGGGAGTATATTTGGCCGTTGATTGGATCCTAATTGCATATCCTAGGTTGCAAGTGGCATGCTGTGGAAATACATATCGCACATCTCGATAACTTTCTGTTGCTGCTTCCAAGGGTCCAAGGTTTTCTAATTTCCTTGAGAAAGAACCCTATTTTGCATTTGAATTCTCATATGGTCATTGTATTTGACGTGAATTATCTTTGAAGAAGTGGGCATCAAGCCTTAAGCCTCCTCGTCCTCCACTTCTTCTATCTGTACAGTTTTCATCTCCTGATTGAACCGCCGCTCCTCTTCTTCCAGTGATAGTTGTTCATCGCCAGCAGTGGACGGTTGACCTGCCGGGGCTGTAGCGTTATACCCAGCTTTCTCAAGCCTGTCCATCTCCTCCGGTTCTAACAACTTCCCAGTCCCCCTAATTGATTCCTGCTTCATGCGCACCGCAGCGGGAATGAACTTGTTGACAGCCTCCTTCCGCAGATCTCGAATCTCAGGCTGGGCTTCGTAAACAGTCTTATGTTCGACCGCTGGTGGCCGAGAGGGTAGCGAATGTGGCCCACGCAGTTCCGAGTCCTCTCTCTCTCCAGGACCCCGTCTCCGCGGTTGCCGTGGGATCGGTGGTGGTGTGTCCCGCGGCATGGGTATCCGTCGTACATCCTCGTCTGTCTCGCTGCTGTCACTTTCATGCGGGTACCTTCCGTGTTCCTCGTCTCTCCTCCGCTTGCCGAGCACGGCATCTCCGTCCCTCCGGGAACCATGACCGTCTCCAAATTTTGGTGCTTTATCGCCCAAAGCCTCGCGTGCTTTCAAGACCCCCCGTAGGTCCTTTTCAAGCGCTTCCAGTATCTCCTTGTCGCGTGGTCGTAATTTTTGTCCCGCCTCCTCCATAGCTTTGAAGTCGTTGATCTGTCGCTGAATTCGATCCGGGTTGCGTCGTGCGAGTTTCTCATTGCGGCGTGCCAGCGCCTCGGCTTTCCCCTTCTTCAAGCTCTTCTGCTTGTCCTGCTTTCGCTGCGCAGCCGCAGGGTTGACCGAACGCTCTTTGTCCTTCCCCATGTTGGTGTTTTATGATTTACCCGGATACGATTGCTCGACTGTATTGCCGGAAACCCCACGAGTTCGCCAAGCCAAGGCCAGGGGCCAGGTTCCGGAATTGGGATTGGGAAAATGCCCGGGCGAATGCGAATGGCGTCGTCAGCAGCCGACGATCGTCGTCGTGCGGGCGGACAAGGTCTGGATCGAATGCGACCTGGCTAAGAGCCTCTCGCGTGGTAGGGCCCAAAAAGCAGGGCAGGGAACGGTGCAGGTGTAGCGGTCAATGAGAAGAGGGATAGAATGCCGCGGATCCAAGAGCCTGCAGCAATGTGATCAAAGCGTCAGCCGTCTCCAATCCTTCGCGAAGATCGTGTTGAGTCGGGCCGTCGGGTTGCAAGCGCCTGCAGGAAGACCTGGGGATTCAAGGAATGGGCGAACGATGCTCACAGGCTGGACGTGAGGCGCTATTTCCGCTGCGTTGGTATTGGCGGGCGCACGTCTGAGAGTTGAATGCAAGCCCCTCCACCGGAGCGTCTGTGCCAATGGAGTGGTGAAGTCACCGTCGGTTCAGCCTCACAATTTAGGCTGCGGGGGAATATTGCCGTGATTGGAGGTCGCGGAGGGATGAGGCAAAGATTAGGGGAGAAAGAGTTGGAAGGTCATTGGCGTGGGACGAAAAAGCAGAAAGCAGGAAGCTAAGGCGGAGCGGGCGGAGAGCTATCCATGGTTCTGGATGGAGCCTGACACCGGGAGATTTTGTATACTTCCAAGGTCCCGGAGGGACTTGCTTGGGTATCTACAGAGTACATGGTGTGTTATGCGATAGTTCTCTTCCCTAAGGTAGCTAGTGACTTCGGAAACGATCAAGTGATCCAATCCTTGTCTCGTCGTCCCCCGGTGCACATCCTTTGCATCCCATCGTCGGCATTATCTCCTAGGTCCCGGGTACCGTCTCTGCACTACATAATCCAATAAAATGAACAAAGTGAAATGATACATAGTGACCCCAGGTCCATACCATACTGCCTTTTTTTGGGTATCTCGAAGTACCGCCCTATCCAAAGCTCATAAAACCCGGGCCAAAACCCCCTCCTGGCCTTTCCCGTCCGAGGTATCATATTGTAAGCCTGTGCTCCCACCATCAACAATATAAAATTTCCAGGCCTCCCACTGGCTCTTCTGTTTCCGTACGACGGCCATTTCACGAGCCGCGCCTAAGTTGCCGCCGACCATTTTTCTCCGCCCATGAACTCCTTCCATCCGAGTCGCATTCCGATTTGACGCACCTTCCTCTTTCTCCTCTCCTCCCTCTCTACCCTACCTCCCTCCACCATGACCTGCGGTCCGTCCGGCCTCCCCTCGAGTTTGATCGGCGCCTAGACTGTTCGGTCGGAGCATGTCTCTGCCGGGACCAAATGTCCGTCGCCTCGATCCCCGACACCTCGCTTGGCCTCACCTCCTCCGAGATCCAGATCCTCCGACAGCAGCAACAGATTGCCCTACAGGGCCACGCCGGCAATGGGGTGTCCAGGGGCAGAGGAACAGGGAGAACCAGCAACTCCAGCTCGCGCGCTACCAGTGCCGCCAGCAGCCAAGGGCGCTTGTTGTTGGACCCCATGAGCCTCCGCGCGCTGTCCCACCAGTTGGACGGTCTGCAGGCTCAGATCCGTGGCCGCATCGAATATGTAGGTGGCTTCCCTAGCATTGCTTCCGTCGAATTTCAATCGGAGTCCGCTTCTGTTATTACTTCTTTTCTGACTTGCAAATGCAGCTGGAGGACCAGATGCAACTCTCCATTCAAAACAGCTACGACCGCGCCGGGAACGTGATCCGTAATGCGGATGCGGAGATCGCCCGCACTCGTTCGATTCTTGCCTCCATCGACGATCTGGATAACGAGCTGGCGAAAATATCCCACATTCGTGATATCGTCAAGGGCTTTCGCGGTCGTATCGAGACTCTCGATCATCGGATGGATCAAAGTTCTCGTCGACGGCGCTGATACGACCTACCTCACGTACCTTCACACCTCGACTTCATACACCAATCTACTCTCGCATACACCATGATCTATACTGGACCGACCCGTCGCTGGTGGCCCTCCGCCGACATTTCTTGATACCACTGGATGGTTCAACACACCCTCCCGATCCCATAGCCTCTCGAACCCGAACTATCTCGACCCAAATCAACCCCACACAAAAACAAAAACATATATATCGTACTTGTCCTCGCGGACGACCTTGTTTTGATCCGTGAAGCCACCGTGCTCACCTACTTCTTTGGTCTAAATATCCTGATTATCGACAGTTGAAAGAACTGCTTGCCTCGCGGCGCTTCAGGCCTCAGTGACACCCCACGACCTGATGGAAACTGCAGTATATTGATGGCGCTGGGGCTGGTTCTGTTTACACCTTCGTTTCCTTGGCTGTGGGCCTTTCAAGTTTCACGACTACTACGACGATGGATTTTAACGTTTTCTCTCAAGCGCATAAACATGATCTGCTTTCAGTTGATGTGTCTAAGTTGGTTTCATCTGTGATTTCGATTCCCCTCTTTGCATGTTTTTTGTGTATGTACATGGGTTTAGGTTGTCTGATTTTCTTGGCCATTGCCCAGTAGTATTATGGATTCTTTCAAATTTTCTCTAATCTAGTCGGAGTAAATGTTTCCCTTGTAGGTGGCTATGGTACGCCGGGTGTCGAAGATTGCCACTGGGGCCCGCAAATTCTATGGCGGGCTGGGGGGAAGGAAGGCTCTTTTTAGTTTCACCCCACGACCTGATCTCGATTCACGACGACGAAACCGATACCTATCGCTGGGCAAAGCCCGCTGAGCACTTCACACGTCGGTTCCAACTCCAGTCAACATGCGCGCCAGAGGCGATTAGAAACAATATACGTCGCCGAAATTTTCCGTGCCATATGCCGTGGCTGCTCACTAGTGATCTGGAGAAGCATTCCATGCACGCAGCGACTGCGGCGTCTAACTGGAGGTGACGGGCACACAGTCTAGTCAGGTGTGTACTCAGACACGAAGGCAGGGCCCATAGAATCTTTGTCCGACCTACTGCTTCTGCCTTTCTTGAAGTGGGTTGACCCAGGAGAGACTTCTCACGACGATGTGACACCGGTCAAGCTGCCAAGCGTTCTGTCCCATGAACGGGTTTTGATTTAAGCACACTCATGGAACATCGGTCTGGTCCTGCGGTTGAGACACGTCTTTTCGTTCCTTCAGCTTCTTGCTTTTCCGGTCTGTATGAGGAAAGCGCTTTTCCGTGCTGCAAACGAGGCAGCGCACAACCAGTACATCGGCCCACGGCTTTTTGCGTCCCCGGCTGGCATTGGTCACCTCGTGCGTGCAGTTAACTCCTGGTAACATAAGGGTATCGCAGCGCTTGCAATATGATCTCTTCACTGGCACCGGCAACCGGGTCTGTGTTTTCAAAGATACCCCGCGCATATGGGAGATAGACACTCTCGACAGGTTGGCGAGAGTCTTATTGGCAATCCGGTAGCCCTGGCCCTTTGAAGCAGATATTGGCTTCCCTGCATGGGTGTTTGGGGTGTCTTTGGGTGCAAACGGCTCATCAGCCCCATTGTCGACCACGGTTGCATCATCAGTGATAGCTGCTCCAGCTTGAGCTGGAAACTTTGAGACACTCTGAAAATATTCGGCTGCGCCCTGTAGGTATTCCAGACGGGCTTTCAGGTGGCTCTTTGAGTTCTTTCCTTCCTTGGGAACTTTGGCCTTGGCCATGGCCGTGGTTGGTCGAGACTGGAGTAGAATCAAAAGAAGTCGCTTCATTCACCGAAGACTGAAATACGCCGAAGACGCTAGGCCTGAAACGGAATCGATGTTTGTCACGTGATGCTCAGCCGCTCACCTTTCGAACCGCATCCCTCGCCGCATCCACTTCTTCCCTAACTCATCTCTTCCTTCTGGTCGATACCGTCCTCTTTCCCGTCAATTTCGAGGGAGCTTCGCCAGATCCCTTTAGTACTACCTTGAGACCTTCCTTCCCCCGTCCCTACCCTCCCTTTCAACTTCTCGCGACGAGAAGACACGCTGCGACCCACTCTCAACACCCGTCTCACTTGAACCGACCGCTATCATGTCTCACGAGGAAGACTTGATCGATTACTCCGACGAGGAGCTCCAGACCACCACGGCCCCCGCTGCCGCTGCCGCTCCCGCTGCAGCCAACGGCGACGCCGACAAGCAGGGTGATCTGACTGTCTCCGGCGGCCGTCCCGACAAGAAGGGCAGCTACGTCGGAATTCACTCCACCGGTTTCCGTGACTTCCTCCTCAAAGGAGAGCTTTTGCGCGCCATCACCGACTGCGGCTTCGAACATCCATCGGAGGGTTAGTCTAACTTGTTTCTCCCACATGCCTTCCTCCATTATATGCTCCAACGTCCGTCCATCTCCGCGAGAACTCCATCGATCGGTATCGGTGATTTGTCGCCGTCGAATCTGCAGACGACATGGGGACCATTGTTCCACAACAGTGGCCCGTACATCCATCTCGGATGGTTATTTCGACTCTTGCGCTGCATCTGCCAGGTGTCTATTATCACATGGCCAAAGCTACGGTCGTCATTCACTTCCACATATTACTTCTGACGCGGGTGATTGAAGCCCCCGGTGGAAAGCAATGCGATCTGAACTGCTGGTCACATGATAGGCACCGCCTCATGTCGTCTGCAGAAAGGATTCAAACATTTCATATTTTCGCTTGACTGAATTGGCAGTCGCAAGCGGATAGAAGAGAGGCGGGTGATGTTTTGGGCTCTCGGTGTTTTTAATTTGGTGGTTTCAACGAGATGGATGGACCTTGCGACAAGAAATTGCTTTTACTTCATCCTGAGTCGAATTCAAGTCTAACCACCGCTCCGCATCGAACAGTCCAGCAAGTCTGCATCCCAACTGCAATCCTCAATGTCGACGTCCTCTGCCAGGCCAAATCTGGTCTCGGTAAGACTGCGGTCTTCGTCCTGACCACTCTCCACCAGCTGGAGCCCGTCCCTGGCGAGTGCTCTATCCTCGTCATGTGCCACACTCGTGAGCTGGCCTACCAGATCAAGAACGAGTACGCCCGTTTCTCGAAGTACCTTCCCGATGTCAAGACTGCCGTCTTCTACGGTGGTACCCCCATCCAGAAGGATATCGAGATTCTGTCGAACAAGGAGACCTACCCCAACATCATCGTGGCTACCCCCGGTCGCCTGAACGCCCTGGTCCGCGACAAGAAGCTGAGCCTGCGCAACGTCAAGGCCTTCGTCCTCGACGAGTGTGACAAGATGCTCGACCAGATTGGTAAGTTACTACTCGTACAACCTGAAGCAAAGCACGTCCTCTAATGTACTTGCCCCACCAGACATGCGCCGTGATGTCCAGGAGATCTTCCGTGCTACTCCTGCCGACAAGCAGGTTATGATGTTCAGCGCTACCCTCTCCCAGGAAATTCGCCCGATCTGCAAGAAGTTCATGCGCAACCCTCTCGAGGTCTATGTGGATGACGACACCAAGCTCACCCTTCACGGTCTCCAGCAGTACTACATTAAGCTCAGCGAGCAGGAGAAGAACCGCAAGCTGAACGACCTGCTAGATAACCTGGAGTTCAACCAGGTCATCATTTTCGTTAAGAGCACCCAGCGTGCTAACGAGCTCGACAAGCTCCTGCGCGAGTGCAACTTCCCCAGTATCGCTGTCCACTCCGGTGTCAGCCAGGAGGAGCGGTAAGTTTCTTTGACATGGTACACGCCTGGACATTGCTAACAGCCCTCTAGCATCAAGCGCTACAAGGAATTCAAGGAGTTCAACAAGCGTATCTGCGTCGCCACTGATGTCTTCGGTCGTGGTATCGATATCGAGCGTATCAACCTGGCCATCAACTACGATCTTCCCGCCGATGCCGATTCCTACCTGCACCGCGTTGGCCGTGCCGGTCGTTTCGGTACCAAGGGTCTGTCCATCTCCTTCGTGAGCAACGAGGACGATGAGAAGGTCCTGAAGGATATCGAGAAGCGCTTCGAGGTCGCTCTTCCGTATGTACCCTTTTTACTACCCCATTCATCATTTCCAGACTAACTCGTCATGATAGTGAGTACCCCGAGGGTGGCGTCGACTCGTCCACCTACATGGCTTAAGTGCCTTTGGGTGGTTTGGTCGCGAAGCGACCGAGCTGAAAACCTTTTCCTTGTCTTCTTTTCCAGTCACTTTCAATTGTTTATGGCGCAAATAGCTCGGCTATGGTTTTTTCCTGTGGGTCTTCTGTGAGGTAGACCTTCCATTGTATGTCAGATCAGAATGGAATACAAATGGTTCAAAAGTGACATCGTCCACGTAGTTGGCTGGGTTTTGGCGTGATGCTGCTTGAGTCATGATTGAAGCCCTCATCCTAAGGCTCCAACATCGGTCGGGGTCTCTCTGAACCATTAGCTGCCGATTGGTCAGCTAAGCCCATGAAGCTATTTAGAACCGGGCTGCTGCTTAGCGCCCGATTATGCAGTTTGCACATCTCTATCACATTCTCCTCGGGTTTCTACCTGATTATTCATGGATCACCGAGTAATGGCTAAAAGAACAGTTTTATATATATTTCTCTTGGAGAATCGTTCTCGAAGAAACGGGTATAAATATCACCCCTGAGAACGACTAGAAAATAGTATCGCATTACACTTTCAACTTTTATATCCAACATCTCTTAATAATAGCAAGAAGCGCATAAAGCACGCTTTCCACGCTATTAAGCGCAGCGAAGACTACGCGCAGGTTGAGAGACTCACCGGCGCACCTACCTACCGTCAGTGGAATGAAAACATATCAGCAGCCCTCGAGCAAGACGGACTGATGAGGTCCCCTCGCTTGCAGACAGGTGGGAGTAATCTCCAGGAAAGTGAATTAGCTTCGTATATTTCCTTAACTATGTTCTTGAGCTTATCCTCACGGGCAGGTGTGAAGATGAGATCCTTGGATGAATCCTCGTAGGTTTCAGGATATGGTGAGCCTAGTTCCAAACTCAGTCTCGGAAGGTCTATATATTTTAAAAGCCATGAACATTGAGTCTCGTCCAAATTTTGTAATTGCCGCAATTTCGCAATCTTTGAAAGCGGTTATCAATCAATTCACGGTCTCAGGCAAGTGAGCACAAAATTAGTTGCCGATTTCCACTCCAAGTTCCAAGGTTGAATACCGTGCAGACAGTAACTGAGATTGAAGATACAAGCAGCCTAGTTCCACCAAGCCAACACGACCCGCTCCATACTGGGGTAAAGGACCGATCATTTCCTAAGCTGTCAACAGTTTCGCGAACCCGGGGTCTGATACCAAGCTCTGCCGAGCTGGGACTAGGTGTATGTGGCGGGTCAACCAAGCTGTTGGCAGACAAGCGAGAACACGCACCGACCTACAAGGTGATTTCATTACCCCTTTTTCGTTTATACTTCCGCTAGGTACCGTTAGGTACTCGTGCCGCCTCCCTGCATGCTGACAGCTGTCAACGAGGAAAAACCGGGCAGGGAAATTGGGATGCGGACCATCAGGCAATCAATGTAGGTATTAAGGATGCCCTCGGGATAGATGGCCGATCTGCGCCGCGTGGTGGCCCTGATGCGGCATGAACTCCTGGGTTAAGGTTTGGGGTTGAAGATAGCTACGGCCCCAGCGGGCGTGAGCTAATGAGGATATCTAGATCGGCAGATATTCAATCCTTAGGAAAGGCTTCAAGTTCCGAGGTCTGTGACGTACTTGTATCTAGTACAAGGAATAGTGCGCGTTACCCATGGGTGAGAAAATATGCATTAGATATGCAAAATTGCAACTATCGTCTTCGATACAGTCATGGAAACCGACACCTAAAATCAGACACCGAATCCCAATAATTTCCCTACGAAAACTCGGACCAGGAATCAATAGGCCAATCCACGCGGGAGCCTAACAGATTGGTCTCCGGTAGCGCACATCAAAAACAAGGCAGCGGGCGGAAGCTAAGCCCAAAAGCCCTGCCTCGGACCTCGCGCCATTAAGGTGTCCCACCCAGGGGCCGGTTGTCTTGCTTTAGCGTCGATGTGGCTTCCGACCTGACTGGTTCTGCCTTGTGGCACCTCTCCAGGAGGCGAAAAAAAATGGTTTCGACAGAACGAGGCGTTGGGCGCGGCGCTCCGTGTCCCCATGAGCGCTCGGCCTTCGGGCGCCATTGGCCGACGCCACTGACTCCATTCTCAACACTCAAGAACCATCATGTCTGAGACAGGGTCCGGGTTGGTCATCTGTACTGTACTACTTGTACCCTGGTTGGGCCAAGGTCGTGTCAATCGATCACGGAAATCAGATTGGGGGACAATTACAATTTCCCTGACCCCTATGTTGATCTTCCAGCACGGAGTACAGTACAGCTATAGCTACAGTGAACCCGGTTCGCACGATTCTACGGCTCAGGTCCTGCTCGATCGGGTCTACAGCCACGGACTTGTGGGAGACCCGTCGCCCAACTTGGACCCATCAAACTGCGGAGCGGGTCCGAAATTTACTTGGTTTCGAGTCTGCAGTAAAACGACACCTACGTAGATTAAGGTACGAGCCCGATGGTTCTCCTAAACGGAAACTGATCGATCGCCCGTCGAGTTTTCGCCCAAGCCATGACCTCAAGCCAAGAGCCGATCGTGGCGGAGTCGGGGATGTTTGCATGAATCCATGGCACCCCCTGGACACGAGAACAACAAAACAATTGCCCGCATCCGGCAACTTCTGCAAACGTGGTTCACGTTTTTTATTGTTTCGCCCCCTGCCACCGAGCGGCATGGCCGCGTACTTTTTGAGCTGCACACGGAGTCGGACCTGCGGACACTCGGGTCGGAGAAATCAAGTGCGTAGGTGGATCCGGACACGAATGAGATGATGGGATTGCGGTGCCCCACTCCACCGCGATCTCCCCGGAGAGCCTGGACTTGGTACCTGAAGAGTCGGTTACTCTGAATGAAACAGGTCAGTGCCCGTCCCAGGCCTGAATAATGCGCCAGAAGCGTGCCCACGTTCGGTGAAAAATCCAAAATCCCCGGAGAATGTCAACCCCTTGATGCGGAGCCAGTAGCACGCTGCAAACAGCATTCGGCACGCGCGTCGATCCCGCCGGCATGCTGTATCAACATCGCCTCCCCCTTCTTCCTCCCTAGAAGCCGGAAAAAGCAAGCTTCCTTGGATATGTACCTGCCTCGGCAGGTAGCTATCGTGGGTACCTGGAGATGTACTTGGCACCCGTGAAGGCGGGTGACCATTCTATTATGTAGAGAAACCACCGGCCCGTGGTTACCGCGACTCCGAGTTTCCAAGCTCGTTTCAAGGGGAACGCAGTGAAGATATGCCACCGTGTGGGGAAAAATAGGCCCCTCATGGGATCTCGACGCTCTCGACGTCGTACGATGGCTTTTGCTTTATTGGGGTGTGATCTGGCCTGTGTGCCACACGGTCGAATTGACAACGGCTAGCCGATGTCGATCAGGGATAAAATCCTGTGCCAGGATAGTGAACACAAAACAAGTTCACTCCCGACCGTAAATAGCCACCTAGTGACTGACTAGTGAAGAGAAAACCGGCACGAGTCCTTTCGCGCCTCTCTTGGCTTAAGTATGTGTCCAATACGACGCTGGCGCAGCGACAAGCCGGAGGGCATCGGATGTACTAGATTGCCCTAAGTATGCTCAGGCCGCAGGGTACAGGAGAAGTCAATTTCCCGCCTGATTCGTAAGATTTTCGATTTCCCCTGTGCTGATTCTTCATCGTCCAGGCTTACAGTTAATTGTGGACTTCGGTGGTGGATTGATGGTGACGGTGGACGCGGCAATATACGCGTCAACGTCTTTGCAAGACCTTCGGGACCGTGCAAAATAGGCATCATCTGTACAGTACATGCAGTGAGCGTCCCAGTTCAATCGAAGCATTGCAGATCAAGGCGTTGTGGTGCAGTGGAGCCCACTAGGTTCCGTTGGCCAATTTGGAAAAGAAAAAAAAATTAAAAGAGATAATTATAGCAGCAGGCTGGGTTGTCACCGGCCTGGCGCATGCCGGGCCAGATTCATTTGAACCATTATTTCCCTACTTTGGGGTAGTGCGTGTCAGCTATCGAAGTCATTCTCGTCGTAGAAAGCACCCGGGTTCCATCTCGTTCTATTCTTTCTTCGGTTTTACGGAGTCGAACGATTTGGACAGGTCGAGACTGGTGATTGCGTGGAAGGCCACGAAAGGGCGATAGCGCGGGAGACTAAGTACTCCGTAGATGCGACGGCGAAAAAAGAAAGAACACAAGAGCACGGAAGAGTCCGTCAGGTACAGCAAAGCCCGTTCTGCTACTCCGTACATCTACGCATCCAGTCAACAAACAACCACATCCTTCCGCGGACAGCCTTTTCCCTGTTCCTTATCACCGTTTCCGGATCGAGCCTGGCGGGGGATCCACGACCGTTGAAAGCGCCGGGGATCAAGGACATTCTTTTTGCGGTCGCACCTTAGCTGCGAAAAGAAAGTTGAGGCTGATCGGGCTCCTTCCCATCTCATCCATCTTCTCCTCCTCCACTCCTTCCAACTTTCTACACTTTCCTTCCCCCTACTCTCCCCTGCCACCTCCCTCTTTCCCGCCCCCTTCGCCCTGGCTCGCCCGTGGTAAACCAACTTCTCTCGGCGGCCTCGCGCCTCTGGACCTTTCGAACTTGGTCCTTCCTCTACAGACCTCTTTCCATATTCGACCATGGCTCCCCCTCCACGCCTACGCATCCTGTCCGGTAAGTCTCTTCTCTTCCCCATCCGCCATGGGACGCCCAATACTGAGGGTTTGTGCAGTCGGTGGCAATGCGATCTCGGCCTTTTTATCGTGGCGGCTTCAAGCGACGACTTCCTGCGACGTAACGCTGGTCTGGAAATCTGGTTTCGAAGCCGTATCTCAATACGGCGTCTCCTTCAAGTACGTCTCTGCTCCAGTTCCCCCTCCGGAAAAGATCTTTTCACTCATCGCATTTCTTATCGATAGATCAAAAGCATTCGGTAACGAACGGTTCAAGCCCCGTCATGGTATGATCAATCTCCTGTATACCCCCCCTGTTGAATCCGGCCTTTCAGGCTGACGCATTCTCCTCCAGTTGTCCGCACTCCCGAAGACGCTTCCTCCCGTGAACAAGCCTATGACTATGTCATTCTCTGCGTGAAGGCTCTCCCAGACGTCTACGACTTGGCCTCGGTGATCGAATCCGTCGTCACTCCCCAGCACACCTGCATTCTCATTAACACCACGAATACCATCGGAATCGAATCCCATCTCGAGCAACGATACCCTACCAACGTTATTCTTTCTCTGGTTTCCAACGTGGAAATCTCACAGACGGGCCCCAGCGAGTTTGAGCACCTCAGTTCCAGCGAGATCGTTGTGGGCGCGACCAGCAAGCAGTCGGTCATTCCGGCATCGATCCAGAACGATATGGCCGCTGCATTGGCCATGACTCTAGGCTCGGGCCAGGTCGAATGCAAAGTGTCGGATAATATTAGACAGGAGCAATTTGAGCGAATGATTGGGTAAGTTCTCTCGATCTTCCGGAGCAGAATCCGATTGCTAATGTCTGTGCAGTCCGATCGCATTCCATACCGCAAGCGTCGTTTTCGACACCCCTAATCCTACACAGCTACTGGAGAAAGTTGGTGTTCGCCAATTGGTGAACGGCATTATCGAGGAGCTTTTGGAGCTGGCCGCCGCGCATGGCTGCAAATTCTCGAGCGACTTCCGAGAGAAGACGATTCAGAAGATGATCGCATCCGACGCCCCCAGCACAATGTTCCAGGATTTCCAGGCCCGCCGCCCGATGGAAGTCGAGACTTTCTTGGGATCTCCCATCAAGCTGGCCACCGAATCCAACGTGCCCGTACCTCGCATTGAGGCGATGTACGCTATGCTCCACCATGTCAACGTTGTGAACCAGACCAAGCCCCGACCTGGGGATTCTCCTCCCGCCTCGGTTATCGGCCAGCCCCCTCCCCGAATGTCTTCCGCTCCCCCGCACCGACCGCCCGTGAATGGTGGGATGCGAGCGAGCCGGACGCACTCGAGTATGGGAATGATACCCGGTGCGCGACGAGGCCCGCCCCCAGGCATGATGCCGAGAGGCCGCGGTGGTCCCATGCCACCCCCTGGAGGCGGTGTTCCTCGTGACCCGTCATTGGAAGGGCTCGAGGAATTCAGTCATCTGGTGGTCTATGACGGAGATGAACCTCCAATGCCACACCCCAATGGCAACGGTTTCCCCGAGGGCGGAGCTGATTTGGCATTGAGGGAGCGTGAGCTAGCTCTGCGTAAGCGTGAGTTGCATCTTCGCGAACAGGAGATGGGTATGGGAATGGGAATGGGTATGCCTATGCCTCCAGGCATGCGACGAGGCCCCGGGCCCGGCCCCGGCCCCGGTCCTGGCCATGGCCCACGACGACCACCTCCACGAGCGGCGCCTTTCGACGAAGAGGACGAAGATTACTTTGACCCGATGGATCACATGGGCATCCCCCATGTGGACCCGGATCAAGTTGATATGATGAGCATCACTTCTCGCCGAGCACGAAAGGCCCCGAGCCAGAGCCAAATCCGCAAGAACCCAGAGCACTTCGCTGGTCCTCCCATGCCTGGCAGCCGACCATCCTCATCATTCGGTCGTTACTTTGGCCGGAAGAACCGTCCGACTGACCGGGTGATGCAGGAGATTCCGAGTCTCCACGACTCCCTTCTAGACAACCCTATAATGAGCTACTCATCCGACAGATACGGATCCGTTGACCGCAATCACTTGAATGCAGGCTCGCGCGCAAACTCGATCACGGCCAGCGCGATGGGTGACTTCGCTCCCCCGCGCCCCTACCCTACGAGTCGGCGAAACAGCCACTCGCCCGCAGCTCCCTTCCCCGGACCCCCGGGTCCTCGCATGGGTCGCCCCATGACTGCCCATGACCCCAATCTTGGACCTCCTGGTGCCTCTCCCTATAACGGCCAACCGTCGCCGCCTGGGAATATGCGGACACCAGTACCCCGGAACCCGTCTGGCCAAAGCCTCCCGGTTGGACCGCAGCCTGTTGAACAACACTATGGGGTGAGCAACTCGTTTCCCGCCAAGGGTCCCCCTTTCAAGAACAAGAGTCTGACTGGAAGTGCGAGCGCCAGCGCGGAGAGTGGTGATAGTGGTGCCAGTGCGAACATTGATTCATCGGCTCACAGCAGTCAGGTCAGCCTTAGTGAACAGCACGTTGCGGCACCCATCCGCTGAATGCCCCCTTTTCACGACTTGAAAACCGGCGATCGATGACCGACTGAATTTCCTTTTCTGACGTGATTCCTCCCCTCCTATGACCATCGGCCCAGCTCTTGTCATGTTTGGGCACTGATTTTTGCATTGTTGGGTCCTCATTCTACGGGGTTATTTTTTTACGCCACCCTTTACTCCCGTGGAGTGTGGTATTGGTTAATACTCGGCTCTTCGCTTTACATATACATGAGGGACATAGGTGGTTTATTAGCTTGTTATTTGTTTTTGTTCCGGAGTGTTTGGGATGCGGGCTGTGCTTCTTGTCGTCTTTTCTCCCTCTGCATTGATACTCATCTCTCGTTCTGCGGCATTATCGACTCTTTTTGTTCTCTCTCTTTCCCTGAGGTCTGCGCATGCCTACACTGGGGCATCTATTTTTCCTTCTGCACCACGTTGATATAGCGCCCTCGACTTCACTCGACCCGATTCCTCGCTCAGTCGCAACCCACGCACCTCTCTTGTCTCTCTGCATGACTGTACACTACCTCAACCGGCGCCTTTCCTTTTTGTCTGTCCCTCATCATAGGTGCTCGTATACGTTGTTTATTGCCCTGTTATTGCCCGCGTTATCATCATCTGGTCCTGGTCCGGTATCTCTCTCATTTGTTCCCAATGTTTCCTTTGCTGTTACCATCCGGCCGGTCTGACAGTCCGGCCCATGTCTCTGAGTTTCTGTGGTCTGGTCCCTGGCGCATTGCAAAAAGCGGGGTTCGATTTATTCGGTTGTGCTGTCTTGATCTGCTTTGGCTGGGTTCGCGCTTGACTGGGAATTAATGATAGGTACCGTGTCTGATGTTGCACTGCCCTCTGGACAGACTTGTTATTCTTCATGGAGCCCACGAACTGATAGACTTTCGCCGTTATATCACCGAGTTGCTCTCTGTGCGCTCTGTTATTCCACTAAAATGTTCAATATACCTAACCTACTTCACCAAACTGAATGGGCTGTGTAGAATGCGGTCATGTGACTCGTGTAAACAAACTCCCCGCGCTTTTCTTAACCTCACCAGCTTCACCATACTTGAAGTCGGATTGACGAACCCTAAAATTCTCCCCTCCCCCTTACAGACGCCTCGATTTTAACCCGCGACCCCAAAAAGAAAACCCAAAATGCCACCCCTCCCCCCATCCCACCGTCGCCATGACTCCCAAACCTCAACCTACACCCGCGCCTCAATCCTCCCCACGTCGGGCTCAGGCACCTTCAACCCGGGCGCAACTTCCACATCCAGCATGCCCCAAGGCAGCACCGGCTCCGCCTCTATGCCCGCCGCCAAAACTCGCCAGTACGCCCACCTCCACAGCCAGCTCGCACAGCTCAATGCAAACCTCGCGGATACGGAGAACTTGCTCCGCATGACGGCTGTCCAGGCGGGCGACATGCGCTTTTTGGGCGGATATGTCGGGGCGTTGTTCATGGGCTCGGCGAAGATCCTTGGCGAGGAGGGTGTCAAGGGGAATGCGGATCCTGTTGAGATTAAGGTGAAGAAGGAGGAGAGTGAGGAGGATTGATTTGGATCAAGAGGAAGTGGGTGAGCCTCTCTTGGTTGATTTTGCATGCTATGTGCGGTTCTATGGACTGTACTAACTTGCTTATCTAGGCTCTACCAAGGCCAATGGCTCCATGGTCAATCCACTACTCGACAACGAACCCGCCTCCAAGGATAATCGCCGGCTCATCGATATTATGGTGCTCATAGCTGTTCCCCGTCAGCTCGGATCTTGGGGGATATTGCAAGATGGAAATCTGCTCGAATCGACACCCAGCGACTCACCTTAGTGTGCCCACACCACCGGCTTCCAGAATCAAGGACGTCTCTGTCAAGGGTTTACCCGTCCACCGCATCGCAAACGCTCGCAGGATATGACCGTGTGCAACGACGAGCACATCGCCCGGGCTATCGGGGTTCTCAAAGCTCTTGCGGTGGACTTTCTTCCTTATATCAGCGATCAGCGCGTCGAGACGACGGACGATGTCTTCGGGGGATCTGTCGGATGTTAGCACAGTCGTTCCAGACAAGCAAATGCACTCCATATTCCCAAACCAGAACCCAGTAACACATCAAAGAAGCAATCTTGAACTTACTCTCCTCCGGGACACCCATCCGTCCAAATATTCCAGGGCGGAAGACCCTTCTTCGCCCTGTCCTCTTTAATTTGCTTCGAGGTCAAACCCTCATAGTCCCCATAATCCCACTCCCGCACAGCCTCTGTCACCTCCACGGTCGCCTCGGTGCGAATGGGCTCCACTTCTTGATCCTTCCGCGCCTCGTTCCATGGCAGCCGCTCTCGACACCCGATCTCAAGGAGTTCGAGAGTCCGTTGGGCGCGCGTACGTGGGGAGACGTACCTATACCCAAGCATTAGCAAGCTTTGGTGACGAGACTCTCCCACCTACCAAGGATAGGTAAGTGGACAGGTAGATGCCAGAGTCTAGGGCACGGGAAAGGTGTGAAAGGATGTCTTACACATGCGCCAGGTTCTTGGGCACGATCAGCCTGTCGTTTCCCACTAGTGCCTTGCCCGTTGCTTTGATGCGTTTCTCGCCGTTTGCCGTGAGTGGGAGGTCGCTTATACCCGTGTGGCGCCCGTTCAGGGACCATTCGGTTTCGCCGTGGCGGATGATGAAGCAGCGCGGAGCCATTGTCTATTGTAGGTGGTGCAGTGGTGTGGTTATACTGTAGGGTGTAGGTGAGGTGCGGTGGTTTGGCAGCTTGCCGGGTGGGGGGTCGTAGTTGCGTCATGCAGGCTGATAAGCTCTTATCGCGTGGACCAGGCACTGGGGGTTTCGCGGATGCTACGATGCCGTGTTTCTAGAAACTGGTTTCGGCTAGAGTGAAACCTTTGGAAAGTTACCGTGCTCTAGATGAGTCTGTAAATACCAGTGTGGCGTGTGTCAGCCACGTTGGAAATGTGTTTTGGTTTCGCCGTGCGGCTCCATGGTTATCGCGGGTCTGAAACATTGGCAATCAAAAATACCAAAACATGAAGGATCGTATTTCCCGTTCCTCGTAGAAGATGCTCCAGGACCGTGGTAGCATCCCTTGGTAGCATCTATGTAGCTATTAGCACCTAGCTATTCTCCGCACTGTTTAGTCCGATTGCATGCCCAAAATTGTGCCTTGGAAAATGTTTGGAGGGGCATTGGAGGGGCAGGGGGAGGGGTTCCTCCCCTACTCCACCGCGCTATCATAGTGTCTCGTGTGTACATTCACGCCGTCGACGCTGGATGAAGCTGCGATTTACAGATTTGCAGAGCTAGGGGAAGCCGGAGGACAGACATCCGACTTGCAAATGCCTCGAAACCACCGTAACCCTCTTTCGGTGTAAACAACCCGACAATCAGCGAGAACCAAAAATAATAACGCAAAAAAAAAGTTCAAAACTAGGAGAATGGAGAGGAAGCTTGCCCGAAAACGTCCGGTCGATACCATCTTTTCGCACCCGTTCTTCGGGAACATGTCGTCATTATGCGCCGAGGTGGATCCCTTGGAGCCAATCGATGGCCCGAGATGAGAAATTCAATGCCGTTGGCAATTCTTACTGACAGCGATCTGCTTGAATGTTGAATGATCTGGCCGTCCGCTGCTCGGCATCTCCGGGCGCGGTCGCAAACCCGTCACTCTCATTCGTCTGTTTCTTTCCCACACCGAACAGCGTGCTCCCGAGAGGGCAAGTCGTGGTTACATGCCCGCCACAGCCGACCACCTACCTGCGGGCTATACAGTGGATCTCAACCCACCGTTATCCACAGTGCGGGTTTCGGGCTGTCCGCAAGCGGCAATCCGCGGCCTATGACGACGTTGGAGAATGAATGAAGCTGTTTGTCTGCGTTGAGGTTATGGCGGATGGTTGTTCAGGCCCGGGACAGGCCTGAACGGCGGTTACGACAAGACTCTGGCAAAGCGGAAGGTCGGCCGAGTGGCTTAAGGTTTTTTTCAGCCCTGCTCAAATGTCTCGGGAAAGGGAACTACAGTATTTGTTGGATCTCTTAGGAAGTCGCCTAAACGTGTACTCTGGTCGGTAATGACCACGTCATTTTACGTTCTCCGTTCTTGCACTAGATAACTGCAATGGTCGTATAGGAGGAGCGCAGAAAAATGGGTCGGGCACCTGGGATCCACTGACCGGGACGCCTTCTTTAGGCGATCGATTTACGGTTCATATATAAAGTCTACTGGTGTCCGCCACCGTCATAGATTCGTCAATTCCCTTCAAGTGACTCGGTAACCTAAGAGACTGCGTTTCTAGGTTGAAGTTCACATTTTTTATCTTCCTTCTTTTCCTATACCCATTGATCCTTCTCTTGAACGCATCTCATCGTTCATCATGCCTCGCTTTGAAGATGCTGACTTCGCCGTCGATGCCGCGCCCCGGGACCCCCGTCCCAGCGATGCCCAGGCTGCTATCTCCCCTCGCGACCATATTGGACGGGGCCATATCATCCCCGCCGAGGGCGGCGGCACCGTTGAGGTTCCTGCCTCGCGCAGCTCGTTGAGCCACACCTCTGCTATGATGCACCATTTGAGTCTCCAGCCCTCCATGCGGGACCGCCGGGGCTCCCGTAACTCCTTCGGCACATCTCTGCCCATTCCCCGGTCTCCGCGCATGTCCCGCCTGTCCCGTACCAGACCCAGTGTCGTTCGTCGGGATATCCTGGCTGGTCAGGTTCAGTCCCTGCAGCAGGATCTGGTCGACAAGGTGAAGAACATGGCTTTCGCCTTCGACATTGACGGTGTGCTGGCACACGGCAATGAGGCCATTGAGGAGGCCAAGGTTGCTCTCCGCATTCTCAACGGTGACAACGAGCTTGGTATGTGCCCAGATCGTGAAAATTATAGTCGACACGACTTGCTAACGTGTACCAGGCATCCAATTCCCCTATATCCTTCTGACCAACGGTGGTGGTAAGACCGAGGAGGCTCGCTGTGCGCAGTTGACCGAGGTCCTGGGCCACCCCATCTCCACCGACCAATTCATTCAGTCCCACACTCCCATGCAGGCTCTGTCTGAGTACTACGACAACGTGCTGGTTCTCGGTGGTGAGGGCTACAAGATCCGTGAGGTTGCTGAGCAATACGGTTTCAAGAACGTCGTCCACCCCAAGGACATCGTCGCCTGGGATCCTACCATCTCGCCCTGCCGCCGCTTCACCGAGGAGGACAAGAAGGAGGCGCGCCCCCGCGACTTCTCCAACTTCAAGTTCGACGCTATCCTCTACTTCGCCGAGTCCTACGATCAGATGACCGACTACCAGATCATCTCCGATCTGCTGAACTCCGACAACGGCCAGCTCCTCACCCGCGCCAAGAAGGACCAGGACCACATCCCTATCTACTTCTCCCAAGGTGATCTTCTCTGCCCTACCGAGCACAAGGGCCCCCCGCGTCTCCACCTCGGCGCTATCCGTCTCGCCGTCGAAGCCCACTACAAGGCCGTCTCCGGCAAGGAACTCGAGCGTACCCTCTACGGTAAGCCCGAGCGTGCCACCTACATCTACGCCGACGAGGTCCTCGCCGCCTGGATGGAGGAGCTCTACGGCGAGAAGCGCCTGCCCAAGAACATCTACATGGTCGGCGACAACCCCGCCTCCGACATCATCGGTGGTAACATGTACGGCTGGAACACTTGCCTCGTCCGCACCGGTGTCTTCCAGGGCGGCGAGAACGACGAGCAGAACCCCGCCAACTTTGGAGTTTTCCCCCACGTTCTCGATGCCGTCAAGGCTGCTCTTGCCAAGGAGCTTGGCCCCGACTTCAAGCTCAAGTGGGATCCCAAGGGCGCTGCCTCCGGCGGCTCGGCGATCGAGTAAACGGGTTTCTTTTGCATTTTGCATAAAAAAGGGAAAAACGATACAACGCTTGCATACACGCTGGCCCCACTTCCGTTGCCATCGAGAAGCGGATTGAGTATCAGGCGCCTGGACAGGGATTCTTATGGATGAGGATTATCCTCTCTGGGGCAGTCCACCGGCCAAGGCATGGGCCTGATCCGTGCTCGTTGGCTTCCAGGATACGCCGCTTCTGACGAAAGATGTGCTGGTTGTGGTGGCAGATCAATGTTTTGAACGACCTCTTTTCTCCTGTTCTCTTTTTCTTTTCTTTTAATGCTAGAGTTTCAGACTTGATGACTTACGAGCCAAGTCGTATCAAATTTTGATTATATGAAATTAACGAGGAAGGGCATCTTCTGCGTTATTTAGTCGAACGTCACATCATCTCCTACACTGTAGAAAAAGAAGTAAATTGCATCGTATTTCATTATATCGATATTGTTGAGCGGATAAGTGATTTCGTTTTCTGACTGCTAAGACGGGGGGAACTATGCATGTAGCGTGGACAATAATGCATCGAATATCTGAATAACCTCCTGCTGCTCCTCTTTCGACAGCTGCATTCTGCTAGCATGAGCATATCCATCTCTGAGCCGAGCACTCACAATATCCTTTGGAGTCCTCGTCCGGAAAGCAGCCTCTATGCTCTTCGAAATCCCATGGAAAGGATAAGCCGTCAGTCCGATGGCAGCTATAGAGAAAGTATTAGCGGCGACTCCGAATTTTCACCCTGGGATCACTCACCAGAAGGCATCTTGGTAGCCAGCCCCAGCGTACCCCTAGCAAATCCCTTAACTGCACCGGCTGCACCTTCCTCCATAGCCCCTTTAAACGGCGACGTAAAGAACCCCGCCACACCACCAGTCATCCCTCCGACGAAATTCTTACCGCCGACTTTCACCCCGGACTTCCAGTCATGCACGTTCCCATAATCCTTCGGCTTTTCTCCGTACAGCTGAGGTGCCCTTCGGAAACCCTCTGCTGCTGCGTGAGGAATATCGATAACAACACCTTTCAGATAGTTGCCGTAGAATTTCCCGAGGCCTGTTAGTGTCCCTCCGACCATGTTCCCTGCAGTGTCGAATGGATTCTGGCTCTGGCCTGTTCGAGCCTTGTTTTGAGCGCTCTCGGTGCGAGCGCGTTTGAACTCCTTGTATGGATTGTAGAGCATCTCGCCCGTGGATTTAGCCATCTCTGTTCCTGTTGCGCCTGCGGCGGATAGGACACCGGTCAAGGGGTCCCAGCGACGATTTTCAATAATGATTGGATTGATGGGGTAACTGTTTCGAGGTCAGCATAGTTGCTATGTCAGTCGGAGTACACAATACCATTTAATGTGTCGTGCGTCGATTTTGTCGTGCTCAATCAAGATATTCACAGCCGTCTTCGACAGGATTAGACGTTGCTTTCCCACGTCGTAGCTCCATACTGCAGCCTGGTCGGGCATGATACTGCATCGCATGCGGTCTAAAGGTAAATTGCGGTGGAACGAATCCACGGCTGCTGCCACGCCAGACTCGGCTTGCATTCTGAGAGCGATTTCGCGCGCGGCCTCGGCCGCGTCTGGTGTGAGGCAAAATTGAATTGCGGAGGCTAGGATATCAGGATCCAATTCGGCATGGGGGATTGGGGAGGGACCGGCTCCGGCTCTGGCTACCATGTTGCCCCAGAATGGTTGACTAGAACGAGCATGATTAGTATTGAGGGTAGGAAGCAGACAGCTTGACATACTCGCCGAAGAACGGGACGATGGCGGTTGGTCGTCCGTTTAGGAGACCGCAGGCTGTGGTCCCAGCTCCGCCGTGATGCACGACAGCTGCGACATGCTGAAAGAGCCAGTCGTGTGGACAGTCGCCAATGTAGAAGACATTTTCATCTGATGTACCAGCCAGCTCGCTCCAGCCCTTGGACACAATTGCACGTACGCCGGCTCTTGAGACTGCCGCGAGAACCGTTTGTATTAGTTTTTCAGGGTTGTCGACGACGATACTGCCAAAACCGATGTAAACAGGAGGCGATCCGGCTTCCAAAAACTCCGCCAGTTCTGCAGGCGGGATGTATGAAGAGGGCTCTCCGAAGAAGAATCCACACACGTCTACAGAGAATCTGTTAGCTCGATCACGGCAGAAGTCATTTATACATACCGATATGCGATGGCCAGTCCCGTGGCTTTGGAACCAGTGCCGGGGACCAACAGTATGTGAAAGGGATTTCCAAAGCTTCAGCCAGACAGGGTCCTTCCGTTGCCGGAACGGAGGCCAGATCGATTGAGGCTCTAAATCGATTGATCACGTCCCCTAACCTACGCATGGTAAGCCATCTTTCTCAACTCTCGGCGCGGATCACTTACCCTTGCCACGTTAGCCATTCCACCACACCGTATGTTACCCAATTCGCCGTCCTGGGATTCATATCGGTGGAATTCATATTGGCCAAAGGATGTGGAAATGCCTTGGTACTACTCCACGGCATCGTAAACATCAAATGAACGGGGATGCCCAGAGCCTGCGCACAATGGACATGAGCAAAGCTAGGCGGGTTAGCAATGATCGCATCTGCAACGAAAGGCTCCTTCGTGTCAGGATCGTCTTCGATGCATGATTTCCAACAGCCATCCAGCATTTCCGCTACCATGACCTGCTTCTGTTTGATTTCGCCATCACGCAATGTTTTAATCTGCGGGATCAGCCCCGGGTTCTTGACCATGTATGCCATGAGCTTGGCGGGATCTCCGCCAATGGGAAAGAACTCCAGGTACGAGTCCTTGACGAACTTCTCGAAGACTCCGTGAGTGGCAATGCGAACTCGATGACCATGGCTCTGCAAGGCGTTTCCCAGTGCGATGAAGGGCTGAACATCTCCGCGACTACCCACGATTTGGATGACTATGTTCAGTTTCACATCACAGTAGATTCCCTCTGAAGTTTGAGCGCTGTATTCAGGCGCAGGGGGATGGTCATCTGGCTGCTCGTTGGCGATTTTCGCGATCGACTTGGCGAGCTTTGATTCCAGGTTGACATCAATACGGCCATCATCTGCAGAACTGTTAGTTCTGTCGCTATCGACTGCCAACCCATAGCTAACGTACAGTGGACGTTGCCCAACTCCGCGGTCAGTTGGGGGTCAACATATGGGGAATAAGGCGGGGGCGATTCCCCGCGGTCGGGATTTGCACCATTTCCCATCGTTGTTGACGTGGACCCTTGCACAAAGGGCGAAGCAGGATTGTTTTGGGGAAGACGTGATTCAAAAAATGACGTAGGGAGGGAGGTGTACAGCGCAGTTATTAAGTGGCGAATCTCGTAGCCAGGTGCGCGCCCTTAATACCGAAGGAGGCAACGGGGTTGGTTGTGCTCCGTAGAGGAGGAGACAACGATGAAGAATGTATGTACTAGGATTTAAAGAGATAGATAACCCTGTTTCACTTTGATATGATGATCCTCTCGTCCAGTTGCACCTACCCCAGCCCCTCCAATGGCAAGCGGGCCGTGCATGATCGATCCCCCGTTGTGGCTGTGGTGGGAACTTGGTTTATCATATCCGCGCTTCCTAAGCTTGTCACCCCCTTTCGTTCCATGCGATCATGGAGGGCGAGATCCGCAAGGGTGTCAATCACTCCTTGTCCAGCCTGTCGCTGCCTCGGGCCCGGGACCGGCCCGAGGACACGAGGCGCAGGCTGTTACTGATTTACATTCACGGCTTCATGGGCTCGGAAGCCAGCTTCCATGACCTGCCAGCGCATATTCACGATCTGTTAACGAGCCTATTGAGCGATTCACACGTGGTTTACACTCGTATCTATCCTCGATACAAGTCCTACGGCGAGTCTGGGATCCAAACGGCAGTGGACCAATTCAGTGCCTGGTACGTGGGCCATGGAATGCCGGTGCCTTTGAGACTAACATAGAGACATGTAGGTTAGCGCCCCATGAGGCTGATGACCTGGATGTCATCCTGCTGGGACACAGTCTCGGTGGGATTTTAGCCGCAGACGTCGCGCTCCTGCAACTGAATGAACAGCCAAAACATCGAATTCTGGGACTCATCAACTTCGACGTCCCCTTTCTGGGATTGCACCCGCGCGTCATTCCAACGGGGGTTCTGAGCTCCATGCCAAGAAAGGACGTTGCAGCTGAAGATGAGCTTGCTGGAGAACAGCAATCCCTGGGCATGGATCCGGCGTACAAGCCCTTCACCCCTAGTCCAAACTTTGACCCGCCGTTCAGGAACGACCACCGCCTCGTTCAGCGGGGCTTTTTCAAGGGTCTCCTGCACTTTGTCAATAAGAACACGGACAACCTCTCACGGTCAATATACGATCGTGTCGCGTCATCTTTCAGATTTGCAGGCTGTGTCAATAATTACTCCGAGCTTCGCCGGCGGTACCGACGCTTGTTTGAGTTGGAGAACGCAGAACACAGTCCCGGCAGAGTACGATTTGTCAACTACTACACCGCAAGCACTGGTCGTATACCACGGAAGCCCAAGGAGAAGCCTGGAAAGGAAACCGAAGACAGTGACCAGATCGAGAATTCAACAACCCCATCGCGGGAAGGCTCAGAGACGCCGAGTATCCGAAAAGAAGATGGAATAGCCGGCTCAATGAGCAATTTAGCACTCGATGAAGAAGACTTGAATCCTCCAAAGACAGCAAGTGTCTGTAAAGACGGCGAAGGAACCAGCTTCAACCCAATACCTGAAGAGAAAAACACAAATTCCGCTGCTCCTGATACTCGCCCCCCGAAACAGGCAGCACAGCCACCACCACCACCACCACCACTACCACCACGAGCAGCGCCCGCTCCAAGACAAGACTCGCAAGATTCAGCAGCTGAAGAGATCAGCTCCGAAAAGGATCAGTCATCATTGGATATCACAGGCACCACCCCGTCCACTTCAACGCCCCAGGATAGTCAGAGTCTTTCGGGAAGCGTGGTGTCCATTAAAACCTCGGACTCTGGGATCAGCTCAGACAACTCCCCACAGAAACTTCGCAAGTTCATTCTTTTGCCCTCGCATCATTGGAAGCATAACGACAATGCTCACTGGATGTCGGTGTTAATGGAAGACATGGATGAAGTGGCTGCACATCAATCCATGTTCATCCCACAAGGTGCAAATTACGATTTCCTCGTTGGAGATACCGTATCATTGATTGAGCAATGGGTCCAGAGTGATCTGACCAGACGGTTGATGCAGGAAACCCTCGACTGAGATAAGACAGACCCACAATAATCCAATTGTTAGAATTAAACTCCTTCACCTACCCGTAAACTCTACTAAGACACCAAGATCAACGAGTAAAACCACAAGAACTCATAACACCAGAACAAGATCAAAATCAGAAACATTCCACCTTGTAGCCCATGATCTTCTTCCCAGCCGAGTTACACTTGCTTTTATTATCGGCAAAGACATTCACAATCTTCTTCCCGCGCGAACATCTACTATCCTTGTACAGCGTCACTGTACAGTCCATATCAAGGGTAGTCGTGTTGTATCCCTTTGCTCCTCCACTGGGTACATCACTGCGGCAGTCACTGGACCCATTCCCCATAAAGTTGACTGCGGGGCCGGTACATTTCTTGCTTTTATAGAGTCCGAATTCCCAATGGCCCCTGCCAGTGGGAGATGGGAGTGGCGAGACTACCGGAGCTATGGTGCTGGACTTGGAGCTTCCGGATACCAGCATAGGGAGAGCTAGCAGGGCTAGTGCGGTAGCATAGAGTCCAGCTTGGAGCTTCATGGTGGAATAGTCTGCTTGGAAATTCTTACAGAATCAGTAGGCCGAAATAGGAAACTAATCAATTTCAGTGACAAACTTACGGGGTTGAGGTTTGAAGAAGTCGACTGTAGAGGATCAGAGTTGAGTTGGATATAGTGTTGAGAAGAAAAGGAAGAGAATTGCCTTGGAACAAGGATCCGGGTTATTATATTTGCAACCCTTCGTTGAAGTTGCGTAGTTGTGACTATCGTATAGTCCTGATTACCACGGCTCGTAATGTTTTCCGAGTGAAAGACCAATCGGGGAACACAAAGTAGCCGGGCTTTCCGAGAGAGCCATTGTTTACATCCCCCCGAAGTGACCTTGCCAAATTCTCACATCGATTTATCAACTTGCATACGCTCTGTACCTTCTTCCGTTGGTAAACGGCACGTATGTAATCACGTGACCGGAACGAGGCATCACACAATGGGAGAGCACCAAGATCAAATATGCAGGTTAAAAGCGCTAGGACAGAGACCGGCGATTGCAACATGATTTTCAGATGGAGTGAGATATCCGCTCTGAGATCTCACCTCCTCACATCCTTCGCCGCATTTGCGATGTCCAATATCTGCGTCTAGCCCCGTGTTCACTCCACCTGCCACCAGTCCAGCATGCCGAATCGGGAGAACACTCACGATCTCACTGCGCTTTTGGGGAAACCCCTGATAAAGATAATGGAACCTTCCCTCCTGAAAATGGACTCGGAAGACTGGCTCACCTCGCCAGACATTCATGAGCATGACCTTGACCTTTCACCTCTGGCCTTCTATGACGCGTCAATTTTCCTTATAGCCAACCCAAATATTCCATCGAGCCATCTGTTTGGTGCAGATATTTTACACGACAGTCTAGGGCTTCTGGGATCTTCACAGGAGAGCGAAAATCCGCTTGGAGGAACCACCAACAATGAAGCTGCAACATCGACTCAAATCACCGCTAGGCCTGCAATCAAGGTCGAGGGATTTGAGTTGACCAGGACTGTGGTTAGGAGAATGATACCTCGAAATCAAAGCCTGGATAAAGCTTTAGAGCAGACCTGCCATTTGTATGCATCACGAGGTGCTCTTCCGGGAATGCCAGATACTGTCAATGAATCAGGCCAGCAGAGTGATACCAATCGTCTACTTATCATGTACACTCCGCATGTCTTGACACAAGGGGAAATGCCCTTCTATCATCCACTCGTCAAAGGCCTCGCATATTTGTACGATTTTGAGCCGTCTCCTGCAGGGACAGGCTCAGGCACAATGTCGATCCACTTCTTACCATTTACAACGGACATACCTGACCAGCTGGAACACACACTACGCATTCTACTCAACGTTAATATCCGACTTGCACAACATTCAACGAAAAATACACCTGATGACGAAACCAAAGAGACCGACTTATCCAAGGATAACGTGGTTCCACGTCATCTGGTCTCCGACACATATACCCGCCTCAAGAGGCTTTACGCCAAAGACCTGTGTGACCGATGGGTTGATACGCCGGAGCCTAGTAAACACGTATTCGAAGACTTGGCCGTCGCTGCTTTTCTCATCGAGCTTTGGTGGCTGATGTACGGCATAACTCCACCCAAGGAGGGTACAAGTACCCAGAAGCAGAGAAAAATGGACGACTTTCCAGGCTTTGTCGATGTGGCATGTGGAAACGGAATTCTTGTCTATGTGCTTCTCATGGAAGGTTACCCAGGCTGCGGCTTCGATGCCCGCAGACGCAAAACATGGAGCATCTTCCCAGCATCGGTGCAAGAGCGACTGTCAGAAAATATCTACATTCCTAAGCCCTTCGCCGACGTACTCGGTCCAGTGGATATTGGCGTGAACACCCACACCGGGGATTTCCCGCAAGGAACTTTCATTATCTCCAACCACGCGGATGAAATGACAGTCTGGACTCCGCTTATTGCTGCTCTCGCCTGTCCGGAATCTCCGCTACCATTTCTCTCCATTCCATGCTGCTCTCATTCTCTCTCCGGATCCCGGTATCGGTACCCTCCGCCAAAGAAGGACACAAAGGACCACCAGGTACAGGGGGGAGAGCATGTTGAGCAGACTCCGCAGCCTGCGTCGGGAGACTTGAGAGCCTTACGAGCAACCAAGGAGAAAGAGAAAACCGGGGACGGAATACTGAATTCCATTTACGGTTCTCTGACCGCAAAGACAATGAGCATCGCCGAGGAAATTGGTTACGAGGTCGAAAAGGCTCAGCTTCGCATCCCAAGCACACGGAATCTCGGCGTAATAGGAGCTCGGGAATTGTTCACCCAGGAGTGGAGAAAGAAGTCAGCACACAACAACCTTCTAGACTACTCAAGTGGAAAGAACACCGAGCTAGTCCAAAACATCAACAAGATCGTCGAGCGGGAGTGTGCCATGGAAGGTGGGGTTCAAGCATCCGCACTGATGTGGATCGAGCGCGCCCAGGGCTTGCACAAAGGCCAGGGAAAGGGGAACCCGGCGCACGGTTGATGGACAGCTACCCCAATAGAAGAATTAACCATCACCCAGTGGAGAATCTAGTTGTAGAGGAGTAATCGCGGCTTAATTTCGGTGTTATGGCCAAGCTGAGTGTTTTCCGTGCAGATAATTGACGTCAGCGATATGGTAACTGCGAGGTAGAGCCGATGCACTAAATTCACCCCGCATCTCCCCACGGGGTTAGGATAATATAAGGAGTTATAGCATTCCAGGGGTTGATTGCATGTCTGCTCAATAGTGAAGTGTTCTTACGCACGATGCATATTACATCTTTCTTTCTGGCCATAGGCCTAGCCTCCGCGTTGGATAATGGCCTTGCGCGGACCCCCCAGCTAGGATGGGTAATTATGCCATGCAGCACTGAGCTACATGGACTAACAACATTGATTTCCAGGACACATGGAACTCATTTGGCTGTAGCCTGAACGCAACTGTCATTCTGGAAACGGCCCAAAAGATAACCTCATTGGGTTTTAAAGATCTTGGCTATAATTACGTTGTCATGGATGACTGTTGGTCTGCAGGCCGTAACTCGTCAGGTTATCTTGTACCAAATAGCCAGAAATTCCCCAACGGCATCAAAGACCTGGCAGACAAGATCCATAACATGGGGTTGAAGATTGGAATCTACTCTAGTGCAGGTACTATGACTTGTGCACGGTACGCGGGTTCCCTGGGATATGAAGAGAAGGATGCTTCTCTATGGGCTAGCTGGGGAGTATGTGTCTAGTTCAACTCTCTCTCTAAGACGCATGGAAGCTTATACAGACACAGATCGACTATCTCAAGTACGACAACTGCTATAACCAGGGCGAAGAAGGGACACCCAAGCTTTCATATGATCGATATGATGCCATGGGTAAAGCTCTCAACTCCACCGGCCGACCTATCCTCTATTCCCTGTGCAACTGGGGTGTTGATGGGCCTTGGAACTTTGCTCCGACTATCGGCAATTCCTGGCGTATGAGTGGGGACCTGTTTAACACTTGGGACCGCCAGGATGTGAATTGCCCTTGTGCTGAACTGGAAGGACTCAACTGCAAGACTCCGGGTTACCATTGTTCCGTTCTGAACGTCCTCGGCAAGGCCGTCTACATCCCATCCAAGGCGTATGCTGGTGCATGGAATGATCTTGATATGCTTCGTATGTTGCTATCACCTCGTCAATAAAAGAAGGGTAAACTAATTTGCCTGTGAAACAGAGGTCGGAAACGGCGGCCTAACTGACGACGAGGCTATTGCGCACTTCAGTCTCTGGGCAGCCCTCAAATCACCCCTGCTGATGACAAACGTCATGACCAAGATCGACGCACCTACTCTCTCCATCCTGCAAAACACCGCCGTACTAGCCGTCTCACAGGACCCAGAGGGTTCAAGCGCCGTTCGCGTCTGGCGCTACAATGTTGATGGCGGCGATATCCAGATGTTCAGCGGGTCGTTGAGCGGCGGCGACCAGGTCGTCTTGCTCCTGAATGGCGGATCCACTGCACGCGAAATGAATGCAACACTGACTGAAATCTTCTGGATGGATGGTGTGAGTGGTACTGCGTCGCAGGTGCAGAGTTCTTGGGATGTGTATGATCTCTGGGCTGATCGGATGAGTAACTCGACGGCGGATGCGATTATTCAGGGTGACGGGAAGAGGCCAATTAATATGACTGCAATGGGCGGAGCAGAGAAGGTCTACGCGCAGACGCCCCTGCCGACGACCAAGGCGCTCATGGGTTCGAAAGTTGGAAGTGTGAAGGCTGCTGGGACGGTGAAGGCTTTTGTTCAACCGCATGGAGTTGCCATGCTGCGATTGAGGGAGGTCAAGTCAAATGATGAGCTGTGAATTGATGTACAGGTGGATATCTGATGAGATTGTGTGCTTGTGAGGAGAGTGCCCATATGCCACCACTCTTGCTCTGGATTCTCTAAGTCCATCGAGCATGAAGTGGAGGCCTGCAAGAATGATAGTTAATATACATAGTTTTGAAACGAGATCCTCTAACTCCGTGTCTATGAGCTGGGAATCCTGGAATTGAACGCCGTGAAATCAAATATATCCGAAGTATTACCCTGTGAGATATGCATAAGACATCTAAAGATGACTTCTAAAAGGGAGCCTTGCCCGTAGTATCTGACTTGGCAGGTTCGTCTTGCGAAGCGCTATCTTTCTTCTTTGACGAAATTTGTTCATTCCGCAAAGTGTCGTCAAAGGCCCTGGCGGCGGTAGTGGCAGCTGAGAAACTGGCTCCGGGGGTTCGCGAAGCGGCATTGGCAGCACCCGCAGCGGCATTCTCGCGAAGTCTTCTAATGCGCTCGGATCGTGCTTCGCCTGGAAGACTTCCCCAGACTGGCTCGATAGAATCGGCGCGCCAATTGGTGCGGTTGCTACCCATTGCACCTCTAGGGGTCAGTGGTGTCAGAGAGGTGCCTCCGACGCCGGACTCGCCCCACATCCGAACGCGCTGGAGCTTGCGTAGTTTGGCAAGTCCGTACACGCTAACGACTCCGGTGAGAGCGAAACAGATGGCTGAAACACCACCGAAGCCAAAGTCGGATTCTTCAATGAAGTTCTTCAAGTTCATTCCGTAGAGGGCAGAGAACAAGGTTCCGGCGGCTAGAGCGAGGGTTCCGATGCTAAACTTCAAGTCTAGCAGCATGAGTGAGTTGCGGTTGGCGTCTAGAATTGCTTTGACCCTACTTTGAATTAGAACTGGTTCTCTTCTTAGGATGGATGGATTCTTACACTTCTTCCGTGTTGCGAATCCCGGTCACCAGGTTACCACTGGCCTGAACAATCTCGTCGCACACCTTATGGTATGACTCCAGCAGCATTTCAACTTCTTGATGGTCATCCTCGTCTCGCTCCTTGCCAGTAGACCGTTCAGTCAAATACATGGCAGCAAGGTCATCGTCTGCCTCAAGCAGGTCATCAATCGCATCTCGTACCAGACGAGCCTTTTGTTCGAAAGTGCCAAGTTTCTTGGAGTAGATCAAAAGGTGTCGCAACTTATCGCGATCGATATCTTCTTCGAGCGCGCGGAGAACTCGAACGACCGGGTCCCTCACACCATTGAACTCCTCCTCTAAACCAGTTGTGACGCTAATGAGAACAGCTTCGAGTGCGCGAAATTCATAGGACAAAGCTTGCCCAGCCTGTGCACCCTGCGGTTGTTTATGGCGTAGTTTTCCTTCCAGGTCATAGATGAATAGTGACTGCATGTAGGAGTCTTGCGATCCATATGCGTCAAAGACAAGCACTCGATCCGCCTTGATCAAAACTCGGAGATGGAGCAGATTGATCAGGATGGCGCTCGGTCTGACCAAAATGTGAGGGAGTGTAGAAGAATCAATCTTGCGAAGATCTCGGGGAAGCAAGCCGTACTGTAAACACGCCAGTTGGTCAGCAAGGGCTCAGAAGCCATATCCACACCGTAAAAACTAACCTTGGCAATCAACTCCGATTTCCGAAACTCTCCGCTAACCAGAGTGACATTCCCGTTCATGTCGAATTCAGTGCATCGTATCCGCAGCTCGTTTGAGGCTTTGGCCGCTAGCCCACGGCCGATGTTGAAAATGCCCTCCCCTCCATCGTCAATCAGTGTAGGCCCAAGATTGCGAGCTTTCTGGTATTCGGCAGCTTTATTCCGTTTGAAGTCGAACAGTCGTCGGAGAAGTGGTCGACGGTTTGTCGAGGCGTGTCGGGTAAGAACAAGCTGTTCAGGGATAAGAGATGGCACTGCTGGCTTCGGTCTCGCACCATGGATGCTGACGAGTCCAGTATCGAGGGTCGGGCAGGCCTCTAACTTGCCAGAACGTGCCCAGTTTGAGGATCTGCGCAATGATCCTGTCGCGAAGCCTTCATGAGACAGGGCCCGAGGCTTGGGGCGAACGCATGTTGAAGGGCCGACGAACCCAGACTGTGAGCGCAGAAAGCGCAACAGTGAGGTGGACGGCACTGACGGCCTCATGGGAGACAACATGTCAGTTTGGTGTCAACAGTCGCTGCAGGGAAACTCAGGATCTCGGTCGCGGCTTTTTTCCCGCGCGCCGGAATAAGGTTATTCCGCACCCGAAGTATACTGGCTGTTTACCAGATTGGCTCTAACAATTCACGCATTTAATTTTCCTTGGAAAACCAGCAAGGAGATAATTTATATAGGGGCAGTTAACTTTATTATTGATACAGGCCTGTGTATAGGTCGAACAAAGCTATATCTCTTGTGAATAGCACACACGCCGCCACAAAAAAAAGTAGGAAGATCACTGATCTAATTAGGTCGAATGTATTTGAATATCTGTCTCGAAGCTCCAGATGTGCATCGAACGCATATTTTCCAACTCATCATTTGTCATCTTCAGATTGGGGTAGACGACCTTCAAGGCCGAGTTCTCTTCCAGAGCGACCTCACCACGTGATGTCGTCTTCTGTTTATTTATTTCCATTATCCTATTTTCTATTAGTATATATACGTCCTCGTATTCTAGAATTCCTATTCATTACTAATAAGATAAGGAAATAGTAAGATGTAGTATTCGATAATGAGTCTGGAGATGTATGAAGAATCTGGAATCTGAAGACTACGGAGCAAAAGTTTTAAAGTCAAGTTTCCTATTCGCCGGTTCGGAGGTCCTTCGCAGAGGCCTTCGCTTTGAAGCAAAAGACAAAAACAAAAACATACAACAGCAGGGATTCGCTGGTGGTCACCCACCCAACTACTAGCCTGCCGGCGTGTGGCTTAAGTACGGCTGAGCGGACGGGAAGCCCTGTTCTCCACACCCTATGGTCGTATGTACTGGAAGATCAATTGAAGAGGCTCTTAATGAAAACATACTGCGCTGAGAAAAAGACTGTCTGAAAATGGCGAGCGCCGCTTTAGCGTTGCGTGACCGGGGTTGAGAAAGGTGAGTGCGCAATGGACGGGGTGAGATTACGGTGAGAATAGGGTGAAAGGTACTTGACAGCCAACCAGTGACTGACCATCTTGCTTACCTGCAGGAAACCTATGCACCTGCTTATCACAATACTTAGCTTGTTAGCCACAAATCTTTTTACAGGACGCTCCGTGGCATTATCCCCTCGGTGGAAGCTAACACGCAATAATGCTAATAGACTCCTCAGTGGCATCTTCCGCCTTGGGGGGATGTCTTACACCCTTTCAACGATGATGATATCTATCGACCAGGACTGCCTGATCTATGGGAACAGAACCCCTCGTATGCCTCCATCCCCGGTTATTTGGACCGCGAACACACACCATCTGTAGCCTGCCCTTCGCCGGATCGAGGACATAGTTGATGAATGTTCATCCTCCTTACATCAACATCCGTCTGATAGACTGGGTTTTTATCTAGAAGTGAAGCGTGACGATGAAAGTGCATATGATGAACAATCTCCAGACTATATTCGCTACCAGATCGAGTAGAGGGCTAAATTCAACAATCGATATACAACACCGTATGTTTTGGAAATATCACATGTGCAACTCTCGGAATCCTGAGGACTTCACTTCAATCTTTCACAATGCTCTGAGATTCAGCTACATGTTGATCCCAGTCCTCAATAGTCGTCTTAATCAACCTTGCAGGCAACTTCGCATCTAGCTCCGCTAACGAACATTTCCACGCATCCGCTACCCGTTGATCCGGTCGATAGAGAGAATAAAGCTGCCACTCTGCCTTTCCAGACGACGTATGGGGCCTAAATTCAAATCGAAAGTTCGGGGTATGTGAGAGACAATATTGCATGCACCTCAAACGGGGCACGTCGGCCAAAGCTATCGGAATGTCAGCGTTTCAGCTCTCAAATGTAACACTGTCCTATATCATGTAGGTATCCTCTTACCTTGACGCCTTGCTTGAATGTATTCAATGTGATCTGGGCGGATATACTCATCGATATCTAGTATCATCTCAGTAAGGGTACTACAGCGCTGAGCAATTTGCATGGCTGATCCGGCCCAAATTTGATGAAAAGGGGGACCATCATTCAAGCAAAGACGGCCAATGCACGCGACATCTGGGAGAAGGGAAGCCCCGTTGTCTAGGAATTGTGCACGATAGACAGGAACTGACTTCGTTCTTCCCTTCTTATAATAATAGCGGTATTCGCCTGCGGTGTCCCAATCATATGTGTGAGGCTCCTTTCCGGCTTCGCGACCCAGCAGCGCCAACTCAACCGAAAGGCGCAAATTGGAATCCCAATGTTTGAAAGTATTGAAGAGATCCAATATTCCGGACTGAAATGCAAGGTCATTATCATGACGGATATTGTTCTCGAGGTTGTATCCTTTCTCCTTGCGAGTTTGCCAATCCGGGAGGTCAAGAGGAACCACAATATGATAGCTCAAATATTGGATCAGGGCTCGCCGGGCCAGCCCTTTCCCAGAGGTCACGTTCTGAAAGTGACTCAACGACATTGACCTCTTACTGTCATCTTTGCTGACACCATCGTCACTAATCACGTGGATTGGTTGGGAGTAAATAAAGGGCTCAAAGGCGACCTGCCATTCACGGCATACTCGAGTGCAAGGGACCAAAGAGGCTTCTGAGTCCTGCAAATGATGCAATATTTTGTTGGGAAGATGTGTCCCCATTCTGGAATTAGGGGGACAGCCTTGAGTGCGCATGGGGTAAGTTTTGAGAGGTTGATGGGCAAGCAAAGGAACAAATGGTGTTCACGTGTGGGGTTGCCAAGATCACAACGGGGTAACTTCAGCTATCGTTGTGATTCAAACAGGCATCTACCGGGCTTCCAAGGGTTCGCCCCCGTGATCTAGAACACTTGATTCGAGTCCACAGCCTTTGGGCTACAAGGGCCTTCAATCCGTCAACCGGCGGCCTGCATGGCTGAGTTACCATAAGGGCCACACGTCTGCTGGCTACTGTCATACAAGATACAAATCTTTGGATCTTAACAGAAGATGCCTGAGAGCCTGAGAGATCAGGCCACAAACCGACAGCCCGGGTGCAATTTTGCCCTCCACTAAAGCTATCGAGACTCATTGAATCCCATCCAAGAATCGGAAGTGAGTACATTATTCAGCCTTTGGAACTGATTCCCTGGTCACTAAGCGCAATTTGAGTCCATCCGCTATCAAAAATTTGGGTTGGTCATGTTGATGGAATCGGGAGGGCTACCTACCGGTGTGACGAAGCTTATCAACCGAGAACGGCGATCGCCCGGCCACCCTCCCGTAGGCGATGTCGAAGATAGTGCGATCAGCTGCGCATAAAGCGAGTCAGATCTTTTATGGACTATACATGACCCATAGGATGATTTGTTTTCCCCGCTAAAGGTCATGCACAAATCTTGATTGATGCAACGCTGTCTCGGTACATGGCCAGAATTTCTTGACGGCCCATCCATGCAAATGTTGACGACTGTTGATAGTTGGTACGAATTTTATAATATTTCTTCGATCTATGGATAGATCATTTGTTACTGTGTAAAATATTATCAAAAGGTGCGTTAAGATAGGCAATCCGAATTCGCTTCAGCGGTAAAAGGTTGCCAAAACCATGATACTCATAATCGTATCATTCTATATACATCTGGCTGGCTAGAATAACATGAACCAAATTGACAAGTGGCGTTGAACTCGCCTATCGTAGGAACGTGGACGATTGGCCACCTCGTTATCTTTGGCCGCAGAATGGGTATCGGATCGGCTCCACCGGCAGATTCCCCCGCATTCTCATCAAGATAGGTATTCCGCGCCCCTCTGCGAGCCGACGGCACCACATCCGGTATATATAATCAGTCCTCATGGCGGGAAGTGGATCTCGTGTTGCCAAGAGATCTCTGAATGCGTACGCACTGGTATCCTGAAATGTGTGGTGACGTGCTAACGGTCCCGGATCAGCTGCACTCGATGCCGCAGACAGAAGATCAAGTGTTCCGGATCTCAACCATGCGATGGCTGCAACAAGCGCAAGCTGACTTGTATCTTCGATGATCGCGACCAGAAGATTCTCGTCACTAAAGGGTGAGTGCTGATGCGTGTCCGAGTCCCTTGCCGGAGATAAGTGACTGACCACCATGCAGGTATATCGATGAGTTGCAGCAAAAACTTGCGAAGCTGCAGCAAAATGAACACACAGATACCGTTCATGTCCCTGTGCCACTTAGTCCCGACTATGTAGATGACAGGTCCCCTGGTAGGGGCCCCTACCTTGCTCACCCCGCTGGTGCTGATGCATTGCAGACCCCAAAGATCAGAATGATGCACCGGGAGAACTCGCGAGATCCTCCAATGATATTTCAGACGTTCAACTTCAGAACGAGCTCGAAGACCCTGCCTCGGGCCTGACAAATCCGTTATCATCGGGGCCACCTGCCTTTATGTCAGCCGAGAATGGGCGGACGTGTACGTCAACACCTCCCTTAGAAGTCTTTATAACCCTGACAAGTTTATAGTTTATCTCGGAACATCATCAAATTGGTCATTTACACGCCGAGTTTTGAGTCTAACCCATGAACAAATTTACCAAGAGGCTCTGCCTACCGGCGCTTTATTGTTCGACGGCGCAACATATGATCTCGGCTGGGACGGGTTGCGGGTCGCTCAAGACCTGGACACCCCAGCTGTACCGACATTTGACCATGCAATGTACCTGATCAACACAGTCAAGTTTCGCTGTGGACAAATGTATCACCTTTTCGACGAAAATGAGTTTATGCACAATCTTCATGACTTTTATTCGCAACCCAAGCCGAATGCGACGGGCGGCTTGTGGTATATCCATTTTCTTCTCGTTCTTGCTTTTGGGAAGGGATTTGTGAAGCAAAAGTTGCAAGGCAACAAACCTGCCGGCGCAGAATTTTTTGTGAACGCTCTTCAGTTACTGCCGGACGTCAGTGTTCTCCACCGGGAGCCGATCGAATCGACAGAGATTCTATGCTGCGTTGCGCTTTACTTGCAAGCCTTGGACTTTCGGTCATCAGCGCATAACTATGTAAGTGAATCGATCAACTGCAGTCTCTGTTTGGCTAATAAAGGCTCTCTTCAGATCGGACAGGCGATGCGAATGGCGATGGCGGAGGGTATGCACACGCAGATGCCGATCGAGTATCTGGGAGAGAACATGGTCCAGAGATGCCGCAAAATTTGGTGGACAGTTTACATTTTGGACCGCGAAATGACCTCCCTGATGGGTCTTCCTCAGTCTCTCAATGATGATCATATTGACACTCAGCTCCCCGCATTTCCCCATTCCATACAGCGGACAGCGGCCATTGGCATGCACATCAAACTGTCCAGGATCATTGCCGAAATTAATAGCAGTAAATATCCCACCCTTTGCAGAAATTGCTCGCATAACTGACAATTCTGACAGCGGTTTATGCTATTGATGGACGCTTGAATAGGAATTTCCTCGTGCGGACTAAAACCGCTTTGGCAAATATAGCCAGTCTTGCGGACGAACTCCGAGGTTCTTTCCCATTACTCCTAGAACAAGCAGCAAGCGGGGTTTCCAGGATCTCCGCTTATCTTCATCTCCTTTACCATCAATGCATTATCCTCGCCACCCGACCGCTCTTATTTTGCTTCCTGAAGATACGGTTTGAGTCATCAGATCGCTGTTCGGAGGCTTTGAACACATCCCGAAATGTGCGCAACTTGATTCAAATGTGCATGGAATCATCCCAGCAAATAATCAGCATCCTCCATAGCCTTCAATTAGAAGGCCTCCTTGGTAAGGCCCCTCAATTCCAGTCTATCCCTGAACTAGATTCTGACCTGACTACTTCCTGGTCAGAAACATTTCTTCCATTTGACCTTGAGTCTATTTTCATCTCCACAGTAGTCCTTCTTATGGGCCCGGCGATCGACATCCGATGGAACTATCCAGCATGGTTGGAAAAGGCATACACGATTTTCGAAGATATAATTGATAGTGGGAATCTGATCGCTAAATTTCGCCGATCGGAGCTACAACTTCTGGATGAGTTACTGAGCTGTTTTCCTCAAGATCAACCACGACGTATACCAGCTCCATTCTCCTTTCCTAATAATGTCCTCAACCTCCCAGGACCACCTGATTCCTTGGCAAGCTCCTTCCCTCCTTCCGCACATGCCTTGGGCCACGATATTTTGTCAGATCAGGGTCCAACGATCGAGGATGAATTTAGCTTTACGAACGGACTCACCGCCGCGCAGATCATGGCTGTGGCCGATTCCATTGAGAATATTGATACGGAATGGATGTCTAACGCAATGATTGAACATAGCATTTGGTAGTGATACGAAATGCACTTTAAGTCTACGTTTGAATGCTCCTCGATAAGAAAGTAAATGAGAAAACTGGGCCTGAACTAATAAATCTTAAAGTTACGCGATTCGTTCTCAGCTTTTCACAATTGACCCAGACCAACTCTATAATCTTCTCTGTCTCCCCTTTCTCCCACATATAACAATCTCACAATGCTTCGCGGCGCCAAGCACTACAACGAAATCCCCCAGAGCGACAACGCCATCGATAACGGTCCCAACAAGGCCAACGGTGTCGGCGCTGACGTACGTTGCTGAGGACTTGTCTAGCATAACTACGTGAATAAACTTTTAAGATATTTATTTTTGGATCAAAAGAAGAACTTAGATTTGTAGCTCGGGGCGACGTCTCGTTTGTCAATCGTCATTTTGGGTTGTCCCCTCCCAGAAATTGTTGTCACCCCAGCTAAGATACTCCCACATCAGTTACTCGTCATTGGTCATATCAAAGAGCGGTAGACTCCAATCACCCTCATCTCCCAACTGTTCATTCAGATCACGAGCATCGGAATCCCGGGCTACAACTGCTGGAGCACGCTTGCTTGCTTCGAAAAGACGACTAATCACATCCAAAGAGCGTTCGACTTTGTATCCATACGGCCGAATCCGCTCAAGGATCGTCATAGCTAGCTGTACCTGTGCCTGACAAGACTCGAAGCCTGTCAGAGGATCATCCGCTCCATCCGGCAAATTATTGAGAAATAGGCCAATTAAGGGGACTAAAGACAGCTGAAATATCCACCACACTGCATTCCAACCGCACAATTGGCTGGGAGAGACAGTTGCTGCAATATCTTGAATGGATAGATTGGCTATTTGACGACATCTTTCAATCTCAAGGCGCTTTTTTGGTAGAATGGAGAAGTATGGTATGCGTCGCATGGCGTCGCTTAGAAGCATGGGTCGGTATAGCAGCATTCTTTGGTTGTAAAAGCGCCATCGCATCACATTGAGTCACCCCCGGTTCACACTAGCTCGATGTGTCGTGAATGTTCGCCCAGACCGCGAAACAACGTTACCTAACCAATTATAACAAGCAAGTCATCATTTATATTGCTTCAATATGTTTGTCTAGAGCAGCCGATGTTTGATTGTCTTGGTCCCTGTGCAGATACATCGGGTCGCAAAATCGGAATGGCCCTGGTTCTGGAATCTGTGTGGTTGGTGCTATCGTCCAAGCAGCCGGCCAGAATCTGGGGATGCTGATGGGTGGTCGTTTTATTCTGGGAGTCGGGGCTGCCATTATCCAAAGTGCCGGTCCAGCGTACGTTGTCGAAATGTCGTACCCTAAATATCGAGGACAGTTGACCGGTGGTTTTCAAGCTTGCTTCTTCCTCGGGACTATTGTGTCGACATTCCTGGAGTATGGACTCAACTTTCACAAATCAATCGGCTCAACAGTATGGCGGTTGCCCCTGGCTATTCAGGGTCTGCCGTCTGTTCTGGTACTAATTTTCGTTTGGTTTATCCCCGAAAGTCCTCGTTGGTCTGTCTCTCCCCCGTGTGGCCCAGTGCTGGATTGAAATACATAGTCACTTCGCCCAGGTACATTGCCCGTGGTCGCATTGAGGATGCACGCCATATTTTAGTGAAGTAACCGGTGAACGACCTCATGGCTGAAAGACCACCTACATTGCATGTCAGTTATCCATCAATTGCATCAGGGCACATACTTACCGAACATGCTGTCAAAGCTATTGGTAACCGAACAAAGATATCCCACAAAGATGCATAGATACAATGGCAATAGACTTTTCTGAAAGGGTTTTGCTTGAGGCATTTGGGCACCTATCTTCCAGTTCAGATTCACCTTCGAAAGCAAATTATGATTCCGTTGAGAAGGAGGAAGAGGCACCGTCCGTACTAAAATAACGGATGCCCACTCAATTCCGCGATATGTACCCCAAGGTATATCCCGAGTCAAAGTGCCACAAAAGCGCTATCCGCGCCCCCTGGTATCACCAGACATGGGTTAGACAGACCGAGCACTATGAATGGGAACTAGTTCAGTGCTTTTCAACTCTTTCCTTGGCACGGTAAAACCCGCGTGCCGAAACCGGAATGCGGGGTGGCCCACTTCGGCGGCAGATGCCGCCGTCCCTGCTACATCTTTACATCGAGATTCGCAAATCTGAACTTTTTGCCTAAATTGCGCCGGCTATCGATAACCGCTTTGACCGGGCGTAGTTTAAGAGACCATTGATTCTAACGGGAGAAACAAAATTATACCACTTTGATTTCAATCACGAAGCCATGACTGGAATCGCTTTACTCGGAGCCGGTTTGTTTGCCAAAGAGGGTAAGTAACTCGCACGAACCATATTGCTCTCAACACCTTTCCTCGTGTACTAATAAGTGCTTCTAGCTCACCTGCCTGCGTTGGTGAGATTGCGGGCGAGTCTGCTGGCAGTGTATTCACGCTCCGCTCGGTCGGCACAGACCGTCCTCGCAGCGGCTGGCGAATTGGGCGCCGCAATTTCGAACATTGATGTCTATGCCGATGAATTGGAAGCCGAAGGAAAGGGGCTTGCGGCATTGCTGCAGCGTTCGGATATCGGCGCTGTGATCGTTGCATTACCAATTCTCGTCCAGCCAGACGTGGTTCGAAAATGCCTCGCTGCCGGCAAGCATGTTTTGTGCGAGAAACCTGTTGCAAAAGACACAAAGTCGGCGCTTGAGCTGGTGAAAGACTATGAGCGCGACTATCTCTCTCGAGGACTGATATTGTCAGTTGCTGAGCAATTCCGCTACGATCGCGCCTTTACTCGTGCTCGTGAACTCGTGGCCGACGGCCGTATCGGCAAGCTTAACCACGTCCACGCTCGTGTTTGGGGCAAAATTCAGCCTGGAGACAACAAATGGTACGAGACCGAGTGGCGCAAGACACCCGAGTACCAGGGAGGGTTCATCCTTGATGGCGGCGTGCACTTTGTCGCGCTGATTCGATATGTTTCCGGGCGTGAAATCACGAAGACGGTCAGCCTTTGCCGCCAGACTTATCCTCATCTGCCTCCGGTTGATACCGTTAACGCGGCGATCCAATTTGATGACGGCGCGTCGGGCTCTCTAAGCTTCTGTTTTGCTTCTACCAAGGGCACCTTTGAGTTCATCTTCGTTGGCGAACAAGGCGCCCTCACGATCAAGGGCGCGGATGGTAAAGATGATACTCAACGGATTGTCCTTGAAAACCTAGAGGGCAAGGCCATAGTTGATGAGGAGATTGTGGGTGAAGGTATTTATGAGGAGGTCAAAGCGTTCCTGGGTTCTTGCGCTGGCGCTACACATGACGAGAAAGCAGGAGCTCGTGAAGCAATAGCAGATATTGCTGTCATTGAAAGCATTTGCGCTGGTGGAGGCTCCATTGAGGTATTCCACCCGGGACGGTAAGTCCAAGGAATATTGTACACGAGATGCCATCTAAGAAAACGCGAAGAGAAGTTATAAAGAGAAAGATGCACCCAATAGAATTATTTTCTCAACCTAATGCATTACATGTTATTCGAGTTAATCCATCAGGTAGCAAGACATATCTTCGAAGGCTTAATGTATCGTCCTCCATATCCAACACTGGCACTGCGGAACTGATAGCTCTAAAGTTTTCGGTTAAATGGAATCAATGACACAGTTGAATCAATTTTTTACTAAATGAAAATTCCGTCTAATTCGGAGAAAGATTGTGCGTGGCTTTTCATATGCCTCCTGGAAATCCGAGTCCCTGGGACGTTGTTTATCGTGTCAGCGTAACCATCAGAAACACTCGGCATGTTGACGGTCACGAGGTCGCACAGCTATATTTGAATCTTGGGAACGACGAGCCCATACATCGGCTGCGCGGATTCAATAAAAGTATGGTGCAACCAGGACAATCTAAAGACGTGACATTTGAGCTGCGTCGCCGAGACGTCTCGATCTGGGATGTTGTTTCGCAGGAATGGAAAGAGGTCTGCAAGCTGGGTACCACGATTGGAGTTCATGTTGGCTCTAGTTCCAGAGATCTCCGGCTCTCCGGTAAAATCTCATCTTAGTCACTTTTTGTCAAATGAGTTGAACTCTACCCCATCCACAGCTATGGTTGGGTTGAGATCTGTCAATAAATTCAACCGAAGCCATAGTACATACCACGTCCTGATGTAGATGCTATATATCTAAATAAGCTACTCCGTAGTTCTGACACTTTGTCCTTATACTAGGCACTTTGAGAATCAATATACACCGCTCTACTTTACACTCACAGCCACTTTTCTTCCTCTCAGGCCGTCAAGCCCGGGAATATGACTAATATGGAGGGTATACCTTCAGCCTCTTGTAAATTTATATACGTAGCCACATTAGTGAGAGTATTATGCAGCTTTCTTATCGTACTAGATCCTGTCCTGGAGACGGGCCGAAAGCCCCAAGGATGTTTTTGCTTCCGATTCGTGACCCGCGAGCTCCACTGCAGTCGCCCTACCATTTTCCACGTGGAACCGCTTTTCTTTTTAGGTGGCATTGGACAGGCGTGGAGCGGTGAGGTCTCAGATTGACATGGCCTTTCACGAACCAATGCTACCTTCTAACGTGCCTCGGGGCGGTAAAGTCAGGCTATCCTGATCACAGCTTTACCCTGCATAGTCCCATTCTCAATCTCCTTTAAGATCTCCTCAATATCCTCCAGCCTTCTCTCAGTTAACTGCGGTTTTACCTGGCCCTTGGCGACAAAGGCGAGGGCTTCCACTGTGTCCTGGCGGTCACCCGTGGATGTGCCTATGACTTTGATGCCACGGGCAACGAAGTCTGCAGGGCCCAGGGGGAGCGGTGTCGGCTTCGGGGGGAGGCCGATACACACCAGGGTGCCGGCCCGTCTCAGGAATTTGACGGCATCGGCATAGGCCTGGCCGGAAGAGGCACAGATGAATGCGCCATTAGCTCCCCCATCCGTGACCTTGATAACCTGGGCCACGCAGTCGTCCGTCTCGAGCACGTCTATGTACACTTCCGCGCCCAAGCTCAGGCAGAGATCCCGTTTCCTAGCATCCAGGGCCACGACCTTGAGCCCCATGGCACGGGCATATTGAATAGCCAGATGGCCCAAGCCGCCACCGGCCCCCGCCACAGCGACCCACGAGCCCACCCGGAGGCTGGCGATCTTGAGTGCCTTGTAGACGGTGACACCAGCGCACAGTATCGGAGCGGCATCAGCGTCGCTCACCCCAGCCGGCAGGCGAACCATGTACGCGCTGTCCGCGATAGCGTACTCAGCAAAGGTGCCCTCGACGTCCTTGCCCGCAAGCTTCCGGTTTGAGCAAAGGTTCTCATAGCCGGTCGTGCACACCTCGCACTTCCCGCAGACGATGTGCACCCACCGTACCGCTACTCGGTCACCGACTTGCCACTCCGCGGCGTCCACGTCGGGGCCGAGGCTGGCGATCACTCCCGTGCCCTCATGGCCGCCTACTGAGACCTTGGGCTGTAAGTAGGGGACATTTCCACGGGCCAGATGGAGATCCGTGGCGCAGACACCGGAGTAGTGGAGCTTGACTAGGACTTGGGTGCCGATGGGGTCTGGAGTTGGGCGTTTGGCGACGGAGATGGCCTTGGTCTCCTTATCTTGGATCGCCGCACGAGACATCCCCGGTAAATATAGCGAGCCCATGATGGTGTGGGGGAAGGGCAGAAGGAAAAGGATGTCCAGGGCTGATTGAGGGGAGAAAGCAGAGAAAGGCAATATGGTAAGATTTCGTCGTGGAAGAAAGCAACGGCCTGCAAACAACGTGTGCTCTTAATAAACACACTTCATTCTCCCCTCTCCATCCTAGCTCTTGGCGAATGGCAAGATCAACATCCTGCAATGCTCGGGATTCTTAGGCGGACCTCCCCAGGAGCTCTTGCTTTCTATTTTGCCGAAGACGACTTATATCCGATCGGAGCCAACCATCCGATATTTCTGGGGTTTCCCCGCCCATTCCCAGGGAAATGGGTCCTGGACCCATTCGGACAACTGTCCGACATAAAACAATTCACGGATACTGGGACCCCAAAGAGACTCTGGTCAATTGGCTGATAGCTTGGTCTTCCATCATGTATTCAGTGAGAATATGTCCTTGGGTCGTCCGAACGCCACTCACGAAAACGACGTGCTGGGGATGAATTTGGTTTTGCCTATAATTGGACACATTTCTTGCATCTGGGGAAACTTCCAGAGTTGACGCCTGTAGTTAAGAACCTACCTAAGAACCACGTCTCAACATGAGCACGAAAAAAGAAGCTATCCCCAGTGAGCCCACCCGCAGTCCTATATGAAAAAGGATCGGGAGTGTCGAGCGTTTACCCTCGCCGGCGTGCGTAGACAAAGTTATGCTGACCCCATCAGATGCAGACAGCGACGTGATGGAGGATCCAGAGAAGCATCACGCAACGTCGCACCCGCATTCGAGAAATATAATTATAAGGGGATCTTGCTCTTGAACCGTCCGGCAACAAGTTCTGTTGAGCGTCCTGAGAAGCTCGGTTCGTCCTTGTTGGAATCATATAACGGGTTTGTTCTGTTCCATAGATGATGATAGTTCCATGTAGATTAATCTGGACAAGAAATGTTGACTTTCAACCAGCTTATACCGACATCTCCTAGACAAGTGGCTATCTAGAACGCATACTTCATCCCCGGCCTCGCTAAGCTCACGATCTGCCTCTCCGTAAACTCCTCGATGCCCGCCACACCACCGAACCGGCCGTAGCCGCTCGCGCCGCCTACGCCCCCATTGGGTAACGGCGCCTCGATGTACACGGTTGGCCCGTTGACGTGGCAGCTCCCTGTCCGAATCCGCTTGGCCGTGTCCATGGCGCGCAGGGCGTCACGCGAGAAGACGCTGGCACACAGCGAGAACTCACTGTCGTTGGCCTGCGCGACGGCCTCGTCGTCTGTGTCGAATTCGGACACAAAGAGCACAGGGCCGAACGTCTCCCGGTGGAAGAGGTCCATATCCCGCGTGACGCCCGTGAGGACGTGAGGGGCCAGGATCGTCCGGCACGGTCCGTGAAGAGCCAGGTCGCCCGCCAGGAGCGTGGCACCCGCGTCGACGGCGCCCTTAATCAGGCCGAGAACGCGCTCGGCGGAGGCAGCAGTGAAGAGGCCCGAGAGCTGCACCTCTGGATCCTCCAGGTGGTTCCCTACCCGCAGGCTCTCCGCCCGTTTCACCAACTGGGCCTTGAAGTCCGCTACCAGGGAACGATGCACGATCGCCCGCTCCGTGGACATACATATCTGCCCGCTGTTGGACATCGCACCATATATCACTGCTTCCACGGCGGCCTCCACATCGGCATCCTCCAGGACCACAACGGGCGCCTTGCCGCCTAGCTCCAACACACACGGCTTCAGACAAGATGCCGACAGCCCGGCGATGATGCGGCCAACGCGGTCGCTACCCGTGAAGTTTGCACGGCTCACCTTCGGGTGCCGGATTGCAAACTCGATCGCCCGCGGCGTGTCGGCGGTGCTTGTGGGCAGGAACTGCAGACACCCCGCTGGCAGTCCAGCCTCGGTCAGAGCGCGCACGACGAGGTGCTGCGACTTGGGGCTGAACTCAGACGGCCGCAGGACCACGCTATTCCCGCAGATCAGAGGGCAGCAGACCGCCCTGGCCGTCAGCGTGACAGGCATGTTCCAGGGGCTGATGGCCAGGACCACGCCGACGGGCTCGCGGCTCACTAGGATCGTGGTGCCGGGCCGATCTGCGGGGACGATCTCTCCCTTGATGTGCGTCGCCAGGGCGGCGGTCTCGCGAAAGATGCCGGCTGTGGACAGAATGTTGGCCCTGACCCATCCCCTGGTGGCCGAGACCTCGGATGAAAGGATTGCCGGCGCGTCCTTGTCGATGTACGTCTCCATAATGTCGGCGGCCTTGAGAAGGATCAACCGCCGGGACGACGGGCCGAGGCAGGCCCATGAAGGTTGGGCTGCATGTGCTTCCTCGATGGCGGCGGCGTAGTCATCCAGAGAGGCGGAGACGCACTCGTATATGGTCTCGCCCGTCATGGGGTTCTTCACGGGGAAGGTCTCTTTGCTCTGGCTGTTCTGGTATTTTCCCGAGATGAATAACTGTTGCGGAGCTGCCAGTGAAGTACCAGACTTGCTGACATGGACGCCGTTGGCTTGAGACATTTTGAACGATCAATTTGTGTCCGCAATCAGTAATTGTGTAGCGAGCAGATGGTTTGGAGAGCTTTAAAGTTCTGTTCTTTCAGAACATGTAGTCCTAGGGAACGTCGCGGAGGGCGCTAGAAAAAAAGAATGCGACTTCCGGCTCGCATATTGTGCGAATAGGCTAACTGATCGAGTCCAACTTGAATGAGGTGCATGCTGACGGACTTGACTCCGGGTGTTAGAAAATGTGGATTGACATTCCGTGTGATGCATTTCCATTGGATCCACATCTGATGTGGGGAAGTATGGGGTAGGTGGGCCGACGGATGCTTGCTCCCGAACAATGTGTGATTACGTAGTACACTCATAGGTAATAAGTCTGCTAACACCCAAGATTCCCCACTATTTATGTAATTAACCTAGTATAACCAAACATATATATTTTAACCAAAATTCAATAAAATTGTTTGACCGTAGTGCTTTAGAATCTTTCGTATAGTCGATCGTAACGGGGAATTAGGGGTGTTTGCGATAATAGCTTTATAGCTCCACCGAGGGTGTTTGCGAGCTAAACGAAAGATATAGCGCTTAGTTTGAGCACTAAATTTTGGTGGGCGACTAATTCTAGGCTTTGATTTAATTAAACTATACTATTAGAAGCGAGCTTTAGTGTTGTAGACCGTATAGCGAGACACATAATGGTCTTGCGCGATTTTAGAAGGCGATATACCTAATTTAAGCGCGTATTATATAGCAAAACGCGTAGTAGGTGAAAGCTCTGCATTTCGCGCGCGATTTCCACTGATTTCTGTTCCAAAAGAACGCATATTGATTGAGATATTAGTAAATAAAGATAGTGGGTTGTTTTGGTTAGGTGACGCGGCACTAGCGTGTTAGCAGACTTACGCCCCCTATGTATACACTATTGCCTCACAGCCTCTGCCTCCGCCCTAGACCATATACCATACTACAGGTAGTTTGCCTTGGCCAAGCCACTATTGGCCCGGGTTCCGTGATAAGAGGGAATCAATATCGCCCCAGTCCACGACGCCGGTTCCGTCCATCGCGAGGAATGGGTCCATCATCCAGCCGTTTGCCTCCGGCTCCCCGTCAAAGGACGTCAATAAGTTTGACTGCCAGAAGGGGTCTGATATACCGAGCCTCGGCACAATTCCGATACCATGCCCGTGCTGGAAGCTAAGGGGTTCTTGCTGCGAGACTGACAGGGTGGAGGTGTCCAGCGATGCTTCTGCAATCGGAAGTATTGTCTGGTTGCTCGCCCGCCCACCATCTAAGGCGGCGTGGATAGAATCGTTGAACCGGCCGCGAGGGCCGCGAGACGCCTGCCAAGCCGTTCCCATCTCAAACAGAGCGCCATTAGCCGTTGACCGATTGGCCAAACCATCAGCAGGCCTGATGTTATCCTGCCTTGATCCATCCTCGAAGGCAGCCACAACGCGCGCGAACCGCTTCATCGTGCTGCACTTGTTCACACGCATAAGCACTTCTCTCGTTTGTGCGATCAGCTTGCGCAACTCCAGCTGCAGGTGCGCCTCGCGCTGGTCATGGTAGTGGCTTGCAGAGCTAGAAATTCGTAGCGACCGCAATATGAGCACCATAACGCCGCAGTAGGCGTAAAAGACATCCATGGCCGATATGCCATTCACCAAGCCAAAAGAGTCTGCGAGCAGGATGAGCCGGCATAGCTGCACGGCGTGCGTGACGCAGATGTCCGATAGCCGTTCTCCTGCGGAGCCGATATACGGGTCGGTTCTGGCCTCGTTCCGGTTGAGCAGGGCTGCATGGTCCGATTCACCCCGTTGCGCGGATGCGACATATCGCAGCAAAGAAGATCGGGTCACTAGGACGGCAATGTACCTGTATTGGAGGTGCAAGACCAGGGCCACCCGAAGTGGAGGTCTGCTTTGCCAACCCATCATGGCCTTGAGATCTTGGAGTGACATTCGCGGCATCTCCTCGATGTCCTGGCAAAGCGGATCATCTGTCTCGCCGATCAACGGGATGTTTAGCATGTGGTGGGCGGCAAGGTCGCCCCTCCACGCCTTCAAGATCCCCAGCGTCTCCCTCGAAGACTGCTCTTGCCGAGCCAGGCCGTCGATGTTGCTCCGTTCATTGGTCACAGCTAGCGTCTTGACGGCAAGGGATACCCTGGCCTTGGCCAGGATAGCTTGCAGCCTCAGCGAAAGTTTCATGACTTCGTCGTCCTCATCCTGCCCACTATCCAGGACTCCCTCGCGTGGAGGGACTATCTCTACATCCTCGAAGTCGTAGAACCCGCTTGGTCTCCCAAGGCTGGACGCGAGGAATTGCTCGAAGGCGTAGAGCGTGCAGAAGACGCGTTTACGCACCTCCCTTTCCATGGGCCGGAAGTGCGACCCGTTCTCGCTGGCACGGTGCAGACCCATGGCGAAGGAAATGCGCATGGCAGTCCCAACCAGGTTCCAAGCTGCGTTACGCTCATTGTGATTATGAAGGAAAAGGGACAGAAGTAGGAGGGCTCTGACGTTGGAGAGGGTGCACTTTGAGATAAATTGAGGCAGGAGCTGGCGGGTAAGGCTGGCACAATGGCGACAGAGGGCAGTAAGATCCAGCTCGGTAGCGACATCGACAGAGCCAATTAGCGAGGCGAAGGCAGTCATCATATGCAAACAGCCTAACCAGCCTGGTTCAGGTAAGGTGGGAGAAGGTAAATGTACACCCGCTCGAGCGTGGTGATGATAGTACCGCCCCTTGGACATGAAGGTCTCGTATTCTTCCTCGAAGGTACCGCGGTGGAATAAGGGAAAGTCCGGATGGACGCTCTTGAAATATACTCGCATCAGAGAATCGAGAACGTCGCGAGGCGGAAGCTGCTTTCTTATCTCGTCGATGTCATTGACGGGAATGCTGGAAAAGTCCCGGACAAGAGTAGAACCCAAGGAGGCAGGGGAGCGCTCGTCAATCTCCTGGCCTTCCTTGGCACCGTTGCCAATGTCTCCGGAAGGCAAAGCGGCGAGCTCACTCTGGTCACCATCTGCTTCCAGGGCTTGCGCTGCATCTTCATCGGTGAACGTGGCCGTAAGGCGAGCGGGTACCCGGGACTGTACGACATCCTCGCTGCGGGATACAAGAAGTAACCTCCGGAGCTGGCCCAGAAACTGCAGGCTTCCAGACGGGCCGATGAAATGTTCTCGCCCGGCGGTGTCTCTAATGAGTCCAACAGTCTCATCCGTACAGGAGTTGTTTTCCTGGACTTGGCTCGAAGAGTGCTTTTTTTCATTCTCAGTATGGACATTCACGGCACCTGTTCTTGGTGGCAGTGAAGAGGCACGCTGTGTTGACCCAGCAAGGCCCTGGTCTCCAGCTTCGGTGGAGAAATCTCTCACCAGCTCCTCTATCCTGGGTGACTCCCCTGATTTCTGAGATAGGTCCGGCATGGCATATCCCATGCGCTCTCCCAGCCGGACGAGCTCCGGAACGGTGGAGATGCCGTCATTGGGAAATGCACCTCGTACAATGGCCTCTAAGCATTTGTATCTAAAGTGGAATTGCAGACATCGTCAATACAGGCTGGCCGCAGGTGAAGGTAGCACAAATGTCTTCTTACCGATCACTCAGGTCATCCACGCTGCCGTAGAACCTGGTCTTTCGCGGAAGTGTATAAGAACATACCAGTTTATGGTCCTGGCACATGACACATCCGTGTCCTGATGGTTGTCGAACACATTTGCAGCGTCGCTGTCGGCATCAGGTATCAGCCTACAGCCCTTGCATGTACTGGAGATAACAGGGGTTTGACCCTGATCCTCTTTCATCACGAAACATCGGTGAGCTTACCTTTCGACAGAAGTCGCCTAGTGCACGCAGGTTTCAGTACCGGGTCACTTCATACTCGCCTACAATAAGGCGGGCTGCAAACACGCAGACTTACAGCTATACGCCGATCGCTTCCGCGATGCGTCTGGGATCCTCCTCAGCCGGCGTTTCGGCGGTGCTGCTGCCGATGCCTCGGTCATCGCGTAAAAATGGGTTGCGGTCCGCTACTTCCGTCTCGCGTCCGATAACACGGTCGTCGACTCGGTCTCTCTTTTACGTGGATGGTAGGATAATTGACAGGGAGCCTATGCGAGTACTGCGGAGTCAAAGAAACGTCGGAGCAATGACCCGGATGCACGTTGGAATAGGCGGATAGCACGGACTTAATAGTCCCGGTTCATTCCCCGCTGATCAGTCCCGGGAACCGTGCGGAGGCGGGACAGCTTCTACATGACCCACTCTCGGAGCCGACAACACATGGAAGTATCCGGCGAAGTGGCCGACTGATATCCAGTCTTGTTTCTTTTCCAATCGTAATTCACACCTTCGTAGAATCTCTGTCATTACAACCTCTCACGGCTTTTGGCTCTGCTTGTCAGCTGGAGGCAGGGCAGCACGCAAAAATTGCCATAATGTCGTCTACAAGCGAGTCCTTCACGCTCCCAAACGGGCGACAGATGGCCTATACCCTGTCGTCCGGCAGTTCCTCGGATCGCGTGGTCCTTTTCTCCAATTCCTTGGCCGAGGATCTGACCTCGTGGGATCGCGTCGTGCCTGTGGTGGAAAACCAAGACTTCCGCGTCCTCCGCTACGACGACCCGGGGCATGGACGCTCGGGTGCGCCTACTAAAGCCGAATTGACCTCCATGACATTCGAGACCTTGGCGGACGACGTCTACCACCTTCTCGAACACCTCAAAATCAGCAAGTTGCATGCCTGGGTCGGCGTCTCGATGGGCGGCATCAAGGCCGTGTACTTCACCGCGCGCCATCCGGGCATCGTGAACAAAATCGTCGTGGCCGACGCCATCGCCGCTTCTCCGGCCGTGGCGGGCATCCCCGATAACTTTGCCGCGCGGGTAAGCGCCGTCAAACAGTCGGGTTCCATCTCGGAGGACCTCTCAAACACTAGGAAGCGGTGGTTCGGTGAAGACTGGATGGCAAAGCATCCGGAGGAAACGGCGAGGATTGAGAAGTCCATGGCTACAACTACAGTTCAGGGGCTCGAGGCGTGCTGTGCTGCCCTTGGGGGCCCGTCTTTCGACCTGAAGCCGCTATATCCGAAGGTGGGATACGCCTGTGAAGAGGCGCTCATTGTCGCCGGCGAGAAGGATGCGGACCTTCCAGTCAAGATGCAGGAGATGCGGCAGGCTATTGAGGAGAGCCTCTGGAGCTGTGGAAAGAAGGTGCCCGTGAGGATGGAGATTATCAAGGGTGCCGGGCATGTTCCCTACATTGATGGCTTCGAGGACTTCTGCGAAATCATCACCAAATTCCTTGCCTAGATAGCACTCGCTCTGCTTCACGATTGTGAAATGCCTTTAATTTTCGTATCCATCTAGACTATGCAATAAAACAAATTCTGAACACAAGTCATTCTTCAGCCGCATTCCCGGAGTGTGTGATGTCCTGGTCCCATATTGCTCGTCTTCGCTGTGGCTGCGCTGGGTAGCAAGTGCGCGCTTAGTAGGCAAATAGAAGCAATCGGCTGGAGTTGGCCCGACTAGGATGCTCTCCGACGACCGGCCAAGTGCGGAGAGGGTGGGTCGAGACCGCCACCCGTCGGGTGCAGTCTTCCGATAGCCAACCCCAATCCAAGGGAGCGGATCCGCAAATGCAGAGAATCATGGTCGGAGAAACAAGACGGTCCCAGAGGCGTATGCGGATCTTCGTCGGTCGAATTTGCCCTCATGAGTTCTATAAAGTGCTCTTGTTTAAGATAGCGAATCGAGACATTGGATGACCTACTTGAGCAGGCTGGGAGACAACCACAACTCAGAGAAATTCTCTCCCGACGAAATAACAAAATGACTCCCGCCTCCAAATCATTGAACGTTCTCATCGTCGGCGCCGGCTTGGGCGGCCTCGCGGCGGGACTGGCTTTGCAGACGGATGGCCACAAGGTCACAATGATTGATGCAGCTCCTGAGTTCGCAGAGGTAAGCCATCCAACAGCAGATGCTTTTTAAACATGCCAGATCTAACTGAAGACATCAATTGACTAACACTGGAGATTAACGCAGGCCGGAGCGGGGATCAGGATCCCACCCAACTCGAGCCGGTTGCTCATGCGATGGGGCGTTGATCTGGAGAGGATGAAGAAGTCGACTTCACAGAGATATCACTTCATCCGCTGGAAGGATGGCAGCACCATTTTCAACCTGCCCTTCAACAATATTGTCGAGACACACGGGGCGCCTTACTGGCTTGTCCATAGAGCAGACCTGCACGCCGCTCTCCTCGATGCGGCCCTAAACGCCGGCGTCAAGGTCCTTACCAACAAGCGTGTTACGTCCTACGACTTCGACGCACCGAGCACCACCACACAGGACGGCGAGACCTTCAAGGCTGATCTGATCGTCGGCGCGGACGGCATAAAGTCCATCTGCCGACCCCTTCTTACCGGTCAGCCGGACGTCCCGCGGGACACGGGCGACGTCGCCTATCGGATTCTCATCCCTGGCGAGAAACTGCTGGCCGACCCAAGCCTGGCCCATCTGATCCGCGACCCCTGCACGACATCATGGTGTGGCCCGGACGCGCACCTGGTCGGCTACCCGATCCGCAACGGCGAGATGTACAACATCGTTGTGTGTGCCACCTCCCACAACGAGACCACGGACGAGGTCTGGGTCGTCAAGGGAGACAACAGCGAGCTGTCCGAGCGCTTCGCTAGCTGGGAGCCCCAGGTGCGGAAGCTCTGCGCCCTCACCGGCGACTTCATGAAGTGGCGCCTGTGCGACCTGCCCAACCTCACCCGCTGGACGCACCCCTCAGGTAAGGTCGTGCTGCTGGGCGACAGCTGCCACCCGATGCTGCCTTACCTAGCCCAGGGCGCTGCCCAGTCCTTCGAGGATGCCGCCGTCCTGCGGCAGGTGCTCGCCCAGGAGATGGACATGGCCACGGCCCTAAAGCAGTACGAGCAGATCCGCATGCCGCGGGTGAGCCTGGTGCAGGCTAAGACTCGCGAGCACCAGTATATCCTCCATGTCGACGACGGTCAGGAGCAGCAGGACCGGGACAAGAAGTTGGCTCTCGATGCGGTGGAGAACCCGGTCTTTTGGGGCTATGGCGACCGGAGGAAATGGCTCTTTAGTCATGATGCAGAGGTGATCCAGAAAGAAGGGGCGAACTGGAGAGATGGGCCCAACATGAATGGCGTGCATGTTTCTTAGATTACTGTGGCAATGCCTTGAGCTCTATTATTCTTCAACCAGACCATCCATCCTTGCGTTTTGCATCGGTCCTCGGCGATTCACCGCGTAGTTATCCTCTTCATCTGGTTACATCTTCCCAGCTTGGGCGGCTGGTATGTCTTCTATATTTATTTGAGCCAGGTTTAAGAGTATTTCACGTTGAAAGTTGACAATATCTCGAGGCTACTTCCGCAGTGTCAAAAGCTCAACCCCATGAATGTGACGTACGAAGTTAAAGATTACATGTTTACCGCTAGATAGCCTTGTTATTATCCCAATAGACTGTAATTCTATATTAAAGATTTAGTAGGTGGCTCTTTCCGTATGTTAGACCCAGTATCCACGTATAAGCACCTGATCCGCGGGATAAAATGGGCATTCAAGTAGTAGACTGCCTAGGTAGCAATTACTAACAGCACCTCCAGCTGATAGCATTGTACATCAAGCAACCATTACAGTTTCGAAGCTTTTGGCGGCATGATTGCGGAAAGTTCTTTGGACTCTCCAAGACGCCAGCTAACGTCACCTCCCCAGTCACCCTTGCCTGCATCAGGGTCAGACTCCTTCCACCGCCAGCGTACAACAGACTGCTTATCATCGGGGGCCTCAAGCAGATCGGTGACGAAGGACCCCACAATAGGGAACATCTTGAAGCCATGCCCTGAGTCACCAGAGAGGACAATGATAGAGGAGGACATGTTGGGAAGGTAGTCAACAATGAAATCCGAGTCATTGGTGTCAGCAAACCAACACAGAGACTTCTTCACAAGAGGCCGATCTGCCAGAGTCGGGAGTGTTTGAGCCAGGAGCTTCCTCAGCTGTTTCTCGTCATCCTCGGGCAGGAAAGCACTCTCCTGCAAAGTGTCTGGTGCATGTGAAACACCAGTCTTTGGATCAGTGTTGATATACCCACCACCCATGGGACACAGCTTCAGCAGGTTCGTCTTGGGATCGGGCTCAAAGAAGAAGCCCAGGTCGCGGGCGTAGGTGACAGGAATTCCACGAAGAGCCGACGTCTCTTCATCAGTCAGATGCACATGGGCAACAGACCACGACTTGGCAACAACCTGAGTACCGAGCTGGGGGACCAGACGCCCGACACCAGCACCTGCTGCAACGACGGTCAGAGCTGAAGGGTGAAAACGGCCGTTCTTTGTTCGAATGCCAGCGCACTTGCGTCCGGTCAAGGCGCTCACGTAGACAATTTCGTCGACTGCGCCTTGCTCGCCCAGGAAGAAGCGTACACCTTCTGCTTGGGCCGCGCGGTATACTGCTGCCAGGGCGTTGCCAGAGTGGGCGTAGCCATCGAAGCGATTGAAATATCCATACCATCCAGGTAGTTGGCCGGTAAGCTGCCAAGCAGCCTGACGTATATCCTCCACTCCTTCGAGGGGAACGACATGGAGTTTCATTTGAGGATTTCGCTCTGCGGAAGCCCGGAATCTCTGCAGGGTCTCAGCGGCTTTCTTCGGTGCTGCTCCAGACACACAATGCAAGAAACCAGTCTGGTGAAAGTGAGGTGCGAAAAGCGGAGTTTTCCAAGCCGCAATTGCTTTCTAGAAAAGGACAATCAACAATTAGCATTCCATTATCTGAACGGAGCAACGGCGCGGTCATACAATGGTCAGGTCGGTGTAGAACGGATCCTCATATTCAGCCCGCACAATCTTGTTAAGATCGTTGGCCGCGGAGAATCGGGGAGGGATGTGGTCATCTTTCTCAAAGACGGAGATATTTGTATACCCCTTTCGGGAAAGATGAAGAGCAGTAGAGAGGCCGAAGGCGCCTCCGCCAACGATAACGATCGCGTCGGACTTGGATACACCCATTATGGAGTGGGACGAAAAGATTCTCCCGATTCTGTTTCACTGTTTGTTGTCTGTGCTACCATATATACCCCGCTATAGCATGCATCTGCCAGGACTCGGTATCCGATGCGAGATAGACGTGGCACGAGTGTATACTGCGGGGTGACATGCGATCGTGCTATCATCGGGAACCTCGCCGAGTGGAACCCACGCGATGAGGAGAAGACACCGTCCAATCGAGACCGGAGCCGCGCTACTCCACTTGACATCGGGCACCCTTCCGATGCGGGCGACAACATCTTATCAGGCGGGGTGGTCTTTGGCTATCGCGATAACAATCGCGTGTCAGAAACCTCACCTTGGGATCAGCGGATTCATTGATTCACCCTCGACATTGCCAATCATGGCTGAAATCAAAAGCTCAACTCTGTGCCTTTTGGGATGTGGTGAGTAACCCTGATCCCGCAATCGCAATCATCGCTCACTGTTTTTAGGAAACTTGGGAGGTGCTATTCTCGATAGCTTGCTCAATTCGACGCAAGGCAAGCCTCTATTCACTCGATACATCGCCTGCGTACGCAGTGAAAGCTCGGCAACAAAGCTAAAAGAACGATTCTCCGGCCACCTGGGTGAATTGTCAATCTATCAAGGCGACAACGTGAAGGCCGCACGGGAGTCCGACGTGATCATCTTGGGTGTTGACCCCGCCGATATTGAGAATGTCTTGACACAGAATTCACTGCGCGAGGCACTGCAAGATAAACTCTTGATCAGTATCGCCGCCGGCTGGACGAGACAGAAACTCGAGCAGACCATCTACGGAAGCGAGACGACCGCAGCCAACAAATCGGGGCGAGCGTGGGTGGTGCGCACGCTCCCCAACATCGCCGCTCAAGTCTCGCAATCCCTGACTGCAATCGAAGTCTCCGTGCCCACCCCGCCCGAGCACTATCTCCAAATCACAACTGAGATTTTCGAGAGGATTGGTCGCGCTGTTCAAATCGAGCCCAGATTAATGAATGCGACGACCGCTGTTGGAGGGTCCACACCGGCTTTCTTCGCCGTGATCTGTGATGCGCTTATTGACGCCGCCGTGGCGGTCGGTGTTCCCCGGGATCTGGCACATACCATGATTTTCCAGTCCATGCAGGGAACTGCCACGATGCTGCAGGGAGGAATGCATCCGGCCGTACTCAGGGACCAAGGGACGTCCCCCGAAGGATGCACGATTGGGGGGTTGATGGTTATGGAGGAAGCGGGTGTTCGTGGTCATATTGGACGTGCCCTTCGAGAGGCCGTGACGCTGGCTCGATTAATGGAAACGACAGAGCATGTTAATGACACAAGACATTGAGTAGATAGAAAGCTTGAAATAGAAAAAAGGAGATCTATGAAACTAGGAGAAGCCGTCTTTCGTCACGCGTAATACTTGTCATGTATTGACCTTGTTATGGAAAAAAGATCGTAACTCCATATTCGCAAGACATCCAAATCCAAAGGCTGGGATGATACGAATGCACCGGACCACTGTTGACGAAACCAGATATCGCTGAGATTGCACCAACCGGTCGGCAAAGGACACGGCGTGTTGTCGCATGTACAAGTCAAGACCCAGCAAGTGTAGAGGAGTTGCCACCAACTGAGTGAGGACCGGAACTGTCAATTGCGATATGACCGGTTTAGCATGTGGATGAGCGGTGAGATCGTCTGGGATCATTTCTGACAATCGAGGTGCCAGCGTGAAGGAACCAAAGATAGTCACACTATCGCGAAGTAGAAAGACGGCCGTGGCTGCTCGCGCGACACCGCGGTTCTGCACCAGAGGAGGTAGCGTGACTCCTGCTCTCGTAGCATTCAAGCCAAACATCTGGGCGAAGCGAATATCCTTCCACACTCCCATTGGTACATTCACCATTGTCGTCGACACAAAGGTGAGCATGCCCGTCGCCGACGCCTTGAACTCATGGCCGATTGTATCCGTTCCATTAGCGACGGTGTATGTTACTCCATAAAGTGCCCAGATAATACCGAATGGGAGTTGAAAGACAAATCGCGCAGGGTTTCTTAATGCCGCGAATGCGTGTTTGCGTAGACCGCGGACCAGAGGTTGGTTCGATGAAGATTTCTCAACGAGTGCCCTGAGAAGTCAGAACTAGCACTTCTTGATCAGAATCACAACCAACCGGTCAATAACGGTCACTGCTGGTGCTACCAATGTAGCAGACACCGCTGCGGCACCCACGTCGCCCGCTAGTCGTTTTATGAGTGAGCTGTTCCAGCTCCGCTCTTCTCTATGCTGCATTCTGTCGTTTATTGTTGAACTCGACAATTTCTGTCGCGATGCTTTACTTGAGTATCCACTTTCAAAGATCAATTCTGTCTACGTTTATCTCCTCCAAGTGGTAAGGCGGGTGGGGAACTGGACCATCGGATCGCCTCCCGGTGCTGCGTTTCCCGAGTCCACGGAGCTTTATCGCCTCCGCATCATCCGCATCATAGCTTCGAAGTATGGCGGGGTATCTATGTACTTTCCCGGCCATCCATCCGAGGTACCTTGGAGTGGTCCCTTGATAAAGAGCGTGCTGCAATCGAAATATCTTTTCAACGACACTGCTTTCACCACCCAACACAACGGCCATGTTTACCTCCGCGCGGATGAGCATGCCCTCAGCGCGGCGCTTTACGCCTCACTCACGCTTCAATCTTGCAAGGACTACAATACAAGTCCGAGGCAAGGCCACAGCTCCTTTCCGTCTCCCGGACCCGCGAAACGAACCCAACGTAAGTTCTATACTGGGATCTATCAATTGCACTGGTACTAATAAGTGGCTAGCCTACATACAAGCGAGGCTCTGAGGAGCGCAACAAGCTCGAGAAAGCTTTGGTCAAGCTTCGGTCTCAATTGCCCGTCCAGAGCAACATCGTCTACGACGGAGTCGCTCAAAAGAGCGCAGAGTCCTGGGACCAGCCCTTACCTGCCGAGCATGGCACCGTCTTCACCAACTACCCTCTCGCAACCAAGGAGCAGACAAAGGCCGCAATTGAATCGGCCCTCAAGGCAAAAAGAGAATGGGAGGAGACTCCGTTCGTTGACCGGGCTGCGATTTTCCTCAAGGCTGCTGAGCTGGTCACTGGACCCTACCGCTACGATCTGATCGCGGCAACCATGCTAGGACAGGGCAAGAACATCTGGCAGGGAGAGATCGATGCTGCAGCTGAACTGGCGGACTTCTTCCGTTTGAACTGCAACTTTGCCGCTGAGATCCTTGAGAGACAGCCTACTCGTGGCAGCGATGGAATGTGGAGGTGAGTCGGCTTCATTCTGATAAAAGACGAAATAGCTAACTCGTGTTGTAGTCGCCTGGACTATCGACCTCTCGAAGGTTTCGTCTACGCCATCTCTCCCTTCAACTTCACTGCCATTGGTGGAAACTTGATATCCGGTCCTGCTCTGATGGGCAACGTGGTGGTGTGGAAGCCTTCACCGTCCAATGTTTACGCTAGCAGCCTCGTCTACAAGATCCTGTTGGAGGCCGGTCTGCCTCCAAATGTGGTGCAGTTTGTGACCGGAGACCCTGAAACCATCACCGACGTTGCTCTCTCCCATCGCGATTTCGCCGGGCTGAACTTCATCGGTTCCTCCGACGTCTTCCGCTCCCTGTACGGTAAAATCGGTGAGGGAATTGCTAAGAAATCCTACCGTGAATTCCCTCGCGTGGTTGCCGAGACCAGCGGCAAGAATTTCCACCTCGTTCACCCTTCTGCCGACATCCCCAGCGCCGTCAGTCACACTATCCGTGGCTCATTCGAGTACCAGGGCCAGAAGTGCTCTGCCACTTCGCGTCTGTATCTCCCCGAGTCTCGCGCTGAAGAGTTTTTCAGTGCTTTGAAGGCTGGTGTCGAGGATATCACCATGGGTAACCCCGAAAAGGACCTTGAGGTTTTCATGGGTCCTGTTATCCACCGTCGGTCATTCGATAAGATCAAGTCTGTCATTGACAGCTGCAACAAGGACCCGTCTGTGAAACTCATTGCTGGTGGCTCCTATGATGATTCCGTTGGTTTCTACGTGAGCCCTACTGTTTACCAGGTGGACACGCCAGACCACAAGCTTTTTAACGAGGAGATCTTCGGTCCCGTACTAGCTGTGTACGTCTATCCCGATTCCGAGTGGACTTGCACTCTGAAGAAAGTGGATGAGACGGGAGGTGGCTTTGCCTTGACCGGTGCCGTCTTCGCCCAGGACCGCCGTGCAATCCGCCAGGCTGAAGATGCCCTTCGTTACTCTGCAGGAAATTTCTACATCAGTAAGCTTGTCTCAGCTGTTCCATCCCAAGTTAACTCGCTAAGACTCTACTCTAGACTGCAAAACCACGGCTGCACTCATCGGGCAGCAATCCTTCGGTGGTTCTCGCTCCAGTGGAACTAATGATAAAGCCGGCAGCTCGGACACCCTCCGCCGGTTTACCAGCCCTCGCTTGATCAAGGAAGAGTTCATGCCTCAGTACGGCTACAAATACCCCAGTAACCACTAGTTCATAAGAATATTATAGAAATTTGGGTGTACAGTTCTGGTTGTTCTTCTGGTTGTTTCAAAAATGATATCGGTCAGCATTTTTACTGCTTTGATCAAATTTGCACATCCCGTAGACAATTCATCCTGTAGACAATTCAAGCCCTGAAAGTCTCATCGGAAGATCAGTCAAGCAGCCATCTAGTATGTTGTACAAAAAATGGACCCCTTGCTTGAGATTTAACCTGGACTAAAGTGGGTCTACTAGGTGAATGAAACGTTTCCACGGCTTGCAGAAAACTAAAATACTTTAAAGCCCGAGGTGGTGTAGGATCCCGGGGATCAGATCCTTTGCCCATCATCCAACCGGAGGGAAACTCGAGATTGATTGCAAATGCCTTATCTCACAATATCTGCATAAGCGCACCAGCTATCCACAATAGGAAGTGTAATCCTCCACAAACAAGTAATTAGAATTTAACCAGCCAGTCCAGTATAAAACCACCACTCGGGAACCCTCCCGTAGATCAGCTGGATCTCCCCAGACGTGCGCCCGTTCCCCACAAACACCTAATACGTTGAAATCTACGCTCAGACTACACTAGCGCCAAAACGGTGCATGATCTGAAACTAGTATTGATCTCGTTAAATTCGACGTTACCCAACTCTATCTCTAAGCGGAAAGAGAAAACAGCGCCCTAATTCTGCGCCTGAACTCCGACTTTAGCGCATTATACTCATCACTCGTGCGTAGCACTGCATCCCGGTTTTCAATCGCTCTCCGCAGCAGATAGGCTAGACATTCACCCATGCCGCCCCATGTAGAACACTTGTAGACTTCGGGGGTACCGTCTTTCCCTTTGAGTGCCAAGAGCGAGAAGCTCACTTCGTCGGACATTCCGTGTAGTTGCGCAAAGCCAACAGGCACGGTAGGCAAGCCGGCAGCTAGGCGCTGCTTATGGAGCTGGTGGGCATCCATGACGCTCTCTCTGTTGTGGCTGGCTAGGAAGAGGTTTGTAGAAGGGAATGGCTTGGAGACACCGAATTCGCCGATGGTTTGCTTCAATGCGCCCTGGGCAATTGTGTTGTATGCGTTATCGGTGTCTGTCTTGGTGTCGTGGATCAGGGATCGCTTATCCGAGGCCATGTATGCACCACGGACAAGCTTGAGGCCGAGGGTGAAGCCATCTTCCTGAGCAGCGGCGAGGTGCTTGGATAAAGTGTCGAATGTGCTTTTGAGATATGCTTGGTAAGAATTGTAGACTAGGGCGTATCCGTCGCGGTTGTACCGGCGCATCAGGTTGAGGGTAACTCGGTGGATGCCCCATTGGAAATGCTGGGACTCGGCGTCGACGAGAATGCGGACTTTGCGCTCTTTACATCGGGTGCACATTTCATCCAGGGCATCTAGCATCTGTTGCGGAGGTAGTTCTCCGGCGGAGAAGGCTTTGGTGACCGTAGGACCGGCTCCGGTCAGCCTGGAGACGTGTTAGTTTCGTAGAGAAACAAAGAACTGGGATAGATCATACTTCACAGCGAGGTAGTCCCCATCTTCTAATTGCTCGACGGTCTCCATTGTTCCTTTCCGCCATGCTTCGATGTTGGCACAACGAGCCAAACTGGGATCCAACTCCTGGCCTTTATTTTCACTTTTCAGAGCTGCAACACCAAGTCCCTGTTCCATATTGGTACTGTGGTCAAAAACAGTTTCTTTGGCATATGTCATAATGACACCGCGGAATCCCATATCCTTCAGCTCTTTAATGGTAGCCTTGGTCTCTCCCCCGTTCTCTCCAGCACAGAACTGCTCATAGAAAGTCTTTTTCAAGATACCATGCAAGATGGGATTACGGTCCACGTTCAGCAGGAAGCCTCGGTTCGGCTTGGAAAATATGGACATTGCCCAAAAGGACGAATTAAGTAGGAGCGGCTTCGAAGAGATGGTGGCAACCAGAAGAGATCTGAGAAGAACCTTGGTAGGAAGAACTGCAAGTGGTGGAAGCGAGGCAGCACGATGAGAAGTCTTCGGTGCAGCGGCTTGTATAGTAGATGTAGATGAGCAGCGCCGCTCCTTTGGCACCTTCGGGGTGTGTGTAAAGAGTATACACCATGGTGCGACGAGTATATTACTCACGCGAGGCCCCGGGGGCTTTCCAGCAGGCCAGAGAGTCATTCTTCGACAAGTCAATGGGTTTGCAACATCTTGTTCCCGAGGTCACCCTTATATCAGAACAGCCAGATTAGTTATCGCCCTTCCCCGCTCATCTATGCTCCCCGCAGTGTCTACCAAGGGTAGCAGATCTCGGTATCTTGATAGTACACAGTCGGCTCCCCGTCCGACTGGGTTCCCGTGGAGCAAATCAGACTGCGGGGAGTCCGAAAGACTATGTTACTCGTGATACCCCTCCATGGGTATAATTGAACCCGATAAGGGTCTAGAATCCAAAGGTTATTCGTGACGTCTAGATCAAGGCCCGGAAGGGTATCCGGGCGTGGGGCATCCAGCCAACGGAAGGGCAATCGGCCATGCTCCCGGTATAGGCATCATGTATGTCACGAGGACAGAGAACGGAATAAGATTTGAATGGATGCCGCTGTTTTGGTTTTCGTGAAAGTAAGACGAACAGTATTGCTAAGTGGCTCCCACCTTGGGGACCATGGCAGCGCATCCTTTGCTGCTTTGGGACTACATGAATACGACAACTGATAAGGTGTCATCGTTTGAATCATCGAAGAAAGACATCCAGGAAGTTACTGAGAAAGGTATCTTTCACGATGTCTATTGAAATATCTAGAAGCCACCCACATCGCAGTCTCCTTGTCGGCACTGACTGATCCTCGGGAAAGGGTTAGTCACCCATGCTTATTCAACCAGAACACGAACCCGAACCAGAACCAGACTTGAGTCACCGACGTCGGGAATACATCGGGATTAGAGTCCCGAGCCCCAGGCATGAATGTCCTCCCCTTCAAAGTCATCTGATTCGCCCGATGGGGGAGAAAACAAGGCACCCAGGCAGCAAGGCACCAATCCCGGTACCATCAGGCACCAAGGCGATACCGAAAAGGCACTGATAAGCGGGGCAGTTCTCGGGCGGTCCATCTTGCTAATCCATGCGGTTCGGTATCTTTCTGCATCGGATCACCTTATGGATAAGGCCCATTGTCCCACCCTTTCATCATATGGGAAATCCCGATGGGCCGATATGTGTAAGCGCTGCTGACCGCTTAAAACCGCCACGTACCCCTACAACTCAATCTTTTCTTATCTTACAATTTCTTAACCTCTTTAACTTCTTCAACTACTTTGCTACCTTTTCTCTCTCACACATTTCTCATATTCAAATCGTAACCATGTCTCTCAAGGCCGGCGACAGCTTCCCCCAGGACGTGACCTTCTCGTACGTGAAGTTTTTTCTTCTCCCCCCACCACGTTGACCCCTCCCGTCGATAACAATAAACTAACCCAATTGCCTCCCACAGCTACATCCCCTGGTCTGAGGAGGCCGGTGCCATCACCTCCTGCGGTATCCCCATCAACTACAACGCCTCCCAGAAGTGGGCTGACAAGAAAGTCGTCCTCTTCGCTCTGCCCGGTTCGTCACCGCCTGTTTTTTTTTTTTACTCTCTCACCCCAAGATTTTCTGCTGACCGCTACCACCCTGCAGGTGCTTTCACTCCCGTCTGCTCCGCAAACCACGTCCCCGAGTACATCGCTAAGCTCCCCGAGCTCCGCGCCAAGGGTGTTGACCAGATCGCCGTCCTGGCTTACAACGATGCCTACGTCATGAGCGCCTGGGGCAAGGCCAACGGTGTCACCGGCGACGACATTGTACGTGCAAATCACCCGTCCATGATCTGATTTACCCGCTAATTCTCTTTTAGCTGTTCCTCTCCGACCCCGAGGCCAAGTTCTCCAAGTCCATCGGCTGGGCTGACGAGGAGGGCCGCACCTACCGCTACGTGATCATCCTCGACCACGGCAAGGTCATCTACGCTGCCAAGGAAGCCGCCAAGAACTCCCTCGACCTCTCCTCGGCCGACAACGTTCTCAAGCAGCTGTAAGCGAGCTTGGAAAGAAATGTATAGACCGGTGACGCACTGCTTGCAGACAGAATTAGATATTAGATCGCCATTTTGCTCTTACCTGACATAGAGGAATAAATCAATAATGAAGCCATGATAAACAGTTTGCATATGTGTAGATCTTGGATGTAGTTCTATTTGCATGTCATTAACTGTCTTAGTGCCAGGTACCCGGGGTTGTGATTGGCGGGGCTTCTGGTGCATTGTTGCCGCGGAGGTCAATGCTCACACCAACGGTGCTTTGATTCCTCAAGGCCTCGGACCCCGAGACGTTGAAAATGGTGGGGGATCGTCATAAGCGGCTTTGACGACTGGCAGGTTTGTACACGATCATCGGGGTTCCGCTAGAATTGCGGAGTATATTATGGACCCGTATGGAGATCGGAGATCGAATAAAATAGATGCTGCACATTGCGAAATGGTATCGAACAAGTATATAAAACACGGTAGAACAAAAACAAAGGGTGGATATCAAGATAAAGTAGAAAGGCCATTCAAACAGATAAGATAGATCATTTGCGCTTGGGCACGGCGAGCGCCACGGAGCGACTATTCTTCCTGCGCTCTTCTTTCGTGCGCAGACCTTGACTAAGGCCGCCGCCCATACCCCGCGCAAGAGATGCAAAGGGCGATGAGACCTGCCACAATTCCAGGTCGTCTTCATTCTGGCCCACTCCGGTTTTGGGAGTCGTCGAGCCTCCTGTTCCACTCTGACTGCCTCTGCTCGACTCCGGGGGGATAGGTTCGGATTGGCGCCGACGGTGGCGTTTTTCGTGCGAGTGAGTCCGGTGAGGGGCGCCGGGGCTCTGATGCTTAATATTCGGAGATGGAGGTTCCCATGCCGGCATGGGTACATCCGCGGTAACGTACTCGGAGCAGCTGCATCCGCACCCGCTGGGGCAGCTTGGAAGGGCGTCGGCTACATCGGCCACATCAAATGGCGTGTCGAACTGATCGCCCAGTCGGAGGAACCAGCGTCGGTGACAGTCAAAGCAGCATACATGGCCGCAGCTGAGACAGGGCACCAGCATTCCGTTTACTACTTCACCACAAATGACACAAGGAAGTTTAGTAGGTAGTGGTTGTCGGGGTTTGCAATTTGGACAACGGCGGAACGAAGGGGTCCGGTTATGGTGTTTAGATGGAGATTCGGTTGCCACGGGGGTTGAGGCAAAGATAGACAGCTGAAAGGCATGGCCACAATTGGCACAGTGACGCTGGAAATCGAGGCCTTCAAGCCCGGTCACAGCTTCGCCGGGTGTCGGCTCTGGGAGTGCGGTCATCTTGGAGCTGTGACTGTGACTGCTCCAGTACTGACTCGTATGCATACTTTCCGCATCGTCGGCCACAGCACCAATCTTGAGGACTTCGCTCTGCTGTATTGGAAGCTCCCAGATAGATAAGAGGTCGGCATACGCGCCACGATATGACCGCCATAGCCATTCTTTACTTCGGTCGAGGAGTGAGTCCGGCGCCGTTTCATCGCCATCAAATGCGCTCTTGTTCTTAAAGGTGACCTTGAATCTCGAACTGGACTTTTTAGACTTAGCGGGTTGATCACTCTCGGTATCCGAAATAGCCTGGATCTTGTTGTTAGCAATCGAAGAATCGAGTTGCACCGCAGAGGAAGAAGGATTTGCAGTCCATACCCGTTGCGTTGTTGCTACACTTGAGCTCTCACCCGGGCTACTTTTCTTCCTGGCCAAGGCACTTGCTGGTGGCGATGCAGATGAAGGGCCAAAGGTAAATGAACGAGACAATGAGGATGCTAGCACCGACCCAAATCCAGATCCGCCGCTACGCGGTTGGGACTGATCGGGGGACGCCGCTATAGAAACGTTGTGGCTTCTGGCTTTTCGATCGGCAGCAATACCTCGCGGGCGAGTTGTTATCGGTGGTGTTGTTCCGGTTGAATACGGAGGTGTAGAGTCACCGCGCCAGATTTCGCTCGACGAGCGCGCTGAGGTATGAGGCATAAGTTGAGGATCTCTTGGAATAGACGAAGATGGCGTTGTAAGGTGTGATTGCGACTGTGATTGCGACTGTGATTGCGACTTGTTCTGAACTGTCGAAGCAATCGACGAATCTTCCACGGAGAAAGCTCGTTGTTCGGATCGACTATCTCGCAGCTGCTCTGGCTGGCCCTCATGGTTCGCTTCCAAGAGAACGCACGAGAGCATCGCAATCATCTGAACGTCGCCAATACGCTCGAAGTGCTCAAAGAGGGCAGGCACAAGCCAGTGGCTGCCGAGGGGATGATCTCCCCATCGGAGAATACTGCCAGCTACGTCCCTGTAGAGACCGACCCCAAGAACTTGCCTCGAATTGGTGCCATCATCTTTCGACAATTGCTTCAGCCCCATCCCTGGTTGAAGAGAAGAGCCAGGCTTCCTTCGAACATGTAGAATGAGCTTAATCAGGCCCCATATTTGAGCCAGCTCGTAGCACCCTGCATCGAGAGCGACAGCAGCATTATGAGCACAAACATCAGTTCCTTTCCCACATATGCGATATTTGCTGGCGAGATCACGCTTTACCGGTAGTATGTCACTCAAGTCGTGAATAGAAACCACATTTCGAGCGACATCGGCTGGTCTAGCGATGGCAACCCCGCCAGTCGATCGCTGAGAATGATCCGTAGACCGGGGACGATAGATTCCGATACTGCCAGCACTACGCCACGTTTGCGGTGGCTGGAAACGAGCCGGCAGCCCGGAGAGAATATCGGCGGATGACCCTGAAGAACTGGAAGTCTCGGAGTACGAGTCATCGGAGTAATCAGAGGCACCGTCATCTGTGCTCGTGATTGTACCGTTCATGCGCGGACCTGGGGAGTTGGTCTGCAGACGCCCGAAGCCTTCAAAGACCTTGTCATTTCTCGACAATCTACTCATCTCTTTGAATCCGATGTTGTCGAAGAGCGCCGTAGACTTGTCCTTCTTCGGCGGGAAAAAGCACACCAGACGGCCGTCGTTTGCCCACAGGGCACCGCATCCTTTGGCTACAGGCACCATAACATTGGCATTCACCGGTCGGAGAAGCTCAGAGCTCATTCCCAGTTCTTGACTCTGGGTCATACCAACTTCATCCTCGTCACTTGACTCGCCTTCGAGATCACCGTTGCCCGGTGACTTGACGTGGTCGCCGGTTTCGCCCAGAATCCATGCGATGCTCTCTTCCAGAGTACTCTCGCCCAGGAGATAGCGCACGGCGCCTTCTAAACAGCCTCGTTTCCGGGACATGTAGGTTTCAGCAATCGTTCGAAGTTCGGCCGTGACTCTCGCCGCCAGTTCATCAGTAACGGCCGCTGTTTTCTGGAATGCGAATGTCGGAATGGCGGACTTGGGATAGCTGACGGGAAACTTGATATCCACTTTCAGGAACAACGAGGCACCTTCTGCGCCCCATGGCCCGTTCAGAGATATCGAAATTTTCCGCTGCCGCACGTCCACTGAATCAAAAGCAACCTTGGTAAACTTGTCACCAACGTGACTGATCTCATCTCCCAGAGTCTCGATATCCCAGCCCGAGATCTTCACACCTCTCATCCAGGAAATTGGATTCGTATCGGCTCTCAGGTTTGACCGCGGCTGCATACCCACGCCATGATCGTGATGACCGCTCTTTGTCCAGGCGCGGGCATGAGGAACCGAAATAGCATTCATCCCTGGCCCTCCGGGGTAATTAGTGCTCGGGTTATGTCGGTTCATTGAAGAAGCAGAATCAAGATCCTCCAGGTCCAATTCGGAGTTCACATCTCTAAAGCTCCGATAGGTCGCACCCAGGCGAGTCACGGTTCGAGTAGAGATGTAAGACTTTCCCCTCTCGTATCCAACGCTTTCCAGAATTTGTGGATCCACACGATGCAAACGAAGTTCTCTGTCAGTTCCCCATGTCACCAGTTGGAACTCTCGGTGATCTACTCCATCCTCCACCCCTCCACGTGCTCTCCAAAGGAACTCTTTCACCTGGCCTTTATGGCCGGGGAAACTGTGAACCAATGGCAGGTCCTCATCGGGATTTGAGCCGTCGCCTGCTCTTCGGCTATAAAGGTGTAGATCGCTGTTCCCTCTCTGCGGCATGGCCAGCACTCCCCATCCGAAGGGTGTATTTCTGGCTCGCCACACGGGAAAGGGTGTTCGTATCAGTTTCTCAGGAACTTCCGTATCAGAAGTATAGTCCCAGAATTTAATTGTTTTATCGAGTGAGCAGGTAGCCACGGCGCCTCGTCGGACGCGGTTCCAATCGACACCATAGATCTTCGTGTCGTGGGCTTCAATGGACCGAATTGGGTATGCGCCCATGCGATCATCCCAGATCCGCAAAAACCGATCATGAGAACTAGCGACAACGTGAGGATCCTGTCGATTCCACTTGACCTGGGTCGCACCGGTGAACCAGTCCGAGAATGAAATCACAGGCCGTGACGGAGTGCGCAAATCCCAGCAGTGCACGAAACTGTCCACGGCACAGGTGGCAAGGATATCGGGATGAAATGCGTTAAAATTGATATCGGTAATTGCGCGCGAGTGGGCATGCAGCACATACTCGATAGAGTTCTGCCATGTCTTCATTGCCAGATTCCATACGAGCGCTTTCTGGTTGGATGTGCTCACAACCCAGTAGTCGCGCGCCGCGAATGGCGACCACTGAACATCTGCCACCTCCCATGGCGTATGGTGAGGCAGGTACCGGGGTGGAGAATATGGGGAATCCAAATCGATGACATGGAGACCCTCTTTTGACGCCAGCACCACGTCCCGTCCACACGGGGAGATGGACATAGACCCGACCGGTTGTTCCACATGAAAAGAGCTGTCCTCGTCAAACGTTGGGCTTTCGTAGGCCGACGTGAGCGGCCGAGGCCCCATGGAGCTCGACATCTTGACGTTGATGGCCCAGAGAGGCCAATTAGGGCCTTGGCGGAAGTTGCAAAGTTAGGAGCTCATGCACAATGTGAGGGCTGATGCGCGTCGAGTGCGCCCATGGTGATTCTTGTCCGCGATGGGATCCTTGGAGAACATTAGCTCGTCGCGTGTCGGAGGGGGAGCTGCGATAACGCGGAGCAACGGCTGTGGCTGTGGCTGTGGCTCGTTAGATGGGGCGCATTGAATCACGTGTGTATACGGACGGCGGCAGAGTCCCGCGATGCAAGTACCCCTCGGCAAGTTGATCATTGCCGTCTTCTCTGCTCGAATTTACCTTCACGTTCGCTATACAGGTCTTTGGAATTGACGCTGGTGCTCGTCATTCCTGCAACCCATCTCCGAGCCCTCTGACGCCCATTTCCACCCACGCTCTATACGGCGATAAGCAGTCAACATGGCCTTGCCCAAGCGCATTATCAAAGAGACGGAGCGCCTAATGGCGGAACCGTAAGGGATCATCCATGTCACTAAATTGAGTCTCTTGCTAATAGTATTTTTCGCGACACGTAGGGTCCCGGGTATCAACGCAGTTCCCCACGAAGATAACCTGCGGTATTTCGATGTCTCGATTCACGGCCCCGCTCAGTCTCCATATGAGGGTATGCACGTTGTCAGAGTCTCTATTTTATCTCAAATAACCAACACTCTTCAATCTAGGTGGAATATTCCGCCTTGAGCTGTTCCTGCCCGATGATTATCCTATGACACCCCCCAAGATTCGCTTCCTGACCAAGATTTATCACCCCAACATCGATCGCCTCGGCCGGATCTGCCTGGATGTCCTGAAGAGTAAGATCAAACAGCCTTTTATGATATTTGCTTGGTCTAACATCGAACTAGACAACTGGTCCCCCGCTCTGCAGATTCGCACCATCCTGCTTTCTATCCAGGCTCTGCTTGGAGCGCCGAACCCTGATGACCCTCTTGCCAACGATGTCGCTCAGCGCTGGAAGGACGATGAGCCTGCGGCGATCCAGACGGCAAAGGAGTGGACCAGGACACATGCTATGACTTGAGCATGATCAAATGTGATGCGACCATGAACAAAAGAGAGAAAGATGCGGGCATTCAATCCGCTGTGGCCCTGGGGCAGGCGAGCTTCTGTGTTTTTAAGCGTGAAACCACCTACATTCATCTCATTTCTTGAATTGCGATGGCTCAGTCAGACTCAGATGGCTTTGCATAGAATCCAATGCATTGTCTGAAGCTATATAGTTGTTGCCGGCCTCTGGTCCACTTCTATGTGTTGAATGAAAGTTGTTTCTAGACTCGTTTGAGACAATTAGAGAAATTTGACAATGAACGACCTCGATAAAACCTTGCAGTGGATTCAAACATTTTCTTTTATTGCCAGTCAGGTAAACTATACCATTCAATATCCAATGAACAACCAAACACTAAGCATAGTCCAAAAGGGCCAGTAGACAGCAAATAGGCGGCTTCTTTCAGTAACGAAGCGAAAGTCACTGCGTTGGCGTTGGCGCGAGATACCGAAACGCGGATAAAAGGCAGAACTTGATTAAAAGTAGACGAAAGTTTCAGAGTATGTAGTAATTTTGAGACCATAGTCAAAGAACCCTTGAAATTGGAAGCAACCTAGGAATGCTTATCACACCCAGTCGGCCAACCCGAAGTCGCTGACATTTTAGGTGAGGTAGGCTGTCAAAGGCGTTCCAGCCGATGTATGATACCTTCTATAGGTGGTGATTATATTACTATGATAGAGAGCCGGCAGCTCTGTTCTACTCAACTGAGCAACACTATCCTCAACGTTAGTCAGTGATCGAAAACATTATGGCGATACCCAAACGTACAATATAGCTTTCTATTCGTGCGGTAACAGCCACGGGCACCATAATCCAGAGCTCTCGAGGGTAGAATACAAGATCAAATACATTGAGATTTTCGCAAAGGTCGATCACGAACTTGGTAACTTCGACTGTCACAATAACACAAATCTCAATTGAGGATAGCGATAAGTAATAGAATACTCTACTACAAATCTGCTATTAAAGCTATCGGCTGGTATGTGCAGGCTACAATTAAGAGTGCGACGAAGGTGATGAAACATGGCCGTGCAAACATTACGATGTGTACCGACATTCGTAGGTGCATTCGATGACATTGTCTCGACTATAGATAATTTATAAGATTAAATACATGGATGAAGGCCATTATCTGAAGGAAAGTGGTCGACAGATTCCAATCCAGGATCTTCCGGTACTCGAATGGGACCCGTCCATATTTTCGCGTCCGACTTGACACTTTCGGTGCAGCATTGGGCTTCAAGAGCAAAATTAAAGACTCAAATATGCAAGGTGCCACGAACCATCACAAAGAGCCTTCTCTATACAAAATCGTCAATTTATATTTAGAAATCATGGACTTGGCCTGTCCATGGCCAAGTAAAACGTCACATGTCCTAAAAGGGACTAGTTCGCCGATAAGCCCCTCCGATGCGGATCACGTGGTGATAGTCTCCAAAGGGCAGAGGGGATCACGTGTCGCACTTTAGCGAGGCGCACCACAATTGGACCCCAGCAGCGAGACAACCGCGATCCCCGATTTTCGACCATCACCAAACGCCAACCGACACCTCGTCAGCGCATCCCCCGTCAAGATGCGTACCTACGACGACTCCTTCAGCGGTCAGAAGATCTACCCTGGCAAGGTGCGTTCTTTATCCCCGTCGGTTTACGTTTGCGAGAGGAGGATTTGTGCGGAATCAACGGCATCATCACCACATCGCGATCCCACCACCACCTACGTTCTCGACTTGATCCCACGATTCCTTGGAATATTTGCGCACGCAACGTTTTGTTTTGAATCATTCGGGTGCTAACTTCGTCTTTTTGGTGTCAATAGGGTAAGCTGTACGTCCGTGGCGACAGCAAGATCTTCCGCTTCCAGAATGGCAAGTCCGAGTCGCTCTTCCTCCAGCGCAAGAACCCTCGCCGGATAGCTTGGACTGTCCTCTACCGTCGCCAGCACCGCAAGGGTATCTCTGAGGTCGGTCACCCGTTATCCCCTTGTATTTTGATGGATTGTGTGGCGGGGTTACAAGGCCGCTTTTTCGAGTTCGAATGGCCTACAACGACACTTGAATATTCGAAAATGCGGAGCAAGAGGAGGAATCACGATGCCACATGAGGAATGACGTATATCATTTGAGACGGATTGCTAACCAGGTTTTGGCATATACAGGAGGTTGCCAAGAAGCGTACCCGCCGTGTTGTGAAGCACCAGCGTGCCATCGTCGGTGCTTCCCTTGAGCAGATCAAGGAGCGCCGTGCCGTCCGCCCCGAGGCCCGCGAGGCCGCCCGCAAGCAGGCCATCAAGGATGCCAAGGAGAAGAAGGCCGCCGCCGAGTCCAAGAAGAAGGCCGAGAAGGCCAAGAACGCCGCCAAGGGTGGTGCTAAGCCCATCTCCAAGCAGGGTGCTAAGGGCTCTGCCCCCAAGGTCGCCGCCAAGTCCCGCTAAATTTGATTTCGGTTGGGAAATGGAGGTGTTCATTTGACGGTTGCGATATGATGGAACTTACGGGGACCAGCCTCGGGTCATTACCTTGTTTCTGAAACACTTTATGCAATTAAATGCGATGCAGAAAAATCGGGAACAAAGGAATCAACAAAATATCTCTACGCAAGATTTTGTCCATCTCTTCTGCCTTTGGCATCTAACTCTCTGGCAACTGCCATGAGCCTTTCAGTATTTCTCAGCGGAATTCTTGTCTTTTCCTCGTGTGGACTATGGATTTCGCGTGGGTTTGCCATAGGCCTTCCATATGCGACATACACAACGTAATTGAATGTCTGAACTATGTCTTCCAAAAATGGCCTTGCAGAAGCCTTGAATATAGAATTCTGTGTTGGTAATGACCTTGAAAAGTATGGCAGAATATTTGCATTTGTTAAATCGCCTCGCGTCTATGCTTCTACCATCGAAGTCGCGCTCTAGAATTATCGATTCCCAGACCAAACCCTGTCTGAGACATCAAAGGAAACGCTTATGATACAAACTTTAACGTCTGATAAACCAAAATGCCCCTCTCAAGATCCTCCATGCCTCGTAATCGTCGTCAACATGGCAAACCACAATAGGAGAGGCAAGGCGCCTCTGCCGATTGCAGGAATGACTGCCGAGATTGTCCAGCACCAAGAAACTCCCCAATTTCACCTTGCGCAGCGCGAAAGATGGGGCTCGAGCTTCATGATCAATGAAAGAGGCAAATCTATGGTTTTTCCACATGTATGGCTGTGCTTTGCATAGAGACACATGCCCTGATCACCCGAATATCCTGAACGCCTGACCGACCGGTCAAACAACCGAATCAAAAAAAAACAGATATAATACTAGACCAGACTCAGTAGTAGTGAGCCATTTCCAAACCGGCACGCTTGAAACCACACTTGACATAGAAGCCCTCGTTGGCCTCGGAGCAATCAAGAATGCTCTGCAAAAGATCAGCACCCGCATACGAATCAAAAATAGCACACGGCAAACATACCTTGTAACAACCAACCTGAGCAGCAACATGATCCAGAGCCTGAATAATGCGCAGACCCAACTTCTTGCCCTGCTGGTTCTTCTCAACCGCAATATCCTCAATGTGTCCCACCATACCAAGCGAGTGGATAAACTTGCGCTCGACAAGTAGACTGCCAGTGCCAACGACACGGTCTTCGCCATCGCACACAACAAGCAAGTAGTACTCGTCGTTACGGGAGCGGATCCAGTCGAAGCGCTTGTTCCATGCCTCCTCGCTGATCTCGCCGACGGTGGTCAGCACACGCAACACGTCGAGGTAGCCGCGGTGGAAGTCCGAGCGCAGGATCGGGCGGATGGTGTAGTCTGTTGGCAAGATCGTGATGACTTCGGAGGGAATGAGAGAAGCGGGGAAGAGAGGGCCGTCCTCGAGGTCAATGGAGGTCACTGTGGAGTTCATGATAGGCTTGGTAGGTTCAGAGATGATGGTTGTTGAGACATCGGGGGCAGCCATTGTTTTAATCGTGATGGTTTGAGGAGGTTGAGGGTTGAGATGAGGAGAGATTTGAGATCGCAGCGGGTTTCTTGTTGATTAGGAGACGGGCGAATCGCGGGGTTCAAGCGCAAGGGAGATCGATGAGGCGACAAGTATCGAGAAGGAGAATTGTGATTGAATTGAGTATGGACGAAGGAGTGGATCAAAGAAAGGAGAAGGAAGAAAATCGATCGGAGGATCGTCAACAGGTGCGGTCCACGGTTCGGCAACGTGAGACGCCCCTGATTTCTGCGGCTTCTATTTATGCGCCCTCCATGCAAGGGCGTCGGGGTGGCTTTTAGTGAATTCTTGAGCAGCAGATCCTTTCTCTAAAAAAGAATATGAACCATTGTATACAACGGCCTCTCTGATCTCTACAAGCCTCGTCGATAAGGCCGACCGGGGATGCTATTTATAAAGTGGCCAAAAATAGCCCCGCTATACGAGCTACGAGATCCGCAAAAAGATTCCAACAGAAATACAAAAATAGTTTCTTCAGTATACAGACCCTATCGGGACTTGTCTATAGTAGCACAGGGAGGACAACATCGGTGTTCCCTTTATTTCAACTCCTTGGGAGCCAGCATCAGCTCGGGACGGACGTGCTTGTCGAAGTCCTCCTCGCTGAGAGCCTTGAGCTCCATAGCGCTCTCCTTCAGGGTGATGCCCTTCTTGTGGGCGTTCTTGGCCACCTTAGAGGCCATGTCGTAGCCAATAACGGGGTTCAGGCAGGTCACGAGCATCAGACTATGTAGCAGGTTAGAGTTTTGCCATTGAACAAGGGGGGGAAGGGAGAGAAACTAGACACATACCTCTCGTGAAGAAGGGAGTTGATGCGCGACTCATTGGCCTCCAGGCCGTCCACCAGGTGGAGACGGAAGCTGTCCATGCCGTCGGACAGGATGCGCACGCTGTGGAGCAGGTTGCGGATCATGACGGGCTTGAAGACGTTCAGCTCGAACTGGCCGTTCATGCCGCCGATGGTCGCGGCGACGTGGTTACCCATAACCTGGGCGCAGACCATGGTGAGAGACTCGCACTGGGTGGGGTTAACCTTGCCGGGCATGATGGACGAGCCGGGCTCGTTCTCGGGGAGGATCAGCTCGCCCAGACCGCAGCGGGGGCCGGAGCCGAGGTAGCGCACATCCTGGGCGATCTTGAACAGCGAGGCGGCGAGAGTGTTCAGGGAGCCGGAGGCCTCGACGATGGAGTCGTGGGCGGCCAGGACCTCAAACTTGTTGGGGGCGGTCTTGAACTCGGTGCCGGTCATCTTGCTGATCTCGGCGGCAACGGCCTCGTCGAAGCCCTTGAAGGTGTTCAGACCGGTACCGACGGCGGTACCACCCTGAGCGAGGAAGCGAAGGTGGGGGAGGCTGGCCTCAACGCGCTCGACGTTGCGATCCAGCTGGGCGACGTAGCCGGAGAACTCCTGGCCCAGAGTGAGGGGAGTGGCATCCTGCAAGTGGGTACGGCCAATCTTGATCAGGTGCTCGAACTTCTCGACCTTCTCCTGCAGAGCGTTGCGCAGGGCCTTGAGGGAGGGCAGGAGGGTGTTCTCGAGTTCAACAACGGCGGCAATGTGCATGACGGTAGGGAAGGAGTCGTTGGAGGAGGCCGACATGTTGACGTGGTCATTGGGGTGGACGGGCTTCTTGGTACCCATGGTGCCACCCATGATCTCAATGGCGCGGTTGGAGATGACTTCGTTGGAGTTCATGTTGGACTGGGTACCGGAGCCGGTCTGCCAGACAACCAGAGGGAAGTGGTCCAGCAGCTTGCCCTCGGCGACCTCAGCGGCGGCCTGTTTGATGGCCTCACCAATCTTGGGGTCTGGGTATCGTTAACAACCCGACCTGATCCAATATGTCACTATCTACCACTTACCAAGGCCGTACTTCATGTTGACGGTAGCGGCAGCACCCTTGAGGATACCGAAGGCCTTGACCACGGGGGCGGGCATGCGGTCCTGGGGCTGGTTGATGTCGAAGTTGCCCAGGGAGCTGTTTCCAATACCGTCTTAGTCTTCCCGCACTCTATTCCATTGCGTTCGAGATAATATCGTCGGGGTGTCTTACCGCTGGGTCTGGGCACCCCAGTACTTGTCTCCAGGGACCTAAACACAAGACCTCAGTTAGTTTCTGCGGAGAATATCGCGGGGATTTCAACGACGTCACCTACCTGGATCTCGCCAAAGGCATCGCTCTCAGTACGAGAACCCGAAGACTAGACATGTAGCGCATTAGTGAGGACTGCGGGCGCAAACAGCGACTTCTCCTACCATGGTGACGGTTGTGCTGAAGGCTCTCTTGTTGTTGTTCAGGAACTGGAGGCGGGGAAACTGTCCGAACTGACGGCTATTGGAACTAAGAGCTCGGGAAACGGCCGGAGAGCGAGCAGCGACCGACAGAAGGTTGCGGGCTGCGGGGTTGGCAGCTCTGGTCGCATGTGTTAAGGTGGCCATAGAGCGCACCGCGGCTCGGGAGGAAGCAGGGTTCATGATTGCAATGTGTGAAGCTGTGCTACCCAGAAGATGGAAGGTAAGTGCCCAATTGGCTTCGCTCGCGATGGGTCAAGGGGTTAAAGGCAGACACTGTCCCTTAAAAAAAAACAAAAAACGAAACTCGACTCCGACTCGCAAAGCCGAAACTTCCCGGTATCGGCATGACACGCTGACGCGGGCCGTCCAAGCGCAAACCCGTGTATTATTGGTAATTATGTGTTCGGTGCGGTCACCCGCTCCTATACATTCATCCGTGGAGCAACTCGCGCTTCAACGCTTCGATCACCCTCTCCCTGTACAGACGCCCACTATCCAGGATCCCCTCAAGTGACGGGAACGTATGCGGTGTACCCGTATATCGATACAACTCGACACGATTTCCCGCAGCCTCGAGCTTGGCCGCATATACTTCTCCTTCGTCGCGTAGAGGATCCAGCTCCGCCGTTGAGACCAGCGCAGGGGCCAAGTCCTGAAAATTGGGGGCGAGCATCGGCGATATTCTCCAGTCCTGATGTATTCAGCTTGGCATCCCCAGATTCAACCATTGAGACTCACATCTTCTGATGCCGCCGGTCGAGGCACCCCTAGGAAGTGTCGATGGAAGTATGCCATCCGCGCCGTAGGAAGTGCCGGCGTAAACTCCATCTCTCGATATGAATCATAAGGACAATTCTCACGATCGAATTTACCATCCGGTGTAAAGACACTGTGCAAGTCGCACACTGGCACGCTCAGGATCTGTAGGCGCAGAGGTATCTGCGCGTCTCGACACAGATGACCGAGAACAGCAGCGAGGTGACCTCCGGCAGACGGACCGCCAACAGCGAATCGGTCTGGATCGAGTGTGAACTCATCGGCTTTCTGGGAGTGGATCTAGATAGATCGGGTCAGATGCTGCAAAATCAGGTCCATCGAGTGTGCATACCCAATTGAAAGCCGCCCAGCAATCATCCACGGGAATAGGAAACCGATGTTCAGGTGACAGCCGATAATCGACATCGAAAACAACCACATCCCCATCGAGAGCGCACACGAGCCTTTTGCAATAATCATGGTCAGTATTGAGGCCTCCAAAAACCCATCCACCGCCGTGGAAATTGATATAGGCCGCTCTCGTCACAGGCTGGCCCTGATCATCAATTTTGGGTGCTGGCTCGAAGATGCGAATAGTGATCTCTCCTCCCTCCACGGGGCATTGCTGTTCCGTGATTCGGAAGACATCGGGCCCTGGTTCGTTGCCATAGAAGATAGTGTACTTTGCCGGGTCCTTGCGATACTCTTCTATCGGCACTTCATGAGTATGCAGGCGTCCAACATTGTACTTGTTGTAGTACTCGACGTAGACAGGGTCAAACCGGGGCAGAAGCTCTTCCGGGATGGTATTGTGAAGAGGTTGTCGGATTTCCTGAGCACGAAATTCGTGCAGGGCAGGATCCCCACGATAGCACTTTTGCTGAGCCATTTTGAGTTGGATATACGAAGTTAGTGAACACTTGAAAGAGTCAAGAATCTCGGGTATGCAGGGCCATGTTTATGACTGATTGGTTACTCCTCACGTTGAACAAGCCATGCGGGGTTATTGTCCTTCCTTTATCAACTTCTCCTCAGGCCGATACAACGTCAGTCTCCGCAGAGTCGGTCAGCATCGACTGGTCTTTACAATCGTCCATGGGTGTTCTGTTTGTTTTCTTTGCCAATGGCGAGATGTGGGGACAACGACCCGGTCATCTATATATATCCGCTACCATAAATTTACCCAGCCTCGGAGCATCAGCCCTCTTTCTTAAAACTCATTTTTCTGCATTATATCTTGCACAGAAAACATATAGAAAAGATTTCATGACATATGTCAGAGAAAGATAAAGCAAGGCCATTTACCGATCTCGGAAGGGGTCAATTCGCTCCCATTTGATCACGTTCTACGCTGATCTTCTAACTTTACTAGCCCCAGGGCCAAGATCTGTCGAACTCTTCCAGATTTGTCCCCTACCCAGTTCATCCATCCAGGTTATTGGCGGCAGGCTGGATCTTATGACAACCCAAAGCATGATGGCATGTCGAAAGCGTGAAAGAGCTGGGGAACCGGCACTAAGTGGGACTTCCCGAGGGGCAAAAAAAGAGAACGGCGATATCGGTTGACTCAGCGTCGACCAACTCCGATTTTGTCACCTTATACTCGCAATTCTCTCCCAACACGTTGGCTTCCCGAAGCAAGCGACTGAACGATTCGAATCCTCAATTGCTCCGATACACTTCACCATGGCCTCTGTCCCCACTCGTCTCAATGTGGCCCCGGTCCCGCCGGACGAGATCTTCGCCTTGAACGGTGCCTACTTCGCAGATACCTACCCCCAGAAAGTCAGCCTCGGTGTTGGCGTCTACCGCACAGATGACGGCAAGCCGTGGCCGCTGCCAGTCGTCCAGAAGGCCGAGAAGGAATTGGAGAAGGACAATGACCTTATGCGCCACGAGTACACAACGATCGAGGGCGACGTTCCGTTCCTGAAGATTGCACGGGACTTGATGTTCGGCTTTGAGGGAGAGGGTAAGGATGAGGCGGCCAAGGCCCGCGTCGCCTCCGTGCAGACCGTCGCCGGCACTGGTGCCAACCACCTGGGTGCCGTGTTCCTGGCCCATCACTACAAGCCTCCTACCGTCTGGCTGTCCAACCCGTCGTGGGCGAACCACATGACTATCTGGGAGCTGGCCGGCGTGCCCCGCAAGACATACCCATACTACCACGCCGCGACCCGGTCCTTCGACTTCGAGGGTATGATGTCGACCCTCGAGTCCGAGGCACAGGAGGGCGATGCGGTTCTGCTGCACGCCTGCGCACATAACCCCACCGGCCTGGACCCGAACAAGGAGCAGTGGATTGCCATCGCAGACCTGTGCGAGCGCAAGAAACTCTTCCCCTTCTTCGACTCGGCATACCAGGGCTTCGCATCGGGATCCGTCGAGGAGGACGCCTGGGCGGTTCGCTACTTCTTCAACAACAAACCCGACATGGAGATGTGCGTGGCACAGAGTTTCTCCAAGAACTTCGGCCTGTACGGCCAGCGTGTTGGTGCCTACCACTACGTTCTTAACCGCAATGCTACTGCCATTCGTGACGTTGTCGTCAACAACCTCTGCCACTTGATCCGTGGCGAGTTCTCCATGGGCCCGCGCATTGGATGCAGCATCGTTAAAAAGATTATGAACAGCGAGGAGTTGGTCGCAGACTGGCACCAGGACCTGCAGGTTATGAGTTCGCGTATCAAGACTATGCGCCAGGCTCTGTATGACGAGTTGATTCGCCTCAAGACTCCTGGTACCTGGGAACACATCATTGAGCAGGTGAGCTTAGCGTCGTCATCCACCATGAATCAACTTGCTAATCGACCTGTACAGAATGGCATGTTCTCTTACACCGGTCTTACCCCCAAGCAAGTCTACGCTCTCAAGGACAAGTACCACATCTACCTACTCAAGTCCGGCCGTGCCTCCATCAGCGGCTGTAAGCAGCTCCACCCTGTAATTTTGGAAATATAATGCTAACACTGCGTCCAGTGAGCGAAAAGAACGTCAAGTACGTGGCACAGGCCATTGACGACGTCATCCGCAACGTGCTTTAAGCCAGCACATACATTTGGATCAGAAATTTGGGTGCAGTTGCACATCTTGCATGAAACACGGGCTCATTGTGGCAATTTGACATGCATTAGGCGGCTTATCTGACCTTTTTACGACTGTTGATGATAGAATTCATAGAGAATGACAGCCCGGCCCTTTGGGTCGCTGCATACCATCCAGACTTGAACAATCCCCTAGAATCATATTGAAAATGTGAGGTTTGCATTAAGAAAGCTATCTACTGTACAAAAAACAGCAAGGCAGGAAAAAACCAAGGCGAGCGTTGCACTTCATAACTAAAACCTCTACCTATAAAAAGAGCCCAGACTCGGTGGACGTGAAGCTGTACTGGATATAGTCGTAGACCCGCCGGACTGCTCGACGGAACAAGGCGCAAAGGTCGATATGTTGGAAGAATGGTGAGACAAACGGCCACTAGAGGGGAACTTCGTTGAAGTCGCCTTCGCCCTCTTTGCCTTTGCTCTTGGAGCTTTGAGTATCTGTCGATGAAGTGTCCCCTTCGGGCATGTGCTGCGGGAATGTAGTCTCCTTGCTTTCGTCTTCTTTGCTCTCTGAAGCTTCTTCTGGTTCACCCGCTTTCTCTTCTGATCCAGGTACAGGCTCCGAGTCGCCATTTGTCCAAACGGGTGCCTCTTCCTTGTCAGACTCGTCCTTGGGTGGCGGTGGAGGGGGCGCCTCGTCTTCATCTTCCGATCCAACCTCCTGTGTCTGTGCTTGCGGTTGACCGCTTGTCTCGCCCCCAGGGAAAGGCGTCAGAGGCGGTTCTTCAGGAATCTGGTCTTCCCGCCGAGGAGACTGGAGTTGTTCACTAGGTCGGCTCTGGTTGGCGAGTGTTGCAGTAGATAGGGTGGAGGTGGTCCTTTGGTGGGAAGCGCCGTGGATCGTGCTGAGATGGCGGGCCTTGGGGTCCGCACCGAGATAGTAGCCGCGCACGCCGACAATCGTGCCCTCAGACTCGCACGCGTCTACCCACTCTGGAACGACAACGGGAATGTTCATTTCCACAGCCTTCTCCCACAAAGGGCCCCGACCCTCGGTGCAAACAAAGTGTGTAGTGTCAATCCGGACCGAGTCAATCATCTTGCCGCCAATGCGGTCCAGAGCGGTTCCTAAAGCTTCCTTGCGCTGCGGATCGAGAACTCCAGGGGTGACGGTAATACCGGACAGGTCGGTCATTTTGTGTGTCCGACAAGTCAGCTTCTCCGACTGGTAGGTACCAGCGGTTGTGCGCAAGACGAGGTGGAAAGTGTACTCGGAGTGTATCGCCAGGCCGGAAATCTTAGTGCTGCGTGTCTCCAGGGGACGGGGTATCGAGCCAGCCTTGGAGCCATTGCGGTAGAGTGAGAGTGATTTCAAGGACGCGGTTGCCAGGTCGATTGGGTCCCACTCGAGGACGAGTGAGGTCTGAGTAGCGTTGCGCAGGCGGAGAACAGGCGGCGACGGGGTCTTCACACCGTAGGTATTCAAGATGCGCTTCTGGAGGGACTGGAAGGCAGATGTGTTGGCGGTCTCAGCTGCGTGGTTGCGCGCAACGGTGATGTCGACGATGCTGCCGGATGAGATGTTGTTCGGGAGGAGGACTGAAGGAAATTCGATCTGTATTCGCCTTAGTTAGCATGCCATTGGTACTGGTCATCTCGCGCAACGGTCGCAGGCAACAGTTCCCCATGTTTGGGGTTCAGGCGACCAGGGGGCTGGAGCTTACAAGGCGGTTGTCCTGGGTAAGGAGCACGGCGACGCCGGCATCTACCTTGCCGACTGTCAAGGAGACCAGCATGGTGGAAGGAGTTTAGGAGATTGTGAGGGTTGGGTGGTAGATGGAGATGGGGAAAGCGTGGTTGTCAGGTACGGGTGTTGATTCCGCCAGATCGGCATTAGCGAGGCTCGAGGCAGCGGGAGTTTAAGGTACGTTCTATATTTATTCCGCCAACAAAGAACGTAATTTAGGGAGTTTTAAGATAATTTGAGAGTGAAGATAATGTACATTTCCCATTTCAAGTAGGGATACAAATATTGCAAATATAGGATGCGGGATAATCTCAGCCACAAAACGCCATGCAATACTGGTCCTCCAAAATGTACAGGTAGGGAGTCGTAATATAGTACATAAAAATGTTGCAAATCATCAAGCCCTTTCAAACCCAGGGGGAACTTCAGACCCCTTGGATACGACCCGATTATGAACTGCGCGCTGTTTTAAGAGGCTCTCCAAGACCGAGTGTGCATCCTGTTGGACCGTCTTGAAGCTCTGTTTAGCGAGTGACGGGCGAACGATGAGATCCAGAGAGCCCGTGAGGGCATCTTGTGGAGGTAGCAAAGTAGATGAGGGTAACGGTGTTCCTAAGTGGTCGAAACCTTTGTCTTTCAAGGCTTGTTCAAAAGCAAGGCGTGCCCTTCGAGCACACCAGGAGCGAATCACCCGTTTGAGCTGCGTAATATGCGACACGGATACCCGCCACCACAGAGCATTCCGATCTCGAGTCATCCATGCGTGTGTGATTTTCGGGGCAATCGGGTGTGTGGGAGATCCCATGTAACGTGCGGCGACTGGAGGAATAACATGTTTGGAACTGTAAAGCAGGCTCAGAGTGCTGCTTGAAGCAGTCAACTTCATGGTGTAGGCTTAACGGTGGCAAGGGGTTGCAGAGTCGAGGTGCCGGTGATTCAGATAGGAGCAACCAATCTGTACCATAGCGACTCGTAGGAAAGGTTCATTGAGGAAATTCGGAGGCCGCTGAGTCTATGCGCTCAGGATGATCGATGGGGTCGCGCGCTCACTTGTTGCAACGAGGAGCTGCGAGATCGTGAGCGCAGATTGGCAAAAAATCAATCGTGTAATGTAATTTCCGATATTGCAGCTGCAGGTCCGCACCCCAACACCGGTTGAAGCTCAGAAAGGACGCCGGTTCTACATCGCGTCCTCATCTTTTTCTGCCGAGACCGAGTCGGGCGGTGACGGCCTCACCGATCAGGCATTAAATTGCCACACAAAGCGGCTGTGTGCCTGATTAGGTAAGTGCAGATTTGAATGACACCGATCCCCCACTTAAGACCGCGCTCTTTCCTTTTCTCTCGACCCAAGACATCCGGGGACTTACCCATTTTTTTTCTCTAACGTCGTTTTTTGACGGAGAAATATCACGCACCGACACATAGCGAGACTCGAGTCCAGTGAAGGTCATACCCCGCCGCTATGCCCAAGAACAAGGGAAAGGTAAGCGCGCAAAACATTCAGCCCCTCTCTGGAATGTGTCGCCCCCGCCACCATCTCTCCCTGAGTTGTCGACCCCCAGTAGTCACACCTTGTGGATGGATGGTTATGGCGGAGGGAAAGACTTTCATACCCAAGTCTCTGCACACCGCACAAATGACGTACAAAATCTGACAATTTTGAAAATAGGGCGGTAAGAACCGTCGTCGTGGAAAGAACGAGAACGACAACGAGAAGCGTGAACTCGTCTTCAAGGAGGAGGGCCAGGAGTATGCTCAGGTCGTGAAGATGCTGGGCAACGGTCGTCTCGAGGCTCTCTGCTTCGACGGCGAGAAGCGTCTGGCTCACATCCGTGGCAAGATGCGCAAGAAGGTCTGGATCAACCAGGGTGACATCATCCTCCTCTCTCTCCGTGATTACCAGGACGAGAAGGGCGACGTGATCATGAAGTACACCGCCGACGAGGCCCGTTCTCTCAAGGCCTACGGTGAGCTGCCTGAGCACGCCAAGATCAACGAGACCGACACCTACGCCAACGACGGTCTCGAGGACAACGTCGAGTTCGACGAGGACCGCGAGAGCGAGGACGAGAAGGAAATTGATGTCGACGAGCTCTAAGCTCCCCCTTTCACCCCGCAGAGCTCGATGCTCTGTCCTGCAACAGTGCTATGGAAAACCTTTTCGTGGCGCTTCCTATGTACCGCCGACTCCTCATACACTGCCGACATTGGCCCAGCGCCGTGGTCACCATGCTGCCGATCAACCCCGGCATTCTAACACCGTCTTCGGTCATTGTTCGTTCGTTTTCGATCGAATAGCATGAGCACCTTTCAACCAGTTCACGACGCTGGTCTTCCTCGGCCCTGAATGAGACACAGGGCATCTCTCCCCACACGGCGGCTACGACAATCTACCAGGGCACGAAGCAATCGACAAAAAGACTTTCGGGATCTAGATGACGGCGGATATGGGCTTCTGGAGTCTTTCACACTTCTTTCATTTCCATACCTGTCTTTGTCTGTTACTCGGAGTCGTGCTTCAGAGAAAAGTGATTGCAACACGCATGATGAACCTGTGTGTTTGTTTTTTGCATTACTTGCATGCTTTATCCTCTATTAAGCCTTTCTTTCCTTCCATTCCTTTCATAGAGTTATGAAACAGGTTATGAGAATTGAAAATACTCCAGTATAGAATCTTTTATTGTAAAACTCCCAGCCAAACTGGCAATTAGATAGTACATCTTTAGCTGACGCCAAGTAAAAGCCAGTGCGGGTCCTGCTCGGCTTTGTTGACCAGTCGTAAGCTCCGTTTACGGCGTGGGAATATACAAGGCCACCTATCTTTCATGCCCTACAAGTATAAAACCATGTCGTAGAATTCATTCTCCTTTGGAAATATGTTGTCTCGAACATTCAGCTCTCGCCTGAAACATCACAATCTGATAAGCAATTCCAACAGATCCTATATCTCTAATTTGCGACGCATCCAATTCTCAACAATGGCTTCATCAGAGGAGTTCAAGATCACAAAGCTCAATCGCAATGACTTCGACGAATGGTCCGCCCTGTTCAGGGGGTACATCGACTTTTATGAGACCTCCATCCCGGAAGATCAGTACGAAAAGACCTTTGAGCGAATCTTGGACGCCGAATCCGACTTGTACGGCTTGGTGATGAGACAGCAGAACGCGGGAGAATCGACGGATGGAAAGATGATTGCGATTGCGCATTTCTTCCCTCAGCAGACTCCGTGGAGCGAGAAGAAGATCATGCTTTTGAATGGTAGGTTATCTACGTCATGAAATCCACGCTGAGTATTTGCCGTCGGTCGATTAACTAACGAAATGTTGTAGATCTCTTTGTTGACCCATCGCTGAGAGGAAAGGGTCAGGGTCGCAAGATGATTCAGGCAGTCGCAGATGCTTCCAAGGAGATGGGATGCTTCCGTCTTCAGTGGATGACGAAACATGATAACGTTGCTGCACGTCGGCTCTATGATACGATGGCTGAGGCTGCATTTGTTCAGTATCGAATGGGTCTAGATTAAATTTGCTCACAATACTTCATTATTGCTAAAAGGAAATCCATATGCTTCAAGAATCTTCGGACAGCAAGTCTATCTGCTTTAATCATTGTTTGCCTTAATAAGTACATAGAATATATGCAAGAAGTATTCATGAACCCAAACTGCCATCTCCACCCGTGGATCCCTTTACACAATCCCCACCTCCAAACATCGCCTTCGCAGCAGCCTGCCAGACCGTCTCCCGCTGCAAATAATTCTCAACAGTGTAGAATAAGCGACACTCGGCAGCTTCATAGACAAACTGCAGTGGAGTCCGGTCATCGTCTGGATCGTACTCGTTCCGCAGATTGACACTGCCGCTCCACGCGAATGATGGAGCCAAACTGGGGCTGGATTCGTTGAATTTCTTCCACTCTGCTGGAGTAAGGAGAGCCGACGAGGTGTTGATAGACTTTTGAATCAATTGGTTCGCTTGTGTGATGTAGCCATTAATGTAATTGATACCCAACGATTGGCCGCCCTTTACGCCGCCGACGCCTTGCATGGGTGCTTGGCTAGGACGACCGCCGAAGGTGATAGTGCGGACGCCTTGGCGTTTCATCAGTTTGACGAAGAAGGCACAGGTTGAGACGCAGTCACTGTCAGTGATCTAGATGAGAATGTTAGTACGTTCTCCATAGGTATAGAGATAGCAATAATTGGAAACACCCACAATGGCAATGTTCTCCGCTGAGAACAACGGCTGACTAGGATTCAGAGAAGCAGGTCCATATCCGTTGATGGGGAAGGTGTTGGTCGATGTAGCGGTGTAATTGAAGTTAGCTAGCAAGCTAGAAGAGGAGCTGCCCAGGATCTCATGCGGACCATAAAGGTCCTCCCAGGAACTAAAGCCGCTCTTTTGATCCGGGCGAACCATCTGCTTATAGGCAAAAACGTTACTCGAGTCCAGCTCGGTGTCCCGCGAGTACGCCTTGGTGAGATACTTGGCAGAATCGTGGGCCCGGTACCGCGTCGCGGTGTAGGGAAAGGCATCTGGGAAGAAGATTCGGGATAGATCGATGCCGATGGACATGTATCCGCCCGGGTTTGCGGCAACGTCAATCAGGATATTCTTCTTTCCTGCCGCGGTGGCATTTCGCAAAAAATCAGTGGCAACTTGCGCGGCCTCCTTTGGGCTAGAGGAGAAAGTGGGGAGGAACATGATTCCTGCGTCTTGGAGGCCGGTGATATTAGAGAAGTAGCCCGCGATGGAGTTTTCTGAGTTGCGCCATTCGGTATCTGGGAGCCCGCTGATTTCGGAGGCTTCTTCTGCACCAGAGGAGGAGGTAGAAGCTGAAGGCAAGCTCTGGGGAAGGCAATTGACCGTGTACAATTCCGTGCCATTTTGATAGGAGAAATATCTCTCATTTGGCGAGGCCATTCTCTCCACTGTTTGGGTAGTTCCATTGCTGTACTTGAGGCCGAGATGCGAGCCGTCAGTCCAGTCAGCAGTGGTATACCAGGTGCCGTTCTCATCAGTGGGAGTGTTAGTGACGCTGCGGGCCAATGCTGGGAACACTCGGTTGTACTGCGCATCACGGTCTTGCAGACTTTGGAGAGAAGCGTATGATTCAAGGTATTCAGCCACTTCAGTACCATTGATGGACTCGAGGGGTGACACGTTTTTGGCACCTCCTTGATATAGCTGCGCATCGCCTGGGATCGAATTAGCATTGAATCAGTGAGGTACAGTCGTGATAACGTACTCAGAGTGTACACCTGTGGCAGCGAGAGTCCGTCTGTCGAAATGGACACAAGTGGCATATCAATCACATAGTTGAAGATAGACTGCGAGCATAGTTGGAAGCTCAAGTGACCATCATAGGCCGACTTGATGAGATGAGATACCTCCAAATCCATTTCGAATTGACTAGAATAGCCGTTGCTGTTAACCTTGTCCAAAATCGAACCAATTCCTCCAAGAAGATCCGTAGGTGGCATCGTATAGCCAGACGGAGGGTCTATCGGTCGATGTTAGTTGGATTAAAGCCACAGGGTATCGAAATTTCGAGTTCATACGCTTCAAAATATCAACGGTCGACTGGAATTCGAGAATCTTGCGAACTTGAGTGAGGAAAGTTACCGCACGGCTAGAGTCAAAGGGCATAGACATTAAACATTGATGCGCCAGATCGTGGGGAACTTTAGCGCCGACTGCGACCGTTAGCTGCATTCCTCAATCAGCTAGCCGTAGACGGACCTTTGTTTTGATTGGCGTCCGAGACCAGATTGGTGATCTGCGCGCACGGCTCGACATCACGAGTATGTAGGGCCCGAGCAGCCGCAGCCAGCGAGATCAGCAAGGGCACCTTGAAATGCATGGTTGTGATGTTGAAGACATCAAGTGAAAAGTGACGATATGGGGGAGTCTCGGGTCTCCACTCCCAGGGGCTTCGGTGGACCCTTGCGTGTTTGTTCCTATTTTGGCCGATCTGCGCCAAGACGTGTTGCAGTCGTCGTTGAAATCTCCTGTCTGGATGTCTCGGATCCTTTGTTGTCGTGTCGTGGCGTTTGTAGTGGAACGTTACATATCGAGTAATATTACTGCTTCTACGCTCCAAGGGGTTACGTCGTGCTACCAATTGGTGAATTATGGATTTGGCTGCCTTAGCTACCGTGCTAGATTGATGCACACTATCAAGACCACACTTAATCGTCGAAGACACTTTTCCGGAAAAAGTTATAGATCTTGCGGGCGGCTTCTTTGCCAACAAGTGAATCCAGCTGATCGACTTCCATATTGGCGATATCGTGGAGATTATCAGTTTCCAGAACCAACCGCTCAAGGGCTTGCGGTGTCACTCCAGGCACGGCCCTGAGCATATCCTGCGGGAGAAGATTGAAGATGCGATGTTCAATTCCAGCAGCAGCCATGACATCTCCAGGGTTGGCGGCGTCAGACAACTGGATATCCAACCCGATTTGCACAGCACGGAGGGGGTCCGGTTCTGATGCATTTTTCTTGAGTTCGGCAAAGATCTCTGCAGTCTGGTAAGGTGACGAGGACCAGATAATCCTGAGCCGTGGGAAAGCGAGAATAAGAAGCACCAGCATGTGCTGCGCAGATTTTGGATTTGAAGGATTTGCCATGGAACTGCTGCTCGTGCTGGTGGCTTGGCCCGAAGACGAGAAGCCATAGTCAGTCAAGAAGGTAGATGGGGCCGTAGCGGAGGCGAAAGCATCGAAGGTGAAAGATTTGTTCTGGTCAAATTCGATCAAAAGGAGGGGGTTCTTATAGTGTTGGAGCATGGTCTCGGCCTGGTTGTAGAGGCGGCCGTTGCGGAGAGAAGAAATCAGATCACGAATGGACTTGCGCTCTACGCAAATCTCTGGCGTGAGGATGTAATCGCCTACGGTGAGTTGACAGGGGATAACGATCATGTTGTTTCCATGCAAAAGCGATGGAAGGGCGCTGCGGAACTCTCGCACGTCAACGACTACTCGCGGGGGGGCCGCCGTGGCTGCCAGTCGCCCTCCGCCAGCAATACGGGTATTGACTGTGCGAAGGAACTGTTCTTGCGGATCTTCAGCTTTTTTGTCATGAGTCAAAGTGACCGCCATGTTCTGGGATAATGTCAGGGAACAGCCTTATTTAGTCGAAAATCCAACTTACCCCCTTCTCCTTGATGAGTTTCGTGAATGAGTCTTTCTCTCGCCGCACCGCACTTAAATATCGTTGTTCCTCAACAGATCCGCCATAGTAGATGAAATAGACCTTGACATTTCTCCCCGTGTGAGAGCTGCGGTAGACCTCCACTCTGCGAATGAAGGCCGCATCTGGTTCGTACATGATAATGTATCGCGGTCGAACCTCCTCGAGTATGTGATCATCCATATCGCCGTCGTAGGGATGGATCATCACGAGGTCATTCATGTCGTAAAGTTCGTAAAAGTCTTCCATGTCTTCGAAGTTGTCAATCACGATCTCTTCTTTCTGGGTTTCTTCAGCCTCAGTGGGCTGGATTACATTGAGCAGGCTCACAACCTGGCCCGGCAGCTCGACCTCGGTCTGGACACTGCTGTTTGGCACGCGCCCGGCCGCAGATGTGACTGCACCACCGCCACGTACCCGGCGACGTTTGTTCGGGGGAGGTCGGCCTTGAGGCTGGGCTGCTGATTCTGCAGGCCGTCCAGACCTATCATCATCGGAGAGGTTCCTGTTCACATTAGAGAGTGATCTCTTCCAATTGAGATATTCTCGCAGCCGACGACGCATCATGACCTCTGCAGAAGAGCCTTCCTCGTCGTCATCATCCTTCTGTATCGATTGTGCGACTTTTGCATGCATGGTACTAATGTACTCGCGAAGCTGACGGCAAGTTCGCTGGTCACTGCACATAATCAATATGGTGCTGTTTGATTCATCTGGGGCGGCCGGGTTGAGATAAGCATCTTGCTCGATCTCACCGAGGACTTCTGCCACCACATTCCACTTGGGAAGAGCCTCAAGGGTAGGCTGCAGACCAGCAGCAAAATTCGTTGATGATGATGGACGGGACAAATCATCATTAAGTTTGCCTTCGTATACTCTTGCTTTCGCTGTTTGGAAAAGCACATGAGCGGCATGCAGGAAAAGCCAAGGCGAATAGTTGTGTTTATTAGAGCCAGGGGGTGGCGAATGAGCTGCCACAATAGTGTCTAGATATTTCACAAAGGACACGGCATCGTAGGTGAGCAAAGCGCTGCGTTCATTAGTATGGTCACGGTTGGAAGACGAGGTTGACGTACTGGAGAATTCCTCGAAGATCTGTCAAATCACTGACAATTTGCCGGGTCCTAAAGCTCACGCGGTGCCAGATGGGATCCAGTTGTCTTCTGATCGAAATATCGAAGTTTCTGTGCAGGGCACTATCCAAGGTCCACTCCTCCATATCGAGACCGGTGTTGGCTTTCCGGAGCTCAGCAATGCTAATCTCCACGCATTCAAGCACAGCATTTTGAACCTCTCGCATTTTAGCGCTCATTGGCACCTCTAGCTCGATCACTTCTGCCTTGCGATGGCCTTCCAAGGATTCCGCCACGGATACCTCGAACCTCGGCCACAATGATGCTTTTGGCAAAAACAAATTTCGGAGAACATTGGCCAATGGTGCAAATCCAGTAGTCAGAGGCTCGGGTGAATCCGAAAATGCCTTCAGGAAGCCGCGCTTGTTTGCTTGTCGGTAGATGCGAACGATGAATGCCTCCAGAGATGTTGCCACCACCCTGGATGAACTGTTAGCTAACTTGAAATGCTTGGACAAGACATATCTCATACTTATCAGCATGCAAGATGATCATCCCCGAGACTTTCTCGGGATTAAGGAGCTCTAGACAATGTGTTAGCTATGGCCAACTCGTCCCGGAACTTCTCACATACTTGATAGTAAGTCTACAACGAGTATTCTGGATGTCACACTCAGAATACCGCCTTCAGCATATATCCGTTCTCTTATTGTAATCAGCGAACACGCAGTTGAAACGACCGGCTCGAGACCCACCGCATAGACACCGTAGCCTTCTCCGTATTGATAACCTTGAGCCCCCTGGCAAGTGGGGACTTGCTTGTCGCATAATGCTCCGCCAGCGCTACCAATCCACAGTGTGAGCGCACGTTAAAGCAGTGGTCCGGGTCGGACTGGCCTACCCTCTCCGATCCATTCATTCTCTCGATCATCAGCACCAACCACCAACACCAAGTTATTTCCAGCCGCATCGTAGAAATGAAGGAGGTTCGTTATGAGGTGGAGCAGCCCGAGGCCGCGGGCAAGGACGACCAGCTCATCCTCCGTGCGTAGTTCGGTGAAGATGTGCTGCTGATATTGCTGGAGGTGGAGTAGGTCAGCACGTAATCTCGGCCATCGCGGGAATTACAGATACCTACCAGCGGCAGCGACAGCTTCACCGGCACATTGGTTCTTTCCGGAGGCATGAGGAGCCCTTCTTGACGCGTTGAAAGAGCAGAGGGTCAGACGGGCGAAAGCCGTCGCGAGGTCACGTGCACATGATGCAATAGATCGAGACCATCGATCGTGCGTGGTCGGGATAGAAATGTGAATGCAGCTAGGCCAATGTTGCAGAAGTGAGGGCAACTACGTATTTCGAGATAAATACAATGCTGATGCAAAGGCCATACGTAGCATGGTGGTTGAAAGCAAGGTTGCCTGGAGGTTTACAATATTCGTTATTTACACACACAAATCTGTTGGAAGATACATGATTCAACATCTAATTCCCTTAACTCAGTTCACGAGATTCAGGTTTTTAACATTGTTGAGCTCTTTCTTTTGCGCTTCAATCTCCTCCTTTGAAGCCTTGGGGGGCATTTCTAAATAGGCGTTAGCAGCTTCATAGCTGTTTGCCAGCTGGACATTCACTCACCCTCTGGGATTTGTGGTCCCTTGGACAGGTGATCAGTGGCTGATGCTTTCTGGCGCTGTTCGCCTTCACCTCGTTGGTTCTGTGGCTCGTCTTCCCCTTTCTTCGAGGCCGATGGGAAACTAGACGGCTCGGGGATGACAGGCATATTGGAGTAATGGCTGAGGTGCTTTGGAGAAAAGTATACACTGTATTCAGCTTTTGAGATGGTAAACGTAAATCCAGAGAGTGGGCAAGAAGTGAGGGGAAGGGTCCAGAGACAAGAAATGATTATATAGATCCCAGGCGGAATGACGTCGGCGGTCGCTGGGGCAGTTACACACAAGCAACGTAAAAGCAAAAAAGGTTGCCTAACTTGGAACATGAATCCAGAGAGCTCACTAGCAACTATAGCAATAAATTGGGAAAAATTTCGCGCTGGGCATACCTAGGGATAGCTAGTTGATCTCGTGCTTCTGTTTAGACTGGGGTCAAGAGTAGATGGGCTCGGTGACATGGTGTTCATAGCATTTTCTCCTTGGAAATGCCTGTGCTCGAAGATCGCGGCCCAATTCTTTGTTTCTAGAAAGAAGCAGAGATAGTTGGATTCGATGGTCCTCATATCCTACAATTAAACACTTCAACGAGAAAGAAGCTGAAGCTCCTTGCATAGTTCATTAGTACAAGGAGATACCACGTGCCTTCATAGCGGCGAGCACCAACGCCAAGTCACCGCTGTGTACTTCGCCCCGCCAAACTGTCTCTTCCTCCAAGGCAACCGCCGGTCGGCTCCTTTCCAATTCCTCTTCGATATCCTCTTCAACCTGGCTCCATCCAGGTAGACCTTCCTCTCGTCTAAGCGATCCACCTTATCTCCCGCCTTATCCTAGTCGGTACGCTGGGCCCGCTATTTCTAACCACTGGACCGCCCGGTCTGCCATGCGCCCTCGACCGACCTAACCCCAACGCCCCCCTTCACCCATACCTCTCCTCACCGGCCACTCCGGGTTTACGTTAATTCGTCATGCCCTCAATTCTCAGCGATGCCGATAAGGAAACCGTCAAGCGGAATGTACCCAAACCCGCCAACAAGATCCTCGCCGTAGCTGTCGCGCGACTCTACGTTGCCTACCCAGATCCCCAGAAATGGACTTACACGGGCGTGCAAGGAGCAGCTGTGGTCTGCAACGACCTCGTCGGAAGGACCTTTTGGCTGAAAATTGTTGACGTTTCGGTGAGTGACTGGAAATCCCGGAAATAAGATGTGACCAGTGCTGACAATGTGGTGGTTTTGACAGCCTAGTGGAAAGGGTGTGATTTGGGACCAGGAACTCTTCGACAACTTCCACTATAACCAAGACCGAACCTTCTTCCATACATTCGAACTCGAGGACTGTTCCGCTGGTCTGTCTTTCGCCGACGAGAAGGAGGCCAAGACCTTCATCAAGAAGATGCAGGAGCGTGAGAAGCACGCGAGCAAAGAGACCTCCAAAACTCCTTTCGCGTCAAGCCGGGGGCAAGGTCCTGCCCCGATTGCCAATGGCAAAGGTCTCGGCCGGTCTATCTTTGGTAGCTTGTTGCATCGCTCGAGCCATGCTCCGGCTGCTGCTGCTGCTGCTGCACCACCACCTCCTCCGGCCATTGCACCGTCATTACCAGTCGCGCCCCCTCCTACGCAACCCCCGATCGCCCCAGCGGCCAAGGCTGATTTGCCTTTTGATATAAACGATCCCTCGCAAAAGGGCCTCTTCGACGAGCTCCAGCAAATGGGTATTACAAGAGACCAGATGGCGGAGCATGCCGACTTTATCAAGTCGTGGATTGCTGGAAAGCAAGCCAATGAGGCAACTGAGCCTCTGGCCTCCGCTGGAAGAGCGCCTCCACCACCACCTCCTGCGGCACCCAAGGCAAATGCAATCAGTCCTCAAGGCACAGGTAGCTCCGGAAGCCGACGCGGCCCTCCACCGCCACCTCCTGCTCGTAAAGGTCGCGCCGACACGGCGGAGGAACCAGCGTCTCCTCCGCCTCGTGAGCCATCTCCGCCACCTCGACGATTCGCTGCGCCCCCTCCGATTGCAGATGCTGGCAAATTCGCCGAGCCGGCCGGTCCAGCACACCCGAGGCGCCCACGAGCTGTCTCCAGTGCTGCACCGGGACCGCCTCCACCTCCGCGCCCCCCGAAGACTCCAATGGAGGATTCACAGCCCAGCCAGAACCGATTTGGAGTGCCTCCGCCTTTCACGGGGGATCGTCATGTCTCAGGACCGCCTGCACCCCCCAGTCGCAGCCCTGTTCCTCCAGGTCCTCCACCTCCACCTCCTCGTGCGGCTAGTCCGGCATCTCATCCACCGCAACTGCCACCCAAGGTTCCGAATTCAAGCATTCCACCGGGCCCACCACCTCCCCCACCCGCGAGAGGACCTGCATCCCCGCCACCACCAGCTCCTCGGCCTGTACCAAGCCCTATCGCAGCAGCACGGCCACCTCCGCCTCCCAGAGGACCTGCCTCTCCCCCACTTCCACCAGGCTCCGGAGCTCATGCAGCTGTCTCCCCTCCACTTCCACCGGGTCGTGGTAGCCCTTCAGTACCGCCTCCGCCCCCTCCTGCACCTGGTTCTGGTGCACCTGGGGGCCCCCCGCCTCCACCCCCTGGTCGTCCTGCAGTGTCAGTCCCGCCGCCTCCGCCGCCTCCTGGTTCTGGAGCACCAGGTGGTCCTCCGCCTCCACCTCCGCCAGGAGGCTCATCGGGAGGACCTCCCCCCCCACCGCCACCAGGGGGCTCATCTGGAGGACCTCCCCCCCAACCGCCACCAGGGGGCTCATCTGGAGGACCTCCTCCCCCACCGCTACCCAGCACGGGTGGTGGACGCGACAATCTCATGGCGGCCATTCGGGCCTCTGGTGGCCAAGGCGGAGGAGGTTTGCGCAAAGTCAGGGACTCCGATAAGAAAGATCGCAGTGGTGCCATGGTGCCTGGGGGCGCCGAGGAAGCCTCAGCTGCAGCATCTAGCTCAGGAGGTGCTCCACAGGGCGGATTGGCTGGCGCACTTCAGGATGCTTTGAAGAAGAGAAAGCAGAAGGTCAGCGGTAGTGGTAAGTGATGACCAAGTCCCCGGAAAATTGAAACTTGTACTAACTGGACATCCAGATGACGAGAAGTCCGATGATGACGATTGGTGAAGCGTAACCTCATTTTACGTGGTCGGCCTTGTTGTTCGCGATACCTGGGTCTTTACGGACATGTTTTGCGGGCATTGAGCATTGTTTATCCTTTTTTGGTGCATCTTTTGTCCCAAAAGTCTGGCTTTGATTGTTCGATGGCAGGAACATGGTACGTACTTTGTATATATCCTCGATTGAAGATGCAGTGGAGAGAGTTCTATACAAGCGTAGCATAACTACGGTATGCAAAGTTGCTCATTTCAATCCCGGGGTCTGTTGTAGAAACATAGTAGTCTCCTGAAAGATTCATGGACGTCCGTTTCCAAGCTTCGAAATCAAGTACATACATGCCTATCACGGGTAGGATTCGACTGATTTGCGCAGAGCCGCAGTCGCTTGAGCACAGTCTTGGAGTTGGGCGGCTACCGGCTCACCCCCGCCTCAGCCCCAGGCATTTCAAGCAGGCTCACATAGTGATAGGAGACAGAAGCAACCCCGACTCGAACTGCTCCAAGCAGAGGTCGATGAAAACGATGACAGTTTCTTCCGTGTTTTGATCGACGGGCAGGTGAAATATCGCACGGTCCATGCGGGAATCTACAACGTGGATGACATGTGCTTTGGCCCAGCCCTAGCATCCATTATACCAGAGCTACCTGGCGGAGATTGGAACGATGGGCTAGTTGCCAAAGACACGAATGGCCAGCCATATTTCGCACGAGCCAATCGGACTTCATTTCCCGGGGTTACCAATACCTGGAAGAATATCTTCATTGATTATTCGGAAATAGTACTGGGAGAAAAGCTGAGAACGGGCGTTTACGCAGTCGAATGCCCGTTATTCAATGAGGCCGCCGTCGCCAAGTTCGCGCGCTTTGAATGGGAGATTCAGTATCTTGAAAACGAGACAACGGCATACCAGTGGATCGACGGACATGACATCGGCCCACGGTTCCTGGCTCATTTGACAGAAGATGGACGAGTAATCGGGTTCCTTATGGAACGCATAGCGAACGCACAACATGCTGGTCCTCAAGATCTAGAGTCCTGCCGGCAGACATTATCTCGACTACATTCGTTGGGAGTGTGTCACAGAGACATCAACAGATTTAATTTTCTCATACAAGGATCTAAATGCGTGTTGGTCGACTTCGACACAGCCTGCAAATGCGATCGAGATCAAGATGTCGCCCACGAGCTCGATGATTTGCACAGGTCTCTGCAGGATCAATTGGGAAGAGGCGGCGGAGGGCGAACGTGAATTTATCCAAGACAAGCAATTATACGGAGGAATCTCTGGTCTCTCAAGGCGAGAACTCATACGTCCTCTGAAAGCAAGAAGACAAACCTTTGGAATGAGTCCTCTTGTGGAGACGGGGGAAATCTTATATGAAAGCCAACCGGATAGCCTTCACCACTTATCGGTTTCCCTAGCTTAAAACGCCATTTTGGTAATTGGCTGTTTGCTTGAGCCTTGGTGCTAATTATAGCGCATGAGACGTGTTGCAACGCCTGCCGAACTCGAGCTCTTCGGCCTTCCGGGGCTCGGCCCTTCTGGCGAACCTCTCTGGGTTGCTAACGTGTCTAAGTTGAGCCCTTCTTCCATCTCTCCCGGGCTTCCGACAGTACCTAGCTGGACATAAGTTACTGGTCCACATTCGCTGTAACTCATCTGTGCCGGCCTGAACCCTCCCATTGCTTTGCTGAGATCGGAAATTTTATAAATGGACAATCAACAGCGCCAGGCTGCAGCTCTGCTCGCACTTTACCGGCTGCTGTCCCGACTGCTGATATTCTGATGCAGCCAGTCTCTCCAGCCCTGGTCGCTCAATATCGATCTGACACGGGCTTCAAGCCACTCCGTGTTTCCCCAAAACCCCCAGGATGCCTGGAATCTACACCAGTCAACCAGGGCAGTTTCCCAGTGTCGTTTAAATGCCTCCCACTCGTACAGGTCTTCTTTATCCCGGAGAAGACTCGTGCGGTATCGCTCTAGCAGTCGCTTCTCAGCGTCACGCATCGTCAACTGCTCAGGTAAAGGCTCATTGTTACCAACAAGCATATGCAGAGGGACCGAGCATGTAAACAGCTTGGCGAGGTCACAGACTCCCAGGCCTAGCCCGACGTACTGAAAATCAAAGAACGCCACCTCGTCTCCATTAGTTGTCGTGAAGAGATTCTCCGACTTGACATCGCCATGAATATACGATTCAATCCGCCTTCCGCAGGGAGTCAAGAACAACGCAGCCATCTCGGCAATGGACAGTAAGGAGCCTTCCGAAGCCCTGCACATGGTTTCTGACCACTCTGAATCGGTGTCTTGAGCTAGAGAAGCGTACTCTTCCTGTCGTGTCGCAAGGTACGTGTAACCTCCGTTGAGCCATAGTCCGCTCCCATTATCCTTGCCTGTGCTATGCCGTCTACTGGATTCTTCAAGGGGTGGCAAGACATATTCGTCAAGGCTTTTTGGCAGCAGGCCCCATGAGCGGCCGTGGAAACCGGCCAGCCAGTTTAGCGCCCCATGCACTTGTGTGCGGCTTAGTACACTCCTCTTTTCACCCGCGACTGGATATTTTGGACGTAGGTCGACCATGATGGTGGCCATCAGACCTGCAAGATCCTCCTCGCCCTCCTTGCCGTCCATGCCTCGTGTCGAGGCAAGGCATTTAGCAACGGCAATCCCGTCGCCCAACAGCGGGACCACATCTCGGTAAAAGTGCTGCTCTACTTCGTAACTCAGCATCTTTCGCAGATGGCCCTCATCCTCATTGCCAGTGCTCCTCCTTGGGGGCGAGATGAGCTTCAGGATGAGGGGATAAGTGGTCCCGACGACTCCAGATTCCACCCCGCAAAGCTTGCTGAGATGCTTCGCCGCTGTATCGGTGGTAGCTCGGGCAGTGATGGCACAAATTTGTCCATAACCTGCCCACAGGGTCTGTAAGGTGCTGCACGAGACGAGGTCGAGCGAGTGCCACGACAGCATGATCCTGGCGACGCGGTCGGGGTCATTGGCGGGTGAAGGGGCCATGATGACTGGAGGCCGGCCAAATAAATCCCTGCAGGTTACGAGCAGTATCTGCCCTCTGTGGATATTATACCGTGGGTAATTTGGCGTGTGAAAATCATGGTGGATCTGTAATGGCGCGGGGTATCACGTGATATTGAACAAGAGGCTTAAAACGGGGTTAAGAGTGCCCATTTTTGCTGTTAATTACTTTTCTGGCAAAGAGATGGGCAGGATTTACGTTCTGAAGTAGCGGAACCCATTTTGTATTGTGGTTTCCCGGTAACTTTGCTTGAAGTGCGAAGGGAAAGTGAACGACGGATAGAGGTTTCGGGTAGCTTGCTAGACCGCGACGCAACATACCCACATCTCTTCCTTTCTCCCCCATGTTGATATTACAGTTGCAGGCTTCTACCAGTCTGGATCCCGCGCTTAATTGCGACCCGCGAGGCCAGTGACTCACATGTATTACCAATCTCGTTAGCTGACCGGAATACCACCTCGTATTTTGTGGATTTCTTAATTACTAATGGCGATTCACAAAGGAGGCAGTGCTCTCATGTCCTCAGAACTATAAAATCAACGTGATCAAGATTTTTTTTTTGCTTGAATATCGAAGACAAGTCTTTTCCTACTTTCCTCACGTTTTCAAAAGCTTGTCCACACCAAGCCTGCCGCAATGGCCGAACTGAATTTTGATGTCTACAAAAATGTGGGATCTAATGGACTCGGATATTCGATGACCTGCACTAACAATTCTGCATAGGTGGTTGACGGCCAATTAAAGGGTGCCACTAAGGAATACTATGGCATCAACCCGTTCACAGAAGAGAAACTTTGGCCCGCTCCTACAGCCACGAAGGAAGATCTCGACGAGGCAGTGAAAGCGGCCAGTGTCGCTTTCAAAACATGGCAACATACAACCGTGGAGGAGCGGCGGAGACGAGTCAAGGACTTCTCCGATGCCCTCATGGCGCAGAAGACTGCTTGGGTTCCAATAATCTCCAAAGAGACGGGTCAGCCAGTAAGTTACTGCAACAAGTTCCACACCGACAAACTTAGCATTCGACTGACTGCATCGCTATAGGAAGAATTGGCGGAAACCGAGATCGACGCGGCATGTGAATGGCTCATGGGCATTTGTATGACATTCCAGATCTGAATTGAAGCTTTGACTAACGCCAAAGCAGCAACTATTGACCTACCGGAGTATACCACGCACGAAGATGACGAGGTTAAAGTGACTACAAAATACTACCCACTCGGTGTCGTTGCGGCTATTTGCCCCTGGAACTTCCCGATAATGCTTGCTGCCGGCAAGATTGCGAGTGCGGTATCAACTGGCAACACCATCATCGTCAAGCCCTCGTAGGTCTTCCAAGCCTTGCTCAATGATTATGATTTCTGATCTGACCCGGTCCAGGCCATACACCCCGTACACCGGCCTTAAGTTGGTGGAGCTGGCACAGCAATTCTTCCCTCCTGGTGTTGTTCAAGCCCTGGGAGGCGACGACAACCTGGGGCCTTGGATGACGAGGCATCCAGATATTGCCAAGATCTCTTTCACTGGATCTTCCGCGACTGGAAAGAAGATCATGGCAGCTGCGGCCCCAACGTTGAAGCGTGTCACGCTGGAACTGTGAGTCTGAATACTTGGTTCTTCTGTAGCGTGTCCAGGCTAACCGCGGCAGTGGCGGCAACGATGCTGCAATTGTCTGTCCGGATGTCGATATTGACACTATTGCTCCTCAGATTGCGGACGATGGTAACTTGAGCATGCCCCTGAAGGATCAGAACTTGCGGCTAATTGATTCGAACACAGCATTTAGTCACGCCGCACAGGTCTGCGTGGCCCCAAAGCGCATCTACGTGCACGCATCCGTTTACGACAAATTTATGGAAAAGTTCACCGAAGAGTGCAGGAAGCTCGTACCGGGAAAGCGATTTTTAAGCCCCATCCAGAACAAGATGCAGTACGAGAAAGTCAAGTCCATCTTTGACGACTGCCAAAGCCAGACCTACGAATTCGCATTGGGAACCCCCAACCTCAAAAAAGAGACACCTGGATATTTCGTTCCTCCAGCCATTGTCGCCAACCCACCAGAGCACTCTCGCGTGGTACAAGATGAGCCTTTCGGTCCCATCGTGCCTGTTCTCAAGTGGGAGGATGAAGAGGACGTTATTCGGCGCGCAAATGATACAGACCAGGGCCTCGGTGCTACGGTGTGGTGTCGAAACTCGGCACAGGCGGAGCGTATTGCTCTGCGTCTTGAAGCCGGAAGCGTGTGGGTGAATCGCGGTGTCGCACCGCTGCCCACGGCTCTTTTTGGCGGCGTGAAGCAGAGTGGAATCGGTGGGGAATGGGGTCCCCTTGGGCTGCTGAATTACTGTAGTGCGCGGACCTTCCATTTTGCAAAGAATGTTTGAGGAACGAACAGACTTTGGAAGTTGAAGCATTGTTTGACTCCTGTACATAGCCACGGGAAGGTCTGCGTGAGATAATACAAGACTATTTTGTATTGTCAGGATCGACTATCAGACTGGAGCCTTCCTTGGATTCATCTTTAAAGAATAGGGGTACATTAACTACTTTTGGTTATCTTCATGGCCGTCCGAGATCGAGCTAACGCCAAACGGTTTGGGAATAGGCTGTATTATCTAGCCGCTCAACTGATGAATCTTCAGTACATCCTTGCCGGTGGAGATTCAGTGCACCGTCTACGAACTCCTCGACCCTGGCGTGTTGATATCCATAAGCCAAACCAACCGGAGAGAAGGCGTGGCTACGGTACGGGCATCCCTTGTACGATGATCTTGACACCATGCATGTCTGGGTCAAGGCCATCGGGAAGGAGGCTGACGAGAAGGGGGAGGCGTTGATTGACCGGGCGCTGGAAAATACCACCATCCAAGGGGAGAACGGTCTAGAGGAATAGACAATGACATAATGCAATCTTAACGAATGCACCCAAGTCCAATCGCTTAGAGAGATCAGGTACTCTGTACAGACAGGGCTGATAAATGCCTTCAATGTCAGTGGATGGCGAGAGGCTGGTGGAGATGAGTTGCCGAACCCACCCCGGTACCTGCACCCGCGGCCAATCATTACCCCAACCGGCGCCACATGCATCCAGGAATGCGGAGACCGACGGCTTGTTTTCGTTTAGCCCAATCGGTGCGTGCAGACCAATTGGTTATCTATGCAATTGCACGTGTGATCCTCGACGCATCGGCCACCCTACATAGGATGTCATGCGCGCAGTGCATTTAAAACCAGGCTTGGTGGCCGTCCTGGAAGGGGGACACGCGCTCAACCTCTCACCATGAAGGCCACTACCGCTGCTGTGCTGCTGTCGCTCTCTGCCGTCGTTAATGGCCGTCCGGCGGTCGATACCCGCTTCCCCTACACAGGGCCTGCAGTGCCCGTAGGTGACTGGGTTGATCCGACGATCAATGGCAACGGCAAGGGCTTTCCTCGTCTGGTCGAGCCGCCTGCGGTCAAGCCGTCGTCTTCTCACCCGACCAACAACGTGAACGTTATCTCGTTGTCTTATCTCCCGGACGGCATCCACGTTCACTATCAGACTCCCTTCGGTCTGGGCCGTGTTCCATCCGTCAAGTGGGGAACCAATCCCCACTCCCTGGACCGTGTTGCAAAGGGCTACACCCACACGTGAGTATCTCCAAGTACAACTGATGATGACAAGGATACTGACATAACTGTAGCTATGACCGCACCCCGTCGTGCTCAGAGATCAAGGCCATCACGCAATGCAGTCAATTCTTCCACGAGGTCTCTCTGGACAATCTGGAGCCCTCCACGACCTATTACTACCAGATCCCGCCCTCCAATGGCACCACCCAGTCCGACGTGCTGAGCTTCACGACTGCCCAGAAGGCAGGCGACCCCAAGGAATTCACCGTGGCCGTGCTGAACGATATGGGATACACCAACGCCCAGGGCACTTACAAGTACCTGAACATGGTCGCCGATGAGGGAGCCGCCTTCGCGTGGCACGGCGGTGATATCAGTTACGCCGATGACTGGTATTCCGGTATCCTGCCATGTGCCGATGACTGGCCCGTCTGCTACAACGGCACCAGCAGCGAGCTTCCCGGTGGTGTGATTACCGAAGCTTACAAGACGCCGCTGCCCAAGGGCGAGGTCCCGGACCAGGGTGGTCCTCTGGGCGGTGATATGAGCGTGCTGTATGAGTCTAACTGGGACCTCTGGCAGCAGTGGATGGGTCAGATCACCAAGAAACTTCCTTACATGGTTTTACCTGGTAACCACGAAGCCGCCTGTGCCGAGTTCGACGGCCCCGGCAACGTCCTGACGGCATATCTCAATGATGATATTTCCAATGGTACTGCCGCCAAAGACGGCCTCACCTACTACAGCTGCCCGCCTTCTCAGAGGTTAGTAAAGCTCTTCATTCTATCTTATGTGTTGACTAACTAATTCACAACAGGAACTTCACTGCTTTCCAGCATCGTTTCCGCATGCCCGGCGAGGAAACCGGTGGCGTGGGCAACTTCTGGTACTCCTTCGATTACGGCCTCGCTCACTTCGTCTCCATGGACACCGAGACTGATTTCGCCGACAGCCCTGAGTGGTCCTTTGCCGAGGACGTCACTGGTGACGAGACCCTGCCCGAGGAGTCGCAGACGTTCATTACCGACAGCGGTCCCTTCGGTGCTGTCGACGGCAGTGTGACGGATACCAAGTCCTATGAGCAGTACAAGTGGCTGAAGAAAGACCTTGCTAGTGTGGACCGCACCAAGACTCCCTGGCTGATTGTCATGTCCCACCGACCCATGTATAGCTCGGCATACTCTTCCTACCAGAAGCACGTCCGTGATGCCTTCGAGGCTCTTTTCCTCGAGTACGGCGTCGACGCCTATCTCTCTGGGTAAGTAGATCACAACATGATGACACCTTCCTGAACTAATGATTTCCAGCCACATCCACTGGTACGAGCGCCTGTACCCCCTCGGCCCCGACGGCACTATTGACACCGCCTCCGTGCTAAACCAAAACACCTACCGTACCAACGCCGGCAATTCCATGACCCACATTATCAACGGCATGGCGGGCAACATCGAAAGCCACAGCGAATTCAGCTCAGGCCAGGGGTTGACCAACATCACTGCTCTTCTGAACACCAAGGATTATGGATTCAGCAAGATGACGGTTGTGAACTCGACTGCTCTGAAGTGGGAGTACATCCGTGGTGGTGATGGATCGCTTGGCGATTCGCTTTGGCTGGTTAAGCCTGAAAACGGGCGTGGATACTGTGGTGCTTAATTTCTAGTTGGATAACAACTTTGGCCTCCACCGTTGCCTTAAAAAGGAAAATGTACATAAGGCATAACCAAAGAGCCAGCCTGCTAGCCTGCTTTGCTTGCTCGAACAGTGAAGGTTTATCCTGAAATTGTACAACTGCTTACTGTATATGCGCATTAATCGAATATATTATTAACGTCATTCCAAACAAGCTTCCTTTATACCACTGGCGTTTTAGCACTAAAAGAACTCCAAATAATGGAGAAAAGACTAAGATTACCAATCTCAATTTCATTGTAAACTAACTTACTGGTAGTAATCTTCTCATTGGACTTGAATGTGGCATGGATCGTATAGAGGATCCACGGACAACCAGCTTGATCTTTTGGTAACGATACGTCCATCCTTCAAGATAGCTACAAGGCTGTCCTGGATGTGATCCAGCACCGTTATATCTTCAAGAGGATTAGATGTCAGTATGAGCATATCGGCAATACTTCCTTTCTTGATGCACCCAAGTTGACCCTCCATACCCAAATACTTTGCCGCATTGATCGTAGCCGACTGTAAAATGTCCCGTGCGCTCAGGACGCCCGATCGGATTGAAAACTCATGGTTTTGAAGAGGGTGCAAGCCTGCCAAGAGGTCGGAACCGTAGCAAATTGTTGCGCCAGCTTTACGCAAGATTGACAAAGCGTCCAACCCACTAGCTAACACTTGACGATTCTTGATTTGGCTGAAGTCGTCCAGAAACTTATCGAACGGAGGCCGGGACATACCGTGGTAAGTGACCAAGGTCGGAGTAAAAACAACTCCCAATTCCGTGCAGTAGGCTGCAGTTTCCTCGTCAATGAAATTTCCATGCTCGATGCCTCGAACCCCATTATCGACGGCATGGCGGATGGCTTCCACGCTGTATGCATGTGCCGTGACGTATGTCTTTGAATGCTTAGCAGTCGTCGTAATCGCACGAATTTCTTCCGCCGTGAACTGCAGCATATCAAGGGCGTCCGACGGAGTTGCGACGCCACCTCCGCACATGATCTTGATGAAATCGGCGCCTTGTCTGAGCTCGTCGCGAGCAGCCTCGAGGCACTCGGGGACTCCATTGCACACCCGAGCTAGATTGGCAGTGTGTCCGCCGCAGCATTTCTGTTCATCGCCCTGATAAATGGCACGGAAATCTCCATGTCCGCCAGTCTGCGAGAGGGCTTTACCGGCTATGAAGAGCCTGGGACCCATGATCAAGCCTTCTGCGATGGCTTCGCGGAGAGCGAAATCTGCACCACCGGTATCGCGAGCCGTGGTGAATCCGCGAAGAAGCATTTCTCGCGCGACGAATCCCGCACGGTGCGTAATGCTGTTGGGGCTCGCGGAAAATATGTCCTTGAGAGAGGAAGAACCCGGGGTCGCAGTGAGATGCACATGACAGTCAATTAAGCCAGGGCAGATGTATTGGCCCTTCAGATTCACTGCATTAGCCCCTGTGGGCGGTTTCGCCGTGTCCCCAGACGACACATCAACGATACGACCGTTGTTGATGTGCACAGTAGAGTTGGGAATAACCTCGCCAGCTTCAACATTAACGACGTTTGCATTGTAGAATATGACTTCTGGGGCTGGTGTCTGAGGCAACCATGGCTTGCTGCTTTTGCTACTCATCCTGTCTGAGGGGAAATGTTGATTTGTACGGTGATAACGATAGATAGCGTAACGATACGCAACCGACAGATCCGAGTCAGTTCGACCTAAATTGAGGGATTTCCGATACGTCTTCTTCAAACCACAGGCGTGAATTGTTATCTCTGGGAATGCTCCTACGTGACCATATAATCGAATGCCCTTTCGGCGACAATGCCGGGCATTGGGTTACATCCGTCACCGCTGAGCGGGGAAGCGCGAGGGATCTGAGCACCTGCTGCATTCGCAAAGGCGGTCATGGCACCAGGCAAAAGAAGTTGGGGAGTTTCATGGTGAAGGTATATAGTTGATCGGTGTGTACGTTGAGGGAAGTGACTCAAGGTAAGTGTTGTTGAGAATTAGGGGGTAGATAATCAGACGAAAAGAAGATAGACAGGTAATTGATGGTAAATTCTGATTGTCTTTTCTACTCGTTCTCAGGGGGATATTTATATCCTACCCCTGAGAACTGTTTTCTAAGAGAAATGCATACAAAAATGTTCTCCTACACCGCTGCCCGGTGTCCATAGGGAAACCCCCTGAAAAGAAGCAAAGAAGGCGATATAGATGAGGAACCTGCATATACGGGCGCCCATTTCCAATAACCTCATGGGCCTAGCTGACCAATCAGCAGCCATCGGGGCAGAGAGATGCCGACCGATATTGGCGCCTTAGGATGAGGGCTCCAATTTCCAACAAGTGTGAGTGAGAAAGCCAAGCAGCCTTGTTTATATTTCAAACAGATGGTTCTTTGTAAGCGTGACAAGCTTTCTAGGGCGAATAAACTACCCGGCTGAGGCGCCCTTCGTGGCCCTACTTATACACGGCCCCATATCCCAGTTTAGGCCTCCTAGGAGACTAGCCACCTTGGGGGTGGCTTGACCTGTAAGCGTTGAGTGCCCTGGACTCATATCGCGGATGGCCTAATGTTCATGCAAGGGCTGTGGTTCGAATCCACAATGCAAGATATATTTACTGCACACATGGGACATGAGTGTAGAAACTCACGCAGCATAGACATGAGACTTTGCCAACTGCCCAGGCCATCTAGACAGTCGATTGCTCGATATAATTCTAATCCCATCGATTCAGCTACGTGTCCAGCATTCTATACTTATCTAGGAGGTGGGACTCCTCAACAGTCCACTGATCACATCCTGGACTGAGTGTCTGGTCCTCTGACAAAAAGGACGCAATACCTCGAGCAAATGCCAAGGCATTTTTTGAGTGATATTTTGATAGAGCTGAAAGAGTACCAGATGATAGCTAGGATATTGAGTTACACGAAGGGCGTATTACCAGTGTTTCTCGCTGATTGGGACTTCATTCACGTCAACACCTTCAACAAACCATCGCCCTTCACCATTCCCATCCGGCCCGAGAAGCAGATCATTACCGCTCATCATGCGCTTGCGCATCTTCCCCGTTTCTCGGTCAAATGTCCAATCCTCCAGCCCATAGCACCGCTTCCAACGCATCCCGTCCGTTGCGTCTTGGTACTCGTACCAGAACTGCACGGCGATGCGATCATCGTGGAATGAAAAGAGTTCCTTGCGAAGGCGATAATTGTGCTCTCTCTTCCATTTGGCTGTCAGAAACTCAACAATATTCTCGGTGCCAGAGAAGAAAGAGGTTCGGTTACGCCAAATGCATGTCGGAGTATATCCCTGCGCGACGCGTGGAGGATCTCTTTTCAATGGTTAGTCTGCGATACCATCACTACGTCATCGCTCCGGAGCTCATTGCTCTTCAGCGCAGAAAAGATACGGGGAATCTTCAGGAGCGCCAAAATAGGGATGCCCACATGTGCCTAGGGACTCGCACGGACAAACAATAGCGGAAGAATGCAAGGGATGACGCTGCATCACCCTTTCTTTGACCACATGGTGGAGCCGGAATCACGGCCCATGAGAAATCAGAATGAAATCAGAACTTACTGGGTATTCCACATATCCTGAGCTGCCTTGACCTTTTTACGAGCGGTCTCCTCGGTAAATGGTGGTTTGATATCGGCCATGGCTGGTAAGATGTGGACAGATAGAACTTCGAGGAGTGGAGAAAATGGGAATTCGGGAACGGGAACGATCTACCGTCCAAAATATATTTTCGGACCATAGCTTGTGGGTCATTCTCAACGCTACATATAATTGACGAGGCTATCACCGCTTCTCTAATCCTGAGGGCTTTCTCTGCTCCATCTATTGGCCCCCGATAAATGCTCGGGGTTTGAACATCCACATTCGAGTCTTGTGCGTTAGTGGCTGATAGCTTTACCGAACTCGTAACCCACAATGCGCTTAGAGCCGGATCGGGCAATTGCTCGTTGACTCCTAGAGCTCGCCACAATACATAGAGAAAATAAGGGATGGGTAATCTAAGAAGATCTCTACATGTGTCCACCTATGGCTATACTGTACGCACGATATAGGCTAGCACTCGGCGATGCGCAGTCTATTCAGAAGGCGCCTAAATATTGTCCCTGGTTAAGTTGTACACACGGAACATTGTCTGCTCGGCTAGATGATCATACTATGGAACCCGCCCGAGCAACTGTACAGTAGTTCGCATTTAGATTCGACTGGGATTCTAGGGAGTGGAATGTCGAAGATTATGTGGAGTGGCCCCTTGGGCGGACGATAAGGTGATAAGGCCATAGTGAGGACGACATTGCTCCTCTCCCCCTGCCGTCGGGGTGGAATGTATACTTCCGCTGTCCTTTCCCTGGCACAAACAAACCTCGATCTTCACCGGGTAAACGTTTATTTTGCCGTAGTAGGCTCGATGATCTTTCCAAAATATTGTTTCACGTGTCTCAACGGGAGATTAGTGTCGTGAAGTAAACGTCTTGCTCAGAGTCCCAGGAGTATAACAAAACGAACCTCCCATGGGGCGAGAAATCAACTAATTCAGAACTCCGGTACAAAGAATAACATAGCTTCAAAATTGACAGCGAAAGAAGAAATCAATAGGAAACAATGATTGAAAGTAGAGGGGTATAGTGGTGGTAAAATTGTGTAGTGACAGCAGATGCATTCCAAGCCATTCACGGAATCTCCCTCTTTCTCATTCCACAACAGTCGCTCTGAGGCATGCCACGAACTTCTCCCCCCACCCTATCTCTTTTGATCTCTTCTGGATTACCACTGCTCGCGCGACTCTTTCGTCCCTTCGTGTCGACTTTCGCTTCGGGTTCTCAGCTCCCACGCCTCTCCTTCGCCTTCGACCTCACGATGTTGTGTTGATTCGTCCCTGTCACTCTTTCAACTTCCATATAATATCTCAGTCAATCGTTATCGCTAATCTTGCCTTTGACGAACACTCTTAGTGGACGTCGAACTGATCCTTCCTTTCGTGCCGCCTAATGTGAGTTTCAGACTGAAGGCAGCCACGCTGAATATGGACCATAGCTAACAGTGCCTAGCACCCCACTGACTGCTACTCCACCAAGCAACACTACATGCAACTTTGAACACACAGCTCGTTTCTGCCGAGAATGGACCGGGGGATCCTGGATCTGAACGATCCCCACCGAAGACGTCAACCTTTAGTCGACGCCTCCAGCAGAATCAACCACGTCAAATCACCGAAGGGAGAAAATCCTAGAGTTCATGTGGAAGGCCTCGATTTGCTCAAGACACCAGATCGCATGTCCGCCGTCATGAGTCCCACTCCGAGAGACAAGGAAAACCTGCGGCTCTCCGTAGCAACGGATTTTCAGTCGGACTCCGCACGGAACTCGGTAGTGTCAGCCGCGTCTATCCTATCGAACAAGGGCAAGAGAAAGACTCATGTCGGACCCTGGCAGCTGGGAAGAACCCTCGGAAAGGGCGCCACCGGACGTGTCCGACTGGCCAAGCATGCCGTCACAGGCCAAACTGCGGCGATCAAGATCGTCTCCAAGAAGTCTGCGGCCATGGTACAAAGTGAAAGCATTGCCGCGATGGATCGGAATATGAACAACTTCTCGGGTTTCTCAAACGCCCGCCACATGCCTTGTGGAATCGAACGTGAGGTAGTCATCATGAAGTTGATTGAACATCCTAATGTTATTAGCTTGTACGATGTGTGGGAGAACCGTGGTGAACTGTAAGTACGATAACCGGCGATTTCTCAATCTTGCACCTGACATTATTCGCAGGTACCTTGTTCTTGAATACGTGGAAGGAGGTGAACTTTTCGACTATGTCTCCAAGAATGGACCCCTACCAGAAGAGGAAGCTGTTCGATTGTTTCGTCAGATTATTGCTGGCCTTGGATACTGCCACCGGTTCAACATCTGCCATCGTGACCTCAAGCCCGAGAACATTCTGCTCGATGGACAACACAATGTCAAGCTTGCCGATTTTGGCATGGCTGCCCTCCAACCTGCTGGCCACTGGTTGAATACTTCCTGTGGCAGTCCCCACTACGCAGCGCCGGAGATCATCTACGGACGAAAGTACCGTGGTGACAGAGCGGACATGTGGAGTTGTGGAATTATCTTGTACGCCCTTTTGACAGGATATTTGCCGTTCGATGGTGGCGACCTTCCCAACACATTGCGCCTGGTAAAGAAGGGCGACTACATGATCCCTCCGGAGCTGAGCGATGAATCGGCCGATCTCATCCAGAGAATCCTCCAAAAACGACCCGAGGACCGTATCTCTATGCAGAATGTGTGGATGCACCCACTGTTGACGAAGTATGAAAAGCTTCACAATGCGATGGCAGACCATTACATTGGGCCACCCCCTGCTTTGTCAGTCAAGGATTGTGGAAACCTTGTTGCCAGCCGCCAAGACGTGGACGGTGATATTCTGCGGAATCTTCAGACACTATGGCATGATGTGAAACCGGATCACTTGATTGACAGGATTATGTGCATTGAACCCACCCACGAGCGAATGTTTTACAATGCCCTGGTCAAGTTCCGAGATGAACAATTGGAGAACTACCAGGGACAGCCACTGGAGTACTCAGCAAGTGACTACCACCATATTTCCCGTCCTGGAGGCAAAGCTCGCAGAAATCGGAGCACTTCCAAGCGCCGCTCCCACATTTCCATGGTCAAAGACCTTCACCGTCGGATGGGTGGGACTCAAGAGCCCAAGTCGTGTGCAAGTGTTGAAAGTTATGATCCGTACCGTTCACCAAAGACCAAGGGCGCTGCTTCCGAGGTCAAGTATGCCCAGATCACAATCCATAGGGAAGCTGCAGAGGTCCCTGAAATTGGTGAAGTCTCCCCCGTCGTGAAGCCGCCGCCCTCCATCGCAGAAGAAGTAGAGCCAGAGGAAGCAGATGACGTGACCGGCTCGCCATTTACTGTTCTCCAGAAGCGCAAGCATAAGCCAAGCTCTATCAAGTCTTTCCACTCGTCAAAATTGGCCCTCTCCAGCTCTCGAGCCCGAGGCATGTCTACTCGGTCAATCAGCTATCATCGCAATGTTTCATTCCACCATACTCGCAATCGCTCGCAGGGCTCCACAAAGCCCAAGAGAAGAAAGACGGTACAGAAGGAACAAAACCAGCAGACCGATCTCAAGCGGTCTCCCAGTGCGGCCAGCTTGCAAATGATCGCGGACGGAATTGATATTCCACCCATGCCCAGCAGCCCACCTCTTCCCGCTCAGCCAACAGTCGTTCACCGCAGTGGTATAAAGGCTCGAAGTTTGTGCCAGGACAAGAAGATGCGGGTCTCTGATTTGACTTGGAAGGAAGATGCCCGCAAGGTGTCCCACGAGCTCAGCCAGATCTGTGAAGAGGCCTTCAATGGCAGCTCTATCTCTACTATTCGTTCTGCTAGTGAAGAAGCCGGGTACGAGACGCCTGCGACGCCTGTTTCTATCGCCAGTCCAAACCATCACGCCAGTGTTTCCTCCAAGCGTTCGTCGGATAATCCCAAGGGATCTTTCAAGGAGTCTGGCCGCTCTTACAGCATCCATGAACTTACAGAGACTCGGCGCAAGCTCGTCGAGCATAGCAAAGGACGAAATGACAACATCCCTGCGTACCTTTCCGGCGTTATTGGACATCTGGATAGGTTGATTGAGGAGGACCACGCACAGCGTCACAAGCGGACCGAATCCGGGGAGGTCGTTCCCGTCTTCATGGACCCATTCGATACTGCACCTGAAGCATTGCCTGTCATCAACGAGGAATTTGCAAGCCCTATTCGTGGTCCCAGTGGGCTCACTCCCAAGACCAAACCGAAGTCTCGCCCCTCTGCTGCCAGTCGTGTGAGCGATGCCCGGGCTACCATCCGGATGGTCCCGCAAAGCTCTTTGCGGTCTCTCGATGAAGTGAAGCCCTTGATGATTCGTAAGAAAAACCAGCTTCCCGAGTCGGATTCTGCTGAGCCTGAGTTCATGGACCCCATCCGTGCCTTCTCTGCCAATTCCCGACAAGGCCGTCACCCATGTGCACTGGAGCCAATTGAGGAGGCTCCTATTTCTCCTAAGCGGGCGGGTGATAGCAAGAAGTGGTCATGGTTCAAGCACCACCGCCCGCAAGTGTCCGAAATTCCCCCATCTCTTCCACCGAAAGATACCAAACCAATTGTCCCCAGCAATGGCACTGTGATAATCCAAAGTCCTCCTTCGGAGCCGGTGTCGCCAATCAAGGTCGCCGAGAACCGGGTACCCACTCGCAAGTCCTCCATGGAGAGATTCGGAGGAGCGTTGAAGAAACTCGTGTCGAAGAAGGCAAATAAGCCTGCTCCGCAGTCTGAAACAGGTAAATTGAAGCTCCCCTGTCTTTTCAATATTCCGCTAAGACTATAGCAAGACAAAGAAGAAGAGAGCTCGAAGGATCAACACGACACTTCCATTTTCTGCAAGGGCTTCCCTGACACAGAAAGCTCTTTTGAAGCTGACACCTCTCGAAATCCCGTACGCAACAAGCGTCTTTCCCTCGCAAACCACAACTGGTTCGCCCGTGTGTTCCAAATCAAGCCGGCTTCCCATGTCATTGCTCTGAATACCTCGAAGGTCAGGGGCCGAAAGGAGGTCTACCGACTCCTCCGTGAGTGGGAAGACTATGGAATGGAAGATGTCTACATGGACAAGGGCAACAGCATTGTCCACGGACGAGTCGGCGAGGCCAACTGTGCGTTAAGTTCTTTATGCTCTTTCCCTCCAGTTTATACTAACCTGATGCCAGTTCTACGTCTTCGAGAAGTCGAGTTCACGGCAGAGTTCTACACTGTGCTTGAGCACGGCCGCCAGGCGAATCTGAGTCTGGTCCGGTTCAAGCAAGAGCGCGGCGCCGCATCCTCGTTCAACAAGGTGGTCGACACAATACACATGATGCTCAAGGGCCGTGATATGATTGTCGAAGACCCTGTCCGAGCGAAGAAAATGTCCCGCGTGTTGGAAACGATTCCACACGCCTAATGCCCCAATCACCCCAACCTCCGTCACTTTCCAACCAGTCACTCGCTCACAACCCTCCAGCATTGCTGCGTTTCAGCCTGCAAAAGCACCCATTGCATTTCTCTTGCTTCTTGTCTCCCACTTGTTACACTCGCTTGCATCCCTTTAATCCGCCGAGTTTTACCTCGGCTGTCGATACTCTATCGTCTCCAAATTTCCTTTTTCTCTGGCGTTCCTGTTTCAATTTACCGGCTTCTTTTCTGACCTATTGAAAACCCACATTTCCTCTGTCCTCCCCTTTCTTTGCATCTCAATTTTCCTGTTCCCGTTCCTTTTTCCGTTCTGCTGCCCTCCTGGTCTCTGCGATCTAGTCCCGGATCAGGGCTTAATCCCTAATGGCGGTGGAATACCTAGCTAGTCTCTAGATCCCTGTTTTTGTGATCTTTTTCGAACGCGAATGGATCGGCTGTGATGGGCAGAGAAAGTACAGGTAGTTAGCGATCATTAATTCATTCAGTAAAGAACAAACTCGCATCAACTGTCGTAATAGTAGCGAGACCGTGATTGTAGCGTACAATCCCAGGATGTTTGGTTCGGATTAGCCGACTGTAGATAACTTACACCGACAGCCCTTTCCACCTCCAGCGAACGGCAACAAAGCCAACAACTAGAGCCCACTCAAGCACCCCTTTCCCCCTTCCAACTTCCACCCCTGTAGACTGATCCAAACTTTTGACGGAAATAGACCCTTGCAACGACCTAGGGGGAGAGAGCAAACAATCAAGCCCCGTCACCGAAAACCAGAAGGAATGAAAACGGAACGAAAAAAAGCCATTTTCTTCATGGCGCACGCTCAGGCCCAAACCATTAGAAATCTCAGAAATCTGACGGTGCCACTAGCCGGAAACGTTTGATTCTGAACGGCGTTACGAAAGAAAACGGGCAAAGATCAACAATCTGACCCACCGGCCATCCGAGCTTACCAATGGTATTTCAAGAAATCTACGGCTTATCCTGGTGTAAAGTACAGTACATAAACGGGGTCGTGCTTATGCTGACGGGACCCACCATCAAACCCCGCTGCGGCGGGACGGAAAATACTCCGGAAGTATACAGGACGGGGTGAGATTCAGGCGCTCGCCAGTCTAGGGATGGTTATGAAAGGGCTATACAACGCTCGTCTTGATCCGGTTCGGGTATTCAAGGGGTTTCCATATACCGAAATATGGACTAATAGCCCGCCCTTGGTGCTGACAGTCTAGGGTTCGTCACCAGAATACGGGTTAGTTGGTACCGAACTGTCAAGACGGGTCGGACCGCGGGGGCTAGAGGAGCTGGCCGACATCATGATCTCCCCGGAAGTTATTTTGATATCAACGGCTGTTTTGAGGGGCCGGTCGAATCCGGAATCTTGCACGAGATCTGACTGGCCTTGTCCACCGAGATCTAAGTAATCATCTTGATGATCTCGAGGGCGCGGCTATTGAGACCAATGAACGGCGATGGAACGGCAAATTTAGCCCTAACTTTTTGCGGCGTTTTGCCTCTCATCATGCACCAAAGAACAGTCTAACCTACGACTTTCTTCTACGTACAAGAGTTACAATTAATGCTTACTGAATCTAACAGTCGAAAATATCATACTCAAGACACGTCACCGTCGAATTCAAAAGCGCTTAACCGACGAAAAGAACATGGCGTAACGGACAAGACGCAGTAAATAAACAAAGTTGATCAGACAGCCTCCCAAACTAAGAAAAGTGATGAACAGACTCGCAAAAACAGAGCAAGAATCAAAGAACTGACACAGCCGACCATCTTTGTCGCAAGAAGATTGCCTTCCGGATAATATAAGATATACGGGAAAAACAAATGAAAAGAGAAAGAGAAAAAAAAACAACGCAAAAACGGATTTCAAAGGAACCGACCCAGAAAGAGTAACTGCAAATGATTCAGATATAGCCGCCCGAAATTTGTGACAATAATGTTGTTGCCGCCCGTGGAGGTCGTCACGGAGGCTGAGGTGTTGCGGGTTTGTTGTGTGATATAATGCAATAAGACATGATGCTGTAGCTTGGAATTCCTGCTCCGACCGTGGCTGTCGGGGAAATCTGGACGAATAGATCCTCAGTGGAATGAAGCCTGCGCAAAAGCCCTCAAGACCATACACCGAACGCGCCCCGCAATAAATCGGTCGATGAAGAATCGAAATGTATAACAATAAAAAAGTCGTATGCCGATAACCGAAGAAGACCTGAGGCCGATCGATCTCGGTGTAAAAGTTCGTTCGGCTCGTAAGATCATGGGTCCGCATTTAGTGGCCTCGTATCATAATTGATGCAATTGAGACCGTCGTCGTCATCGTCGGCCACGTTCGGACCGCCTCAGGTGCTCCCGACCTGCTTTCACGCGCAAATCGGCGCGGAGATCGCCTTGGCGTTCCTTTGAGGGGGCTCGTGCTCCTCCGCAGGGGCAGAGACAGTAAATTCCAGGATGATCCTGAACACACCCGGTCCAACCGCATCACTCCGACAGAGGCCATGCTGCCATCAAAAGGTAACCGTAACTTTAACACATGGTCCTCCCAAAACCGTGTGGCCAGCACACGGTATCTCATTTCTTCCCAGATTCCCGCATTCCCGTCGCGTCGTTTCCACCGTATGCCTCCGCCGGTTGGCACGTCTCGACCCACATGAAGCCCTTACTTCTTGTCCAGGCCGCGCCGGTTCAGCGCATCGAGCATGTCGTTGTCCGTGCTGGATCGGGCGCCCGAGTCGCGAGTGTCTCCGGGGTTCAACATGTCGCGCACGTTCAGACCACCGCGCTGAGAGCCGCCGGGAGTCGAGGTTGGAGCGGGAGGTGGGGTCACGCCGCCCTGGGACGGGGGCGCCAAAGGCACAAATGGCGAATTGTGGGGCGATGCTGAGTGGCGCGCATCGTAGGGGTAGCCGCCCTGCGGCGAGGTGCGCCGATCGTGTGGCTGGGGGTAGTAGGGGCTCGGAACGGTATGCGTTTGGTATCCGGGGGTAGCACTGGAGGGCGTAACGGGAGCCAGATTCATAGGATCGGGATAGTCATAGCCCGAGCCTGAGCCTCGACGCTGGCGCTACATGAATCATAACAATCAGATCAAAGACTCCGCCAGTAGGGGAATGATTCAGTAGGGGATTGATTGCCTTACCGGATCAGGCATACCACCTGCAAGGGGGGGCGGGGGGGCGCCGAACGGAGGGTACATCCCTTGAGGCGGCGGCAGGGTGGTTTGCGCATCATGCGCCTGTGGAGGGAGAGGCTGTCCGTGGGGGCCGTAGAGCTGCACATTCGGGTCGGTGCGTGTCCGGCCTTGCGAATCGCGCAGGTGAGGGTAGGCGGCGTGCGCGGGGACGAAGGCCTGCGCCTGCGACGAGACCGGAGTAAACATACATTGCTGGTTAAAGCGCTGGCAGTTGGTGCAGCGTCCGTCGGTGGAGTTTTCGAAGCCCGAGCAACGGATCTATGACCTCGTCAGTAAGCTTTCCATATGCGAATGGTCCTCCCAATGGCTCTCCCTCGGACGTACCTTGCGTCGACGGCAGTATCGGCAGGCAATGGCTGTTCGCTGTCGCGGCGCCGCCGCTTGGTAGACGACCTGAGGTGCCTGAGGTTGCCCGTATGGATCGGGGCGGTAGCCCATATAAGGAGGCGCTCCGTGAGGGTGAACGGCAGTCATACTGGACGGCGGGGGGTATTGCGAAGACCCCGGGGGGTAGTGTGGAGGCGGCGGGTATTGCGAAGGTGGCGGCGGATAGTAAGCGCGGTCGTGCTCGGGAGGGGGATAGGAAGACGGCGGGTACTGTGTGAACGACAATCAGCAGATGTTCACGACCCCTCATTGACAATTGACTCGACAACGTACGGGATAACCGGGAGGCGGGTGCCCTTGCTCGTCCTGACCATTCCACGGGGGGTATGGGCGATTGGGATCCGGATAGCCCCGTCGACTGGGGTCGTCGTCGGGAGGATTGCCTGACATTTGTAGTGGGAGGGGGAGGGAGATGAGGGAAATGAGATGAGTCAAGGGTACAGGGATGTGACGTCGAGTTATGGAAAGGGAGACGAGTCGAATCACACGGGCGACGCCAGCATAGCGCGGTCACGCAGGGCAAAGCGGACGCAGGAAGATCCAAATTGGTCCGAGAAATGAAAAGGAAGGGGGAGCAAATGGAAAATGGAAAATAGGAAATAAGGAAAAATAGAGAAAAAGGAAAAAGAAAAAAGGAAAAAGGAAAAAGGAAAAAAAAAAAGAAAAAGAAAAAGAGAGAAAAGGAAAGAGCCTCGGACTATGACGTGAGCACGATGGAGTTAGGACTGGGGATAGGAACAGCAAGGGAAAGCAGAACAGACCCCACGACGCGCAACGACAAGCTCTGGAAAGGAGGAAAGGAAAGAAAGAAAGCAAGAGCTCAGATCCAGAAGTAAGAAAAAGGGAAGGGGAAAAAAAAGAGAAAGAAAGGAATTTTTTGATTGGAAGGGAAAATGATATTTTAGACGACGGGGTGGAGACCGGGCAGCGCGGGCTAAAGCGGCGCCAGTGACCCGTCGACATGGACGGGGGATCCATCTCAGCTGAACCGTTGTAGCCGCGTATTTACAGTACGGGTGCTGGGTGCTGGGGGCCTCGAGCGCCGGGGCCTACCCGTAGCATCCTGCATCACCTAGGGATAGGGCTGATTATCACCGATGACTTGGGGGTTCGCATGGATAGACCCTGCCCATGCACGATGTTGGGCGTGGATCGTCATGAATTCCTCCGTGATCCCTGGCTACAGATCCGGGTCATCCACGGGTCAGCCGCGACTCGGTCCGTTGTCGCACAACCGCAACCGGCCCCGCGGAACTAGGTTTCTTTTTCCATGGCGATGGGCTCGGCTCGGGGCGAAAATCTGTCGCAACCCAATCGCCCACCTGAAGCGGGGGAGGCCCAGAAAATGAGGGGAGGGTGCAAAGGGAAGCGGGAACGGGCAATCTGCTCCAGGCGATGCGCATGAAGCTACTGCATGTACTATCGAACCGCCCTTTCTGCTGTCGAGGCTTGGAGGGGGGCGGTGTGAAGGTGGCGATCAGACTCCAGCTGACGAGTGGGGATCGGGCCTCGCCACCCGATACGAGTCTGGTACGAGTCTGGTGACGAGAGCGGAGCCGGACAACGCTGACCGGTGGTGGAGGGCCCTAAGTTCCCAGGGCTGTAGCACTGGATCCGAAAAGCCCATCATGAGCCAAGGAAACCTGCATTAGCGTGGCGTTGACCGCTGACAGGGGGCGGGTTCCTTGTCGAGGGAGCCACAACCACGTTGTACGGTGGAACTAGGTCTGGGAGGTCACCGCCAATCCCCAAGGCTTCATCTTCCATCAATCTGAATCACTTCGGTCGACAAAGTGAGCATATCGGGAGCGTTTATTGGATCCTACGATCATCTCGTCAATTTCCTTTGATCGAGGGAGAATCCCCAGAGCCGAACGTTTGCAAGCTGCGTGGTCGGGGTACTTGTCCCACGGGCCGCTCCGGCCTTCCCGCCGATCTCATGCATGTGTGCCATCTGGGATGAAAAGGGAAAAATTCAAAGTTCCAAAAAAAGAGATAAGACAAAAAAAAAAAACGGAATGGCGACATGCAGTAGCCAAGGTGACTCGCGCACCGCTGTTCCCACCGGCATCGTCCAGAATCAAGTCCCGCAGGCGTTAGATTGTTTTTTAATTGCCACGTTTTTCCAATCCTGCAAACCCAATCGGCGCGCTGCATTGCCGTCCGCGTCTTTCCGTTGCCGCTCTCCACTTTCTGTTCAGCTAGTTTAGTGTACCGGATTTCTTCGATGTCTTTGGTCCTCCGAAATCTCCAGAGGAGGGGGGTGGGCTCCACCCGTCCCAGAATCGCTGGCCACTCGATGCACTTTCTCCTAGGAACACGCTAGTCGCTTCGGACCCAAAGAAGGACTGAGCGCGGGCTTGGAGACCCAACCGCAAAAGTTGTCGGCAGGCTGCGACGTTTTCTATCTGGTTTTGATGGTGACTGTGTTCCTGTTTTTTATTTTTGGTCCCCGGGGCTCGGGGACCGGGCTGCGCTGGGCTGCACTGGGCTGCCCCCCCCTCTTTCGTTTTTACCCACACGGGAGCGCGTCTATCAGCAGGGATGGAGCCCGTTGGGCACTAATAGGCGCCGCCCGCATGGCCTTTCGGTCACGGGAACAGATAGTATTATAGCGCCAGACCGGCCCTCTCGGGTATCTGACGTGGCGAGAAGACAGGGGGGTGGGGTGGGAAGAGGAAATGTTTGGTAGCTCGTCCCTGCGACGCAGTGCACGTCCTGGGACCCCCTGTCGTGTGATGGACTGGTCGAGTGTGCAGGAAAGAACTGGCGGTGACACACCGTTGCGATTCCAACTCGGTTGTCGGAGCGAAAGTCGTGTCGTACAGGGCGGGACGATCACGTTGCTTTTTCGGCCTGCTGCCAGCCGGCGCATGAGCGATCTCCGCGGACCTTGATTCGTGGCTCAGTTGGGGATCCATGCGATCCTGGACATGGTTTATTGGAAAGTGAAATCACAAAGTTGGCGTCATTCTGGTTTGGGACGGGTGCAGAGTTCAGAGTTGACCCCAACTGTGTGATGAGGTCGCCTGAGTCTTCAAGTTCACGTGGTGCAGCATCTTTTGGGGAAACCTACAGCCTCGTCATTTCACTCTGATCCCTGTTTGGGCAGCAAAGCGTTCGAAGTAAGGCAGTGAGATGGCTGAACTTAGTTGCTCGGCTTTCCCCAATGCATTGATGTAAGCTGGAGAACTTTAAACTGCCGAACCCGGGCCTGCGCCGCGCGGAACGCTCCTGGAAAATGAACACGACCATCAATCCAGAGGATCCGAGGTTTGAAACGTCTTCTCTCTCTCTATTTGAGTCCAGAAGATAAGGGAACCTTTGCAATCTATACTAGGTTCTGCCACGCGTGTACAGACGGCATCCAAAATTCCCAAGTTGGAAGATTCATGGCTAGGTACTTCAAGATCGTTCCTGGCAGCGTACCCGACCATGTATGTTCGGGAACCCGATCGAAGTTGCTGTCTCTTGATTTCCATTGGCATATGAAATGGTGAAGGCGGAGCTTCGAACGATTGGTAGTAACGGGCATACCGGCCATACTCGAAGACGGAGTGACTGAAAGAACATCTCACCTAAGATAACTATCCAGGGCTGATCAATATCGAATATGGAAAAAACACATCGTGATCTATACATTGGAGGGAGAATCGAAGAAAACAGAGTATGGAAACTGCCCTGGTGATTCTTCATGGAACTATCTATACCCCAGGAGCGGTGAAGGACCCATGGACAGATTTAGAGATATATATTGATACATAGCAATGAATTTGGAGGATTCTACGGTATCGAAAGCCACTCGTGTCATCAATTCTATCCGAGTTATTCTTTGATCAATATTAAAAGCGCCGCCGTCTGTGGTTCCATACCGTCAAGTGAGATGGCGGCCAGGTAATAAATTTCGAGAAGGATACCCTTGGGTCGTACCTTAATGGGGCACGACGAGGGATAGTACTTTGACAGTGCTATATTAAATTCAAAGTTTCGGATATTGAGCGCTCTGTCACTGTCATGATTCAGTTTAGAATAGGGTTAAACGGCTTTCACCGTGGAATAGATATCCCCTCGTCCCGCAAGAGAAACAGCGTCGCACCCGCGCATCCAATCATCTACGCTCGAGCCAATCCCACAATTGAACCGTTTTATCTCCCCTTGAAACCAACTCCTCCCCGGGATGAGACATCTCGAGTCTCTCGCACGACTCCCCTCCACCCCACCACAATGCCACCGGGCCAAGCCAGGGAAAAAGAAGGCAAACCACCAGATTCCCAAGTAGATATACATGTCGGGGCAATTTCCACAGGAATGAAGAAACCAACCCACCGGTCTTTCCCAAGCCATGGATTGTTCGGTTCACCAGTCGGTCCTTGCCAGACAAGGAAGGTGCTCATCGTTGCCAAAATCTGGGACGCAGCGGAGTCCCGCCCGGGCCCAATCCACATGCGAAATGGAGTCCCAAGGTTTCCAAGGTTTTGCCTAGCGGGCTTGCCCGACAACGGGCCGAACGCGGCGCGCGGGTGCGGTGGCGATTATTCTTCATGCGTGTCAGGAAGGGGTTGCAGAATGGTTCTACGGTTCTACTAGTGGAGTTTGTTTTGTTTTTTTTGCTGATATGTAGTTTCGGGACAGATACCTCGGTCTGGATGATGGCCACGGTCTTCGCTTACTTTGGTAAAAGGGGGAAAAAAATTGGGCCGGCCCCTTTTTTCTGTTTTCTCTAGGTTTGCTCTTGCGATTGGCTCTATGACGATGAGACAAAGTTTGTATTGAATGTGTATCGAGCTCGACCCGTGTCAGATTTGGCGGGCTGTGTGACATGGAGGGGTAGAATGGGAAAATAAGTCAGGTAATGCAGCTAGATGTGATGAATGTGCAGTTGACACTCCATAGCCCTGTCCTCGCAGGACCCGGGAATGCAGCAGCTCGCCGTGCGAAAACATCCAAGCAAGGTCATGTGCATGCAGTCGGTCTGGGGACGAAGTGGCTGAAGTAGTGAATTAGCCGGGGATGGCGAGATGTATGATTGCGGGAATCGTGACGAAGGTTCAGGTTTGGGCGGAAACAAGAATCAAAACAAAAGAATGGGATAGAACAGCCGCCCCTTCTCCCGCCATGCCCCCCTCCAGAAAAGAATTCGACCGAGCCCATCTCATCTACATATCGGGCATCACGATACTGTTGAGATACGTCACCTAAAGAAACGAGGAGTGGTCAGCAATTGCGAAGATTTCCCCTCCCTGGAAGGCCCAAGGGCTGCAGCAAAGGTGTGACGACGGCACGGAGCTGATTGGCATTGAAAGGGGAGGCCCAAGTGGCTAGCTCAGAAGGGAAATCGGGCTAGGCTGGAGAGGGAAGGAAATGGATAGATCATGCGGCGATGGGCTAGGATGGGCTTACAAAGGGCTCCATGACCCCAACCAGGGCGGCGATCCGGTCCTGCGCATCCGGCGCCAACATCTCTTTGTCTGAGATAGGCCTTCCAATCGTGAAACTGCGCAGTCGTAGTAGCAGAATGTTGGCGTTGTCGGCTTCGTAGCCCTGTAAAAAGATGGTATCAGCATGTTATTCGGGGCCTGCTTTGATTGCTTTGAGGCCCGTGGAGACTGGCGCCGAAGTGAACCATGGAACCAGACGAGACGGCGTCAAAAACGGAAAAACCAGCTCCAAGCCGTGTTCCTGGTTCCAGGGGACTCGCTGCTCTTTACCGCCACTTGGTCTTTTGTTGAGGCTGTCTCCTTGTCAGGTGCCGTGGCTGAGTGCCGTCGTTTCTCCTGCTCGTGGATTGGCCGAGCCGACGGAGACGCGTCCTGATGTACCATGATGCCTCTCCAACGGCGTCCAACGGCGTCCAACGGGTTAGAACGGTCCCCGGGCTTTCATTGAAACCCAGTCGTGCCTTTGAAGGCCCTGGCTAGCATGCTAACATAGATGGAGCACTCTTTTTGATGGCTGACTCCGATCGGTGATAGAATCGGCCGTCATCCGTGACCAATTCATCAACATCGCGACCCTTTCATCGGCCTGAACCCTCAAGCCTCATGGTTTCATCGAGGAAGATGCAGGAGGACATGGTATATACCAGGATGCGTCCGATCCTTCAGGGGCATGTGAAAGGTCAAAAAAGAAGACTTCCTACATACCTTAGGCTTGGTTTTTAGGGCAGACTCCCTGTTGTGACGAGTAAAGGCTTCCACGACCGCGTCTTCATCAGCAGACACTCCGTTCAGAAACTCGCGGCGCATCGCCGGCGCCCCGAGAACTTCCTTCCAGCGATGTGCGTTCTCGTCGATATCCCCTCGGAGCAGTGCCAGGGGTTCAGCCTCCGGGTGCCAGAGACCGCAGCCTACACCGATTGAAAATGGTGAGCATGGAACGGTGATCATGGAAGATCGCAATGGCATTGAACAAGTACTTCAAGTACTGCAATGACTGGACTGTTGCCATGGTCGCAAAGGTGGAAAGCGCTGGAAGACATACCGACGAAACAAGAGCCGGGCTGGAAATGGACATAGTACGCAGCATAAGGGCCTTTCTTGCCCGTGCGGGACCTACACATCCATAAGCCGATCATCCTCTCGCCACAGTCGCAGTGACTTACCAGGCTGCAGAGAAGTGAATCTGTTCATCCGTCAGCGTGCCGCTAACGAGCATCACGGTAACAAGAACGCGGCCGACCCGCTGTAATTGGGGAACTGGGAACTGGTGGAGGGGCAATACGGCTTTGCATACCTTGTACGGAAGAGGATTCTTGCTGAACCGAATATCTCGGTGAATGCGAAAGACCTAGGACACTTGTCAAGGGCTGAAACACAAACAAAGATGGGAACACGAGTGTGAACTTACCAAGTCCTTCACGGGCAGTTCAGGAACGGTGCCGTCCACGCCGGCGATCTTCGGAGTCAGCGTCTCAACAAACGTTTCAAAATCTTTCTTTGCCGCGCGGTAGTCGGGGTCATGCGCTACAGACCCAGTTAGCTGCGGTAACCGCGTTTTATGGGCCTTAGGACGTTACCCTTGAGCCACTCGCGTTCGTTATTCTGCGCTAGATCCTGCAGGAATAGCTTCGTGTTGGGGTGCAGCGTCTCGTCTTCATATGTCACATTGCCCGCGTCGCGCGCCTTGGGTTTGGGGATGGATACCTCTTTCCCGGGCCCCAGACCTGTCCGCACGCCCTCGCGCCAAAGTTCTTTGCCCTTTAGCGCGTGTGCGTCCGACGTGGCTTTGCGGCCCTGCTTTCCCTTCGCAGTCTTCGGCTCATCCTCGCTGTCGGAGGGCTCTTCAGGCTCCGACTGATGATCGGAGGACTGCGGGTCCTCTTCCTGTTCCTGTTCCTCATAGGCGGAGCCCGAGTCTCCATCGCTCTCGCTTTCCTCAGGCTCAGCGGAGCTATCGGGCTCAAAATACTTGCTCTTTTTGGTCGTGGACTTTACTCCAGACAGGTCGGCGTTGGACTTGATCCGCTTAACCTCGCCCTGCGAGGCGGACAATCGCGCCGAGGCGCGTCGTTTGAGCGCCGCCCCAGGCGCTTCCGGGGACGCGGGAGCGGGCCGAGATGATCGTCGAGGCATAGTTTGGAGTTCAAAATTAGTCTCGCTAGTCTTATATGGGGATCGTATTTTGTAAATTTGTGTCCTTGTTTGTTGTCTTCCCGATTCCTGCAAAGCGGCCAAGTAGACGGTGTCGATGTTGACCCAAGCGTAGAAATGAGCCAAGTGGAGAAATAAGGTCGTTCTATTCAGGTACAAGGAGAAAAAAAAAAAGGAAAATCCAAAGGGTGGACCTGTCCATTTAAAACCGGCTTTTTATTTTACTGCGTAATACGAAGGGAGTCCACGATATGTTTGGCTCCGCCTTTTAGCCTTCCGCGGGCATTTTTTCTGCCATCGATTATCCGCGATGATCGGGCCATCGATTCGGCCTTAACGCAATGTTCAATGGCCATATTCCGTTCCTTTTTATAGAATGTCAATATTTCACCCGTAGACAGACCTATCCTATGTCGAGGATATGCCCGATCTAATCCGTGACGTCAATGCTCTTCCTAGTCTTGTCACTACAAGTTGTGGGGCGCCTATCGTTGGACATAACCTGCGTCTAGTTCGCTTCTATTTTGAACTTTGGCATAATCACACACAACCAAGGCCTCTCACTTGAGTCGGTGATCACATACTGCGATGAAAAGACTCATGAGCCGCCCGTTCGCAGTTTCGTGACGGAGGGGTATCTTACAGGCTGATGGCCACCTCTCTTGACCAATTTGCTGTCAATGGGATCGCAGGCATTGTTTATGAAACGGTACTTTGGAGTCGTGCCCTCCTGGGTGGAGCTACGGGATTGGAAGAACGATGTGGGAACGTGAAGGAGGATGGGGGACGCCCTTTGCAAGGATGAGGAAGATGCGGAGAGTCAGAAGGCTTATTGAAAATGAATTGGACGAGATCAATGACGTTAAATGTGCAAAATCGCTTGTTATGTCCCGTCCCGGTCTTCTTTGAAGTAGTCTGCCACTCGCTAGGATATATGCAGTTTTAGAAGGATTATGCCCACTGCACCTTGTCTCTACAAGCCGTTTGCAACCATTTCAGACTATTAAAAAAATTACTGGATGCACGTGGTAATAAATAAAAATCATTTTTAGCATCTACTTCATTCTCTCTCAATACCGCAAAGGACGTATCTACCGGCGCTTCAGGAATCACACCTGTCCCAGATTCAGCCCATCGGGCCTTGGACTTGGCCAGTGTCCACGTCATGCAGAATTGAAAGAAACAACTAGTAGATACAGAACAAATGTGCGAAAGCACAGTACAAAATTGAAAGGACGGGTTGATATCACGGTATCTCGTATCCCCGTCAATGTCGCGCCATAATCACCGTATCGTAAATTTCATCCGTAAGTGGTGGTGATATGCACAGACTTCCTACTGACGGAACGAACTGCCGCCAGGAGAAGGATGAGTCTGCCAGGTGTTATGGGCAGTGCGAGTACGGGTCTGGCTGGCGCCAGCGGCGTAGGTAGTTACAGAGGGGTCCCAGCTCTGGCTTGTGGAGTGGTAAGGCGGATAGAATTCGTCCACGGTATTCGACCAGGAGGGTGTACGGGTATTAGAGGTGGAGGTATGACCGGGCCGCGGAGTATTGCTCGCGGTGCGAGGGCTGCTGGAAGACAGGGGTGCGCAGTGGTCAGGAGGGCTACTTGGCGGCGCCGTTCCGATAGACGACACACGGGAGTGACTACCCGAGTTTCCGAAGCCAGCGATTAGGAGAGACCTAAGAACACCCATCTCGTAGGTAATCGCATCTGCAAAGGTTTTACTCATGGCGGTCTTGTCATTCCAAGCAAAGAGCTGCTGACCATAAGGCTGGATCCAGGTGGGATCCGTGTGTCGGTTCTCTAGGCCCTGTTGCTCGGTCTGGGAAACACGGCCATGGCTCATGAGCGATGCATAATACTAACATAGATGTCAGGGTTGAATGGCAAAAAAAAAAAGAGATGTGTAGCACAAAGGATCCTACCGTCAAGCAAGCGACGTCATACGGCGACAACCAGGTTAGAGTGTCGAAGGGGAAGTAAGAGAGGTATTCTCGCGACATACGGGCCAGGGTAGCATGATCACGGCCACCTTCAACCAGAGCATACTTCATGCGGGGGTTGAATGCCGGGCATCGGAGGCCTGTCTGCATCATCTCGGCAACCAGGCGGTAGTCTAGGCCGACAGTGCGAGTGGTGGTGACCCGCGAGTACAGGAGCTCCGCCATCGTCAGCAGTGTGTCAAACAGCTGGTTGCGAGCATGCACAGTATACATGTCAGTCGCGTACCAAGGGAACTTAACAAGGGGTTAGCAAACGCGGAGCAGTCAAAGAATGAGAAGCATGTCAAGGGCAATAACTTGCCTTCCAGATGGTGCTGATAATGGATTCGTATGTGCGCTGGGGCACCTTGCCAGCGAATGCGCTCTGAGATATCTGTCAGTATAATGGTAAAGAAGGGGAACGAAGGGAGGATGGTCACATACTCGGTGAGGCTCCTTTGCGTGTCGCAGGACGCAGAACAGTTCTTCGTCGGTGAGGAACCCATCAAAGCCGGATGACCACCACTCAGCGGGGCTAGTGCCGTGGGGAACGAAACGATCGTTGATCCAGTCAAGGCACTTTGCCATGGGAAAGAGTGCCCTCATCAGTTCTTCCTGGCTGCTCATAGCGACATCGACATGGCGATTGCCCATGCGAGGGCCAATGTGAGAGTCAGAGGCACAATTCACGCGGTCCACTGCCGCCTTGGCACTCTCGTGATTCTCAAATTCAACGAAGCAATACATGGTCTTGCCAGTAGAGCGTTCCATGATGATATGGACGGGGCATTGAGAGGAGTGGATCAGATTCGCAGACCTGCCGAACAGCTGGATCACCTCCTGACGAGTGACCGTGTACGGGATCTATGAAATGGGTCCAAAACGTACTTAGCACAGTAAATGAGAATAAAGAAGTCAGATCAAAATACGTGACTTACGTTGTCAATTCGGGCGACTCCATGACGATGAGGCTCGCGTTTATCAGCCAGGTTTCCAATTGGCCAGTCACTCTGCTGCAGCACTTCCTCCAGGGGTTTGTCCTGGTAGATCCGCAGCTTTCGCTGGTACTGCTCCTGGCTAGGAGGATCGATGGGGAGGTGGTACATCCTCGCAGATCTCTAATCTCGATGTAAGCCGGTGAGGTATGTAGAAGGTTGAGAGTAACGAAGAAGGGTAGGAAGGTAAGATGTGGGTGGAAGGTTGACGAAGACAAGATATGGAAGATTTGGAGAGATAGAGAAGTTGAAAGAGATAGGGAGATAAACAAAGTGAGAGGTACAGGGGAATTTGGAGGGGTTGAGAAGGGCAAGAGAGATGAGACTGCCGTTCTGGTTATGGCAGCTGGGTGAGAGATGGAAGGATTGGGAAGGTGAGGGAGCGGCACATACCAAGGATGCGGAGGGACGGAAGGTCAGGTAAGAAATTCGATAAGGATGAGGGATGATGAAGGGGGAAGATTAGGACAAGCCAGAACCTCATGTCTTGCCGAAGTTTAGCTCTTGTTTCCGACCATTTCACTTCAAGGACCATAGTTGGCCATATATCATCTCTGAAAATAGGCAAGTCTGCTGGCCTCCAAGAACCGTCGGCTTTTTTCCGACGCCATCCAATCTGATACGATTGTCGTCAATACATCGGAGATGACTTGTCTGTTTTTATATTGTTTCCGGATGGTGACTATCGAGACGAACGCCCCTGTCACTGCTCCGTCTATGCCAGTCACCGGAGACATCTTGAACAACATGGTGGAAGAAGTGAAGCTGTAGGGTGAGCGAAGTTGGGAAAGGTCAGGAAAGAGCCCATGCCACAGGCAGACATCCACCTCCCAATCTAGGAAGGCGCTGATAAATCAAGCCAAACGCACGCACATCTGATTTATCCTATGGGCATTGGTTTCTTCAGCATTAAAGCCCATAGTAATGAAATAGCGAGGACAATAGAAAAGACAGAATCACAAGTGTCATATTGCAGCTGAGATTTGCGAGAGACATAGACCAAGCCCTAAATCTTCAGGAAACCAATGAGGTATCGAGCAAGGACTCCACAGAAATTTGTGCTGAAGCTCTCTGGTGGATTCCCTGGTGTGCTACCGGGCTATCTTATGTAGAATCAGTGACCGGTTTACTAGGGAGTGGATGCTCGGGAGCTCAACGGCTATAACATAACTCCCAAGCAAGAGGAAATCCTCACCTGGGACTTGCTTTGGCCCAGACAAGAATTTTGATAATATATGGTTGGAAATTTCGGGGGAAAGTCCGGCCAGAGACACAAGTCAAAGCCTTAGTGTCCAGCCAGACTGTGATCATCAAGTAGAGACGTATAGTGCCTATAGTGGAGCTGGAAATTCACCCGAGGGTAGTCTTTCATTGCAAGCCTGTGTTGATGTATGGAACAAATACGGATAAGACAGGTGTATCTTTCGTCGCCAGCAACCTTCAAGAACGCCACGCAATTTAATCAAACTGAGGATCTGTTAGCAGATAGTTGAGAAATGCAAAGTAGGGAGCTACTTACCGGAGTCAAAAAAGACTCGGCAACGAATCGAGCTCGAGCGTTCAAGAAAAGCTTCATCTCACTATAGAATTGTCAGCGCAAAGTCGGTTGTAAGTGGGAAGTGAGACCTAGAGCCCTACCTGATCTCCTTGTCCACCTCTTCCATACTAGACATCTGTTAGTCGGAGTGTGATACAGTGGGGACATGGGAGTAAACGAACAATTGAAGAATAAAGTCGACCAACTTATGCTTGAGCAGAGCCTCGGTGTGGTAGTTCGTCACTAGGAAGGAGATGTCGTAGCCCTAAGATACCATTAGCAACGCTACTATAGTCTTGGCGGCCAAGCTTGAACTGAGTCGGTCCGGCACTGACCTCGATAGGCTTCCGTCGAAGAATAAAGAACGACTCGGCGCGTTGAGTCAGGAAACGTGTGAACTTGTGTACAAGGACTAGTTGCCGTGGATCAGTAAATGGTTCGGAGCCTGCCCAGAGACCAGAAAGGCTTACTGTGCTCAATCTCATCGGCCTGTTTGACCTTCAGCGAAATTCTTACTGAGTTCACACTCGGCTCGATCAGAACACGTTCTGTGTCGTTGCGGCTGATTGTCAACGGATTGAGGAGAAGCTCGGGGCTGCTAGCGGCCTCAATCTCCGGCACATTGTGGCGCTCGGAGGTCTGGGAGGCGAAGTTCGAAAGGGCGAGTGCGGCGGTCAGGGACGAGCGCACAGCCTGGAGATATGGGCGCAAAGATTGTGACTGATACCGGTGGTTAGATATGTCGTGCTCAAGGTGTTGGGGCCTGACTTACCATGGCGGAGGGGTAGCGCGTATGGATTGGATAAGGTTGTGGTTCTCCGAGCTTGAAATCAAGTTGAAATCACAGTCACAGCTCTGCTCTGGGAATCCAACAAGTATCACGAGATACCACGGAGCCAGCAATTGCAGGAAGAGACAGGAGTACGATAACAGCGGAGGCGCGGAGAAGAGGTCGTCCCGCTTGGGGCGGTGATGACGGTTGTTTGGCTGGTTTGCAAAGCCCCACGTCTGATCAGCCACCCCGGAGCTGTTTACCAATCACCCAACCCATCCAAGTTCTCCCATCGCTCTCCTTTTGCGAAGTGACTCGTCAAGATGGCGTCGATACCGAGTATGTTGCGGGAGTGCTATTGATTCGATCTTGGTCGCTAACTTTGGTCTCAGTTATTGTGAAGCACGCCGGCAAACGTCACGAAGTCGAGCTCGACCCTACCTCCAACGGCGAGACATTGAAGTACCAGCTGTTTTCTTTGACGGGCGTGGAGCCAGACCGACAAAAGGTGCTCGTCAAGGGCGGCCAGCTGAAGGATGACACCCCGTTGTCGTCGCTCAACGCCAAGCCAGGGCAGATCTTCATGATGATGGGTACCCCGTCGGGTGGCCAAGGATCTGCCGATCTCGGTCGGCCGAAGGAGGCAGTCAAGTTCCTCGAGGACATGACTGCTGCGGAAGTGGCACAACAAGAGGGTGCTATACCTGCTGGTCTGCAGAATTTGGGAAACACCTGCTACCTGAACTCCACTCTCCAAACCCTGCGCAGTGTTCCTGAGCTGCAGGAGGAGCTTCAGAAGTATCAACCGGGCAATGCCTCTGGTCAGTCAGGTATTTCCGACCTCAGCAGCTTCGGTCTCGGCGCCTTGGATGGCTCCAGGGATATGGCTGCAGCTCTTCGGGACCTGTTCAAGCAGATGTCCGAGACCCAAGAGGGCATCCCTCCACTGATGTTCTTGAATGCTCTTCGCACGGTTTTCCCCCAGTTTGCCCAGCGTGACCGCAACGGACATGGCTATGCGCAGCAGGACGCCGAAGAGGCATGGTCCCAAATCCTGAACCAACTGCGAACCAAATTGACCATCAGTGATGGAAACGGAGATGCCGCCACTCGAACTTCATTCGTCGAGAAATATATGGCCGGCCGGTTTGATTCCGTTACCGAGTGTGACGAACCTGGGGCGAAGGATGCGGGCGAGGAGCCGAGCAAGGGTTCCGACGTGTTTTTCAAGCTGGATTGCCACATCGGAAAGGAAACCAACCACCTTCAGGATGGTATTATGGAAGGCTTGGAGGAGAAGATCGAGAAGCAGTCCCCTACGCTGAACCGCAACGCCTTATACACGAAGCGGTCCCGCATTTCTCGACTGCCGAAGTACCTGACGGTGCACTTCGTTCGTTTCTTCTGGAAGCGCGAGACTCAGAAGAAGGCCAAGATTATGCGAAAGGTCACCTTCCCTGCTGAACTTGACGTGGTAGAGTTCTGTACCGAGGAGCTTCGGAAGCAGCTCGTGCCCGTCCGTGACAAGGTCCGCGAAATTCGGAAGGACGAGGTTGACATCGAGCGTTCTCGCAAGCGTCAGAAGCTGAACATTCAACAGGAGGAAGAACATAAGAAAGAAGAGAAAGAAACTGGAGGCGGCATGGAGCCGATGCAGAAGAAGCAAAAAGCCACTGAAGAGAAGGGCAAGACCGGTGATAAGGACGGCGATACTGCAATGGAGGAGAACTTCAAGACCGACGTGGAGTACGAGGCAGAGAAGATGGAAGCCGTCCGGGTCGCCAAGCAGGAGCTATACGACCTGCTTAAGCAGAATGGCCCCGCCAACGGCACCAACCAGTCTGGATTGTACGAACTTCGCGGCGTCATTACCCACCAGGGCGCGAGTGCCGACAGTGGTCACTACACGGCCTATGTCAAGCAACCGGAGCGGAAGTCCAATGATGCCCAGACTGGTGGCAAGCGCCGCGAGGGGGAAGGCAAGTGGTGGTGGTTCAACGACGACAAGGTGACCGAAGTGGAAGCCGAGAAGATCGAGACCCTTTCGGGTGGTGGTAAGTATACCAGGGATTGTTTGTTATTAAATTTTTCTAACGTCTTCTATAGGAGAGTCCCACTCTGCTCTGATCCTGCTTTATCGGGCCATTGAGCTGCCTACATTGGATTGAATCGTCCAAGCGTTGGAAATGGAGTACTATTTGAAGCCCTAGTCCGCGACCAAAAGATACGCCTCTAGATGAATAGACGATGGCCACGAGTCGATGTTTATGGGGATATGGATTCCTTATGTGAATGCGGTTCATTTCGTAAAGAAGTGTAGAAAGTGTAGATTATCTCCCTAACCTTTGGACGTACCTTGAAAAAGTAGAACGATCCATACATCGGGATTTACAGAATCACGTGACTGTCCGCGGTTGAAGCCATTCGGATCCGCGCGACTTGACTTTCCCTTTGACCTCTTGGATGGCGATGTGACACGATGCATTCTCGCCAGATTCTACAGCTGCCACTGCGCGCACCTACCACCAGCACATCTACCCTAGCACGGTTTTCCGTCCGAAATGCCAGCACCGCCGCACATGCGAATGCCTCGGCCCAACCCATGCGATGGACGCGCCGCCTGATTTACGCTGGAATTTTCGGGTCCCTTGGCATAGGCGCTGGGAAATGGATGGATAGCAAATTCGCGGCACCGCCGGTTCCAGGGTCCATCGAGGACCAAACAGAGCTGCTGCACATCCAACGCGCCTATGAGGTCGGTCTCCCGATTGTGCAGCAGTTGCGCCACGATGCAGACTACACGGAAAAGGATGTCTACGAAAACTTTTCGGATAATCATAAGACACAACGGCTAACCTCCGGCCCCCTGAGTGGGAGCAGAGGCTTGGGTCTCCAAGTGAGTGGTTGCTATCCTCTTCGGAGAGTCTCCCTCCCCCCGGGCGAGTTTTCCCCCCAGGCGGGTCTAGGCGAGTCCGGCAGGCAAGCTACCAACATGCTTCGGGTACCAGAACTTCAGGATCCCGTTCTTGGCTAACTTATTTTGTGCTTGACAGAAAGTCTTCTGGAACGACAAGGAGAAGAAGCTCGTTAGCGTCGTCTTCTTTGGGGCTGGCATCGAAGGATGGCCAACCATGGTGCATGGAGGTGCTCTTGGCACGGTAATCGATGAGAACCTCGGACGCGCCGCTATTCGACACTTCCCGGCCCGTACAGGGGTCACTGCAAACCTCAATATTAACTATCGCGCCCCTGTCTACTCGGGTAACTTTTACTCCCTGCACACGGCTCTGGACCAAGAGCAAAGCACAGACCAGAAGGCGTTTGCTACGTGTGAGGTGCGCGATATGACGGGGCACATTTGTGTCGAAGCGAGCGGTCTATTTGTGGTCCCAAAGAAGCTCAAGCTCAAAGAAGTCGGGGAGCATTTCTGAGCTGTGATCCATGGGTGGTTGAGCTATAAGCATCATGACTATCAACTCAGTGTGGGGACCTTGAGGCAAAATGTACATGTAATAGACTTTTCCGCCACTTTAGGATCCCCTTGTGCTGACCCTGTTTTTCTACCTTTTTGCATGGCGATAATCGTGCGTTTCCGGTTTTCCTCCATATTCCATGTACAATACGTCTCCCCAACCGTGGGATTCACCTGTTTCCCATGTAAATAATCTTTCACGAACTATGGCAACAGGAGTGCATCAAAGAAGGGTAACTATGTAGCCACGGGTCCTTGGATACGTTACAGTTTCGGGGCTGATCCTATTGTGGAATTTGGCCCCGAGCTGGCTGGCGATCGAGGCCCGCATCCACCTTCTCCACGTTTTCCCCGCATTCTTTTGGCCACAGACTTGCGCCGCCCCCTCAATATTCCCTAGGGATTACTAGGGATTCTCGAGTCAGCCTCGGTATTTTCTGGATTTTGAACAGCTCATTCCGGCTATCGCTTATCTTGACTTCATCTCGGTATGTACTCACTTTGCCGCCCCCTCCTATCAATTTGCCGGCCCGTTCCTCGGTCTGATTGGCCCCAGCCCCCAACGGACGTGTCCGAAGCCGGCAAATACTTGAACAAAGAAACACTTAGGTGGGTCTTACAATGTCATGTTGCCTATCTGCTATTCTACGCGAGTCTATATTTCGCTCATCCCCCACCAAGTGGGATCTACACCAGCCAGAATTAAAATCTATCCTGTTCGCCTTTTCTTTTCTTTTCTATATCACTGGTATCTTTCCTGAGTATCGGCGGACCTGCCGTTAAGCTATCTGCCCAATATGACAGGGACAATTGATGAATCGCCCCCGGCGCATTACGACGAGAAGCATGCGATCCAGCCCCTGGAGAGCAGTGAGCTCGAGACACGACACAGTCACCTGGAGGAGGTCGATGCAAGCTCCAATGAGGCGGGCCTTCATGAGTCCGAGAAGGACATTCCTGTACGAGGATTATTGCCTTGGCGGTGTTTCAGTACTGATCATCGTCGCTAGATGACCTTCCGGCGGTTCATGGGATTCACAGCGATGGCTTTCTTGTGGACCGGTAGCCAGATTCCGGTCTATCTATTCGGTACGGTCCACTCCTGAATTCAAAGGGAGCCCCTGGCTAACGGTCTTGAATAGGTGGTATTCCTCCGTATATCTACGGGGATATCGGAGGAGATGATCGCTGGGTTTGGTTTGTAAGGATAATCATTCATATCGAGGGGTTCTCTCATATACTAATCGTTGCATTCCCACAGGTCTTGGCCAATCTTCTCAGTCTCGCGGGCGTCTGTCCTTTCGTCGGTTCTCTATCTGATCTGATCGGCCGTCGCTATGTCGCCATTCTTGGTGCCAGCCTCATCTGTCTTGGGATGATCGTCTCCAGCACGGCGAACACAATGAATATCTTTATCGGTGAGTCCCTTCGACACGAAGCCTTTTTGAATAAGAACTGACCACAAATCAGCGGGTATGGCGATTGCTGGCGCGGGTGCCGGTGTTAATGAGTTGACTGCGCTGGCTGCTACCTCAGAGATGGCTCCTACCCGCAAGCGTGGTGTCTACGTCGCAGTCCTAATCTTTACTATCGTGCCCTTCTGCCCGTCGGTCCTATGGGCCCAGCTTATTGCGTACTACAGCAACTGGCGTTATGTCGGCGCCTTCTGTGGAGCGTGGAGTGCCTTCGGTCTTTTGATCACGGTCTTATTCTACTTCCCTCCGCCTCGAGCCAACTCCCTTGGACTCAGTCGGATGGAAATTATCGGCCGCATTGATTTTGTCGGTGGCTTCCTGAGCATTACCGGCTTGATCATCTTCTTGGCTGGCCTGCAGTGGGGTGGATACATGGTAGGTTCTGATCTTGACGATTCCTCCGGGGTTGCCTTGAAGCTAACCCTTGGATGCTTTAGTACCCATGGTCCTCTGCCCACGTTCTCGCCCCGTTGATCATTGGCTTATTGCTGCTTGTTGCGTTTGCATTCTGGGAGATCTATGGAGCCAAGTACCCCATCTTCCCGAGTCGCCTGAAGCAAGAGCCTCGTATTCTGGGTCTTACACTGGTGATCACCTTCATCTCCGGTGCCAACTTCTTTTCGGTGTTGATGTTTTGGCCCACCGAGTCGTTTAATGTATACGGGCATGACCCTGTGGAGGTGGGTGTCCGCAGTTTGCCCATTGGCTTCGCTATCTTGGCTGGAGCTTGCATCGTGCTGGTGTTGTTGAGTGTGTTCCGAGGCCATAACAAGGAGCTGTTGATTGTCAGCAGTATCCTCATGACTGCCGGTGAGTGTCCAACCCCACCCAAAGATGGAACCTCTTCTAATCTCCGATATATTAAGGTTGCGGTGCTATGTCTATTGGCAAGATTGACAACATGTATCAGCTGTGGGGAATCCTCATTCTGGCCGGTCTCGGAATTGGTGGCATCGTCGTTCCCGCCTCAATTATTACCACCATCATCTGCCCGGATGTAAGCGTCTTTGATTCATGCGTTCCAAATTGCAAATTCTGACCCATACTAGGACCTTATTGCCACAATTTCCGCACTGACCCTGTCCATTCGCGTCGTGGGCGGTGGTGTCGGCTACTGCATCTACTACAACGTCTTCATCTCCAAATTTGTCCCCCTGGCAAAGGAATATATTGGCGGTACAATGGTGACAGAGCTTGGAATCACCGATGTACAGCTAATCACCGACGTAATTGAGCTCACCGGTGCTTCACTGCTCACCGAAATCAAAGCGCTCCCGGGCATCGCTGGCAACGAGACGGCATACGATATGGTGGTCACAGCTGGCCAGCTTGCTTATGCCGAGTCCTATAAGTGGGTGTACTATGTCAGTATTGCATTTGGATGTGTTTCTATTGTGGCTGCGTGCTTTTTGGGGAATATTACTCGGTATATGACCGACCACGTTGCGGTGGTGATGTGAGTTCCGCTTTGTACTGCAAATCTGTGACACTTCCATTCTATGTATTTGATGAGAACAATTCAACACTGTCAATGAATTAGTTATGGCTTCAAATTTTGTGTAGAGTCACCATAGAACAACAATAATAAATTCACCGAGGCATACTCCGTACCGTGGGGCTGATCCATGACGCGCCAAGCCCGGCAACTTTTTTATTCTCGACTCGTCTCAGCTCAACATCGCAGCTGCCACCATGGCTTCTAACGCAGCAAAGCGAAAGGCCTTCCCGTCAGGAGCCCATGGCCCTACCGGTGCTTCTCGTAAGCGCGCCAAAACCCTTGATGCGCGCTCCCTCGCCGTGCAGTCTACTGACTCTGCCCTCTCCGCAACGGGCGAGCTCGATGTCGCCGCATACGCAGCTGCCCGGGCATTCGAAATACAGGCCCTGGAGGATGGCATGAAGCGGTCGAAATCTGCATTAACAACTCGAGCGTTCCAGAAAGTGCCCCGCGCGTTGCGGCGCCGGACCGCAAGTCACAATGTTAAACGGGTCCCGCAGAGGTTAAGGGCGCGAGCGAAGCACGAGGTACGTTCTGCGAAGGTATCCTTTGGACTGCATAAAATTGATCCAATTTCTACTATAGATGATCGAGGACAATACTCCGACCGTTACTGCACGCCGACGCAAGCCCACCCAGATTATGCGCATCCGGCTCGAATCCGCTCGTCGCCTACAAAATATCAATGCCAAATCCAAGGCCCGACGTGCCGCCGCAAAGCTCAAACGCGACAAAGAAAATGGAACCGAATTGAAAGAGGAGGGGAGCCACGCCTACAATACAGCCCCCAGGGTACCGAAGGTCAAAAAGTACAAACTCTCTAGGCCGCCGCCGGCAGACGCAAAGTACCGCAAGCGCCAACGATGCAAGACCTGGCTTCCGACACACATGTTTCACGCAAAACGTGCCCACATGGCTACGACCAAGGACCCGATTTGGCGGTTCGCGATCCCTCTATCACCAACCGAAAAAAGCTACCGGCCTACACATAGAGCGCGAGGTGCTCGGGGTGCTGTAGCTTGGGATATGAGCTATATATCAACGGTGCAACTGGAAGGAATAGAATCATGTATTGAATCTGTTTTGCGGGCTGTTGGTATCGGTGGTGATGAGGCATGGGGTACCAAAGGACAGAAGTGGAGAGCTGGAACGAGATCACTCCAAGCCTGGACTTTCGAAAAGGACAATCGCTCTAAGCCAATTGTTCCTGTTACACTCATTTGGTGTGCACCGCATAAGCCCGAGGATGTCGAAATGGCGGATACAGATAAACCCCCGGCTATATTGAAACCCCCTCGGCGGAAGCTCTGGATCCGAGTTCATCCCTCCGCATTTCTGTTATTGTGGCAGAGCCTACTCGAGCTCTCGAAGAGACAGAGCCCCCCTGTCATGGTCGAAGACTTGAGATTTGAGATTGGCAGCATTGAAATTACCGGACCGGGTTCCACGGAGGCATTACTGGCTTCATTGCGGCCTGTTTTGGGACCGAGTGACGCCCCAGCGGGACAGAGCCCAGAAGCCATTTGGCCCTCCCTCCTCGGAGTATCAAATCCTTCATCGCTTCCACAAAATGCTCTTTTATCCTTTGCCGTTTCTGATCCTCGCCTCCAATTCCCGCCACGCACACTCAACGTACCTGGTGATGAAGACCATATGAACGATCTGGCAATGCTGCTCTCAAAATGGCCACCCGATCAAACACAGGGTCAATCTTCACTCTTCGATCGCCCTAGCCGCCTTGCAGCTGCTCGTCAGCTTCCAAGCCAAAAGGCCATCAACCGTCGCCGGACTCTCGCTGGCCCTGGTGCTTACCCTGCCCCGCAGACCAATGACCCAAAAATTCCCGTAATGATACTTGCAGCCCGACCACAAGCCCGCGCCAAGAGAAACACAACCCCGGGTTCCTGGACTGTTCTGCTACCTTGGAAATGCGTCGTCCCCGTTTGGTACTCGCTCATGTACTATCCTCTCTCGAGCGGTGGAAACCCACGCTTCGGTGGCTTGAAGGAGCATCAGCAGCTTGCATTTGAGGCCGGCGAGGGTTGGTTTCCTGGTGATTTCCCTGGCACCCGAGCTGGATGGGAATGGACTCAGCGCGAGACAGAGAAATCCCGGCGCCAGTGGGAGCGCCGCCCCAAAGGACGTCGATCGGAATTTGATACTCTCGTTCTTGGGGATGGTCACCTCAAGGGAGAGATTGGACATGGATGGGCCTGTGACTGGGAGAGGCTTGTACAAGGGCCGTCGAAGGATGATGCTGCGGACATTGCCGATGGTGATGATAAGAAGGCTTCGGACCAAGTGGATGGGACTATGAATCCACCATCCAACATCCACACCATCCGGTACGCACCAGGTGACACAAATAAAATTCTCAACAGCCTCAGCAAAGAACATGTCGATCCCTCTTCTCTTGCCACCATCCACCTCACCCTTTCCACTCGCGGTACTCCCACACCCTGTGCACGCATCTATCGTCTCCCGACCGATCCCGCTCTGCGGCGCAAATGGCTCGAACTTGCTTCAGCCAACCGCAAGTCTAGCGAGAAAACAACTCCGCTCAATGATACCACACTTTCCCATGAAGAAGCACGGCGTCGTCTTGCTGAGTCGCTTATCTCAACTTCTGCGCATGAAAACTCGACATCTAATCATTTGGAAGTACCTACCGAGGAAGATCTCATCGGCTTCGTGAGTACAGGAAACTTCAATCTCTCTGAAGGCAGAGGCACTGGAATTGGTTCAATTCAGTTGTCGAAGGTCTTGGTTCCTGGCGTGAAGCTGTCTGAGCGGAGGATGTGTATTGTTAGGTCTGCGGGAGAGAAGCTTGGTCGACTGGGGGTGTGGGAGCTTGTCTGATATTTTGGTGATTTGATACCCTGTCAATGGCTACATAGAAGCATCTTATGAATACGAGCATTTCATGACTAGTAGCCTTCGTATGTAGTCTTCTATTTCCCCTAGTCTCTACAATTTAAAGAATACGCTACAGCCACGAGGCCCAAAAAGTCATCCCGTCAAGGATCAATTTATCCTATGCAGATTCATGGCAAACAAAAAATTGCAATCTATACATACAGCCCAGCAGCCACGGCCAAAAAGCAGGTTTCATATCCCAGCCGCGGGTTCATCTGGAAAACATAACTCTAACCAACAATACGGTCCACGAAAGCCTGCTCCATCTTAGCGACCTCGCGCTTGAATGCATCAACCTCCTTCCAGCAATCCAGCGGTCGACGGTCATTCAACCGCAAGCAAGCAACAACATCAGCCTTCGCCTTCGAAACACCCTCATCCAGCTCGGCCAACTTTCTCCGCCCATCGAGCCGGCTGCGCAGCTGGTCGATCTCGCTTGCCACTGAATTCCGCGAGACGTCGCGGTTGACCGCAGCCTGGGGCGCGGATGCCTGGGGCGCGGTGAAGACCGGGGAGGGTTCGTACTCGCGTCCTGCGAAGGGAATTCGCGGCGCGTCAAGGTTCAAGGAGCCGGCTGGGTAGCCGGAGCTGGTAGAGGCGACGGGCGCAGTCGCAGCGGTCACGGGAAGAGAGCCAGTATCCTTCACTTCGGCGAGCTTCTTCTCGATCTCGGCGAGGGTTTGCTGCTCGCGCTCGCGGAGGCGCTCGAGTTCCTGGGCCACGCGCTTCTGGATTTCGAGCTCGAGGGACTTGGTGCGAGAGGAGTCCGTCTGTTAGAGACGAGATGTGAGTTTCGGTTGATTGGCTTGTTTTCCCGTGGGAGATTCAACTTACCTCGGAAGTGGACTGGAGGGCATCCACTAGGTTGGAGGAGAACTGGACGGGCGAGTTGCTGGATGAGGATCCGTGTCAGCGTAGAGTTAAATTGGAATAGTTGAAACACGATTCCATCGCTTGATGGCAATGCCCGGAGGTGTCGCAATTGCGCTGCTTGACCGGGTCGTTGTTTCGGTTCCCGCACGGAAGTGGAGAGATGACAGATTGGAGGGGCATACCTGGAGAAGACATGGTTAGAGCCGCCCGCAGCCTCGGGCTTAGAACTGCCAGCACCCATGATTGTGAATGGCAGATGTGAATTGCCGTCAAGTCAGGACTAGAGAAGGGCGGTTGTGAGATGAGCCCCAGTTCACCCGAAGCTCCGATATTTCGGTCACGTGGGCGGTCTATCACTGTCTCTACTTCGCCTTTCATTTTCTTGTTTTTACACGAATATCTCAAATTTCTTCATCGTATCAGGTTAGTTTGAGTTGCAGTCGTCTGGTTAGCGAGTGACAATGCATTCCAGTGGGTTGGACGCATAGCATGGAAGGATGACCTTGAACGACATCGTGAAATTGTGGAAATACACAGGCCGCTAAAGGGCCACTATATCGATAACTACCCAAAGATTTGATCATTCCCTAGTGACATAGATACACTTCAAAACTGGCGATGATGCTCATGACACAACAAATCAACACTATCTAACATTGTGCGGTTCCGATGTGCAATACGTGGTGCCGATATGCTGCTCTGAAGAATCCAATTATGTACATCTACCCGTGAACCTTGGCAAGAGCCTAGGGAAATACTGGTATTCAACCCCAGAGCAAGTAAATGAAATCGAGGAGTAAATGCAAGTACATACATGTATTTGTGGGGTACAGGGAGGAAGGCGGGGGCGCTAGATGAACCAGGGACACCCCGGGACCGAATCAAGCCTACTTTCATTTTTAGTTTCACTTGTTTTCTCTTCTGGAAACACCTTGAAGGTAGTTGTAAGCCAAGGTGATAGGAATATCTACTATACGCCCGACTCTTCGCCTCGCAGTTATGCGGGTTTATACAAACAGGAATTTGAATCATGATAGCATCTTAATGCAGAATATACTCGTTGACAGAGTTCTGTAGTCAGGTGTAATATTGGCAAGCTTTGAACCACAACCACCGACACTTGAGAGGAATGGATGCCTCGTAACACCCGCCACACTTGAAAATGTCTGAGCCATGCGGTTGACCACTACTGATTTCCAGAATTGCCCCAGTAGGCAGTGACTTGCGATCCGCAGTAACATAACCCTCTACAAGAGAATCAAGTGTAAATGATTTCCACTGCCGTCGGGAACTGCCTAGGAGGGCCGTTTGAGACAGTGTAAAGCCATGAGGGAGGCGACTAGGGCTTAAAATGGCGCTTGAATCCACCAGCCTACCGTGTTCCCCGTGTGTTTAGTCACGGTAATTGCGTAGTCGGGAAACCGTTGATTCGGGCCCGGGTGCCACAAGTCAGGAGCCGACTTCTTCTTTCCCGTGCCGAACGATCCCGATGTCTCTCCAGCCCAACGTGTCACTTCTTGCCGAATCGTTTGCCTGTCGGGTGTATTACCCTCGATCCTGGCAGTAGTTCACTAATGCACCTGCATGCAACGCTATGTGTCCGTGTGTCCGTGTCTCCCGTTGTCTCCGTCCCCTGTTGTCTCCGTCCCCTGTCGTTCCGCGTCCGCATTAACCAGTGTCGCTCACCGGTGAAGTCGGGGAAATGCGTGCCATGGAGAGCCATTGACCATTCACAGCCCCTCCCCACATTGTCATCACCGTAGTTTGGTTTTAGTTTCAGGGAAAGGTTCATGCCGTCATGGGAGAAAACAAAATGACCCCCCAAAAAAAATCTGGCTGGTTCTGTGAAACGAGTATTTTCTTAAGAGGTTGCGTGACCCCAGGAATGTAGGGAGAAGTCTGCATCCGGAAGATTTAGAAGTGTATATAAGAGGAACACCGTTTTTCAAGAACTACCGAGATAATAATTTGAACAAAATAAAAATAACGGAAAGGCAAGTCCGGTGAAGCCGGTAATTCGTGGAGCGCAAATGCCAAGGTTGAAAGTCGCGGACTGACCTCATGAATCCCTCCGTCATCCCACTTTGCGCCTCTTTTTCCTCCACTCCACTCTTTCTTTATTAATCCTCTCCGGCTGCACTTACCTTCCTCTATTCTAGCCGGTCCTTGATATTCTTACAATGTCCTCTACACTACTCGAGGAGGCCACGCGCATTGCGCGTGACTTCGACTTCCCCGCCGAGCAGGTGCAGCGCGGGGTTGCCGAATACATCAAGCAGTCCAACGAAGGTTTGGACAAGGAGCACACCACTCTGAGCCAGATCCCGACCTTTGTCACTGCTGTGCCCAATGGCACCGAAAAGGTGCCGTCCTACTGCTCTTGCGAACTAAACCACCACTAACACAATCCTCCGTAGGGTCTCTACTTGGCCGTCGACCTCGGCGGGACCAACTTCCGCGTGTGCTCTGTTCAACTGCACGGCGACACCACCTTCAACCTCACTCAGTCCAAGATCATGATTCCCCGGGAACTCATGGCCTCCGGTACCTCCAAGGACCTCTTCCTCTTCCTGGCCCGCCAAATCGAGGCCTTCCTCCGCATTCACCACAACGAACATTTTGAGGCACACCAGCTCCGGCGGCGCGAAGGTCACCGCGACGAGTATATGTTTGATTTGGGATTCACCTTCAGCTTCCCCGTGCGCCAGATCGGGATCAACTCCGGCACCCTGATCCGGTGGACCAAGGGCTTCAACATCCCCGATGCCGTTGGTCACGATGTATGCGCCCTGCTCCAGTCGGCCATCGATGCGTTGGAACTGCCCGTGCGCGTGGCGGCTCTGGTCAACGACACCGTTGGTACCCTGATGGCCCGCTCCTATACATCCCCCGGCGAGACCGGCACTTTCCTCGGAGCCATTTTTGGTACCGGTACCAATGGCGCATACGTTGAGAAGCTCGAGAATATCACCAAGCTCAAACACCTTGAGGGCGCCCACTACGACAAGTCCACCGGCGAAATGATCATCAACGCCGAATGGGGTAGCTTTGACAACCACATGAGCGTACTCCCCAGCACCGTCTTCGACCATGAGCTGGATGCCGACAGCAACAACCCCGGTGTGCAGATGTTCGAGAAGCGCGTCTCGGGCATGTTCCTGGGTGAGATTTTGCGTCGCGCTCTGCTCGCCATGCACAACGACTCTAAGCTCGGCCTTTTCAAGACCAGCCAGACCTCCAAGGTCTCCATTCCCTCCGATTCCCTCTTCTACCGCCAATGGGGCCTGGATACCAGCTTGTTGAGCCAGGTCGAGGCCGACTCCACCAAGCAAATGAGCGACGTCAAGGCCGCGCTGAAGGACCACCTGAAGATTGAGCACCCTAGTGACGAGGAGTGCAAGGCTGTCAAGATTCTGGTTCACGCCATTGGCAAGCGTGCCGCTCGTCTGAGCGCCGTCCCAATCGCGGCTATCCTCATTCACTCCCGCAAGATCGAGACCTGCGACATGATCGACGTTGGTGTGGACGGCAGTCTGGTCGAATTCTACCCTAACTTCGAGGGCTACATGCGCGATGCTCTGCGTGAGGTTCCCGAGGTTGGCCCGGCGGGCGAAAAGAAGGTTCGCATCGGCATCTCGAAGGACGGCAGCGGTGTGGGTGCCGCTTTGATCGCTTTGGTCGCCAGCAAGGACAAGACTCTGCAGAACCCCACCGAGAAATGAGCTCGGTGCTGTCATGACGTCCATTGAGTGTATGTTTAATACCTCAATGTTCCTGAATGTTCCGTCACTCGACCGTCTGTCTGGCTTTACTAGCTAGGCCAGTACCTTTGTTGCGATCGTCTTATGAGCGAATTGCGGTACATGACACCGGCCTTTCCACGCCCTACCTTTCACTTTCCATAGCAAGGGGAAGCTGACTGAAACATTGTGAACTCAACCAGGAAGTGACCGCGATGAGCCACGCGCCCTTCGCTTTGCCATTTTCTTGCTCTATCTATTCTGCTGTTTTCTGGATCTCAAGCAGGATGTATCATTAGGGTTTCTTTTTTTTTTGGATTTTTTACATCTTGGTTTTCACACGGAGTTGCACAGACATTGACCTGGCGCGGCATTGGCATCCGATATCAGTGTAGATTTGCATTACGGCTTAGCTACAATCTCAATCCCAATATCATTGGATTTTCTCGTTCAAATCATTATTTTCATTAGAGAGGAATTGAGTCACCAGAAATTATACATCAACTGCCTCTGCTATCTAGTTCCGCCCATACCCAATCGCCTGCTTACCCTTGACAAAGTCAACGGTGGCCGCCGTCCGCATCAGGAACGGGGCCTGACCATCGGTAGTCGCCGGGTCAGGTCCGATAAAGTTTCCAGGGAAGCCAATGTCAAACGAGGTAGCAGACTCTAGGAACTGGATCTGCTGCTCTGTCAGACGGATCGACAGCGCCTTGATGTTATCCTTCAGATGCTCGACCTTGCGGCCGCCCACGATCGGGAACACGTTCGGCGCCTTGCAGAGCACATATGCCAATGCAATCGCCGTCACGGACTCGATGCCATGCTCCGCTGCCACCTGTGCTAGCGCCTCGGACACCTTGCGCTCGTCTTCCGTCTGCTCGGATCCGAATGCGCTGCGCAGTCCCTCGCCCGCCTTCTTGCGCTCCTCCAGCTGCTTCGCTGTCTGGAAGTGGCCGCTGCCCAGCACATCCCAAGGCGCAAGCGCCATACCGAAGTGCCGTGCCATAGGGAGAATGTCGCGCTCAAAGTCACGACGCATCACGTTCCATCGGCCCTGGTAGATGGAGAAGGGTGTCTTGCCGTGCGCACGGGCGTACGTGTTGGCAGCCGCCACGATCCATGCAGGCGTGTCTGAGATTCCGAGGTACATGACCTTGCCCTGTTCCACGAGGATGTGCAGCGAATCCATGATCTCCTCAATCGAGGTCGTGTGGTCCCACCAGTGGAGGTAGAGCACGTCAATGAAGTCGGTCTGTAGCTTGCGCAGCGAGTCGCGCACACTCAGGATCATGCTGCGTTTGTGGTTGCCGCAGGCATTGGGTGCGTTACCCTTGCCCAGCTCCCAGGTGCGGTAGTCCGTTGTGAACTTGGTGGCCAAGACCATCTGGTCACGGTTCTTGCGCGCGGCCATCCATTCGCCGATCCAGGCTTCAGATTGCTCGTTTTGGTAGTTGTTGGCGGTGTCGATGAAGTTGCCGCCGGCTTCGACGAAGGCGTCGAGCAGCTTGAAGGATTGCTCTTTGTTCATGCTGCCCATGAATTTGTTCCAGCTGTCTCCGATGGACATGCCACCCAGCTGCAAGGGGGACACGCGGATCCCCGCGCTGGAGGAGAGGACGCGATACCGACCCAGAGGAGTGGCGGGTTCGGGAGCGGGCTTGAAGAGTTCGTCCATTTTGATCTGTGAATCGGGGTTGGATTGGGATCGAGTTGAGATTGATGGACAATTCCTGATGAAATGGATCCGTATTTATAGTCGGATAAAAGTGGATTTCTAATGATCGACGGAAATACCGTAGAAGTGGTTCTTCATGTCATGCCTGTCATCCGGATTTAACGAGTATTCGTCCGCCCGAACGCCAACGCTTCATGGGGTTGACCAAGCCGCGGTTGCCTATCCTGATGATGTCAACAATTCATTCCTTGTTTATCAAGGTTCTTCATGATCGAAATCGAGATCGAGATCGAGATCACCCATCATATGCAATCTCAAACACATGTTTCTGTTGGGGTTTCTCGTCTGGATCTTGCGGGTATGATATCATCCCAAGCTTGCTACTGGAGTGCCCCAGTATATAGCTCCTCGGCCATAACTCAACGCACAAGTGCATTATTCTCGCATTAGTAACGAGACATTGCGCTCGGCTTCGCAAGTATTCCTCTCACTTGGTCATAGCGCTTGAACTTGAAGCTTTAACTCCAAACTCCACAAACCCCGACAGGCGCTAGTCCATTTCGGGCTGTCAGCCTGTCGGCTGCTGACCAGGCACCAAGGCACCGATGCCAGGCCCAGACCGACTCTGTAAGGTGTCGAGGTGTCGAGGTGTCAAGGCACCAAGGGCGTGTCCCTTGCGGGCGATCATTCCACACGTCTGGCAAGTGACAGGTTACAATTTTACGGAACGAAAATCATTCAGAAATAATCCCCGTCCGATCCATGCACGGGCTGTCCGGACATGAACGCCTCCCGTTCCGAATCTGACTCGGCCGCAATCCGAATGTTCGACGAGACATCTACGTGTACTTGCTACAATGGATTTACTACGTAAAGACGGGGCCATTTCTCCTCCCTTTCCCCTGTGCTGTACGATGATGCCTTCGCAGTGGCATTCAGAGCAAGGGATCACCGCTATTTCCCCACCCCTGACCAGACGGGCCGCCACGCGGAGGACAGGGAACAAGTAAACAAGCTGCAGAAACATAGCTCCGCGATCCTTGCGTGGACTCCTGGCCGATTCAGCCCCCGCCTGGACTGCAGCTGAGCCCTGGTTTCATTGATGCCTGTCATTCGCTCAGTCAGATGGGCTGCATGATTACGAGACGTGGGTCGTTGTCGTATACGGATACACATCGCCAATCCCGGAATGACCTAACGCATAGCCCAGACCATCGACACTAGCCGAACTACCGCACATTCTGCAGAGCCTGCAGGCCATGGAGACCTCCAAGCCACATGGAGTTCGGGGCCTTCAGTGGTAGGGTTTGTGCGTCACCAGGAGCCAAGGGCCCAAGGACGCGCAAGGTTGCCCTGGACCATAGTGAGACCTGTACAAAGGGCCGGCTGCGTTGCCAATCCTGCCTGACTGCAGCCTTTTTAATCTGCGCTCATCCCCTCCAATTCTGGCCAATTTTTTCCCCCTGCTACCATATTGTCATGTCTTCTTTCTTTAGTAAATCCACACCTCCAAAGGTGGAAGACCATCCTGCCCATAGGACGTCCGATGACCAATCACAGTCCAAGGGAAACTCCAAGCCCTCTAGTGAGAAGGAAAGTACTTTGGTCGATGAGCCCTTCAGAAACACCGCGGGCGGCCTCGATACCGACAAGGAGGCTGCGAATGATGGCAATCACAATCGCACCGGGAGCGGCAACTTGCCTGAAGCGGTACCCAATGAGGATTCCAACAAGGAACCAGTAACCCGCGGCGCGGAGGAGAAGGAAGTTTCAAATCCGGAAGAGAACAACGAGAGCGATGCCTCTAATGCAGACCCCAAAGAGGCCAGCGATATAGAATATCCTACGGGGTGGAGACTCTTGCTCATCACCATTGCGTTATGTCTCTGCGTGTTCTGCGTGGCACTAGTACGTCTGTCGCTCGGCACCCAATCAATCCAAATAACTTACCATTGAATAGGACAATACAATTATCGCAACAGCCATTCCCAAGATCACCGACCAGTTCAACTCCCTCGGCGACGTGGGTTGGTACGGTAGTTCTTATCTGTTGACCACCTGCGCCGTGACTTTGATGTTTGGCAAATTCTACACTTTCTATTCGATCAAATGGATCTACCTATTCGCTCTCTCTATCTTCGAAATTGGATCTCTGATCTGCGCCACGACCCCGACTTCCGTCGGACTGATCTGTGGCCGTGCCATTGCAGGCCTGGGAGCAGCCGGTCTGTTCTCCGGCTCCATCCTCATCATCCACCAGAGTGTGCCGCTCGTCAAGCGGCCCCTGTATACTGGCCTTGTCGGCTCCATGTTTGGTATTGCTAGTGTCGCCGGTCCACTGTATGTTTCCTCGCTTGTGGTGCGGAGAGCCGTGCTAACGTTCCCGGCAGCATGGGAGGTGCTTTCACCGATAAACTCACCTGGCGCTGGTGTTTCTACATTAACCTGCCTATTGGCGCAGTGACGTTCCTTTTCATTCTGTTCTTCTTCAAGGCCCCCAAGGCTTTCATCAGTCAGAACACGAGGACCTGGAAAGAGCAACTTGCCGAGTTCGATATCCTGGGCTCCCTGTTCTTCCTCCCTGCCATCATCAGTCTTTTGCTAGCCTTGCAATGGGGCGGTACCACGTACGCATGGGGTAGCGCACGAATCATCGCACTCTTCGTCGTCTTCGGTGTGCTGATTATCATCTTCATCGGTCTTCAATGGTGGGGTCAGGACCGGGCCACCGTTCCTCCCCGTCTGATCAAGAACCGTAACATCTGGGGTACAGCATGGTACTCGCTGGCCATCGGTGCCGCGTACTTCGTCATGATCTACTATCTTCCAATTTGGTTCCAATCTATCAAGGGCGCCTCCCCCATCAAGTCCGGTATCATGAACCTGCCCCTGATCATCTCCGTCGTGGTTATCGGCATCCTAGCCGGCGGTCTCGTCACTGCCTGTGGCTACTACACCCCCTTTATGATCGCCTCTTCTATCATCATGACCATCGGCGCAGGACTCCTGTCCACACTCGAGGTCGACTCCGGCCACGCCAAGTGGATCGGCTACCAGGTCGTGTTCGGTGTCGGTCTGGGTATGGGCATGCAAATGCCAATGATCGTCACACAGACGGCACTCAAGACCGAGGACGTGCCCAGCGGCACCGCCATCGTGATGTTTTCCCAGACCCTGGGTGGTGCCATCTTCGTTTCCGTTGCCCAGAACGTCTTCCAGAACCAACTCTTGCACAACATTCAGACGTATGCCCCTGGTGCCAATGCAGCTATGATTGTTGGAACCGGTGCCACCATGTTGCGCTCCATCCTCGCCGGTCCTGCCCTGAAAGCCGTCCTGCACGCATACAATGACGCCGTTACACAAACCTTTTACGTCGCCGTTGCCATGGGCGCTCTGTCGCTGATCGGCCCCATCTTCATCGAGTGGCTCTCCGTCAAGGGGAAGAAGCTGGACGTGGCTCCGGCGTAAAACATCTAAAAGTTTGCGACTTTCGGTATATTCGTGCATATTCTTTATTTCTTTTGATGTGCAGAGTGATCCCGACCATTTGAGGACAGTACAATACCGGCTCTATATACCTCCGTGATTTTTGAGTAATACAATTAATGAATCTACCGTTTATGCGTATCCAAGCCAAGACAAGTAAAATTCTAATTGGTCTATGCTCGCCGGGTGTAAGATGATGGTGATGAAATTACAGATTAGACCACCGCATACAGACTGAGATAGATGCCCCAGATGACGCCACACGCGCTCGCAAAGACCACTCGACGGTCAACGGGGATGACGGTGTACATGAGAGTCGAGACGACGGGGCGATATTTGAGTCGCGCATTCATGATGGGTCGGAAATCCTAGATCAAATTAAAATCGGAATTCCCATATCAGGGAGGGAGGGGGGGAAATAGAAAACAAAGGACACGTACCAAAAGAACTAGCTCCCACACACGCCCGACGCTCTCCCCCTTCAAGAAATTGATTAAAACAACGAAAAGCACGATATTCATCGCGCCCGCCAGCGTCTGGTCGAAAAAGAACTTCATCACGAAGCTATGCAGCCCCGAGCGTCGCGAAGGCGCCCACTTCTCCTTGTCTTTCTGGAGCGGCAGAGCGTCCTCGTCCTTGGATGTTCCCAGGATAGAAGAAACGAATGACCGAAGCCATGCAAATGACAGCAGCGACTTTAGTGAAAGCGAGCGCCACAGATTGGAGATTTCCGCCCGTGAGGGAAATCCTGGGTAGCGCGCCTCCAGGGCACGTTGCCAGTAGAAGTTGACAGGCACGACCAGAATGCCATAGGTCATGAACTGGAGTAGTGCCAGTGTATTTAGAGTGAATGGCCCCTGGGATGTGGTTAGCTTCTCTTGTTTATGCTTCAGGGCGCAGGACGTACGCTCTTGTTGCGCTGGTCGATCAGCTGCGCCAGGATGTTAGAGATGGCATTGAGGACGGTCGATTGCGCGATCGTCACGGTCAGCTGCGAGGGCATAACGGGAGATGGTTGAACATCGCCCTGAATCCAAATTGCCTAGATATCTTGACAGCGGAATGGGGGGCTGAGACGCGCAACCGTGTCCTGACTAAGACGCGATCGTCTGCGTGAAACATGGTTCATTGGACACTACTTTTACGTTTCCACTTTTAAACATCTCATGATCGTATCATATTCGTTGCCAATCTATGCTCTGGTCGGAATTACTTTTGAGAACTCCACGTTCGGTCCATCTTTTGCACTGGTAAAGTGGTCCACCAGCGCCAGGTGGCCTCCAGCATCCTCACCTTGACGGTCTGCCAGCGACATGTCAAAGAGGAAGAAAAGTCGTGCCAATGTCAGACGCATTTCCATAAATGCCATGCTCTTTCCAATGCACCCGCGCGGTCCAATGCTGAACGGGCAGAATGCGCGACGTGCCGTTTCGATATCTTCCTTGCTGGTCGTCCACGATGCGCCCGATGATGCGCAGGTGGCGCCCTCGATCCAGCGCTCGGGAATATACTCCTCCGGCGACCGGTAGTACTGCTCCTGGCGATGGATGGAGTAGACGGGGGTGCCACAGTCCGTGCCTGCGGGCAAAAAGACACCGTCGACGACCGCTCCGCCCTCCATGACTTCGCGCGGTGGTGCGCCTGGTACGGCCGGTGCGAGGCGCAGAGCCTCGTCGATGCATGCTTTGAGATATCCGAGCTCGTTCAGGCGTGAACCACTCACGATCTCCTCGACCTCGGTGAAAGCGCCGCGGACTTCGGCGCACACCTTGGCCAGTGCAGCCGGAGACCGAACCAGGTAGAACAGTGTAGCTGCCAAGGTGGTCGAAGTCGTATCACTGCCCGCAATCATGAGCACGTTGGCCTCACCCCACAGCTCGGGGGTGCTAAGGCCCTTGCCCGTCTCGGGGTCCTTTGCGTTGAGCAGGTAGTAGAAGAAGTCCTTCTTGGCTTCACGACCGGCCTGAGCACGTTCCTGAGCACGCTTGTTAGCCTCGACGCGCGAGTTCATGATGAAGTTCCATCGGTCCTGCGTGAGTCTTCGAATGAAGATCTGGTCAAGGTGCCACCGGTCCAGCGGCATCCACAGTCCACACTAAACCAGTCAGCGTTGTCCGAAGTGAACGGGATATATTGTACTCACGACGTAGTGTCGATTCGCAGCGCGATCAACCAGTCCAATCATGTGTCGTCGAGTATCGCCAATGAGCATGTCAAAGCTCTTTCCAAAGCAGAGCTCACCCATCACGTCGTACGACAGGTAGCTGAACCAGTTGCCCATGTTGCGCACGACGCCCTTGCGATCGTCACCCTTTCTCTCATCCTTCTCGTCAAACCCTGCCATCACCGCGCAGAGCTGTCGCACATGCAGCAGCATCACATCCTCCATTCCCTTCAGCGCATTCTCTGAGAATGCCTGGCTCAGCACGCGCCGCTTGCGGCCGTGCATCGTCTTATCGATTGCGTTGTGCGTGTTGTACACGCCCTTGATCGCCGGGAAGGCATTGTAGAAATCCGCCTTTTGCAACCTCTTCCCGTGTCCGTAGATATCATGAAGTCCCTTGTCCGAGTTGACCGAGACGAAATTCGGCGCAACTCGCACGTGCGTCCCGTATTTCTTGTGGAGTTTGTGCAGCCACAGATGCCGGTCTCCCTTCAGACCGTGATAAAGCTGGACCCACGGTGTGATAGATGCCAAAAAAGGGCCTGGAATGCGCCGAAGTGGGTGCACGAGGCAGTTGTAAAGTGCGTAAGCGATTGTCTGGGATCTTTGTCAGATGCGCCCGAGTGTGTATTTAACAAGGGATACATACAAGCACGGCCAACACCGCGGCCAGGTCGACCGCCAGTCGCTGTGCCGTCATGCTCTTCACCACTGGTTCCACGAGCATCTTGACTGGTTTTCACGTCATCAGCGGTGCTTATCTTCCGAAGTTATGGGGGGGAGCGTTATATACTTGCCGCGCCGAAGATACCCGCACCCAACCGTGTCCCGGCATCGATGACGCTGGACCCAACCAAACGGGGTACTGGCCTTAGAATCTCACTAGAATGATGGGACTAGATTGTCCGGAATGCTCTGACGGATACAGGCGGGTATTTCTGGTTTCAATTGTGCCTTTGAAGTGAAGTGAACTGAGGATCTGAGAAATCCCGGGCGGGGCGCGCATGAGTTATGCTTATTTTTCTTTTTGGCTTATTCGCTGTTTGCGGGGAAGATCCTCTCCTGGGAATATACAAAGCGAGAATAGAGTGATACGACACAAGTCAATAGGGTCTATTGATCGAGGATCTATGATATCTGAGAGACACATCTCTCAATACACGTGAACGGTCTTTTCGAGGTGCCCCTCGCATCCCCACAGCGGCTTCCAAGGGGTCTTTGAACGCGGCCGACCGCCATTATCCGATGTGTAATCCCTTTTCATCTGCTCCGCAATTGGACGCGGCTAAGAGAGTGGATTGTGCTGCACGGCGCTTTAAATAGTAATGCCCGGGAACAGCGGCGCGCAGTCTGATTCGAGCGCACTCTCTGTTGGGGGATGCTCAGTGTATGAACGATATTTTCCCAGACGTCATCCTGGAATATGATATACATGTTCACTTATGCATAACAGGTGTTGGCCAGGTTCACTCTCTCAGGTTATCGACGTCCGGTTTTGCATCGTGCCGAGCTGACTATGCGCTGGTCCCATGTAATCCACCATCCAGGATCCACTGCTCATTATCGTCGTTGTCATCCTGCACGCGCCGCCAGGTTTGCTTTCGCTCCCCTCGTTCGGCCCCGTCTGCCGTCTTACCGGCCGGGGCCTTCCAGACAGGGCGCATTAATCCTCCAGCTGCAAGAAGAGGGTTCCGACTGAAAGCGTGGCTGCCTTGGGACGCGGGAGCTTCCTCGGAGTCCGCCACGTCCATGGGATCCAACTCACTGGGCTCTGGTGTTGATTCCACCGCTGCGGATTGATACACCCTCCGGACTTTGCCGCCCTTGATATCAAGACTCATGACGGTCTTCTTCTTCTCCCACTCGGGACGAGCTTTCTCTTCCATCTCGCGTTGAATGCGTTGCTGCTTCTTCAGTGCGAGGGCTCGCTGTGCCGGGCTCATCCATATCGTTGAGGCGATATTCGGGGTTTCGAAATCGGCTGCCTCATCGACGACCTTCGTCCGGCGAGCATTTTGTGCCTGGTACTGAAGCAGCTTATCTCGATGTGCTCTGGCTGCATCAAGTTTGTTTGGCGAAGATGACCCAGATGAGTCCACAGGTCTCGGTGCTCCTTGGTGGTGAACGCCTTCGTTATGGGCACGCATTTTCTCTTGACCGCGCTCCTCTCGGAGCTCTTTAATCATACTGTGCACCTCGTCTGGAGAGAAGAGTGGCGTGCCGCAAAACGAGCACGGTTGTAAACCCTCGAGAGAGCAGATAATCTTGCCGCATTTGAGGCAATTGGGGGCCGGGTCAAATAGCGGATGAATTGTAGCGTAGCAGGTACATTTGCGCTTTTCAGAGCTCATGGTCGGGTTGGTTGAGAGCTCCAAGGCGGCAATGGCGGCCGTCAAGTCGGAGATATTATTGGTAGTGAGGGCTGCCCCTCCCTTTGAGGGACTGGCTGTACGTCCGCCCTGACGGTTTGGTTTGCTTGTCTTTGATCGCACATTCGGCAGCATATCGGAGAGGACAGGCCCGGAAGCTGATGGGGGCGCTTTCGAAGGGGCTGCGGCCATGGGCGACTGTGTGCGAGATGATCCAGAAGGGCCGGGAGCAGGCAGGTTAGGAGGATGAGACACCGACTTGCTGGCCGACATGTAGTCCTCCGCTGAGGACTTCATGTAGCCTCCTCCCACGTCACCGTAATTGTCCGGTCGACGCGGCGGGCCAGCATTGTGTAGCGGCTTCTTCTCCTTCTTGTTCCTCCCCTTCGATCGGTCATTGGCTGTTTCATTTCGTGTAGACGAGGCGGGCGGGGGGCCACGACGTGCATTGAAGGAGGCGATAAACTCGAGAGCCGCGGGGGAATCGCCGAGGAGGGTTTTCAGGTTTTCAGCACAGGCTTCTTTCGGAAGACTAGCTGAATAGTCAATAATCTGCTTTAATGACTCCTCGTCCAGCGGAAGAAGTTGGCTGAGCCGAGGCGCAGCCCAGGCAGTGAGGTCAGACATGGTTGTGAAGGGAAAAAGTTGAGGTGGAGCTCCCCGCAGGAGGTGGGACTATAACTATACCCTTTCCACTCCCCGACTCCCATGCACCACCTCTGGAGTTGGAGCTGGGCTCAATCTATTTATAAGACAAATTTTCCAAGAAATGATAAACCCCAGATGCGAAATTCATCAGTTCCAGCCAGGTCATCAAGGACACAAGCTAATGTGACAGCTACCGAACGAGGCAATCATCCCGATAGAAAAGGTATACCTACCCTATAAAATCTTTTAGAAGAGGCCGAGTCCGCGAGACCTGTGCTTTTCTACCACAAGAACCCCGTAGGGAGACAATATTTCTACAAGGAAAAGCTCAAGCAATTTCACGACAATGCCGTGCCACGGCCCATTGTATCATATGAAAGTAATGTACAAATCCTATCCCACCCGTATCATCATCGTCAACTATGCAAATTCTTGTTTAGATCGGAGCCAGACCTAAAGACGCCGTGAATGAAGAACAAAAGCAAAAAACGCCGAAGACACCGAGATGACTGAAACGATGCAGTCCTATCCTAGGACTCTCAATCCGCATTCTCACTCTTGACATCGTCGTCATCCTCTGCTGTAAATGACTGCTTAAGCTTACTAGGCCCAGGCTTGTTCATAGAGCCTTTCTTGGACGTGTTGAGCTTTTTCTTCTTTGTCGGGCTCGGACTGCCGTCTTCGTCGTCGTTGTGGGGTCGCTTCGGTGCTGATGAGGTCGGACTACTGGCGCCACTCGCTCCACTGTCTGTTGGAGTCTTGTTGCGTGTGCTGCTGCCACGTCCGGAGATGTTCATGCATCGGTCCAGATGTTGCGCCACTCGGTTCATCACGAAGTATCGGGGGCAGATAGGACATTTGCTCGTAGGAACCTCGGGAATCGTGCTGTCCTTTTCGGTCTTTCGCTTCTTAGGGTTAGGCATCACGGCGAACATATTCCCGTGGACGTCGTGTCCGGGTAAGGTGATCATTGGCCCGTTCCGACAGTATTCACGGTTTGGATCGGGGGGAGGTCGGTAGCCCGTGCCGACAGGTGGATATGACAAGCGTGGGAGACGGCAGTCAGGACAAATGATCTCCTTCACGGTGTGTAGCGGGTTTCCTTTCAGGAATACTTTCCCGCGGTCGTAGATGGCGGCGTCCGTCTCTAGCTTTGTGCTTGCGAGTTTGTTCGCATCGATGATGACTTCTTTGGGTTTGCCGTCCGCTACGGTCTTGCCGGCCTCGTCTGGTACAGTTGACTCTTCCTCTGCTTTTTGTCTCGCAATCACCACCGCGGAGCGCATCCGCGCCATCTTCTCCTCGCGGTGGACCTTGGCAACCAAGTCATGAATGATGTTGTGAAAAGTTTCGTTTAGGATATCGGTCGACTAGTGGATCAAGTCAGAAGTCCGTCTGGTTTTCCCCCTGGTGTATTTTCTCAAGCACATACCACTTTGGCGATCGTCCCGGCAGGATAGCTCGGTCTGCTGGTGGAGTCGGCCATTTTCGGAGTCGTCCAGAGATGCCACCCTCGAATGGTCCGTTCCTGAATGGCCGACAGCTGTGTCTGCCCGCGACACAATCAGAATCCTCTTCGCGCCGGTTCGCGGTCTACTTCTCCATAGGCCGGAAATCTATGCAGGGAGATGCCAATGGGTGCAACGAAGTCGGAGTCGGTTCGCGAGGATGCGGAGTAGGGACCATACAAAATTCAAACGTAGGTTTCACGGAGGAGCGCAAGTATCTATCGCGGGCACGAGTTAGTGAATGAACTTGAATGTCTCGGGTCTCGGATGCAGTGGAGGTTACCCTCGGGAGGCGAGCGCATGCGTGCAATAGGGGGCAACAAAAGGGATAGATGAGAAGGAAGGATGTCGCAGCTTTTGCCGGACAGAAGCTAAAGCGAGAGAAAGCAAATGACCTACCGATTGACTGTTCTGCACGATCTCCGGGGGAGGAAGACGGAAAGAGGCGATGAGGCTGGAGCAAGTTGTTCACTGACCTTATCTCTTATCGCATCTCCGCACTTGTCTCTTTCATCGCTGCTATGGCTTACCAGTTCTTTGCTAAAGGCAGACCGTCTGGTCCTTCTGCTAATCCTACTCCTGTCGCCTCTCCTCCTCCATATCGCAGAAGTCCTTCTATTCATCCACCGCCAGTTCAGCCGCCTCCTGCTGCCAGGAAGACCAGATCAAATCAGGCAACCCAGGACGAGTACACGCCCTATCCGCATGTCATTCTCGCGGGCTATGCTACTCCTCACCCGCATGTCACGGTAGAAACGGTTGGTACCGGGCATATACCATCTCTGGCGCGCATTACTGGGCTTCTCCTCCCAATCCGCTACCCAACCTCCTTCTATACAGCCACTATCACGGACCCTGTCATCGCGTCTCTATCACGCGTCGCGATCTATCATGACCACCCAGTCGCCGTTGTACCCGAGTCCGGTGCCTCCGCTGGGACAGATAAAGTGATCGGGGGTATTCGCTGCAGGTTGGAGGGACCGCATCCGACACAAGAAACACAAGACCAGGCGACAAATCTCTACATTCAGACTCTCCACCTCCTCTCGCCCTACCGTGGCCAAGGCGTGGCTGCAGCGCTACTGAACGCGCTGCTGTATAAAACACCGCCAACGAATGAAGCATGCGGTCACGTCTCTGAGTTAGTTAACCACTACAATATTCGGACTGTGACGGCGCACGTCCACGAAGCGAATGACGAAGCTCTCGCGTGGTATCTTGCGCGCGGGTTTACGATTCAAGATGGTGTCGTGGAAGGATACTATCGGCGACTGAAGCCCTCTGGGGCGAGGATCGTACGGCTGGATCTGCCCTATGATGATGCACAGAAGAGTCTTGACCGAGATGAGCTCAAGGGGTGTCCAAAAAGCTCACCCCAAGATGAAGATTGGGAGAAGGTCGAAGCAGAAGATGGAGAAGAGGGTGACCATGGTGTTCAGCTTCTGGGTGACTCGCAAGAGGAAACCCCCTCAAGGAAGCGCAAGGCCGAGGACGAGAAGGGGAATCATCCGCAGCGCCGGTGAGTGGTGCACATCAGCATGGGAATATGTGACATTTAATTGAGATCTGTGATGGATACCCAGTGGACTATAGTCCCCCTGCATCGGAGAAGTTCCGTGTATAATGAATGCAAGTGCGACGGTTTCTTTGCAAATCTTGATATCGATGAGACAATAGCTATAACCAAATATATATGCTTGTGTAGATACAATGAGCTGAATCCATCGTGGGAATATTGCATTATCCACTACCCTGGACAACAAGTTTTGAAAACGCCACGGGTATAAGTCGCATGAACCAGACAGCTCCGGAAACAAAAAAAAAAAAAAAAAAAAGAAAAAAAACCAGATCAAAGGAGATCGATGAATTAGATGTTATAGTTCTCTGCATGCAAGAAGATCTCGTCTCTGTTCGGATCTAACATCACCTGCGTTTGTAGCTTGGCCACTGTGTTGGCCACTTCGACACGCATGCTGGGCGGGCCGCATACGAAGACACAGGCGCGCCGACCAAAGTTCTTCGAGAATCCATTGAGCATCTCGGGGATGTTGGGTCGGAAGTAGTCCGTCCTCCAGTTTTCTCTCCGTTGTGATGATTGGAACACAGCATAGCGCGGCGTGGTCCTTTGGGCCACAGGTTGTGAGTTGTTGAATCCAAAGTTGAAGGGGACGTTATTGAGTCCAGGTGATCCAGAGGCATAAGAATCTTGGCAGTAATGGCGGTTGGTCGCAACGTGAGGTGCCATGTATGCACCTGGGAGAGCAGCAAGCCCGTCTTCGTTCTCACGGCGCAGTTCCTTTTCTCTCTCGGCGTCACCGGCTGCCTCTTCTCTGATCCAGGCGGAATTGCGCTTGTCAATGCCCTGCAATATACCAGATATCTTCTCCTGGACCATATCTCGCCCATTTTGGTCGTCTTGGTTTACCGCGGTGAGGAAGAAATGGCAATGAACGATACTGGATGGTGCATGGTCTCGACAGATGCGGAGCTCCTCTTGGAACCATTCCATTGTCTCTGGTGTCTTCAGGGACCAAATGACTTTGACTGATTTGGTGACAGCTTTACCGTCACGAATCTTCTTGATCAGGTCTAGCAGCTGACTAGCAATGGCGGTGATGCCGCTTCCTCCTGCGAAGAAAATTATGTCGTCGAAGGCGGACATCTCTCGCTGCATGCCGCCATAAGGCCCTTCGAGGAATGCCGTGTAGGTCTTGAACGGGCCATTCTCCAAGTACTTTTCAAATGCTTTGCGTGTGAACCCCTGGGAAGGTCGAAAGACGAGGGTCAGGTCTCGGTACTTCTCGCCATATGCAGATGGGAAGTCATCGCTGCAGAGTGAGGCAATAGTAAAGGGGTGACTCTGGAAGACGGAAATCCTGGGCATGCGCAGATAGACGTACTGCCCCGGTCGCCAGCGCATCTGGGTAGGGACAGTCACCTTGATGGCACCCTGAGGAAGTAGTGTAATGGCCGACTCCTCTCCAATCATGAACGATGACATCCGGAATGGGTTCATCCAGTTCAGATAGAAGAGGCGGATGATGTACGTGATGATCCAAATCACGACGGTGGTCCAGAGGTATCCCCACGAGGAGAGATAATTGCTCGTGTGCCAGAACAGCATCGCCACGAAGATCCATGATACGGGGATATGAACGATAATGAACAGCTCATACATCCGGTGGCGGATAAAGGGAAGTGAATGGATGCACAGAACAAATAGAGGCACGGCTGCTGCGAGACCCGTACCATACACATATATAGACATGCTCGCAAGCTTCCGATAGTTGATCATGGCTCCATCCTCCCAGATCGGGGTGATGTAGAAAGGAATCATATGCACAAGACACAAGAAGAGACAGATATAAGCAGACCAGCGGTGAAGCCCATTCAGCCGCTCGGGTCCCAGGCCAGTGAGCATGGTGATGAAGTTTGCCTTGGTGGCAAGCGCGACAATCCACGGAACCATCGCAACTGCAAGCATGCCTGCCCGAATGGCCAAGGGCGGTGATCCCAGGGCGATGGACCAGTAGTACAAAGGCTGTGGCACGAAGCAATACAGAGTCACGAAGATCAACGCGGTCAGCACAATCATCGTCACTGCCAGAGAAGGGAAAACGAATTCTGTCCTCCCCATTCGAACGACGGGAATTGGTCTATAAAATACCCAGCGCATGAGTGCGATTACCTTCTGCAACGGGATGAATCGTTGGAAGATTGACTCGCGTCTTTTGGGAGGAGCAATAGCCGTGTGAGATGGGAAGAAATGTGCGCTGGAAGCATCAGTGCCGGCACTGGGAAGCTCGTATTCGTCGCACATGGAAGTATTCGGATGAATCTGGGATCGGCTTTCTCTGAAGTAGGCGACCCGCATCTTGTCGCCCCAGATATGCCAGAATCGGACGAGGGAGGTGACGACCAGCAGCACGACGGCGAAGTAAACGAATCCATATCCGTATTTGGCTGATTTCGACCAGGGGTCACGTTGCATCTCCGCCAGCTCCGCCTTGGTCGTCGAGGCCGTGACCACGACCTTGACTCGTTTGGCGAGGGACATGATGGAATCCAGCATGGTGGATGGTGTTGGTACGCGGAGCGTGTATGGTTTCTGTTCAGGACCCTAACAGGTGAGTTTTAGCGGTATTTGCAAATATCCAAGTGTGCAACCTACCCTTACGTCGCTTGTCGAGGATGATCATCGCCAGAGAAGAGCTCTCTTCGAAGTTCTATAGATGCACCGAGCTCATGTCTTGGCCAGAGCTCAAACAAAACTTGATGTCGCCGTGGGTGAACGAGAGAAATAATCACGGGGACACCCGCATAGATGTAGGGTGAAAGGCGCGGAGCGGGGGTCACACCAGTTCGAGAACCTCGCACTGTGATGGGATGCGTCTTTGCCTTGGGAGACCGCGTGCTGACCAGCACCGAGCCAATCGAAGGCCTTGTACTGGTGATCAACCACATTGTGGCACTGGATGGCTCCGCGGGCGTCTCGCCAGGGCGACCGCATGGGGCGGAGGTCAATTCTCGAGAGCTGCCAGTGAAGTGTGATGGTTTAGCGCCCGCGGAGCCAATCATGAAGAACAACATTATTAGAGGTGACGAACGGTGATCGGGCCGCATTAGCGCCGTGGAATCTTTCTCGTCCCCGTTCTCTCACATCTTAGCCTGTTTGTTCGGATTGAGTCATGCTATGTTTAAAATTAGAAACCTCTAACTTTGCTCCGAAATAGTTCATGTTCATCTGGTCCGAGTCAGGAACTCCAGAAGCCGCGATATACCCGAATGCATTTGTTACTATGTATAGGAAATCTAGTGAATCATTTTATCATTTTACACATACAAAACTGGTGTCATGGAATTGTCAAAGGGCCTGGATGTAAAATGGAGTATGTTTTTCCAAAGGGGTTGAGGTAATTCCTTTTGGGTTGGCATTGGGCCGGTGATGAGTTTGCCGGGAGACGTTGGTTAGTATGGAGATGAATGAAACAGCAATGGTGGGAGAGGGACTGAGACAAAAATGGAGATGGCAACTCGGGGTTTGCGGGGATATGAATGTTTTCACTACTTTTATTGTAGAACTGGTCCCATTGAGGTGTGTAAGGCCCCGCTGTCTCAAGAGGATGTTCACCTCCGAGAGGATTGAGATAGTTCGCCGTTGAAGTGTGTTGACCCGGTGAAGCTTTTGTGATCGCTACCACGTGACCATTCCTGTCTCAATCCTAGATATACACCGCCTTTGATGGGGAATTATTCTGCCCAGCCATGCTCGCTTTTTCATCTGCGATCGAAACGACATAGCTTGCCATTTCACAGCTCTCCATAATGGCGACCCTTGCGGCAACTGCTGCACCCTCGGTGACGCCGTCCCTCGCACTCCCACCTTCTCAATTCGCTCGCCTTCAGCCTCACACCTACCTTCTTGCCCACCTCTCCCCTCCTCCAGCAAGCAACCAGCCCTCCATCCGCGCCAATGGCCGCGCCCCCTCCCAATTTAGAGTCACGTCCGCCAATGCTGGCTCTTTGACGCACACGAACGGCAGCGCTGTGGTGCGTGTCGGTGATACGACCGCTGTCTGCGGTGTCCGCGCCGAGATCCTGCACACAGATGATATCGCCTCGTGGAGTGTATCCTCCTCGTCGGCTACAAACTCAAACAAGCGCCGCCGACTGGCCAACCTCGGCGAGAAGCCAACAGAGGAAGATGAGGAAGACAAGGAAGATGCCGGCTTTGAGGATGAAGAGGACCGTGCCCACATGCAAGACTTGAACTTGCTCGTCCCAAACCTTTCCTTGAGCACCGGATGTGCGCCGGGCTTCACTCCTGGCGCCCCTCCTTCTGCGCTTGCTCAATCACTCTCTCATCAGATCCTTTCTCTCTTGCACAGCACACGCCTCGTTCGGGCAGACGACTTGCGCATTTGGTACCAGCCGCCGAATCTCGGCCCAGAGGACTTGGAACGCCATAATGAAAGCGAGCAGATGGATGTGGATGCAGGGCAGGGTGCAGGCTCTGAAGAAAGCAAACCGCGAGAGATTAAGGCCTTTTGGGTCCTTTATATCGACGTCATGATCATTTCTCTTGCAGGTAACCCATTCGATGCCGCATGGGCCGCTGTCTTGGCAGCTCTGCGTGATACGAAGATCCCGAAAGCTTGGTGGGATATTGACAACGAGACTATTCTCTGCTCAGACGATATCTCGGAGGCTAGCAAGCTATCTCTGCGCGGCTTGCCTATCGCCAGTTCATTCTGCGTCTTTGAGGCTGATGCTGCTGCCGGCTGGCGCGCGGTCGTTATTCCAGATGCTGAGCATCAGAAAGCTCAAGACCAGCGGAAGAAGGGCCCCCAGCAGAAATGGATTCTCGCGGATCCGGACGGCTACGAGGAGGGCTTGAGTCAAGAGCGAGCTTGTCTCGTCGTTGACAAGCCGAAGAATGGAAAGGGAAAGACGGTCATCATGAAGATGGAGAAGCATGGTGGCTGGGCAGTTGATACCGAGGACTTCCGCCAGCTGATTGATATCTCGGGCCAAAGGTGGGACGAGATGAAGCGGATACTTGATCAATGCTAGACTATGAGAATATGATACCATTTCTGATTCCTACGGATTTTCGACACCTTGCTTTCGACTTGGGACCCGATGTCATGTTAAACTCTCGTGACAAACACCGAATTCATTATTGACGGACAACAAGCAAACTCAAATAGAATACTCCATACGTTGAAACGCTATCATTGCAATGTATCGTTACAATTAGGTGAGGCAACTTGCCGTGACACCCGTTTCAAGACTGCCGTAAGCCCAACAGCGTGTATTTAATGCATGGATGCCTTTCGAGGCGTCCCACGCCTCCTCTTCAGCGGCGGCTCATCCTCCCAGCTGCCGACTCCCGGAATGCTCACTGTTCCATTCCCCTCCCCTTTCTTGCTCTCCTCAGAGCCAGAATCGACTTTGGCTTGGGGCTTGCGGGGATAGGAGATTGAAAACGAGACCAAGTCCAATCCGGCTTGTGTCTCTTCGTCCTGGGTCTTATCCGACTCGGGCTTTTTGTTCTCGTCGACCTCGTCCGATTTGTTGTCGTCGACTTTGTCCAATGTCTTTTCTGAGTTGCCGCTCTTTTCCTTTTCCGCATCTTCATCACCTGACGTGAGCGCCTTCAAGTCGCCAGACAAGATGCGCATAAAGAGGCTCTTCTGCTTGGGCTGGGAGGCTTTTTTCTTGTCAGCATCCGCCTTCTTCTCAGAGTCCTTTGCGTCTTTGTTTTCCTCCTCGTCTTCTTCATCTTCAGCATCAGAGAAGTTCCACAAGATACTAAGTTCCCCACGAAGGAGAGCAGTGCCCCATAGGAATGACAGGACTCCCGGGACCAGATATAAAAGGGCAGGCTGTGCGTGGTTTGAATATTGCATTGCAAGAAGCGTGGCGACCATGCCAACGACGTATCCAGCAAGGCTGGCTTTAAAGTATGTCTTGGGGAAAGATCGCGCATCGTAGTACGGAGGCTGGAACTCGGGTTCTCGTGGCACAATTGACGGTGCCCAGAATCGCTCTCCCCACGATCCAGTGGATCGTTGATACTTGGGCATGATATTCTCCTCACTTGATCCTTCTGCCCGTGCCTTTTGAGCGCCCTTTCGGAAGTAGTAGAGAAAGAGGTCAAATCGCAGCGCCAGGCCGACCATCATGCCCGGAATAACGATGTCTCCCAGTCCCAGCATGGCCAGTGACACGGCATCTGGTTCTTGACCTGGGGACGGGGGACGAGGAAAGAGAAGCTTGATGGGAACGTCCAGTTTTGTGGCGACAGTCACCATCATGGGGGTGAAGAAGACAAAATAGATGTCATAGAAGAACAAAGATCCCAGAATTAATGTTCCTGTCCAGAAGGTCGAAGGTGACATGAACTGTAGAGCACCATAGCAAAAGCTGAAACCAAGGAAGTTGGTTAACCACCAAGGCTTAGTAACAAATGCGAAGTAGCCCACGGCAATGAGAGCGAAGATTGCACTGAAGAGGTCAAGCAGTCCCACAAGGCCTTTGACATCCAGCACGCTCTTGATGTGGGCCCTCACTCTGAGTCGCTGGTACGAGGCATTGCGGCACATCCAGACAAAAGACATAACCTTGGATGGCAAAGGGATTGAACCAAATATTCCAGGAAGTGGTGAGCATCGAACTTGTCCCGAAGATGTGAACACGCGCTCGGACTGCTTGACCTTCCAAATCTTTCCTCCGTGGCGATAGTACTTGGGAAATATGAGTGACCGCAGGATCAACAAAGCGTCCTTCAGGAAAGCGACAGCGAAGAAAATGCCCATCTGGGAGAAGTAGAAACTGAGTATCTTGTTCAAAATAGCCGGGTCTTCCAGCCATTTGATTACAAAGTATAGACCGCCCAGTGTGAGACCCGCCGTTAATGGGAACATCAAGGCATCCGAGGGCTCGAGTCCCTCCATCTTCTGAACCGGGCCACCCTTGTCCTCGCCCTCATCGTCATCGTCGGTATCATATTCTTCCGTCTCGGTGTCCTTTTTGGGAGGTTTTGCGGCCGAAGAGGGTCTGGATAGAGATGCGTGGGCCCCAATCCACATGGGAAATAGAGCAGAGACGAGTAGGTGACCGTACGTGGGGAGGAGCGGCTTGATGCGGTCAAAGTGATACCAGGCGTGTCCAAGCACCTCCGCGAGGGGGCTGACGTCGGACATGGCGATAAAGTCGGGATGCAGTGGTTACTTAAGAGAATGTAATCGTTAAGGCGTGTGATTAAAAAGAATGAATCAGGCCATTGTGGTCGAGGAGTGGGATGTTGAGAAGTTGTTTAATCGGAGATTCTCAGTAAACTACCGCGCCAAGCTTCCACCTCATGGCTTCCGCCCTCCAAAGGTTTCTTCCCTTCCTGCTTTGCTGTTCGCAACGCTTCGTGCTCCAGAACAACCTTTATCATGGCAACTGACGTGGCATTCGATACCTCGATGGTAATTTTTGGCTGTGACTTACTCTTTGAATGAATACTAACTCTCGGCAGGGGTCCTTCACCGTCGAGCTCTACAACACCCATGCGCCCAAGGTCCGCAACCCATGCTTCATAGCAGGCGATCTTCAGCTGACCTTTGGTTTTCTAGACATGCAAGAACTTCGTGACCCTCGCGCAAAGAGGCTACTACAATAACGTCATCTTCCACCGCATCATCCCGAACTTCATGGTCCAGACCGGTGATCCCACCGGTACCGGCCGTGGAGGAAGCTCGATCTATGGCGAAAAATTCGAGGATGAGATCCACGAGAACCTCAAGCACACCGGGGCTGGCGTTTTGAGCATGGCGAACAGCGGGCCCAATACGAATGGCAGCCAGTTCTTTGTTACTCTGGCGCCGACGCCGTGGCTGGATGGGAAGCACACGATCTTCGGCCGAGTCAAAAGCGGCATGCGCATTATCCAGCGGATGGGATTGGTCAAGACCAACGGCGAGGACAAGCCCATGGATGAAGTGAAGATCCTTCGGGCGCGCGTGGTGGAAGGAGCTGAGTGAAAGAGATCACAATCTGCGCAATCGACTATACGGCACACGGAGACACTGTTTAAGAGACGATGGTCTACTCGGGATGCATCTCTTTGCGTTGAGGATACAGGTAGCTCTGCGCTCCGTCACATACAACCTCGCGAAATGGCGTCTAGCTCACCCGACGCAATTGAAGCTTGGAGGTGCTTTGCCCCTGCGGGCATGAACTCGGGCTCACGCCCATCTATACGAATTACGAAACCTGTCAAAGTCGAGGGATTGAATCCAACAACTGCGACTGTAGGCAAATGCATGTATCACTACAAAACGAACCGCTTCCATCAGATTTTTCATCCAGAGCAGCAGATACAGAGTGAATTTTCATCTACCACTCCCACGACGAGGGCCAGTGAAGGTCCGCGTCATGAAACCGGGATTGCCATTGTCATGGCAGCCGGCCTGTGCAGAACACTGGGAGTGGCATGGAGAGGAAAAGTTGGGCGCGGCACGAGTTTTTATTTTCGTGGGGATGAGTAAGCAATAGTCACGTGCGCTTAATTGTGTAGATCGAGATAAATGCGCGACTTGTAGAAAGAAGTTGAGGAGTGCAGCACGCGTCAAGTAGATAACGACAAAAGGCTGCTTGGGTTTGCAACACCACCTAATATGTCCCAATCATCGTTCTGGTTTGTTCCGAAACATGGTCTGTCAATTGCCAATATGTACGCTAACGATCTGGTATCCGTTTTCTCTCTAGGGCCCGCAAATCATTGGCTTCTACAGTGAAATGGAGGCTGTAAATAAAGCAATGTAACGGCCTAGTCCAAGCTTGTTAGTACCCGTGATTACTTTTGTGGCCCCCAAATGGTCCCAAACAGATGCGGGCTGACGTCAATCTATACCCCGATATAAGCCACATTCCATCGGTAAGATCGTATCGGCGAAATGCTTACCTAGATCGGCATATTTTGCTATTGACAAGCTTTCTATTAGGTCCTGGTGATCAGCGTCTTGGAATTTCTATTCTCCTGATCAGGCAAAATGTACTAAGCGTTTGTAGCTCAGCTCAACGCCACAATGGAAGGATATAAGGTCTGGAGTAAACTTCCCAGGTGATGGGCAACACTCTTTCAACTCAATCTCGTTCTAAAAATCTCAAGACAACTTAGAAGACCTTCAGGGCCCAAATTCCCAGACAGACTTCGAGTCAGGTCCATTCAGCCACTTTTCCTTTTGAGACAACCAGTCTCCCATCTTAATCTGCCCTTTATCTGTCTCAGCAAGCATCATTTGCCTTTTCCTTCCGTTCCTCCTGAAAACGTCTCAGGAAAGGGACAAAGAAGAGACCGTTGCTAGCTATGAGCCCGCACCTCGCCCAGTCATGACCCTGGCCCAAAGTCAGAGTCAGAGGCAGCCGTCGCGGCCTCACTCAGATGATCAGCCTTCATCTTACCTAGCCTTCACAGCAGGACAACTTTCGGGGTAGGGCATTGAGTGAGGCTAGGGTTAGTTCAATGTATGCTCTATGTGAACCATGGCACATGTTTTTTTTTTTTTTAAAGGGTTTCATGATTTCGAGGTTCGCATTGGAGGCGATGGTGGATCTGGATCTATTGGGATGACATCTGTAATTGGCTTGCTTTTTTGAAGATACGTTGGGATACCCCATGGATCAGCTTCTTAGTACAGTCGGAGTCGAAAACAGATTCCCCTTTGTACAATCACGATTTCTTTCCCGAACCCTAACTTGAAGCGCGATATTTTGTATTTGGTTACTCTATAAATTATCCCTACTTCGTTTTACCGTACCGAGCCGTTTCCCTAGACGAAAATCTCGATAGAACCGTGTAGAGTGTTCATGGCAGCTTACTGTCACTGGTTGTATTGAATATGAAAAGAAAACTGCTATAGCGTTGTAGAGGACCATCTCTGGTAGGAAAACATGCTTCTTGTTTATTTCGATGGCTGCTCTCTCTCTCCTATAGTTATCATTCATTACTAGTGTCTATTGAAAGCTGACGCCCCCACTAGACTAACAGATCTCCTAGGCTTTTCAATTGAGTGAAGTTATGAGCGGAACTCCGTATCATATCGATGACATATCTTGGCCTGAAGAGCTCGAATCATAGGAACAGGAATTTCATTTCGCCCTAACCCTAAGATACTTCCGCAGCCCCTACGACACGCGACCTATCTGTATGCCCCGCTGGTCTAGTATTCCTGAGAGTAGATTCGAAGCAATAAGGTAATCAGATACTCAAACTTCTTCAGTTGTCCAAGTAGGAAGAGAGAAGAGATTACGATAAAGGCCCGCTACCTTGGATCTACGGATGCCCCCGAAAGTGGGTGATGTGGTTCTATGGAACAAGAAAATTTGTTTCCTAATGTTTATATCGCAGTACCTTACTTAACGCAGTCCTTCTATTTCTAGATCACCTACGTAAAGGACTTTGCTCTGCAACAGTGGGTATGATAGCAGTTTTCCGCTCGGTACCGGAAGCCCCATTGTTTGGGCGAGCTGTCGCGATATCTTGGTCACCCTAATTTGAATCCACACAAACTAGTTGGGTCAATTATATCTTCACGAGCTTCGTATGGCAAACCTCGGCGAGAATCACCGAACTAACGCTTCTCCTAAACCCGAGAAGTATCCTGTAACGAGCAAGTCAATGTCCATTCATGATGAATTCCAATTCCTGCGGAATATAAGGTCCTGCAAAATGAAGAGGCCGAGGAGGCTGAAAAAACCGACCCCAACTCTACCCCTCCTTATGTATATACCCGGGCTGTGAAACCCCTCACCAGTGATCACCTGCGTTTCCCGTCGGAAATGCTTGATTGGCTATTGTTTCGGTAAACCTATTTTTCGTGCGCGTCAGCTCTAGTCCTTGGTTTACCTGTCTTGTCATGGAAAAGTGGCCCACCACCTTCGTTGCACTCCCGTTGCGCCGACATTTGCTCTGTCTCTCCATTGTACTTAATATTTAGTATTCCTACCCACATCATGCAATGGACAGAAGTCTCCCCTGGCTGCTATGAGCGATCATTTGATTCTCTTGAGCAATTTTATCGCATTATTGCCGATGCTGGTGCCCCGTTGAACAAGCAGCACTATTTGGTATCGTGTACTCTTCGACTCAAGATTCTGCCGCCGGTACATGAAGTCCAAAATGCATGGAAGGCTCTCCGCAAGCAATACCCACAGATTGCGGCCATGCCGGATGAGACTGGCACACGATTCCGCTACACCGTTCCGTCGTCTACGGAGTTGAATGCATGGGTCCAGGAAACTTTGGTGGTCGATCAAGGGAGGTCCGCTAACGACATATACGAAAAAGAGCAGCCATCATCCCTCTTTCTGCTCTTTTATCTTCCCCAGGCTCGGGAGTTGCTCTTCCGCATGCCACATTGGCGCATTGATGGCATCGGCCTGATGTATCTTCAGACTGCCTTTCTTCGCATCTTGTCAAACGGTCCATCCGAGAAATTCCAATTTGATGGTTCGGAGGCAAAGTATCTCGCTCCGTCTCTAGATCAGATTGCGACTGTACAGCTTAAGACAACAGCGGAGACTTCTCAAGCTGCCGATGAAGAGCTGGGTGTCTTCCTCCGCGGTTTGCCATCTATATCGATTCCTACACTACCAAATGTGGTCCCGACCACCCCTCGGCGCATTATGTCCTATTTCTGTGAAGATACGACGCAGCGTATTATTAGTACCTGCAAATCCCGTGGCCTCTCAGTTACGGCTGCAATCCATTCTGCCTTGGTCGTCGCCACCCTACCACATGCACAGCATGAATTCAATTCTGAGACTCGTGGCCAAGGCGGAGGTAAGTATACTGGATTCAATGCAATTGATCTCCGCAAGTATCTCCCGGTCCCTTACAATGGACCAGAAGCGGCAGTCAGCATCTACCACACTGGTATTCCTGTTAGCATCGATCTTGCTGTACACAAGTCTTTTGAGTCAATTGCCGCTGAGTTTCAGTACGGTTATAGACGTAACTTGAGCAAGGACGAGCCGCGAAATATTTTTAACTTTCTAGCCGAGTATATTAACAAGGTGGTCGAGCTGCTCAACGCTCAGCCTCCAGATCCTTTACGCGCCCCTGCTCATCCAGAGTTGAGCTCTATTGGATTGATCAATGATCACCTGCAGGCAAAGCATGAAGGCTCAGCATCGACAATTGAAGTGGAGGAATGGTGGATTGCCATGGAGGGTATCAACCGCCTCCTTCTCACAAAAGTCTGGACTTGGAGCGGTAGGATGTGTCTTTCTGTAAACTGGAACGAGGCTTTCTATGAGGATTCATTTGTCGTCAAATTTCTGGGAGAGTGGAAACAAATTGTGTTGAAAGAATTGGATATCAACTAGTCATCAGCCTATCTAGCTCATTTGCAGAGTCCATTAGTCCATTACGGGTAGCAGACACATATTTGTGTAGCCTAAAATGACTGTGTCAAGCTGAACCACAACACCAAGGTACCGATCTGTACTGGTCATAGGCGTTACCAGGCTGACAGACCCATCCACCAGACAAATAGATCTTTCATTCATGTATAAAAACTTTCCTTAGATGGTGTTACATATAAGTCCATTTTCACTTTGAATTTGGGAAGATGCTATCACCAGAGGTTTGGCTTATCATGTCGCAATTTTTCCTTCTACTCTGACCTGATAAGCTGTTTTGTAAGAGATATCTACAGATCCGGTAGAAGGCCTGTCGATCATGTACAGAGCACTAGACTCTGTCCAGTCTCAGCCTCCTGATTTCCTCGTGTATACGTGCGGGCCTCTCTGCCTTTCCGCGAGTTGAGAAATTGCGCAATCTTCCGCTTATTCAAAACAACTCCATTGCACTCCCCAATGGCTGGCCTATTCCAGCCTAGACACCGATGCAATGAAACGTCTCGGTGTCCAGACCGTAGTCACAGCCCCAGGTACCTGCATTCTGAAAGGTGCCAGGACCATCCGAACTTGGGCAGGTAATTCGGCATGATCATATCCTCCATTAAGTTGTTTCGATTCGACTTTGCTTTGGCCCGCTTCTCACTCTTTGCAGAGTGGTGTTCATACGCCCAATCACAACATATCCCGCCTTATGGATGAAGTAGAGGAGTACGGGATGAGCCAAGAGCTGAGAGACAAGATCAACTTTGGAAATGCGGCTGGCTAGGTTGGTTTCTCAATTGGGACCGCACGATCCTCCTCAGCGACTGGGAAAAGTCAGCATAAGGAATTAGGCTGTCTCCTAAATATGCGTATCAGGCTCTATTTCTGCTCTCTATAGTCTCAACCATTTCAAGCAATGACAAGTGCCGTAAATAAGAAGCCTAAAAGCCACAGAAAGTCGCGGTCGATAGCTGTAGCGCACTAGGGCCAACACGGTATAGCTGGATGGGCTCTCACCGCCTTCCCACATGAAAAGCTCGGCGCGTTTTTTCTTCTTCTTTTCCCCTCGAAGCTCTCCACTCCATGAACTGAAAAGGTTTTTCCAGTCGGAAAGCCAGAGATGCTCGCAAGATCTCTGATCCGTGACCCAATGTTATAATAGCCGGGCTTGCTTCTCGCTGTAATCTGCACACTTACTCGCTACAGCTCATACCTTGGTTGTAATTGACAACATGGAGACCTTGTCAGAGACACCGTGGGATGCGATCATTGCGGGGACGGGGCTCGCCCAATCCCTCCTGGCACTGTGAGTTTATTTCTAGGAGCTTGGGCTCAACGGTGTCACTGATGCGTTCTTAAGTGCCCTCTCACGGTCGGGAAAAAAAGTCCTCCATTTGGACCGGAACCCATACTATGGAGGATCCGAGGCTGCCTTCAGCCTGGATGAGGCCCAGGAGTGGATGAACAGTGTCAACCAACGTGGGTAGCTGTCGCATGCTGCGTCATGGCTTGTTGCTGATCTCTGGTAGATCCTGGCCAGTCTCCATTTGAGGATGTCAAGATTTTCACCTATCAGCATCCCCAAGACTCTCCACAATCTACTCCCTCCCAACACGGTTCCGAGAGCAGCGCACGTCCTGAAGGCACACCGGATATTCGCGCAAAGCTTGCAGCGAGCAGAGCCTATACCCTTTCCCTTTCCCCATATTTCCTCTACACCCGCTCGCAGCTAATCTCTACCCTGATCTCTTCAAAGGTCTACCGCCAGCTTGAGTTTATGGCAGTTGGAAGTTGGTGGATCCACTCTCCCGGTCATCCCAATGCAGCGAGTAGTGAGCTCGGTGCTACCCGGGTTTTCCACCGTGTGCCTGGTAATCGCGAAGACATTTTCGCAGATACCCATATCAGCATGAAATCGAAGAGGACACTGATGCGGTTCTTGCGACACATCAGCAAGCCAGAGGAAGAGGACGATGTTGAAACAGACGAAGACCTCACAATGCCATTTGGGGAGTACCTGTCTTCCAAGTTCAGTGTTCCTCAGGACCTCCACGATCCTTTGCTCTCGCTGTCGCTGTCCCAGCTGTCCCAGCAGGACACGACTGCAAACTACGCCGTTCCTCGGATAAAGAGGCATCTGGCATCTATTGGCGCATTTGGACCTGGATTCGGAGGCGTGGTATCTAAATATGGCGGTGCCTCTGAAATTCTTCAGGTCGCCTGCCGTGCATCTGCCGTCGGCGGTGGTGTTTATGCCCTTGATACCGGCATTCAATCACTCGTAGACGGCGACGCGGCGGCAGAGGCCGAGTATCCTGTTGAGGCGCAGCTGTCCAACGGAGAGTCGGTGCGAAGCAAGTTTCTGTTTGGCTCTACCTGGGATCTCTCCGCAAAGGAGCAGATGTCGCCTCCCACCAAGGTCGCACGTTCAATCACTATTGTTTCTTCAAGCCTCGCCTCTTTATTCCCCATCACGGTGGAAGGGGCACCTCTGTCCGCCAGCACGGTTCTCATGTTTCCGGGTCACTCGTTGAGTAATCCTCAATCCCCGCCGGTATATCTCCAGGTCCACTCGAGTGATACCGGCGATTGTCCACGAGAGCAGAGTAAGTTTCACTCTTTTTGCATCAACCCCCCCCCCCTCTGCTCGTATGATGATTATTCTTTACTTATCTACATTGCCTGATTTGCATTGATGAAACCATTTCTATCTATAACTGATCACGAGCACCTCAAATTGTGATTTCACTGGCATTTTTCTCCGGTCATATGGCTAATGCAACGTTATCAGGTATCATCTACGGCAGTGTATCTCTCTCCGGACCTGAAGGCCACACTCTGCTCGAATGCGCGATAGACCGACTGCTCCGAGCGGAGGGTCCCCCGGCCATCGTGTTATGGTCCATGCGGTATAACCAAATGGGCCGGCTCAGTAACGACGGTACGCCGTCGACTCTTCACCCCCATTCGCCTCATGTATACAGCTTCCCGCCGTCGAGCCTTGATCTGGCGTTCGAGGATGAGACTGTCGATACGGTCAAAAAGGCGTGGACTCGAATCGTAGGAGATGAGGTGGACCATGACGATTTTATGATCTTTGACGATCGTGATGGCGCCTCCGATGAATGATTTGTAGCATAGCATCATGATATTCCCGCCTCTACTGTATAGAACAGGAAGAAATTTAACCCTATTTAATATTATTCGGTCCCAATGATATCTATGCATCAGGTTCCATGCGGTTCTATGTCTAAATCTAGGCGTATATCCCCGCCAACAAGCCATTCTAAGGATGGAGAGCCTGGAGCGCAATCTTTCGGCTACAGAAAGCGCCAAGACCCGGCACGAACAGCTTCACCGTAACTGTCTCAAGACCAGTGTGGAGCAAACAAGCATAGGTCCGGTCCGGAGGGTTCTGAACCGCCAGTCCGAGCTTCAGTTCGTTCATAGCGCGCCGTGGCGCCGCAGGGGCACACGTGCAAGGCACCGCATTGGTTACAGGTCTCTTCGGGGAATCATACTCAGGTATTAACAGGAAACCAAGGCCCAGGCCCCTGGAATGAAGCGGGGCGCAGTAAAAGAAGCCGTAGATAGCGAGGGTATTATTGCACTCGTTATCGAAATGATATCGAACAAGGTTTCCGGGAGTCCACCCATCATTTGAATTCCAAGGTTATTGGGCACGTAGGTTTTTCTAGCCAAGAACCACCCGCGCGTCTAGAATGAGTTAATCCCGATATCTGTTGATCCTGAGCAGATTGGCTGCTCTGTTAGGCGCTCTTCGCCGGTGTCCGAACCCACACGCATGTGCAATCTGCCATGAGCTCTGCTGTAATTTTCTTGCTTGTATGCAGATAAAGAAGACATGAGCATAGGGCATAAGATTACTAACTTCCAGAGACCAGCACCGTCCCTCGTCCCTCGTCCCTCGTCCCTCATCCGTTCCATATCCATATCTACGAGTGTCTGAAGAAAGTCCAATATATATTTAGGTCACAAATGATGAGGAGCATCAAGATCAACCGCAACCGATATCGTTATATTGAACCTCCGTCATTCTGCGCGGTGTATCAAGCATCGTGACACCGTGCAAGTAACCGGGGGACAAATGGCGATCCCCACCGCTGGCCGCGTCAGACTCGAAGCGAAGGAGGATTGGACGTGTCAGCGATCATCGTGTAAAAGCAACAACCCTTGCAGCGTGTGCTCTTCAGTCCGTTGCGCGTTTCATCGAAAACGGAGTGTGGGGAGACTTACAAGATACGGAGGATGGATAGCCTGACGAGCTATCTCAATCTGGACCGAATCAATCTGCATGATCCCGTCTGGACCCTTAGATCCCGTTGATTCGGCCCCCGACGATCCTAATGCAACTCGACGCAGAATGAGCGGGACATTGCATTTTTGCATTTCCCGTCGTACAGATCAGGGCCGGGATGTAATCCTTCGGGGCGGAGACCAACCACCCTGGAGGTCCGCACGGTCACAAAATAACGAGTTCATCAATAGGGCTGGAGGTCGACGGCAGGGGCTGAACTGATTATCATCGATGCATGGTACGGAGGGCCTGGGCGCATTTGCATTATTTGCCGGTCCGTTGAGCACACTCTTGATCAAGTTTGCGCAACGGACACGCTAGGGAGCAGGAGAACAACGGTCCACAGTGCAAACGGCCTCAATTTCTTGCTTCCAGCCCTGGAAAGTTCTACAAGTGGACTTGCACCGATCCGAGCCCGAAAGGGGTTGACGATCAGGGGCCCAGGAGGATCCACCGAACCGGACACACTCGTTTTCAGGGTCCGTAAGATTAATAGATTACCAGTTCGAGTGCTGCGCCCCCTATTTTTGAATCTTACCGTCTCCGTATTGCACGATCACAGCATCGCCAAGGCGGCGCTTGAAGAGCTTAACTGAAATTTTCATGTTCCATGCACCTTCGAGACGAGGCTGGGGGACTCGTCATCGCTGACTCCAGCTGAGGTGGCCGGTTTCTACGTTTTGCGTACGGAGGAGGTACCGACACGTTCCGGACCCTCCCTGAGATTTGGCAGATGCCTACCGGTACTTGCGATGGTGTATGGCACATAGGACCCGATCCGTCCAGGTTAAGGTTAAATCCATATCGCTCGCTTAAGACCCGCGGTCCAGACTGAGCCTGCAATTACTCATTGCTCGCACCTGGCTATTTCCCCACGTCGGCCGGTGACTCGGGTGAAAAGATGAAACGCGGCCGACGGCGTCGAGGGTTCAATATATGTAGAACGCCCAGGACGCCCATGACGCAGCTGTCTCGTCGCCCTGGGTAGACTTCGGCACGGCAGAAACCCACGGCCTGAGCCCAGGGCGAAAGTGTGAATGGCTCAATTGTCGATCTCGGCCCACTTTTCCTCACCTGCGATGGTCGACCACGGCTGAATGGGTGCCCGTTGCCACCTGTTGATAGGGGTGCGACAAAGCTTTTCAGGGTCTTGATTCGCCTCTCGGCTGAGGTCCTACAGTATGTCTTCTACCGACTCGTCCTCCGTGCAAGTGGCAAGACCAAGAAAAGAAACACAATCTCAACGGTAGACAGGGACACGCGTCGGTGGGGAAGCGCAGACCACCTTGGCCCCTCCGGCACTCGCTGACTGGCTGAAGCGGCTGGACGCCAGAACGATCGACTTTCACATCATTTCCTCTCGGCCACTTCATTACTGAAAACCCCTTACGCCGTGTCTGTTCTACACGTGCGGATACTTCATAGTTCGTGATCTCGCTACCGCAGTAAAGGGATGCGATAGTCTCCGGTCCAAGCGCAGCCGTGACGTGATTTATAGACACGATCCATTTATTCGCGACATCGCATCATGATGATGGGTTTTCGGATACTTCACCCCGTTCAATCCCGGTGTACTCCCCGTAAATGTAGCACGGGGAATTGCCATGCTTCTCGCATTTGATCTCTGAGCGAACCGGACGGTGCTCCGACGGATTCGAGAGCCGGTTGAAACGATCCTACCGATCTCGATCTCCGGTGGGAGCCAGTAACCGGCACGCATTTGGATCTGCTGGATGTACTGTAAAACGATCATCACAGCGCCGTCGTTTACCTATGGGACCGATGCCCGAGAAATCCCCTATCCGAATTGCCAAGTAAACCATTGCGACCGAAGGAAAAGCAGACCCAGCGATCGGCGCTATTCTACGGATATTCTGATACGTTATTTCCATGGGATGGGACGATCCGCTGCGACAGTAGGACCACCTACGTAGCAAAGACCGAGTCCCCGGTGCCGAGTAGTGACCAACATTCCAGCGTGATCAACACGACAAAGCTCACTCGAGAGATATGTTAAAACGAACGGACGATGGGAATCGATATACCTGTATACACAAAATGATATTGGAGTCCGAGCCTCTGGCATATCCGCCGTTGCGCTGAAAGCGGAGAACCCCCAAAATTACGCGTCAGCGTATTACCAAAGTACCGCATTCTCTCGCCGTTCCCCCCAAAACTGTGCCCTCTCGCTTTAACTGCTTAACTTCTGCCGTCCTCCCTTTTTTTCCTCACCACGACCTTCCTCCTCCTTCTCCCAACCCCAGCATCGAATTCTCTCGCCCTGGACGCACTGTCCAGCCGCGTTGATTTACGCCTACTTCTTTCTTCCCTCCCCCTTCTTCCACGCCTCCCCCCTTTGGACCGTGTCGCGGGTCCCGACGCTGCCAGCCTCTCGTTACTTTCCGGCATTTGACTTGCCTGCCATTCTTTAAACTACTCTCTGGTCCCATTCGTTCTGCCGCTGTGATAAGCTCGAGCTCCAGCCCAAACGATATCACGGGATTCACGAAACACTGCTTCTACGCCGATCACTGAAAATACCCTAATTTGAGGACTGCGCCAATTGCCACCCTCTCCTTCGACTCCGCCCTTCACGTACATGTTGGAAAAATCGTCGCCTAATACCGTCAAGATGCCCCTCTTCCGGCTGAAGACGGTTTTCCCCCTGCTCGCTCTGCTGTCCATCGGTGTTTTCTTCTGGTGCATGGAGCGCTATGATCGGACGGCCTTGCTCCGATTCAAGCACATGGACCGCGTGAACCTTGGCACCAACCAAGCCCCATTAGCTACAACTGAGAAGTTGCCCACCACGGAGACCGCCAGCAACACCTGCGAGGTCGACCCCAAGCTCGCTGCTCCTCTTCCCTTCTCCGAATGGCTCCCCCGCAAGAACTACACCCGGGCCTACTTCCGCCCTCGTCTCGTGAACCCCAAGACCGAGTTCCATACTCTCGAGGAGATTGAGAAGCCCGTCTTGCCTCCTATGGTCGCCATGGAGCGTGGGATGGTGATCTCCCCCGACAACGACGAGGATGTGTTTGTCTGCCCCGAGATCATCGACGTCGATGTCGCCGCGGATGACGATGTGGATGAGACCTCCAAGCTTCTGTTCGGTCTGGCTACCACCGTCGACCGTCTGGACCGCCTGCTCCCGTCCCTGCTTTACACCTACGGTAACACCAAGGCTGGTCTTCTCGTTCTGGTTCCCGAGTCAGATGACGACCTGGACAAGCAGGAGACCTACTTCCGCAACCGCGGCCTGGACCTGACTCTCATCGCCTCCCCGCTCGATTTCACTGCTCGCTACTTCGGTATGGTTGAGGCCTTCTCGGAGCACATCCGCAAGCACCGCCCCCACACCACCTGGGTCGGCTTCAGCGACGATGACACCTTCTTCCTGTCTCTTCCCACCGTCGCCGAGGAGCTGAAGCTGTTCGACGAGAAGAAGAAGCACTATATTGGATCTCTGTCCGAGGCCAGCTGGCAGGTGGACACCTTCGGCCACATCGCTTTCGGCGGTGCCGGTGTCTTTGTTTCGAAGCCCCTGCTCGATGTGCTCATGAAGCACTACGACGAGTGCCAGTCCTGGGGTGAGCAGCCCGGTGATCAGAAGCTCGGCCAGTGTATCCAGCGATTCGGCGACACTCCTCTGACTCTCTGGCCCTCGCTCTACCAGATGGATATGACCGACCCCGTCGACGGTGTCTACGAGTCCGGTCGCAAGATCGACTCGATGCACCACTGGAACAGCTGGTACTCCAAGGACGTGGTGAAGATGACCACCGTGTCTGCGGCCGCGGGCCGGAAGTCCGTCCTTCGCCGCTGGGTCTTTGACCAAGAGGAGACCATCAACAACGCGACCGGCGAGTCCACCCGTCACTTCTGGGTTCTGACCAACGGTTACTCCATGGTCAAGTACACCTACGACGAGTCCGTGCCTGATGACGCCATCAATTTCGACGCTGTCGAGAAGACCTGGCCCGAGGACCCCCGTGGCTTCGAGGAGCGCCTGGGTCCCCTCCGTCCCGCGGAGGATGAGGGCGTCACCAAGGATCGGTGGTTGATGCATGATGCGTACGTGGTGGGGGACAACGTTCACCAGTTCTATGTGCGCGAGGAAGATGAGGGACACAGCGTGATCGAGATCGTCTGGCTCGGCCCCAAGGGCGGCGGCGGCGGCGGTATCAGCGATCACTACATCACCGGTACCTACCAGCAATGATCTCTTCAGCCTCCTAGCTGAGAAGCCCCTCAAGCGATTTCTCTAAGGCTGGTCCTTGGGGGCTTGTCATTTTCTTCTTGATTGTCCCATCTTCACTTCGCTGCACATGATTTTCAATTTCTCCATTTATTATTTCCCACATCACGACGCTAAGTCATTTGCATCGACCACAAAATCCCCTTTCCGACCTTTTTCCATATTCCGGATGAGACTCGTGATCGTGACCTGAACTCCGCGTCCTCCAGTTTCTGATTATTCATTTATCAGGCGTTAGCATTGGCGGAGTCCATATTGGTGCAGGAACCCGGTGGTTCTATGTGCTCCCTATATCCCGGCTTCTTTTTATCGTGGCCCCACTTTCTATCCGGCTGCCTTTGTACGTGATTTGGGCATGAAATATCCATGCTCGCTCACGCCTCTTCGGCCCAGCTACTTGTCCTTCATTTTTTTTTCTTTCTGTGGTTTTGTCTTACCATCTTCGTGGATTCTCCGTTGCAATCCGCGGAGAGGCTCCCGTCCACGCCTTGCATCGTTTTGTAAAAATAGACTTAAAACCGAAGACCGCGTTTGGGTCTCGGTTGGTGATTAGCGTTGAACTATGTATGGTTCATTATGCGAAGAATATGATGAGTACTTTCATTCTACCGTTTCCCCTTCCCGTAGACGTCTGTCCACGTATAGTTTCCGGTTCTTTGTATACTTGGGGGACTGAGCTTGTCACTGCAAGCAGAAATCAAAGTGTCCAGGTCAAGCTCGATGTCATCGGTTGTAGCCTTCACTCAATAAGACGACGAAACACGATGGCCGGGTGAGACGATTGGCTGAAACCGATATTGCTTCAGGCCCGGGTATTTTCGAGTGTACAGTACCACACAACGGGTTTGTGGCCGATTGATAGCCCGCCCGTGGAGATAAGATAACGATAACGAATATTGTACATAGTCCATGACCCCTGAATCATGTCCGTCCCAGAATAGACGCACATGCCGTGGCACATACCTCGTGCCCGATCGGGATGAAAGCGGAAAGCGACCTCTTTCCACGGCGCTCTTTACGGCGGAAGCGGGGGTCCAGCCAGGCCCATGACATGTCGGGGAAGGACACCGCAGGTTCCCCGTGTGACGCTGGTTGATTCTTTACTTTGTACGTGAGATGAGGATCCGAAGGGTCCAGAGGGTAATGTAATGCCGGTGCTTACTCGGTACCTGGTTCAAGGTACTGGTTTTGCCGGGCCAACCCGAAAGCCGAGTGCAGTCCGCCGCGAGGAATGCAGGGATGCTCCAAGTAGAGAAAGGCATGCATATCAAGGACGTGTGCTCTCTACATACTGCCGTTATACATAGTATATCTACTACAGAAAAGTAAAAGAGACCGGGCCCAGACACACCAGACTCGAAGCGGATGAAAGCGGAGGCGCCAAGTGGGGACGGGGCAGCCCGTGAACAGCGCGTGAGTGGAGGACGGTCCGGCCGCCCTGGTGGATCCGCCAATCACGGTGCAAGACGTGCGAGAGGGGGAGGCGGATACCGTAAGTTTACCGTCCGTGACATGTAAGATCGGCAGCTTCCACTCGGGGTACTTCCTCGACGGTGCATTTCACCCCATGGACACAAGTACCCATTCGGCGGGACGGTGTAATGCGTCCCCACACGTGACTGACCGCCTGCCCATCGCAACTCGCACTTTGCCTTCTTCGCTCTTCCCCCCTTCCTTTTCTCTCCCCAACCCTGCGATCCCAAAACGCGTTACTCGATTGGGTATATCTTCGATTCCCTTCCCCTTTTGGACCTTCTTCCAACTTTTGGTCTCTTCCTTTTCTCGTCTACCTCCTTTACTCCATAATGGCCGACATGACTTCAGTTGGTGAGGAGAAGCTTTCTCCTACCCACGACGACCTCCAGCAGCCCGGTAACGGCGCTGACACCCGCGGCACCAAGCGCGGCCGCATGAGCGCCGAGGACGACGACGACGACGATGACAAGCCCGGCCGTGAGCGCCGCAAGATCGAGATCAAGTTCATTCAGGACAAGTCGCGTCGCCACATTACCTTTTCCAAGCGGAAGGCCGGTATCATGAAGAAGGTACGTTCTCCCGAGTACCGTGCAGGTACCCCGTCGCGACTCGTTCGTATCGGACCGTTCAGAGATTGACTCGACCTTCTCTTCCAGGCCTATGAGCTGTCCGTTCTCACCGGTACCCAAGTGCTCCTTCTCGTCGTCTCCGAGACCGGTCTCGTCTATACCTTCACCACCCCCAAGCTGCAGCCGCTTGTCACCAAGGCCGAGGGCAAGAACCTGATCCAGGTAAGTTCCGTCGAGCAAAAAACATCGGTCGCCTGATATTAATTCCCTCGTGCAGGCCTGTTTGAACGCCCCCGACCCCACCACCAACGAGAACGGCGTCGACGCGGGCGACGTCCCCCCCGAGGCCCCCGAGGATGTGGCTCACAGCAACGTCAACGCGCCCCAGGGCAACATGCCTCGTCCCGGCATGCACCCCGGCTACATGACCAACGAGCAGCAGCAGCAGATGGCCTACTACCAGAACCTCCAGCAGCAACAGCAGGCGGGTGGCCAGTACCCTGGCATGCCCGTGGGCAGCCGCATGCCCCCGCAGCACCAACCCACCGCGTAAACAACCCATTATCTTGCTTTGTTTTCGCGGCGCTGCGGACGGGGTCCCAGATACTGCGTCTTCCTTCTGTTTTCTCTCCTCTGCGCAACTCAAATCTCTCGCGTTCATTTGATACCCGTCCATCCGCGCTGATCCATCCTCCCTCTCCTCTCTGGAAAATGATCTCCATACTCATCTCTGTGTGCTGATCTTCCATCGCTCCTGTGAAGTATACATGGTCGAACATTACGCTGGGATCTCCTCCAGTTGTCTGTCTTTGATACTGAACGTGGGTCCGTTATGGTCTTGCTTTCAAACTCGGAAAAAATTGCTCTTTTTTTTTTTTTTTTTTCCCCCCATTGCTTCGAGCCATGACCCCATTCAACCCCCAAAACCCTTTAAAAAAAGAGACTAAGAGCGCAAGCACGCAAATCTGGACTTCGACGCTATTCTGGCTGTTTGTGATTTCCCCTTGCCCCCTCTACCTGGACCAAATGGTGGAGGCTGGTGGTGTTAGTGGTGCATTGATCTGTTGGCGAAGTGGTTCTCCCCTTTTTTTTTTTTTTTTTTTGCTTGTTTCTTTTCCTTTTATCTCATACGACCCATTATTGATATTGGTATTTCCCCTTTCTCATTCCAAAGTGTCTAATCTCATCCTTTGTTTTATTCTTGTCACCTTATCGGGTTCTCGCGCTTGTTGCTGATCCTGGCTCGCCGAGATGTATGTCCTGTATTTGGTACGGAGATGAAGTGGCTTTTGTCCTTTGGCTGTGTAGTATGTAGCTGTTGCTTTGCTGCCGGGTGTATTTCCATGGGATTAATGCAATTGTTCTTTGGTCACTGTGTACTGTAATATTCCAAGATTCATCATGTTTAAAGTATTTTTCATCTCTGGTGGAGTGCAAAGTACTCCTCGTGGGCGAGGTATATACAGTTTGCAGATCAGCCGCGGGGCGGACCAAACCCTTGTTTGAGCTAGAGATAGATCAGATATGATCGTCACCAGCTTGCAACTGCCTGCTGCACCTGCCTAAGGTTCGATTAAAATACAAATGCAGTGCTGGGTATTTTGAAAAGCGTTGGCAAAGAGTATTAGGGTCTATGTTCGGTACATCCCCCATCCTCCACCACACGGGCATTCAAACAGCCGTATAGCAGCAAAAGAAAACGTGGTATCGTGTCTTTGACTGTGGCATGGCCAGACAGGCTTTCAAAGAGGGAATAAAATAAAGAATCCATCGCGCATCTGACTTGGAAACGTGTGTTGAGATCGAGATCATGCGGATGTGTCTCGACCATCTCGACCGAGACATCGAGTCCTACTGTACATGGTGAAACAAGATAAAGGAAAAGGCCTTTGGTATCAAGAGTTGACGGAAGTCCAAGCAAAGATGGTTTAGATGTGAGAGGTATAGCTTAATGCTCCAAAAAAACCGTCAAAGTGATGACGGCGGATCTCCAGCCTCGGGCCTGTTGCCGGGTTACTCTGGTATATTTCGTGTCGGAGGTAGGCGGACCTCGGCGCGCGGTAATAAAGGCGAAGAGGATCCTTCGTTTACATCGCGGTCGGCTTGATTGCCCGCCCGCGGGCTGGCCCATCGAGATAGATACCGTCGTCCGTGTTGCCAAGCGCCGAAGAGCGTCCTTCTCGATCCAGCGAAAAGTCCTAATATTGGGTTCCGGGCACGAATGGTTTCGCCACTCTCATTCCCACGGTCGCCATGATCTTCTTGGATGGTTCCGTACGCAGGAATGTCCTGCGTGTCCGGTGAGGCAGAGAAGCCCCACAAGCTCTTTCGTCTGCGTTGTGAGCCCTTAAGCCCTGCCAGTGGTGTTGTTGAGCGTCTCCACGCGCCGGTTTGTATCGGCGGAAGGCGACGAGATCCTCGTGTAGGATGATACGGCATCGATCCAATGGTCGAGTGGCGCGCAAGGCCGCGAATTGAGCCGTGAAGGGCTGCACCGCTACTTGAACTGCGAGGCCGTTTGCTGGCAGAGCGCATTTGCGGATCGGAGAAGTCATAGTCGGAGTCGTCAAGCTCAGCCCAGATCGACGCGGCGTTCAGGTCTGCAGCTCCGCAACGGTCACCCGGTCCAATAAGCGGAAGACTGGGAGCTCGGCCGCGTTGATACGTGGTAAAGTGTCGAGGCCGGATCGTGCCAAGGAGAGGCTCTCGTTCTCCAATCTGTGACTCTTCGTCATCCATACCATCCATCAGCTCGGCGGACGCTGGTGAGTGCTCCTCGACGACCGCCATGCCTGGGCCAAGTCCGGTCTGCGTGGTACCAACGGTGGTAACAGCAGCATGACTGTCGATATCCTCTAGACGCCAGGACAGGCATAGAACGCCGCCCAGCAGAATAATTGTCCCCAAGGCGATGAGTCCCGCATGAAGCCCTGTAAGCTGAGACGTTTGACGAAAATAGATCAGGCCATCAAGAATGGCAATGATGTTGTAGATGCAAAACACAAACGGATACAAGATACTGGTACTGCAAAGTTTCAGTCCACGATGCAAGTAGAATAACTGTGTCAGGGCCAGGGAGATCATGGCCAGCAGGATCACCCATGACTGCCACCGGTTGAACTGGTTTTTTCCATCGACCAGTGTGCGCACTAGCAGCTCCACCGCGGACTTGGCCAGCAGCAGCGAGTGGGCTGACAAGATACCACTGACAGCTCCATAGCACATGCCCCGGAACAGCCTAATCCGACTGTGTAGCCGCTGCAGATGCGGTGCAAAATGGCCCGTCGGTGCAGGTTTCATTCGCGACCCCGGTAGACAGTGTTTCAACAGCTTTGATCCAACCAGAATAGATACCACTAGTAAACCCGTTCCTCCCATCCAGATCAGAAAGGGCCGTTGCTGTAGAAGCACCAAAAGCTGGTTCAAGGTATGGGCCGGTTCTCCGATGGCGCCGAAAGTTGCGATCAATATCGCGCCGATGCAAACAAGGAAGGTGCCAGCGAAGGAATATCGAGTGAAGGGCTCGCCGAGGATGAGAGTCGCAAAGATCGTATTAAACACCAGTCCGGACTGTCACCATTTAGTCAACGTCATCCTGCGCTCCGGGGAAGAGAGCAACTAACTGCCTGGAGTGTAGAGAGAACCGGGAGTGGGAGCGTGGTGATCTGAATAGTGCTGCCCACGATATTGGATATCACAAACATACCCATGCCCAGCTGCCATCGCCGGCGCTTGTAGGGAGGGCGGCGCACATCGTACGGGTGCTTCTCGTCTTCGAGGAGGTGAGATTTGCGCTGGAGCGTGAGCCCGATGGCCTGTAAGCTGGTCGAGACAAGCCCGACGAGAATGCCGATCTATTCCACGGCTTTTATTAGCCACTAACACCCGTCATGTCAACATCCACACTCACCGCGACGCTGCCTTGCGGCGACAGGCCACCTAGGTTGCCCATCATAGAGTATGGTACATCGGCCACGGAAAGACCGCAGAGCGCACAGAGTAAATCCACTACCGCAGCAATAAAGCCATGATGTGAGGAGCAGTCAGGGGAGGTAGAGAAAGGGAAGGCTAAACACAATACGGGGAGAACGAGGGGAGGTCTCGGTACTGAAAGCGGACGCCAAGGCAGATGAGCGGATCCGAGCTTAGTTGGACACAACTCCCTTTCTTCCCCACGTCATTCCCCTTCTATACCTGCGTTGATTCAGCAACCGCCATCATGTCGCAAAGTCATGCCCTCTCGGATGATCAGGTAGGTCCAGATCTATTGCTGCCCGCAGTTTCGAACCCCGTGAGCCTCGTTGCTGATCCCTTGAACCCAAACAGGTCGCGGGCGAGCTCCGCAAGATGACCGCGTTCATCCGGCAGGAGGCGCTCGAGAAAGCCCGTGAGATCCAGTTGAAGGCCGACGAAGAATTTGCGATCGAGAAGTCCAAGTTGGTGCGCCAGGAGACCGCCGCCATCGACATCCTCTACGAGAAGAAGTTCAAGCAGGCCGCCATGTCCCAGCAGATCACCCGCTCGACTCTCGCCAACCGGACCCGACTCCGCGTGCTCAGCGGCCGCCAGGAGCTCTTGGACGACCTCTTCCAGCAGGCTCGTGATAAGGTTGCTACCGTTGCTGCCAACGACAAGAAGAAATATCAGACTATGCTGCAAGGGCTTGTCCTCGAGGGCTTGTACTACCTGAACGAGGACAAAGTGGCTGTCCGCTCGCGCAAGAAGGATTCCGATATTGCGAAGAAGGCCATTGAGGAGGCTGCCAAGGAGTTCAAGAAGAATGTCGGCCGGGAGGTGAAGGTCGATCTGGACGAGTCAGAGCCGCTGCCGGATGGATCGTGAGTTATTGAGGCTATTCCCAACGGAATTCCGGGGCTAACAGAAACGCTACAGTGCCGGTGGTGTCTTTATTGTCGGTGGCCAGGGCAAGATCGAGATCAACAACACCTTCGAAGAGCGTCTGCGCCTGTTGGAAATCGATGCTCTCCCCGCCGTCCGCGAAACATTGTTTGGGAAGAACGTGAACCGGCGGTTCTATGATTAGATTTGTTCTCGCTGGGCTCTTCACTTGTATTTTCGTTGTTTAATGGTTCGGGTACCTCTTTGTCTTAACCATCTCCGTAGAGAGGGAGGCTTTCTTGCACATCTCATACCTGACCCCGATTAGGTCAATGTTCCCAAGCGTTTGATTTCTCATCTATCATTGCAGATAATCGGTAACAGATACATGCAGAAAAAATATCTCGCTCTATTATTGAAGGATCGTAAAGTTCGTGACTGTCATTAATCCTCATGCTAGTGCCCGCGGATGGGCATTGCCGTAGGCTCGGTCGTGTCCGCGGAATCAGGTGTCCCCTCGTCGGTGGTATCTATAGCAACTTTCGACTTGAATATATTGCGAATGTTGCCATTCCCCTGCTCTATGCCGTATGTTTTGAAGAGTGTCTTCTTGGGAGGCGGTTTGGACCGCACCGCGTAAAGTAATCGGTAGTGAAGCGCCTCCAAGGTTTCCTTAGCCAACATGCGTTTAAGATGCGAGGCGCCGGAATCTTCAATCGAGCTGAAAATCTTCTTGATCTGCGCTGCCAGCTTGTCGATGGCGTCGTCGAACTCTCTCGCTGTGTCGGCCTGTTTATATCCCAGATCGTGCAGAGCGGAGTTGACGACAATGTCAAGAAGAAGAGCAATAGCAGTTAGCTCGCCGTAGTCGTATTCACCCTTTGCTTTACGTAGCTTCTTATGGAACCGTTCGTCCCGGATCAAGAAGAGGGTGAGGCGTTTGAGGTTGAGAACCGCTTCTGGGGTTTCTGTCAAGGGCTCCGGGCTCTGGAGAAGGAACGCCACGGCGAGGCGGTACCGCAACAGCGAAATCCAGGGTGACGTGGGAAGAATATTCTGTAGCATGCGGTTTTGGAATTGGTGATCTTTGACGGTCCCATAGACCGTTTTGCAGATCCGTCGATTCTGACTAAATCAGCAGTGTCACTTCGGCCTTGGGAATGCACGTACTAAATCCTCCGTATTGGCCTCAGGAACCCTTTCTAGAAGAGCACTGAGAGCACTTTGTAGCTCAGAGCGAAGGAGATTGTTTGCCGTCAATGATGTGTCTAGCGTGATACGTAGCAAGATATGAATAGCGCGCTCCCGAGTATCGTTCGAAAACCTGGTAAATAGTCAGCTTTTCCGTCTGGGTTGTGAGCGATAGTAACTTACAAGTCGGCAGCATCTCGGAGCAAATCAAAGACAGAGAAAAGGACTGATCGGTCCTTGAGTTGAGGATCCTGAGATATTGCTGGTCCGATTTAGATATGCGAAGAACGGAAGTGGAAGGAAATCATGTCTTACGTCCGTAAGGATCTTCGACAATATTTTCTGTGAGATCCAGCGCCTGTGGCTTGGCACCAATATGCCGAAATAGGCAATCGATATCATCCAGACGAATGAGCTGTTCCACGCGTTGAACGGATGTTTGCTACGATCATCGTTAGTGAAGGATCAAGGACGATTGGAACACAATCGACAAACCGTGAAGACCCGGCAATAAGCTTTCCTTAACTCATCCCGAGGCTCGAGTGGAACTGCATCGCGGTTAATCATAGAAAAAAAAAATTCATGGGGGATATATCACGAACTGGAGCGAAAGAGCCAGCAAAGAAGCTCGTCTGGTAGTTGTTGTAACGAGGAGGCATATTCTAGGATGCCTGACTGGAAAGCACGGACTCGAGAGTCGGGTTCTGTCAAAGTCAGTGAAGCTGCAAGCCAGTCAGATATATTTATGAACCAACCTCGCAGAGCAGATAGAGGAGAGTCGGGCGTAAATAGATCTCGTGGAAACTCTGATGTGGCCGGTGTGATCTGCACCTGGTCAAAGAATCGCCAGATCCGGTCCTGGTCGAGAGCTTCAGTTCTTCGAACGGCATCCAACAGACGTCGGAAATCATGTGCATCTTCACTTCCCCCCAAAGCTGATGACAATGCTCCTTCATGAACACGCTTCTTCTTTGATCCCGCGCCTCCACCAGATACAACTTGGTTGCCATTTGGCTTAATTTGCGTGAAACTCGCTTTGACCTTAGCGACATTCGCTTCGGTTTCATTGTAATCAACGGCAGCATGCACTAGTGAATCCAAAGAGTTTTTGTATCTCTTTGGTTCCGAAATGTCGGCGAGGTATGCTTTATCCACACCGGTGGGTTTGATCTCATCCTTGTTCTTCTTGATTACCGGCGCAAGGAGCATATCAGGGTCTTCAAGCGAGCCGATAGAATCAGTGTCCTCCCCGTCAGAGCTGATCACCACTTCCTTGCCGTCTTTGATGATGCGCTGGGAGGCAATGAAGCTCCCAAGAGATGAAGGTGGCGGGCCTGACCCGGTGCTTTGAAAGCTCTGCTCGGATGCAAGAGGCAGGGAGTCCTTGTCACCTGCTGACTGCAACAGGGATGTGTTCAACTGAGTTGCGGGTTCATCTTGGTCCTCCAACGTCAGATCTATTTTCGATGATGGCGGGGGATCGGATAGCGGGGAGGACGGGGCCTCCGAGGGCTCCTTGGGCGAGGGCCTGGCTTTCTTCTCGGGGGTTAGACTCTGGTTGATGCGCGAGAATGCCGGCCGGTGGAAGAAATCAGTAATCTGACCCATCGTGGGTGTCGTGAAGAGCGCAAACCTCAACTACTCCGCGTCGCGTGAAGAACGGCGCGAAGTCACGTGCTTCAATATTTCCTCATCGGGTACTTGATTTGTGTCACTTGAGGTGTGAATATGGCCGTTACGCAGCCCTGAGATGCTTGGCTATTTCTTACATTCGGCTGAGCCCTGTCCATTTGACCTATAAAGGCATCTACGATAAGAGCTTTCGAGAGACATCCCTAACTGATCACCTCACTTGGAAATTCGGCTCACTCCAACAGGCCCATAGAACAATCGAATCTTGGCTCCGCAGACGCGTCACTGCGAGCCCGAGGCAGCGCGGCACTGCGGCACCGCGCAGCATCTATATATACGCTCACGGCAGAGAAAGCCACCTACGAAGTGGCGGGGATCAGTGAGGGTCCCGACCTTGCGTCCGATCTACAGACATGTCTCGTCTGCTAGGCGAGTGCGGGCAAGCTGACTATACGATCGAGTCAGGGGTGAAAGCTGCAGATCTGATTTAGGTTGACGACTCGCACCGTCTGTCTCCACTACGGTTCGCGGTTGATCGCACGGGCTGACGACGCCCGTCATGTTTTGATTGTTGACAGCCCCGACGAATTTAACGTCCTACGACCCTGCAATCTCTCCTACCGAGCTTGGCACGCCGGAGCTAGGAGTTCTCTGGGCATGGCACACCGTGGTGCCGAGGGAAGTCTGGAACAATCGGCAATTCCACTGTGGTCATCAACGGGGCCCGCTTCTGGGAGCCAGTGGACACATTGTGGGCCGGATCCATGCGGCGTCCCGATGGAAAAAAAGGGGAGGATTCTGCCAGGGTTCAGACCCTGGCACAGGAACAGCCCAGTAGCGCGGGACCGACGAGCGGTTTATTAATGCTAATGCCTCTCCCCTTTCTTTGTTTGCATGTCGACGGTTGACCCGAGACTGGAACGATGGAGCCTCGGCTGACTAAGGTGGATGGGACGCTCGTGCCGTGTCGTGGATTCAGGCTTGACGTTCCGCCTCGAACGGTCAAGGTGGCCTCTGCGTTGAGCTTCTTGGGGAATCGGAGTCGGTTGTCGCGAGTCCGATATGGAAGACACCGTGGGCATGTGGCGGAAGGGATAATCCGGATCGGCTCTTCGGCCTGGGAACTGTCCGCTGTATATTATTGTACCACCCGGAAGCTCGAGGAACCCAATGGCCGGTGCTCCAGATGGGGGCTGGAATACGGAGTGGACTCTCACTGCAGCAGTATGACGGAGGCATAACCCCGGTTACATTACCGTGCTAATGCAACTCGCTACTATGTATACGAGGGCTGTGTCGGAGGGGGCCATTTCCCATTTCCAGACCCAATTAGCATATCCATAGTTGCCGAAGTAGGAATCCAATCGTGCCTGAATAACTAATGAATCTGATAATTACTAAACAAGGTAGATCTCCCCGTTGCCACAGTCAGAAATTTAGACCGAACCAGACGGCGCGGCTGGAAGGCCCGGATGAGGCTGGTATGGCCCCGTACCGTAACTATGCCGTCGCCTCGTCCATGTACATCCCCCGCTATACCCATGATATCCCATGATATCCAGGAAGATATCGAGATGGTTACTAGGCGCAAATCAACGGCTGGGTAAATGGCCATCCTGCGACCGAAATGGAATATCCTCAATGGCCACTCCCACGATATCCGAGCAACCTGACAACGCGTCCCGAGTGCCAAGCGACGCTGACCAAGCCGGCATGTAAGCAGCCCGTAATTACGGAAGTTACGGGCCCGAGTCCTGATCCCCATGGTTGTTCACTGCCTCACTCTTCCCGTCTCGCCCCTCGAAAAAAAATAACGTTACCTCCTTCTACCCATCTCCTCTGGCCCGTTTTGCATGGCCCCTCGTGGGTATTACACCCTCTCTCTTTGACATTCCCTCTTGAACGTCTGCCGAGTGTCCCCCCCGATTCTCGGATCTCCCTCTAGACCCATCCTCATCCGGTGTCCAATCTCCCGTTACGCACCTCCACCCTGATCCTGGTCCTTATGACATTGTGACTTTCGTCCTTAAACTCCCTGTTACAAGGTCGTTTCGACTAGATAGCCGCGCGTGGCTCTTGATCCTGGTTCGATAAAACGGATGCTGGTCCGCTTCGTTTCTCAAGACTTTCGTCAAGTTTTATGCCCTGTCGGGGCGCATCAGTAGCCTAGATGGCTTCCGTGCGCTTCCCTGATGACAACCTCGATGTGCCGGATAGCGAGATCCAGGAGACTCCCAGCAACATCTCAAAACCTACCAAGCGGCAAAGATGGGCTACTACGCGGCACGCCGGCTCCGGTGGCGTGCGGAAACGTGTCTCCATCATCGACCGCTTTCACAAACGGTCGGATGTGAGAGACGAGAAGCGTAGGTCCACCGGTGCCAGCTCGACAACCGATAATGCCTCCACGAGCGGCGAGGAATCCTCTGGGCTTGACTCGAACCGAACGATTTACTTCAACATCCCGATCCCCGAATCCGAACGCGATGAAGAAGGCCACCTGAAATTCACCTATCCCAGGAACAAGATCAGGACGGCCAAGTACACTGCCTTGACCTTCGTTCCGAAGAACGTGTGGCTACAGTTCCACAACATTGCGAACATCTACTTCCTGTTCGTTATTATTCTCAACGTACGCCCCCATGGATCCCCGAATCATTAGGCGAAACAATCTGACTGACCTTGCTCTAGTTCTTTCCCATTTTCGGTGCCGACAACCCGGGCCTGAACGCCGTCCCGCTGATTGTCATTATTGTGGTGACTGCGATCAAAGATGCGATTGAAGATTGGGGGCGAACTGTCGTGGATAACCAAGTGAACAACTCCCCCGTCTACCGACTGGTCGAATGGAGTAACGTGAACTCGACCGAAGATAGCATTGGGCTCTGGCGTCGGGTCAAAAAGGCGAGCACTCGTGGCACGATCGCTTCGTACAAGTGGATGAAACGCGTTTTCAACAAAAAGAACGGTGAAACGGCGGATGCCGAGGATGACCAGCGACGCGAGTCTTTCCTAACCACGGCGACCCCTCGAGCATCGGTTTATTCGCATCGCGATTCCATGGCTGCCGACGTCGCGATCCCGATGACCGATGTTCCTTCCCCCCAGCCCGAAGCCCGCGAAGAGTGGCCGAGCCATCCCGAGAACAAGTACCTCTCTCCCGATAGTGCCGCCCGCGAGAGTGTGGTGGCTCCGTCGCCCGACAAGAAAACCGGCACCGTGGTGGACCAAACCAAGGTGACACCCGGCAAGGCTCGGTTCAAGCGTGACTACTGGAAGAACATTCAAGTCGGTGACTTCGTTCGATTGTACAACGAAGAACCAATCCCCGCCGATATTGTGATTCTCTCTACCTCCGACCCCGATGGAGCGTGCTATGTTGAAACAAAGGGGCTGGACGGCGAGACGAACCTGAAGGTCCGGCATGCTCTCCACTGTGGTCGTCAGGTCCGACATGCCCGGGACTGCGAGAGGGCCGAGTTCACCATAGAGAGCGAGGCGCCTCATCCCAACCTGTACAGCTACAACGGTGCGATTCGCTGGGATCAGCGTGATCCGCGGTTCCCCGAAGCTCCCCGCAAGGAGATGGTAGAGCCCGTAACGATCAACAACATGTTGCTTCGTGGTTGCTCCCTGCGCAGTACAGAGTGGGTCCTCGGCGTGGTTGTTTTCACCGGCGGAGAGAGCAAGATCATGCTTAACTCTGGTGCGACGCCTGCCAAACGTGCTCGCCTGGCTAAGGATCTGAATTGGAACGTTATCTACAACTTCATTATTCTGTTCATCATGTGTCTTGTCACTGGTATAGTGAACGGATTCGCATGGGGTGCACCGGACAAGTCTTTAGACTTTTTCGACTACGGTTCCTACGGAGGCACGCCCCCTGTCACAGGTATTATCACCTTTTGGACGGCTGTCATCTTGTTCCAGAACTTGGTTCCTATCTCTCTCTACATTTCTCTTGAAATTGTTCGGACCATCCAAGCAGTTTTCATTCACAGTGACCTTTACATGTACTACGAAAAGTTGGGACTCTATTGCGTGCCCAAGTCGTGGAACATTTCGGATGATGTGGGACAAGTTGAGTACATCTTCTCCGACAAGACCGGTACTTTGACCCAGAACGTCATGGAGTTCAAGAAAGCTACGGTCAACGGTGTGTCTTATGGTGAAGCGTATACAGAAGCACAGATTGGCATGAGGCGCCGCGAAGGTGCCAATGCCGACGAAGAGGCTGCCCAGGCTCGCGCACAGATTGCTGCTGACGGAGTCAGGATGCTAGAAGGCCTCCGTCGTATCCACGATAACCCGTACCTGAAGGACGAGAACTTGACTTTCATTGCTCCGAACTACATCGACGATATTGCAGGGCAATCCGGCGAGGAGCAGAAGAAGGCTGTAGAGCATTTCATGCTTGCTCTGGCCGTCTGTCACACCGTCATCACCGAGCATACCCCGGGCGATCCTCCTCAGATCGAATTCAAGGCACAGTCGCCCGACGAAGCTGCCTTGGTCAGCACTGCTCGCGACTGCGGCTTCACTGTCCTCGGTCGCGCTGGTGATGACTTACTCCTGAACATCATGGGTGAAGAACGCACGTACACCGTCTTGAACACCCTCGAGTTTAACTCTTCCCGAAAGCGAATGAGCGCGATCATTCGCATGCCTGATGGTACCATTCGTCTCTTCTGCAAGGGTGCAGACAGCGTCATCTATTCTCGCCTGGCTCGTGGCAAGCAGCAGGAGCTTCGACGGAAGACTGCCGAGCACTTGGAAGAATTCGCCAAAGAGGGTCTCCGAACCTTGTGTATTGCTGATAAACTCCTCAGTGAGGATGAGTACCACACTTGGGCTCGAGAGCACGACATTGCCGCCGCCGCGATCACCGACCGTGAGGAGAAGTTGGAGAAGGTCTCAAGCGAGATCGAACAAGACTTGATGCTCATCGGCGGTACTGCTATCGAGGATCGACTCCAAGACGGCGTTCCGGATACCATTCAGTTGCTTGCGGATGCTGGTATTAAGCTATGGGTTTTGACTGGTGACAAGGTCGAGACTGCCATCAATATTGGTTTCTCGTGCAATCTTCTCAACAACAACATGGAGCTGATTGTTCTCAACATCGCCGAGGACCAGCGAGAGCAAGCTAATATGGAGCTTGACAAGCACCTGCAGACTTTCGGCTTGACTGGCTCCGACGAAGAATTGGTCGCTGCCCGTCGCAACCACACACCACCCGAAGCCACGCATGCAGTGATTGTCGATGGAGAAACCCTCAAGCTCATGCTTGACGATGAGCTGAAGCAGAAGTTCCTCTTGCTTTGCAAGCAGTGCAAGGCTGTTCTGTGCTGCCGTGTCAGTCCGGCTCAGAAAGCTGCTGTTGTCAACATGGTCCGTCATGGTTTGAACATCATGGCCCTTTCCATTGGTGATGGCGCCAACGATGTCGCTATGATTCAAGAGGCCGATGTCGGTGTTGGTATTGCAGGTGAGGAAGGCAGGCAGGCCGTGATGTCCTCCGATTATGCTATTGGACAGTTCCGATTTCTCCAGCGTCTGCTTCTTGTGCACGGTCGATGGTCCTATCGTCGCCTGGGAGAATGCATTGCCAACTTCTTCTATAAGAACCTGGTATGGACTTTCGCCCTCTTCTGGTATTGTATCTACAACGACTTCGACGGCTCCTATCTCTTCGATTATACCTATATCGTTCTGGTCAACTTGGCGTTTACCTCGCTGCCTGTTATCTTTATGGGTATCTTCGATCAGGATGTCGATGACAAGGTCTCGCTGGCAGTGCCTCAGCTCTACATGAGAGGCATTGAGCGCAAGGAATGGTCACAACTCAAGTTTTGGTTAGTTTTTCTCTGGCTCCTTTTGTGATGCGCAGTTACTAATACCCAGACAGGCTGTATATGGCCGATGGCTTGTACCAATCGGTGATCTGCTTTTTCATGCCCTACATGCTATACCAAGCAGCGAACTTTGCCACCGAAAGTGGCCGTGATATCAACGATCGAACGCGTATGGGTGTCCTGGTGGCGACTTGTGCCGTGCTTTCTAGCAACACGTACATCATGATGAACACCTACCGCTGGGATTGGTTCACGGGTTTGATCAACGTGATCAGTTCCCTTCTGATCTTCCTCTGGACCGGTATTTACTCTTCGTTCACCTCGTCGGGCCAGTTCTACCAGTCGGCTGCCGAGGTTTACGGTGCGCTGAGTTTCTGGGTTGTGCTGCTCGTAACATGCATAATCTCTCTGCTCCCTCGCTTCACATACAACGCTGTTCAAAAGGTCTTTTTCCCACTCGATGTTGATATCATCCGCGAGCAGGTGACCATGGGCAAGTTCAAGCATCTGGACGCATATGATGATGTTTTGCCCCCAAAAGCGGGGGAGGTGGCCGCCGTCTCGAGTGATGAGTCGGCCACCTCCTCGGAAATAACGAAGCCCATTCAACCCATCATGAAGCAAGATCCTTTCAACCCCGATGAAGAGCAGTCTTTCTACTCGCCTTCCGTCGCTCACACCAACGGCCACAATCCCCGCAGTCAGAACGGTAGCAATGGCACCAACTACACCGCGAGCATCGATCAGCACCCGAGGCCACAGCCGGTGGACTACTTGCGACGATCTCATGACCGGACTCGTCATTCCTTCGAACGGGGGCGGCAAAGTTTCGAGCAAAGCAACGACTTCACCTCGGCCGCTATGCTTCAGCGAATGGAATCCAGCCACATGCACGAGCCTGCCCAGGATCCCTTCCAAGCACCCGGCGAGCTTCCTGGACATAACATGATTTGAGGCGCTGTGAATTTGCATAGACCTACTCTGACGACCTGTCATTGACGATGATTCCCCCGGCAGGCTAGCGAGATCTGGTCTCTTGGTGCTGTGGTGTTTTCTTTTTTTGCCCTTTTTTTTTTTCTTCCATTTTACATCCCATTGAAAGCCTTGATATTCCCCTGATAGAAAGCAGGCGTTTGGTATACTAAATTCGGATGGAGGCTCGGCGCATCTTTTGCTTTTGCTCTCCCTCGTCATTCTCTTTACTATGTGGCAACCCCACCCTCCGGTGGTTTCCTCCGCTCCGTGATTTTCACTTGTTTCATACTGTCCTCAACCTTTTGTACAAAAGCGTTCTCTACCTTACTGCAGACGTGCACGACTCCCGCATCTCATGGCTTCGCGTTTTTCAACATTTGCTGGGGTTATTTCCTTCGGATTTTGCTTTTCTACAGTTGTCTTCCTGGAGAAGGTGGGAGCCCGGGGACGAGATTCATGTATTCTATTCCACGCCCTCCACGAGGAAAGTATTTAATGCGGCTATTTATGAATTCTGTGCACTTTAAGTATCGTATAACACAGGGTGAAGCAGCCCTGTATACCTAGTGAATAGTGAAAGATGTAGACGTATAGGATTCCCACTCGGGTTCAAGTGAAGCGCGTAAACGCGTCCAGGTGGCTCACCGCCTGTGCGATCTGCCAAGTTCTGCCCGCGTTTGTTACTTGGGGATTTTCCAAGGTTCCTTTTGTTCGACACCTCCTCGAGGGCTGTAGCATCTGGTCGGAAAAGCCTGCCTCCCTGCTTGATCTTGGCTTCATCTGGTCATTTTATGCTTCTCATCGTTCTTTGCGACTGGTAGATGAGCAGGGGCTCTTCAGCACCGGAAAGTTCCAGCTCTTGATTAGAGCTTAACTTCACCTTGTTCTCCTATTTCTGCAAGGCGTCTCTGCTTAGAAGCTTCGCTGCTGGAACACTGTGTGGTGCCCTTCATTTTATTTTATTTTTTCACCGATCACCACTCCCAAACAACCATTCTTCATCTCCCTCCACGACCGAGATCAAACACATCCATCCGCACACAAACATTTCTCAGGCCCATCAGTCATCTTAAGAGATGCTCTAAGATACCATCGTTGCGAACAAGGAATGTGCGGTGGAATTCAGTCTGAATCTCTGTATCTCTCCTCTGTGTCACTGCAACTATGGAGTTTGTGGATGCGATAGGGTAAGCTGCAAAGGATTGTGGAATGCTAGCCGACACTGACCACGATTTATCTCATTTAGAGAATTAAAAGCTCTCCCAGAGGGCACTCACCTCCTATGCCCGCGACAGAACGACGACGACTATGCACGATATGACGATACGGACCAAGTGGACGAAAAGGGAATCAGCGTCAAGGCCCGGGTCGCAGAAGCCACAGCACGCAAGGAGAAATTTCTCTCGTCCATGCGTATTCTTGCCTACAGTGCAGATGGCGTGGAAGAGCTTCAGTCCTGGGTTTTGTCCAAATTGGACGAAACGTTGGAAAAATGCGACCTCTGCATCAAGCAATATTACACCGGCAAGATCTGGCTCATGGACCAGCTGAAGGAAGAGAACTATCAGGAAGAGGACATCGACGCTTTCTCCCAGAAGGTTGACGAATGGGACGTCAAGCGTATCATTCGGAACTTGACGACGGCCACAACACAGCTGAGAAGCGTCCCGCGAGAGAAAATTGCGTTGGATATATTGGATCGGGCTGGCTTGCTGTCCATATTCGAGACATTGAGCTGTGAAGCTATGCTGCGAAATGACAGCTATCTGAAGCAGTACTTCGATGAGCCATTCCAGCTCATTCAAACGAAACGAAGTCTGAAGATCTCTGATTACGTCCCTGCTGTCACCCGCTTCCTTTTTGACCCGGTCCAACAACGCAATGTATGGGCTCTTCAAACGTGGATGCGGTATGCTCGTCCACCTACCGCACTGGAGTTTGATTGGGCCATTCGAGATGGCCTCCTAAGTGCGCTGCAGACTGCCTCTCTGCCGCAAATGCAGCAGCCCATGCAGGCGCATTTTGCCGTTATCCAGCGTTTGTGGCGGGGCATGCAGCTTATCGTACGGAGGTTGGACAAAGAACAGATCACTCACCAACTTCGTGCTTTGGATATTGACCCCTGCCGGTTGTCGGTGGATCACCTAGCGTTGCCAACCCCCGGATTGCGCTTCCTCTTGAATACTATTCAGACTTTACTGGAGAAAGCTCCAGTTGATTTCTGGGATGCCATGCAGACCATCTCACCTCAGGCCATCATGGAACATACCATCCACAACCCGCAATTCAAGGCCTTCCTCCTCCAGACGACAGAAGGCGAGGCGTACGAGAGGTCTGCATTGAAGGACATGCTCTCGTGGATCAACCCGTTCCTGAACTCTCTGAAAGGAGTCCATCAGCCATCTGCCTGCCGTTACTTGGTGGGCCAGTTGTTGAAACGCCTCCAAGATCCCCAGTATCCCAACCTGGCTCGCTATCGTTGCTTCCATGTTGGGTTGACTAGCCTTCTCCAAACTCTCCGCCGTTTTACAGACCATGAAGCTTCAAGAGGCTCTGTTGAACGCGTGGTGCTTCAAGAAACCATGGATGTCTTGAAGGATACAATTAGCGTCATCCTTGACCCACCAACCTTCAATATCGAGCAAGGGAAGCAACTGGATATCATCTCTCTCTGTATGGATGTCGTCCGCAATGCCCTGGCTCTGGAATGTCAATCCCTCAAGAGTGATTATGAGGTTATTCTGAAGCATGGTACACTCTCTCACGGCGTGTCTACCTATACGGGACCCATCTGGGACGCAGTTATCAGACACCTTCGTCAGGATAAGCTTACTCTCTCAACGGCAGCCCTGCTGGGAATTCTGCCACTTGTGGGCCTGGAGAAGTTTCCCACCAAAGGCGAGGACAACCCGGAGAAGACTCACTTCAACATGATCTATGGTCATCTCACCCACCTCTCGTGCCAGATCATCGAAAGGCTCGCCGAGTTCAGGCCAGACCATCTTAACACCCTATTCCAAAGCCAAGACACCAGCAGTGCGCTCATCTCCACTCTCTTTGCAGCCGACCTGAACACCTACCAAGCTTCGGTGGACTTGATCAAGAACGTTAGTGGTCATTCCGCCAGGCGGGATGCCATCTCGTACCTGCTCGAAAAGTTTTTCACCACAATCATGTATGGCCTCAGCTGGTCATTCCGTCGTATCTCCAACATGAAGACATTTGCCCCTGCCCCGAGAATGCTGCACACAGGCACCGATATCGTAGAGATTCTGTGTAACCAATCGACGGGCATGCTGCGAACGCGCACCTTCTCGGATCGTCGAGAGATTCTGTCGCTGCAGAAGCTCTGGGAGTTTCTGTGGCAGGCATTGACCACCATCTTCGACGAGACCGAGGCGTGGCACATCAGGGGAAATGATAAGTCGGTGATGCTGGAGTTCTGTCGTGACACGATCCAGTTTGCCGACTTTCTGTTCGATCAATATGGAGTCTTCCTGGGTGCCGTAGGTGCTGCAGGGGATGATGCCAGTAAAGCTGCATCCGAGAACTTCCTCAGGTCGCCCACGACCACGATGAGTGCCATGGTCAAGTGGTTGCGTCTAAAGGACGACTACTTGGCCACGACGCTGGTCGGCTTAGTAGCCAAGTTACTGCGGCGCCTGGGAGGATTGAATGTGACAACAGTAAAGCAGGACGCATTGAGCTTTATTGAGGGTGTTGCAGTGAACGCAACAATCAAAACCATTCTCACCCCGCGCGACAAAGCAGAACTGGTACGTTCCCTGGAAGCGTATTACAAGAAACCTGTCGTCACTGCCTCCACTGCTTCACTCAAGAAGCAATCTTCCATTACTTCCTTTGCCAAACCCTCCGATATCTCGAGTCCTTCTTCTCGTGCCCCCTCGGACGATGACTACGATGACGACATTAATGTCAAGACCCTTCTCGAACTATCTCACTCCGTTGAACTGAACAAGGACCGCCTCGCTGCCAAACAAAAATCCGAGCAGGCTAAGATGTCGTCCGCGGCTGTTGCCCGGCGCCCACCCGTCTCCAAGTCGATCGTGCCTCCACGGCCCAAGGATGACGCTACTAGCGTGCTCTCCTTCCGTGAGAAGCGCGAGCGTGAGAAGGCGGCCAAGAAGAAGCGTGATATGGAGGAACTGGCGAGATTGAAGAAGAGCCTGCCTGCGCGTGGTGTCGCGGAGCAGACTGCCGAGCAGGGCTCTGGCATTAAAGGTATTGGCATTAAGGGTAAAGATCATGCAATTCCTGCAGAGAGTATGATGGTTTCGTCCGGGTCTGACACGGATTCTGAGAGTGAAGATGAACTCGATAAAGAGTTATTCGGCGCAAAGCCCAAGAAACCAGATGCCGTGGCCGCTTACGAACAGAGCAAGAAGCAGTCGTTGCAGCAGCAGCCCATTAAAAAGGTCAAGCGACACCGTTCGATGAAAGACATGCGTGCTCGTCTGTCCCCGGATCTTTCGTCTCTCCACCACTCCATCTTGTCCTGGGATTTCTTCTCAAGTGGCGACCTTCCGCCGACCCTGGATCGCGACGATTACACACTCGTATCTAACACCTTCCGCTCTTGCGCGGATTATCAGAGCACTTTCGAACCCTTGTTGATTCTCGAGGCCTGGCAAGGATTCCAACAGGCTAAGGAAGAAGGCGGCTTCCGACCTTTCGAAGTCAAGATCATGTCCCGCTTGACCGTCGACTCGTGGATTGAATTCAGCACCCAGCCCCTGGGTCTGCCCCCAAAGGACTTCTTTATCGGCGAAGGTGACCTGGTCCTGTTTTCCAGCTCCTCCAATCCCACTGCCGATTCCAGTGTGGGCCATTTGCTCGCGCGCGTCTGCGGCGTCAATCGCAAGGGTGGTAAACTGGAAGTCACGTACCGTATGAATCCTGGATCCAGCAAGTTCTTGTCGTCATTTGGAACTGGTTCCACGGCCTGGGGAGTCAAGGTCACCTCCTTAACTCCGGTAGAGCGAGAGTACGGTGCCCTTATGGCCCTGCAGTACTATGATCTGTGTGAGGAAGTTGTGCTGGCCAAGCCTTCACCTATCTTGAATTACTCCGACGCAAAGCTGCAACCCATCATGGACAACTACAGCATCAATCTCGCTCAAGCCAAGGCGATCAAATCCGCTTTGGATAATGATGCGTTTACTCTTATCCAAGGCCCCCCTGGTTCCGGAAAAACCAAGACCATTGTTGCCCTTCTCGGGAGTCTCTTAACGAATGTCCTTGGCAACACCTCGATCTCAATTGGATCAGGCCATCAAGCCCCCAATCGAGCATCGTCCCGAAAGATTCTGGTCTGTGCACCCAGTAACGCCGCCGTGGACGAAATAGTCATGCGATTAAAGGACGGCGTCAAGACCACTCGAGGTCGTCACGAGAAGCTCTCGGTTGTTCGCCTGGGTAGAAGTGATGCAATCAATACGAAGGTGCTGGATGTGACCCTTGACGAGATGGTCAATGCCCGTCTCACCCAAAACCCCGCCTCTGGCAGCAACGTCGACATGCAAAAGCTGTACGAGGAGCACAAGACCACCGACACTCGTTTCAAGGAGACCCGTTCGTCTCTGGACGAGTGTAGAGCCAAGGGACTGCCTGCCCCTGAGGAGCTTGAGCGTGAGTTTGAGCTCTTGAAGAAGAAAAGATCGCAATTGAGTACGGACATCGACAAGGCTCGCGACCAGGTTCATACCTTGGCTCGTAATGCCGACATGCACAAGCGTCGCATCCAGCAAGAGATCATCGATGAAGCGCATGTCATTTGCACCACTCTCAGTGGTTCCGGCCATGAAATGTTCCAGTCCATGAACGTCGAGTTTGAGACCGTTGTTATTGACGAGGCGGCTCAGTGTATTGAGTTGAGCGCTTTGATTCCACTCAAGTACGGCTGTTCAAAGTGTGTCCTCGTCGGTGATCCGAAGCAGTTGCCCCCAACGGTTCTCTCAAAGATGGCATCCAAATTCCAATACGAGCAGAGTTTGTTCGTTCGCATGCAGAAGAACCACCCCAAGGATGTGCATCTGCTGGACGTCCAGTACCGTATGCATCCGGACATCAGTCGCTTCCCTAGTCTTACTTTCTACGATGGTAAGCTCCAGGATGGTGCCGACATGGCCAAGCTTCGAGCCCGTCCCTGGCATCAGAGCGAGCTGTTGAGTCCCTACCGATTCTTCGATGTCCAAGGCATGCAGCAGAGTGCGACTAAGGGTCATTCTTTGATCAACTACGCGGAATTGCAAGCTGCGATGCAGTTGTACGAGCGACTCGTGACGGATGTCAAGGACTACGACTTTGTGGGGAAGATCGGCATCATCACGCCTTACAAGGGCCAGCTGCGTGAAATGAAGCTCCAGTTCGTGGCAAGATACGGTGAAGACATTCTCAAGAAGATTGATTTCAATACGACCGATGCCTTCCAGGGAAGGGAGAGTGAAATCATTATCTTCTCTTGCGTTCGTGCTTCGAACAAGGGTATTGGTTTCTTGGCTGATATTCGCCGTATGAACGTCGGTCTTACTCGTGCCAAATCCTCGTTGTGGGTGCTGGGTAATTCACAGGCTCTGATGCAGGGTCAATTCTGGCGAGGTCTCATCAATGATGCCAAGGGACGCAATGTCTACACCGAGGGCAACATTACCAGAATGCTGGAAAGGCCGCAATTTACAGGTTACAAGGATGTCGAAATGGTGGACATCGATGCTTCCGATGCCCCTGGCACACCGGGAGATACGCCATCGATGCATTCAGTCTCTCGTCCATCCTCAGAGCCAGTTGGACTTGACTCTCCTTCGGTCTCAATGTCGGCCTCTGCGTGCGGCACACCTCCGATGCCTTTGCCCGAAGGGCCCTCCGGCGGACCAAAGGGTTTGGATGAAACAAAGATGTGTGGAATCTGCGGTAGTGGCGAGCACTACACCCATCACTGTGATAACGCAGATGCCAAGGAAGCCGCTCGCGGACAGTGTTACCGGTGCAAAGAGTACGGCCACTCCAAGTTCTTCTGCGACGCAGAACGCTGCCTCGAGTGCGGCGAGATCGGTCATTCTTCCCTCAAGTGCCAGAATCCAAACGCACTCCCGAAGCATCAGAAGCTGCGCCTCCAGAACGAAGAGCGCCACCTGCAAGAACAACGGAAACAAAATACGGAGCGCCAGCGCCAGCGACAGATGGGTGGCCATGGTCGGAAAGTCCCCGTCGTGCAGGCAACTACTCACACGCCGTCATCCAACGCCGAGAGCTTGAACAGCAAGCGCAAGCGAGCGGACTCGACTACCGATGCACCCCGGGCCTCGCGCCCGCGCACCAACCACCCGAATGCGCCGCCGCCAAACGCGCCAAGGGGCCCTGCTTCCGGAGGTCATCCGCATGCTCCTAGGAATCCTGCTCCTAAAGGTGCTGCGAGTGCTCCGAGTGCCCCGAAGAACGCTCCTAAAGGCCCAGCGGGCTCGCGAACCCCCGCTCCCCCGGGTGTAAGTAGCAATTTCTGGACTGGACACCCTCACGATACTCTAACACCCACGCAGGGCCTCATCAAACCTTCGCGCGACGGCCCATCTTATCCTTCAACCGGAAATCAGCCAATGCCGGGACTCCAACCGTCGGCGCCCCGAGCCGCACAGGTAAGCGTTTATTTGGTCGTTTAACACTTCTTTCTGATCTATCGATCTAATCTATTTAGTCACCTCACGCACCCCAGTCCAGGCCTCGCCCCCCTCCACCGCGCAAGAAGAAGGAAGTGGACCCCTTCATCCGACCCAAACCTCGGAGGAAGTAGTGTCTCACCTCCCTTTCTCTGTGAATTTCCACCCTTTCCACTATCTTTGGCTGCCATCTCAACGGCACGCATTTCCTTCCCTGGGCGCTCCTTATTTTCTCCACCGACATCCACGTCATACCCAAGGACGCAAACACTGTTTCACTACGGGACGGAACTGACTCGTAATGAACTCGAGTCACGGAAGTATCCCGATCCAGCATCAGAAGGCGTTGAGGATCTGGGAGGATCACCGTGTACAATGCATAGATCTGTATTAAAGCATTGGGACGTTTAAGTCCCACAATGATTATTTCGTTAGAATGTTCTCCGAGAATTCCGGAGAACCAGCCAGAAATTCCCCGACCGTGGGGTAGTAGCCGTCCGGTGACAGGTGGAGAGGATTGACAGATCTCGTCACAGATCTCATCACAGATCTCGTCGTGTCGTGCAGTAGAGTCTCCGCTGAGGGAGATCGCGGGTCTTCCAATGTCCGTTGTATGTGGCCCACCGGTACTTGTGGATTCTGGGTACTTTGTTTTCCAATTTTCGGATACGAGACTAGAATCGTTGATATCGAAGGTTTAAACCGGAGAATAATAGCGAAGGTGGGAGATCCGAAACGCAAGGGCGGTCGATCACTCGCAATAGAATCGTCGATCCAAATGTCTCCCCTCATCATCCTCTTGCAACCGACGCTGACTGACGCACAAATTAATGAACACTCACAAATATCGAGCTGCATCAAGTCTCCGATCGGCTCAGTCGACCCGCCCCGGGAACCTTGGAATGATCCGCGCGGTGCGAACGCGAGCGACCTGACACCTCACATCCTGACGTCTTTTACTTTCCACAGGAGGGGTGGCCCAACTTCCTGGGTCCAACTGACCGATCGGGTTGAAATGATGCAGTACCCTTGCGCGTGCACCAAAAGCCGCTGGGGAAGAAAGGAAGTCCTGGTTCTTTATCCTGTTCCTGTTCCTGTTCCTGTTCCCGTTCCCGGTGGTTCCTGGCCATGCAGACCTGATCGCACCGATGGCAAATGGTAGGGATTGCACATTGCGTGAGATGAAATCAGGATACTCGATATGTCCAGATCCAATCAACAACCTGCATTAGCTCCCAGTTTGCCAATCTCACCAGCTGCTGTATCATATATGGCGGCCATCCGATCCCGAACTACTGCCACCGGGGTTTGTACATTATGGCCTTTCCTGGATGGACGATCCTGCATTGTGGTCGAGCTAATGAGACTAGCTTCAGCCATATCTGTGCCCTTTCCTGGCTACCTGCATCATGATCGCCCTCTCTCCAAATGAGAGATGACAGCTCAACTTTAAATGCTGCACTGTTATAAACCCACTCACTGCCGGTTGCCTTGTCTCAGTTGGCTTTTCCAGCTCACTTGCTCTTCATTCTCATTTGATCCTAGACGACGCCTCTCGTTATCGCTGTACATATTGCCCTGTCTTTGCATTAACTATACCCCCGTCGTGGAGTGGGGCTCCATTGCCACTTATATGTCTTCTTCCTTCCTCCTTTCTCTGTCAGTATAGGTAGGCTCGTCTTCCCTGGCTCTCTCCTTTTCTTTTCTTTTCTTTTTTGAAATACGAAAATGCCCTGACGTCGAGAACCAGCTCCTGCAGCTTCTGAGCCGCCGTCTCCAGACCCACATGAAACCCGCACTTGGTCGGATTGGAAAGCCGCCCATTTGATGTCCCTATGCAGTATTGGAATACAATACATGATAGTGCCGTCGCACCGAGTCCCATTGTTCCGACTTATCGGCCCGATCCCCCTCCCAAACGAAGGCATTCCAATATGCCCTCCCCGACCTCTGCTATGGCAGAGAGCCCCCAGCCTAGCGTCGGTAGTATCCCAAGGCCCCAGGCCCGCTCGGCAGGCATGGCAGAGAGGCCGGGGCGTAACGAGAGTTTGTCTGATCTAGTTCGATTTTTCCAGACCCAGAACATGCCCGCCCCGCCCGCTGTTACAAGCCCAGACAGTACAACTGCACTGCCGGTCGTTCAATCCCCGCCAAATGATCAGGTGGATAAAGAGCAATTGAAGCCTCTGCATCGCCGTCTGCTGAAATTCACCCAGCGTCAGAAGAAGGAGTTGTCATCGTCGCCAAAGTCTAAACAGGAAGAACAACAGCGACAGATCGAGGCCCTTCAGAGGGAAGGATATCTTATGTCGAGCTCTTCAAAATCTTCAAAACCTGCTTCGAGCTCGAGGTCGACAAGATCAAAGAACAGTGTCGATCGTTCTTCGATATCGAAATCCAAGAGGCACGATCTTGAAACAACTGGCCAGCCATGGTTGCAAAAGGAGAACAGGGGCGACAATCCGAAAGTTCCCGGTGACAACAAAGGTCGCCTGGCCTCCCTGGACCTGGGTGATTTCAATCCAATGGTTGACGTTGCCGTCTCACTGACATCGACGGACGACTCGTCACCACCGCCCTACCAACCATCTGCTTCGAATGCATCGCAAAGTCATCAAGGCCCTGCTTCCCAGTCGACTTCAGCACCGCCGCGGCCGAGCTCCTCGGCAGATTCTCATCCACCGAATTCTCATAAACCTGCATCTTCACTCGCCTCTACAGTCGACACTCAGAGTAGTGAGTCAGGAGATGGCTGCGCTCGCCGGCCTTCCAACTCTACCAATTCGAGCATTCGTGCCGTGGAGCGTGTGATCAAGCCCTCATCTGAGGCTCCTAGCAACCCCCCTGCGAGTGTCCCTACCATTGAGTCGTCAGATCAGTCTGTGAACAGTGAACCGAAACAAGGCCAAGACCCAGATCAACGAGTTCAATCCCCAGACCATCCTCCCAATCCGCCTCCGCCTGGAGCTCCCTCACAGCCCAGCTTGAAACTCTTTCCCGATGTTGGACCACGAGTCTCAAGCAAAAATGCATGGAGGCTTTCGGCAGTGCCTCGATATCAAACTCCCACGGGCAAGCCTTCGGCGACCAAAGATGCGCAGGCTGAGACACCTATTACCGTCAAACCTGCAGACAAGAAGCAGTCATCTGACAATCTATCGTCGGAATCCACAAAGGGTGAGGTGGAACCCTTCTGCTCTGGTGCTTTGGTGCCCCCGAAAGAGTCTACCGAATCAACAAACGAGCCAGTTTCTCAAGGCCAGAACAAGTCTCGGCCGCAATCACTGGCAATGGGAACCCTTAAAGCTTTCCCTCTTCCAGCACCTACCAGGCCTTTGCCATCCATTCCTGGTGCTAAACGTATCGCAAGTGCTCCTCTGGATGTTAAAGCCAACTCGAGTATCCGGGTCATGCGCTCAGGTTCAGGGCTCAGAATTATGAACTTGCAGCCTTCGCAACCTTCGCCTATTGCCGAAGACCCACGTGAGCCTGAGCCGCGCCCTGCAACCGTGCTCGGATATGCTGGTGAAGGAGATGCGGCGGCTGATCATGAAAGCTTGCTCTCACGCACATCACAAGAACGCCCCAACTCAACGGAGCCGGAACAGCCTACCCCCAGGCGGTGCGCATCTAGTACCCGTGTTCCTCGCATGCACGATCTCCATGAAAGCCCAACAGAACGCGATGATGACCAGAAAGCAGCAGAGGGGGTACCCGTTGCAGACTCTCCTGTTTTGGGAAAACAATTCACTCCCACAAAGCCTCAAGGAAAGCGTCACGTCTGCAAGGGTCTGCATATCAACTCCCGGGTTGACCAGAAGAACATTCCCTTTGGTCTGCCCTCTCCTCCTCCGACCGCATCTCTCCCAACAAATCCTCCCCTGGCCCCGGTTGAATACCCAGGAAGTCACCGCAACTTGACTGTTCCCAAGGGAGCTGCGGTTCCTTCTGCAAGAAGCCTGGATGCGCCTCTTGGTCAGACGTTCCATAGAGCCTCGATCATCTCCCGCAGCGACAGTTCTCGGAGCAGCCTCCGCCATGAGAGCATTCCAGAATCATACGAGCTCAATCACTGCGAGTCTCCTATCCCCTCATCGGACGACGAGGGCTTCGGCCCCGCATCCCGGACAGTGCGTGATCGACGTACTACTGAAAAATATTCCAAGTGCCAAGATCCAGTCCGCCGTGGCTTTGAGGCTGTCGATGCACGACCTAGCCATGGTCGACTTCGCTATCCCTATCCAGCCCGACCTTTGACACCGCAGGGTCGCAACAACCATAGTTTCGACAAGGCGGTATCACCCCAGTCCCAATATTCCCAATCAACACATCGCTCGCGAGAGTCTCAAAGCAGCTACCGCACTGAAGCGGGACGTGGCCGCGCCTCAAACTTCCTCGAGGATCGAGTTGCCAACCTTGAACGCCAAAATCAAATCCTCCAGGCTGCTCTTATGGCAGCACTCAATGCCGGGGCCGTCAAGAACCATATGTCTGACCTGCCCGACGCTTCCCTATCCCCCATGTTTCCCGCCGCAAGCATGGGAAATCCCTACCAGAACCGATTCAACTACCGCCCAGAAAGCTGGGTCAGTTCTCCCCGCAGCAGTGAGTACAGTGGGTTTGAAACCCCAAGCTCGTTGCGTGACAGACGGGCCGATGTCCGCCAGCTTGACAACATGATCGAGGACATCGAGTCCGGCTGGCTGTCTGACAAGTCGAGTCTTAGCGGGGCTCGCATGGCTCACCGCCGCTGATACTCAGATATTCCTTCTTTCATGACCCGTCACGATCTTTTTTTAGCCCTCACGACCACTTACCTTTCTTTCTCTGTTGATAATTTTGTGTATTTACCAATCCATTCGACGATACCAATTTTGTTTCGTATTTACTGAACCTTGAATCTGAACATTTCTCTTCTGCTCTTCAATAATTGTCCAAAAATTCCATAACACTTCACACCAGTTGAACACCTCTTCCACATTATTTTGACGATATCTCCAAACGAGTATAAAATCGGAGGGCCGTCGGGTCCATGTGATCCGCTTAGTCACCACTGTTTTGGTCTCGGAGCTTCAGTCGATTGCAAAGACCTAATATCTTGTCTGAAGAACAGGTGCACCGTTACTCGAGTGCTATTGAAGAAAAGTAGAGGCTGTCGATCACTGCCATGAGTTGCAGGCCCTGTTAAGTCATCTCTTTCCGACTCGTCCACCGCTCTCCTTTTGCAACTTCACCACCCCCGCAAAACAATGGCGAACCCTTCAGTGAGCTGGACCGTCCCTCTTCGATTGCGATTCATTTCTGACAGATTAAAAGCAGCGCACACCGCAGGTGCCCCAACATGTCACCGCACTTCTCTCCCACCTCACCTCCCGCCCGGGAGTCCAATCCACCCTGATCCTCTCCCGCAAAGACGGATCTATCATCCAAAGCACCGGAATGCTCGCGATCCAAGAGACCGCAACCCCGCAAAAGACACCACTGGCACCAACCGCAGCCGACCAGAATCCGCTCGCCCAATCTTCCGACTCATCCCCTGCCTCGCCCGCCGCCCACTCCCCCTCCACATACCTGCCATCGCAAGCAGAAACTCTGGCCGCGCACATTTTCGCGTACGTCTCCAGTGCTTCCGCTCTGGGCATCTCGCTCTCAAAGCCTATCACCCAGACCGGTGAGGGACCCAATGCGACGGCGTTGAACGGGTACGGGACATATGGAAACGGCACGAGGACTCCACAAGAAGACCAGGATGCAGACACGGGAGACCGTGATGAGGAGGACGAAGTGAAATTACTACGTATGCGTACGCGGAAACATGAGATCGTCGTCGTGCCGGATCGGAAGTACTTGCTCTGTGTTGTGCATGATGCCGCGTATGCGAGTACTGGGGCTGGGGCTGCTACTCGCACACGGTAATCGGATATGGATTTTCTCCTTTTGTGCTGTTGCGACGGTGTCCCTTGGTTTGTTTTCGGGTCTTGTGTCTCATTTTTATTTCTGTACATGGGCTTTGGCTTGGTTTTCACATAACATATACCCGATCGAAGCAAGAGCTAATTTGCCTAATGGCCTTTTCCGCGTGTGTAGTCTCTTTTTCAATCGTACATATTCTAGATCCATGGATATGACAGTGCGATTTATGGTGTTGGTTAGTTGGTTATGCTCAACAAAACAAGGTTGAGTGTAGCATGTGCGCAAAACCTTCCAAGATTGAAAGCTGGCGGCCATTTTCAGCTACAGATTTTCAGAACGCGATAGATCCTAAAGCTTAATGTTTCTCACCTGGGCAGGTGGATCTGGCCCTTGACAGACCGGATTCCGGCTGATGGTAATGTAACCATGAGGAGCTGTGCGGCCGGAGCAAGTCCGTTATCAAACCAGATCCACTACCCCTCTCCCTCCCCGAGGGGAAGTGTATTTCTATCGTTTCTCATTGTTCGTTTATCCCAAGTGATACTTCGCATTTACTATCAGGATGGCCCCAACATTTGACGTGGCAGCTGCCCGCGCCCAGTTTCCAGCTCTGCAGCAGGAGCAGGTCTTCATGGACAATGCAGGTGAGTGGCATTTCCGGGCATATTTTTCATTCTGCCAGTTGATATGAATCAGCCACTGATACATATCCAGGAGGGAGTCAGGTTCTGCGAAGCGTGGCAGATTCGTAGGATTTTACATTGTTATAGAGAAGGGAATATTGACTGACGTTCATGTGTAGTATCCGCTCCTACTTGTTGAACACTAACGTCCAGCTCGGTGCCACGTATAAGGTCTCCCAAGCTTCAACCACGGCATACGCAGAGGCATACAAGGTTGCTGCTGGTTTTATCAATGCTCGACCGGAGGAGGTAATCTACACTTTGAGTTGGTGAAGCTATGAAAAGCAGCTAACGCTTATCCAGATCAGTATTGGTGTTTCGACCACCCAGCTCCTGCACAATCTCTCCACGGCCCTCAAGCTCCAGGCTGGTGATGAGTTGATCCTATCCAAGCTGAACCACGAAGCAAACACGGCTCCCTGGGTGCGGGTTGCAGAGCGTCTGGGCTTGACGATCAAGTGGTGGACTGCTTTGGACCCCAAGAACCCCGTCTGCGATGAGGCTCAGCTAAATGCTTTGCTCTCGAATAAGACAAGACTAGTCACTTGTCCCCATGCTTCGAACATCACTGGAACCATCAGTCCGATCCGTGAAATTGCAGATGCCGTTCATGCGTATCCTAGGGTAAGTCGCTCCAGTATTTGAATCTACAGAATCCTGACGTCTGATCTATAGGCACTACTCTGTGTGGACGGAGTGGCCTTCGCACCACACCGACAGGTTGACGTGCAAGCTCTCGGAGTCGACTTCTACGTAAGATTCTGTCCTAAGCTCCGATGAGGCCCCCGGCTCACGCCCCATTTTCAGGCCTTCTCCTGGTACAAAGTCTACGGCCCACATCTGGCGCAGCTATACGCCTCGCAGCGCATTCACGACCAGGTTCAGTCACTTGCCCACTTTTTCAAACCCACCAACACACTAGACCTGAAGCTCAACCTGGCATCAGCCAACTACGAGCTTATCCAGAGCATTCCGGCCGTGGTGGAGTACTTTGGCGCCGAGCCCGACAAAACCTGGAGCGAGATGGCGGCCCACGAGGAGCGGCTGCAGGAGATTCTACTGGACTTCTTGACTGCAAATGACCGCATCGCCATCATTGGCGAGCCCTCGTCCATCAAAGATCTGCGCGTGCCAGTCATTAGCTTCACGGTTCGTGGCGTCGGTAGTCAGCAGCTAGTTGAAGCGGTCGAGAGCCGGTCTGCCTACGGGTTCCGCAGTGGCCACATGTACAGTCACCGGTTGCTAGCGGAAGTCTGCGGCTTGGCAGATGTGGAGGATGGTGTGGTGCGGGTTAGCTTCCTGCACTATAACACTGGTATGTGCTTTTTGCGATGAGGCTCTTGGATTCAGACTAATTAGGCAACAGAGGCCGAGGTTGAGGGGCTGGTGAAGGTGCTGGGCGAGGTGCTTGATTCGCTGTAGATATTTTTCGTTCGGTCTCTCGATGTGCGTATACAAGAAGTCTTGGAAGAGGCTCCAGGAGCCTGTTTGTGTGAGTCATTGGTGGTCATTCGGATGGGTTTCCCGGTATATATTTTGCCTCTTTATCGTAAGCTTGAGACCGATATATAGAACCACACAGTAGTACATTTACCCCCGAACGATATCCGAAGAAATCCACCGAGATATGTAGCAGAAAGACAGAGCCGTAGACCCGTAGATATCCGTGGATCTATCTAGACATGCTTCCAGGACTTCCAGGACTATAGATAAGTACGAGGACCAGGAAGGAATAGTGAAGATGGATAAACCAACGCTAGCGATGTGGTAATAATAATAATAAGCGCCCGCTATCGGCCTCCCCAGCACCATGTGGATGGCATCCACCGCAGGGCTCTGCAGGGAACGCAAGCTTGTCCGGGGCTGCATGTCTACCTTACAACCTTACCTAGAGATTTTAGGGCAGTATTTTGTCCACCCAACCAGTATAGACATCGTTTAAAATTCACTTGGAAAGTTCACAGTGCCCGACACAGAACGCAGGCATCCTCAAGCAGCAACGCCGATCGGAGGCAGCACCAATAAGGGTAGATGTGATAGTGGGCCCCTGCTCAACAAGCGCGGCGTCATTGGACCGGGCGAGAACAGCGTGGCAACGCTACCGAAACGGGTGAGTCAAGGAAAAGGGTGTTAGGCAACATAGTCTCCAGGAGAGAGTCCATGGTGACCTAGGTATAGTTATGATTATTATTGTAATAAGCGTAATCATAGTCACTATCATCATCATCGCCATCATCCACGATCATATGGTAGTTGGTAGTGTTGTGATACTGCAGTGACTCACCGTACCACGGCTGCATTCGGGATTTTCACCCCATCTTCAGTTCAACTCTGCGCCTCCCTTTCAATCCCGCCACCCTCTTTGCCACAGTGTGACTCCCCTCCCTATCTTAGTCAAATGTCCCTTACGAGTCATACGTGGTGAGCCTAAAAACCTCTTCTTCTTGTCCCTGATTTCTCTACCTGACTCCCACCCCCCACTCCTCTTTTACCCGACCATCGCCTCTTCGCCTCCTCCGCCCCCATTTCCTGCCTAGTACTTCAACGACTGCCTTGTCACAAGTCCTCTTGTGTCTATGGTTCGTTGAGTGCCTTGAGATCCTCTCTCCGACTCATCTTACTTCAAAATGTATACTGCGTCTTCTATCCCGATCGCCCGTGTTGCCGCTATCGACCTCCGCTTCGTCACCGCTGGCTCCGTCTAAAGTCTCGTTCAGAGTCATCTTCGTCCCGGTGTTCATATAGCCCAACACTGGTGTGATCGGTTCATTGTCTTTTCGCCTTCGCCTTCCCCTTCATCTATTACCTTTTTATCCCGGCGGACTTCCAACTCCGCTCCCTCATACTCTAATAATATCTTTTGGTGTCAACCTGGCGCTTTTCAACTTCTAGGCTTTGCCGTCGCCTGCGCTCCAAGACGGCTTCTGTCTCCTCGGCCTTCGTTCCCGGTTCCCTGCTTAACGGTTTCTTGACACTACGGTTCAAATCGGACCATTCCCTTTTTCGGTCGCGCTTGAGATATTTCGATGAATCCTTCCGCGCCTCCGGATATGTCGGGGATGGACGTCTTGGGTTTGCAACTTTCAAACCCAAGCCAAGCTAAACATCCCTATGCCTCCTCCATTTCCTCATCCGCCTCCTCTTCGTCCTCTTCCGTCTTCTCCCTTGATGCGCAAAGTTCCATCTCGTCCACGGCCACAAACCCGGTCGATGTGATTTGGGAGAATGACGTGGACGGGCAGTTGGCCGGAAGAAACGTAACTTGCCCTCGTGCCTTCAAGGGTCTTCCCAAGGCCGATGGCTCGGTGCCCTCCGAGCTGCGTATGCATCCTCGTCGCACCAACAGCTCCGCTGCCAACGGTCCCGCCGCCCGCCCTCCGCCATGTCTGCTCCGGCAGTCCGAGCGGAAGGTGAACTTCGTCGATAACCTCGTCGGTAAGTCGTGCCGGATACTCTTTTTCTAACTTTCTCCGGCTGAACACACTCTTTTCCCCCCCAAAGATACGGCGTCGCAGATCGTTGAAAATATCTGGCCGCTGTCGGCCGCGGCATCCCGCAGCGATGCCGCGACCGGGTCAAAAGGGGTTCTTCCCCTGCGGACGTTCATTCAGGAAACGCTCCGTCGCTCGCGCACCAGCTATAGTACTTTGCAGGTCGCTTTATACTATTTGATCAAGGTCAAGCCGCATGTGCCCGCCCACGACTTGACCAAGGAACAGCCTCGGGATCAGTCGATGATGCGGGCTATGCAGTGCGGTCGTCGTATGTTTTTGGCCGCGCTGATCCTGGCCTCTAAGTATTTGCAAGACCGCAACTACTCTGCCCGTGCCTGGAGCAAGATTTCGGGCCTAAATACGCTGGAGATCAACCAAAATGAGTTGATGTTCCTCCAGGCGGTTGGTTGGCGGCTTCACATCTCCGAAGCGACCTTCCAGCGATGGACCGACCTGGTTCTCAAGCTGACCCCGGGTGCCGGTGGGCCCCCGGTTAGCGAGGGCCAGTGCTGGCGTACCGTCCTGCCTCGTCTGACTCCGGAGCTGGATACCGTCGACCCAGAGCCGATGACCCCGGTCTCGGCCATGGGCTGCATGGATCTCGGTCTCTCCGAATCTCCATCGCCGCGCAGTGCTTCCGGCAACGAGTCTATCCGTTCCTCTTCCCGCGAGCAGACTCCGACTTGCGCTCGGAGCCTGTCCCGGACTATGGAGCCGACTCCGCGTATGGAGTACACCAACCCGCCGATGCCCGCTATCCCGCGCCCCCAGATGCTCCCCACGCCCCAGATGACCCCTCAGTCGCATGTCGGCCCTACTCCTGCTGCGAGTATGGCTCCATGTGGTCCCCGCCGCCCCTCCATCGGTACGGCCATGTCGCAGGTCCAGAACTTGGGTATGGCGCGCTCGACTCTCGATCAGCGCCCGCCTCTCTCGTTCTACCCTCGGCATAACTCGTACGATGGTTACCCGGCTGCGGTTCGTCGGTCTTCTCTGGCTCGTTCGACGTCGTCGGCCTCGTCTCCGGACTCGATGGTGTCGGATGTGTCGACTCTTTCGTCCCGTTCCTCGCGGTCCTCCTCGGTCTCCTCGAACGCCTCTGGCACGGGTGCCTCGGCCCCGTCTCGCCTGGCTGTCAAGGCCACCCTGCGCTGCACTAGTAACTCGCTCAAGGAGAGCCGTAAGACCCTGGCTATTGCCTCTCCGATTGATGAGAGTGCTTTGGTTGATCTGTATAGCTCCCCTGATGCGTACTCCGGTACGGTGGGCTCTGCCCCGGACCTGTCCACCTTTTCGCTGGATTCGAGTCTGAGCGAAGCTGCCCAGAGCCTGTGCGCGCTATCGGGCGCAACCCCCGAACGGCGCCAGACTCGCAAACGCGGACGTACCGGTTCGGACGACCTGCTCCTCCAGTCCCACGTTCGCCATATGATCGACGCCGGTGCCTCGGGTGATTCCTCGGTGCTTCCTGACGGTCGCCTGGCGAAATCTTTCCTGGTCCGTGATGGATCCGCGGTCTCAGGACCTGCCGGCATGAAGCGGGCCTGCTGCGGCAGCGAGGCACGCAAGGTCGCTCTGAACCCGAGCATGCGCGCAAACATCTTGAATTAAGCGATGCGTCACGGATTCTTCCGTTCTGGTGATGTCTAGAAAAAGCGCGTCTTTTCTGTTCCCCGGATTATGATTCCCTCCCCCTTTTGGCGTACCGAACCCGGGTTGTCCTTGCCTCTGTACATACCCCTTTCGGACCCCGGGCGTCTCGGTCGCCGTGCGAGTTTGAAACAAAAGCTTCGCAAGTGTACGATGTACGTGGTTTCCCTCGTCATCTCTTTCTTTTCTTTTTTTTTTGTTGCACACGGAGTGTGATGGGCATGGGACGGGCTTGTTTATTTACCTCCTTCTGGGGACTTGTTGATCTGTACACTTCATCCCTCGGCGCTCTGGCGCCACGAGTGGAGATCTGGCGGCGTCCGGAATGCGTACGTTCGCATCGCGGATAGTCCAATAGTACAGTTCTTGATCTGAGATTTCTCTTCGTGTAGCTCCGGTTGATGAGTAGATGCTGTTCCAAGCGAGTTCTGGATGACTTCGAGGTCACAGTATCGTAAGGCACCGTCCTTGTCTACGTCTCAAACTTCAAAGGTCGGACAAGCCAAAGGATGTTTTTCTACTCTATGTAGCCTATGCGTTTCTACGGATCATTCTGCCCGATCGGCGAAGGATTGGAAGGAAACATTTGGACTATGGAAGTCACTGGCTCAAGAACACTAACTACGGACGACCTCCTTTTCAGACAGATCAAAGCGGATACCAAATAGAAAATACCACGCCACCGCGGTTGCATGATCGAATCTCCATGAAATCCCCGGCAAGTGAGCGTGCGACCGAGCTGAGCATCGGGTGGTGCCATCAGATAAGATCCGGCAACACAACCGGGAATCTCCGCACGCCCCGCTTTCTTTCGTTTTTAACCTTGAGAGCTTGCTCTACCATCTGCTTGCAAGCTGCTTGCTGTTTTGAACATGCTGCCACAGACCGTTCTTACCGGGCTACTTGCTCTGTGCTCCGTTTCCCTCACCTCTGCCTGGGTGATTCCGCAGTCGGTGCTGGGCAACGATGCCAACCCTCCGGACTCGTCCTCTGTGGACGAAGATGCCCTCGCCCGCCCATCCTGGTTCACCTCAGCCCTGATGGCCCGCCGTATGCTGGCTCTGTCTTCCTCCGGCGTGATCGCGACCGTCTTCCCCGATTCAATCCCACCCTCTGCACGCACCCCGTCTACGGTCGCGGGTCTCCCCATCGGTCTGCGCGAGTACATCGCCGACTGTGACGGCTCTCTGCCGGACGAACTGTCTCACGGTGGGAACGGTGACCCCACCATCCTTGCCCTGCGCGTCGCTACTACGTTCAAAAATATCGGCGCCGGTTCAAACCTCAGTCTCGAGGTGGACTGGTGGGACCATCTGGCCGATGCAGGGCCCGTCTATCCCGGACTGCCTGACAGCCCGGCTGCCCTGCCGCGGATCACCCTGTTCGGATACCTTGAAACGCTCCCCGAGCTGTCCGATTCCGCGTCTGCAACCCTGGAGAAATGCTTTCTGAGGTCTCATCCGGATGCCAAAGCCTGGCTTCCTGGAGTTCCCGGCGCGCCGCATGCAAGCTTCTGGGCTCGTCTGGTGGTCACGCAGGCCTACTGGATCGGCGGATTTGGAGATGTGCAACAGATCGGCTGGATGAACGTGACAGAGTGGAAGGGAATCCGACGCCGAAGCAGTTTGGACGGCGTCGGCGATGGCCGCGGATGGGAGGACGTGCGACTGCCTGGAGAAAAGGGAAAGCAGTGATATGCAATCCGTGAGTCTGAAGGACGGGGAGTTTTGACCTTTTGGCCTAGCCGATGCATACAGTCAAGGGTTCTTGCGATGCTCATTCGTTCGTTGCGTTATCTACGCTTTGGCTGCAGGGATGCGCTTATCATCTTATCTCGACTCATTGACGTCCCTAGTAATCACCTAAATCCTTAAATCCTTAAATCCTTAAATCCCCTCTGCTCGGAACGACACTCGTTATACTCTTTATTCTCTTCTACTGTAGAACCTTGGAACCTCGGGACCTTGGAACCTCATTCCCGATGCGCCTCTCCCGGCCCCGACTCCGCGTCTCGCAGGCCCGATCGGCATTTGCAGAAGGCAATGCACGATGGACGAACCGAGATCTGGATCCGATACCGCTATATGCACGTAAATGGGGGGTCTGGAGTTTAGTAGGTAGGTGTGGCGGGTGCGCCTTACGCACTATGCATGGAAACCACCTCCCGCTGTATACCTCGCGCTGACCATCCCTAGCATACTGGATCTCGGATGCTTTCAACGCAGCAACATGGCAATTCGCCAGCAGTATCATCGCCGTCGGACTGAGCTATCGCGAGGCAATCGCCATCGTGGCCGTCTCCTTCTTCATCATGTCTTTCGTTATCGCCGGTAATGGCGCCGTCGGGGCCATCTATCACGTCCCTTTCCCCGTCATCGCCCGTGCGAGTTGGGGCTTCTGGGGTTCATATATTGCTATCGTCTCGCGTGTGATCCTGGCCGTCTTCTGGTTTGCTATTCAAAATGTGAACGGGGGCAATGCCGTGCGTGTCATGATCGGTGCCATCTGGCCGAGCTACTTGACGCTGCCGAATGACATTCCCGAGTCGCAGGGCATCACGACCAACGGCATGGTCGGCTTTCTGATCTTTTGGATCGTGCAGTTCCCCTTTTTGTGCATACATCCGAACAAGCTGCGCTGGTTGTTCGCGGTCAAGTCTGTCCTCGTGCCGATTGCTTGGATTGCCATGTTGATCTGGGCCTTTGTGGCCGAAAAAGACGGAGGAGGCATTTTTGCCCAGCAGACAGCGACTGTCTCCGGATCAACGTACAGCTGGCTGTTCTTGGCCAATATGACATCGGTTCTGGGCAACTACGCCACTCTGAGCGTGAACCAGGTAAGATAGCGTGGCCGTAACCCTTATACTCATGCAAACCTGACCATCCATAGTCTGATTTCTCTCGTTACTCTCGCGTCAACCCTCGCTGGCAACTCCTCTACATTCCAATGCTGCCCATCATCTTCACCTTCATCTCCTTCATCGGCATCGCTGCCTCGTCCGCTGGCCAATCTCACTACAAACTCGCCTCCATTCCATGGGACCCCACCGTCCTGATCAGCTACTGGCCCAACCGCGCCTGTCGCTTCTTTGGCGCTGCCTCGTTTGCACTGGCATCTCTGGGCGTGAACATCTCGGCCAATTCACTGTCTGCCGCAAACGACTTTACCGCGCTGGCACCCCGAGTCATCAATATTCGTCGTGGTCAGATCCTCTGCGCGTTGCTGTCGTGGTGTCTCGCGCCGTGGAAGATCCTTGAATCGGCCGGTAACTTTTTGACTTTCATGTCGGCCTATGCCATCTTCCTGGGCCCCATCGCTGCCATTATGCTGTTTGATTTCTGGGTCGTCAATAAGCGAAAGTATGATACCCTTGCGCTGTACCAGCCCTGGAACCCCATTTATCGCTATGCCTGCGCCATCCCCGGACTCCCGGGCAAAGTAGCGTCTGGATTCAACTGGCGAGCCCTGGTGGCTTTCCTCGTGGGCGTCGCGCCCAATTTGCCGGGACTGATCAATGCCGTGAACCCGCAGATTGACGTCGGCACGGGTGTCCATCCGTATCAGTTCGGCTGGCTGCTCGGCTTTTTCGCCACTGCCGGTGTCTATCTGGGACTGTCGTACTGGTTCCCCGCGCAAGAAACCCAAATCGAGCGTGCCGTTCTCCCCGATGAAATCTACGAGAGAGGTGCGGTGGTTGAGGGTGTGGAAACGGACAGTTCCGATCAAGTGCAGGTCGCTAGAGACGAGAAGTCGCCGACTGGGTTGGCTTCAGAGAAGAACATGTAGACTGCATATGAATGCGCTTGGAAATTTCTCGAGGATATTTATAGTCTTTTGAATTTGGAGCAGTCCGAGGCTGCTAAGCTGTACGTGCTTTATACATTGTTGTCAACCCCCAAAAAACTCGACGTGGCCAACTGAAATAGAGGATTTCGCTTATTATCGTCAAGCTCAAGCTTGCGATAGTAGCCGGTTTGCGCCCATGTTGATTGCCGTTACTTCATGCGTAGCTGCCGTATTCTTTCGCTTGTAGGGTAATGGGATTGCTCTTGTAGACTTGGCCGCGAAATGCACCCTCTTCGTGCTTCCGTAGGCGAACTATTTGCCTGAATGTGTCCGAGCTTGTGGTTCTGTTTCGTAAACCTTCATTAAAGAGGCTTGCGTACCCCGACCCGGCAAAGATATGTCGGATATAATCGTGAGATATTAGAAAGATTGCCTTCACGGCCCCGGCCCATATGCAAGAGCCTCTTTCAGCACTTTGCTCACGCCGGACGATGCACGACCCAGCTCTCCGCCCTCCTCTCTCGCACTCTTGAGTCCACGGTCAATAGCCGGTAAGAAGCGGGTCGAAAACACTCGATACCGATCCTCGCGGGTTTCGTACATTTCGCCTTCCTCATCGCGCGGTTGTCCAAACAGGTTGAGATAAGCGTACGGTGCCGATGACTCGGTGATCATGTGGTGTCCCATCTGGTGGAGAGGAAAGGGTGAGGAAGACTGCTCGTCATGATCTGACGAGTCCCCTCCAGAGCCACTTGGCTGTCCAATTCCCGCATCCAGGAACTCTGCCAGTGCCCCCAACACCTTCACCATAGGCTTGCCCTGGCTGCCGGACTTGCCGAATGAAGCCCGGTTCGATGACCACCGTGATGACTCCTCTGTATGCCATCCCAGTACAGACAGGAAGCAGTTCATCGTCTTGACCCACCCGCCCGCACTGGAAACCACATTCTCGCCAGCTGCCTCGACCATCCAGGATAAGATCTCCACTGCGGACACGCGAATGTCCGCCGCAAGATGTGTCATACCGGCGCGCACGTACGGAAGAAGCTGTCCGACATGGTCCTCTATGTCGTTGCGCGGCAATGTCCGGAGGAGCTTAAGGAGCTGTATGCGCACGTTGTTGTTCGCGTCGAGGATGAGCGGAAGCAGGCCCGGGAGTATTACGCTCACCGGTTGCGGGAGAGGCGAGTTTACGGGTCGCGAGGCGATGGATGTTGTCAAGTGGGCGAGCGAGTCGCGCCGTTGGCTGTCGGATTTGGATGAGAGAAGGGAGAGGAAGTGTGTGAATTGGCTATTGGAGGTTGGTGCGGCGATATGGAGGGATTGTTGGTTGAGAGTGATTGCTTCCGGCTGTCAGAATCTTCGTCAAGGCGAGACTAGAAAGCAGAGGTGCATACCCTTGGATCGGAAGCTGGTGTCCGTGAAGTTCTCCGGCTTGGCCTTGGCCTTGCCGACCTTGAGCTTGGGTTTCTGCGCGAATTAGTGAGTGTGCTCGCTGCATGAGAAGATCAATTGTCCCTACCTGGAAGTCCTTCTGCTTTTCCTTCTTTCTCTTGGCGCTGGATCCCATGGTTGCGGTTGATGTTGTCGAGTTGAAGCTGCGCCGCTTTTTTTTCTAGATGATTATCCACACGTGATGCCGATAACAGCCTGCATAATCGGGTGTCAATATTGCCCGAAAGGGAAATGCGTATAACGTAATCGGTAAGCGAGTGGTCCATGTAAGCGAGCGGTCCACCTACCCATTTTTTCGCGTCTGGACGCGACCGTCTATCTTCAACCACCAACCATGCCACCAAAATGCACCGAATCCTCTCGAAATTCAGCCCATCAAGAGGGCAGGCTTTTATTAGCTATACAGGCTATAAAAAACCAAGAAATCAGCTCTATACGTGACGCAGTACGTCGTTTTGACGTGCCTAAAACTACGCTTCTCCGTCGACTACGCGGCACTACAAATCGCGCTGAATCTCGCGCCAATGGGCATAAATTGACCCAAATCGAAGAGGAAACGCTCACTAAGCGTATTACCTCAATGGATGACCGTGGTGGTGCGCCTAGGCCTTCGACAGTGAGAGAAATGGCTAATTTACTACTCGCGAGGCGTGGAACTACACCAATCGAGATAGTTGGTGAAAAATGGGTCTATAACTTTATCAAACGCACTCCTATGCTTCGAGCACGTTTTTCACGTCGATACGACTATAAGCGAGCACTACAGGAGGACCCAAGGGTTATTCAGCAGTGGTTTAATACTATATAAGCTACTATTCAGCAGTACGGTATCCTATCGGAGGATATCTACAACTTCGACGAGACAGGCTTCGCTATGGGTCTTACTGCGATAGCTAAGGTTATTACTCGGTCAGAATACTACGGTCGGAGATTAGTTTTACAGCCAGGAAACCGGGAGTGGGTTACTACAATCGAATCAATTAGTGCTTCTAGGTGGGTGCTTCCACCTACGATTATCTTTAAGGGCAAGCTATACAACCAAGCGTGGTTTAAAGGCCTTCCAGGAGACTGGCGCTTCGAGGTTAGCCTAAACGGATGGACAACAGACGAGATTGGCCTTCGGTGGCTAGAAAAGCTCTTTATTCCAGCTACAACTAGTTATACGATCGGTCAATATCGACTACTAGTCCTCGACGGCCACGGAAGCCATTTGACAGCTCAATTCGACCAGCTTTGCCTAGAAAACAACATAATTCCGGTCTATATACCAGCGCATAGCTCGCATCTTTTACAGCCGCTTGATATTGGTTGTTTTGCAGTCTTAAAGCGCTCATACGGAAGCTTAGTTGATCAGAAAATGCGGCTTGGCATTAACTATATCGACAAGCTTGATTTCCTCGCAGCATACCCACAAGCTCGCGCAGATATATTTAAGACTGACACTATCAAAAACAGCTTCGCAGCAGCTATTTTAGTGCCTTTTGACCCCGACCGTGTGCTTTCAAAGCTTAATATACAGCTTAATACGCCTACACCCCCAGGAAGCCGCCCAGGCAGTCAATCAAGCAATTTTACACCAAAAACACCAGCCAACGTCACCGAATTGCTTAAACAAGTATCCTCAATCAAAGCCTTCCTAAAACAAAGATCAAATAGCCCGCCAACACCATCAAAAACTGCGTTAAACCAGCTTATCAAAGGCTGCCAGATTGCTATACAAAACGGCATATTACTTGAGCAAGAAAACCGGGATTTACGTGCTGCAAACGCAGTGGTGAAGCAAAAGCGCGCTCGTGTTAATAGGTATATAGCCTATAATGCTGGAATATCAGTTCAGGAGGCTACACAGGCTCCTGAGCCTATTCCAGAGCCTCCAGCACCAGAACTAGCAATACCAGCAGCATCAGCGCAGGCAGTTCTACCAGCACCAGCACTAGCGCGACGACGTTTACCAACCTGTGGAAAATGCAGACAGATAGGGCATAAGGCAAATGCTTGTCCGGTTAGATAGTTTATTTAATATAAAGGCGTTTTGGTTTAAAATAAGCAGTTTAAAATTATAGAGGGCGGGTGGGTGGACCGCTCGCTTACATGGACCACTTGCTTACCGATTACGTTAGTTCGCGTGCCATCGTCTAATTGTTTGATGGCCAGACCTTCAGAAAATATCGATCTATACCTTTGTCGAAATACACCTACGTCCCATCCGGCTTGACCTGAACACAGGTCCGAATTACAATTACAACGGTTACTGGATGTACTGCTATTGGAGTATCCATTGCGAATCCATCTATACTAGACCTATAGTATAGTTAACGCCCATTGGAATAGAATTGAATGCACTATTGCTATGAGCTGCATGAACGGAAGGCTTATGCACGTGGGGTCACCGCGATCGCACATTCCCCGTTGGAATCCCGAGTTCCCGAGTTTCGCTGATGCCTCCTCCATATTCCATATTCCCATACTGTTATAACTTCAATCAACGGCATGCGTGCCAATTGGGGCAGTTATAGGAATCCCTTCAGGGGGCGGTCTTCTTTGGGCATTGTATGATTCCGCGTCAGACTGAAAATACTATCCTTAAACTGATCCCCAAAGTTGGTTGATGTAGAACTAACTAGATCCTGTTTCGATATCAGCTCCATTCGGGATCCAAAGCAGCAACTTACCACGCGAACTCCCTCCCAATGCCTTGGCCACCACTTCATGCGCTTTTTCCAACATCGATTTCCCTTGATCTTCATCTTCCCGGGATGGTTGTGGACTGACCTCGCCAAATCGATCTCGCATAGTGGTAGGTGTATCTGACATGCGCCGAGAAGTAGTTTGGGTTTCCCCTACAAGCATACATGGAAATTATTGAGCCTCATGCCTACATACTCTAGAAATAGTACATACCAGGCTGGAAGCGATTCATCATCCTCTCACGAGATTTGCTGGCGGTCTCGGGGCTGCGAGAAGCGAAGGTATCGGGGTGTCTAACGTCCGGCTGGATGGGGTCCGACACTTCTGTCGAGGGGTCAGGTCTCGGAGAATGAACAAGTTACCTATGAATGGAACATACCGTCGGTATTTGCACTGTCGCCCTATAGCAACGTATTAGCTATGCCTCGGCTGAGGGATTAGGACATACTGCTGAGCCGGACATGTTCAAATGCCTAGATGGTTCAAGATGATACTATCGCTAGAAGACCTAAATTTGGGCAGAATCAAGCCGAATATAAAGAACCCGTGATAGATCCGAGCGTTTGTCGAGTGACGTACATAGATCTTGCCATCGCTAGAACCAACAATCGAGGGACGGTGGAGGCGGGCCTGATGTCACCCCGCTTGTCTCACCGTGATGTCAAGGGTTGAAGTATACGAAACGTTGGAAGCCAAGCTAACAAGGAAACAGGACCGGCAATGTCATAAAAATCGTATTCAAATTCAAGTCTAATAGGGAAACACATCAAGGTCTGCTCAGCAGCGCAAGGAAAGTAAAGAGGAAAAGTAAAATAAAATCAGGAAATCAGACAAGAGATGCGCACTTCTGCCTGGCCCCGAGCTGACTAGAACAAACAACAACAGAAAACACAGCCCGGGGTCCGAGACAGACGCGATTGTATCAATCAAATCAGATCATCAAGCACACGTAACATATCAGGGGGAAAAAAGGAGGAAAAAGGAAAAAGGCATGAAGCATGGGACGACAAAGCCACGCGAGACCACCAGCAAGGGGGCATTAATCGTGTAATGGATGAAATTAGTGGAATAGTGGCCAACTTCATCATCTCGAGAAACATCAACAGAATCAGAAAAGGCGAGCCCGACTACAGACTCATGGTGAGCCATTCCCACTCCTGGCTCGCACCTTGACCACCCGCAATACTGTGGTTGGCTGGGTTCGCTGCTGCGGGTGGCATCGCTGGCGCCAAAGGTACCACCTTGGATCGACCGGAGGGCACGCTCGTCTTTGGGCTGTCATCAATGTCCAGATCGGACCCGAATGGGGCCCTCTCCAAACGACGCTGGCGGCGAGGTGCCACCTGGACACCGGCCCGAGCATGAGAAACTCCGGCCGGGGGCCCGGCCTTTGGCGGAGCGGCTGCGATGGGCACCACGCCGGATTTGCTGGACGCAGCAATCGCAGGTGGTGACTCGGAGGCGGTACCGCCGGGGGCGCGCGAGACGCCCGCACTGGTTGGGGCCTGCACAACGGAGTTTTTGCGAGAAGATTTCTTGGACGAGCGAGAGGTGCCGACGACGAGACTGTTGGCACTACTCCGGTTGCGTTTCTTGATAACGTCGGTCTTCAGGGACAGCGGCCGAACGACGCCGTGAAGCTTCAGGAACAGACCACATGCATTGCACAGGGGCTGGCCTTCGGGGTTGCGTCGCCAGAGAGGGGTGGTCTGGGTGAAGCAGTTGGTGCATGTGGTCGGCCCGGCATTGGGGTCTCCGTTCTTAGAACCGCCGGGACTGGCCGGCCTAGAGGGCACAGCACTGCTGAGGCCAGATTCAGGCGGCGTGCTGGGAGATGGGTGGTTAGTCGACGGGCCACTGGTCGTGCCGCTGATGTGCTGCCGCAGTAGCCCTGGGGCGTTGGGAGTGGAGGCCGTACGAGCAATCTTCTGCCGACGAGGATCCAGCTCTCGGTTACGCACATCGCTGACGGAGGCGGCCGAGCCATGGCCACGACCGAGGCTTCCATTGTGGTGCCACTCGGGCGGGCCATCCATCATATCGGTCGAGCCGATGGTGACATGCTTGCGATGCTGACCGTTGAAACCCGGCAACGACTGAACCGATCCCGGGAAGCCGGTATCCCAGGTCAAACCGGCATTCAGGTCACCGGTGTCATCCAGTGACGCAAAGTCGTGGGGCATGGCGATTCCGCCGCGTTCAAACTGGTTGCCGTCATCGTCGTCGTTATCTGAATCACCGCCGAATGTGAACATGCCGCTGCTCGGCGCCGTCGTGGAAAACTCGCCGGCGCCAAGGACCTGGGAGGGATCCACATGCTGGGGCCCTGGCAATGAGAAGGCGGACGAGTGCATGGTGCTCGGTGGGCCGGTGACGGCACCGTTGGATTGCAAGTCGCCGTTGGTATTATAGATGTGGCGGGGCTGCAGGGATGCCGACAGGTTTGACTGACGATGTTGAATGTAGTTAGGAATGCGGCGCTGTGAGTGGGATTCCGCCGAGGGCGCATCCGAAAAGAACATCGACTGTTCTCCCTCGTAAATGGGCTGAGGGGTCGAAACGGTCGACTGATACCCTGACGGGGGCGGCGAGAAGAATTCGGTGGAGTTGAGGGATGAAGCCATCGGAGTCTGAGCGTAGAGATTGGAGAAAGGGTTGCTGGCCGCCATGGGCGAATCGGAAGGAGAGAAGGCGAAGTGCTGCTGGTATGGACCAGCCGAACTGATGCCGGATTCATCGCCCACCCCAAACGTGTCGATACCATAGGGAAGACCCGAGCCTGTGGGGTGATGCTGGTGACGACGGGGCCCCACGGTGCCGTTCCCCGGCACGGCAAAGGCCGAGGGCGGGTGGTCTAAAGAGTAATCAGGCAAGGCGGCCGACAACTCCGAGTGCTGCGACAACATGGCGTTGGATACGGGCGGCACCTGAGGCGATGCCTCGGCGGGACGCTTGCGACCGGGAACTCCGAGACCGTTGAAGAACTGACGCTCGTCGACGCTCGTCTTGCGTACTCGACGGGGTACGTAGCCAAACTCGCTGTTCTTGCGCTGCTCCTGCGCCGGATGCGGGAATGATGCGGCGACGTTCGAGTCGGCCATCGGATGGTCCTTGCGCGCTTTGATGGGGATACCGGTCGGTGTCGCGGTAAAGTGACGGTCGACATGGGGGTAAGAGGAATAGTCGCCGGGGGAGTCAAAGGGGACAATGTAGTCATCCAGGTTCATGAGGTCGTGGGTCGCATCGTGGTTCATGTTGGTCGAGTTCGATGCCTTGTCGGACAGATGCAATTGCGCGATGCCGCTCGGGGTGGGACTGAGGGTATCTTGCTGGGATTGCGACGACCTGCAGGCCAAGACATGAGCTGGCTGCTATTTTTCGGAGGGAGGGATGGAAGGAATGGAATGTATGGAAGAACACCTACCTGGCCTGCTGTTGCTGCTGCTGCTGCTGCTGCTGCTGCTCCCGTTCTTTGCGTCTCAAGCTCATAGCCATCATCCGCCAGGTCAAATTCTCCATACGCTCTTGGTTGGGTAACTGGGACTTGGTGCGAGTGTAGAGCCTCCAAATCTGCGCAGCGAGCGGATCCTGTTTCTGCAGCAATTCGGGACTTTCGCCACCGCGCGCGGCGCCGGTTTTCCACTCCGGGAAGATGGGATCCTGGAGCATGCCGTCCTGTGCGGCGGAGTTGGTGGGACTGAACGGGGAGCCGAAGGAGAAGTCATCGGACATCATGTGCGAGTCGATGTCAATGTCGGGGAAAGGCAGTCCGGACGGTCGGGCCCCCGCATGCCCTCCGTGATGGATTCCCTCCATGGCGGAAGAGAGGGAAGACAGAGGGGAGATAAAGAAACGTAGACAAGGGTTTCAACGGAAGCGTCCAAATTGGAATATCCCCGTACCCGCCGTAGACGAGATCCCGTGAATGGAATCCGAGCGAGAGGCGATTGGTAGGATGGCGCAGCCAACGACCAGGGTCAGCATCGACGTCAGTACATTCCACAACTCTCGTTCTGGGGTTGGGTACACACGATGGTCTGCCACCACCCAGTCTTTTTTCCTAGCTGTCTTTTCTTAACCTGTCGTGGAGGGGGGGCTAGACCCTCCAGACGCTCATGCCCCGAGGTGCGATTGCGACGGGGGAGGATGGTAAGAGAACGGAGCGGGTGTGTATGCGGCGTGGAAGAAGCCGGGAAGGAGAGAGAGACGGAGATGCTGGAGACCAGCGAGGGAGAGAGCAGGTGGAAGAAGAAGATCCGAGAGTGGAGGAATAGGAAAGTGATATGTGCAGGCAAGTGAACTCGAAGATGGAGTGGTAAAAGGTAGAAAGGTACATACGCCGAACGTACGCGTATTACAGGTATCGCCCGATTCACGGCGCTTCTCTCGACTACCGTACTACAGCAGCTTCTTGCTTGAATCAAGCGGCTGGGTTGCCCTTTCCAAGATCTAGGATTCGACGGGCCCTAGACTCGTGGCCATAGCCTCCGATCAGGGGGATTTCCCACGAATTACACTCGCGGGCGCCCTCGTGAGGCCCGTTGCAGACCACACGCACGGCCCCTCATGCTCGAGGTCGCGATGGCTTCACGGCGAATAAGAATGCCGGGACGTGGGGGACTCGAGAATATCGGGCCGAGGCCGAGGATCAATTCGAGACCAGGTTTCTATAGGTAGGGTTTTTTTTTTACAAGTCTGGAAGGCCCAGAAACTCCTTCTTGGGCCCGATCCGGAGCACATCCGGGAGCGTGACAGTGGATACTCGCGGTGTAAAGTCGATTGCGGTGGAGCGGTCCCGAACCGGTGCAGTTGAAAATGAAAAGGAATTTATTGGAAACCGTCCTCTTTGCTTTGTTTTTTTTTTTTTTTCTATTCTGATATCAATCTCATCCCTCGGCCGGGTAGGTCTAGACATTCAGTTCCTCCCATGCAGTCAAAATGCGAGTGAGAAAATAGAGAAGGCGGGCCGGAGATAGCATCGTCAACGCCGATGGCGCCCGCCGAGATAAGAAGCAGCCCTCTTAACGGGTCCTGGCCATAGGACGAGCTTGGACGGGTTCGAGGATATAACTCCCCGGCCGCTCTGACTCCCATGAGGGAAGCAACACTCACCGAGGTAGCGTCCCTACATTACCCGAAGAGCGTATTGGCGCGGTAATGTGTACCGCACGGTATCAGCCTTTCACGACCTTTCAAACATGCGTGGGGTTTTTCCATCATTTCCCCGTCCAAAGTTCACCCAAATCCGGTTAATATCACCTCGGTCTGCCTACCGTCTTTGCCTTCCCTACGCATCTGGCCCCAGCCGGACGGTTGTCAACTCCGGTCCTCTCGCAGGCCTTCCGGTTTTGGCTTTTGACATCACGGCTCCTTGCCCCCGAGGGCATGTGGGGTGGGAAACAATACCTCCAGGTCCTGGGCCCAGAAGTCGAAAATGGAAACGGGCGCTGTCGCCGGCGCATCATCTCAAATCGGACATCTACTCGTGTGCCCCGTTCATTATTCTGGCCCCACGGATCCACAGAAAGTCGGGGCATCCAAGATATGGCAAGATAAGAGTGTTGATAAGGTGCCAAGCGTAGAGTAATTAGTGGTGTCATCCTGATAGGCGCGGCCGATCCCCTCGTTCGCAGAGGCCACGGCTGAGCTGGTGGAGTTGCTATGACGGCGGTGGTGGATGTCCGGTGGATAGACCTCTATCTTTTTGACTTTCCTTCAGTCTGAGCTGATCTGATGTCAATGCCACCACCCTCGTTTCCCCGGTTGAATGGAAGCTTTGTTCCTGTCGCGTGAAAGTGGCAAAAGGGAGCGTGGGTGGGAATGGGGGGATCGGCCTTCTAGCATACTGGGTCGGGATAATCCCACCGGAGGCAACCCGCGTCCCATCGTATGCAGCTGAGTAATAATTGCCCATCCTATGGTCTGTCATCATTGACCGGGATGTCCAAAAGGGGCCATGGCGCACTGCAGTAAGAGCGCCAATCTGACCGGGGTCACGGCTGGATGTGGCGGTACTTTTGACTGCGGTCTCGCCCCGGAGGACGGGGAGAGAACGACGACAGGGGAGTGAAGGGACAGGGTGATTCCTGCTCTCTTGTTTTTCTCCCGGCACCTGCGGTTATGATAAATCCGATGGACCTCGTTTCGAGGCAAGGGCAATATTTGGACCGCTCTCATATGAGCAAGCGAGTGGCCAGGTGGTTTGGAGGGAGCGTGGAGGAAAAGAACCCGATGCGCACATCACATAACATACCTCCCGTGCACCACCATTCCCCCCAAAAGGTAAAGCGACACTTTCTGTACTGAAGGTCTTGGATGTCCAGCTACCGAGGTACCTCATACCTCAGTAGGTAGGAAACCAGAGGGGAAAATGGAGGGGAACTCCCCAAGGGAACCCGGACGGAGACGCGAGAAACGAGCTCTATATATTCTCGAATGTCAGGCGCCGGAGCGTGCGTTTATCACTCGAAACTGTCTCGATAAGGCGTGACGCTACCGACCCCCCTGTGGCTGTCTGGCCGATACGAAGAGGGCCAACAGGGATAATTCTGTCTATCTCGGAGTTTCTAGGGGACGCTCGAACGAGATAAGAACCCCCTGAAAAGTGAGGCGCCAAAATTGAAGATCTTCCAGCGCATCCCCCGAGAACTCGTTATCAATGGCCTCAATTGGGTCGACTGGGTCCCAAAATGGGTCGGATGGAACGTATCTCCTGCATGCATTCTCTTGATAAACTACACCGCTACCTTTGTGGCTCTGCGATTAACTTGTGATTCGGCTCTGCTATCTCCAGATTTTCACCCCAGAGTCTCTCCGACGGGGTCTGCCGGCTGATCCCCAGCATGTGGCGTCAAATAGGAGGTTGCCAGCAGAGTGCAAAGGACTCATCAACAAAGAGTCGTCCTTTCTTAAACTGTGATATGGCTGATAACTCTGGTTTCGATGTGTCTACTTTCATTGTCAGATTCGGCTTGGTATCTCTCGAATGCTCACCGACCGTAAGAGATATTGTGGGATACACGGAACTGATTGGACTACCGACATCCAAGGCACCGACGCCCGTCAACGGGGCTTGAGCCTCGGCAAGGGCGAAGATAGGTCCATCTCCTCGGAGCTGCGTCGGGCATTGATCTGAACAATGAGTCCCGTCTGCTATCATGGTGTCACAATTGACACAGACCCCTTGGAGGATAAGCGTGGGTCGGTCCGCACTATAAAAGCAATGCACACCAGAGCCACGTTCATCTCAGCTACTGCCATTCAGCGTATACTCGGTGGAAGGGTCAGCAGAAATTGTCCATGAATCGGGCATTGGTAGAAACAATACATGCGGCTGCTTTGCCCCAAACGAACCCGAATAGATCCTGAACCGATTGTGTCGGGGACTGTGCTGTGGATATTGAGAAGGTTAATGGGGGCAACAGCGCGTCGTTCACGCCAATCCCTCCCAATTTGAGGCTTGACACCGATGCCGGAGCCCTGATGCATTAAAATGCCCTGGACGATGCTGCCGTGAACGAAAATCGGAGCCAATAATGGCCCCGGGACTGACATCTGAAATCTGCCTTATCTCGATGAACGTTCCTGGCATCTTTCATCTCTTGATTAACTTTATTAATGAAAACCAGAGAGATAAGTAGGTTTCCCATGCAAAGTCAAGAGACAAAAGTTCCTGATCGAATGGTTGGACAAGATAAATCGGTCCGAAATAAGACCATAACGACCAATAAAATTATGTTCAGAGTATTTAATCTCGTCTCCTTTAACTTTCAGGAGCATGATATCTCCCATTGTGCAGTTATCAAGCCCGAAGACGTCGTCACATCAACGGCGTTCTCACTCACACCTTCACAAGGTCACGCCCACGGCAAAGAATTGATATCAAAGTAGCGTGCAGATCCAGTTCCATGTGTAGAATGTAATATGTACAGGGTATGTAATCCTCACAAATTCGGGATGCACGATTTCAATAGAGCTCGCGTTTGCGGTATCGGGAGGTGTTTAGTGTCGGCGTCATCTCAACCTCGCCTTATCGAACGATCGGATAGTCGCACGTCACTTGGGATCCCACCCGCCGAGCTTCGCCTGATGCACCCGGGTCCAAAGGACTGAATGGACAGAAGCAATCAGACTTTGCGCCAGGTTAAGCAGGAATATGTTTATCCATCGTAGAAGAGAACAAAATTGTAAGCGGAAACGTAGAGAAGAAAACAAGGATAAGAAAAAATAGAAGTTGAATGAAAATGAACAAGGAAAAAAGGAAAGTCTATATGTGCAAAACAATGTTCTCCAAAGCTAAGCCAATGTCTGTCCATCTGATCCGAGGAAGCACCAAAGCAAATCTTCCGATCAGAAAAACGGGAGGGGGAATGGAAACGAATCAAAAGGCCCTCCGATGCAAAAAAAAAAAAGACGATGCCTCTGGAACACGAGTAAAAAGAAAGGTTGTGGGCCATGCCATGATAGAACGAAACAGAAATGCCACCCAAGAACCCTTGCGCCCGCTAATGACCAGCTGCGAAGCAGACCCGCCACGGTGTATGAGGATGAGGCGAAATAAACGAGGAAAAAAGCGCAGAAGGAAAAAAGAAAAGAAACCCAAAAAGTGTGTTTCCCACGGGGTATTAGAAATGAAACAAGCCGTCTAGGAACCTTGAAATGTGTGGTATAACGTGAGGCAACCGGGCCCGAAGAGAGATGAGATGTCGATAACATGCCCGGAGATGTAAGGGAATTGCTATGGACCCGATCGTCCAGGTCCGCCGGGATGCCCCATCGGAGGAGGGTTGGTGAAAGGTTGTTGCGGGACGTCCCCGTACATGGGGTACTGCATCACCCCCATACCAGACATGGCGTTCATGGCGGGCCACTGTGTGAATCCCATCCCGGCCTGTGCTGGATAAGAGCCTTGGGGTGCTTGCATTTCTGGGGTTGGTCCTGAAGGGCTTTGCGAGGCAACGGGTTGTGCGGGTGTGGTCATCCTCCGCTTGAGGTCGGGGGCCATCTGCGGTTGGAATTGGTTCGGAAAGGAAGAACCCATGTCTTGCCCGGGGTAACTCATGGCCCTTGACGGCGGCTGCGGGACTTGCCAGACGGTTCCATCGGGCTGCATGGCGTATGCTGCACCGGGATTCAAGGGCTGTGCCTGGCCTGCCATTGGTGATGTTGCAGACATGGGGGAGTTGGGCGGCAATCCAGACGGCCACACGTTGGGTGACAGGTTCATCATCTGGTGTTTGCTTGCGTTCATATTGGCCAGCATTTGAGGGTCTGATATCGTCGTAAAGTCATCCCAAACTCCTGATTCTATCGCGTGTCCAGAGAACTCTGCTGGTCCCATAGACCGGTCTATATGCAGTTTTCTTGTCAGTGATTGAACCCCAACATCAGCACACACACCTCTGATCCCTCGACCTACCTGGTACAAAGCCTGACATGGGGTTCCCGGCAAAGGCGTTGGGAGGGAAAGTCGACATGTCCTGTCCCGACGAGTTCAAGGAGACCTGCGGATATTGATAAAAGGCATCGACCGTCTCCGAGTTCAGGTTGGTCGGCGACGAGGAAATGGGAGTCGTAGCCGAGCCCCCCGCAGAAGCCGTTTCTAACCTCGAGCTGGGTCGCGACTTCTTCTCCACCGGTGGTTGTTGGTCGACTGGGAAAAATTGACAGTCTTTTCGTAATCGGATACAATTCTCACATCGCCCCTGCGGATCGTCCGCCGCTACCAAGCATCGAATCTTCCGTCGCCGACAGTGTACTAGAGGTTGTATCAGCAAAGGTGAAACTCACTATCATCACATGGGTGATTGAGCGCATAAGATCCAGCTTATGTCTCGTTTGTGCACACGACAATGCGCAAGAAAGCCCAAGAAGCGCAAATGGCAGAAAGCCGGTGGAAATGGGGTGACTGACCACACGCGACTGAGGTCCGATGATATCCCAACTTGTTGCGCTTCTTGTCGGCGTTTGCGCTGTCCATGGCGCTTTGTGAATTCGGTGTCGTTGCCATGGTCTCGACGGCCACGGGCATAGCTCCCCCCACGAAAGATCTTATCACCACTCCAACCGAATCGCATCAACGGCGCTACAGTGGCGCACGCTTCTAGACCTTCGGGCTCGAGATGAAACCGTCTCGAAACGTAGTCCGGGGCGAATGCGAAGTCAAAAGACACCAGGCCATGCAGCCACCGGGGAAAAAAAAGAGGAAATGCCGGAGGGGTCGCGATTTCGGGACAATGATGAACGCCGGTCCTTGTGTGAGGACTTCCGGTTCCACCCTGCGCCACACTGGGAACGGTAATGATATTGCGCGCGTCAGAGCACAGTCGCAAGTCGGGGAGGGGCCCGTAGTCGAGTATCAGCCAAGAGAGAACCAGATGCAAGGCGAGTGGGAGGCGGACGGTCGAGGATTGATTGGGGCTCAGCTTTGGGTCTCCACGAAACCCGAAACTGGATTCGATAATTGGTGAATTAATCAATAATAATTATAGAAAATTGAGAGCTTGATGAAAGGGGGGGGGGAAAGGGAGACGTGGTGTCGGAGAAACGATGGACGGTTTTAGGGTCTAGATTGGTATGGTTATCCAGTATGAGATCGGGAAAAGGGACCCGTCAAACGTCAACCGCCAGTAAAAAGATTAGTCAGGGCGAACGGAGAGAAACGAGGAACCAAAGGAGTGAATAGGGTGGATTGGGTGAAACTTGAGGGAGAAGAAAGATCGAGGATGTGCTATAGACACGAAGAGAGACTGGAAGCTAATCGCGGGGTGAAACGCCCTTGGGCTGGTTTTGTTTTTTGGGTTTTTTTTTTCACTTTATTTTATTTCGAATTTTTTAATTTAATTTTTATTTCAGAGTATATTCGGACGTGGAACAAGGTGGCTCTGCATCAGACCGACACTAGGACTAAGACGGATGTATCGACTTAGCCCAAATCAACTGCAGGTCATTGTCATGGACCACATCGATGATTTCAGACCCAGCTCAGGGGGCCGGGGCGAACTTGCTCGCAATTCTACATCTAGGCACATCTGCTAGAACTCGATTTTAGACGACTCGCGTCTGGAAAATTTTTATTTTATTTTATTTATTTTATTAAATTCTCTCTTCAGGTAGATTATGTTCACAATTTCCATTTTTAAACACTGGTACCAGCACTGCATTCTCTGGTCATCTCACCCGATTAGGTAAACACCATAGCCCCTGATTGCGTACGATAGACCCTCTAGGGCCGGTTCATGGCAAATGAGGTAGAGGAAGGAACCATGGTCTGGGAGCCCTGACACAGTGGGGTCTGTGTGGGTGTTGAGAGTTGGTCGCGCGTGTACGCTTCGGGCTTAGGGCCAGAAGGACTACCTGTCAATCCTTGATGAACTGGGGAATTCTTCCTTCAAGTCTCGGTCTAATGATTGGCGACGCCAGCTTGGGTCGGCAGCCGGAACCAATGAGCTTGTTGTTCCCTAGGGTCCATTGCCCCCAAAAGAACCTTCTCTCTGAGGTCATTCCAGAGGGTGATCCCTAGAACCTTGAGAACTTCTCGAAAGGGTGCACTGCATGGCAATTTTTTTTTGGAAGATTGACTCTGGGCACTCCATATAAGAAACACGGAGAACCCCGCGTAGTGAATTTTTCACGAACGTTACCATCGCGTTCAGGAACGAACCACAGATTGATTGGTACTAAAAACAGATTCAGGGTCCACGGCTGATGTGTACATATCAGGCTCAAACCGAGAAGACCACGCAATGGATCTTGCGGCCTTGTTTTCTTTTTTTTTTTTTTCTTTTTTCCTTTTCCCTTTTTGGCTTTTGGCTTTTGGTTTTTGGTTTTTGCCTTTTTTTTTAAAAAAAAAAAAAAAAAACCAACCCCCCCTTTTTTACTTCTTCCATGACTTTTCGGTCGGATCTTGGCCAATGTCCGGGGCGTAGCTTAATTTCCTTAGCGGGCTCCAATGTCATCGCCATACTCCATAACTCAACCTTGGGTTTCAAAGTTTTCCAGCAGGAAAAACCCAACGAGCTTCCACGATCCCAGCAATTGCCGAGTAGCCAATGAGGGTTGTCGGTAGCACTTAGTCACCGATTCCCAGTTTTACCCGCAATACAATCGTTGAGAACATGCGTACCTTGGGTGAGGGGGGGCCCGGCAACCCGGTCAATCATGACAATCTTAATCATATCGACTCCAGCCTGTGTTCAGGGTTGGATCTGATCCAGCCGAGGCTGAGCCAAGACCGATGGAGGTTACACCGTCGACCGCGGAGTATACCGAGACGCATCGACATAGTAGAGGAAGGCCACCTTGCCTTGGGTAGATAATTGTCATTCAACTACGCCCGACATGGACAACGGTCCGAAGGCTTAGACATTGGCCACCAACGGGCTCGTGGGATGATGTCGAGCGATCTTGCCGTTTCTGAGGGACTCGCACCATGTGGGTCTTCACCGTCAAGGTTTAATTAAGGATGATCGCAACGTGGTAGCGCGTTACAGCTGTGGCCTTGGCGCCCCTTGGAATGAGCGTACGATCTTCTTCGAAGTTCAAGCGAGCTTCCATCGGGGACCCATACGGAGCAGAATGGAAGGTTCTACGATAGCCCTCGTGTTTAAGAGGGTTGAGGATCGAGGCAAAACGGGCCTCGCGATCAGCGTCGGGGAAGCGAAGGGGATTCAAGCCTGGCGAGGCTCTCCTGCCATCGTTCCAAGGCAAAAAAAAAAAAAAAAGAAAAGGGGGGGGGGGACGTCCTGACCATCAATGACTATCAATTGCATCGGGCCACATCCGACATTCATAGCCCAAAGAGGTGAGAAACGTGACGGGGCGTAGCTTCGAGAGGGCACTTCCGGTGGACGCGATCGTGCAAGGTTAGACCACGCCCAATCACCGTGACATCTCGTATATCGCCGGGGGTGGGGGGGTACTGTACTGTACACCTCCATTTCCCATTTCCCATTCCCTCTTTGCCAAATCCTCGGGACCTTTTCTCGCTCGACCGCCGTTTGGGCAATGACAGACTCAGCCCTGGCCCCGCATCGCACGCTCTGAGGGAAGATCGACGAGGGCTTTGGGAAAGACCAGGAGGCCGTGATTGGGCGTGGGATGACCGAAGAAGACGGGGTGCATTTGCAGGACACAGGTGTTGACGCGGCGACTTGTCAAACACGCGATAGATCTGGCAGCATCCATGCCCGTCCCAGTCCCTCACCAACCACGGCCAAAGTACAAAGTACAAGGCTTCTCCAAACACATGTCCCTCAAAGGAGGTCACCTCGGCCTCGGTTGGCCAATTGGCTCAGGTCCGGCCCCTCCCAACGTCGCGTCGATCTGAAACGAAGACTTGCGAAACAAGGGTCTAAGGGCTAGGGGCTGACTCAGATCTCTGATACCCCCAAACGTGCAATTGTGAGACATTCGAGAAACGTTCTTCCAGCTTCCAGTGTAGGGCAGCCGGAACTCCGACAGCCCCCTAGTACCTCGTATCTCTCTCCATACGGTTTCTACATGCCATGCACTACTCCGTACAACTCTGCTGCTGCCCTTTTGCCTTTCTCTTCAACGCCCTGCTCTTCGGGCTCCTTGCTAGACCACTCCGGGCTTAGTAGGCAGCCGTGTTTTACACTGCTAACATCAACTGCCGGGCTGTGGGACTGCAGGTGTACAGTACATACTCCCAATGTCGAGTCTGATCTCACCATCCTTTCGGGGCTCGAGCTGTTTCGGTAATGTCGCTTGTACATCATGCGATTCGCGTGTACAGTAGCTGCGTGGTTTTATTTCACCGTCGTGCTCAGCGCGCCCGGTGTCCACGGAAGCAATCTCCCAGGAGCTGAGCCCCAATTGTTCTGGGCTCTCATTCGGGAGGTGGAGCGCGGGAAAACTATGTATGTCCTCGTGTCTGAGATCTGAGCGTCCTCATATCGTGGGACGCCCGATCGTTCGCCGTGGGTCCCTTTTTTCCGGCCTTTTCTTCTCTTTTCCTCTCGTTTTATCCTTTTTTCCCTGGGTGGAGAAGGCATACACGGACGTCACTGGTCGTAACCGGGCTTCTGGAGGGTGACCCCGTTGTTTCACCATCCTCGGGCCCTTGACCCCATCCGGTCATGCTCGGCTGTTCATCATGGGTCTCCCTCTTTAACTTGCTACCTGCACTTACGCGTCCTCCCAAGACCCAAAATTTCCCCTCTGGGACTTGCCCCCTGGAAAACAGGAAGGTGGTATTTTCTGGAATTTTCCAGCTCGCTAATTATCCTCGACTCAAATTTCCCAGGCCACAAGAGACGTCTTGCCTGAAAAGGGGACTCGGCCCCGTGGGATGTCACGATTGCCGGCGAATCTCCGAACGTTTTCCTTGGGCAACCTTGCGCGATAAACACCATGTGGCAAATTGGAGATGCGTCGCTATATGCTATGGAGATCGACTACTCTCCCCCATTGGCCTGCGCATCCAGCTACCGCTCCAGACTACTGTTTTGCCACCGAGCAGTACTGTGTACATCAAGCGGGGGAGTTTGACGATCACCTATCCAAGGCATCGACTGCGCTGTCGCCCACTCTCACCACCACCTGAACCTCCAAGGCCCTCGCCTCCCTAACACAGCACGCGACGCACGTTCTCCCCACTCGGCCGATCACCGCATGGCAGCCAATGGATGCACACCATGCCCGGACAAAGGTCTCTTTGCTTCGATTGCCGCGAGCATCAACCACCAGAACTTCGGGGCTCTTTTCAGAAGGCGATTCAGCATGCGGAGCTGATTGGTGGGCGAGGGAATCCAACGAGATATGCCTATACGGGAAAGATCGGTGCAGCGGATGCCCTGGTAGACGCTTGTGTTTGCCCCATTCCCTTGCTTTCCCCGGCTCCTCCGACGAACCGTCCTGGTGATGGGCTGTAAACCCTAACGGTGGGCGACATTCATGAGCCGAGATGAACCGCGCGTGATATGAGAGAGGGAAGGTAACCGTAGTCTGCACTTGTACAGATTCGTGAAGGAGAAACGAGACTTTGGCCCGGTCACTGACCGTGACGTTTCGCTTCCCGGGAGAGGTTATCGACAGTATCAGAGCATCGAGCTGTACATCGATTGCTGGCCGGACTGGTTGATCGGTAGGCAATGTAAAGGCCTCGGCAGTGATGTCGCCCATGCCCAACGGTGATGACTCCAGCACAAGCTTCCCTGCTTGCTTGATACGAGGTCGTCCGGACGTGCACTGAATGTCACTGGCCCGGACCTCAAACCACCCGGACTCCAAGGTCTCATCCGTAGTCACATCGCGCGGAAGCACGTCGATGCCCAACCAGCCCATGCAGGTCTTGGCTCCCTCGAGACTGGACAGTACACGCCCAATGATCGAAGCTTTACTCCAGTAGCTGCGTCCTTTGTATACAAAGCCACCGTACAGGTTGGCCTTTGGCCCCAGTTGCTCAATTGCATCTGCATCATTTTCTAGAAGGGTTCCGATGAGCAGATGGCATATTGGCCCGCCGGGAACAACCAGTCCGGAGAGCAAGCTTCGAGAAATCCAGCCCAGAGGCTCGCTCGCATGAGGATCATCGTCTTCACGACATGAACTGCGTAGCTGAACACATCGACGTGACTGGCTGCATGTATACATATCCTCCTCGTCCAGCGGTTTCGCGATTGGCCTCTCTGAGTTATTCTCCAATCTGCGCAACCCTTCATGCGGAAAGAACAGATCCTTTCCATTCTTCAGTTTCTGTTCGAAAGCAGATCGGACGGTGTCAACCCTTGGCCATCCGATGTTCTCGGCAAAGACGTATAGTCCTTCCAGTTGCTGTCGAACGTGCGGGGAGCTGACTCGACACTGCCAGACGGAGCGCAAGTCAGGTTCAGTATTGGATGAGATACGACGGCTGATGGAGTCGAACAGGGCAAAATGGCGGGATTTTGTAGGCGCCTTGTCGGTCGACGTTAGAGGCTGACTATCAGCGGCAGGTGGTGCGTCGGATTGAGAGCCACAGGTGATCTCGAGATTGTCGAGGAAACGACGCACGACGATCAGATCCCAGTTGACTTTGCCCTCCCGCAATTTATCGAAGTGATGGAGTTCCGGGGCCGTGATCTCGCCACCGTGAGGATCATCCAGCATACCAATGCGGACGAAGGCATCAAGACGGAGTAGCAGTTCTGCAGCCAGGAGCAGTTGAACCAGCAACCATTTGCGCTCCATGCCAGAGTTAATCCACGGCTCCCGAGATGTCCCTTCACCAGGCTCGACACAGTCCCCGTCTCCATGCGGCGGTGCCTCATACAGAATTTGACCGATTCGCATACGCCACACGGGCATGCTGAAATCGATCCAGGCCCCAGGTGTAGCTAATACGGAGGCCAGGGTCTTGATTTGGGACTTGATGCTCTGGGGATGACTCGGCAGGAGATCGGCTGGGGGCGGGCGAGGATAGAGGAAGCACGTGTGGAGAATGTTATGCATTTCACGGGGGGTTTCCATGTCCAGAATCGTGGCCATCGATCCATCTTGCAGTATATCCAAACGTAGCCGTCGCAAGTTATCCAGTCGCTTGGCCAGAATCCGAAGATTGATATCTCGGACCCCGATGCGTTTCCAGGCCGAAGGTCCATCCCGAATGAGTTGACGTCGATCAAAGACGGCGCCGCTTTGACACTGTGAATACGGCTTGTTGTAAGAGTCCATCAGTTCGAACGCTTCCGTGGCCGGGAGTGTCGACACTCGCTGCACATTCGGCGCCTGTCTAGGTTTCTCGGGAGGCCGGGTATATCGAACTGCATCGGCCAATGGAAACTCCAGGAAATGTCGGAATCCAACGGTTCCCGGCTCTCGCCCATTGTTGGCCAGCATGTTTGGCACCTCGAACACGCCAACATCGAAGGTAGCTCGTTTGGAAGCGCCGGATCGGCGCCAATCTTGTACTTGGATTGGTACTCCTCCTTTCACTGCCCAGTCATCCGGGACTGGCAGATGGGCATGAAGAGTACAGAGCGTGAATGATGCATGCGAAAGGGGCTTGCGATCCAACATGCGCTGGATGGATGGGCTATGTTCGTCCCAAGGAAATATCACTTGCGGATACCAACGACCGTGTTTGCCTCTTTCCAGAAGAAAATGAGGTGCTCCAGATAAAAGAGCCTTGACGTCTTTCTTGGCAAAGCAGTATTCGTCTTTTTGGGGGGCGTTAGAATCAGTGGTGCCATCCTGAGAGCCACACGCCGTGTCCAGTCGATAGTCCAGGGCGTCCTGGATATTGGTCGGCTGCTTCGGCTCCCCGTGGGCGATCGCAGCGGGCGGTTCGGGGCTCCCTGGATTACTGCACGGGAGATCTATTCGGAAAGAACGAGGTTCATCGCGGCCTTTTTTGGATCGAACGGCGCCATCCGTGTCGATTTTTGGGACAACCCTCTGACTCTAAACATTCTATTAGATATAGTTCCAAATGACGCAGCCGCAGCCTTACCGAGCTCCCAGCGAGCTTAGGAGGACTTGGAGATGCGCTCTCGCTCCTTTTTCGAAACAGGCCATGGAAACGGCCTGAGTCTTCATCTTGGTAAGCACCTAAGGAAGGGTGGCGTGCGACTGTCGGTCTGACTCCCGTATCGTGGTCACCCACGTCAGATTGGGAGCGCCGACGCCCAAAGATAAAGGACATTTTGGCACAAATGGACTATGCCCAGCGCCGATGAGCGAGTAAACGTAGGTCTAGAGGAGCTAGTACGAGACAAAAGAATAGTTGGAACATTTGAAGTAGATGCAGTTCTTGAAATAAGGTCGACCCAGACGTGCTGATCTCGGGTCGCGGCGGAAACCCGTGCAAACCGGCAACGCGGAAGGCGGAGACGGAGACGCCAAGAGCCACCCGATTTGGCAATGCGAACGGGTCAAACGGCTTACTTCAGTCGGTACATTTGACATCCTAGTATCTATCAGGATATATCCGGGGGTAGGGGTGGGGTTATCCATGCCCCTGCTCGTCCCGGTCAGACATCCCTACCTTTGATTACCAGAAACTTTAATTCTGCCCGGCACTTGGTCAAGTCTACGATCACGAGTAGTGGCTAAAACGATCCCATGGGAATATAGTTCATTATTCGTGTTCGATATCTTAAGAGGTCGGTCTCAAATAACCAGCGCCTTACGCGTGCTGGTGGAAGAAGTCGAGCACGGCCTTGTATCCACGCTCGTACTCCTTCTTGACCTCGGCATCCTCCAGGTTCGACCGAGCCGCCATCCAACCGTGGATCTGAGTCGGGAAGGTCTCGACGTGGTTCGGCACCTGCAGGTTGGCCTTGAAAGCCTCCACGTCCTTGGGCGGCTCGTCCCCGGAGGCGAGCATGATGAAAGGCACGTTGATGCTCTTGGCGTCGTTGGGGTCAACCATGGCCGGGTGGGCTTGAGCAGCAGCTTTGAAGAGCTTGTTGTCGGCGCCGGCGGACAGAGCAGCGATTTTGCCGCCCCAGCAGAAGCCCAGGATGGACCACTGGAAGCTGCCGCCGGGGGCCTGCTTGTTGGCCTCGGCCACGATGTTGGGGATCTTGGAGAGGGTCTTGGGCGGAGCGGCCTGAGTCGAGAAGAAGTTGCCCAACTTCTCCTTGTGCTCGTCGGTGGTAGGCGGGTACCAGGAAATATCGGCAGGGCTACCCTCGAAGAAGTCAGGCATGAAAACCCGGTACTTCTGCTCGTTCGAGGTGGCTAGGATGTCGGCACCCTGAATGGTCTGGTCGAAGAAGCCGAAGATATCTAGCGGAAACGAGAATGGGTCAGCATGGCAGTACCTTCACGAAAGCCTTCATGGGGACACAACTCACCGTACACCACCAAAATGGCCTTGGTGGCCGACTCGGGGCCGGTGACGTCTGTGGGAGGGGTCAGCTATTTCATCCCACCCATTCTTATACAACCGGGGAACCCCGATTCAATCTGCACACATACAGGTCTTCAGGCCATTGATGGTCTGGTAGGCTCCCTTGGGCTTGTATCCCTTGGCCACGACGGGTGGGATTCTTTCGACGAGTTAGCAATCGTTCGCGATCGAGTGAGGCCAGGGGAACGAACGAGCAGCACGCCTTGCTGATTCCAGACATGGTTGAGGGTCAATTGAGTCCAAAGGTGGCTGAGCGGGTTTATTTAAAGAGGCAAAGAGGTAACTTGACAGTGATTGAAAGAAAGTGAAGTTGAAGCAACGAAGAAGTTTCGAGGAAACCAAGTTGAACCCCCGCTTGACGTCATCGGCAAATCGGCAACAGGACGGGGCTGCGATCCGGTGCGACTCGGTTATATGCTGCGATCCGGGCTTTTGGGGTTCATCTATCCAACCTTGGAGTATAGCTGTCTAGCTAGAAGGTCTTCAGGTAGAAGTTGGATATATAAAATTGAAGTACGGGGTACTAGTGCAAGTGATGCGCCAAGCCCCCCCCCCGATCCCGGAATATATCGCTACACGATCGACTTCAGAATCCCAGAAACCACCTGGAACCTCAGTGCCGCCACACAAGTGCCGCCCGAGAAATGCAGAGAAGCCATCGGTGTCACGTTGCACAGTGCGCCGCACCCCGCATTGATCTCTGGTGAGCTATGCGGATAGAGTCAACGTTCCACAAGGTCGTACTACGTGTGTTACGGCCGTGGACTGGGCTTCGAGATGTCTTTCTCCCAAATCACGCGTCGCCACTTGCCGGGCAATTCTATGCGTGGATAGATCGTTTCCGCTCCACCGGTCTCTGCAAGCCGCTGCGCTGCGAGATTCGGCTACTTTGTCCTGAACGAACAGGCTGGAGCCCCAGCAGCGAAAAAAAGGCGCAGTATGCACACATCTCCCACTTTCCAAAGCCAAGAGACAATTGGGCCCAAGTTCAAGAAGGTCGATCTCCCGCACCCCTTTGGAGTCGATCAACTACTGTTCACGGTGAACGGTCCAACGCCAAACCGCCTCGCCCGAAGCCACCGGCAGCAACCGAAGCGACGATCGCATGGCTCGAGCCTGACTGGTGGATCCACCCGCGCTGTCATACCTGTAAAGTAGGAGCCGCCTTGCATGAGCACTGGAGGATTTCCAGCAAATCGGCAGTGAACCACCAAGGGACGATCGGGCTGCGATCGGGGCATCGGTCTACGCGGCTCGGTCAATATGGTTCACATTTCGGATCCGTAGTGGGCCTGCGTGGAATTCGAGAGACTATCCATCGTCGCATCAAGACTTTGGTACCGGATGGGAGAAATCAAAAGAAAAACAAACCCCTAAAAAAAACCCAAAGAAACAGCAAAAGAAGAAAAGACCAAGGGGCCAGAGGCAGGGATTCAGGGAGTCTTAGGAATGCGACTAAGGGGGAACAACAATCCGAGAGCTACGGCAGATTGTCTCGCATGCAGCTCCCCCCTCTCCCCCCTTGTCGGTCGAGATTACTCCGTACAGATGCTAAAATTGCAAGCGAGACGGAACTAGGGAATATACAGTCCCCTTAGCGTCGAACGGGTGCACATCAAGAAAAAGGAAACGACAGATCAACTCGTCCGTACGGACCGTACGGAGGATTGATTTGACACTTGACACTCGACGGGCCGCGCCAAACCCTTTCTTCCTTGCAAAGCCCGTGCAGACTCCGGACCCAAAGAAAGCGAGACCGACCATGATTGGCAGGATAAGGGGAAGATAATCCCCGGTGGTCCGAAGCGAAGTCACCGCGCCAATGAGTGACTTCGCCCGTGAGATCAAGGGGAAGCCATGAGAGCCAACTTTGAGCCCTTTCCGTACGCCACCCCGATCGCACGCGCGCCGGTGGATTCAAAGAGGGGACCCGACAGTTCGGTGCACGGCGACGATTGGCCGTCAGGAGATGGTGCCACGGTCCCGCGAGCAAAAAGGAACGAAAAGAAAGGCATGGCCGGCGAGCCCGACGACCAATCCTCTTGGGGGACGGAGAAGGGTGCAGATGACCCGCGACAAGGTGAAGGTGAACATGCCAGCACGGGCTAAAAAGACCCAAATCGCGACCGCGAGCGAGCCGGACCCGACTTCACGACTCGATCTAACGGGATCCGCTCTCGCGCGCCGGGAACCGGCGAATGATCTTGCACCTGGCTCGCTTGTCTCTGCCCATCAGAGGCGACTGCTCCAGACTTCCATGGCTCGTATTCTGGCCATTCCGGCCCAGTCCGTGCGTCGCTACGCGCATTGGGCAGGAATCTGAGCATATTCCTATAGATGGGCACAAAATAATATAGCTGATGGCCGGAGTATGGTCAGGAATAGATTTTCTCTCCGGGTGATACCTCGAGAGACCCCCCTAACTCTGGTCCTAGCGTTGTCGCTAGCGCGCATTCTACGCCGTAGTTAGCCTCTTTTTTTTTCTTTTCTTTTTCCTCTCGGTTTTTATGTTTTTCCCAATTTGCTTTTTCACGCGAATCGGGACGCAAGGAGAGCCTCCGCTTCCTGTGTCTTGTCATTCGGACTCGTGTCTGTCGTCCCCCTCCCCTTTTCCCCGTCCCGGCCCCCCAAATAGAAACAGATATCAGAATCCAAAGGCAGCGGCGAGCATGAAAAAAAAAACAAAGAAAGCCAAAACGAATGACTAGCACCATGTAGCAACGCAAATAGTCGATCGCGACCCCGAATTCGGAACGGTCAACCGGGGCCTGTCAACCACGTTGCCCCCCCCTCTTTGGGAGGATCGTAATATGGGAAATTCGCTTTTCTAGAGTCTTCGCATCGTCCATTCGGTCCAACCGTTCCATTCGTTCCCCACGCTGGCCAGACCCGCGTCGACCACGGTCCCACCATTCTTCGCGTCCCTATACACTTACTACTCGATCCAGTATTACCTCTCTTATAATTACCCTCTGTTATCCCCGCGCTCCTGCGCCTCCCCCGACGCCACGGCTTGTGCTTCTTGTCCTTCTCCCCACCGTCTTCCTTTTCTCTCCTCCCTTTCATACCGTCTCCTATACACGAACTGTGTTTTCCGGGAAGTCGCCAAGGAAATCATTTTCGAGACCATGCACTTCTCGCGCTTTCGTCGACCGTGACTTTCTTTCCCCAGTCGCGCGGACCTCCGTTACTCTTCTTCAACCTTCACCTTTAGGGCTGACACCTTCCACCCCTCTTCGGAGCGTTAACTGTCCCCCCCCCCCAAAATCTGCCTCTCCCATCCACGCCATCCCCTGGGGGAAAAAAAAAATAAATAAAATAAAAGTTCTCCCGACTTGAGCCTCATCGATCAAGTCAGTCGACTCTTCTCGATCGCGAGCACCAGCGATCACCGCTCGCCCCTCCTGGATCCTTCGAGCCCTTCCGGGGGCTTTACTGGTGGTCGAGACTGGTTGAATACGGGACACGCCTTCGTTCCCTCCAACCTCGCTCCATCTATTTCCGAAAGCGATCTGTTTGGTGGAGCCTCTCGAGATCCATCCGTTAACATGGCTGCCCTCGCGGTGCCGCCTCCCGGGATGGGGAGCGCGCTGGATGCGATGTCCTCGCAGCCGTTGAATAGCCGTCGTCCACAGGCGCCGGCCCTGCCCAGCTTCGAGCTGCCGCCGCCGCCGTTTGGATCCAAGTTTTCATCGCATCCCGGCCATCCACCGGTGTCCCATCCGCTTCCCAATGTGAGCGTGGGGAATCTGCTGACCCCCCGGCTACGAATCAGTCCGGAGACTCCGCCACGGTGTCACAGACCTTGGCACCGTCGACGGGGGTCTCGTCCGATCTACCGCCGGCGTACTGGCCCCAGGCGTCGCCGTACGGCGCGGGAGCCGCCCCATCACAGTGGGCGCCGGGGGTCAATCCATACTCCGCGCGCAATTCCTTCTCTCCATCCGGGGTGGTTGGCCGTCCCGGGCAAGCGACATCCCCGCCGACCACGGACGGACTGTCGCAGTCATTCGAGGCTCCTCCGTTGGCCTCGTTCCACCACTCTCTCCCCGCGCCACCTTCCAGTCTCCCTCCTAACGCGCAGCCGGTTTCCATGTCCCTCTATGCATCGGGCCACGCTTCAACGCCTGCTCCTCTTCCCTCGAACGACCCTTACACCCCCAAAGGCCACGCCATGTACGGCGCGAGTCCTCATCAGGCCGGCTACTCTCATATGTATGGCGGCCCGTCCCCCATCGGACATGCCGGGCTGGGCATTCATCCCGGACGCATGCCCGTACAGAGCCCCGGTGCACAGCATCACTTGGCATACCCCCGCCAGCCATGGCCCTCCTACTCTCTTCCTGCGATGAACGGCCCGGTCATGACGAACGTGCACAGCCCGAATAGCCCCATGTCGGTCATGGGTGGCATGCAGCCCGGACTGCTGCCGGGTTTCAACAGTGGGCATATGGCCAGCACCCAGCATCTCTACGGTGCCCATCCGCCGCCCCACGGTCTTCCTGCCCCGGCCGCGGACCGTCCATTCAAGTGCGACCAGTGTCCCCAGAGCTTCAACCGCAACCATGATCTCAAGCGTCACAAGCGAATTCACCTGGCCGTGAAGCCATTCCCTTGTGCTCACTGCGACAAGAGCTTCTCGCGTAAGGATGCATTGAAGGTGTGTATCTCCTATCTCCTATCTGACATTGGAAAGTGACATATCAGACTAACTCTGATTTTTAGCGGCATATTCTGGTCAAGGGCTGCGGCAAAGATGGTGATTTAGACAGCAACCAGATGGGAGCTGATGGATCCATCAAGCACGAAGGACGCAGCGAAGACGGCAGTCCCGTCATTAACGGGCGCGCCTAGGCGCACTTCCGTGCGTTTCTGCATCCCTGTGGATCTTGCATCCGTCCCAGCTCCTCAACTACGTTGAGCCCCCGTCGTGTGTGTATGACGGGGAGGGCGAGGACGACGGATCGACCACAGTGGCCTTGGGAGTCAGGGTTCTTTATAATATTTCTTCAATTTTCTTTTGTTACTGGCGAAGGGTGCGTTGACTGGGCATAACTGGGATGGTCTGTTCTATCTTGATCGTGTTTGATTACTGTGTTTTTAGCCTGATGTGTGACGTGTGTACTGATCCTACTGATCCTTATCCTTCTCTGTGACTTGAACCCGAGCGAGCACCTGGATTTGACTGTTTATTTTACGGGGGACCTCGCGAGTCCGGTGTTCGATGGTATATAGCATGAATCTATTGCATTACACTTCAATCTGTTCCCGCGTGCTCGTATCCTACCAAGGTATTTTGGAATACTATTAGTACCTTTGAATGGAGTCTTAACGAACCTTGGCCATTGGATTTGACCAGGATGGCCTTGTTCTCTCTCTCAGCCTCTCGACCTCTCGGGATCCGGCCAGTGATCCACCGTAAGATCTCTCCGATTGTTCTGAAAAAGCATATTTGCCGCCAAATCCGGTCTATTGAGGTCTCAATGAAGGAATGGCCCCGGCTCAAAATGCGCTCCCACCCGCCACAGGAGTGTTTCGATTTGAATCACCCAACGGTATCCGCGACCTCTGATGGCAGATTCGGACTGAGTGACGCTCTCTGGAATCCCAGCAACGAGTGGTGTCTGACTTGTGTAGCATACGATCTGTCTGATCCAAGACCATTCATTTATAGGGGACTGGAGCCCGGGCGAATCTCTTGCAGGCTCGCCGCTCTTCTCTCACACGGTTTTTCTGCATCTATGTATATGATATAGTACTTTCTCTCTCCTTCGTATTCACAGACCATGCAACGGCGGGTGTCTAGTTTCATTTTCCCCTTTGGGCTCATCTTCACCAACATTCTCACGGGGGCGTCTCCATCTCCTCGGAGATATGACCCCTTGACGACTGTCCGCTTACGAGCTGAATCTGAACCTCGTATCTGGAAGGATCTAATCTCCAGCCGGGTCCAGAATGGAACCAGTCAGGTTCGATTCGACATCTCGACCCCCTGGGCAACCTTAACCACGGATGCTTTGCTCAAACTCGACAGCCCACAAGTGACCTTGATTAACGCATCCGTGTTTGACTGGTGGTACTTCGATGCCGTCTCAGATACGAACCCCGGTGACTCTTTCGTAGTCACCTTTTTCACATCCTCTGCGACGGCGTTCCCATTCTTGGATTCGGGCGAGTCGTCTATTCTCATCGCTTATATGTGGGCTTCCTTTGCCAATGGAACCGTCTTTTCGGAGTTCCTGCCCGCGACTTTCGCTATCGTTGCCGGTGGAGATGGTGCGGCGGCTCCGAGTTTGGGGAACTGGTCCTCCGCAGGGTTTAGCTGGACGGCTCAAAAGGAGGACTTGTCCCATTATGAGATCAACATTGCCTCGGAGAAGATACAGGTGGAGGGTCGATTTACTTTGTCCTCGGTGGGTGCAGGATGATCGCGCTCAAAGTGATTCGCTGACACCGCTTCTTGATACTAGGGCCTCACACCGCATCTGCCTTGCGGAATACAATCTGAAACAACGGACCTTGAGATTGCACCCCATATTGGATGGGCAAGTCTGACGCCGGATGCCGTTGGAACAGTGGACATGAACATTCAGGGATCAAAGCTGTGGTTTCAGGGCCCGGCATATCACGACAAGGCGAGTGATGGATCCAAATCGAAGGCGACAAGACTGACGTGTAGCAGAACTGGTCTGATAGACCCTTCATAGAGTCAGTTCAGAGTTGGTACTGGGGCCATGGCCGTCTTGGCCCTTACTCGATCGTGTGGTTCAGCTACCTCGCACTCAATGACCCCACCAATACCACCTACGTGAGCAGCTATGTTGCCAAGGATGGACATGTTCTCATCTCATCCTGTAATTCCTCGATTCTCACCGTGCGTCCGTTTGTGACCTCGGAAACTACGAGTGACCGCTACCCTCCCCGCGCGGGCGACATTCCGGGTGGATTCAAACTGGAATTTGACTTGGGAGGCTCGAACAGCTGGTTGATAGTCAATGTCTTGGTTGACACTCTTGTGGCTGGGGACCGTGAATACTACATGCGATGGACGGGCAAGATGACGGGGGAGATTTTGCAGGTGCAGAGCGAAAAGCGTCAGGATGCTTGCCCGGCAACACCGTCCGAGACACGAAGCGTGACCGGCCAGTCTGAGCTTACTGGTGTCGCAGTCTTTGAACAGTTCGCTCTCCTGGAATAGATACTGTTTGGTTTCGCTTGCATACCTAACTGAAGGACGCCTATTGCATGCTGTACCATTGAATCGTGCACATACACATTACGGGAAAAGATGTAATCGTGCTATTGAAGTAAACTCTAGAAGCAAAGAAACGACGAAACTCAAACGGGGTATCTCGCGGGATGCGCGAAAGTAAATTCGGACACAAAAAGCGTAAATAAAAATGTCCATCACTCAAGTGTCGCCTGTTTCGCTTTCCACTCTTCCACCAACCCCTGGTAATCCTCGGTGCCATAGGGGTGGAAGCACTGCGCAAGGAGACCTTGTTTACGCTCCGTGGTCAGACCCAGGTCACGCAACATCAGATCGACGTACGGAATGGCGTCAAAGACGAAGTCGGGATTGCGGTGGCCGAAGCCTCCCGGGTAGCGATACCGGCCAAACTCCGAGTGCAGGGTCGTTTCCCACGTCAGGTCGAGCTCGGCACCATCTTCACTCTTGGAGTCAAAAGCGGCGCGCACGGCCGGTGGGCAGCGCTCAACTGCCGTAGGGGTGAGTTGATTCCCGAAGTAGGCGGAAATCCACAGCGCTTGCGTTTGAGCGATCAAGGTCGTGTTGATGGTCATGGTGATTCCCATGAAGGCCAGGGATCGTTCTCTGACGAATGAAAGTGGTACCATGAACCGTGCCATTCGGAATGGATGTGGCGCGGCCGCTTCCGACTCTTGACTGAGCGGTTTGTACTTGGGATTGTGAGGAGGGCCATCGCGCAGACGAGGGAATCGGCGAAGGATCTCCTCATCTGCGGCCTTGACCATGCGCTCATCTAGAGGGTCTGAGCTCCAGGGAAGCCCGAGCTCGCGATCAATGCCTTCAGGCAGGAACTTCACATTGGGAGTGCAACGCCAGCCCGTCGAACAGATCAGAGCGCTTGTCGGAAGCATCTCACCGCTGGACAGGTGTACGGTGTGGTCAGAGAGGTGGTCGAGATCGGCGATGTGTACCTTGATGGTGCCATCCTTGATAAGATCGAAGAAATCGGTGGGATAGTTGAGGATGCTGAGTGACGAGGCGATCCAGAAGGGACTCACCCACGGCTTCAGCTTCTTCATCTCCGGGTGCTTGTCAAAGCCGTTGAGTTGCACGACGTCGTCGGCTAGAACGGCCCAAAAAGCATCGACAATCTTGCGTCCCAACCAAGTTCCGTGCAGGAAGCTGCGCACACGCGTGAAGCCATCGGCGTCACCCCAGATGCAGGGACTGAACCAGGTCAAGAAGCGCGTGGTCACCAGCTTCTCCAGCCACTTCTTCAGCGGCGTCACATACGGGGGTGCCATCCAATTTGGACCGTGGCCGGACTCGCGGATAATCCAGTCCACTTTCATTCCGGACGTTGCACAGGCATAGGCCGCATCCCACGCGGACTTGGTTCCACCAAAGACACTCACTCGTTCTCCAGGTTTGAAGACTTCGGCCTCGTGCTGCAGCATGTCGCGACAGTGAAAGAGAGGTGCGCCAAAAGTCTCCTGGCCCGCAAAGGTAGGCAGATAGGCCTGCGAGGTGATGCCCGTGGCTACGATCAACTTCCGAGTGTCGATGGTCATCACCTTATCCTCGTGTGACACTCTCAGCTGCCATGTTCCATCCAGATTATGGTGGGCGCTCTCCACGCTGTGACGGAGTCGAATGCGATCGGTGAAGCCGAACCTGTCGGCATATGCCTCCATGTATCCCTGGATGACATCGCAGGGAATGTGTTCACCGGGCTTCACGCCAAAGGCGGCCTCGTCCATGGGAAAGTCACTGAATTCGTATGTGCCCAACAAGTTGTTCGATTTGAGGCCCTTGTAGTGACGATGTTTAGCCCACACTCCGCCAATGGAGGTGGCCGCATCAAGGAGAAGAACACTGCTGTCCGGGTTGAGGTCGCGGTAGGTCTTGACGGCGGCAAGTCCACTCCAGCCTGGTGAATCGATATCGAGTCAGACGGTATGGGCCCTCCACGTTCCAGCGCAAAACTCACCTGCGCCAACCACCACCAAATCCTCGTTTCCCATTTCGCGAGAGAATGAGAGGGTATAACTCGGTATCGAGGAATTCGAAGAGTTCGCGCCAGTCCCGTCAACCCGGGATTACTGCACAAGGCTATTTACAGACGCGCAAAATCAGATGACCACCGAAGGGAACAAAGAAACGAGCGCCACGAGAGGAAAGGAGCCGGAGCTGGAGACGGCGTCTTTTAGCTCCTCCACGCGTGGAGAAGTGGGACACACGATCAGGGCCGGAGGAAATGAACTCCGAATTAGGGCTCTCTCTAGTGGCACAGCCAAAGAGAAATAGCTAGTACAGCGCATCCACGAACGGACTAGTCCTGCTTCCTTTGGCTCACGATGGTCCTTGGCGTGCAGCTGGCCAAATCGGTCGCATTCCCGGTTCCCCCCATGGTGCGGACTCTTCCCCTAGCGTAGTTTTCTCGTTTGGTTTCGAGCGCAAGGCGGAACGCCCAAAGTTAGTATTTGGCTCCTTCGTTTGTGATCTCGGCATCGTGCACCCGCTGGCCGATCATTAACCGTTCTGATATAGAAGATGGGAAGCTGAAGGCGAGAAAGAACCGGAGCGTTGAACTAGCGGCTCCACCTGGGACTTGGCACTCAGAGAGCTGGGACCTGAATCACTGGATATTTTTTACGAGCACCAACCTGTTCGAGTAGTCTTGCTTTTACACGGAAAAGCAATCGACGACCTAAGGTATGCAGCCCCCCGGCCCCTCCAGCCCCCCGGCACTAGGGTATGCAATAGGCTCGCTCACTGGTGGCCATCGATTGCAAGTCCATCGGACAATCGGAGATGACACGATCCCTAATGACTCGATCATTCAATGGTTCAACGGCGCGGGGAATGTGCGCGGCCCGTTCGTCCCGATCGACCCGCCGTGCCCCACTGCCGGCGGGCGTTGACAGAAGTTGACAAGATCGAGATCCAAAATCTACGCCGTCAATATGGACGCCCGCCCGAAACGCGGAGCTTAGCAGGTTCCAGACAAAAGAAAGCCGTTGAGGTTGGTCGTTACCTGAGACCGAGGAACTATATTCGGTTTGACGGGAGCTACGATGTGACTGGATACCTGCCATCACGTCGATTGCAATGCGAAAGAAAAAGCAACGTGCGTAATATCTAGTCTCAGGGGCATCTTCCCAGACTGATCGTCCCGAAAGCCCCCAAGCGAAGGTCCCTTTGTTATCAACCATGACGGGCCCGGCTATTGACAGATCTATTGCTGCCCCCTGTAACTGTGTCGCCGTAATTTCTGGCCCAGGACAAAGAAATATCCCAGTCAAAGGTACACCGTGTAACCGATCGTGCAGGGATCACGGTGCCGTCCACCAAATATCGTCGCCGGTTCCCGTCAGAGAGAGATGTTGACCAGTCCAAAATGCCCATCGGGTACTCGATCGATGAGGCAACTCCAGATCAGTCTCGTTGGTGCCTCTCGGCTCCCAAGGTCTGGGAAACGAGTGCTTCTGGATGCTCTGGACGTTTTCAGGCCCGGAGAGGTGCCCAGTTGGACGTATCATCAAGCCGTTGCCGCCAACCGGACCCTCAGCGCTTGTTGGGTCTCTTGATTTTGTGGCTTTTCATGGAAAGCCACCACGTCCCAGTGACTTGGCCCATTTCCATGCGCACTGGCATTTATAACGCAACCGGGGTATGGACTTGCTTTGTCCGGTCTGGTTCCAATAGCAAGAAGTTCCGAGGGGAAATATCGAGATACCGCTGTTGCCGTCGCCTACGGACCCCTTGACTGTCTTCATTATCCGGATGCACCCCCGGAGAATTCGGGTTCTTTTCGTCTCAAAAGAGAAGCAAGGCAATTTCACCCGCAAAACCATGAGTGATTTCGTTACTGAGGCATTCACACTTTTGGCGGTGGCCATCGTGATCATCGGTCTTCGAACGACCGCGAGATGGTTCATGGTTGGTCCGAGAAACTTCCAGCCAGATGATTATCTGATGTTGCTGGCGTGTGTGAGTATGCCAGCCAGCCCGGAGCCCCCGCGACGATTGCTCAGACATATCAGGTGGTGTACGGACTAGAAACGGCCGCTGCGTACATGGTGGGTGCATGGTTCAAGGGCCTTGCGAACAATGCGATGACCGACGAACAGCGGAGGACGTTGCCTGCCGACTCGGAAGAATATCGCTTGCGGGTTGGAGGCTCCAAGGTTCAAGTGACCGGCTGGTCTTTGTACACCTTGTTGCTGTGGCTGCTGAAGACGTGCATGGCCGTTTTCTATTCTCGATTGACGTGAGTACTGTGAATGCAGCGCGGGGATTGTACGATACTGATCAGATGGAACAGAGCTGGTTTGATCAACATGAGAGTTCGTATCCAAATCGCCTATGGTCTGATCGCCGCGACTTATATCGCCACTCTTTTTTCCATCCTGTTCGGTTGTCATCCAATGCACAAAAACTGGCAGATCTATCCGAATCCTGGAAGTACGTTACCAATTGCGTATGCTGAGATCCGTCTGGATCTGACTGATGATTTTAGATTACTGCCAACCTGCCGTGTCCAAGATTGATATCTACGTGACGGTCGTGCTCAATGTCGCGACCGATGTTTACCTGATTAGCATTCCCGCTCCGGTATGGTAGAAACTATCAACGTGAGAGATTTGTCGCCAATACCGTATCCTTTTTAGATGCTGTTCAAAGCTCGACTCCGATGGCGAGAAAAGCTCGAGCTTCTCGTTCTCTTCAGCGGGGGATTGTTCGTCATGATGGCGGGAATCCTGCGCTGCGTTTTGATCTTGACGGTAGGCATGCTTCCTTCCAGCACCGTTCAACCAATTTTAATGATTGTGTCTTTTGTTTCCAGGCCGGTGCCAACGGTGCCGAACAAGCGGGCAGCTGGGCCTGTCGCGAGACCTTTGTCGCCGTCGTGATTGGAAACGTCCCCATGATCTATCCACTTTTCCGCCGTCTCGCTCGCCGGGCGGGTCTATATATGACCACCAAGAGTGGTAGTCAGAGTTACCCCGCATACCCGTTATCCGACGGTGATGGAAGCGGGTATCCCAAGCGCAAGAAGTTCCTGCACCCGCTGTCCCTTCCTGCCGATTCACAGTGGAACACCGTCAGCGACGAGCAGATGATTTTGCCTACTTCACGACAGCAAGCTCCAACATGCACCGCTGGTGAAGGAGACTGGGAAACCAACAGTCATGCGAGTCATTGTGGAGGCATCAAGGTGGTCCATGAAACGATTGTACACAGTGCCGAGAAAGAACAGAGGTTATAGAACCGAATTGGCAACTCCGGGATAATCTTTACGCTTTTCGGATGCTTTGGACATTCATGGGCTGACCGATTTTCCATTTCTGCCTTCCCTTGACGACTTGCGCCATCTCCTACTTTCCCGTGTGTTGGGCGGAATCGGTCTTCCGATGTTGGTTTTGGCAGCGTTCTACCCATTTAGAAATACATATGAGAATCATTTCAAGGCTTTCGTCAACATCGGTGTCTTCAAAGATGAACCGTCACAATGAGCATCCAGTTTTATTTTATGCCATCCCCGATACCCTCAATCAGATCCCCGACCACCGGTATACCCAGACGGCGTTCCGCTACGGACTTCCACACGAAAGGACGAAATTCAAACCTAGGGAGGATCCGGCACGGCGTGCGCGTTTGAATTCAGTCGCTGGATTAGTCACCAACTGTAGGCCAATTGTGCCCCGTGGACCAATTCCGCCCTAAATCCAAGATTCCGTAGATTCCGTTGGACCCACGCGACTCCGAGCGGTTCCCATTTCAGAGTCCACTGATAGTATCGCCTACAGAAAGAATGCACGCGCGTAGTGGAATACCTCTCCAGGACCACGATGGCTCGGAAGATACTCAACCACCCTTGATACGAAATCAACGGGGGAAATATGCCCCCAAGGCATGGTATGCTCCCAGTCCCGGACCGTCAAGCTAGCAACTGACTTTTCGTGTCAGTGGACAGTGTCAAAGGCGAAAAATCAAAGTAAGAGTCAAGGTAGCTTGGACAACCTGGGGTCCGAGCCAATAACATTCCTGAACAGTGCGATGGCAATGCTCCATGTCGAGCCTGTAGGCTCAAGGGTCGGGACTGCCAGCGACTTGGAACCGATATGCGAGGACGGTGGCGATCAAAGGACAAAGCATTTGCTGGGACACGCGATCTCGCACCTCGGCCGGGTCGGATCGAGCGGGAACTGGAACTGACAAATACGGAGACGCATACAGAACAGGCGCAGAGGGACTCGAACGCATCAGCTCCATCCGTACGGGAAATCCACGCGAGAAACAGGCGAGGCTCCCGTCAACGCAGCCTCTCTCCTCAAGTCCCGACTTTCTCCGGGGAGACGTCCATCGCGCACAACATCACAGTTGTAGAGGGGCGACTGGAGCAAATGGGCGTCCAATATGGACAACGATCAAATCCCCCGGGACGCTCATTTAGATCCTGCTTGACCCCGTCTCCGGTACCGTCGATCAACCGTTCATCGGATCGGCAGGTGAGCTTCATTCATAGGCTCCTTGACACCCATGGCATCACACCCGACCGCGAGACGTGGGAGACACTTATGCACACATTCTGCGACGAGGTACATATCCTTGTCCCGTTTTTACACCCACCAAGCCTGTGGAAGCTTCATGATGAGATGTGGCAGGGTTCTTTGGGTCAGAATTCTGGCGATGACGAGCGAAGCGGTGCTCGACGCGTGCAAGCAGCCCATGTTTTGTTATGTGTTGCAAACGGTCGATGTGTGGAGACCTCCCGCTATGAAGGCGATACCGGTCCTTATTCTGCAGGCTGGAGCTTGTACAGTGCCGCTCGAGATATCTTCGGTGATCTCCTCGAAGGATTTTGTCAATACACAGATCAAGTATTTGTGCTCCAGACGGCCCTTCTGATGGTAAGACCGAAAAGTCTCAATGGTTTCTAGAAGTCTCCTATTGATGACTTGGATCTAGGTTATTTATCTCTTTCGTCTCGACGCTCATGGATCCGCTGAAAAGGTCTTGGCTCTGTCAATTTCACACGCGCATCATCTCGGTCTGCAAAGAGAAAGAGTGGTCAAGAAAATGCCACCTTTCCAGGGCGAAATGTCCCGTCGCTTGTGGTGGTGCATCTATATATTGGACAGGCGGCTAGCCATTGAGACAGGTCGTCCCTTTCTCATTCAAGACGTGAATGTTGACGTGGGCCTTCCTCGCGATGCGAGTGATGAATGGCTCACGAGATGCCAAAGGAACCCGCAATTAAGGATCGACGAGGGAGCTACAGAGTCCGCTCCTACCAGGATTCCATATCTAGTCGCCATGGCAAGCTACTCGCGGGTTATCGGAAAGGTTTGGGAAGCATTATATGGCGCTGCAACCTCCGAGTCAACACCGAGTCCCCTTCTGAACGAGTACCTTGAGCATCTCATTGCCCAGTCTCAGACAGACATTCGACCGGAGTTCTCCTACAACCATCGCCACCCAGTTAACCATGATCTGGAGGGAATGCTTTGGTGGCAGATAAAACAGCACCTCATTATGCGAATCGTAAGTTGAGATGACCCGTGGTCAGCACCTTGTTTCTAACGGCCTGTTTCTAGAGATGGTCCTCTCTCTATCTTCTGATTCGAAAGCCGATGCTTCAAAGAGCACGATCCCCTCATCATCCTGCTGCCCCTGAAGCCTTCGAAAACGAAGTCATTTGTATGCGACTGGCTCGCACCATCATTGATGACTTCTGCAATGTGCCAGAGGAGCACCCCAAGTACACTTTCCCCTTTCTGCACTACCTGTCGAGCGCTACAATCATTGTGCTCGGTCTCATTATCAAACAGCCTTCATTCAAAAGCAAGTACGGTGTTTTAACCCTCGAAGCTGCAAGATCACTCAGGGAACATTGCCACAAGACTTGGGTGTCGGGGAAGATGGCTCAGACCGTTTGGAAGTTGAACCAGATGGCTGACGCAACGCTGAGCTTTGATGATCGACCACCGGGGGCGATTGAAGGCCCTACTCCCGACACAAATGAGTCTCCAACTCCTTCAACTTCTGCTCAACGCCGAGCATACTTCGTAACAGGAGAGCCGCCATCCATTGCCTCACAAATGAGCATGTCAGAAACGGCAGCCACCAGAGCTACTGAATTAGAGCCCGATATATCACTCTCGGAGGAAATGATAGACGGCGGAATGGAGTGGCTACAATCACTTTTTGCAAATGGTCTCGACACCAACCTTTTGCCAGTTTGGGATTGACCGGCTTCTTGTCTTACATGTCTACCCTCGAGTACGACTGTTGAGTTAAGAGAGAACTGTTTGGGGCTGAATATAGCATATATGAATCAGACATCCAATAACTTGGTGTACATGCATCGTTCTATCTGGCTCGATCCACTTGCAATGCTAAACTAGGGTATACAAACGCTCCATCTATCTATCCGTTCCAGTTGCTCGAGACGTCAATTAGTTCCATTTTCAAGCCCTTTCACAATCATGGGGCTTTGCAATCGGATCTTGTGACCATATTTATAGAAGACGAAAGGGATGGGAATTAAAATCACCTCGATCAGTGCCAACATTGTCCCAGCCCAATTAGCACCCAAAGTACTATAAATTTTGGATCCAGCGAGCGGAAGGACTCCAGCGAGCCCGTATCGCACGATCGAATTGCCGGCAAGTGCTGATGCTGCGTACACCGTGTAGCTTCCAGCCATGTAGTTGGTGGCATAGATGAACACCAAGCCATTGCCAAGTCCAAATGGAAGACCAGCAAGAATGGGACATACCCAATGAATTGGCGGCCGTGCGGTCCAGGCAAACCAAAACTCGCCGATTGGAATTAGGATGCTTCCCATGCACACGGCAAATACGGCTGCTTCAGGCGCGGGGCGCCCTGTTATTGGGTCCCGTGGATGCATGGCGATAAATCGTCGAATAAGTGGCTCTAACGTCACAGCAATTGCAGTTCCTGTGCCAATACCACAGTAACTTAGACCTGCAAGACCTGGTGCCCAGCCACGGAGATCTTCGAATACTATCGGATAGGCCACAAAGCAGAGGAAGAGCACAGAGTAGACCACGCTAACGTAAAGATCCCAGAAAACGCTAGCGACCAGCATTAGTATGCGATGAAATAGTCTCTATACTGCTGGAAATTGTTTGTATATCGGGGCGCTTACCATATTGGCTCAAAGACAATCATGCGGAATGGACGGACCAGGTTTGTCCTTAAGACTTGAAATCCGGTCTCCTCATGATCAAAGCGACACCACCATCTTTGATCGCCCGTCTCCTTTTGTAATTTCTTGGTTCTTTTCCGCAGAAGAGCAGGCGCATAAGTCTCTTTAACCAGAGACATCAAGACTAAGGATACTCCAGAACAGATCAAGACGAGCCAATTGATCCAGCGCCAACCAAGATACTGATAGACGAAGCCGCCGATGATAGGGCCTGGGGTAATTTGCAGGCAATGTTAGGATAAAAGTGTGTACAGTATTTTGAACACCCACGTACATACCTAGAACAGGGCCGTTCATCGTCCCAAGACTCCAACAACTCAAGGCCAAGGCGCGATATTGGTCGTCTGTCACATCAGTGACACTACCCGGGGCGCTAGAAATCATGGTACCCCCGAAAAAGCCTCCAAAAAACCTGCTGATGAGGATGGCTTCAATGCTGTTTGCGAGAGCCACAGGCAAAATCAAGACACCGAATAAGAAAACCGAGATAAGATAGATCGGTCGACGACCGTAAATCTCCGACAAGGATGACAGAACGACTGATCCAAATGCAAGGCCAAAAAGATTTGTCGTCAAGCCCAGAAGTACAATGATTTTAGAGGATACATCGAATTCTTTTTGAATCCCATCAACACCTGAGGTGTACATTGTCGTGTAGACTACTCTGTGTATTATTATCATCAATTGCCAATGCTGTAGGTATTTGGGGCCAAGGACATACACGATAGTCGTCGAGAAAGACATTGCGGCCACGATGAAGCTTTTATACCAGACTGGCCAAGTCCTGGGATTTTCCTTGTCGGCGACGTGCCAAGTTACCTCGAACAGTGGGTCACGAGGAATACCTCCATGGCCCGAAGACGCGACCAAGTCAGGCATTTTGGAATCTGCCATTGCGAGCGTGGAGAAAGTGGTCACTCGAATAACTCAGTGTAATTCGGCTCTTATAGATGCCGGGGTCTTGCGGGGTAAAATCAACGGAATCTTGAAGATTCCGTGATGTATCCACCCACCCGGCATTGCTACAGACCCGACTCGTAGTCTGACGATATAGGAGTAATCAAAATTATGGCTACAGATTATTATGTATTTAAATACAAGAGGGGGGTTTATTATGCCAGTGTGTATTCCGAGTTGAGAGAGCAAGCAAGGGTTGAGCAGCACCGCATCGCCGCCTGATTGGTCAAGATACTCAACTCAACTACATGAGTTGATTTAGCTAATTAATTTTCCTCTTTTTCTGTATTTTCAAAGGATCAATAGATACCTGAGGCTTTCACTGAGACCCGCTCTTTCCAAACTTGTGAAGACTTCCACCGTTCCCTACAGAGCATAACGGAAAAACGGATTCTGCTTGTCGGTAAGATCATCAAAAGCAATCTTGTCACGCTGCACCTCATCCAACTCCAATGTGCTCCTCAAGCGATTCTCCCTCCAGAGCACTACGTATAAAGCGACGGCTGCGGTAATAGTGATACAATAGCTATGACACCGTTAGCTTTGAGAAGAATGAGCTGGGTAGATAAACTCACCAAATGATCAAGCCCGTCCACAATTCTGGATAGTGCTGGGCCTTGGTACTACTATTGATAAGCTGAGGCCCAATGATGTTTCCAACAGTATAAGCGACAAAGACAGTGGCAGCCATGACCGTTTTCTTAGTGGCCCCTGCTACGTTGCTGGCCCCGATTGTAATGATCAGGCTAACCACTGGCCCAAAGAATCCCGTAAGTGCATAACCGACTACTGGAGTAGCTGGCTGATAGCCCCATTGCGACTTCCAAATCATAGCACAACCGGCAATAACCGGTAGGCAGCACGCGATGAGCATGGGAATGCGTGTATTGGGAATCACGGTCGGAATGTATCCGCATAGAGGGATGAATATGACACAAACGCCGCCCACGGGGAATTGGAATAGAATGGAATCCAGGGTATCGTAGCCAAAAGTAGAAACGATGAGGGGCCCATAGCCAGAGATGGCTCCGTTGATGGTGTATCTAATGGGGTCAGCTCGGGATTTAAGATTGGGTTGTAGATAGAAAGAATACTCACGCCGCCGCCATCATGATAGCCACAAGATAGACCTTGATATCCGTAAAGGATTCTTTGATCTGATCAAGTTTGATTTTCTGACAGCGAATGCCGGTCTGTCCCTTTCGTAGTCGCTCTATGGCGATAATTCGCTCTTCCGGGGTCAAGAACCAGGCGGATACCGGCGAGTTGGGCATTGCACAACACCAGAGGCCGAACAAAAATGTCATAGCCCCGGCAAGGATGTAGATATATTGCCATCTGGTCAAGCAGTCCGATGTAATTTGACCAAATCCATAGTTAAGTGCTCCACCAATGATGGTGAACCAGCCGGTGCCAGAGAACCACCAGGCTTGTCGAAGAGCCTGCTCTTCTTGCGTGTAGTAACTGCTAACAATGGTCATGAAGCTAGTCGGAATGACACTCTCAATCACGCCTGCATTTTGTTAGATATATCGTTCGAATAACTTGGAAAGAAGCCTGGCGCGTACCAAGGAAGAAACGCTGAACAAATAAACCTCGCCAGGATGTCACGCCAGCAGTCGCCGCACAAACAATGGCCCATAGGAGAACCACAGGACCGAGAACATATCGAACATCAAATTTCTGTAAGATGAAAGTCATCGGGTAGAGTCCAGCCAGCATTCCAAAGTAGAAAATGGACGTTGCCCAGCTGAGACGCGAGGTGTCGACTAAGGCTGGAAATGCGGAATGATCGACGACCTCTAATGCTAGGTCGGCGGTCATGCCAAAGAGAGAGGCACTACCTAAAATGGCCTATCCAAGATCGTTAACATAAGCCACAGGATGACAACCGGGGTCCTGTCGTACCTTGTCATAGTACACCATACCATAACCTACAATAGAGTGCGGTCAGTTTAAACATCATTTTGCTAGTGGCCTAGCAAACTCACCGATTAACATGGCGGGCATGAAATAGAGATCGATTTTTCGCAGAACTCTTTTCGCCACGATTGGATCGATCTCCTGGGCCACATCGCTGACCATTGCTAGCGCGGCATCCTTCTCGGAATCCCGCGTGTGGTCGTTGGCTCCGGCAATACCGTCAACCTGAAACATTTTCACTTGGTCGTGACGGCCCAGATCTCCGGGAACTGCTAGCTGCTGCATGTAAACAAATTCGAACCTGCGAAGTTTTGAATTTGACTTTTAGAGACCTTCCTGATCGGGTAATTGGTTATCGCAAATCTCACCGCCATCATAACCAGCCTCCCCCGCCAGAAAAGCCTGGCAGAATAATCCTGCGGGGAACAGACTTTTCCCGCTGCTATCTTTCAAGAGCCAACGTGGTTAGTCTATGTAGTCATGACTATTAAAGCGAACCTTTGCCTCCGAAACAACCTATAGTATCTTATGTTGTAAATATCACGGGGCTCTGTCTCAATTGTGCAATGAGCTCCGTAGCTTTAATCCAATCAGATGTTGAGATGAACATTAGCCTGTGACGTGACACCCTTCGAGTCATCAAGATTTAGTCCTGTAGATGATCTTCTTTTTCTGCAGATAATCGGATGTAGTGCACAGTGATAATCCCTACATAGACCTCAAAAGAACCGGACAATCTTATCGATCGCCAATGCCGGAGGTCTAAGTCACACATTTATCTCGGACCGTTGAAATCCGAGCAGATTCGATATGATAGTCTTACCAAGTGGTTCCTGTTTATCACCAGTCTCATTTACTTGTTTCGAGAACTAGGGCGGCGACATGTGATATCGAATCCAAAGCTCGGCTGATTTGCATCGGAATGTGGGTCCTCTGGCAAGTGGCTGAAGGCACAACATGGTCTCGCTCACGGGACACATGCCCAGCATACATCGGGCCCCGGTGAATGTTGTATATATGAGCTGGCCGGTCTCATTTAAATTTCGGTCTAGCAATCAGTTGGCAAAGAGATTGCTCCACCAACTTCTCGGCCGGGGTGTACTGTAAGCAAGCTTTTAGGATGATGATATCAGCAGCCCGGCCGGTTCCGTCTAGACCCACCAGATTGCATGGCAGATTCCATGACATAGTGTTTTCGCTGTGCGATCAAGGTTTGTTTGCAGGAAAGAACAGGTTGAAATGATTCCAAATGTAGCTGTTGCCACTCGCTTCATTCCGGCACTTGCGGACATGACGTAGAATGGTCAATGGACTATAAAAGCTGGGCTGTCTGCCTTCTCCAAGGCCTGCCAGAGTAAGGCGAAGATTATTTTGATCCACAACATCGTCAGATATGCCCATTGAATTCACCGTATTCAAAGGTTCCCCAGACGGAGCGATTCGACAGGAGGTCACACGACGAGACGACCTCAGGCACGACGATGTGTTCATCCGAATCACCCACTCCGGTGTTTGCTTTACCGATGTCCACTTCCGGAATACCGACATGGCCCTTGGGCACGAAGGAACGGGTGTTGTGGAAGCGACTGGTCCCGATGCCAAGATCTTGAAGAAGGGCGATCGCGTGGGCTGGGGTTATCTGCACGATTGCTGCGGTCACTGTCGTCAGTGTCTGACGGGCTGGGAGACTCTGTGTGCCGAGCGCAAGATGTACGCCACGGCCGATCTGAATCAGGGCTCCTTCGGCTCGCACGCCGTGTGGCGCGAGGCATTCCTTTTCAAGATTCCCGAAAATATAAGCAATGAAGACGCAGGTCCCCTGATGTGCGGTGGATCGACTGTTTTCAATGCACTCCACGTCGCTCAGGTTCGTCCGACCGCTCGTGTCGGAGTCGTCGGAGTCGGCGGTTTGGGCCATCTGGCCATCCAATTTGCTGCGAAGATGGGTTGCCAGGTCGTCGTATTCTCTGGGACGGATAGCAAGAAGGACGAAGCTATGAAACTAGGCGCTATCGAGTTCCATGCAACCAAAGGTGTGAAGGAGTTGAAGCTGGGGAAGCCCATCGACAACCTCCTCGTGACCACTAGTAGCCAGCCAGACTGGCAGCAGTATCTCAACATCATGGCTCCAGGTGGCGTCATCTCGCCCCTCTCCATTGATGAGAATGATCTCAAGGTTCCGTACTTGCCGTTGCTACAGAATGGCCTCAGAGTGCAAGGAGGAATCGTATCTGCGAGACAGGTGCATCGCGACATGCTCGAGTTTGCGGCCGTTCATAACATCAAGCCGGTGAAGATGACGTTCCCGATGACGCTGGAAGGAGTGAAGGAAAGTTTGAAGACCCTGGAAGATGGCAAGATGCGGTACCGTGGCGTTCTCGTTGCTGGAAAATAGAGCTTCCGCGAGGAATTCTCGTACAATTGAAAAGTATGACCGTGGGCGCGAAGTGAACAATTATATCTCAGTAATGTGTGTAGCAATGATAACGAGGGATGACAATACTCCGAATTAAAATGGGCCTGTGTAAGAAGAGGAACGTTGGGGGAGAAGGGGGAGGAAGGAAATGCGGGTTTTACCATGCGAAGGGAAACGTGATGTCAACGTGAGGACCTTGACGATGTTACGAGCGTAGAAAAACCCATGATGGCATCCCCAACCACACGTTTTTGATATCCATTAACGTTCCCCTGGTGCTACATGTTATCCATCGAGAGACGTCGTCATACTGAATCAAAGTCGCCCCTTCATAGGTGCCGCGTCTCTGGGTATCGGCAGCTGGGAGACGAGGCTCTAGCAAACCCCAGCTCTCGTCTAGTTTCTCGAGCAGCCCAGAACCCTGTAACAAAAGCGAGGGCAGGCAGCCCGCATAACCCAGGCTACTAAATCCGCCGGCATCGACGCCCGCCACGAGTAAGCCAGGGATGATGCTTTTGTCCACCGTCAAGGCATATCCTCGCGTATCGATTGAGGTCCCGCCGTAAGTAAAGGTACTCCTAGTACACCAATCAGTAAAAATGATTTTCGGTGAATTCGGCGGCACATACGATGGCTGCACCTCCATTGCATAGAAAGGACCTTCGGTCAACCAAAGAAGCGGGTGGTAGCCCCCCACGGCCGACGGGTGCATCAAGACCATCCGTCTGCCCAAGTCGAACAACACGATCATAATGATCAATTGTACAAGCTGCCTGTACTCTGTCAACTCACCATTGGCCAAGGATTTCGACGAGTTCCTTCAAGTTGGCTGCCTTCCCAACGTTGCAACCATAATAAAGAGCATTTTGAAGGCGATCGACGTCACCTGCATTGGGGAACAAGGCGCTCAGGCAGTGTTGGAGTCGAGTTTTCTCACTGACGTTCATGTGAGTACTCAACCTGTAGCCTTGGGGTGTTTTGAATGCCATACCTGAACAGTAAAAACCCATAACGGTGTGCCTGCTTAGCCAGATATTGATTCACGATTTCATCTCCCGTTGTTTCGTCGGCGGAATCGTCGACCTGATTCATTCAATAATAATCAGAATTTGCTTTCTGATCGATCATTACCTCGACGAAATCAATTGGAAAATGTGTACATGGTGAACGCACGATACTGAGCCAGCGTAAGAAAGTCTTTGGGACTTACATCTTCTGTTGGAAAGGGAGCCGCCAGGAGATTCCCGTAATAGGTATTCATGTCTCTGCTGGTACCAGCCCCAACGTCTGTAGCCAGACTGAGGCCGTCTCCTACGGATCCCTGATTGCGATGCAGGAAAACGTTATCGCCTCCTTCCCCAAGGTACAGGGCTCTCAGCCGCGAAGATCCTTGGAAATCTCCGGTCGCCAAAACGACGGCCTTTGCTCACACATTGTAATAAATAGGTGGAGAATCTGGAGTATATCGACAAATGATAGCACCCTTGATACCATGCCCATTGCAAAAGCCGGATCGTCGTGTGGTACCCAAGACCTCAGTCTTTCATAAGTATTAGGCCTCAAACTGACCAAGTGTCAGCAAAACATGGGGAACAAGCCCGGGATACAATGCAATTTTCTAGACGTACATGCTAGCAGAAAGCTTGATGATCTGCCTACTTTTACTTGTCTTTCAACGACTAGGGTCTTGGCTCCAGCCTCCGCTGCAAATGCAGCGCATGCCATACCGGCCATACCTCCACCACAGATCAAATTGTCGACTTTCAAGACCTTCATTGTTCAGTTGGATGCGGCCGGGCCCTGATTATAGAAGAAATATGGCTGCCATTTTTTAAAAACTGCGATCATCTGGCTCTGGCTTTAAATATTCGTTGACCCTCGGAAACCGGCGAGTACACTAAATAGGCGGGTGGGTCTCCGCGCAGATGGAGGGGAGCGATTTCCTACGTTCGTCTAACAAGCCCATTGACTTGACGAGATCGCCGAATTGACGGGCAAGCCGCTGATTGTTCGGCGTGGCCTCCCAGAGCTGGTCTCCTGGTAGACCGTGCTTTTCCAGTTAGGCGGCCCAGCACTCATCAAACAAATCAATCCATTTGTAGCCGGCTTTGCGGCTGCACCGAGTCGGGGTGCGAGTCGATGCTCCCCTCCAGTTGCCAAGGGACAATGTGGTCATGCCGAAGTCGTTTGCTTCCGATGGAGGCCAGCAGGCTGACATGACGGCAACAGGAAAGGATGGTAATATTCCGTGTACCTTCATGTAGAGGCCTTCGACTTCAAATGTGCGCATGGTCGGGTCATATAAAGGAGAGATGGATGATCTTATTCACCCGCAAGGCTGACCCGCCAACCTCCACCCCCACAGACCGGCGCCATTTTTAATATGCTGGGCTGCGGAGATGGAGAATCTCGACCTGAAAATACCAAAAGGCCAAGCGAACGGCCTTTCTCCATCTTTATTCCGTCGAGATACCAGTTTCAAGGTCAATGGTCGAGGTTTCGAGGGAGTTCAATGAGAAGCCCCCGATGAGCATCATGTACATCACCTTTTCACAAAGAAATCCAATGGCAAGCTCCAATCACAAAGCAAATTTATCCTGAAAACGTCCACTTGGTAGAATGAGTCCGCTTCCTCAAGCTTCGGGGAGCTCCGACCGCGACCCATTAATCAGCCAAGGTCCCCGCCGGAGACCGCGTCCTGAAGGTCCTCGGCTGCCCCGCATTCTTCTCTCTCCGTCCTCTTCCTCATCAACTATCTCAGCTTTGAAGAACCTGCCCAAAATGACTACCCTCAAGCCCGGTGACGCGTTCCCCAGCGACGTTGTCTTCAAGTGAGCACCCGCAATTAGAGCTGCGGCAATCAGCACCATTGACCGCGTCTCAGGTACATCCCATGGTCCGAGGAGAGCGGTGACATTACCGCCTGCGGCATCCCCATCAACTACAATGCCTCAAAAGAGTGGGCCAACAAGAAGGTGGTCCTCTTCTCCGTGCCTGGTAAGCTTCGCTTCTCTCATTGCCATATACGTGAGGGCTAACGCGCGATACTGCCAGGGGCTTTCACCCCGACCTGCTCCGTGAACCACATGCCCGGATACATCAAGAACCTGCCTAAGCTCCGAGAGAAGGGTGTAGATATCGTTGCGGTGGTTGCATTCAATGATCCATTCGTGATGAGCGCTTGGGGCAAGGCCAACAAAGTGCAGGGTGATGAGATTGTGAGTAGAAGGCCCCAGTCTAAACCGTGTCGATAGGTGACTTATTATGCTGAATAGCTCTTTCTCTCTGACCCCGATGCCAAATTCTCTCAGAGCATTGGCTGGGCCGATAGCGCGTCTGGCCGCACCGGCCGGTATGCGATCGTCATCGACCACGGCAAAGTTGGTTACGCCCAGATCGAGACGGAGAAGGGCGCTGTCAAGGTGAGAACTCCACCCAGTAACGGGAAATTCATGCCAGGTGAATAAATGCTAACAATAATGGAACAAACTAGAAATCTAGCGCCGATGCCGTTCTTGCTTCTCTGTAAATAAGTGGAGTTTGCCCAGATCCGCATATCAATACATCCGTGAATACCAAAGTTGGCGGCTTCAAGCACCTCCGCTAGCATCATTCGTTGGAATGTTATAGACATGGAATGAGATGTCTTTATAGAGCTTTGCAATCTTTGTCGCTGTCATATGGAAGTGATAAGGCGTACACAAGCTCGATAGGGTTCCTATTATGTATATCCATCATGCCTTATATTCAGCCACCGCATGCAGAAACCTTGGAACAAAAGAAAGGTTTGCTTACAATGCAAACCAACAGATGGTGTAGTGCTTCTAAATCAATAAGGGAAACAGCTTAAACAGGGGACTTTTGAGTGAATGCGCGATCGTGGACATAAAAATGAACTCCAGCAGTAATACAACCCTCGTGGAGGAGTTCCACAGCTTGTACGATCTTGCTATTTACTGTATGAACGATCGTTTGTGTGCTTATGGAGCTGATATTGCTAGAGAAGTTCGAAGACGTGTTTTGGAACGGTCCCTCAATATCCACGTGCCGAAGCTTCGGCACGCAGGTAGCGCGATTTTTAAGAATGGCCAAAAGCTGTGCAACCAGCATGACAAGATGGCGCTCTTTGCAGCCTTCAATATAGAGTATTCCAAGTGACAGGGGAAAACAATGTACAAGGGCCATCGTGGGATCGCTTTGGTACTGAATATCGAGGAGGTTGGGCAGCCGAATGCAAAGGTCTCGTAGAAAAGTAAAGTCGGATAATGATCCAAACCATTCATCACGGTTTTGATTCAGACTGGCTGCTGTAAATGGATAGTGATTGCCGTAATGGTCCAGTGACAGCGTCTGCAGAGTTTCCCTGCTCCGAGCCAAGGAGCGATATAAGGCCGTTGGTTGATAGCCATGAGAGAGAATGTGGGAGTCGGAATGCTGATACTGGAATGACTTCAAGTCTGCACACGATGCCACCAGTGCCTCCATTCCTTGATTGCCGCAACTCGCTCGCAAATTAATTTCAAACACGGAGGAGAATCCAGTCTGTCTGTTGACGGCACTGGTGATTGAACTCGGATCTATCACTGCATCAGCGACAATTGCACGCACGGAAGGAAAGTGGAAAAATGATATGAGAAGCGCAGCCGAGGGTGGCATAGTGTCTTCAGATTGTTGTGGGGGGTCAACACAGTCAACTCTATCACGGCGGTAGAACGAGAATTCCCGCAAGCATTGAAAAGCATGTCGGTTGTGAAACAGCTTCTCGCCATTGACTGCCCGTTGCAGGGTGAGGTCCTTAAAATATGTTCTTTTGGCATATGATAGTTGGAGCTGCCGTATATGGGTCAATAACGGGAAAATCAGAGCAATCCATGCGTCCCCATATCCTTTCTTCAGGCTCTTCTTCCATTGTATAGCCTCTTCGATCGAATGAGACGATGCCGTGACCAGACCTTTCGGAACTGTTTCATTCTCAATTATTTCCCGCTCGTCATCGGAAACGGCTTCCGTTTGCCAGCCACTCAAATCCAGTTCTCGGACTGAACTCGCGAGAACGGGACGCTGGGTAACGGCATGAAAGAAAGACTTCATATCACGCCAGTTATTGAGCGCAACCGTTCCATAGACAAGCGGCATGAAAACATCGTGGAATCACCGGCAAACAAATATCAAGTTCCAGCGATCTTCATGCCTATCGAGTTGCTCTCCTGCCATAAGAAGAACCTCATTAGGAGTGAAGCATCCATATTGGTATAGAAAGAACCGAGTCCCCGGGTAGATTTACTACCTCGTAGCTGCTTTTGATAAATACATCAAAAACGATGGTACAGGAACGGGTTCGACGAGGAGAGAAGTATCTCAAAGTTTCCGAGGGCAAAAGCAAGTGAGATCTACCGATAAGTAGCTTATCAGTGGGGCGGGTAGAGTGACGTTGAAACGGCGTCTTCAATAAGGCGAATAGCTCTAATCGGCCTACGGGTAGAAGGCAATCTTGGCGAAGGCATTGACCAATGTGTAGACCACTGGCCGGCGGAGACACCGGCCGTAAGAACGTACAAAATTTTCTGCTCCATGGTGTGCTCACTGAAGGAAAGTTCGCAAGGCGCAGTCTCTTGAAGAGCGATCGAATTCCCAGGAAATTCTTCCTACCTTGAAAGTCAAGCTGTGACCAAAGGTACGGAAGCGCTGTTTGCGCTGCCTTTGACGGTTCAGACACTCAATCCAGCGAACTTGGCCAAATAATAGGCTTGACCTGAGTTAAGGTTGTTGGACGAAATTTCTTGTGGTCGTCATTAGGCCTGGCGAGAATGGCAAAAATGATCTTTCCTTGATTAGCGAAGTACACAAAAGCTTTTCCTCATCCTTCCCTTAAGCAAGTCGTGAGGCGGATCTCATGAACTATAATATCACGGCACTAATGTGCGGCATGAGAGGGTTTGTTTGTTTCTTTCGCATCAAATTAATCCTTTGGCAAGCGTCGTAAGGCTCTGTGCGTCGGGACGATCGGTGGCACGTTCGACGGCGCATTGACCAGGAGTCGCATCTGTGTGGATTCTACAGGGCCCGCTAGCGTTGAGGTGGGGGCCAAACACATAAATCCTGCCAGTGCAACACTGTAGGACAATGACAGCTGATGAGACTGAGCAGCCCTGATGAGAGAAGAAAAATTCCCCGAAATCAAAAAAAGGTGACTTTTGGGGGCTGCACGAGAGTCTCTCCTGTAGGGTCTCGAATCCCGTTATTCTGGCTGTGAAGAAAAAATACGAGACCTCTCTATCCTGGTATAGCCACCTCATAAATTGCCAAGTGACCCTGGAGAATTACAAATATCAAGAAACAGGTGGGACTCTAGACAAATTTCTAGATGCCAGCTGATGCTTCCGCCCCTCAGAGACGGTTAAGTTTTATAAACGACGTATCCTCCGTCACAGAACATTCATTACGTCGGATGGAGCTAAGTAGATGTATCTGTGGATGTCGTGTGTGTGTGTCGGGAGGAAGCCGTTCACAAAATTTCCGCAATTCACCAGGGGCGGCTTAGTTGTATCCGTTCTCCACCGGAAGTCCAGCAAAAGGAATGGAGTATGGAGCCCATTACTACTTAACCGGACAGTAAGAGGCGTTGACGACCTTGAACTCCTCCACTAACAAAGGAATCAAGGTTGAGGTCCAACCCATGAAAAATGGCCATCATGTTGGAGCCGGTTCTCATTTCTGAGCGTTGCTTGCGTCTGAGTGAGGTCAAGAAGGAGCCCGTTATAAGTCTCAACCCAAATGGTCTTCACATGGATTGAAGAATCCAACTCAAGGATTGTATTATGGGAGTCTGCATCCATTCGTGAATATATTGTTGAAACTTATTATCCGGACGGTCCACCGCAGCCGCCTGGTTTAGCTACCGTCACTCTGAGTTCCTGCTCTCTGCCATCGATCGTTGTCGTCAAGAGGTTTGGAAAGTGATTTGAGTCTGGAATACAGCGTTGGCAGATCGGCCCTATCTCGTGAGAAGTAAATGCATGCGGAGTGGGTCATCATCACAGGGGATGTCATGGAGTCGGGAATCTGCGAGGGAGCGGAATTTCTTCCATGCTGTACAATGAACACCTCCAGAAAAAGCACGAGGCATTGGGCCAGGGTGAACTGGGTATCATTACAGCGGATTTGACAGAAACTAGCGCAGCGTCCTCTACATGAAGAAATGAACTGCCCCTTTTTGTTGGCAAATTTATTACAGGGCAGCTTCCCCCGAATTGAGAGGATACTTAATTCTTGCTTAGGAGGTGGATACTGCTGCTTCTGGCGTTGTTACCCTTCCTCCGTCTCTTCCCGAGCAAACGGGCTCGAATCTTCTGCATCTGTCTCCAAGACTTTGGTCTCTGCGTTGACAGTGGCTGCGTCAGCATCGTGGAACTCGCGAATGAACATGTAGACGTAATGAAAGCTAGAGCACACGATCACCCGTGAATATGATTCATGACCATACCGTCCGTTAGCGTCACCGAGCCCGAACGGGGTGAAGGTCGAGCTCCATGACATCGTCGGCTTGGCTTTGTTGCAATGGACCAAAGGAAGCGATCTCAGCGACGCGCTGGCAGTTATGCCGGAGGAACTTCGTCGGCAAGTCCAGAAGAAGCCCCTCGGTCCGACTAACACATTCTCTTCGCGTGCATGCTTAATTTGCGAGCAATCTCGATTGCCGGTGCGCCTTCGCCCACGAGCAGGACATTCTAAAGATCATTGCGCCCAGCGATCTCGACAACGATAACATGCCGGGAGACCAGACTCACCTGGCCGGCATGTTTGTCGGGCCGCCGGTAAGACTTTCGAATGATGGACCCGATCGGGAAATCGGAGTCGCCCTGCCTCGAGGCCTGGAATACCGGGCAGGCGTGGTACACCGTCATGTCCACATTTCCACAAGTCACCACGACGTCGTCGACCTTCTACAATACGGGACTGACGTGCGGTTAGGTCGGCACGTCCTGGGCACGGGGGCCGTTTTTCATAGGCGATTTTTACCCGTTGCCGTTTTCGGACCCGGCAGTTTTCCAGATCATCTCCGGTGGCTGGCACCAGATGAGCGTCCATTTGGCGCCTTGTTTGCAAAAGCGTTCCGCCAAAGCGCGATAGTGAACTCGGTCCTCCAGCCCGAACCGGCAGGCGGCGGCCTGGAGATGCGCCAAGACGCCCGGGTGGGAGGTCCATTCGCTGGCGTGAGCGGGGGGTCTGGCGTGACCAGGGAAATGACCCACGGCCAGGGATGGTCCTTGAGCTCCATAGTCAGTACGGAGAAGTTGTTGGTCAGTCCGTGGTAGCTAGGGCCGGGTCATCAGCCAGTCCGCGTGAGACGGCGACGCCGGATCCAGAATCTCTGGTTGGGAGCGAGTCGGGTCGTACCAGGGGCACAGATTCCAGGCGCAGTCGCCAACGGGCGTGGTGGCTGGACAACAGGGCTCGGGTGGAACTTTGTCGTCGTAGATCCTATACATATTTAGATCTGGGTAAAGCTAAACGGGGGACCAAGGAGAGAGCACGGGTTGAGGGGGCGTCGCCGAGAGTAACGGACCGTACGCCACCAGCTTGGCGGTTGCGATCGAAGGGGGTCATGCCTAGACCAGCGTCGCGTACATAACGAGTGGCCGGGATACCTACCCACTCCAGCGTCACTCACGGTGACAGATGTAAGGTCAGGGTCGGGGAGGGGGCGGAACAAAGAGCTTTGACTGAAAGAGAATGTTTACGAAGAAGGCACCCAACTAAGAACTGAAAGAAAAGATAGCATCAAGTCAGGCAATTATTCACTGATCGAGCGGCACGATGAAACCATGTGGCGTGACAGACGACATCCGGAGTAACATGCACTAGCTCGTATTGGATCTTAGTTCAATTAGGGACTTTTTAGCCCCCAAAGTCGGGGAAATCTGGGGAATTTGACCGCATTTTCGTCGGCCGTTGATTGGAGCGTCGGGCTTCTTTCGAGCGAACCCTGAACTTTGATTATTGCATGCCGAGTAAGCTAGTCATCGTCCCAGGCCCTTGGATAGTAGAGTGCTCCGCACCCAGTAACTCCGTATAGGGTTACTACAATGTTCGTCGGAAACCTTGGAAAGACCCTGACACATGGACCCCGCATCTCCGCAAAACGGAAAAGGAAAAAGGAGGAAAAGAAATAATAAAAATAATAGTAAAATCATAGCGAAAGGAAAGTGGACCTGTCCACCTGCACCTGCCTCAGGGTTCCGTATATCTTCAAATAGACTTCTCTCCTTCTTCCTGATTTCTCCGTTTCACATCCCTTTTCCCTCTGACCCTTGGTCTCCGGTCTTCATCATGGGATACGTGATTGGAAACATCTATGTCATCACCACGGTGGCCGTCATTGGCGGTGCACTGTTCGGTTTCGACATTGCCTCGATGTCTGCTATGTAAGTGTCTGACTTATTCGTTCTTCGTTTGTTTCTAGCTTCGAGTCTATCCTGGATCTTGCTGACCCCCACTTCCCCCCAGCCTCGGCACCCAGCAGTACAAATGCTTCTTCAACCAGACCGGTATAACTGATGGAGCGTGTGGTGGTCCAACCTCTGCCAACCAGGGTGGCATCTCGGCCTCTATGCCTGGTGGCTCCTTTATCGGTGCTCTCATCTCCGGTATCCTGACCGATTGGCTGGGTCGAAAGCGTGCCATTCAGGTCGGCTCCCTCATCTGGTGTATCGGAAGTGCCATCGTCTGCTCTTCTTTCGGTATTCCCCAGCTCGTCGTCGGCCGCTTCATCAACGGTATCTCCGTCGGTATTCTCAGTGCCCAGGTCCCCGTGTATGTCGCCGAGCTAGCTCAGCCCAGTAAGCGAGGTACCGTCGTCGGTGCCCAGCAGTGGGCCATCACCTGGGGTATCCTGATCATGTTCTACGTCTCCTATGGCTGCAGCTTCATGACGGGCAATGCTGCCTGGAGGACTCCCTGGGGTCTGCAGATGCTCCCTGCCATCTTCCTCTTCGGAATGGTGTTCCTGCTACCCGAATCGCCTCGTTGGTTGGCCAAGCATGACCGCTGGGAGGAGGCCCACGAGGTCCTGGCTCTCGTTCACTCCAAGGGGGATCGCAACGCACCCTTCGTCAAGACCGAGTTGCAGGAGATTCGCGAGATGGTCGAGTTTGAGCGCCAGAATGCGGATGCCTCGTACCTCGATCTCTTCAAGCCCCACATGATCTATCGGACCCATATCGGCATGTTCACCCAGATCTGGTCCCAGCTAACCGGCATGAACGTCATGATGCTCTACATCACCTACGTATTTGGTATGGCCGGGCTGTCGGGAAATGCCAATCTCGTCGCCTCTTCCATTCAGTACGTTATCAACGTCGTGATGACGATCTTTGCCCTGATCTTTATCGATCGCTGGGGTCGCCGTACTCCCATGCTGGTCGGATCGACTCTTATGATGATCTTCATGTTCGCCAATGGCGGCATCATGGCATCCTACGGTAAGCCGGCCCCACCGGGCGGCCTGAATCACACTCCCGAACAATCCTGGGATCTGTCAGAGGCCCCTATGGCCGCCAAGGGAGTCATCGCATGCACGTACTTGTTCGTGGCTAGCTACGCACCCACGTGGGGTCCCGTCAGCTGGATCTACCCGCCCGAGCTATATCCCCTCCGCCTGCGTGGCAAAGCCGTGGCAGTGGCGACCGCATCTAACTGGATCTTTAACTTTGCTCTGTCCTACTTCGTTCCTCCGGCCTTTGAGAACATCCAGTGGAAGACTTATCTGGTCTTCGGCGTCTTTTGCTTCGCCATGACCGTGCACGTATTCTTCTGTTTCCCCGAGACCGCGGGTAAGACCCTGGAGGACGTCGAGACCATGTTCAACACCCCAGGACTCAAGCCCTGGAAGACCAAGGTCGAATTCCAGCATGTGCGAAAGCTGGAACAAGGCGACATTCAGTCGAACAAGCTGGCCGATCTACACGCGGAGGAAGGGACCGCGCCGGTGTCCAAGTCTGTCGAAAAAGAGACTACTGTGACTCAGGTCGAATAGATATTACTATCTATCTGCCCCGGTTCGGCTCTCAGAAGCCTCAAATTCTGCTCGATATGCCCCTCAGGCGGCATCTTGTCACTTGTGTTTTTTGATATCCTTGTTATTAATCCCTACACTGGTTGCTATGGCTTTAAGATACCGGTTGTTCTTCGGTGTAGGATACTTCTAATCATACCCAATTCCAACATCACAAATTTTCTCTCTCTTATTACGGTAGTCTCCCTCCCAGCCGGTCTCTTTCATAGCTATAGTCAAAAGCAGACTGGTGATGGATCACTTCGTACATGCCCCTGCGCCATGCAACATGACTTATTGCTCGGACACTGAGTGATACCCATTCGAAGCTTCAAAAGAGCACTATCTTCCAACATTGCATGACCTTTCCATGCGATCGACCCTTTGAACTTCTTTAGAGTGCAGGAAAGGATATCAGACCTTAGACAGTGGACCACGGTCTCATCAGAGACGGCGTGGTGCAAGAGGCACTGAACAATTTCTTACATCCCAGCACTATAAGAATAAGACAATGGTTTCAAAAGCCGCCAGCAAATATTAGTTATTTATGGGATTTTGGGTATGCAGAGGCCGTCCCGTCCGTAAAGAACCTGTCCGTAAAGAAACAAATTCATTGGAAACTCGTCTCCTGGCTGGCAGGGTATCATTCTTCCCAGCGGGGTCGATGGGATGAACCGTTTGGATATGCGGCTTCACGGAATACCCGTAACGCCCATCGAGATTCACACAATACCTGTAAAATGTCCCGAAGATTTGAATGTGCAATAGCATGTCACCCTGCGGGGCTGATCTCGCCTGGGAAACCCACTCCCCTTACGCACATGATGACCTGATTTCAAAAAAATACATCTCTATTCGACACGCTATGCACTTACGAACCTTGAGTGAGTCTCCACTGGCTCAAGTCTCTTCCTCCTATACAAAGCACCTAGACCTGCGACCATATGTTTGATTTGCTTTGATTTCGACTTGGGTGAATTTAAGCTACGCCATTATTGCGTAAGATCAACTTGTTGACCAAAAAGATCACATGAGACGTCGGTAACAGAAAGAATTTCCTAGGTCACATGGCGGGTTGGCTGACCAACAGTGTGACCAAAGCGCAGATGGCTTGCTGGTATTTCATTGAAACTGATATTCTCCTTTGACCGCAGACTGATATCATGCAGGTCCCATCTCCTTGTACACAACCGAGGTTGGGCTTAGTGGGCGTATCGCGGAATTGTCACTAAAAGGTAACGGAAACATCGCCCATGCCTTATCTTGTAGAAACCATGGTTGTATGACCAAAATGTGCTAACTTTACTACAAAAGGCTATGTGGACCTAACTGGTGAAAGACGATTAGTCATTCTCATCGCACAGGGTCCCCAAAAATGGAAACATGGGACCGATCCCTGGCGAATCACAAGCACATTTGGGCGCATGCTCTGTATGCCGGTAGGTGGGTGGTCCAGCCCCTATCAGAACACAACATGATATGATAATTTTCTGTCTCCCGCCAAGAAAATGAACAAAAGGGGAGAGACAAGAGAGGGATGCAAGGAGTTGAAAATAAAAATCCCGAAAACGTACAGTATTGCATGCCCCACCCGCCAGAGGGACAGGGTCACGCTCCATTTCTACAACTAAGCTTCCGTACCTAGTCAGCTGTAAATATTCCATTCTGCTACCGCTTGACGACCTGAAGATTGTATTGTCTTTCTGAACATCTAACTTCCGGCGTCTTGAGAAATTCCATCATGTATAGATACATGCTATCTCCTTTTTTTGCTGCTATGGCTGCCGTGACTGTCGTGACTGCTCGCCCAACCGTGTACTTTATACGTCATGGCGAGAAGCCAAAGGACGGGGGAACAGGTCTCAGCGCAGATGGCCTAGAGCGTGCTCAATGCATACGGTCTGTGTTTAGTGCGAACTCCGGTTACAACATCGGATATATCATGGCTCAAAAGCCAAAAAGCAGTACGAAATCCCCTCTATAATGTCAAAGTTCGAGTACTTACAGCACGACATCACGCAGATGGTAAACGAGCTCGACCTTATGAGACTGTGAAGCTACTTGCTTCCGATCTAAGCCTGGAAGTGGACATTTCATGCCAAAGAAATGACTATAAATGCGTCACAGACGCAATTGAAGGCTACCATGGCGAAGGAAATATCTTGATCTGTTGGGAGCACCATAGAATGACTCATATCATTGAAGACCTGGGTGATCATGATGCACCCGTTTACCCAGATGATCGGTGAGTAACCGGAAATAGCAATAGTGGACTTGGGAGTTTGATCTGATGTGAGCAGCTTTGATCTGATTTGGTCTGACCCAAGCCCATATAACAAGATCAGCGATGAAACTAGTGAGCGGTGTCCTGGTTTAGATAATTACAGTGATCTTTTCGTGTTCCAAGAAATTTGAGGTACATATTTGCTAGTTGAACAGTCATTTTCTTGTGAAGAGACACATTCAATAAGATTGAATGTTTGTTATTTAACTCCAAGGGGCGGTAGGTATATAAAAGTCTCTGCAATATCCTCCCACAACAGAGGATCCATGATAGGCTTAAGAACTCAAGGGTTATGTTGTAGCGAGTATGCATGACAGAGACTCCAGGGGAGTCGTGGCTTAATTTCAGACGTGATATCTGGAGAGAAAACGGCGTCAATGCCGAGCTCGCTGTCGGGACGCGCTCGCTGCGTCATATATTCTTGCAGGATTCTGAAGTCTTCATGGCTGACGAGCGTGTGCGAAATCTTGATAACGCAGCCTCGGACTCCGCGAGCACAGTCGCCAACTAGTGCCATAGTGGGAGCATCCAATGGTTGTCGTGAGCGGGCCAAAAAGACGTCAGAGACAGTCGTGTTGGTGGCCACTTCGCACGTCTGCGCAGCCCATCTTCTGGCTGCTTCAGCAGTCACACGGAGTTCAAAGGTAGCCTTATCCAGGTGCAAAATGATGCCGACCACTGGACGCAGGGGGCGGGTTCGCCACCAGGCCACTTGATCGCGCCTCTTAAATTGCTCGCAGGTCAAGGAAGTTTCCAGCAAGGCCATGAAGGTCAGTTGGAACTACCGTGATGCGCCCAGGTCAGTTATCCTCTCAGGGATCTTCAGTGCAATGATGTTTAAGCCTTACCCACTTTTGCTAATGTGGGTACAAAACTCGAGCTATACATGGTGGGTGGTGGGTTCTAAATATCTTCCAGGGGTTGCGCCCTTGTTGGGTTTTCTCCACTTGCCAAGCAGGAACCATCGATTGAAGTGATGAGTTCATCATTAGCTATACAGTACGTGCGTAGGCTATTGGTGATTCTGACGATCAGTGTCTAGTGGTTCCATGTAGCTTGCCCACTCGGAGATTTTGCGGTGTTTTTCTCACGCCCAAGTGTATCCCCTCTATTTTCCCTGAAAGAAACTACCCAATTCACTTCAAAATTCAGCAATATTGTCTGCCGCTATTCTGCGCTTGTAGCGTCTATCTTGGACAAGTATTCGCTTTCCCTCTAAGAATAAAGCACACTGGAACCGGCCTTGGCAACCTTTTTGTTCCTTGAAAGGAGTTACTGCGTCGGGGCCGAGCCCGATACCGTGGGTGTGGGGGCAACATGGACGCGACGACTTTATTGTCATTTTCGTTCACCTTTTAGATGGGACGGTGAAAAAGTAAGTCTCATCAGACGACAGCCTCAAGCCTATACGACATAGTGCTGACCGCGTCGAACTAGCCATTTATCTGTAACCACCGGCATTATTGTGCGTACTAAAATCCCGAGAAATGCTGGCAAAACGTGCTAATACTTTGTGCTATCTTTAATGTACCACTGTCTCTTGAAAAGCTACGGGACTCATGGCCTTGGGCGCTGCAACCAAGGCCTATCATGCAGGCGCGCGTTCGCCGCTCTACTTCCGCCCCTTCGGCCCTTCGGGCCTCGAATATCATGTCTTGACTCCCAAGGGCATGGTCAAGCACTCGGAGAGGCAATGGAGAGCTCCCGATCATCTCAAAGACTTCTTCTGCTTGGACTAGTCCCATAGACCTATCACGACTACTATCCTGGGATCGGGATCAGTTCTGATACTCCGAGTCAGTCCCGGGGCGTCTTTGTCGCCGACAGTGCAGATCCACAAGATCAACAACGTTGCACAAGTTTCAATGGTATAAAGAGCCTCGACGAATTGATTAACTCGGATCGCCCGATAGCCACGATTCACGTGACTCGATTCAACGATACCACTCTCATTACCATTTACGGGACCCACATCATGGGTGAGTATTCAAGGCGTGGGAAAGCACCCTGCACGGGAAGTCTCCGCCCCCATTTGAACAGTTGGACCGGGATCTTTTTAGCGCCTACAGGACAGGTGGTCAGGTTGCAGGCAAAGATGTCATGTCCAACTCGCCTCTACTGCACCCAGGATGGCGGGTGTATGACTTACTTGACAAGACTCGATTCGTATCACGATTTCTTTGGACACCATATTTCAAGACAGGAGAAAAGCATTTCTCAAAAATAAATTTTCATTCCAGAAGCTAAAGCGAAAGACTTGGAGCAGCAGGCAAAGCTTGACCTTGTCGAAGTCGAAGAGCGACACTAGCGGCGGGACATCACTGTCCGAGGCTCGCTCGTTGTCAGTCGATCTAATATTTTGTATGCCTGGATCCTCAAACACAATCACGCCCATCTCTATTCAGAGCAATGGAGTTCGCCCGTCACTATTTCCAACGCTCGTGCCAAGCCTCCTACTGATATGATAGCACGATCGAAGGATTTTCCCAGCAACGACTGGTATGGCGCTTCTATGGTGGTCGCCTTCCCCAGCCTCAAAGTAAGGGAACTAACGGCTATGTCGATTGGTGAACTGGCGCTATACGTTCGAGAGGGTACGCAGGAAGGTTCGCCAGAAAATGCGCGACGATGGATCGCCTATAACTTACACCATAATCTGTGGGAAAAGCCTTCGGGAAAGTTCGTTTTTGGAGTCCACCCAATCATCAGTGGTCCGGTTTGAGCGACTGGTGTCTGATCCGGCTTCAAGACTTGAACATGACCCCCGCTCGGCTCGACCACGGGCATGCGCGCGTTGCAATCAATGGTTTCAACAGCCACATGCTCCTTGTCGGCACGCAATGAGATCGGTGGGTCTGTCTGGGAGAGGCCGGTGGTGGTACCTGGCTTCTTGGAATCACGAGCGATGCTGAGTGGCAGAATCCTCGAGGGTTTGGAAAATATACCCGTCTCCCTCGAACAAGCAAAATGTAGTGCCTTATATATTCAAGAGAGAGCGCCCCGGTGGGGAGTGAGCAACATGTTACATGTTTTGGCACGATTAGGACGGGGTTACCTAGTCCTCTATTAAATAATCGTTGAAAGCCAAAGCCACGTCTGCACCGCCAGTCGAGACAAACAAACCATCAAGAGGACAAAGTCAGCGGTCAATCTGAGAAGTAGTCCTGCAGAAGGTGCGATATTTAGGAGAATCAGGAATCAGAACGACGTACCATTTCATGAAGTGGATGAGTCTAGACGGTCAAGACAAACTGGATGCCTGGCAATTCTTGGGCAAATAATCAACATGACGGGCCGTCTCTTGGAAATATAATGTTGGATCTAACCTAGCTCTAGCAAAAGATGGAGACTACTCCTGCAAACCCTGTAGCAAGAAGGTAAATTTTAAACATTTACTGATCGGGCATGGTTTAGCTAAGCGCAACAGCAAAGATAAAAGGCCTGACTAAAATGGACCCCACGTTACTTCCGTTTGCCGAAACAGGCCTAGTATACAACCTTTGCAAAACTGACCGATGAATTGCTCCTAGTACTTGATCGGGTTAGAAATAGTCCCAGGCGGCGGAATAACTCCGGGACCGGTCGTAGAGCAAGCCATCGCCTCCGGGGTGTTCCCGGCAGCAGCAAGCACCGGCATCGTTGGGAAGGTCGGTTCGCCCTTTTTGAGGGCATCCATATCGAGGAAATCCAACAAGTCATTAGCATTGGCATCCCGGTACGTAAAAGATGGAAGATTCCACTTTCGCTGTAGCGTCGCCAGCACGGAAGTATGGTCGTAGACAACATGACTCACATATTTATTTGCCTTGGAGTAGGGCGAGACAAGGACGGAGGGGACCCGAAACCCGAGACGACCGTATCCCTCATACTGGTACTCGCCAGGAAGGACTGAGGGGGGCACATTGTCCGGGAAAAGTGCGGGGGGTGGGGCCACATGGTCATAGTAGCCACCATGCTCATCATAAGTCAGGATGAAAAGGGTCTTGAGCCAGAGAGGTGACCTGCCGATGGCGTCGACCACGGAAGCTATGAGAGATTCCCCAACGACAATATTTTGCGGGTTCTCCTGCGACTGATAACCATAGTTCGGGTCAATGAAGCTGAATTCAGGCAAAGTACCGGCTTGAGCATCGATCATAAATTGGGACAGGTTCCTATGGCTATGCAGCTCGGAGTCGAAGTCATTGGCCCCATAAAAGTCGGGTGTGTTTCCGCTGATTGTGGTCCAGTCATCGTCGGGGGCATAGTTGAGCCAGGAAATGTTATGCTTGTCAAGCTCTTCGAAGATCGTACCCACTGGGGAATAGCTGGCTGTCAGGTTCACGTTGTCGTCCGTGTCCGCGCGGGCTGTTCCCGCTATGAGGAACCTCCGGTTCGGCCAAGTTTGAGCCAAAACAGAGCAAAACCAGCGATCTCCAATCGGAAATTCTTCAGCGAGGCTATAGGTGAACGGTAGGTGATTGGATGTGTAATAACCCATGGCAACGCCTCCCACCTGCTCATGAACAGTTGAGCTGATGTTCGTGCGCACGAAACCCGTGTTAGTGCCATTGTCGAAGGCGTTGTGACTGGCCATCCACTCTTGGCTCGGTCTACCAGACAATTGACACGTATTTGGCATGGGAAACGCATGCTGGATGGATCCGTTGGTGTAAGGGTTGGTGTTCAGAGGTTGGCCAGCGGCATTCTTTGTGAAGCCATCCCCACGACTTAGCATACCATAAATGTTGTCGTAAGAATGATTTTCCATCATCAGAAAGACGATATGCTCGATTCCAGGCATCGTGTCGGTCCCGGCAGGTAGGTCAGGGAATGGGAGAGTCCCTGGTTGTCTAAGCGAGTCGCGCCCAAGTGCCTTCAATGCAGCAGCGACACTGTCATCGGACTGGCCAGTGGTAACATGGAATCGAGAGGCAGCTACTCGACCCCAACTAGCACTCAACAGTGCAATAGCCCAGAGAAAGAAATGCATAATCACCTTTTTCTCTGCTATTTTTCACCCATGAACTTTTCAGATAGGATGGCGTGATCAAACACGTATTATCTCGATTGTTTGACGCCTAGGGCTACTAGTTTTATAGAATACAAGCTGACGGACGGGGCCCTCCTTTTGGGCTTTTTTTTTTTTCAGTTGTTGAGCTTTAAGACTAAATCAGGGGCCGTGCGACAGTGGTTAAGGACGGCGGTGCACGGGCTTGGACGTTCATTCACCATTGGCGACGAAAGAAGCACACTTTGTGCCATTCTTCATATCTCGGCAAATAGGCTTCTTATCACTTTGGACTGACGCTGATCTTTCGGCTTGAGCCAACCAAGAAGGTACGCGTGACAAATTAAAGAGATGATATTGGTCAGTCAGTAATGAGACATCAGTTCTCTCAATTGCTGAAGTTTGAGTTTTGATTAATAGCGGGCATCACCATTCGGCTGTTTCGAATAAGCCACGTTCTGTTAGCGAAGACAAATCTGACTGGTGTGTGATCTATACCCCGAGGAAAACCAATTTCTGTTTGCCCTAGCACAAACGTGGTAGCTGCTTTTAGCATTATTACCGATATTGCGACATAGCTGATGCGTGGCTGTGATTGGGCTATCGCTATCGCTCGCAGGCGGCATGGTCCTTCTACGAGAAAGTGCGTACCTTGGTATAAAGAGGAATATCGTCTATTGGTGAAAAGAGTGAATTACTACGTCGCAAGTGTGGTATGAATTGCGCTTCCTCATTCATTCAATGAGATTTCAAAGGTTTCAGTCACTACATCAAGCCAACAAGATCATCAAAAAGTTCTCATTCAAAATCCTGATCGTTCGGGCAAGTGGGACGTAGGTGGCCCACTACTCTGGCAACTTCTCGACTTAAATGCACCGCTTCCATCCGCGTTTCCAGCCGCAATTCAACCGATTTAAGCTTCCTTTAAATGTTGAAGCCGTTCAAAGTAGCCTCAAAGACGTGTCTTCCAATCCCACGCTCTTCAACGACCTGGGATGCCGAACGTCTGACTTGGGGCACATAGATTCAATTCAGCCCTGCGCACATTCTTATCTCAAGTACTCATTTTATGCTTGATCTTCCATCTCCCACCGTCATAAAGTTATAAAAAACAGCATTTAATATGGTGTTCTGTGGTGGCCGAGTGGGCGGTGTGGCCGAGTGGGTAGTGAATTACGTTAGAAACAATTTACTTTAGGCATTTGATACGGGATTGTTACCTAATTTAAGGCTTGTCATAATGCTAATGTGAATCATGAGTAATAGAAAATCCCTTTCTGGCTGCTAGAGTAGGCCATACTGCAGATGTGCAATAAACCCTGAGTTTCGTTTGTCTGCAGAGTCCAAGCGACAAGCTTATAGCGAAACCAAGTATCCGCTTACTTTGACGCTTTTGTATTTCGATGTTAAAACTTTTAGTGACGTGGTATTGATGAGCTCGAAACGTAGGAGCCAAAAGATTGTATATTCTAAAACGAGCGTCTCTGGCAACATGACCAGTATTAGCCCTATAGAACAAAATTGTTCCCATGCTGGACCCAATAGCGTATAATATTTCGTGTTGAGCTGACAGGAAGGGGGAAACTGCCAAAGGAAAAGAAACGGTATTGTCTCAAATTTTACCCCGCTCTGCGTGTACCGTAACAACGTGCATCTGTTAGCAAATTTCATTAGCCTAATTCAAGCTCTCCAAGCCATTGTGTCATTTTGTAAACTACCACCGCACGTTCCTTCAGGGTCGCTCGAAACGTGCGGGAGGCTTCGCCTTGACTTCTGTATCTGTCCTTGTTTTTGTTAATGTGAAGCCGTGGTCTACAACGAGATTGTTGATAACGTTGTAGCTTCTGGTTAAAGGTGGCCATAACTTTCCATCGCCCCTAACGTGCTTAACAGGCAAACTTGTGAAATACAAGATAAACAAAGATAACACAACATCCTACTTCGTTCTTGGCATGAAGGTATTAACCGAGTAGTTGCACGTGGGGCAACAGGTTATGGTATCGGGCGTGGTGGGATAAATATCCTCCCCCGCCCCATACAGTATGTGGCGTTCAGCGACGCGAAACCCACACCACTCCCTGATTCTAAGCGGATCCAAGTGTCGACTATGTAATAGATCACGAAGCATCCATTCAGTCACCAGAACCTGCCGCCCACCACGAATCTAATTGCCGTAACCGCCATAGCCAGAGTGCTGTCCAAGGCACAGGTTTAGTCCGTTCCCCCTGAACGTTATGCCGGCAAGCAAGCTGTCCCACTTGTAGCACCACGTGTCGCCGTGGTCGTGCCCGGAAAAAACTGCGATCACACCCGGGGTGTCAACCAAGCCTTCCATGAATGGCACGTCCTGGCCGCCGTATTCACACGAACTGTCATTGCTGCCGTCCTCACACCAATCCTGGGCCTGCGGGGTTAGAATATAATCGTCATTAACTCCCGGTTCCCGGTGATAATTAATTCGAACTTCGCCTTTGCGCCGCTTGAGACGCATTGGTGAGAATATGAACAAAAGCTAGAGATGGAATCACTTTTTTGTGTTGATTCATGAAGAACCCATTAGTCTCGTTGAACCATTCCATAGCACTCAGGTCTACCCAATCAGGCTGCCCAACTTCTTTGCCCGGATCATCGAGTTCCTGAAAGTAGGCACCACCCCGACTGTAGACATTGACATTGCCCATGGGCGGCCCATCATGGGCGGTCCATGGGCACCTATGGGCACCCATGGGCAGATCCTTTTTTCCCATGGATGGGCAGACTCTAGCTGCCTATAGACAGGCGGCCCATAGGCGGCCCATCATGTCCATGATACAAGGTAGGATAAATTAATGACCTATTATGCAGTAATTTTTGTATTTATCTAGTAATATTTTAGAGTAGAAGTAAGGCTTAATTGAGAGAGAAGTGAGAATTTATTCAATTACTTTCTAATTAATCCTAATCTCATAGTTTTCGAACCCCTTTAGTCGCTTTCTTGCCCGTCCAGACTTACGTATCTAGCTCTGCATTATAGGTAATCTATTATCGTCCTTATCCTCACTACTACCATTAATTTGATTAACCTCATCTTTAGATATAACGCTCTGTCGTCGCTTCCCACCCCTCATAGATTGCCTTAGATCTTGCTCATCTTCCTCAGTATCACTAATAGGATTTACCTCTTCGGTCTAAGGGCATATCTCCTCTATTTTCCCTTCTTTAGGGATTTCTAGAGATTAGGCCAATTAAAGCTACTCCTCTTCTATCTTAAACTTAGTCGTATAGCTATAAAGTATAAGATCCTAGATAGTGGTAGGATTTAGACGACCTCTACGGTAGTGGCAAATATCGCGAGCTAAATTAAATAGGCGTTTAACACTAGCACTAGTAGCTAGGATAGAGAAGACATCGCGGGCTACCTATACTAGGGTAGGAAATTTATATTAATAGACTTTCTAGAATTAGGTAGGGGTCGTATTAACTAAGCCTAAATAGAAATAAAGGGTTAGTATAAGATAAAAAGGTAAATTAGATAGAGAATTATAAAACTTACCTCCTTTAAGAAACTATATTAATTTATCTTGATCCTAGTGGGATCTAGCCATAGAGGCGAGGACTTTATTAAGCTTAGAGATATATATCTAGACCTAGGTCTTTGATATCGAGTTATTAGATTAATAGCCCTTAATCTAGTCTTGTAGGCTATAATGATACGAAGTCTCCTATCCTCTAGCCTAGTCTTTACTCTTAAAGAACTATAGCTTATGCTATAGAGTAAGGATCGTCCTATACGTATAGATATTACTAAGTTCCTTAGCATCTATCTTCGTATAGTACTCACGAAGCTTAGATTTACTAAATTTAAGGGCCTTAAGTATTTACTGCTTCTAACCGACCTATTAAAGAGGTTAGGAAAGGTAAGGTAAAAGTGAGATAGAAATAAAAGGTATTATAAACCTTCTTCCGCTATAATTATCGCTTTAAAACCTCAAGATACTTAAAAAGCTTATTATAGAGACTAAAGACGTTATAAATAGTTACGTCTTTAGTCTTCGAGAGCGTAGTGGTATAGATATAGAATAGCTTTATAAGATAGAGAAGATAATTAATCTATCGCTATTTATTAGAATTTAGTATTATATAGTCGATCTTATATAGATAGTAGTACTTATCTAGCTTAGATTGAAGCCTTCTAGCCTATTTAAGTATTAGATAAGTAGAATTCTATCTTATCCGAATGTCCTAGATTAGGACTAGTTAAGGGTTTCTGATTTCCTTCTAAAGATCCTTAAACTTCTCCTTTCTCTATAGGCTTATATTAATAAAGATCGCGAGATCATAGGCCTTATTTAAGGTGTTTACAATATCCCGCTTCTTAGACCGCTGTCTAGCGGCCTTATTATGTTCTTCTATCTAAACTATATCTATAATATTATTTAGAGGGTTTCCTTTTATCTAACTAAGTAGCTGATTTAGACTAAGCTAAATTATATACGCTATATATAGAATTCGGATAAAATGGGCGTCTAGGTAGTCCTTTTGTATCTTTATAATTATTATATTATTATTTAATGCATTATTAGTGGTAATAGCTATAATTCTATTAATAATCTAATGTTATTTTAGAATTATAGATAAGACTAAGGCAAGGTTATCTCTAGAGTGGGTGCCCTCTAGGGGTTTAAATCTAAGTAATACCTCTCTATACTCCCAATTTTAATTAAGGAAATACCTAGTAATAGCTATAAAAGCCTGCTAAAAAGGGGATATCTAGTAGTCTAGACTAATAGAGAGCTTTGCGTCTTCTAGGAGCATTATAAGAATATCTATCTACCGAGATTGGACGATAGACTAGAGATGACACTATATTGTTTAGCTAGAAGGAAAGGATAGGGCTAAAGGGGATATTTACACAAGACGTAGAAGGTCCTAGAAGTGTTGATTCTTAATGATCTAAAATAGTAGCCATAGGCTAGTGATAGTAGTTAGAAGCTACTACTTCTAGACCTCTTTAGACTAAGATTAATATAGTTTAGGTGGATTGATAGCCTAAAGTAGTAATAAATATTTTTATTATTCTTTATATTTTCTTAAAAGGAAGGTAAGGGTAAAGCGAGAGTAAAGTGAGAGTATAATAGGTATAAAATACTATTATTTTGCTCTTACTTTACCCTATCTTAGGCTTTAGATCTTCACTTACCGCTTTTTTCTATAAATCCTAGATATTTTGTTCACTTACTAGGCCTGCCCCTTTGTATTTAGCTTTTATATGCCTTTTAAGCGTATTAGTCCTATACTTAGTCCCCTTTTTGTTAGGTGTTATTAGGTGGTCCACTATCTAACTATATACTTTATATATAGCCTTTAGTTGACCTATTTTAATATACGCAACCTAGTTAAAGGATTGCTATAACTTAGATATATAGCCCCTTTTATCCTAATAAGGATGCTCTCCCTTAGGTTTTAATCTATACTAAGTTATAAGCCACTATTTAATAAACTTAGTCTTAGACATCTTAGACTAAAGCGCCCACTCTTTTTCTTAGTTAGGTCTAATACATTTAATAGAGGACCGGGGTGGTTCGTAAATATTTAGCGTGGTAGACTAGCTTTTAGAGGCGTTAAATAGTATGAAATTAGATAGAAGAGGATTAATACTATCACTAGTGATAGATAGGTTAAAATAGGAAGAGGGGAAAGGCATACTAGACGCGATAGAGACGTAAAAGTAGGGATAAAGTGAGGGTAGAGAGAGGACTAGAGGAAATAAATTAGGGGGAGAAGGCCTTCTACGTAAGATAAAGCCTAATGTGATAGATTAGGAGGAGGTGAATTATTCTAATATAGGTCTATTAGCCCTCTTCTATTAGCCTAAACCCTTCCCTCCGCCCTTCCGTAGACATAATTTTCTCTAAGTTCGTCTTTAGTTTAACACTTTTCCCTTTACTACACGATTAATTCTACAGTATAGGGGTTTAAAAAAATAATAATAGGTTAAAGGGGATATAAAGAATATATATATATAAAATAATAGCTTAATAACCTAGTTTACATAAATAAAAAATAAAAGAAGAATCTATAGTAGAAAGTAGTGGGAGATATTTCTACAGAAATATATATTTTTAACTTCTATCACTCTTATTTTAACTATCCCCTTCTATCTGTAATTAAATTATCTAATTCATTTATACGACTAATGAAATAGGTAGTAAAAGGCCTAAAAACAAAAATATTTCGTAAAATTATATAGTGGAAGGGGGGAAGTGAGATAAATATAAGCGTTCGGACCAAAACAGAGGTAAGAAACAGAGATGAATCAGCAAGTTATGCAAAAAATTCAGGCTAATTCAGGCCAATTCAGGCATCGATGGGCGGCCCATGGGCCGCCTATGTCAATGTCTATCGAGGAGAAGCAGCTTGCATTAATAGATGAGTTTCTATTAGATGAGGAAAAAGAGCAGGCTCGTGAGGAAAGGGACACCCTATTACTTAAAGATCTAGATCCAATTAGTGACGACGAGGAGGATGATTTAGTTGTCTCCTAGGTATAGCCTATAACCTTCATCACCATCAACCTATATTATATATCGCAAGCTTAAGCTCGCCTAGAAGGCATTAACTATCGACCACTAGCTTACGCAAGGCTATACTACACGGTAGATTTTGACTAGTATTAGAGAGCAAGATCGACGCTCTATTCTAATACGTTGGGATATCAACAATCGTCGGCAGAAGCTTAGTATAGACTTCCTAGCTAGTCGGACCCCTATTTAGGCCTTGCTAATGGAGCTACTATAAGATAGTGACTAGATTTTTAAGCACGAGCTTAATAGTGATAGCCATCTAACTATTTTATTCTATATACATCGCTCTTGCGTTGAGATACTTCGGCGTCATCCTTAGGTTCTCTCGATGGATTATATATATAAGACTAATCGATATAGCTTACCGCTTCTAGATATCGTAAGCTTAGTCTCTACTAGGTAGACATTGACATGGGACTCCCATGGGACTAAGGTCCGTCCCAAGTCCCACCCATGGGAATACCCATTTAGGTATGCTAAGGGAATACCCACCCATGGGAATACCCATAGGTCCCATAGGTACCCATAGACACCTGATTATGCCTGAATTCGCCTGAATTCGCCTGAATTTTATGCATAAGATCACTGACTAATCTTTATTATTTACGTCTGTTTCGGTTAGAACAAGTAATATCACTACTTTTTAACCTACCTACTAGGTAATTATAAGAAATAAAGTTGTTTATATATATAAAAGGGTCCGTTTCATCGGTCGCATTAATGTTTTAGGCCTATCGAAGTAAAGGTAAAAAAGCGGTGGTAGAAATTATGGTTTGTCCTCTAAGATATATATTTATTATATATAACCAACCACTCTGCTATTATTTCCTTTGATTTTATTATATTATAATACTAGGTTATTATGGCTTATTTTACTAGTTAATTTAATTACTATAGCTTCTTTTATATATATTTATCTTGCAAACACCTAATTGCTAGTGTAGGGTGTATAGTTGAGAGAAAAAGGTCAGAGTTAAGAGCAAAAGTTAAGAAATTTCTAGGGGGCATAGCTCTTA